TTATCTATATAGGCGATATAGATAATATTAATAAGTTTAGTAAGGATCTCGTCGATATAGTCTTAGAAAGTTACGAGAGCGTTCGTAAGACTAAAGAATATAATTATATACTCGTAGTGCTTATAGCGTATACGAAACGTAGTCTTTTATCTATCCTATTCGGCGATAAGGATTTAATAATAGACGTCTCGTAAATCTAGCTTAGTAAAGATCTATACTCTTTCTAATCGGTTTAGGATCTCCTATACGAGAGATAGTAGTCTTCGATTCTTTATAATAACGTTATTTAAGAGCTAATAGTCTACGTAGAGACGTAGCGTTCTATCCTTTTTTAGTACGAAGAGAATACTCGCGCCCGTAGGCGATTTACTCTTCCGAATCTAACGCTTTATCGTAGCCTTTTAGATATACTCTCGTAATACTTCTAGCTCTCTACCGCTTATAGAGTAGATAGGTCCGAAGAGGATACTCTTCCTCTTCTCTATATATATAAAGTATCCTATCTTAAGGTACTCCAATAATACTTTAGGCGACTCTCCTTCCGAGAAGATATCTAAATAGTCTACGTACTCCTAGAGGATTAGAAGTTCTTCTATTTCGATTATATATAGATACTCTATTTCGAGTATATTCTACTTAAGTATCGCCTACGCTACGAGAAGTATATACAATTCTAACTCTTTAAGGATCTCTTTCTAGCTAACTTTAACGACCTTAGGCTCCTATCTCCGAAGGAACTACTTCTTAGGACTCTAATAGATATTAGAGTTAATATATTCTAACTAGAGGATACTTAAGATTATATTATATCGTAATATATCTATCGCGATAAAGTTTATCGTACTCGAAACGGGGATACTCTATCCGTCTCGCGTACTTATCTCGAGTATATATACTCTATATACTCTTAAGATATAACTATTAATATTATATACCGGGATTAATTAGCCCGTCGATTTTAGTCCTTTATTAACTATTACGACTTATAATACGAAGTTCTTATTCGCTTTCGAGTTAATTAATACATTAAGCGTACGCTTTCCTCGCGGTACGGTTAGATCTATCGCGATATAGAGAGTCCGCGACTTACGTACCTTATTTTTTAGGACTTCTAGTGCTATTAAGGCGTTAAAAGTACCGTCGTCTAGTTTTTTAGCGTACTCCTCTACTACGTTACGTCTACGTCCCGGTCCCGGCGCTTATTATTACGCTAGTATCGTTAATACTAGTATATCTTATAATCTAATTTACTATATTTATAGTAGATTACAGTAGAGATTATCTTCTCTTTAGTCTCCTTTTTCTCGCCGCGTAACTTCTTATCTATAATCCGGCTTTTACTTATACGCTTTATATATATAATAAGTCTAGGAGGCCTACGCTCTATATAAGAGCGTTCTACTCTCTCTTATCTTACTCTCTAACGGATAAGCTCTTCTTATCGTTAGGCTACCGCTAGAACTTATTCTCGACTACGGATCTTCTTATTCTTACGTATAATCTCTATACGGATCTCGAGCCGTAAACGGTTAAGAAAGAACTATACGTCTCTCTATTCTTAGGAGAGTTCCGGAATATCTCTTTCAAGTACTTTTACTTTATCTAGAAATATCCTAGCTCTCTAGGTGTCTCCTTACCTCTTTAACGCTAACGAATAGAGTACGTTCGATATACGATTCGTAGAGTTAAGGATAATCCCTTTATAAAAGATAATAAATTCTTTCTAAGACTTAAACTTCTCCTTCTATCTAACCTAAGAGAGAGCGGCCGTACTCTTAAGATAGATAGCTACCTTTTTAATATATTCTATCTACTCTAAGAGTATAAAGAGTCTATTAGTCTTATTCCGAATTAACTACTCTATTTTAAATGTTTATAACTCTTTAATATTCTTACTATAGAACGTAGAGAGCTCCGCTATTTTTAATCTCGTTAAAGAGTACCCGAAGGTATCACTCGATACGTTTCGCTTATAGGAAGAGTACGCGATACCTTCGATAAGAACGGGGTTCCGAGATATTCCGCTAGCGAGTTCGAGCTCTATCGTCTCGAGCTCTCTCTCGCGGTTCTCTTACTTCCGCTTCGCTATTATCTAGTCTCGAATACGCGTATAGCGCTCTTCGAACGTCTCCCCTACTTTAGTAGTAGACTCCGTCGTCGAGAGTTATTTCTCGTTACTAGGCGTACCCGCTACGGATACACTATCGCTAGACTCGGCGACTCCTGACTATTAACTACGTATAGAGAGAGCTATTATTCCTTCCGTTAGACCTTATCCCTAAAGGCTTCGAGAATTATAAGGGGAGCCCTAGGAGGCTAATAGATAGGTCGATAGAAGGAATAAACTAAGAGTCGATAGCTATAGTCCCTATATATAGAGACTCGAAGCCTCTTCAAGGCTTCGAGGAGTGTGCGAAGGCACACCGCTACTTATGCGCCCCGTTGGGGCGCGTGCGGTCCTTGGCTAGTTTGCCCTGTTTAGGGGCTGTGGCATAACAGACCTACTGTCAGGGACAAGGACCGAGAAAAGACTCTGAGGGGCTTTAGAGGGCTTCGAACGTGTATGGGAGGCTTGAGAGTCCTAATATTACTATCTTGATGTACGGTAGAGTACAAGACGAGAGACAAAGAGCTCGAAGGGAGATTCGGGCTCTTCTCGAGTTCTATATACCTTTCCGAGTGAAACATTCCCCCTTACTCAGTAGTCTAGGCTCTTCGATTGTCGCAAAGTAGCCTAGTATAATATAAGGGTGTTTCAATAGTCGGATGCAAGGACTTCGTAGACTATAAGGGGTTCGATGTTAGTGGGGTCGTCACGTGTCGGAGTCATAGTAAGGCTCTGCTAGAGCCTTACACCTGTTCTCTTGATAGTTGTGGAATCTGGCCAGATCTCTCCTGTTGTGGGATCTGGCCAGATCTTTCCTGTTCGGCGCAATCCGAGGGCTTCGGGGTGGTGCCGTAACAGTACCCCCCGCCTAAGGCGGAGCTCCTGCGACGCGTTGGTTTCGAGACCTGATAGCCGTATAGATTCGCGGCTGGTAGGGGTTCACATAGTATCTCCGGTTCTGGTAGAGCGCTTTATGAGGTCCTGGGCGGCCTAGATGGGCGTGATGGAACGCTATCATTGCGTTAGGCATATCTTGTTCAATGAGATACCAGGGTTCCTAGGTATCTTCCCAATCTCCGGTCCATTCCACGAGGTATTCGAGCTGTTTGCGACGGCCATTGATACGTGAGTCTTTAATCGATTCCTAGGACCAGAACGTCTCGCCCGTCTCGAGGTCTTCCTCGGGGTCTAGAGTGTTAGTTACCTAGCTAGGAAGAGGATCGGAGCCGGCTCTTTTCAGTAGGTTAACGTGGAAGACTGGGTGAATTCTGAGGTTGTCCGGTAGGTCTAGTCGGACGATCAACGGGTTCGAGTTATAGACCTTCGATATATTGTATGGCCCTATCGAAGCGTTACTAAGCTTTGCCGAGAGTCGAGATATCTTGATATTCTCGGCGTCGAGGTACACTTTGTCGCCTATCTGGTATTGTTCGGTAGGTCGTCGGTGTCGGTTAGTCGTTTCCTCGTAGATAGCTTACGAGACTAGTATTAATTCGTAGAGGTGCTTATCAAGCTCTTTCATTTTGCGTACAAGTTCGTCGACCTCCGGGACGAGGTCGGGGCCCTCGGACGGTTGTTCGAACCCAATCCGAGGGTTCTAGTCATAATTGGCTAGAAATAGTGAGATCCCCGTCGTTACGGATTCGGCGTTATTCGCTGCAAACTCGATAGCTGGGAGGTATTGGGCCTAATCGTTCTGTAGGTGATTAACGTAGGCCCGAAGGTAGTGAGCTAAGGACTGATTATTTCGTTCCGATTGTCTATTAGTCTCCGGGTGGTAAGCTATGGAGAGACTCGAGTCGATTCCTAAACGTTAGTAGAGATATTTCTAGAATTCCGATAGCCATTAGGTGCCTCTATCGGACACCTATCGTTCCGGTGTTCCATAAAGTTTCCAAATATACCAATAAAAGGCATTAGTAGCTTCTTCGGTAGTCTATCCAACAGTAGGTAGGAAATGTCTCATCTTCGAGAGTCTATCGGTAACGACGAGCACATATCGGTAGGTAATACCTAGGAATGTACTCGGGGGGAGAGGCCCGATATAATCTATAGCGATATCGGTCTAGCGTCGTTATGGAGGCTCTAGAGGCTATAGCCAGCCCTAGTAAGCTTCGCGAGAGGGCTTCGATCTCTTACATATATTATAGTTCCTCACCTATCGGGCTATAAATCGGGGTAGCCCCGAAAACTAATAGCTTCGATAGACTAGGGCTATTATCTTAGTGCGTCCGGGATGGCCGGCGGCTACGGTATCATATAGGGTTTGGCAGATCTTTATCCGTAGACGGGTCGAGTTTGGGATATATCGTTTCCCATTAATATATAGATAGCTTTGTCGTTCTTTATAGTTCGCCAGCTACACTTGGGGATATCGACGATCCCCTTTCCGTAAGGCTTCGAGCACTAACGGCTCGAACTTATCTCGTTGGTGTGTCTCTTCCTAGAGGTCTTCGAGTGTCAATTCTTTATTATAGTTCTCTAGTTCTTCTAGAGAGTCGAGTTCGGGTTTAATATCAGTCTCTCTTATAAGGGCTTCGAAGTCAATTAGCGTTAAGGTAATTTGTATAGGGGAGACTTGAGGACTTAGAGACTTAAGGTTGACAGTTTCAATATCAATCTTAGTAAGTCTCAGAAGCGGACGATTTCGGTATATATTGCGAGGATCGGAGAGATCTCCCTCGATAGGTAGATTAGCGGTTCGTCGTATTAGCGCATCAGATTTTCCTCCTTATTTACCTAGCCGGTAACGGATCTAGAAGTCGAATCTGGATAAGAATTTAGCCTAGCGAGTCTATCGTCGGCTGAGGAGCTTCGTAGTCGTAAAGTATTCGAGGTTCTTATAGTCCGTAATTACCTCAATAGGGTGTGCGGAGCCTTCTAGTTCTAGGCGCTAGTTTTCGAAGGCTCTAATAATAGCCATTAGTTCCTTATCGAAGATCTCGTAGTTATATTCGGCCGGAGTGTATTTCCGGGAGAAGTAAGCTACGGGTCGAAGGATTCCAACTTTATCGTATTGCGAGAGTATACCGGTAGAGATATAATCAGAAGCGTCTGTCTCGACGACGATCTTTTTCTCGGGGTTATAGTGCGCTAGGACGATATCGGAGGTAAAGGCTACCCGGAGAGTATTAAAGGCTCTTTAGTATTCTTCAGTCCATTCCTATAGGGCCTCTTTTCTAGTCAATCGCGTTAAAGAGGTAGCGATCTTACTAAAGTTATAAATAAATCGCCTATAGAAGTTGGCGAAGCCTAGAAGGGACTGAACGTCTTTAATATTCTGGGGTAGTGACCATTTAGTGATTATTCGAATCTTTTCGGGGTCCATCCGGATCCTATCGGTACTAATGATCAGGCCGAGATATTTAACCTCGATGGTATAGAAGGTTGATTTCGTAATATCGACCTATAGTTTAAACTCCGAGAGTCTTTAGAGTACCTTATGTATATATTCCTAATGTTCGAGTTCGTTCTCACTATAGATAAGGATATCGTCGAGGTAGGCAGTACAGAACTCGTCGAGATATCCTCGGAGGGCTTCGTTAATATAACTCTGGAAGGTAGTAGGTCCATTATAGAGTCCAAAAGGTAGGACTAGGTATTCAAAGAGTCCATATCTGGTCCGGAAGGCAGTGAGGTGTTCTTAGCCTTCCTTAATTCGTATTCGATTGAACGTAGATATAATATCGAGTTTTGTATATATCTTGGCCCTTGAGAGTCGATCTAAGGTTTCGGAGATTAAGGATAAGGGATATCGATTTTTCACGGTAATAGCGTTCAATCCTCGATAGTCGACATAGAAGCGTAATCCACTATCTGGTTTCTTAACGAAGAGGACGAGAGACGAGGTATCGGACTTACTTACCCGTATAAAACCTTTCGAAAGGTTCTCTATAAGGTATCGCCGGAGTTCGAGGAGTTCATTACGGCTCATACCGTAGAGGGGGGCTTTAGGGAGCCTATTAACTCTCTCAGTTCGTATCTCGATGGCGTAGTCGGTTAGTCGGTATAGCGGAAGTTGATCTACTTCCTTTCGGGAGAAGACGTGTAGCTATTGGTGGAACTCCACCGGCATAATAGTCGAAGAGTCGACGTCCTTACTCTTTCGATAGGCCTCGAGGTCTTCGAGGGTCGTATTCGTTACAATAGCGAGTTCCTAGTTCATAAGGGCTAGATTCTTATTATAGTCGTTCTTAGTACCGCATTTCGAAGGGTTAGGTTTGACTGTTACGCGGTCGCGGACCTAGGTAACGGTAAGGCGCTGACGTAACCTTATATATATCGTATCGTATATTATAGTCGGATCGGAGGGGTTTGCCTGATAGGCATATAGATAATGACCATTTTCAGCGTTATCCGAATCGAGTTGAAGGGCGCGGTTAATCTCTCGAAGGGAGAGACTGAAGACTTTAGTATCTGGCCGTTTTGCCAAATAGTGGAAGCTAACTATACTAACTTCTAATAACGTAGTATTTGCTTGGGGCCCTTTCGCTAGGCGATCTAAGGCTTTCGATGGGTCCGCTCGGGGCTCTTCCGCTGAGCCTTCCGAGGATGTCGATTCATATGCTTAGGACTCTTTCACTGAGCATTCCAAGACTTCCGATTTATATACTTAGGACTCTTTCGCTGAGTATTCTAAGACTTCCGTAGTGTTTCGAGAGCGCCTTCTCTAGTGTTGGTAACGTTCTGTTGAAGGACTTCTATTCCGAGTTTTCGATTTAGTAGATATAAGTCGTAAGGGTTCAATTTCCGCGATCTTAGTCTCAGGGATCGCTGTAATAGTCGTTAGTGTCTTATAACAGTACTGTAGGCATCGGGGGGAGGAGAAGATAAGGGTAATAATCTAGTCTCGGGTAGCCTAGATCCGAGTTTCGTGTTGGCAAAACTAGGGCATCCCGAGGATAACCTATATCTTCGACTGGAGGGGCGTAACGAGGAGATAAGATATAGTCCGGTGGCCTCCGAGGGATAGGTCTGCCCTCGCGAGATGGGTAATATTGGAATGGGCTATACCTTCGAAGTCGACTGCGACGCGGGGTTTCTTCAAGGGGATTAATAGGAGGTTCAATAGCTATACGATCGAAGGGTCGATGAGAGAGTGTCCTGCCGAGCCGGTGTCGCACAGAATTGGTAGTGCACATCTCGTTTTAGGTCCTCGGAGGGTGCCTATAACGTAAAAGTGACGGTCGGGAGTCTCGATTGGCCCTTCGATAGGGTTCGGTAGGGTTTCGAGGGCGTTGGAGGACTACTAAGTCGGCTCCCGTGGACGACTTTTCACAGGAGCTACTCGTTTTCCGAGGGTAGAGTCTCAACGGAGTGGATCTTAGTCGTTAGAGGGCATTCCTTAACTCGATATCCGGGTTCCCGACAGAAGAGGTAGAGGTTAAAGCGGTTATAGACTTATCGAATCCAGTCCGTAAGCTTTTGGCCCTTAACGAGTTCTATAGCTTACTAAGGGGTCTTAATGGCGTCGAGGTCTATCGGATCGGATAGCGGTGGTGCGGTCACTGTCGGTATATTTTGAGGCGTTACGAAGGTAGTTAAAGGAACTGCGGTTATTCCGCGCGTTCCCCGAGGCGTATTTCGTATAGTAGGAGGGTTGGAGGACCTCTATCGGTTTTCGTCTACTTTAATCTGTTTATCTTCTATATAGATACGGTTTATATACTGTATAAGGGGGTGCCAGAAGGGGTTCTCATATCCTGATAGGAGGGGTCGAGCGAGTCGTCGAAGCCAGGCGGGAGTGCCTCGGACTAGCTGATCGTATTTAGTAGTATCAGGATGCGAGGTCTTACCTGCGATAACGCAGAACTCGGCGAAGTATTCGGCGTAGTTTCGATGTTTTATCTTGTCGAAATGGAAGTCCAGTAGCTGTCGGTTCGCCCGGTCCTGGGCTCCGGTATCCTCATAGAGTTCTATGAGGTGCTGTTTCCATTGGTCAAAGGTTCCAATAGTTATTCGTCCTAAGGTCCGGTAGGATTCCATAAGTCGATCGGCTCGTTCTCCTTTAGCCAGGAGGCTTTCGGCGATAATAAGCTTCTCAGCCTCGGTATTCCATCGTTCCAGGTTAACCTTCGAGGTCAGTTCCGAGAGGAAGCGGTAGAGAGCCTCAGGATCTCCAGTATACGGGGTAACTTTGATATTATCTCGTCGTACCGGGGCAGATTCCGTAGGTTAGCGAGGTTATCCAAGGAGGCTCTGGAGGGCAATAAGGAGCTGACCTACCTGGGGGTCTAGAGTGGCCTGAGGAGGCGTTGAGGTAGGGGTTTCCTGGCGTTGTTGTCCACGTTCAAAGGTCTGAATGAATTCCATTGGGTTGCTACTGGCGAGTTACGTAAGTTCCTGGAGCCGCTGTTCGATTTGAGGGTCGACTGGGTTTGTCGCGGTGGTCGGGTTCATAGATGGCTCCATAGTAAAGGGTGGTCTCTCGTAATGTCAGGGACAAGGACCGAGAAAAGACTCTGAGGGGCTTCAGAGGGCTTCGAACGTGTATGGGAGGCTTGAGAGTCCTGATATTGCTATCTTGATGCACGGTAGAGTACAAGACGAGAGACAAAGAGCTCGAAGGGAGATTCGGGCTCTTCTCGAGTTCTATATACCTTTCCGAGTGAAACATTCCCCCTTACTCAGTAGTCTAGGCTCTTCGATTGTCGCAAAGCAGCCTAGTATAATGTAAGGGTGTTTCAATAGTCGGATGCAAGGACTTCGTAGACTGCAAGGGGTTCGATGTTAGTGGGGTCGTCACGTGTCGGAGTCATGGTAAGGCTCTGCCAGAGCCTTGCACCTGTTCTCTTGATGGTTGTGGAATCTGGCCAGATCTCTCCTGTTGTGGGATCTGGCCAGATCTTTCCTGTTCGGCGCAATCCGAGGGCTTCGGGGTGGTGCCGTAACACCTACCAAGCGTGGCGAAAAGACTGAAGGTGAAAAAAGACGGGCACTAGGTACTGGATACTAGACACCGGTAGCGGTAGTGGCAGTGGTAGAGATAGAGGTAGAGGTAGAGGCAATCGAGTCCGTAGATAGACTCTACATGGAGAATTGATTCCCATATGATTTTGATAGGGTTAGATTCTGCCGAACTTTAGGCAATGTCGCCGCTGTACGAAGTCGCTTTGAAAATCGCTACCCCGAAACATTCACACCTTATTGGTCAAAGGCTAAGTGGCACGTGACTGTAGAGAAGACAGCTAATCGGATCTCGATATTCTTCCGCACCAATCAAATCCGCGGCTTCTTTGACGAGGTTGCCTGTAATACTGTTTTCGCTTCGCTCAACAGGATTAAGTCGAACGATATCAAGATATATAGTATTTCTCGTCTCCCTTCTGACTATTGAGGTATCGCAACTTCTACCCCGGGTTATGTTTAATATAGTATATCTCTCCAGCCCATTCGTCGTTAACACAATTCGACTTCAACTAAGTCGCCTGGCTCGACGCTTCACGGGTCAGACAACGCCGACGGTGGTCCTTCGATAACGTTGACTAACGGCTTCCACATACTGCCCTGGGATTCAGTGTGGGACTTCATCACGTTGACGTCCATACAGAAACGAAACCTGCAACTTGTGGCGACAGACATGAGGTTACGAAAAGGTTGCTTAGCGCAAACTAATCAGACCTTCCGGGAGATTTGTGCCTAAGATGCCATTGGCCATATGTACATAATTGTGGACCGGTGTGACCAGCCAGCAGCGACCCCAAAGGTGTCGAGCTATGACTTTATGTCCGTGGGAATTGGTTGAGAAGACTGTCTTCTCGGGCGTTTTGGAAGCGGCGACAATGTGCTGTGGTTGCAGCCAATCAGCGGCCTGACACAGTTGACCGGCAGAAGGTGGCACACCTGTGGTGTGAGCACTGCAGCACGAAGATTCGAAGATCGCAGGAATCGCAGCTTATCAACACACACCGAGGATTTCGTCTCTGCCTGCCAATGTGAATTCGAGTTGCTGACGATGTCTTTCTCGACAGATTTCGACACTTGCAGTCATCAAAAGGCATGGGCAGCTTCAGACACTGGCCACAAGGTCAAGGACGATATCTCGGTGCTTGCGTCTGGTTCAATCTACGAGGATGTCGTGCTCTTCCCAGAAGACCCACTTCCAACAACCAAAGGGAACGTCGTTGAGCTCGTGTCATGGAATCACCCTGTGGGTGGACAAAATCGATGCGGGCGCGAGAAGAGGGTCGCAGAGGGCTCCAAGCACTTCCAGAAAGCAGTCAGCAGCGAGGTGCCAGAAGCGGACGGAGGACTTGTTGCGGGATGGGCCCAAGTCTCTTTCGACCATGGCGGCGTGAAGTCGAGACGCTGTACGTCCCCTATCGGCTGGAAAAGTGCGGATGTTCACTACAAGTGCAAAGAGACCAGGCCTTTGCTTGACAACATTCAGTGGCTCGTGGAAAATAATGGTTCGGGCGTCGAGGTGGTTCATTATGCATACGGCAAGTCGCTTAACGCTGCAGGGACAAACCTGTAAGCATGCCACTATCTTGACAAGAGCGCACACAGAGCGGATCGCTGGAAATTCCATGCACCTGAACATGGACGAGGATAGAGCCGAATTTATGTGGATGGCAATGCCCGACCAAAGCACGTTGTTATCCTTGTGGCTTCTGCATCTTCAAGTGTGCCACCGGGGGTCCCAGTTGTGCCGCAGATATACCTATCTGGACTATGGTAAGGATGATAGGGAGAACTACAAGCTCGTGGGCGCAAAAGTTTCAGAGCTCGAAGATTCGCCATGGATTTTCTGGTTGGAAGGGAATATCAGAGGGTAACCTTGGCCTTCTTGATTTCCAGCTTCACTTGTGGCGATATCGTCGTGTTCGTGTTCTTTCTACTGCACCAGAGACTCGCCAGCCTGGCTTTTCAAGCAATGTCCATCACCCACTTCTCTTTGTCCAAATGATCTTTACGAAAGTCGGATTCTGGCTTGCTCCACGGTTGTGGCTTTGGCATCGGTGGGATCATGGAGCAGACAGTCCTCCCGTTGAGGTCGTGTTACGTAAGGTTGAAATGCTCTTGCCGTGGTCGTCTTGATCTGCAGAATTCGTTCCCCCGAGCTACACATCCGAAAAGGACGAGGACCACACGGAAGAGGAAGCCGAAGACGAAGAAATAGGTGCGAGCGTGGCGAGCGATGTTCCAAATAAATGGTGTACGGCTTGGGGCCACATGATCGCCATTGTCTTTGGACCAAGGGCAAAGGCCTGGCGGTTGAGGGAAGTCTGCGCCATTTATGGCTTGCGGGCCATCTTCACAAGACTTGGTTGAAAGTAATCCAAAAGTCATGGAACGGCGAGCTGGATCGCTGGATCCTTGGATCCTTTTCGCCGATGGTTGTGTCGGTCTGTTCCAGCCTCGCGAAATCGGTCGAGGCCTTTAGCGAGAGTCGACCATCGTCGCTTGATTGAAAGGATGGCTTTGCGCTTCCGTCGTCCATGACATCTCGGTTCTGGGCAGGAAACCCGCAATCCCAATGACAGCGGATCCTTTCGCAGGAGTCATTTGATGGCGGCGAGAGCAGCGGTCCGCTAATGGAGAAGTACTCGTCATAGTACCAACGCGGTGCAGTCCCTCTGAGCCCGTGCTAGGGTCTCTGCTTAGACACCCGTCGTTGTGCCGCCCTGTTCAAGAGCCGGCATTGATTATTTCAGTCGGCCCTTTGTGCCTGTCGTTAGGGGTAATCGTGAGTGGCGTGATAGTCGACATTGGATTGTAAGCCGAGCGAAGACCTGTTTCATATTTAGGTGCTCAAACTACAAAAATAATGGATAGCACAGGCTGGACGGGTTTGATGGACGATTGGAGTGACTCCGGTACATCCTCCCACCCTTTCCAGGTTCTGTGATCCCAGTTCAAGGCCTGACGTCCAGAAGGCTCAAATGACGAAGAAGGTGGAACTAAACGAGGCAGCTCTTGGTGTCGATAGTCCGAGGGTCGACCTACGCTGTCGTCGTCCGTGGTGAGATCAACCACTTCCTCATTTTGAGGTTGGCGCAACTCAGCATGGTGGGGTCACAGACGTGCTAAACAGGGAAGATTGCCTGGGAATCCGTCACCACTATCCAGATCTCGATTTCTAGGAGAGAATTGGATGGAAGCGTACAGTGGGTAGTCGGAAGACTTCGTTGCTGTCGATCTGCGAACAGGCCGGTGTGCATGTATTTGCAACTTTTAAGTGCACAAGTCTCACGTCTAGACATGATTCCAGTGCTCAACCAGGGATCTTCGAGGACGCAGGGCTCGATCTCTGTAGAGAAGCAACCATTTCAGTGGCCGAGGGGCGCGTACGAGCATTCGAACTGCCAATGACACCGTCCACCGCTGATTCCACACCAAAAGGAGGACTTTTCAACCCTATTTTTCTCGCCAACTTGATTTAGTCGCATATCTCTATAACCTTGTATAGTATAGATAAAAATCTACATTTTAGAAATCTAAAAAATTACCAGAAGATCTTTAGTTTTCGTTGAGATATCCCGATATCCTAACTACAATAAAGAAGATGTTAAATCTCTATGCATATTCTTCAAATTTCTTAGTCTTTTTCGATAAAAAGAATGTTTGACTGAGGTTTTAGTGGACCAATAAAGTATTCAATTCCTATAATTTGATTAATACGTACTTTTTAGTATTCACTTTTTATATCAAACTAATCTTTGCAGTTAGACTGTCTTGAATGATGGACTTTTTGATATGGAATCGGCGCTGGACGCTCGACGGATCCTTTTACTAGGGTGCTGTATCTCCCCATGGGTGAACCCGAGTCGAGTGGCGGGCGCACCCTGGCTCGCGTGCACCGGGGGTGAGCACAGGGCGGCGTCACCCTCCTCCGTTTCCGGTCTCAGGCACACCTTCTTCACGCAGGCCCTTTCCCATATCCCTCATTCAACTGTCATTCCTTGTCTAACATATCTTCCCTCCAACCTCATCTCTTCTCTTTGTCTCCGCTTTACCCTTTGACTTACTCTTCATCTGTACCGTTCCGTATCGACCTTCACGCTTCTGCGCCGAAACAAAGATTGACTCAAGTCTCATACTAGTCATTCCGTATCACCCCGCAAAGCAATCAGTCTTGAAAGTCCCAAATCCGCTCCGGCAGCTATGTCGTCCGACAACTCTAAAAAGCTCGTTCTCCAGAGTTCTGATGGCGAGGACATCATAGTCGGTGAGCGACATGTCAACCCTAGTCCGTGCCGCTTCTTTGAGCTGACTGTTTGCAGACCGGGATGTCGCTGAGAGATCAATCCTCATCAAGAACATGGTCGGCGATCTGGGCGAGGATGCTATGGAGGAGGCCATTCCCATCCCCAATGTCAACGCCGCTGTTCTCAAAAAGGTGATCGAGTGGTGCACACATCACAAGCACGACCCTCCTGCAACGAACGAAGATGACTCGGACTCGCGCAAGAAGACGACCGACATCGATGAATGGGATCAAAAGTTCATGCAGGTTGATCAAGAGATGCTATTTGAAATCATCCTGGCTGCCAACTACCTTGATATCAAGGCTCTGCTTGATGTCGGTTGCAAGACGGTTGCCAACATGATCAAGGGCAAGTCACCAGAAGAGATCCGCAAGACGTTCAATATTCAGAACGACTTTACACCCGAGGAAGAAGACCAGATCCGCCGGGAGAACGAGTGGGCTGAGGAGTGAGTGCATTGTCCCGCCTTGATGATACATCCTGACACCTCTATAGTCGTTGAAATGCTCGGTGATCATCACCCACAAAGTAGCATGGTCCGATGGCGTTGGAGGCGTTTGACGCATAATGCATAGTGAGATACGGAAGGGTGTGTGAAATCCTCGAACCGGTGGTACGGTCAAATTCTATTCCTTCATCGCATGTTCCATTCGGTCCATGAGAAACTCAATCAAAAGGCTGCCTGAGGTCGAAGGGGCCAAAACTGGAGCTGGGGGAATAAGGATGCATGCCATGATACGAAGGAATGACGGGCGGGCGGCGGGGGTCATACAGGTTGAGATTGCCAAACAAAACACGATCTGCACATAGATGACTCTCAACTTGAGCTAAGGAGCTTGGAGTCTCTCAGGAGCAAAGCTGCTCATGTTCACACATAGATGCTTCTTCTGGGACAGGCAACACGGACGTTAGATCGAGGCCGTTCTTTGAATGGATTGTTTTCACTTTTGACTTCTCCTTTGCACGAGGGCTCTACAGAAGTTCCTAGAGCGCATCCTCGACAGCAATTTCCCAAACCAGCTCGTCTCATCACTCGTGCATCTGAGGATCATAGCTAGTGAATTTGAGCAAACCTCCAACTGACTCCCGTGCTGCTCAGCGTGGAAAAGGTCACATCAAGATCATCTCCCCAACCCATGCTCATCCTCTCCATGCAGGCTCTCGCTCTGGCAACGCTCCATTTCCCCATCCCCGGCTTCATTCCAGTGCTAAAACAGCCCCCTCCCCATCTTGGTAGACATCGAAATGCGTAATTTGGAGGAGGTTCCTCCGAAAGGCGAGCTTTGTTGGAATCCGGACAGGGAAACGGGGCGATGTGTGGTTTGGGGGGTTGGGAAATTTAGATGCCGATTCTGGTCTTGCGCCAGTGCCTTCGCTTCGCGTTGTATCTGTGGTTGCAAACGGATGTGTTAGCCATAGTCCTTTGTTCACCAGGTCCTCTCTTTCTCTCCAACTTCATAAAGAACGATCAACTCTTCATCCTATTTTGTCCATTTCCGGCCCCGCCTAGACGACCCAAGCTGGCAAACACATGTATACAAACTGGCTGCCAACCTCCTCCAACATCTCGAGAAAATCTCCTGTTCAGCCTCCCCAATACATGGGCACGAGGGCTTGGTTCACAAGGAATGCTTGGGGAAAGGGGGCCGCTTGTCGACAGATGATTCTTCTCTTTTTTGTTGTGGGCGACTGACCTAATGGTGTTTCCGGTCCTCAGACGAATCCACTGAGGGATGGGTCGGTTCTGCTTCTGCGCTTTGGCGAGCTTTTGCTTCGTGCGGAAGGATTTGTGGCTCTGTATTGTTCAAAAAGACACGCTATCAGCTCGTGTTCCTTTCAATTCCGGCACACATGGACGCGTATGGATTGCAGACGGGGATTGGGAAGGGTGGTGTGTTTTGATGTAGAGTTCATCAAGGATAGAGGGGCGTTTGGTGACAAGGAGTGTTGCGGACGACGGTGTTCGATAGACAGTTGTCGCACGCAATTCGTATAGGGGGCAGATCTTGAAGCACGTACCGGCATCTTGACTTGTCTTCTCAGTCCGGTGACGAGGTCGTGGATGGGAAGAAAAATCAGGTATGTTGTTGGAAGAGGGCGACTACTTGCGTTCCCGACTTGACCGCTGGCCGGATTTGATGGTAGCCCAAAATTTCGCAGGCGTAGGTGTGGGCTTGGCATTTGCCAAGACAAGCATTCTGTATGAGTCACGTGCTTGGACTTGCAATTTCATGCTTGTTCCTCCTTGGGCAGATGAATTCCGAGATGATGCCGTCATCTGTGCACCGCTGCTGGCGGGTGGCCGCCGCCGCCCGCTAATTACTCGGGGAATTTAGGCTCACTAGGCACCTAGGACTGTGCCTTCCGAGGCTCTTGGTCAAGGGTTGTTCTCCGATTGCGGTGCTGGGGAAGACTTGCATCTGAGTCTCGGGTCAAGATTTATATGCGCAATCCGAGAGAGCTTCTATATCCGACTCAACTCTCAAGCAACTCCCTGGTTCTACTGTGCTTTAGAGAGAGCAGATACCTCTTAGCACATTGGATGTTTTGACCATTACGGCATTTTATTTCTTCTTGAGCAAAAGACGAACGTGGGGAGGCAGAGCACAAGATGTCGTCGAAGCTCAGAATATTGGTTCCCGTCAAGCGTGTCATTGATTATGCTGTGAGTGGTCCTCACCCACGAATGCAGGATGGCAACACACGATACGCCTCTATCACTTGTCTCTTCTCCTTGTATACCTTCAAGCCATACTAACCTTCTTCCTGCCTCAGGTCAAGCCCCGCGTAAAATCCGATCGAACAGGCGTCGAGACCTCCGGGGTCAAGCACTCCCTCAATCCCTTCGACGAGCTCTCCGTCGAAGAAGCCGTGCGGCTGCGCGAACGCAAACAGCCCGTCGAGGACATCCTAGCCGTGAGCGCGGGCCCCGCGAAATGCGCCGACACCCTGCGAACGGCCATGGCCATGGGCGCGGACCGCAGCATTCACGTCGACGTACCCGAAGATAAGCCCCTCGAGCCCCTGGGCGTGGCGAAGCTGCTGAAGGCCATCGCCGAGAAGGAGAAGAGCAACCTGATCATCCTGGGGAAGCAGGCGATCGACGATGACGCCGGCCAGACGGGTCAGATGCTCGCTGGCCTACTGAACTGGCCGCAGGCCACGCAGGCGTCCAAGGTGTCCATCGAGAACGACACGGTGACGGTTGAACGGGAGGTGGATGGCGGCGTAGAGACTCTGCGGGCCAAGTTGCCCATGATCATCACAACCGATCTCCGGCTCAATGAGCCGCGGTACGCGAGTCTGCCCAACATTATGAAGGCCAAGAAGAAGAAGCTGGAGAAGAAGACGCTCGCCGACTACGGCGTCGACGCCACCAGCAGATTGAAGACCGTCAAGGTCGAAGAGCCGCCCGTCCGGCAGGGAGGCGGCAAGGTCGAGGATGTTGACGGCATGATCAAGAAGCTGAAAGATTTGGGCGCTATTTAAAGTGAAGTGGCGCATGGCCGAGTGGCTTTCATAAGTTGTGGCAGTTACAGACTGCGTCGTGATGTTGGGGGGACGGCATCATCGTTCAGGATCTGGATATCTGCTTTGGTACTGGGTGGGTGAATCGGGCATGGGCGTAGATGACTATTCACACCGTGTGCATATAAGCATGGATCACATCTCCAGAAGCATCAGGACGCTCTCTTTCAAAGCTCGTTCATATTATGACAGCCATGGCCGCTCAGCTATCCAAGCCCTTGCTCTGACAGGGAATGCTTTCTGGTGTCTTTGCTGTCTGTACCGAGCCCGTGCCTGCCACAAAACGCCAACGCTATGCTATGTGCGATGCTCTGACACTGTCAGAAGAGGCAAGCCGCCCCAGCCCGTCACCATTTCCTTCTCAATCCCAGTCAGTCATCCATCCATTAAAGCCATGAAGAAAGCATTCCCTGCGTAATGTTTGTAAGGTTGTTGAAATTTTTGGTTGCTTGCCAACATGCAGACATCGACAGCTCGTTTGCTGGAGAATCTTCGTGATGTGAGTGTGTCTTGCTTAGACAGTTCCAGCTATGGTCAAATCTCGAATCTCGGAAAGCACTTGCTCAACGCGATTGTCCAGGTCTCCACGCGCATATTGTTCTCTGGTTTCTGGGTCCAAGTACTGCTGCACTTGTGCCATTCGGCTGTATGCCTCTGCGCAGAATCTGAGTTGAATTTTGACGAGTGCTTCAAAGCTGGGATCGAGGTAGGGAACACGGAGATCGATGAGTTGAGGGAGTTCGGTGAATAATTGTTCGTTGAGTTGCTCATACGCCTGCTTTGCCATTTCGGCTTCTTTTTCCGCACGGGGCAGTTTGGTAACATCTTTGTCTGGTTTTTCGACGAGTTTCTTGACCTTGGAACGCATAGAATCGTAGTCGAGGAGTTTATTGTTTCGTTTTTTGATGCATTCATTGATGTCGGGGAAGTATGCGCAGAAGCGGGAGATCGGTTCAAGGACAGTTGCTCTGTCAGAATCATCAGCAGGTGAGGCGGATCTGGAGGAATTGTGAGACACGTACCGGTATGGGCCATCAAGCGCCTTGATGGTTTCGGCGTCCAAGTCCTCGACGGCCTGCTTGTATGATCGTGAGACGCCATCTCTGGTACCAGCGTCGCCGTAGAATGCGTCGATCGTCTCTGCTATCCTCATTTGGGATGCTGTCATTGCTGGAGGAATCGCAGTCAGTTTCTATCGCCATAGCTAGCGGCATCAGAGTCTACTCACCTCGCAGGCTGTCTAGATACCCTTTGGCTTCCTTCTGCAACCGATTCGCGGCTGATTCCATGGTCCGGTACCTCCTGTAGCGGGGCGGTCAGCCATGGTTTTATTCACTTTCGAGTGTGCTCGAGTCTCACCTCTCCTCGACCTCGTAGTCCCGGTCGTTCGTCCTCTCCACTTGGCCTAGGCGACATGGTCAGCTCTTTGTTGCCAGTGAGTCTCAGATGAGGCTTACCGGTCTTCATCATCACCTGCGTGGTGGCGCGATTCACGCCCTTCTTGAACCCGGCCCACGACATTGCACTGGTCCACGTATTGCTCCCAATTTCTGTGTAATCGGCGATTATATGCGGTGGGGGACTCGAAGGCAAGCGGCCCGTCCTCAAGCGTGTTGAGGAAGAGGAAGAGGCAGTTGATGGAGAGGTCGACCCGGACCCAGTTCGTCCGGTTGACCATGCGCCACCAGGCCGCATGGACTGCCGTATAATCAGCACCAAAGCGGCGCTCAAAATTGTCCATGACGCAACCTGGAGACGGAGAAATGATGTTGCGAGAGAACGGTGGCGCATCTAAATAGTAGTGCAGAAATCTATTACGACGCTTGGCTTGGCATATCGTGCCCCTCCAGGGAACGCTTTAACGCGCCCAATGTACTCCGTATCTTCACTTGCACTGGTGGACGTCTCAACCTCAACATGGACTGGACACTGCCAGAGGTGCACGACCTGGACCTTCACATGGCCGAAGCTGTCTGCACTTGCACGGACGGCAACCTGGCGTGCTAAGAGTGGAAACAAAGGAGCAGCACTTTTCTTGATCCGTGCTTGGTGTTGAGCACATCGAACGCCTGTGGAGCACTATGGCAAATACACAATTATGTCCAGCATACCGCCAGTGATCATTGCTGGCAACGACAAACTTCCCTGTGTCTTCTTGCTCACAATGACAGTCCGTTTTGTGGGCGCAGACCATTTGTGACAAAGCTCGTGGACGGTGCGAACCATTGTGAGTTTGCCTCCGTCTCAAGTCTGTTACATGAAGTTGACCAGGACGAAGTAATATTGCAACCTACTTGTCTACCCCGGTGGTCTTCACAGCTTCAATGCTCTACTTGTTCAACCCCTGCCGTCCTTTGCTCTGTCACAGGACTGTGCGGTTCAAGCCGACATAAACTATGCTCGAATTACTCTACTATGTCAATATCGGCTACAGGGCGACTTCACCAACATTTGCATATACCCATGATCAGTTATTTCAGTCTGAATTAAGGTCCTTTTCATTCAGCTAACCACCTGCTGTGGTCGCGCGATATCACTCTCTCAATCCAAGTTCGCCAGCTGAAACGAAATACATCCGGACTTTGTGCTATTTACGATCCTCGAAGCAACATTAGGCTAGGTACTATCGCGACGGAAGGAGTCGACATCAAGGACGAGATCATTTCAATCACGCAACAGCTGAGGGCGTTATTCTGAGATTACGCTATCCTCAATGCAGCGAGTGCTGGTCCCGTGGGGGAGGTGGCATCGATGGTGCAACGTCCCAGGGTCTCGATTGCTACAGGAATGTGCTCCCCTCGATGGATGCCAGGCGGGCTCTGCCAAAATCGCTAGTGAGTGATGAGTTCCTCTGCGTTCATGCAATAGTCAACAAAGTAATCCACGGCTTTGGTCGTAAAGGAAGTGGTGTGAATGATGCCACCCAGTGTGGTGCAGGACCCCGATTGCTGCAAGAATGTGCAACCCTTAGTGGATGCGAGATGTCCGCATCTTACAAGATCTGTGCAGTCCAGACAGACATAACAACGCGCCGCTCACGCCATTGTCAACGCAGCGAATTCTGCTCTCCATGAAGGAGGCGGTGTCAACGGCGCAACCCGACGCACAGCGGGTTCTCATTCGCCGGAAGAAATGTGCTACCCTTGGTGGACGCCCAACGGGCTCTGCCAAGATACTTCTGGATATGAAAGAAGGTCAATGGTCTAGTATCACTTGGACTTGTGGAGTATATCAGAGACAATGGTTGCCGCACCATTCTTTGTCGGAGCAGATCGAACGGAGCTTCTCTCGTTGCGAAGAAATTTGACTCATTATGCCTGAGGTTCATGAATTGCAGCACCCCAGGAAACGTTCAAGCTCTGGCGATTAAGCCAGGATGTCCATCACTCTACCCACTACTTTCAGCTGGTCCTCCTCGCGTACGGAATTTGCCCTACCGCTTCCAATCACACATGCTCTCCATGGATCCAACACGAAGCGTGCTAGAGTTTGCCTCTGGCCAAAGCCGCCGAAGAGGAATGGTGGCTGATTGTAATGATTTCAACAAGAAAAAAGTTAGGCGGAAGACAGAACCAGCCGGCCATCAGGAACGAGGAGTGTATGGGATGGGAACCAGGAGAGACTGCATTCACATTTCGCTCTGGGACAGAAGTGAGAGGAATCGGATCTGGTTCTCCGATTGAGGCTCTCATGGCGTGGATTGTACCACGGCGCTCGACCTCTGTGATGATCCATGCTCCTCTGACTATATATTCGCCCAGGACTAAAGTAGATCGTGAAATGAACTGAGTCTTCGTGAGGGTCTACAATGCTTTGCTCGAGCTACCGAAAGACTGCCAATTCGGGCATATTCTCGGAATATCATGGCCTCCACGAGACCGAGGTAACTATCAAATTCAGTGGTCCGTTTTTCAGGGAGACCAGCAGGTAGGTACTGAAAGCCACAACGAACTCATTGAAAAGACAAATATGAAATAGAGGGCTACCGAGCTAACACATCCAGAAAGCTATGTGAAAAGATGGATATGGACAACTTCTACTACTCCCATGCTTGCAGTTACACTACGAACAGCTCAGGGCATCAATATGCCGGTTCCCAGGCGACTGACTTTCAGCCTGTTGATACGAACTTCCCGGAAAAGCCCCTCAGGCAAACCATGATATCGGCGGATAATACCACAAACCCCGGGCGGTCTGACTTGAGCTTCGCAGAAGCAGTCTTCTTTGCAAGCAGGATATCGTTCGAGATGAGTGGACGCCTGAGCTTGATCACGAAATGCTTCGCGACAGGTGGTTCCTCGCTTGCGAAGCATGGAATTGCGGTGTACCAGTATTGCACAACCTATATCTCCTCGACGTCACAGTGAGCATAGCTTGGCAGATCATCCCTTCGTGTTGCGTGGCAGCTCTTATCTTTCTTCCCGAGCTTGGCTGTGTCAGTGATGAGCTGGAACGCGGTTTTTCAACCCGCCCGCAGAAAAGGAGAGGTGTCTGTAAGACTAAGAGTCGATGATCACCGCCGTTATCATCAGTGTGATAGTGAGGATTATATTTGCTCGTGCCTGAACGACTGGTGATTTTGAACCCATTTGCATACTGAATTGGTCGAGATGCATGGTTTCTCATCCGACAACACGAGGGACGGGTGCGACCAGGGACATCCTCCACCTCGAGCAACAGGGTGGATAGAACCAGTGGAGGTTCAGTTCGGAATGAACGAGTGAAAGAGAGAAAAGCAGGACACACTGCTCGGCAGTCAATGAGGCAGATACAACGCACACAGCCGTGTCTCCACGCGTCCTGGACAAGGAATCTGGAGCCAGGCGAAGTTGTCAAGGTGGTCCGGGAATTCACGATGGCGACGTATGGCGGCGTGTAGCGTTAGCCAATGGAAGAGCCACCAACATACCCCATCATCTCCTCCCCTTCCACTGTGAATGCGGAGGCGGCTACTCCCTTGCCAAACGTACCATCCGGCAATATAGCGGCCTGGAAGCAGAGTATTGGGTTTTGTCGGGGGAAAGTAGGCAGGGTAAACCGAGGGAATGAAGTGCACATCGTTGATGCTCTCGGCCGAAAATCACGCACAAACCAGGTCAGTCACTGCTTGACAGTTGGCAGCTTTCACGTGTCAAGTTGATATTCCATGTGGCTAGCTGTAGCACACCGTGGCAGGAATGGATTGCGAATTGGACGGTGGAGGAAACGAGCACATGTCTGTTCGAAGCAGAATGGAAGAAGAACGGTGCATCGCGAGCATCGGTGAGACTTCACGGCGGGCATGACGTCCGAGATGGAGCCGCTCGCCAGCGCATGCTGTGGAACGGAGGGCGTACCGCTGGACTGGGCTATGGGATCCGAAGCTCAAGCGGTGAGACGGGGTAAGGGCGAGCAGAAGGACCGTGGACGCCAATGTGGCCCGTCGTGGGAAAAAGTTGATGACAGGAGAGCATGACGAAAAGGGTGCAGATGGAGCTGCAGCAGTCAGAATCCAAGTGGAAAGCTTCCTGGCGAGCCTCGCTATTTTGCGGGCAGCACCACACGAGGAAGTCGTGCTATAATCATCCTTGCTTTGAAATCGTGCCGGGTCTGGGCCCTAGACCGTAAAGCTGCGAGGTGGAGGTGGTGGTGGTGGATGTTGTAGAGTTGCACATTTCTGGATGGACGGGATCCAGGCCAGTCGTTCCAATCACGCCAACGAGGAAGAACCAGAGACGTAAGCGTGCAGGGGGAATACTACGGACTGTTAATCAGGCTGGGAAGAAGGGAGCGCCCGGAGGTACCTAGATAGGTATCTGCAAAGGTCGTTACTATTGTGGTGTGGTAATGGAGGAGGTAGGTGAGGAACTATTGGGCAGAGGAGGATGAACTTGTCAGGATTGCTATGATTTGATTTGACTTTGGATTGCATTGTTATTACTTGATCGAATTGAAAACCTGGAAACAGCGAATTTCTCGATGCTGCAGGCGTGGCGCGCCATGTACAGGGTACATGGACGGAGTACGAGGTGAACTGAACATACAAACAGATCGGCAGGGAGCCACGAGAATGGACGAAACACGGAAACAAACTCTCTGAAGAGAATGTCCTCCAGACAGGGGGGGCACAGGATGCACCCTGGAGGCCTTTGACGAGGGGGTTAATTATTATTACCTGCAGGAACAGCCTAGAGAACCGATATGGCCGGGCTACTGCACGGTAAGGTGGATGACGAGGGAACCGTGCTAGGGGGTGGGTGCTTCTCGGGCGAGGATCGAGGGGCGGCGACGGGCGATGGGGGGTTCCCTACAATCCCAATCCCAGTTAAACACTAACTAACTTAGCCTGCCCGCGTGCTGCATGCTGCACGGCGCACGGTGCACGGTGCACGGTGCATGCTGCAGGCTTCATGCTCATGGGTGACAGTATGCAGCAACGCACCACGCAGCATCCAGCCTGCACACACCTTTCGTTGCACCCTCCATCTTCACGCCCTCCTCAGCAACTGAATGGAGGATCAGAGCACAATCAGACCATCAGCCTCTTGAGAGACCGCTTCCCGATTATTGTTCTTATTTATTTATGGTTATGTTTAAACCGAAACCCTCACTGAGACGCCAGCTCGACCTCCACCTCCCCTCAATCCCCGCCGAGTGACTCTGTCGAATCCCCCGTCACCATCGTCGTCATCGCAAAAAGAGCTGGTTGCTGAGTAGTGGTGGTGGGCTTGCGGGAATTGGATCGCTGAGTTTCACACAAATCGGGACTGGAGGAAAAGAAATTCTCTCATACAGTACAAAATCCTCGCCTGCGGGACACTCGCTCTTCCTCTCAGGTCTTGCTCTCCCTCACACTCCCTGGACGGCCCTACCAAATTACCGACTACGCCTGCGTCTTGACCCTCACCTGTCCCGAGATCACTGCCAGACGCCTACTGGACGACTCTCCCTCTGACTACCGCTTTCGTTTGCCTATCCTGTTCCCGAGGCCTGGCGCAATACGACACGGTCCTGGGACTTGCGTCTGCACGCACGCACGGTCCTGCATTGGTCAGCCGCCCCTAGACACACCAATCCGCTACGTTGCCCGCACGGTCCCCCCTGGCTCGCAGGCCTGGCCGTCACAGCCACTACCCAAAGCCCACCTGAGGTGTTGGCTCCGTCTTGCCGGTGAGCACTGACCCAGCATCACACAACTGGCAAAAGTTTGGCTCACGAGAAGACCAGGGCCAAGGGCCAAGGTTCTCTCAAGGTTCTCGGTCCTGATTCAAAAGTGTTGACAGATCGTGTGAAATCTTCCTGCCTGCGGTTCGCACACGATCAGCCCCCTCAAAAGTCCTCATCATCACATAAGGCCCGCGTCGCCCTCGACTGCGGCGCAATTTCTAGCCCCCTCCCTAGGCTTTCTTTTTTCCCCTGCGCGTTGGCAGCAGGACGCACCGATTCCGTTCTCGCCACCACACATATTTATCATTCTTACCAATATCCAACCTCATCCGGAAAACACAACAACAAGCAAAAAAAAGAACAGTGTTCTTGTGAAATCAAACGCTTCGAGAATAATCCCTGCGATTTTATAACCAGGTTCTCGTTACACGAACTACAGTCGCCCTACAGCATACCTTATCTACCGCCACTAAACATCGAGAGATAGGGCGTCTTGCCCTAAGAATCTCTCTTCCCCCCACCCCCTCTTGTACGCCTCCCACACGCAGACAACATTCACATGAATCAGGCAGCGTCGCCCGTTCATTTCGCTACGCAAAACTCCCCTACGCTCGTGCACTCTCCTCTGTTACACGATGATGCGTCAACACATTCGATAGCACGGCCGGCGGAGGACACGGCACACCTCCAGCTCCCGGTAACCAACGGCGGTGCCGCGCCCACCACTAGCCTATCGAATCTGTCCCCCACGACGTCAAACTCGGGCGCATCAGCGCCTAAGGAGCCTGCAAAGAAGGGCAAAATGACGCACCGTCTGACTCGAATGTTTTCTCGGTCCGACCCCAAAGACGTCGAGGCCGCCAAAGCTGCAGCTGAAATAAAAGAAACCTCCCCCGACGGTCGTTCGGAGAACGGCCACACTCCCACCAGCAGACCTCCCTCTGGTAGACAAGGTTCGAATGATGAAAAGAGCGGCCGCAAAATGACCATACTCGGTACCGCGAAAGAGAAAACCAAGGGCGAGCCGCCCTCCGACTCCCCCAGTGCCCTCCATAAACGATTCGAGGTCTACGATGACGGCACTCACCAACACTTCCTCAAGTCCGCCAAACGGCAGGAAAAATTATCCGACATGCTCCGCGACATGCTCGGTGGCGGCAAGAAGAGGGATCAAGATGGTGCCGGTGATCAACAGCTGACGCTGATGTCGTCGTGGGTTGACCAACTCAGATCGGAGAAGGACAGCCTCGCCTCAGACAAGAAGGGCGGCCCTAACGCCACGGCCAACTTGGTCGAGAAGTATGGCAAGTGCCAGGAAATCGTCGGCCGCGGTGCTTTCGGCATCGTGAGAATATCCCATAAACCAGACCCTAATAGCGTTTCTGGAGAGTTGCTCTACGCCGTCAAGGAGTTCCGCCGTCGCCCGCAAGAGACCGCCAAGAAATACCAGAAACGGCTGACCAGCGAGTTCTGTATCTCATCGTCACTCCGGCACCCGAACATCATTCACACCCTTGACCTCCTCCAAGATGCCAAAGGAGACTACTGCGAAGTCATGGAATACTGCGCCGGCGGAGATCTCTACACGCTGATTCTGGCCGCTGGCACTCTCCAAGTTCCGGAAGCAGACTGCTTCTTCAAGCAACTGATGCGTGGCGTCGAGTACATGCATGAGATGGGCGTGGCGCATCGTGATCTGAAACCCGAGAACCTTCTCTTGACAACACACGGCGCCCTCAAAATCACCGACTTTGGGAACGGCGAATGTTTCCGCATGGCCTGGGAGAAGGAAGCCCACATGACGGCCGGACTCTGTGGCAGTGCCCCGTACATTGCCCCGGAAGAATATAGCGGGGGCGAATTTGATCCTCGTGCCGTGGATGTCTGGGCATGTGGCGTCATCTACATGGCTATGCGGACTGGCCGGCACCTCTGGCGAGTGGCTCGCAAGGAGGAGGACGAATTCTACCAGAGATATCTCGAAGGACGGAAAGATGAAGAGGGATACGCTCCCATCGAGACTTTGCATAGGGTTAGTATTTCCCGGCCGCTGATTCCCAGTCCCGGACTGACTTTTGGTTGTACCAGGCTCGTTGCAGAAACGTCATCTACTCGATCCTCGACCCCAATCCTGGCCGCCGGATCACTGCTTCTCAAGTCCTCAAATCGGAGTGGGGCAGAGAGATCAAGGTGTGCAAAGCGGGTGAAGAAGGCTTCTGAAATGGTTTCCCCGTTCCTTGGGATGACGATGCCTTCGTGAGGCATTTCCACGTCTGGCGCGCAGCGACATGATGAATTCAACATCTCGTGATTCAGGCACGAGCATGAACCTGACGAAGTGATGATTTGAAGCATTTTTCAGTGAGCAAAAAGACCAGCGTCTTTTATCGGTTTCTGTTTGGGCCTTTTTTTGTTCAACCTCCAGATTACGACAGTGGTCAGAAGAAATATTTGGGTGGATCGCGATTGGCCACATTCGTTGTTTTGGATAGCAAAGAAGGGCAAAAGGAAGACATTTTAATTGTTTTCCCTCGTTTACGGAAGTTTTGTCACGACTGCCCACCCATTCCGGTCGCCCAGGCCCCAGGGGAAAAAAAGGCCCAGAAAAGCGAACCGACCTCCTGTAACAACAACCGCGGTGGTCTACCCAGCGTTCAATTCTGTTTGCCAGTACGAGGCCAGGTACGGTCTCTCACCCTTTGCCAGCCTTGGATTTTATATATTGTCATGCTTCAAGGCCCGGGCAGCTCCGACCGATATATTGTACTACAACCTAGGGGATGCTGTTTTGATAAAATCCGGTCTTTTATTGTTGATATTCGATCGCTGAAGGAGAGCACTATGTTTCTTGAGCCAAATGATAGGAAGCAAAGATTTCAATTGATGGCTTGGTCTTGCGCCTCTGGTGTCTACGATGGACTCGGAAGCCTCTCCTACGAGCGATCGAGTTTGAGCACGAGAACAGCATCCTGAACGTCTTGGGACGTTGCCAGTATCGCCAAAGACTGAGACCTGGTCTGTTGTCTCCATCAGTCTCGCCATGATGCTGCTCTTATCTCAGCCAGCCCAGGGCTGACGGTGGAATGCATTGATCTTCATCTGGCGGCTGCCTTTGCCTGCCCGGCTAGTACCTGCATGACCCAGGATTAACTCAGGTTGCATACTCGGTTGCATGGCTCTGCGGCACCATGGTTACTAAGGCTGCCCGCCTCATCAAAAATACCTGTTTAGGATTGACTCCGGTCCATCCATCAAGCCATGATGCATTCTTGTCCACCAGCGGTCAGGGGCAACAGCCTGCTGGAGACACTCGTCTAAGGCGTTCGTTCTTTGGCTCGTCCCTCCCGACACCTGCCGTCTTCATCCCAAGTCTGCCATGGCAAGATCCTTCCGACGTCACCGTGCTTTCTGCTTTCTGAAGACGTCGACGGGGTCCAAAGAAGGATTTCCAGATCAGCGCACTTGCATGAGTGAGGGTGTGTTATGGCGTGGTTAGGACCACGAGACCTCGCTCGCTACATACCGGTACAAAGTACATATGTCACACGCCCAGGGTCCTGGTTCACGTAACCACAACTAAAGATCCATCTTACTATACACTATATCAGACTCAGCTGCAAGTGTTACTGCGTCCTTGTTTCTACCCACACCCACAGATCCCGAAACCCGAGAAACTCGCTCGATTCTCGGAATCCCCCTCCCCCTCCTCCGCCCACCCACACCTTTCCCTTTGTTATGCCTTACGTACTCTGTCCTTAACTCGATTCGTGTCACTTACGTGACCCTCTTTCACTTGTTACAGTAGGTGGCTTTTCAGCTTTGGTTTGTTCTCTCTGGCAAAACCCAAGACCGGCTGGGCTGAGCTAGGTTGACTTGGTTGCCCTCTTCGATCGTGTTACCGAGACCCTCGAGTCTTAGTCACATCACACCCCCCTTCCGCAGAGGCAGGTAGGCAAGCAGCCCGCTCAGTGCCGCTCCGACGGAAAGGCACGGTCCGGATAAGCAGCATCGATGGTTATCACATTGCTTTTTTTGGGATTTGCTTTTGGAGGGCGGCAATGGCGTCTCTCATCATGCAGAGTCATGTCATGTCAGAAGGTCCATTGGGGATGAGTCGAGCCGACACACAAGACACAAACAAACACACGAACAGCTGAGATGAGACCAGATCAGATGAGATGAGATAGGATGCGATGGGATGGAGTTAGGCGTAGGAGTATTAGGAGTGAGGCGAGATGCGGGCGTAGTGTGGCGAGACGAGGCGAGGACGCGGGACAGGAGTGCAGGAGTCGGTCAGGCCCAGAGCGAGGGCCAAGAGAGGCCAAGGAAGGGGCCAAGGCAAGGTCAGGCAGGGCAAGGCAATGAGATAGGATAGCCATGGTAGTGAGGCGTTTACGTGGGGGGAAGGGGGAGAGGAGGAATAAACCCAAACACGAAGAGAGCGACGGGAGTAATAGAGAGGGGGAGGAAAGGACAGGCACGTTGGTTGTCTGTTTTGTCAAGTCTACCAGTCCCAATTTTCAACAAAGACCAGCATAGAGTCCGAGGCAACTTGTTTCACTTTACATATACCACACCACGCCTTGGTAGACATGATCAGGGCAGAGCAGGGCATAACAGGGAAAGACCAGACCACAAACCCCTCTATCTATCTAAAGGACCTATGTGTACGGAAGATGTCATACCGCAGGCTATCTATCTTAAATATCTATCCATTGTCTGACTGTCTGTTTATGTATGTATGGATGTTCACAAAGGGCCAAAAGGGTACAACAGACCACCAATAATGCCGAGTTACTCTTGCACGACACATCTGGTAAGTAACTAACTGAATGATATGTCGAACGAAATCAGAAAGCATCTTGTAGAATTAATAGTTCAGTCACGAGGCTTCTCTGTCCGTCCGTCTGTCCGTCCGCTCTGTGGGACACCCACGCACGAAACAGGGAGCAGGGCATTGGGGCTCCAAGGGTCAAGGGTCACAGGGTACATACATAACGGGGAGAGCGGAGGTCTATTACCTTGTACAGTCAGTCATCAAGAGTGCGTACAGACTCGGTGACGGGAGGACACGTGCATGCGCTGGGAGATGGAAACAAGCAGCGAGCGACAGGAAGCAATGTAGATGTAGGCACGAAGGTAATGTATGAACGGAGTATGTAGATAATTACTTTGATTGCACAAGTCCAAGGGAGGGGAGCATATTCAGCAATAACCCAAGAAGACATTTGGATATGCAAGCACCGCCTCCATCACCGCTACAAACAATACATACATACCATTGCTGCTGCTGCGGCGGCGGCGGCGGCGGCCGCAGTCAGACAATAGCTAGCCAGCTAGACTGTCCAGAAACATTCGCATTGAAACTCCATTGCATGTTTTTTTCCCGCTCCGTGATATATTTCTTTTCTCTTTGACCAGGTCAACCCACGCCTGCCTTCCCTCCTCCCTGCTGATTCAGAACATGCATGCACCAACGACTTGATATCGTTCCATTCACGTACAGTTCGGAAAAGATTCACCGACAGCACTAATGGAGAAACCGAGATTGTTGTTTGCGTGGGGTTGTCGTGCGGTGCGTCTCTGTTTGACCCTCCATGCTTGATATCCACGTCTCTTAGAAGCTGGAGTGGTGGTATTGCAGCATTGAATTTCGTTCCCCCTGGCTCCGAAGAAACGTCCACGAGACTGTGCCCGCTGAGAGTTGTGGGAGCTGAATACACACTCTCTCGAAAATCTTCGTTTGATTTGAGAGACCATAGGACCTAATATTCTCCAAGTACATAGGCGGAGGCTGGGGTGATGTCCTCATCGAATTCCAGCTGCCGTAAACACGCACCCTCCGAAAGGCCAAACTACCTCGATTTCGCCGAAACGCCTCTCAGAGACTCATCGTAAAAGGGACTTTTCATTCGCTGTCACTGTCTTCCTTCGTCACACCGCTCTCTCTTTTCTTCTCCTTTTTCTCTTTCTTTTCCTTTTTCCTCCGTTTCCGCTCCGCTTTCTCTTCAGGAGTCTCGCCCTCGTGTTTACTCTTGCGCTTCTTCTCCTTTTCTTCTTTCTTGAGTTTCAGAGTAGACTCGCCGTTCGTCGTGGGAGGCTCTGCCGCCGCTTCCGTCGCAGCGGGGACAGCAGCAGTCTCGTCAAGATCCATTTGACCGCCCGCCTCACCGTTCGGAGCAATAGGTGGAGCAGAAAGAACGTCGGATTTGGAAGTGGTCTCCCCGACAGGGGCGGACCTCGTGCCTTCTGTGGTGGCGGCCGCGCCGTAGTCGGTGTACTCAGCATTCCATTTCGCTGGAGTGTTCTCATTTGGTCGGCCGTATTTCTGTGGTGATCAGTTAGATAAAGGTAGGAGAACAAGGGGAGGGGTTGCCATACATCAAGTTTTCCGTCAGACTTCATCTTCTTCTTCTCCAGTGCAACAGGTCCCATACCCCATCGTCGGGGATACAAGTCTCTCTCCATGATACACCTCTTGACTTTGGCAACAACTCCATGGTCACAGGTGGACAACTCGACAGTTGACATCATCGCAATACCTAGAGCGATTGCCTCGCCCTTAGTCGTCATCAGGACGACCTCTTCGTGGACTTCGATACCAGCCTCAAATCGTAGCAGACCGGGAATCATCAGTTTGGCGCCGTAGCAGACAGCATTGACCGCGCTGTCCTTGACAACAATTCTCTTGTATGTGGTCAGGAGGCTCTCGAGCGGGGAAATCACTTTGCGCAGATACGACTCGTCTCGGTTATTGTCCATCATCCACTGTGCATCGAGGACGTCGTGTAGCGTGACCATGCCGTCGCCCTCGGCCATCGCTCCACTCCTCACTCTTCGCAGTTCCTGCATGTGTGCACCAACACCCAGCAGCAATCCCAAATGGACACAAAGAGTTCTGATGTAGGTTCCGGCTTCGCAGCTGACCCAGAAAACGCCGAGATGCCGGTCATTGTCGAATTCGTATAGTTTGCTCTCGTGGATGGTTCGGATACGTAGCTGTCGCTTGACCGCGGAGATGAGGGGAGGCCGTTGGAACAGGGCGCCCGTCAGCGTTTCGAGTGCTCGAGCAAACTGCGCTTCTCCTCCAGGCAATTTGTCGTGTAGTCGGATGACGCAGACGTACTCTTTTCCGGCACCTTGTTGCGACTTGACTAACCTGGTGGCTCGGTCGATGCATACAATCAAGCATCCGGTGACTTTGGGATCAAGGGTGCCGCTGTGGCCGGTCTTTTCGACCCGCAATATCCGCTTGACCCAGGCGACGACTTCGTGACTTGAGGGATTGGATGGCTTGTCGAGATTGATGACGCCGGACGAGATGTAGGATTTGAGATCGCGTTTCAACGGTGTGCAGCCGACAGGGATCGGCGTGAAGTGGCCCGTTCGAACCAGCACTATAGTTGTCATGTCAATTGGAGCTCGGAGGGTCATGACTTTGGGGGACTTGCGTTTGTCATAGTTCTTCAACAGAAGTGGCCACTCAGATGTAGGAATCTGAGGCGTGATATTCTCGGGTTTAATGCTGAAATCAGCCTCCACGACCTTCGCCATGTTGGCGGAGCTGCGTTCGCCCAGACTGAGATTTGGTGCGCAAACGGATCTGTGCGTGCACAGAGCTTCCTGAGAGCGAGTAGAGGGTCAGCTAAGACACAGAGGAAGCAACTCCAAGATATAGAACTATCTGAATGCTGCAGATATCGATATGGGAGTATGGAACGCAGTACTAAAAAATTATCTTTATTCTCTGCGACCACAGAGCGAAAGAAATGGAGTCGAGCAAAAACTTGACCGCGAAGTCGGTGCGGAGAGAAAACTAGCCCGTATATGGACTAGTCCCACAACAGGGCTTGGCACTATCAGAGCCTCGAAAGATTTTCAGGCAACGCTACAACTACGACACTCTGTCCAGTCCAGATGATATATAATCACCCTCGTTCTTCCCACGGGTGCCATGTTTCGTGAACTTCTCTGAGTTGTCTTTCTCTCTTATCATTCAGGATCAAGATGAGCGGCGGTGGCGTTGATATCATGGACAGATTCTGGAGCACCCCTCCGGTCACTCGGTAGGTCAATCCTCTGCCTCTCTTGTCCTGTGGCCCCCATATGTCTAACAGTGCCAAAAGGACTATTTTAACAGCCATGTTTGTGGAGTCTGCACTCGTCCATTCGGGTCTGGTATCTGGGATGCGGATTGTATACCATACACCTTGGATTTTCAAGTTCCCTCCTGAGCTTTGGCGCCTCCTTTCCTCCTTTCTGTTGACGGGTGGTGGCTTTTCTTTTGTCTTCGACCTCTACTTCAGTAAGTTGCCATCATCTTCTCTATGATATATGTCTGACTCTATCAGTGTACACATATGCCTCTGGCCTAGAATTGAACTCTCCTCGATTCGCGCAACCGGGCGACTTCTTCACCTATGTCTTTTTCGTGGCAACTGCCATCCTGGTCAGTACCCCCCTCCCTCCCTTTCCTTACCCAACCATTCTGTCCCCATTTCGACACCTCGCATATCTGCCCGCCCAGTCTCTTCTAGCTGAAGCGGTTCCTGGAAACGAGGGAGATTACCCCTGTGGCACATAAAGCTCCTATCATTCGCAAATCTGTCAAAGGACTTTATGCGGCACAGGCATGGTGGTGGCTCCATTGAGAAAGCTGTTCGTGAAGATTCAATTTGCGTTTGGCGGTTTAGGCTTCCTACATCACAACACATTATCATTCTCGTTTTTGACCCAAAGCGCGGAATGTCGGTCTGCTGACTTCGGATCAGGTATCTGGCGGCCTCGTCCTTGGTGGTCACATCTTTACACAGGCCCTGCTTCTTGCCCTCATTTACACTTTCGCCCAGGACAACAGGGGCAAGAAAGCACACTTCATAATCCTCCAAATCCCGGTCGAGCTGCTCCCTTGGGCCATGCTCACACTGACCCTGATAATGGGTGGGCCACAAGCTGCCCTCCAACAAGCTACTGGCGTGTTTGCCGCTCACCTCTACGACTTTCTGACCAGATTGTATCCAACTTTTCAAGGTGGCAGGAACTACATACAGACTCCAGCTGCAGTTAGGAGATATTTTGGCGCGGATAGAAGCTCGTTCACTCACAAAGCTTACGGTACGAGCTTCAGACCTGGTCAGAGTGTCCCCCAGCAGCAGAGTCGCGGTTGGACCAGTGGCTTCTCAAACTCTTGGGGTGGTAGGGGCGCCGGCCGGCGCCTGGGAGGCGACTGAGGGGTCTTTGCGCAGCGATATATTGTGAACAACCTGTATAACAGCTCTTGACGAGACACGAGATACCCAACCAATCATCCGTCTGCGATGATCAGAATGATCCTACGTCGTCCTTGAGGAAAGATTCCTTTGCCAAGCACAAACCGCAGCTGAAACATGTTCGACCTCAGGGGTCGATCCACAGGGAATCCACAGCCTTGCCATCTCCACGGGTTTCATACACCTTTCGTCTCACGGGTCCAGTGTTTCCGGTCAATCCTTTGCCATATTCTCGATGCGCCCATTGTGACTCGCTACACCCAAGACGGACCTGCCACATCACATGCTCCAAAGTTTGCCCTATGGGGATCAGCTGCATAGAGAGGAAACAGAGTCCACGCAATGCTTTGGGCCAGACCTCTCGCTTGTTGTACTGGATACAACTCTGATGAACGCGCATGCTTTTTTCGTCGGAGAGGTTTTCCCCATCGACAAAATCCCATGGCATTTTGGGGCTGTGCATTCTTTCATCAGTGATGTCCAACGACGCCCGCCCATGCTGATCGTTGTTCCCTGTCACCCGTCCACAGGTTCGTTGCTGTGAATGCAAGAGAATTGTGGTTCTGGAGTATCACGTCGTGGGTTTTCATCCCAAAGACTGGGCCATGAACATGGAACAGGAGATACAGGGAAAGATATTCCTGTGGACTCTTCGACATATATGAAAGCCGTCTTCTCCCTCTTGCGTTGTTTCTTCTCTCTGGCCACATCAACATCCTGTGTCATTCCCTCCTTTCGTCTTTGATACTCCAGCAGCCCGGTCCTGCTGCACTTGCCTTCACTTCACTCACATAGCCTTGCGTTGCATTCGCTTTGTTCCATTCTTCCTGCCTCTCTCACGCTATTACAGACAACAGGTTGTCCTTTCTTTCTTCCATCCTTCACACTAAACAACACGATGGGCCGGCTTCTCCTCCCTCTCTCCTCCAGTCTCGCCGTGCTGCTCCTACCGGGCGTCCTCGCTGCCGGTTTGGGCCCAAACCACAACCTTCCATCGCTGGTTGTGACGGTGGCAAGCCTCTGCGCCCCGGGCTTCTTCATCCCAGCTGTCTCTGGCTACGTCCTACCCGCGGCACCCTCGGGCGAGAAGCTTACGTGGAGACGCGACTCTCTCCTCCCACGTAAGCACGAGCACACCGGCCACAAAAATAAAGACACAGGCAACCAGACTACAACCGCCGACGATGCCGCCGCCGCGTGCATGGCTTCCGCCATGGAAGCCGCGGTCAACCAGACCGGCATTGCCAACGTCACCGAGGCCGTGGCTATGAGCAACACCACCATGTCCGCCATCGCGAGTGCCTGCGCCGGCAACTCGACGGATCTGGTCCAGGCGGTGGCTGCGGCGGCGTCGAACGAGACCGCAGCGGCCTCACTGGCCTCGACGAACGGCACCAGCGACGCTATCGTTGGTGATGGTTCGTCTTCAACCAATTCCTCGTCGTCATCGTCGGCTGAAGCCGGAACTGGCGATGGAAGCGGGGACGGAAACGGAAACAATGGCGGTGATGGCAAGGGTCGAGGCAGAAATGGCAACGCCGGCGCAAACACGAGCAGCAACGACTCCGTCGGCGCGGTCATCGACGACGTGTTAGAAGTCGTCGGTTCCGTCATTGGGGAGCGAAGCTCCTCCGACGATGCCGTCAAGAAAGCCAAGCGCGACAGCAAGTATCGTGACAACGTGGTGCGAAAGAAGTGGGTGGCCGGTCTGGATGAGAGGGCATTTTGAGCAGGTGTCGTACCACTGAGGCATTCATCATGTGCCTGGGTATGGTTATTTCTAGCGATCTCTTTCCAAGAGCGGTCCCAGGAAAGGGGGGAAGTCAAAACGGCTGCACACTGTCGTCTGTATGTATGGGAACATGGAATTGCAACATCATGGAGATTTCATAGAGGTGTTTCGGCAAGTCCAGGGCAAGACACAGGGAAAAAGTATTTGAGAAGTGCAATACAATGATACGGTGAGAATTAGGATAGATTCTTCAGAGGTCAGAAAGGAGGCACGGATCAGCATGACCATAAACAAGTCGAAAGAAGACTCGTGTAAGCACCAGTTTGATTGTGTCTTGTTCGATGAGATTTAAAAGAAGCTCGTCTCGATGATATTTATCAGCTTGCCCCATACAATGCACCTTGTGGAACATGCTCGATGACTTCATAGCTATGCTCGGACGTGACTGTCATTGAAGAAGATTGCCTGAATAGCTCCCGTTTTCCCTTCTTTTGTTCCCTGCCGGTGCAGTGGTGTGGATTGATGTCTGGGAAAATGTTGCAAGTAATGGAAGCACCGATCGAATAGAAGTTGATGACTCCTATGATGGTGCGAACCATGATTATTCGCTTCCCCCGTAGCTGGTAAAACAGGTTGATATCCGTGTCTGGTCCCTGCCTTAATTCACTCCGTGTCGATGTCGTCGAACTGAATCCTCAGTTGATCTTGACTCGCAAAAGGTATCGGAGTCTGATCTGAGCCACATCGTAAACGATGTATTCGTTGTACAGAAGATATGCGTTTTGCTCATACGTTGGTGCTGGCGGATGATTGTTGACATCAGGCATTTTGACCCCTATCAAGCTCGGATGAATGCAGCTGGCATCTTTCCAGACTGGAGGACCAGTCTGGCCCACGCCCCAGGTGGAAATGCAGCCAGCCTGCTTAGCGAGATGCCCTGCATCGGAATCACCCTCCGTGAGTTTGAGACACGGTGTGCCCAGTTCAGCTTCACAAAGAAGGAGTAATCCAGTCCCAGCACTGTTATACGTTGCACAGTAGCCAGCACTCTTTGAGCTCATATCTGCAAGATAGACACCTTTGCCAAACATGTACCCAGACACGGGGGCTTCTGGTGGTGCAATCCGCAAACCTTTGCTAAGAATACCACCGAAGTTACTGACACGGGATCCATGCCAAAGTAACCGACGGTCACTCTTTGTTCCGATATTGGCATAGGCAGAGTTGTCGGGTCGGTTCGATTCACCATTTCGCTCAATACGGAAGATATCCTGCACTGCGTATGTAACACCATGGGTGCTGCCCGTTGACTTGGTCAGGTAACAGAAGATCTCGGCGAATTCTTGACTGCCTTGATCCAGAGGCACCATCTCTCTCATGCCGAGTCCCTTGTATTGTCTATCCAGCATGTGGAGCGACTTGTGTTCCGCCACCGCGGCGGATGTCATAATCTCGTTGGCCAGTTGCATATCTGTCAGCGTCTCTAGGAGCTGAATTTCTCTCTGCATCACAATTAGCTCTGGGGCGAAGCTGACACTGGCAAGGCTCATGCGCAAATACCTTAATGGAATTCATATCCTTGAGGACAGGCAGAGCTCGACGGCCAACAACGTGTGGAACAAGTGAGAAGTACTGATTGCTTCTGTCCATGACAGCCTGACCTGGCAGTTCTCCCATACCGGCGGCAACAGAAGGGTCGGCAACGAGCAAAGCCAGCTCTTTGAGGACTTCATACCCCTTGAGTAGAGTCTTCTTGCTCAACTTCCCGAGCGGCATTTTATTGGCATCATAATCGAAATCTGCCATGGTGTTATTGAAAAATTGCATGTTGAAGATAAGTTCCATCAGGCGTTGGACCTGTGGCGGTAGTTTGCTTTCAGCAAACACCTTTTCTCTCACGGCAGCGCCGCTTTTCCGGTTCACTTGAACCGACTCCTTTTGGCCGTCGTCGTCCGAGTCTGTGTAGTTGATTTCGAGATAGGCGTACTTGCCCTTCCTCGGTGGCGCATCCCTATTTTCCCAAGTGAGACCAGCCTTCTCTTTGAATTTAATCCCAAAATACGAAAGAGCCTCGTCAAAGGAACCGTCACCTAGCAATTTGCTCTGGCCTCTCTCACCCACACGACCCCAGCGTGTCCCTGCTACATTGTTAGAGTCCACGGCAGATATCGTTGAGACACAACTTTTTGAGAAGCCTCCGGTAATACTGATACGAAGATCCAGGTGAACTTACACGTATAAAATCCATGGGTGCCTCTCAAAAGCTGTAATCTGTAGAACTTGTTGTTGTTCACTTTGGCATCGGATTTATTGAGCGTGGCGTCATATATCACGCCGCCTTCGTCCACATGAACAACGTAGGATCCCTCGACCGGGACATCGTAATCTAGTGGAACTCTGCTAGCCTTGGGAGCAATGCTTGAGGCAAGTGGATCGGATGCCTTTGAGGACTTTGTTTTTTTGGTCGGTATATGATTTGCCCCATCGTCCTCATTTTTCCGTGAGCGCTTTGATGACCTAGTCGCCACCGTCTGGGCAGGTTGAGGACTGTTACCGTTCACCGTGTCGTCATCGTTGGTAGGCGAGCTCTCAAGGAGATATTCTTCGACGTCAACGGGCTCATTTGACGCCAGAGACGCAGAGAGCCAGTCGTAAGAGACAGAGATCGTATTAGGATTCTGTTGGGCTTGAGTGATGCGGTCCAGTTTCTTTTCCCACTGAGCGTGGGTCGCGATGAGATGGGTACACTGATCTGGCTTTGTAGTGTACGACCCCCCGCAGTTGGCGATGTCAGTCTTCAGTTCCGTCACCATTTTGTGTGAGAGTTCAGGATGTCCGCTGCGGGAGTAAGAAGCAAAGCAGATGATGACCCCATCTAGAGAAGGAACAGCAGGTTGAGGAGGTTGCTTGATTCGAACCATGTTGGCTTTGGCACTGAATCAAGAGAGTGCGAAGTTGCAAGGCTTTTACGAGGGACAAAAGGGCGAAAGCGACAGACCTTTCTGATTTATGGCATCTTCATTAGAAGTGAGACAGGGCAGTTCGAATGACGAGCCAAGAGGTGCAAGTGAAAGGCAGCAACACCCCAAATAGAGGCAGTTACCTGGGGCGGGAGCAGATATGCAAGTGAGAAGCGGGCGAAACTTCAGGCTTCAGTTCACTAATCGCGTCAAAGCGCGGGTCAGCCAACGCGAAATCACGTGGTTTGGGGCCGATGACGTACTGTGTGCCTGGAGACGCTGTTGGGCAAGGGAAATCATCGGATCTGTTGTAGGTGCTACAAAAGAACACCCAGGGTTGCCGTTACACTTCTGAGCTCAAAGAATGGCGGACAAGGTTCATACCGATACAAACCCTTTCCTACGGCGGCCTCTCTACATTTACGACCTCCCGACAGAACTGCTGTTAACCCTCACCATTGCAGGACGAGAACAGTCGCAGCCGCCGCAGCCACAAGAGTCACGACCAGAGGGAATACCTGCGGACCGAGAGAATAGTCTCAGCGAAGATGGCGTTGCGAACTCGACATCATGTGCGCTCTGCAGGGTCACCTTCGACAGTGTCCAAGACCAGCGGCTGCATGTCAAGTCGGATTTGCACCGGTACAACCTCAAACTCAGCATAAAACAGACCCCTCCTGTTGATGAAGCCACATTTACAAAGATGATCGGTGACTTGGACGAGTCTCTCTCGGGATCAGACTCTGAAGGGTCGGACGAAGAAGATGAAGAGGTGGCCAAAGGTGGAGACAGCACCCTGACTGCTCTGCTTAGGCGACAGGCCAGGATATCTCATCCACAAGCAAGTGATGGCACGGAAGACTCTAGCAAGCGGGGTTTCGGTAATGCGCCATTATTATGGTTATCAAGTCCCAAGATCGGAAGCGATGTTGGACTGGGCGTCTATCGAGCCGTGTTGTCAAACGAGGAGCAAGAGGAAGCATCTGTTTCGCTCGTGGAGATCCTCAAAAAGAAGCAGCTCAAACCAACAGCCGCAAAGCATAGTGGAAAGACGCACGGGGACGCATCACACGCTGTGGAGAACGAACCACATTTTTTCCTGTGCATGATCGGAGGCGGCCATTTTGCGGCCATGATCGTCTCTCTGGTGCCTGAATTGAGGAAAGGCCCAGGCGGAATTGAGGAGCGTCACCCAGTCGTTAGGGCTCATAAGACCTTCCATCGCTATACCACGAGACGGAAACAGGGTGGCTCTCAATCGGCAAACGACAACGCGAAAGGAAACGCCCACTCTGCAGGTTCGTCTATACGGAGGTATAACGAGATGGCCTTGGAAGCGGATGTGAGAGCAGTACTAGCAGAATGGAAAGGGATGATCGAGTCCGCCGAACTGCTCTTCATTCGTGCAACCGGAAGTACCAACCGAAGAACACTGTTCGGACCTTACGATGGTCAAGTCCTGAGAAGCAACGACAAGAGGATACGTGGTTTCCCGTTCAGCACACGGCGGGCAACTCAAGCTGAGCTTTTGCGTTCGTTTCAAGAGCTTACCAGGCTAAAGGTGGGGAAACTTATTGAGCCGGCTGCTGAAAGACACCCGTCCGAGAAAGCTGCTGCGAAGGAATCGAAGCCGAAACCTCAAGCGCCGAAGCTTAGTAAAGAAGAGGAGACCGCTCAGTTTCATACCTCCCAACTCCAAGGTCTAATCCGGCGCTCAAAGGCACCTGGAGTCTTGCTTTACTTGACGAAGAACGAACTCTCGCCGGATTTCCCCTTCTTTCCTGCGGCCGACTATCATCACGCGCCGACTCCGCTCCACCTCTCTGCGTCGACCAATTCGCCAGCATTGGTGTTAGCTTTGCTCAGCAAGGCGCACGCTGATCCGACTATCAAGAACGGCGACGGCAAAACGGCGTACGAGATCGCCGGCGACGCCAAGACCCGAGACGCCTTCCGCATTGCTCGACACCAACTCGGCGAAAATGTCTTCGACTGGTCCGCGGCGCATGTCCCCTCACCTCTCTCACAAGAAGAAGCCGATGCAAAGGCGGCACAAGAGAAAGCGGCCTCCGACGCCGCGGAAGCTCAGCGCAGGAAAGCTGGTCTGGAACAACTCCGGCTGGAGGAAGAAAAGCGTAATGTGAACAGGCTAGAAAAGAAAGCCGGAGCTGGCAAGACGCTCGCCGCCGTGGCAGAAAAGACTGGCGCGGAGAAGAGAGAGGAAGAGGTGCGTGGACTGACTCCCGAGATGCGCATGAGGCTGGAGAGGGAACGCAGGGCGAGAGCGGCTGAAGAGCGGATCAGGCGTATGCAGGGCACGGGCTGAACGATCCTTGCTTCAAGAGATGCTCGGAATCCTCAGAGGGCCTTAAGGCTTCAATGCCATCTTTTTAATACGGCAGCCTCTTCCAGCAAGAGAGTCTATTGGAAATTCAAAAACGAGTCGTTCAGTTCAGTCCTCCATCTTTTCTCTTGCAAGGGACACGTTCTCATCAACGGCGCCCAGTCTCGCAGGCCTCACTATATCTCGACGCACAAAATCTCTATCCAGTCTCAAACTCGTTCGTTACTGATGGAACTACACTCTCCATCCTGGTCGCACCGACCACCCGTCTTCATGCGACTCCACCCACCAGCTCACCTCTCACCACTCACACCACAATCTCGTGCTCCTTGAACAGGGGGAAATTCGTGACCAGATAGTCCTTGGCCTCCTGGTAGTCCTTCTCCAGAACTTGCCTGTGGCGTTCGCTGCGGATGGTGATGTCGCACTTGTAGCCGTTGGGGCGGATGTTGAAGCCGTCGGTGTAGTCGTACGTGTCGTAGACATAACCCTTGGTCGGGCGGATGTCGAAGCACCACAGCACGCGCGCCATGGCGATGTACAGGTTGTTCGACGCCAGGTCGGCGCCGGGGCAGATGCGGCGGCCCCAGCCGAACGACGAGTGGCCCAGCTTGGAGGGATGGGGTTTGCCGCGCTCCAGGGGCGTGGCCGCGAGGTACTCCTTGGGCAGGTACCCCAGCGACGCCGGGTCATCGACGTCCAGAAACCGCAGCGGATTGAAGTGGTCCGGGTTCGGGTAGTATTGCTCGTTGAGGTTGATGGCCCAGCTGTTCCCCAGAATGTTGGTGCCCTTGGGGATGTAATAGCCGTTGTAAGTGTCCGCCTCGGTGCTCGCGTGCGGCGTGCCGCCCAGCACGGCCACGGGGCGCCAGCGAAGGGCTTCCTTGCAGATCGCCCTGATGTAGGGCAGGGAGGGTTCGTCCGTGTAGCTTGGCAGGCGGTCTTGGCCGATCACCGCGTCGAGCTCGGCGTGCGCAGCCGCGAGGACTTCTTGGTTGGTGATGATGGCGAGAATCGCCGAGGAAAGAGTGGACGCGGTGGTGTCGGCGCCGGCGCCGAATACTGACGCGGGCAAGCTCGCAAAGTCCCTCTCACGAAGCAGAGCAAATGCAGAAGGGTCTGCGGCGCGGTTCTCCAGGAGCTGCTTGGCCAGACTGTTGGGAAGCGGAGGAGCACCAGGTTTCTTTGCGTTTTCAATGTCCTCGCGGACGTAGTCGAGTAACTGGGCATTGGCTTGCTGTTCTTCCATGCCCCAGGATTTGATCTCCCGCTTCCACGGCGCCAAAGCGTCCGGAACGTGCTTGAGGATGGGGAATGACTCGACAAGATACCGCCCCGGCACGTTGATGGCAGCGTTCCAGTGCATGATCTTCATCCGCTGACGGATGATGGGCGATTGCATGCTGTCGATGCGGTGTCCGTAGGCGATGGTGAATACGATCGACGCCGTGAAGCGGTTTAGAAGATTGTCCAAGTCTTCTGGGTGCTCAAGAAGTTGGTGGCAGAGACGTGTGGCTTCAGCCTCCTGGACGGGCTTATAATGCTGCAGCGCTTTCTGGGTGAGCACACTGTGCAGAGCTTTCCGGCGAACGGACCAGTCCTTGCCATAAGGCTGTACGAGGATACTGCTCATGTCCCAGAAGATCTCTCCCATGGCAACGAAACGAGGGCGCGAACTGTACTTGTGAGAGCGTTTCTCCAGCAAGTCGACCGCCACATTGGGATCAGAAATGATCACGGTCGGTCGCCGACCGAACCACAGGGTGTAAATTGGCCCGTACTTCCTCGACCATTCCTGGAACTGGACCCAGGGATACTTGGCTGGAACGTCCAATTTGTTGCCAATGAACGGCAAAGGCTGAGGCCCGGGCGGCATGCGCTTCCATAGAATGACATCGTGGATCAGAACACCCAGCACGCCGAGGAACAACAAACATGTCGCACCAGACCAGACGTAGAAGATGACTGACCAGCTCATCTTGGTGGAGAGTGTCGACACAGCGAAAATAGTTTCTCGCTTTCGAACACTACCAGATATAATCTCTTGAACGTGGTAGCGAGGCAGCTTATTGGTCTCAGTGAGAGCAACAAGAAGGACCAAGGCTTCCAACTGTGAAACAGTTTCCTTCACGAATATTTGGGGGACGCACAAAGAACGAGAGAATCCAGAGGAATCGGAGAGCTACCGGAGCATTGCCGTTGTGTCCCCCTCCGCCGATTCTGGCAAACTGGGAGCACCTAAACAAACCTCTTCATTAATTGAATGGCGCATTCCCCTTTGGCGGGGAAAGGACCCTGCCACATCAAAGAGAAGATCCGCTCGTCGTGGGGCGGCCAATGCGGGTGCGGAGAATGCCCATTATTGTGAGCCATGAGGACGACAACAGTCAAGATCTTCGGCAGTTGCGAGTGTTGACGAGGTCCCGGGAAACCCCCATCTCGAAGATGTCTTTCTCCGTGCCGTGCATCAGTTCTCGATTTGGATAGTGGACGGTGCTGGTGGCGATCCACTCGTGGGAGTAGACATGGGAACGGTCGATGGTGCCTGGGGCCGAGGGAGTCAAGGCGACCAGAACATGTAACTATTACCGTGCAAGAGATTTGGAAAGTTTTATATCGACTCGAGTGAAAGGTGTCGATTGACTGGCATCCCTATTTGCATTTTCGACGAGCATTGAGACGAAAGCAGCCTGCACAAGATGTCCAGCTTCGCGAGGCTACCTCCCTCCGGGATCAAGGTGATCATTGTCGGTGCTGGGTTTGCTGGACTATGTGCAGCAATAGAATGTGACCGAAAGGGCCATTCGGTGATATTACTCGAGAAAGTTCCCGAACTGAAGCCGTTGGGGGATATCATTAGCTTTTCATCGAACTCTGGTCATATCTTTGAACGATGGGAAGGTGTGGTTGAGGAGCTAGAACCAATCAGTCATCACAGCGAAGGGCTTGATTTTTATGACTGGAAGGGAAATTTCGCCACGAGGCAAATATGGGATGTCGAGAGACAATGGGGCAGACGCATCAACGGCCACAGGGGAGAGATTCACCATGTCGTCTTTCAGCATGCCAAAGCGAGGGGAATTGATATCCGACTCGGTCAGCAAGTGACGGACTACTTCGAGACGGACATAGAAGCGGGCGTGTTCGCAAACGGCGAGAGGTTGTCGGCCGACTGCGTCTTTGCGGCCGAGGGTGTCAAGTCAGCGGGAAGGAAGATCGTGCTGGGTTTCGAAGACCGACCCAAGCCATCAGGATATGCCGTGTACCGCTCCTGGTTTTCCTCGGATGATCTGGCCAAGAATGAAAGGACGAAGCACTTGGTGGTGAATGGCGACTCTCATTCCGGATGGGTAAGCACGGTAACACCATGCTTAATGTTCGACTCTCTGACTTTAGCTGCAGATTGGTGAAGACAAACATTTCCTGGCTGCGTCAATAAAGAACGGGACAGAATTCAGCTGGGTGCTGACACACAAAGATGATGCGGATATCGACGAGGATTGGCAATTCCCTGGCAACAAGGAGGAAGTCAAGAGGAACCTGCAAGGCTGGGCTCCGATAGTCCATGACATTGTTGACGCCACCCCTGCAGACCGGCTTGTCGATTATAAGCTTGTCTTTCGAGATCCATTGCCAACCTTCATCTCGCCAAAGGCTCGAATTGCTCTGATCGGTGATGCTGCACACCCTTTTCTACCAACATCAATCCAAGGAGCAAGCCAGTCAATGGAAGACGGAGTGACTCTTGCTATCACGCTGGAGAAGAGCGGCAAGGACAATGTTCCTCGAGCCATCCGGGCATACGAAGCCATCCGATATGAGCGCGTCCACCGTGCGCAGAAGACAGGCGTCACGACGCGCGAGCAGTGGCACAAGGCCGACTGGGACAAGATCTGGAAGGATGTCAAGTCTTTGCACTTGAAGAGGGAGGCGTGGCTGCTGGATTTCGATGCAGAGAAGCACGCGTACGAGGTGGTCGACGATGTGCTGAAGCAGCTGGATCGAGGCGTGTCGGTGAAAACTGACAGCGTTTCTGAGCCGCCAGCTTCTAATGGAGTGCAGACGACGCTTGCCCAAGAGATTGACCAGCTCGCGTAGTGCATAATGTAGAAGCAGAGAGAGCATCAGCGGTGTCATCATGTAGTTGACAAAGGATGATGACCGAGTCTTAGGTAAAGCGCTGTCGGGCATTTCCCGCAGGTTTATACAGTAGTAGTAGTAGTCGCTCGATGCGGCTCTTCTTGTGAGTCCGCCTGAGTCTTATTCTGACTTCTTCACTTCCACTCTCTGCCATTTCAACTATCTACACCTTAAAGGGCTGATCTGCCATCTGCACGGCCTTCAAGTTGATACCTTCACCTCATCCATGCACTAAAACGATGCTAGCAGTGCACGGCTGTTCCATTACTGTATTCCTGAAGTCGCCAGAATCGGTCTTCACCTCCATGCAAACCCTAACCCGGCAGCGATGCTGGAATCCCCGTCAAAAAGGGCACAAGATGAAAAGACATGTAATCAATATGGAGATGGAGGAGACTTTGCAAAACCAACAAGCCAACAGCCAACAGCTGCATTTCTCAGTGTGGCTTGTGGCAGCAACACCTGTGTAGGGCGGTCGACACGAACCTGACACACTCTTCCACGCCTACATAGCCAGCTCAACTGCCGGGACTCTGTCCTCAAGAGCACATCCTCGAAGCTAGCATCGCTATCGCAAAGAGATGGATTTCCAATCGAGACTGATCGACAACGGTGCGCCATCCGAAGATGAACCCCACCATATCCCACTTTGTCCAGCTGGGGTAGATGCATGTCCTAATGCGTCTTGCTCAATCTGAACCACAGGTGCACCGCTGATCTCAAGGTTCATATCGTCCACGCCTGGCCAGCCCCTTGAATGCTCGTCAGTGGGAGTATTCCGGCGTCCCCTCTCACTTACAGCTGCGATGGGTGAGACGCCCGAGCGAGGCTTCATGGTGCTGGGTTACCACTTCCGGTCCCTCGCGCAACGTCCACTGGTCTGTCCATGCAGTGGGACGGCCACTCTCGCTTGCTCGTGGCACATGCCCAAACGCTTGCAGGGGGAAGGCACCACAAGAACAACCTCTGCGTACAGAACAGTGCGGAGGTCGTTCCGTTTATCTTTCGATACTTAAACTTGAGCTTGCCCCAGAGTATTACGGAGCATTGTTTTCTTCCAACAGCCTTGCCACCGACTTTACGTCGAAAAGTCATATTTCTCCAAAATGCCGTTCGGAATCCTCGACTGCAAGAAACTGGAAAACGTGCCTGGCACGTCTTTCATGAGCGATCAGGATGACCTGCCACCAGAGTACTCCGAGATACCACGAGAGATGTTGAAACATGGAAAGGGCAGATTTTCAAACATCATCCTGGTTCCTCAACCATCGGACTCTCCAAATGACCCCCTGAATTGGCCACAATGGAAGAAGGAAATGATTCTTCTGATTGTTTCACTCTCCGCTGCGGTTGTGGGAGCATTCGGTCCTATGTTGAGTCCTGGTTTCGTTGAGATCTCGGCTCAGCTCCACATCACGGTCGAAATCTTGTCGCAGGCTACGGCGTGGCTAATTCTCACTATTGGACTGGGTCTGTTCTTGACCAACCCTCTGGCCAAGATATACGGCAAGAGGCCGATCTATATCCTTGCGAGCTGCATCATGTTTGCTTGCTCTGTCTGGGGTGCGAAGGCGGGCAATTACAACAGCTTTCTGGCCTCAAGGGTCATAAGCGGCGTCGGCATGGCACCGTATGAGGTATTTAAGATCCATTCCAGAAACTACGAAGTGTGCTCATGCGTTTGCGCCTAGGTCCTTGTCCAATGTACTATTGGTGACCTCTACTTTGTGCATGAAAGGGCTACCCGAATCGCGGTGTGGAATTTGTTTCTGCTGACGGCAAGTCTCCATGGCTAACCATCTAACCCCAAATATTCGTGTACTGACTCTGAACCAGGGAATCTCTGGTGGCGCCTTGGTTGCAGGATACATTATTGAGTACGACGGCTATCAGTGGACGTTTGGGGTATGCGCCATCATGTTCGGCGTGCTCATGTTCGCTGTATTCTTCCTGGTCCCTGAAACCACATATCGTCGAGACGCTGTTGTAGTCGTTCCGGTTTCAGACACGGTCAGCACGGATCCTGAAAAGCCGGGTGCGCAACACGTCCACATGACGTTGGGACACGAACACGATATTTCCCAAGCTCAAGGAGAAAAGGACAAACATCTGTCCTACGCAGCCACGCGTGGATCTGCCGAACCGAAGATGTCATTTATGCAGTCGCTGAGGGTTTTCACCGGACGATACAGCTATGCTCCGATGTACAAGATCTTTACGCGCCCTGTGGTGCTCTTCTTCTATCCGGCCGTATTTTGGGGATTCCTCATGTATGGCACGACCTTGACCTGGATTGTTGTCTTTTGTAAGTTCTCATGTTGGTGCAACAACTTCGATACACGCTAACATAATGTCTGCAGCGGTGGTCAACGGCGTGATCTTGTGAGTTTCCTCTATATTTCGTGTCACGGCGAAGACTAACAGAAGCTTGTAGCGTCGCTCCACCTTACAACTTTTCCGTGTCCCAAGTTGGACTGATCAGCTTGTCGCCCTTTATTTTGACATTGATTGGAGAAGTCATCTCTGGGCCACTCAACGACGCGATTTGCCTCTACTTGACCAAGAAGAACAAGGGGATCTACGAACCTGAGTTCCGCCTGGTGCTCATCGTCGTTGTCATCATCCTGGGCACGGTGGGTTTCTTTGGATTCGGAGCGACCGTGCATTACCAGACGCATTGGCTGGGGCCCGTGCTGACTTTTGGGTTCGCCAACATGAGTTTGGCGTTTGCATCGACCTGTGTCTTTGGTTATGTGATCGACTCTTACCCCAAGTTGAACGAGGAAGCATTCGTGGCCATCAACGCCCGCAATCTCCTCACCTTTGGCCTGACCTATTTTGTCAATAACTGGCTGGCTCAGGATGGGGCCTTGGAAGTCTTCTGCATTCTGGGAGGCCTCTTCTTGTTTGTCTGTCTCTTGACAATCCCTCTCTGGTACGTTTCAGCCTTCGTGACGGATCTCGCACGTATTGCAGCGTGACAAGGCTGACTCCTGAACAGGATATTTGGCAAGAGAATCCGATCCCGGATTGGCAGGACTGCGTGGCTCCAGCGGTATATGAATGACGACTTCTAGGGGCGACGGGGTTGACAAATAAGCAATCACTACCGAAGACTCCCGTGCTCTAGAACGTGGTGCTCAGTGGCGGAGCTGGGTGAGAATAATTGCAGCGAGACATCCAGCCCATGGGACACAGGGACCTTCCTCTTCAAGTCTCTTCAACTGGGGTGTGTCTTCGACTTTCTCTCTCTCTCCCCCTCTCCGTAACTCAGTGCCCGCCGGACTTGGGCAGTGGCTGACAGCCGCCAATCAAGCCGCAGCTGAGATATTTAGAGGATGACCTTGTTCCACTCCGCCACGCTCGTGACGCGCCTGGGGCTTTTGGGGGGGAACGGTGAAGATGCCCATCGGTGCAATCAGCACGATCAGCAGCCCAGAGTTTTTCAGGCCTCCATGTTCCGTGGCACCCACGGGCTACCGGTTCGAGACTCCAGGCTCCAAGGAGCGTCTATATACGAGAGGGCCCTGCAGGATGCATAGTCTCCCGTGTTCCGAGTATTAATGCTAGTGATTGCTGCAGCCCTAAGATTACAATAGCAACAACCACCCTTCCCGGTACCCCGTCCTGCGCTGCTTGTCCCGTCCATTATTTAATCAGGCTCGACCTTGGTAACAATTCGCGCAGGATGTCGCTCAGTATCTCATCCTCCTGCGCATGAGTAGATAATCGCCCAACCACCCACAAGTCCGCGGCCGCCACAAACCCGTATTTCTTTCCGGATAGCCTTCCACCCTATTCCCCCTGCCCAAGAAGGCCAAGATTATTCGCCTCAGTGCGTGCGCTGGCCTTTTCCCGGCTCAGCTTCTGGTCAGCTTCGCAAATTAGACCTGGGGGGACGAGGAGGGCTACTACTGCATAAACCTTGTCACAGCTTGTCCCTTCGCAATCTGACATCCTTTTCTGCCTGCGATTTTCCTGCCACTTTTCATCTTCCTGAAACCCTATAGAAAGCCCATCGACGAGTGCTCCCAGCCAACGTTACTATTGTCGACCTCGAAACCTCCAACTTTGATTAGAGCGAATACCTGCGCCGATCGGCCGCCGAACTCATGATGAAGAGGAAGTCCGTTTACACCAACATCACCCCGATCCCCTCGCATATTCCACGTCAGCTGGCCATCGACATGCTACACAATCATGGCGAAATCATCGAGCTCAATCCCCTTGTGATCGGCTACAAAGCCATCAAAGCCCCGCAGACTGCGCCCGCCGACGAGTTCTTCTCCACGTGGTATGAGATCAACGAGAGGATTCAGTATGTCCCGGGCATAGGAAAGGCCGGAGCAGGCAAAATATCTTTCAAGGGCTGTTTCCATGACATGCCGTGGGGCTTGCAGACACATGTCTATGCGCCCATGGGTGTGGACCTGCGCAACAAGTGGCAGATTCGGGGCAACCAACCGGGCGAGCCTCCCGAGTCGCGGGAACTGGGCAGCAATGCTCCCCCCGAGGGTCTCTATCTACGCGAAGACATTGAAATCAAGTGCAACCCGGCCATGGTGTCGTTCGTCAAGAAAGAGATGAAGGCTGCCTCCAAGACCATGGTTGACCGCCTGGTGAAGAAGGCAGAATTGATTGACGCTGGCGTGTTGAATGCGATGATGGAAGATGGCAGACTCAAAACGCTGAACCCGGCAGATCGCTCTCAGACTTTCCAACAGCAGGGACATTATTCGCCGTCCATGCTCTCGCCCAACCCACAGTCCGGGTTCCCCCAATCCCCGGCGGTCTCGACATTCCAACAGTCCGCATATGCGAGACAATCCATGTACGGCTCACCGGGCCCACAATACCAATACTCACAGGTGCCCCCGGCTCAGGGCCTGGCGATTGAAATGGAGGGAAGCACCCATTTTATGCAGCCACCTCCGCCTCAGCAGCAACAGCAACAACAACTACATCCGAACAGATTCTCGTCGGCTGTCTCGGAACTGTCTGCCAGCTCCCCGAACCAAAGCGACTTCCCGCACAACAGCAGCCAGTCCGACCGACAAAGCTATGCGGAGTCTGTCAGCTCGATGCCGAGCTCGGTACCCCACGGCGGAATGGCATCTCCTGGCATGGAGAAGCGAGCGTTCGTAGCGGAATTACCGGCAAGCAATGGAAACATGCAGAATAGGTCGCCGAGAACCCCAGAACCGAATGCAATGTCAGCTCAACAGCAACAAGCTCAGCAACAGTACCGATATAACCCTCAGGACTATGCCCGGATGTCATGAGCTGAGCTGAATGTGTATGGTGACGAGTTTCTTTTGTGACCATTTTTGGAAATCTGTATATCGACCGCGTTCTACGTGTACGTCTTGTTCAGCCAGTTTGGCGCGCAGAAGGTGCCCTCTGGTTGGCGTAACCAGTCACTATCGACTAGGCGCCGTGAAGGGTGACGATTCATGCCTTGGCACATCCTTGCCCATGCCGCCTTGCGAAGGTCGACATATGTACACAACCACAATCGTTCTTCCAGGAGTGATGGATAGACACCGACATGGCGTCCAAGCTCAAGACCCAGTTTGTGGAGATGCTAGTCTCTCGCTTTCACAGGCTTCTGCATTCAGTGGAACAGACGCAGCCACTGGAAGAATTGGTCAAACGCAGCCACTCTCTTTCTCTTGTGGAGCCATTTGCAAATACAATTGCCGATATCTCCTTTCTGGATTGCACAATACCCTTTTGTGAACAGAGTTTCCATTTGTGACGAGGCTGCCTGAGAAGCCTCCTGACATGCTGAGTCAGGGTATAGGTTAGGTGGAAGGGTGCTACATGCGGATATGACACTATTGAGATAACCCGCTTCTTTGGCAATGAGAAGATATTCAGGAAATGGTGTGTCAGGGATCTGGTCTGATTTTCAGCCATATATTGCTTGGACGGATCTAGCTGCGTTGGAGTCGCAATGCCATAATTCTCCTTGATATCCTTGTCCTGCGAGCCAGCCTGACCCTCGGCAGTACCAGTCACGTGCCATCCCACTTGACCTCGGTCCTGCCTCACAGTCTCCTCCAGGCGCAACGACTGACTCGACTTTCGCTGTTGTAATCACGCTGTCGGTATTGATGACTCGTGGCCACAAGGTTTAATCTTCGAAGTTGCAGATATCGACCCTGTCAAATTTCCATATTCGGCTTTTATCGACCAGAATGTTGTTAAACCTGTGTCTTTTTGCTTTCGCCAGTCTGGAAATAGTCTCTACAAAGGGAATGACTTCGGGTCTTGAGCGCGAGATATGGCGTGAAGAATGTACAGAAACTTCCAATCGGTGATGAATCAGTCCGTGGAAGCAGCCTCAAGAAATCTCCGGGACGTACTGGGGGAGCATCAGGCAGAACACTCGATTGGAGACCACGCAGAAGATGGCTTGCTGTGTCTTTACCGCATACATCATGAGCCGCATCATCAAGGCGTGCGAGCTCTTCGACATTCGTCTCCTGGAGATCAAGTACAACGACTCCGACCCAGAGCCCTCTACTCCCCCCAGCTTCCAACCATACATCACCCAGGGCAGGCAGGTACCAATAGCCGCACTCAGCGCTGACAACACCGTACACGAAGGGGAGGAGTCTCAATCTGAGCTACTATCAACCGTTCGCCTCCTGATCACAGGAATGACCTGCTCGGCCTGCGTATCGACCCTGAGCCACGCATTAACGTCCGTTCCAGCTGTCATCCGGACTAACGTGTCTCTACCGCTTTCACGAGCAACGGTAATTTATAACACGGCCACTACGTCGATACAGGACTTAATTTTGGCTATTGAAGGTGCAGGTTACGAGGCTGAGGTGCTCGGGCAACACAATCGTGGTTCTGCTGCTCAGAATCTCAAACTGGTCCGGAGGGAAGAAGAGCTGCAAGCTCTCAAGAAGGCCTTTAATGGCGCAGCAACGTGGGCTACAGCCATCTCAGTCATCGAATGGATGAGGAAGGTTTCTATAACTACCAAACTTGGAAGCATATTGGATCCATATCTCCGCTTTCTAAATCTTGCCATCGGATGCTACATTCAACTATCCCACGCAGATTGGATCCATCGAAACGCATGGGCCAGATGTTTCTCCCGACGACGGATTCAGCTTCCAAGCCTATCCATGGACACCCTCTTGTCTCTGTCGATTTTGCTAAGTATATTCCTCTCTTTCTTCAATATCGCCCTCCATGGTCTCTGTGATGTCCGTACGAGGACTTATTTCTCCTCTGCATCGTTTCTCGCGGCGGTCATCAGTGGAGGGCGGTATCTTGACGTGAGTCTGCGGAGGCAGGGCGCAGCTGGGCTTGCCCGCCTCTTTCGGTTGCAGCACGAGGTGGAATCGGAGACAGTGATGGTGGAGGGACGGTTGGAAGAACGTGATGACAGGTCGATTAAAGATGATGCGGCCATTTTGACTCCGGTTCCCACGACTCTGCTGGCGCCGTTGGACATATACCATGTTGCGCCTCACAGTCTCATTCCTTGCGACAGTTACGTCGTGCGTGGCTTCTCTTTGGTGGATGAGGCGAGCATGACTGGCGAGTCACTACCAGCCCGCAAAACCGTTGGCGACTTTCTCATGTCTGGGACTCGCAACTTGTCCGCTGGGCTCGTTGCTATCGTCCTAAAAGACCAAGCCCAGTCCAGTCTAGAGAGCCTTGTTGAAAGCGTGGAAGCAGCAACAGAGATGAAATATAATTCAACACAGAGGGGCGAGAGTCCAGACGAACAGCCGGGAAGAGCGATGGAGGATATTATCACGGAATATTTCGTCGCAAGCATTCTTATGCTGACATCAATCTGGTTCATATGGACATTTGGTCTCTCGGCAGACTCGATACCGATCACTGATCGACTGAATATTGCATCTGAACGGGCGATGGCTATTCTGGCATCAGCTTGTCCATGTGCCATTGGACTGGCAACACCTTCAGCAGTCATGGCTGGTATCGACGCGGCGTACGCATGCGGAATTCTTCTCCCCGGCGGTGTGGATGCTTTCAAAAGGCTGTCTCGCCTGACACATGTCGTAATGGACAAGACAGGAACTTTAACAGAAGGTAAACTGCAGATCTCAGATGAGTTCTTCGCAGAGCCGTTCAAAGGCGATCCGACCAAAAAGGAATTATGCTATCAACTCTTGAGCGCGGCGGAGAGAGAGGTCTCACAAACGCACCCAGTCGCAAGGGCGGTGTTTCAGTGGTGTGTCAAACAAGTTCTTGCAGCGTCACGACTGGAGGAAGGTCGAGAACTCCTGACCGAGCCAGGTGCTGCAGCTGTCAGAAACGTCTCAAGCGTCACAGGAAAGGGTGTGCATGCAGAAGTTCAGGGCAAAGCCAAGGTATGGTACGCTGTGCACATTGGCAGCGAGCGTTTTCTATCCGAGAACGACATTTCCATCGCACCAGCCGCCTCAGCCGAATTGGGAAAGGTTAAAGGCACGACTGAGGTCCATTTTGCCATTGATGGCAAGTATGCAGGCTCATTCACGCTGCAAGACAGTATCCGCCCCGGCGCCCCTGACGTTATTGAGTCGTTGAAGTCGCTTGGGCTCAAAATGACTATGCTCACTGGCGACTCTGAGGCTGAGGCACACCGAGTCTCGTCACAGCTGCAGATTCCGGTTCTGGCAGCCAAATCTCTCCCTCACGAGAAAAGAGACTTGGTGGTCTCACTGCAGTCACCGCCAGTTCCGCAGTCTTTTCCATCGGAAAACATGGCTGAGTTGAAGTTAGGTGTGAATGATGGGTTTAGTATGCGGAGGCTCTTTAGCTCCACCTTACAACAGTTGTTTTCTAGGAAAGACGACAGAAATGTTGTTGCGATGCTCGGCGACGGTCTGAACGATGCACCAGCCCAAGCTGCTGCGGACGTTGGCATTCTGTTCTCACTCTCGCCCTTGTCTGGGCGTCTTTCTGATTCGGCACCCTCACTCGCACTGAGAAGATGCGCCGCGGATGTGGTCATCATGACACCTGATCTCGCGGCCCTGCCGAAGCTGATTACAATCGCCACCAAGACCATGGCTCAAGCGAGGTGGAATATGTACTGGGCGGTCCTCTACAATGCCTTTGCCATTGCATTAGCGATGGGCGCTAGCGATTTGATGGGGTTCGGGCCTATCGATGCATCCACCGCTGGCACAATGATGGCATTTTCGAGCATCACGGTCCTGGGCATGAGCTTAGATCTGCGCCGACGATTGCAATAATAGAGAACAGACTGTGCCGTCAATACCATCTGCAACCGGTTATCGGGTGCCGAGAACAGGCGATGCCGCGGCACCCCAATGCAATGCGACGCAATGCAACCAATGTGCGAGATCGGCATGAACCATGGCAGACGCCCATGTCTCAAGCTCTTTTCCATTCGACCAATCTCCCAGAACTCGCTTGCAATGTTCTAATTTCCGACATGGCCTTCCCGGCATAATGCTCCAGGGCCAGTCTCTGATGACACCCATGTCGTGTCCAAGAACTTGTTTATGCCTGGAAACATCTCGTTTGGGCATTCCTGTAGCAACCACAGAGCAATACAAGGAAGGGCTCATACACTGTGCCGAGGACTGTGGGTCTCCCAGCTGCAACGGATCAAGGTTGGTGACCGACCGGTACATTTGTTGCCTCGTCGTCCGTGCCGTGACTTGCCTTGCAAGGGCTCGGTTCGGGAGTATTGACATCACTCGCTTTCGCTTGGAAGACCCTGATTCTGAAGGTGTTTCAAAGCTGCCGGTGGGCCACCAACAGCGAGGAAAGCAGAAAGTCCAAAGTCGAATGCCAACGAGCGCACGGTCCCACCAGAGAGCTGGTCCAATCAAACCCGAAACTCAGTCAAAAAGCGGCGTTGGTGATTCTACCCCTGGAGGCTGGTTCTGGCCGGCCGGGCTGACGTGGGCTCAGGAGGTGATGTAAACCACTCTGGTCGACTTCATTCTATTGAGGGCTAAAACTCTCCCTACCATCTTTGACGGGTACCCTCTATTTTCAGCTCCTTGGGGAATGGTTCAAGGAACTCATCAATTGAACACTGCCATTCTGTTTTCGTTATACTACCAAACTATGCAGACGTATACTCTCAATAATGTGGATACCATCCCGAAAGCTCCCAGTCAATCAGACCTACAACTCGGTCTCCACGGAGCAGGATATTAAACGGAGTCAAATCGGCATGGGTGAAGACTGGTGGTGGCCATGGCCCATCTTGATCAACAACCATTTCTCGAACATTCTGCCAATCTGGGTCGTTTTCTCGGCCTTGGACCTGGGACAACCGGAGACCCTCTCTTAGCCACAAATGAAAATCTTGGATCGTTTTGAATGGGCCGAAACGTGGACAAGAGCGTGGGTTTCGAGAGTCGCATAATGATCCGCCGACACAGCTCTCGACTCCTGTTTCTGATGGCGGCTTTAGCACACGCATCTCTTGTACCATGCATTTCAACTGATCGAAGACCTTCTGGCGAGATTCTTCTGGTAGTCACCCCCATACTCTTGGTAGCACATCGCCTCGAATCCTCTCCATCACAACATAGGCGCGATTTTTGTGGACGAAAGAGCAGTAGACCTTCGGCACCGGGATAGCGGTATTCTTCGCAATGGATTCCATGGTTGCAGCTTCAGTAAGGTGAACATGCGGACCGGTCTTGACCATGATATTTCCTGTGATCGGAACACAGAAGCCCAGCCATGTATAGAATCTGGCCGTGGTCTTCAATGCGAGGAGGACCAATGAACGGCGCATGAAACTGTTGCGGATCGCTAATTTTCCGGTGTCTCTATGCTGAGTGCTCCTCTGGTCGGGGACAGATAGATAGATACTGGATGTCTTCGGAAGCCATATTTGACTAGTCGTGACGAATATCTTGGTGCAAGACTTGCTCGTCTAGATCCAACCAGTTTTTGCAGAGGAGGTGCTCATGGGACAAAATCGTTGCATAGCCGGTTCTCTTTAGAATAGGGCAATGGTATCTGTGGGCAGCGAGCGTAAGGGTCACCGAGGATGGATAGGGTGAATGAGGATCTCCCCAGCTCCCCTTTCGTGGAGTCTAGATTAGACGAAGGGTCAGGAACCTGTGCTGCGCCCTGCTGCTAGGCGCATCAGAACTGGTCGGTAATGCTCAGTTCTATTACATAACGGAATGACTCGGCTAAGATATGTACTTGAAAAAGTCCTCCTGATAGAATTAATTCAATTTGTGGTCTTGCTGGTGGCGAGGCCCAATTTCCGGGGTATACATAACAAAAGCCTGCATGCAAGCTGATCATCCGGCCGATCACTTTTTATTCTCCTAAACCTGCCCTGTGCCTGGCAGACGTTGGGCTCGTGGCGAGGCGGTGTCTCAGTGAAAAGCCACAGCGGCGTTGTCGATCTCTCCACAAAGATCGACGGCGAGAGGCTTCCCCTTGGTTGGGCGAGCTTGAGGATTTCTGCAAGGATGACCCCGGCTGGCTTCAACGTCATTTGTGCTGGATGTTGTCAACTGGCACGCACTGGTGCTAGCTGAGGAGGGTTCTCTCCAGCTATGGATTTTCTGTTTTCCTCCAAGAATAACAACAGCGTTGGCAGGGACAGGGGAAGTATTGCACGAACTCTAATGTGCCTCCAGGTGCCGGACGTATCGCCACTTTATAAAACCTGCCAGCTGGGTCCACAGCACCATTCGAACGAAGATCATCCTGGAGTCAGTCCAACCACCATGGCACTTGCGAGCATGGCTCAACGGTCGACTTGGCCGTGCTTCCATTCGACCACTGCTGACGACACAAGTTGAGAGCATGTCGAGTGTTCCACTTGACATAGCAAAGACGGTGCATCCAACTATGCACACTCGTTGTCTTGCTCTCAGCAACAGCCCCTTTCCGGCGTACGAGAAGGCCTTGCCATGCCTTGGTGCGATTGTCCACACCCGTCTCTGTCAACCAGCTCTGTTGGGCTCCAGATGAATTCAGCTTCCTTGAATCCGTTGGTGGATCCACTGCCAATTTATCGCCTTTACTGGACAAACTCATCATCCCCTTTAACGATCGACGCAGGTACCTCCACAGCGAAGATAGTTTGTCGTCGATCAACGGCCGTGCAGAGCTGTGCAGAGCCTTGCATGGAGACATGACTGGACACAACGGCTGCTGGCCGAACAGGTGATCGTCATCCATTCATGGGGACAATTCAGCTGAAGCACTGGCGATCAAAGATGACATGTCTCAAACTGCAAGCGTTCAGGTAACCAGGTATGTACCAGGTCACGGTAGGCTTGCACTCCTTCACGAGAAGTATAAAGTTAGACGAGCGAACAGCATCCGATCAAGAGTTTCTATCACCCTTCATCCGTTGCCTCAGTCTTCGTCCCTTCTTGCAGGCAAGCTAGCTCATCTCCGAGCCACTTCATACAACCTTTCGCGATATATCGCCGCCTCTCGTCCCAGCAAGAAGTCATCATGCGCTTCTACACCGTCGCCATCGCCCTCACCTGCGCCGCCACCACCGCCGTGGCCTCTGCCATCCCCGGCAAGAGCACCCTCATGGAGCGCCAGGTGACGCTGTGCTCCGGCGCCGACAGCTCGGCCGTGTGCTGCGCGACCGACGTGCTCGGTGTTGCCGACCTCGACTGTGCACCTCGTGAGTGTTTCCCATATGGCAATTCCCCAAGCCAGACAGTAAAGCTGACGACGTGATTGTGCAATAGCCCCATCCACTCCCACTAGCACCGATGATTTTACCAGCATCTGCGCTTCCATTGGCCAGCAGGCCCGTTGCTGTTTGTTGCCAATTGTAAGTAGTTGATGACCGACAGACAGTATTCCCAGCCTTGCCACACTGCACTCCGCTGCGCTGCACTACACCTCCTTGCGAACATGTACGACTGAATGAATGGCTAACAACGCGCAACAGCTCGAGCAAGGCCTCATCTGCACTTCCCCCGGGAAGTAGGCGATAGGGCAGGGACAAAAATGTCACGATGATCGGATGAGGACGGATGAATGCCTACATTAAAGCCAATCAATGGAAAAGATTCCCAAAAAAAAATCTTGTGTTAATTACCTCTTTATCGGCCGTGCTTCGCTGGGAGAAAGGGCAAGGGACGGACGGGGTGGCCTCGACTACGCTACATATCTCAGGGCGGAGTCCTATCTGTCTATCTATCTAAGTATCTGCGTTGTGGTCCATCTATGTCCGCATGGGATGGTGTGATGGCCGGTGGTAGACGCAGTTGAAACAACGAGATACATGTCCTGGCGGGATTGGGGTCTGGAATCGGTGGCCCTTGGACGGGTATGACGGAGGCTGGTTGGCCAGGAGGAAGTGGTGGTGGTGTAAGAAGTTCTAGTTTGATTAATACAATGCACACCTCAACGCGTTCTACCGCTCTACAGTACGCTGTCGCTCTGACTGTTGAGATCTGTTCTTCTCGACGCCCCCCACAAGGCTCCGAATCAAATCTCCGTGCCATCATCCCCTCCTGCCAGACCTTGCATGCACATGGCAAACATGGGGGCTGCAGGCTACTTCGAACGGAGTGGTACGGACATAGCCCTTTGAAGGAACAATCCGGTCGGGATACAGGAGGGGGAGGCTACCGAGATGTGCAAACTTGGTTGGGCCATTGTTGGTCACCTACTCTAGGAGGTCTAAACTGCTATATCTATATGTATACGGTACATGCATGTGCTTTCGCCTGGTGAGCAGCACAGCATACTTACACGAGAAATCCACGTGTCTGAACACGAGGGAGTGGGTTGGATCCTTGAGGTATGAAGCTGTTGGCAGATTTTTTTACTCTTCCTTCTGAGTGAGTGACTGATTCACTGCTATACAAGCGTCTGATTTTTACATTTACATATACGAGTTCAATCCGGCACCCATGCCACTGACACGATTTAACCCAGGGAAAGCCATAGTCCCTCCCCGGCACACACACACCTTTTATGTAATAATCCCAGATCGGTCGGTGTAGCAGCCTCTCTCAATCAAGTCGGCGGCTGCATCTCCTCCCTCACACTGCCGACGGGGTCGATCCTCGCGGTATCGACGGTCTCGTCGTCCAGCCCTTGGCTCTTCGTCGTTGCCGCCTGCTGTCCCTTGCCCTCCAGCGGCTCGATCTTGGCGCCCTGGATGGTCTCGTCTCGCCCCACGGCGCCCTGCGAGTCGGCGTGCGGTGCGGTGTGTTGGTACTGGCCTGTCCGAGCAGAGATGGGCATTCATTCTCTTGCGTCAGTAAGTCTTCATGACATTATAGTATACGACTCTAGTCTTTCCGTTGGTTTTTTTTTTTTTTACCTCTTTTCTTCTCAAATACTTCATTCACAGCACAACACAACACAACTCTGGAGAGGTAGGGTGTGGGAAATGAGAGGGAAGGAGGAAGGGTCAATAGCACGTACCGGCTCCGCCCAGCGGATCGATGCGGCTGTGGTCGATACTGCGGTCGGTGCCCGTGGCGCCGCGCGAGCTCTGGTCGTGTGGTGCGTTCGCCTTGACGGATGAGTCGAGCGGTGGGATCTTGGTCGCGGAGATCTTCTCGTCGCTGCCGGAGGTGCCTCTTTTGGGGGTGGAAGAGAGACGAAATATATCAGTCATGGAGGAGTTGTGCTTGGGTTTGGGGAGGAGAGGAGAGGATGGCAGAAGGTATGGTTTGGGAGGGTAAGGGCCAAGTAGGTTACGTGTGTGCTTGTCAGGGTGTGTAAAAGGGGCTGGGAAGGGAATGCCTACGAGGACATTGTGGCTTGTGTATTCACAGAAAGTGTGTTCGCTTCGCAAAGGATTTGTATATGGTATATTGCGTATTCTTGAGGGTAAGTATTTATTGACTTATGGACCGAACTGCGAAAGACTCGGGAGAGGAAAAGAAGTCACGAAAAGAAAAGCAACCACCTCAAGATTTTCACTGACCCTCCTCCCTGACAGGGACCCTTCAATCATTGCGCAACTCGTTTTCCCCTAGCTAGCTAGACGTGACATACGCAAACCCCCCTCGGAAATCCTAGGAAAATGCCATCATATGGCTCCAGTGAGCTGCTTGCTATGACTTCATGGCGCCTCCTCATTGGGTGAGGTCGCGGGATTATGGTCCCTTCCGCCAAATCATCTCTGATACTCCGTCACGGAAGGGGGCGAAAGCCTCATTGACGTGGGGAGGGGGGATGTGTGTCCCCGCGTTTGTACTGTAGTTGGACGAGCACGGGGTATATGTACAGTACACTGTTCCGGGTTATTCGGGGATGGAGTTGAGAGAGAGAGAGAGAGCGAGAGAGAAAGAGAGAAGAAGAAGGGGCGTGTCGAAAGGAGACCACATTCTGGCTTCAAAAAAAAGGGCCCCAGAGGGCATTGATATCTATTACCCGAATCACCAACAGATGTCTATCTAGACTGTCAAGGACCGGTGCCAGGGAAAGATAAAATCCCCCCTACGATGGCCGTGGAAGAAAACCAACCCGTTGATCCATCTCCGTGCTTCCAACAGAGGCACCCCCGACCGGTTGAGCGCTCCCACGTCCACCTCCAGAGCAACGTGCTTGTCAATCTCCTCGTCCTTGCCATCTTCGAAGGCCGTGAAAATGTACTCTCCTTCCGGCGCTCTGTCGGCGTCGAAGACAAAGATACCGGTATAGTCGTCTTGCGCGACGTCGCGGCGTTTGTCGGTGAGACGGCCCAGACGCAACACCTTCCCCGGGTCCGCGATGGCCTCGCCCACGGCGCCGGCCATCCAGGTCTGAAACTTCCGCGAGAAGCTCAGCTCGTCGACTCCGGCACAGTTTTCGTCCTCGTCGAGAAAGCCCTCGAGATACGAGGCAAGCCTTGCTTGTCGCATGCGGGACCGACCAGCCCGCAGCTGCAGCAGAAGTTGGTGCAGGCTCCGGCGGTGGTGTTTACTCAGGCCGCTTCCCGACCTGTACTGCCGGGGCACGCGGCGACGGACATTCACGGAAATCTGGGGGCCGATCTCCCAGAGATGGCCGCGAGTTTGGATGCCGTCTTTGACCAGTTGGACCTGGATTAAGCGGCAGCTCTTGATGAACGTGAGCTGCTGTCGGATGGGCGGCGAGAAGCTGTCGAGCGACTGGGTCTTGAGAAAGTCGAACACGGTCCTGTTGAGTGGAGCCATGTTGTTGCCCCTGCTGCTGCTGCCACCGCCTTCGCCATTCATGAGGATCTCTCCGTTGAGGACATAAAGCGTTAGCAAGGCCAGGCTCAAGCTGAGGGGGCTGTTTTGTAGTCTCTTCGTGTTCATACGCACGGAGTAGTCGCAGCAGTTGGCCACGATGGCGAGGCGGTCAGAACTTCTTCCCGCCTCTCGAGCTCCCACGTCTGCAAAGATGCTGGGAGACATGGATCTGCGAACCGTGTACATGTCGTCGTCTGCCTGGCGATCCTGCAGTGTGACGGTGTATTTGCCCGCACGCTGCAGAATTCGGCCGGCCATCGCCTCGAGTCTCCTTTGGCGTTGGCTTTGATTCTTGTATTCGAGACAGAACCGAGACGCTGCTTCTCGGAAGTCGGCGGAATTCACACAGAGCTCGCCTGGGAGACGGCCAAATAACATCCCTTTGATGCGCCTTTTGCGGACCTCCAGAGAGGGATCGTGGGGATGAGTAGAGTCATCTTCGTCGCGGCGCAGTAATCCTCCTGAAATGGCCATGCTCTGTTCCACCACCGGTCCGAAGTGATGGAGTCCAGGAGCCCCAAGACATCCCCAGCGCTCTCCAGCATGTCAGGATTGAGTCTCAGATCTGGTCTTGTATCTTCGTCGTCGTTGTCGTCGTCGTCCACAAAGCTGCCCCTCAAGAGCTCGGCCAGAAGATCCAATTCTTCGGGGTCGGAAATGCGCGTGGTGAGTAACGCCACGGGATTGTCGCTGTGCCGGTAGACCAGATGCATGGACTGTATAGCAATCTCCTTCTCGTTCTCATCATCCTGGTTGATACATTCCTGGTCGATCCAGAAATTGGGACAGTCGATGTAGGCGGCGAAGTTCGAGACACGGTCCCAGACAACGTCTCGCACTCGACTTAGGGGCGACACCCGCCGCGTCCTCCTCGATTCGACACGATATCCGCCCGTGCCGGCGTCCTCCCCCGGCTGCGGATTGCATACATATGAGACGGCGACGTAGTCTCCGCACTCGAATGGGTCGATGCACGTCCGACCGAGTAGCTGACTACTGGACGGTGCAGGATCCCGCGGACTGTCGCTTTTCATGTACAGGCATTCCAATGACCGGAACCATTTCAGAGACTTTGCTTCCAGGGTGATGTACTTTTGGATTTCGAGCAACGCCGAGCAGATGGGTCGGCCGATCTCTTGCCGGATCCTGCGAAGTGGGACGTCGGCGTCTTCTCGCATGTTCGGGTGCTTCTGGCTGTTATCCAATTGGCGAATACGCACTCCATGTGGTTCATCAATTCTGGCTGAACACTACCTGTGAATTGCGTATGCAGGACAGTGCTCTGCATTCTTCATGCTTGATGCTAAAATGTGTGTGGGAGGATGTTTGCTGTCTCCGTTTCAGCTCCACTTGTTAGCCACCGCCCCCAATTCATCGGGCACAGCTGATCAGGCAGACATGCGTCGTTACCTACCAACGCGAAGAGCCAGAGGATGCATGCATGCATGCATGGATCGTACAGAGGTCGAATGTAAGTATCGTCCTGTCGTTGGATCGTGGCTTGTCGATTTATACTCCTAGAACAAGTGATCAAGCTCAACCTCCGTTCGGGCTGATCCCTTCTCATCACTAAGACCATTCTGGGACTGAGTATTGAGGTCATGCTTTTAGAGGTGTCTCTCACGGGTGCAGCCTGGGAGTCCTGGTTGTTCCGATGATCAGGTATGTGCCGAGTACAGAGCGAAAAAAGAAGAGCAGCAGACGAAGAAACAAGCAGTCCATCACGACATGGACTCCTGATAAACACTGGAGAAAAATCCTTCTTTCTTCACGCCAGGACGTTGGACCTTTCTGCACGATGAGTCTGATCCTTTGTGTACCTCCAAGTCTTTTGGCTACGGGCAGAGTGGACCAGGGGTTATTGTTCCCTCCCCGGGGTTTGTATACCGTCCACCCACCCTTCCGTGCCACTTCTCTGAGGCCCGTTCCTCTTGCATATAGATATCGACACTTACCCAGGTCACTCGCTATACAACAGCAGCGATGCATTCATATTCGTCCTTCAAGTCCTGATTTGCCCTCAATGCTCTATTTTGGTCTGCCAGATCAAGGACAATGCTTGGTCGTCACCGAAACATATAGCGGATGCCGGACCCGGACGCACAAGAATCGGTGTCGCCTGGTTTTTTCTAAAACCCAAACTCTGCCTTCCCTGAAGGGCACTTGAGAGAATAGTTTCAACTGATCGACATTTCTCGGCATCAACTTTTCTCTCTCTCCCACAGTTGGACATCCTTCAGATGTATAGATAGAGAAGGAGGCCGCGATCCCACACACGCACACTCCATAATCAATTGCACATATGCTCCCGAAGCCATTTCGCCCTTCGACCTTCGTCTCAATTACCACCGTACATGACAGCCATTTCACCTCCACCACCCCGTTGCCGATCACTCTTTCAGATCGCCCGGCGTCGGCTCAGCACTGACCGCCCCGAGGACCTTTGCATCCGCACTCTTCCCCTCGGCCATCTTGAGGACCTCGCGAAGATGCGTCTGTACCGGCCACGTTACCTGGCCCGTCAGGATCTGTGCCGCCGTCGCAGTCGAACCGTAGGCCTCGGCATTGACGCCCGGCCGAGCCTTGATGACGGTGCCGTCGACCGTCAACCCACCATACAGGCCCCGCGACTTGGTGTACGTCCAGATCGGCTTGACGTCCTTGGTGCTGAGGTCGGCCGTGCCGCCGATGGGGCCGGCGGCCATGGACGCACCTGCGCCCAGCGTCATTTCGCTCTTCGTGTACGCCTCGACCGCCTCCGCCGTGTTGAGCACGCACACGCAGTCGTACAGGTCCACGCCGTACACGACCCCGAAGCCGCCCGACCGCACGGAGAAGGCAGACGGCGCCGACCAGGATCCGTCGGCGAGCCGTGCCACCACCACCCCCGAGCCGCTTGCCCCGGCGAGGTACATGGCGGCGCGGAAGCCCGAGAAGACGGCGATGCCTTTGGCGTTGGCGATTACCTGGGTCGGTATTCTACCTTTGTCTGGGAGCCGTGTTAGTGTGGGACATGTCGTCGTCTGTTGGGGGTGGTGCAGGTCATGCGTACCGATAAAGCTCTTGAGGATTTGCGCCGCCTTGTCGCATTCTTTCTTGAGGCTTCCCGTCATGGAGCGATGATGCTGTTCTGGATTGGCTTTTTTTATAGATGGTGTCGGACTTGATGCGTCACTGGACTTCACGACTCGCCTAGAACTGCAAGAGGATGTGATGGAGAACGAAGAAGTTGTGATGCTCGTGGGAGGCGGCTTGAAATATTGACTGATCAGGAACCAACCAGTACGAGTCGTCGCATATAATATACCGGCCTCTGAACTTGACTGATCCGAAGTAGCTAATAGGTAATGATCATTGATGTCATCAAATCCCTGGTCCCTATTTATGGAAACACGGCTCTTATGTATATATATATTCTAAATGACACGTCGTTTGGTCTAGCCTAGCCGAGTGAGTGGTTGATCCAGTGTATCTGGCGGGATCTATCACACCCTTCGCCTCGCCTGGGCGGACTACAAGGGTAGCAGGGTCATGTCCACGGTGCCAACGACCCTGGGAACATGGCTGTCGTGTACATGTATGTGAAGTCGTATCGCGCCCTTCAATGGCACCCTAGAGACGGCGCAGCGACCACGGATGTTTCGTGACCGTCCGTTGATGAGGCAGGGCAGGAGGGGAGAGATTGTGGAATATCTGTTCCTCCATGACGGGTTTTCCACGGCGTAAACCCCAGCTGAAATACGAACGAGTACGCCCATACGTCCACAGAGCCCGTAGCCCGCAGCCCGTAGGATGGAAGGAGACTATTGACCGCCACTCTTCTTTCGGGGAACACTCATCCATCCGTCCATGGAAAATGAAGAGCGGAGAAGAGTATATGGCGTAAATATGGAGCACAGATGGAGGGGAGCGTATTCGCAAGGCTGTGCACACATGTCCTTATGCCATGCCATGCCATGCCATGCCATACCCAGGCACTAGCCACGAGACACAAGACGCTAGGCATTAGGCATTAGGCATTAGGCCACCCAGCTAGAAGCTACAAGCCAGAAGCTAGAAGGAAGGCCCTTCCATGACAAATTCCCCAAAGCTTACGATCTGCGTCGTCGAGTCAGTTCGACGAGTCGAATACGGAATACTCGGTAACTACTGCGTGATCTCTTTTCTCGCTGACAACATAACGTGTGCGACGTGCTTGATACAACTCGGTGTGTGCTCGGCCGAAAGTCACCATATCACCGAGACCGGGAGGCCGAACAGAGGGGGGATCTCAGGCCGACGTCTACAGTCTGCAATAGGAGTCATAGTGATTATTGTCCAGTGGATGGATGGATGGATGAGTGGGTGGGTAGATGTCTGGTACATAGAGCTACTAACAGTGTCGATGTCCAGTAGAAAACGTGTCAATCGGATTATATCGTATGTATGTACAAACTACTGCTGCACTACTGCGCAACTATGCTCGTAATATCGAATAAGAAAATCCGCTTAATATGTCCCGCTCCAGACTCTATATCCTCTCACAGGAGACAAACATGCCCAGTACACCCAGGACACCCGTGGCGATCAAAGAAAAAGTCCCCAACTCGCTGCCCTTGCAATGTCTCAAACACTTCTAGAAACTTCCCGGCCTTTACGCGGCGGTGGTGGCCTTCAACTCGAGGTGCTGGTCCTTAGTCTGATATGGGGGAGGCTCTCTGAACACATACGGCGGGAGCTGTTCCACCGAGCGACGAGCCGCTTTGTTCCTCATGGGTGAGGCCGGTGCAATCGAGTCGTATGGCGGGGCTTGCTGGGACGCCGCAGCAGCTTTCAGGGCCTGTTTCTTTTTCTTGTGGTCGCGCACCTTTTCGGCCGTGAAGTAGATGGCGGCGCCGACAGCAAGGACGAGTCCGACCATTGTAACTGGCGACGGGGGGCCGAGGTTGGAAGTTTGAAGGGCTGGGAGGGTTGATGAGTTGATGGGTGGAGAGGTATTGGAGATGGGTCAAAGGATGTTGTGTAGAGTGATAGAGTGATCGTGGTGGTGGTGGTGGTGGTGGTGGTGGAGGAGGAGGTGGAAAGAATTGTATATTTTTATAACTATCGTCTGCCGTTGTCCTCCATCCTCTATTGCGTGCAACTCACATATTACAGTATAGTACATGTGTCTCAGCAATGCCCCGTTGAACAGAACAGAACTAAACATACATATGACGAACTCGTCTGTAGATGATTTGCATTTCCCGCCTCACAGCCGCAGTCATTCACTATCCTTCCATTATCCCTTCCGTCTGAACCTCATCCCAACTCTCTTCTACGCACTGCCTACTTACAGGGCTTGATGTAGGCCAAGCAGTCTCTAAGCTCCTGCATGAATGGACTTTTGTATAATTCCAGTCTCCGAAGTGCGGTGTCATGGCGTGGTGGGCCAGCGACTCCACAAATACGCCCCCGGCCTAAGCGAATACGCCCCTGGTCGATATCGCGTATGCACAATGCACTGTATCGTATCGCACAAATCCTCAGGGTGAAGCCCAACACTGTTGAATCCGACAGATGATCCATTTCGAGGCCTTCAAACAACATGGAGAGTCTCGTCACTACATTCGCCTCGAGTTAGCTCTTCAACACGGCGATGCAACGGGTCCGAGAAACTACGACATCTGGTCGTTACCCCTGGCTGGCTCCCTTGTCTGCCTAACTCTGTGTTCCACGACGACGGGCTCCAGCAAGTCTCCCGTGGCGGCTGAGGTGTCTGGACATCATGTTTGATGGACGGGGACGTCGTAGTCTGGAAAGCAAAGCTGGCGTGGAGCCAGTCCTGGTTCTTTCTACAACCATATAAACCGCCTGTCTCGCTGCCGTTTGCTCGACCACAGACATGATCGAAACTGCAACACAGTCTTCGTCGACCAACATTGCTCTACACGAAAGAATGGCTGCTACTTTTGTCCTGGCCTTGCTGGCTCTTTCCCACACCATCTCCGCCTCCCCTGTCAAGGCTGCTTCCCAGAGAACCTACGGGTTTTGCAAGCAGTTCAACATCCCGGTGTTCGCTTCGGCACCCAGCGCCACCTATGATTTCCGAAAGGTGGACAGTAACATCGAGGCCCGAGCCTGGGCGATCTACGAAGACACCTGGAGCACTCCGCAGGGCGCGCAGACCGTCATCCACAACACCACGACTGCGGACACGTTCAATATCCACGCTCAACTGTGTATCCCCAAGGCCCCTGGGGCGAAAAAGGACATTCTGCAGATCGCGACGCACGGGGCGCATTATGATGGAAGATACTGGGATCCCGAACTCAACCGCGAGAACCAATCTTATGTCGAGGCGTCTCTCAAGGCAGGATACACAATCCTTACGTACGATCGTTTGGGGGCTGGTCAATCGGATCACCCTGACGCGTACAATGTGGTCCAAGCCCCTCTGGAGTTGGAGATTCTTCGACAGTTGACCCTGATGGCGCGCAACGGGACTATCTACAGCCTCGCGGTGCAGGCACAACCGACCACTACCCAGTTCAATTCGTCATTGGCAGCCCCAAGAAAGATTGTGCATGTCGGTCACAGCTTCGGATCGTTCCTCACCTCGGCGCTGGTGGCCACATATCCCACTCTGACCGACGGAGTCATCATCACCGGCTACTTCTATGGCAAGTACCTCGCCGCACCCGGGATGGCTTCGTGGGGGGTCGACTTTGCCGCCACCAGCTCGCCGCCTTTCAATCGGCCCAGTGGCTACGTGGTGTGCCAGAAGAGCGGCATCCAGAATCTGTTCTTTGGCGGCAATCCCGCGACGGCCTTCACCCCCGAGATGCTGGACTACGGCGACTCGCTCAAGCAGCCGGTACCGGTGGGGGAACTCGCCTCCGCGTTCCACATCATCGGGCTTCAGGGTCCGGGGCTCAAAGCGCCGGTGCAGTTCATGCTGGCCGAGTTCGACTTTTACATCTGCGACGGCGATTGCAAGGGGGCGTATAGCTTGCAGGAATTGCAGGGGACGTATCCCAACGCGGCCGTCGTGGAGGCATATATTCAGCCCAACACAGGCCACGCCTTTCCACTGCACAACAACGCCACGGCGGGGTACCAGGTCACGTTTGATTTCTTGGAGAGGAACGGGCTGTAATCGACGGAGACTGGACTGATCACGACGGGGGGCGTTGCCATTCATGGTAGTGATATAGATATGTCCAGCTAGTTAGAACATCCTCCTGCACACTCTTCCATGTTTCTAAGACTGACGGGCGAAGAGGAATGTTCTCCAGCATCTGAAGCCACCAAAGGGACAGCAAACCAGATAATATTAGTGGTTGACGGCCCGCCTGTCCAGCAGGATGTAAGCCGGGCCGACTCACGAATTGAGGTCCATCAATTCTCGACAAGGTGAACGGGATAGGAGGAAACAGAGAATGACATGTTCGTTGCTGTTCCTACCATACCGCTTAAATAACATACAATGCCCACTCACAGACAGAATGTCCCTTCCAATCATCACCGAGAGTGCCTTATTTGGGCTGGAGATTTCTATCCCTGTGCCGGGCCGACGGCGGAGGACGAACCTGGTAAGTCCCTGTATCTTTTTCCACGTGTACATATCTCGTTTGCAGTCGAGGCGAGGGACATGTACCCCTGTCCTAAAACGGGGGGATAACACCGCAGAAACCATGCCTGTTTGGGGCAATTCAAGCCTGTGTCCTCCTCCATCTGCCATGTACCGTCCAAAATCCCCATGGACGTGTGGATATGTAGAGCTACATACATTAGTTCCGATTCCATCCCCGTCCCCATTCCGGCAAGGTGCCCACCCACGCACCCCGGGAGCCAAACCCGAGCGGGACGAATATTTCAAATCGACGTTCGGCTCTTATTCAATTCAGGCATATTATCGACTCGGTACCGTGGTATCCACTTGCATGCTCAGCCTCGCCGGCCTCGGCTTATCTCTTAGTGAGGCTCAGCCACGATGCCACGGGGGAGGAGGAGGAAGCAGAAGAGCAGGGAGGAAGAGCACGTGGAGGAGGAGGAGATGCCATGACTTCAGCCAAGATGCTTGCTGCCTGCCTTACATATTGCCAAGTATGCAGGGTCGTCGTACCCACGCCACTACCGTAGCAATTGTTGTTGTAATCTGTCAGCCCTTCGACAGGGCCTAGGGCTACACTAGCTAGCTGGCAGCGTGGCAGGGCTAATCATCATCACCATCATCCATCCATCCATCAATTCAAGCGGAATGCCGCGAATCGCATCAGGGCGCATCAGGGCCTTTCTAGTGCCAGCCACGGCTGGTTGGTTGGTTGATGGGCCGAGTGAAAGACCGAGCGACCGAGCGGAGATACCGATGCAATTTGTAAAGCAGTCAGTAAGTCAGTAAGTCAGTTAAGGGAAAGTCAAGTGGCATTAACCCCGTTCATTCGTATTCGGACCAACCAACCAACATCGATTGCGCTTTGCAGGGGAAATGAACATCAGGGCTAGCTAGACTGACTTAACTTCTTTTACTTGTTTCTTCATCAGCCCCCCAAGACGATGTGAATGAGTCAGCCCACCTCCCCTTTCCGAGATGGGATGAGATATGTTTGCCATGCCCCCTGAAGACCCGAGAGGGTGGTAGTAGACAGACTGGCGGGGGCAATGAGAGACACAGAGAGCGAGAGATATCGAGAGAGAGAGTGTGTGTGTGAGAGAGACAAATATCACCAACAAAAACCCCCACCTTGATTGAGCTTCTTCTATCCATCTATACAAGGGGTGGTTGATCAATCATTGCAAAAACTAATTACACTAAAGCCCTTCTTCGAAAAGAAGAAATAAAAAACAAAACAGAAAATGCATCGAAGCTCGTCGCCGTCCTCGTCGTCCCCGACGCCCACCTTCCCGCCGGGCTTTCGGTCGAGGCGATCTCACGCCAAATCTCGCAATGGATGCTTGACGTGCAAGCAACGAAGGAAGAAGGTGAGCAGCACACCTCATCACCACACCTCATCACCATCCCCGTCCCCTTAAGCAATGCATGCAAATTATAACACCCCCACTCAGTGCGACGAGAGGCGGCCGTGCTGTACGCTCTGCGAAACGAGTCTGAGGACGTGTGTGTATGCATCCGGTCAGCGATCTCCTCACTCAGACGATTCTGGCACGACGGCGGCGACGACGACGACGACGACGAGGTCATCCCTCCCGTCTCCAGTCCCCTCGCCACCCAGGTCATTCATAAGCCTTTTCGCGCTTCAGCAACCGTCCAGAGAACTGCTCTCCAGATCACCCGTGCCCGGCAGCGGTGGCACTTCTTCCGTCTTGAGCCAAGCCGGCGTCAGCACCGTCGACAATGGTAGTGCCGCCGCCGGCTCCTACAATCACCACCATCTCCACCACCGGGTCACCGATGCAGACCTGTACTTCCACTTCCTGCACCACACGTGCCGGACCGCCCCCAGCTGGCAAAAAGACCGGCTGGTGCTGCAGGTCGGCATCGCCAAGCTGGCCCTGGACAACGAGCTGGCGTCGCACTCGGTGCTGGCGCTCGCCGCGGCCTGTCTGTGCTGCGACACCATCGCCAGCGCCGGCGCCGACCCGGAGACGGTGCGCCACATCCTCGACCGCGGCCTGGAGCACCACACGCGCGCGCTCCAGCAGATGCGCACCATGACCTCGCGCCCGCGCGAGGCCGACACCCAGCCCCTGCTCGTCAGCGCGCTTATGCTGGTCCCCTTCGCCCTGGCCTTCCAGCATATCCAGCACTGGGTACTGTGCGCCAGGAATGCGTCGACCACGACCACGACCACGACCGCCCCCGACCTACTGACCCCACGCGACATGATCCTTTTGCTGAGGGGGATCCGGACGACCATCGTCGCACTGAACTCGAATCGGGTCGAGAGCGAGGCCTCCACGTCCGCGTCGCCGTGGGACACGATGCAGTCATCGTCATCGACAGCCCAGGGCACCGACCCGAACGAGTTCCCGACCATGGTCGCCCGGTCTCACGCCCAGTATCCCATCCTGGCCGCGACGTTCCAACAGGCCTCGTGGCAACTCCGGTGCCGGATCGAGAACGCACGTGCCGTCAGCCCTCGGGGGGACGAGAACATCGCCGCGGTATTCGAGGCGTACGAGATCCTGAACGACATCATGACCAGCACGTTCACGGACGACCCGAAGAGCGAGATTCCGTTCGAATACGCTTCCCATGTAAGTCAGTCCCTTTTTTTGGTTCTTTTACCTCTTTTTGGGATTACCGACTTGCGCGCAGCGAGGGTATATGGATGGATGGATGGATGGATGTATATGTATATTTATGCAATGCGTATGCAATGTTTATGCGCTAACAAACCATTCGTCACAGTTCGTCGTCTCCCCCGACAGCCTCCTCGCCCAGGCGCCCGGCTGGCTGCAGAACTTCATCCTGCAACGCCCGCGGCCCTCGCCCACGGAACCCTTGGCCCGCTCGTTCCTGGCCTTCTTCTCCAGCGCGCCCCAGACGTACGTCGACCAGCTGCTCCCGCTGCTCGATCCTGTGGCGGAGCTGGAGGACGAGGACGAGCGCGAGCTCACGCCGGCCGAGGTCCTGGCCCTCGATGTCTACGCGCACTGGCTAGTCCTGATGCTGGTGTTGGAGAAGGAGGCGTGGTGGGTGGGCGATTTCCCGTTCGTCGCGCTTCAGGGTTTGTTGGCGAGATATGGCCACGGGCTGGGCGGTGCTGGGGGGTCCTTCTACCAGCATCACCACCACCAACGGCAGCACCAGCAGCATCAGAACCAGGACCAGAATCAGCAGTGGTGGCCGGCAGGGATGCTCGACGTCGCGGCGGGATTGAGGCAGTGGAAGTAGAGAAGTCAACTCATCAGGTGGGATAGATAGATGGAGGTAGATACCCCGTTCCTTAATCAATCATATGTACTCTTGGTTCCCGGATTTCGTGAAATGGCAGCGACAAAGATCTTGTACCTTGATGCATGCAAATCGCTCTTTAGCGAGAGGGAGAAAAAAAGAAGAGAGAAGGAAAAGAACGATGAAGCTTCCTACGCTAGGTTCACTCTATGTGCCCACTGTTTCGAGATACATACATCATCCAGCCGGTGCGGCGGTGGTGGTTGGGATGGCCGGACCAGCATCATCAGGCTCCGGCTGATGGTTCGGCTGTGGCTCAACGGGGGCTCTGGGCACGGTGTTGTCCTCGTGCAAGCTAAGGTCGCTCTGTGTCTCGTTGACATTCTGCGGCCGCGGCGGTGGATGGAGAGCTTGTGGTTCTGGTCCTGGTCCTGGTCCTGGTTCTGGCTGATGGGCGTCGTGGGGTGGCGCTTCCTGAGCGTCCTGCTGCTGCCGTGGCCGATCGATATCTGCTTGATTTACTCCCCCCTCGGGCTGCTGGACATGGCCATTTGCGGCGCTCGGGAAATGCTGGTCGATGAATTCCGCCTCAGACTGTTCAGCGCGCAGTGCGATGCGCATTGCCCTCTGGTCATCACCTCCATACGTGGCCACGAATGACGGACCGTTCCCATCTCGCGCATCGAGAACTCTCATGGCATCCTTGGTGGCTTTGCCCCGGTAGTTGGCTCCGGCACGAACTGCCGCGGCGATCTTGTTCACGGCACTGTCGACCAGCAGCCCAGCGTAGCCGATGATGCCGATCGGCTCCTCGAGGAGCATCGAGCAGTGGCGGTCCGTGTAGCAGATGATGACGACCAGCATGGCCGCCACGGCGCACAGGAGTCCCAGGATGATCGAGGTGATGATGTTGTAGACAAATAGCCGGTTCGTGGTGTACGTTAGCTGACCACTCAGACTGGTGGGTGGTGTCTGGGTCTTTCGGATCATAAAGTCGTTGACCAGCAGCGAGTACACCGTCGCAAACACCCGCTGCGAGGAGATCATGAGGACATCCTCCCGTAGTGCGTTGTTGCTGTCGATCAGCCTGGCGTTGTCGAGGATGACCCTCCCAATGCCGCTGGCAGAGTCCGCCATCGTCCCGCCCCCCAGCGTCGTGTCGATGGATTTCACTTGGTTCAATTGCGATTCGAACGAATCCCACCACTGCGGCCTGAGCTCGGTGGTTGTGTTTGCCGTGAAGCCGAGAATGGGGCTTCGGGAATCCTGGTCGAGGCTCATGCTGATCTGGCCCTGCGAGTTCCAGTACGTCGGTATGCAGGTGATGACGGTAGGCACAGATTTGTTGAAGTTCACGTTGGTGGCACCGACGACGATCAAACGACCGCTGTACAGCGAGCTGCCGTATGCTCCGCACGTCACCTCCGAGGAAGTCTGCAGGTACGTTGTGAAGCCATTGGAGATCTGAAGGTTCGTGCTCCAGTCGCAGCCACGGTCGGTGCCGTTCAGCCACCATGTTCCTCCATTTCCATCATAACTGCTCGGGTCACCGATGCGGATCAAATGGTCGTCGACATCGCTCAAAGCTTGACATTCAAGCCTGGCAAAGTACGCCTGTGTTGCAGCCGCGATGCCCGGCTGGGAAACGTTGCCGCCCGGCAACTCGGGCGACGAGAAGTTGAGGAACAGGTACGTGCCGTTGGTCCACCGGGGATAGCTGCCCCCGTACACCAATGTCGATGACGCAGCACCCAAGACAGGTGACAGATCCCAATCGATCGGCTCGCTGAGGCTGGTGGTCGAATAGAAGGAAGAGTCCTGCAGCAAGGCGACGGTCGTGTTGAGGAAATGGGCCTGCTCGACCAGCATGTGTGAGGCGAGAGGACCGAGGCCGACGCGCAGGATCTGCGACAGCGAGAAGGCGCCAAAGAGATGCCTGTGTCCGTTCCGCCAGGCTTTCCATTCTCTCTGGATGGGGAAAAAGGAGCCATAGTCCAACGCGATGGTCTTTTTGGCCACGGCTCCCCCGTCGCGGGCAAGCTCAATGAACGGCTGTCGAAACCCGAACGACTCGACTATGGCCGCGACGCAGAGTCCATATACTTGAAAGATGAACGAGGGAAGAGTCGTCCACGTCAGGCTGATTCTCCAGTCGACTCCGGCGAATGTCTTGGAGGAATCGTGGACTCGAACAAAGCCGCGTTTGATGTTGGACAGTGCGATCAAGGTGATGATGCCGGCAATGAACCCGAGGGTCACGCCGGAGAAGGTGAAAAGTGTAATTTTTTCAAGTTTCCACGACTTCCAGTCATTCCACTTTGGCTGGTGCTTCTCTTTTGGTGGGCTCCTGACCTGTCGACGTTTGCTGCCCAGCCAATGCCTGACCCTAATATGAGCGAAAGTCGGCGATTTTGGCTCTGAGTTTTCTGCCATATCTGCCCCGTGGTAAGACGACCTTGGGGAATGTGCTCTGAGAAGCAGGAAGCAGGCTGAGTTTCGCGTTTTGCATATTGATCCCGAAGAGCATTTCCCTGCCGCAGGACCAGGCATCGCCATGCGATGTCCAAGCATGTGCCTAAGCGCTTGCCTGGCATGCGCGATTCTGGGAGCGCCACCAGCGACTAATGCACGGCCATCAATTCGTCCAGCTTCCCATCAGGCTGAAGTACAAACCTGACGGCACCCCGGCCAAGTGGCCACGCAAGACATTGGCTCAGCGACGCCACCAACGACACGCATCACCGATAGACTCTGCCGGATGGGGCAAGCCATGCCCATCCAGAGGCCCTAAGAATTGTGGCTTGCAGTTGTTTTCACACCTGACGTTCAGCTCAAAGTCTGGAGCGGAACGCATCTGATCTGTGGAGAAGGATTTCTTCCTCCACAGGGTCGATGCCTGCTCTTCTCAGGTGGAGATTCTGTCCTGACCCTCGTCTGATAGGCACATTTCCTTGCGGCAAGGTGGTCAACGACAGCATAACCGGAAAAGTCGGCAGTTGCAGCCTCATCCAGGTCTCAGTGAAGGCGGCAATGAGGTGAGCAGTGACGTCTTGTCACGCACGAGTGCAGTCTCTCCATAAACGTGCTTGCTCCGGAGAGACACCTTGCACCAGAGCTTCCGAGCACAAGTACACCGATCTCCCTTCCATCCATTCTTCAGACCTCCTCTTTCTCGGATCTCTGCTGGACCATTCTAGCAAATCTTCGAGACAAGTCATCACTATGGCCTTCTTGATACATGCAACAGCCCTCGTCGCCTTCACAACTGCCATCGCCCGTGGCCAGGGTGTCGGCCTCTATGGATGTCAGCCGCAGGCTGTTATCACGAGTTTGACGGCATGCGACGAGTTTGCAGCCACAGATTCCTCGTGCTTCGCCAATCCAAAGGCCACTGCCTTTATCGAAGAGTGTTTCTGTCAACAGGCCGTTCTCAACAAGATCGTGGAGTAGGTAGCAGTCTTGCTTTATTTTTCGGAACTGCGCTGAGAATGGCGACAGCTGCGAGAGCGAACTTCGTCTCTGCTACCTCAATGACCAGTTCGACTACTACGCCACCGATCTGCTCTCGGATTGGCATAGTTGGTGTGACAAACGTATCACGTATACGCCGACCACACCTGTCCTCAGCACTCCAACCACGACGGTTCCAACAGATGTGAATGGATTTTGTGGCGATTACACCACGTCCTGCGCAGTGTGGGCTGCGGCGGAATCGGCTTGCTTTGACCTTGATCCCTCGGCGACGGCGGCATCGTTCTTGAGCTGTGCGTGCTCCACCGACCTCCTGTCGCTTGCCTCGGTCTGCTTGTACGATGTATCGACCAGTTGTTTCGGCCGAAGTGCGGTCTTGACTGACATAGCTCTATTCTCAATCTGTGGCGTGAGTTCAGTGACATCCATGAGGTGAATCGCAGACTGACGGCGTGCCATAGACGACATACAGCAATGACCAATTGATCACGGCGGCGACGGCCCCTGCCGCCGCTGGTTTGGCGAGCAGTGCTTCAGCATCACAGATACCAACTCCACCGTCCTCGCAGACCGTGGCAAATACTGCCACAGCTCAGAGCACCCAGAGCAAGCCAGTGAGTCAGGCAGTCCCTGCTACCAGCACGCCGACCTCTGGAGGTAGAGTCATTGTAATTTCTGCAGGCTTGTTGCAGGCGGGGATTGCGATCACAATAGTATATCTGGTGTCTCACCTGTGGTGAAGCATTGCCAGTGGCCCATGATAGGGCCGCTGACTTGGAAACAGCGTGCGACCCTTGGAAATTGAGGGAAATGATGTTCACAGTCTCGCTGTCACACATCTGCTTTTACAGTCGTCTGCATAGTTGACGTTCAAAGAACACCGAGTCCCGGGGAAGCTTTTGGGAATAGCCGATCGTTTGATCATGGATTTTGTTCTTTCCCTCAAACATGCCACGATCGGGATTAGGGACAATTAAGCTACCTCAGAGAACAATATGAGCCGTATATGGGTATGTGCGAGTTGTTGATACCGTAGCATTCCTTACACATCCAGAGTGAACTCGAGAGGGAGATGGCAGAAAGTGAAGCGGCCGGGGAAAAAGGAAAAACACAAATACAAGAATTTCAAATGAAGGTTCTTTTGGTGGGTCACGTCTCTCGCACGCTGCCACATCGAGTTAGAATACTTGACCTCAACCCCCTCTCAATACCAACGACAAGGAGGGAATGACGCTCGGCGGCTGAAGCATGGCTTGAGCAACTTCTCTTATCTTGTTGTGGCATCTTTGAGAAGCGGAACTCTCAGGGCGGTTCTCAAAAGCCCCGAACCGTATCATTCGACCAGTTCCTCGTACATTGAAAGACGCCCTTGCTAAATGTGCGAGCATGTTCAAGATATGTGACACGATTGAGATCCTCGTCGTCTGTAAGTTGGAATTGGTTGTGTCTTCTTCGAATGTGTATTTTCCAAGATCCTCCATGTGCCGCTCTGATTTATCTGCCAACGCGATTGTAGCAATAGGAACTCCGGATTCTTTCCACGACCCACACACTTTCCACTCCTCATCTAGCTTGAAGTCCTGACAAACGTCAATAGTTTGTCTAAACAGTCATCTCCACCCACTCGAACAGCAAGCCTGTCTCTTCGTATCTCCTCCACTGCCGATAGATCTATCCCCCAGCTTCCTCAATCTCAACTTCTAATGTTTGTCCATCTACGACGGACACCCGACGTTGCTCTTCGTGACGCCCGGATCACCGCGGCAGATCAGGTGCACGTCGCACTCCGAGTCGTCAAACATGTTGGTGCACGACCAGCAGTCCAGGTTGGAGTCAGACAGTCGGATCGGGAAGCCCTGGATGTGAATGTTGCGGTCGCCCTGGTCGCAGGTGCACTTGCCGTGCCACTCTGGGTTGATGGCGCTGCAGATGCCCAGCAGCTGGGGGCACTCGCAGTTGGTCAGCGGGTTGCCGTAGATGGTCGTCGCCTTGAACCGGATCACATGCTCGCCCAGCTGGCAGTCGTTCTGCCCGCAGTGCACGTCTTCAGTGACGGTCAGGCAGCCGACCGCGTCGCCCTCGGCGGCGACGAAGGGTGCAAAGAGGACGGCCACAGCGGCGGTGAGGAGGAGGGAAAATCTGGCCATCTGGAAGGTGCTTGATTGATGTCGGAGAAGATAGGCTCGTCGAATATCGTAAAGACTCTGTATCAAATGGCTCTTTGTTGGTCTCCTTGCTGCAGTCAGTAAAGACATCGATACCACTTTATATAGATTTGTCTCGCACCTCTCCTGGACGTTCGAGGCCTGAACACGTCTCTCATGACTGGATCGGAAACGCTGCCAAGACGACAGGATTTGATTAAACCTCTATTGCCTCCGTTCCTCAATGGGCTTGCAACAGCGGTCAAGTAATAAGCGCTAGAGAGTCGGTACCTTGGCCAAGACAGGCGGAGGTATACGTGGTGTGTGAGGGTTTTCTCTCGTTCTCCATTATTGAATACATGATGAAGGCAGGTGATAACCAACAACCAGCTTTGACACGGACAAACGGAGGAGCAAGAGTCAAATACCTAGCCGATACAGCGGCTGCGGCTACCATGAAATGCCGCGAGAGACCAGGCCAGTGTCTGTAGTCTTGAAGAGCAGCTAAAGCATTCAACCACTGCATCATAGAGCATACCACCACTCAAATTTGTAAGTCTGCAAGCATAGCCAAGACTGCCTAAAGAACAGACCATTTCCCATAAGTGCTGGCAGGATCGTCTCCTCGTTCTTCAGCGTACATGCCAAAGCTTTTTGTTTCAGAGCCGTGAAAGAAATAGCAGTCACAAACAAAAGCGAGACGGTCGTGAAAACCTCCCTCCCGCCAATCAATACTCTTATACACTTAGTATAGAGTGATCACTCACCAGAGAATATAGGCGGGTGGAGAGTAGGGGGACAAAATTTTTGATTTCATTATGGTATCGGAAAAAAAAAGGGGAGGGGGAGAGGAATATCGTGGTGGCCCCCGATTTCCCATTTCAGACATATAGCTGCCCTATCACGGTTTCCAACCCTTTGCCAATTTCTATGGCGTATACTTGGCGAGTATATAGTTGGTACTATATTCTCACAAGCATCATAACATAGAGCTTATATTTCTCGTGAACAAGAGCCCCCCGGCCCCTCCCCTCCTTCTCACCCCCCTACATCCTCTCCTCCCAACATGACTAGTGAATACTTCGAATGAGCTTATAGTTAGGTTAGAGAGGACGCTAGTACTCCGATTAGGTAGTAAAAGTAACAAGGTCTATCTCATCCTCTTTAGACTTTTAATACCGCCGGCTTTAGCTTACCGGCGGATTTATCCACACGCCTAGAACGCTGCTAAGATTCTATGGTTGGTTCAAAGACGGACATGAGCATCTGAGGGAAGACGGACTTCCTCTCAGGAGAGTGTTGCGCCGGAAGGGCGCTGGTTGATAGCCTCAGAAACCCCCTGTGCTCTCTCAGATGAACTTCAAATGTTCAAGGTGAACGGCCCACCGACGGACATTCCTTGACTTGAACGCTGCTGCATTCCTGAACCCTCGTCGTCTCTACTCGCATGTCGGCCAGCACTGACTCAAAATATTCAACTCACCACCCACCCGTGTCCTACGAGGCTAGAGCCAACAGTCAACACGAGAGTCGGTCGTGCACCCTTTTCCGTTCTCCCCCGCTGTCTGCAATGCCATTTTATCCCAAAGCCTCTCACACGAAGGTGTACTATACACAAAATACACCTTGCTTGGGGTTGCTACACGTCCATCGCATTTTCTTGTCCTGTTAGATTCCCGTGGCCGTTGTATGTGCGGATGTGGGAAACGACGGGGGAAAGCGTACGCTAGTGCCTTGAAGTGGCTACGTCGAGATCTGATAGGTTCTCGCTGAGAGTCGGTCTGTGCAAAGGCCACCGGACCATATGGAGAGCTTGACCATATGCCGACGGAAGACAGGCGATGTTATACGGTAGATAAATGAGCCGAGTATGTCACATTAGATCCATAGTGTATCAGTTAGGGAACTGTGGAAACGACAACGGACACTCCGCGAGCTCGGTTGGGCCTACGATATAGGAAGCCATAGCCAAGGACCGTTTAGCAGCATGTTCGTAGAAATTCTTCAGGGCAAGGTAAGACATCTCGCATTGATCGCGGACTGCGCCGACTTTTGCGGTCTGGCATTGTTTGAATCATGCCGGCGGGCCACCGTCAAGGCTGTGTAACGCCGGCTTGCTCGTCGTGCAGATAGCAGTTCAAGCTTGGTGCTTCACAGCTGGGCGCTCGGTAGTTGTCGATGAAAATACCCCCTTCATTGGCCGACTGGAACGATCCCGGAACCGATGATGAGCCGCTGACCCAAGTAACACGATACGGGTTGGCTGAGGCTACTACGCTTTCTTTGATACGTGTCACTCATCGGCTAGTCTCAATGAACTGTGCAGGCAGGTCGCTCTCCTTATGGTATACCCATTTCATGGGTATTCCGTTGTGAAGGGGCTGGTGTCAGTGGTAGCGAACAGATCAGGGACGGAAGAAGAAAGAAATGAATTCGCCTTGAAGGTTCAATGGTCGTTGAGACTAAAACTGTTGGCACGGTGGACCTCTTCGTTCTCGCTGGGATTTTGCTCTTACGCATTGTCTGGCATTCGGCCAGGGGACACACAACCATTGAGCTAGTGCGAGATCACTCCGTTCTGCTGCCAAGATACAGTCCACAGGCTGTGAAGGACCGTCATGTCGGAAGAGGAATCTCCCTTCTGCTGATGACCAGAGAGGCAGGCACCAGTTCATTCCCTCGGCACAGCGATATCTTTCCCTTTCGCCGATTTGATTGAGTGGGCCGACGGATCCCAAGACCACACCATATAGTGTGTCATCTCGCTATGTCTTCAAGCAATATCGCCAGCGATTCGAGTGTGGTTCCCGAGGCGTTCCTGGGTGCCTTTATGCAGCCATGAATCAGTGCCAGATTCCTTGTAAGGGAATGCTGCCGCCAAAGGGGAAGTTGGAAACCGCATCCGCAGCGCGTGGAACGCGGCGGTCTGCGCGGTGTCGGGGACGGAATGCAGCAGATGAGGGAGGGAAATGTTAGTGGCGAGATGCTGGTGTATCTCGTTGAGGAAACAGTATGGCCTTGAAGTGTTTAGCAATATGCGAGAGGTGGAATTTCGTGTCAATTCCCACTACTAGTGGGTTGTCTGAAAATGCACTCTGCTGAGCGTAATACACCAACAAGAAGTTCTCAAACGTTGCTATGACTTCCTCACCAAGACAAAATCATGCTCGAGAGTCCAGAACCCGGTCGTTTTGTTGCCGTTCGCGTCAACCCTCTCAATCGTCTCGATCCCAAACTGCTTCGCCAGCTCGCCGTCTTCTGACCATCCGAACTGCTTGATGAGGCTCTTCTTCACGCCAAAGACCGGGTCTAGCGCCACGTTCTCGCTGTCGTGCGAGTACAATGCCGTGGTGAGCCGGACGCAATCGGGGTGCTGGAGCACAAAATGCTTTTTTGCGTGACGAGGTCACATCAGCATAATTTCTGGAGAAATTTCTGGCGTGTGTGGGAAGACATCTGACATACCACATGAGCCGGCCGCACGTTCGATCTGTTCAGCAGTCGCAGCAGCACACCTACAGGGCCATCGTACGGGATCGGATAATCGACTGCCCTGACACCGACCAGGGCAAACCTGCCTGCTTCATCCGTGTGGAAGATGCCCCGACAATCTGGTTCGTCCTTTTCGGGATCCTGCATGTCGTAGAAGCCGTTACCATTCGTTTCCCACACATCCACTAAAGCGCCAGACAGCGGCTTCCCTTCGGTGTCGGAGACCGTCCCACGGATGAGCATTGGCTCCCCAATCGCCCCTTTGGATGCAATCGATTGGCCGTTCTCGAACTCATGAGCCTCGTTGTGGAAGGGGCCCAGAACAGACGACTCTGTGGCTCGAGGGGCCGACGGATTGTTGATCGCGTCGACCAGTGCTGATATCCCCAGGACGTCTGACAGCAGGATCATTTCCTGCCGGTCCGGGGTGCAAAACTGCCCGACCTATAAAACGAGTCTTCAGTCCATCTTGAATCGAAGGGACATAAATCGAGAGCATGGACGGTAGGCTCCTACAAACCTCGGTCAGGTATTGCCATGCCGCCTCCCACTCCGCGGTGGTCAGTCTCGTGTCCCGGACAAAGTCGTGTGAGTACTGTATCAGCTTTGCGAAGACGAATTTCAGGCGCTCGTCGTTGATGTGGGACCCGAGTTTGATGACATGGGGGGTCAAGTTCTCGATCGTCAGATCGTCAGGTGAAGCCTTGTTTGCGGCGGCCATCTTCGCGAGCTCAAATTCTCTCGAAGTTTCGTAAATCGTAAGCACAAGCACTTAGCGGAAGAGCACGCGCACTGAAGCTCTCTTTATGAGTTTCCCGTCACCTGCAAAGCCACAATTGAAACCCGGCGACGGGAAAAAGAGAGAACACCGGGTGACATATCTCTTCAAGCTGCGAAGAGCCTTCGATGCCTTGGACTTGGCATCAGAATCTCGATGCGGAAGTAGGCCGTTGCCCTTCCTGGACCGATATCTGGGGCAAAGTGAGGGGAATCGGAATATTCCGAAAGGAGCTATACTCAGAAGCCTGTGATATGTAATCCGAGTATAACGTTTCCTTGAACCAGATGGAGGGGGTTATTCCGGGCGGGCTCGAAAGGTGACATTTGACGTTGACCTTCCTAAGCATGACCCGTGTTCCCTGTCCGGGGGCCGATTTGTCTTATGTAGATTCTGAGCGTCTATGGCAGTTCCCTGCGGCTGGACGATTGCGTTAGAGGATATCCTCCAATTTATGTCTCCAGAGCAACTTTGGGCACAACCGGCCAGTGCGTCTAACACGTGTGGCTGGTCCGAGGCGCCCTATTTGAGATAATGAGCTTTGAAAGGATACTTGAGGCGCGACCCCTCCGGAATATTCAAGCCGAATCCAGGTATCTCCAAGAATAGATTCCGCAGAAGTCGTGGCGTGCTCTTTGCTGTAAGAGGCCTGGGCCTGGGCTTCACTGTACCAGAGCCTGCAATGCGGTTCGCATGGATTGTGCGTGGATTGGTGCTAGTCGCCTGACCTCAAGCTCAATTTCTGAATGATACTGTATAGTCGAGATACTCGTCAGATACTTCCGAGACTACCACCATTACTGATCATGTCATCCGAAGATATTCCTGAGGCAATGCTTACTGCAGAGAATGTCAGGTATTCCAGCTGTGACACCCTGAATGCACAAGCCCACTTCATTGGCTGTGACCAGCCTGAGGTCGAATTGGAATGATCGGTTTCCAAATTCGCTGGGACGTTCCCAGTCAAACCATCACCAGATCACAAGTCCCTCAAGATCTAAGCGAGGCAAAATGCCTACAGCTAGAGGAGAGGCGATGCATGAAGGGCTGCTAAGATTTCAAAGACTCAGAACTTAGTCACCATCAAGTAGATATCTCTAGGGAAGAAAGGCAACTTACAGCAACATCTCCTCGCAGCAACACCGTATACAGCTTGCATAGCAGGTCGTGTGTCGCTCGGCACAGAGCCCAGGTGGACCACGTCTTCCAAGAAGTGTCTAAACATCTGTATTTGTGATGTTAGCGATTTTCTTGGAGTTATTGCGTGTTGATGGCGTTGAGTTACCTCTTCAGAAGCCGGGTCCGTGCCGATGCGTTTTCGAAGCTCGTTGATTGTCAGAAGGCGCAAGAATGCCGACGTGATCGTGATCGCAAGAACTCCCCCAAATGCTTCAAAGGCTTGGAGATTGCTGATCACAGCCACGCGATGTATCACCATGGTGGCAATCCTCCCCCTCTATAGGACCAGAGCTTGACCTTGTGGTGGACTAAACAGTATTGTACAAACGAGCAAGCAATTGGATGGTGCACCCGCCAACAATCCAACGAAGCCCACTGTCGGCAACCCACTGTCGGCAACCCACTGTCGGCAAGAAGGCCCGGTGATTTGGTACTAGACGAGGTCAGTCAAGAGATTCCGTAGTTTCCTGACGATACGGCACCCGTCCAGCCCTGTTACGAGATCCAAAGGTGTCTTGCCAATACGGAGAGTGTGGCAATCAATGGTACTCGTGGTCCATATAGCTTAACAAATCTTGCACCGGCCACTGCCCCCAAGGTCATGGATATCATGAAGATGGACACGACAATGCCATGAGACCTTCCGAGTCCAAAGTATTCAGCCTAGGCATACAACCGGGGCAAGAACACTACCTAAAATCTGATGAGTTTCTGGAAATCATTGAGGGCTGCGAGGAGTGCGATGACCACTGGACCCCGCCAATCGTGCAAGATCAAATCCACGGATCAGAACAAATCCGTTACGCCATGTATTTCAGTGGCGGCGTTTCCGAGACGTTTTGGAGGCTCTCGGAAACCACACAGGTCTTCGGAGACAGGTCTCTCCACTGTCCCATGCCAGTGAAAAGGTTGTATGCAAGGCAAATCCTTCGGGGAAGTGCTCTGCCTTTGAACTGGCATGCGCCTGGAGGTGGAGGGTGTGACGTAGATGTTCTTCCAAGGACGGCACATGTTGGATACTCAACGCGGGTAGAGGAGCTGCGGTGACCATCTTTGGATCGATGCTAAGGGATAGTTGTTCATGGACTACTCTCATGCCGTCCTGGCACAAACAGACTCTCTGGGTTATCTGGGGTAATTTGGGCAGATTATCTGGATGGAGTCGTTCACAGTCCGTTATGGCTCCTTGGACGTATTGCTTCCCAGTGCGGTCAAGTCGCCCGAGTGTATGGTTTTCTGTTATTGCCTAGATCATCAAGGAAGACTCTCAAAAAAGAAAAGACAGAAGTCGGGTTTCTACACGCATTGCCAAGTTGTTATTCGATGGGTGGGTGGTATGACAGGATAGGATATAGAAGAAAAATAGGAGAATTTCCCCATACAAATAAACATCGCTTGATTCGGCCAAGTTCGCCGAAATTGTCCAAAATAGTCGAAGAAACATCCCCCTTATGCTTCCTAGTCCTCCACGTTCGAGTTCATCAATTCAGCTTGGGAATCTTTCTGTATCTGTTTCGGAAAATATACGACGCAGTTTGGCATGATGAGGGACTTACGGGCTCTGGAGAGCTCAGCAGACTCACTTGCAGTTTTGAAAGCGTCTCGGGTGGTATATAGCAGGGCAGGGCATTGGAACAAGTTGTGTATCTGCCCTGCAACTTGTTTTCTGTTCGGCTTCTTGAATCTGTACAAGCACGACAGAGGATGCTACTTCTTGCTCTCCTGCTCATCGCCCTCTGTGGCTTTGCGTCATATTGCGTCGCCTTCCCGGTGTTGCACTACTTCTGGGATGCGAAAGGTCTGCGAAAATATCCAAACTGGTCCACCTTCTCCGGGATATCAGACCTGCCATATGTCTATCTGAGTGCAAAAGGAACGCGATCTCAGAGCATACATGAGGCACACAAAAAGGCACCTATCCTGCGCATTGGCCCAAACTCTCTCTCATTTGGCGATGTGAATGCCATCAAGGACATCTACGGTCACAGCTCGGGCTGCAGGAAAGACTTGAACTATGTCATCCTGAGCGGAACGCATACGCATTTGATCGATGTTGTGGACAAAGGGGAGCATGGACGGAAAAGAAAACAACTCTCTTCTGCCTTCGCGATCAAAAACCTGGAAGGCTGGGAGTTCAAAGTTGCAGAGGTGACTGGCCGACTGCTCAAGCAGTTCGACGCCCATTGTACGGCACCCCTCTCAAGCCAGGACGACATACCGGATCCTGCTGGATTGAACCTAGACTTTGGCAAATGGATAAACCTGTTTACGATCGACGCAATCAACAACATCGCCTTGTCGGCTCAACTTGGCCTCCTGGAACAAGGGTCAGACGAGGTCACCGCCGAGAGAATGGATGGCACGACCTACAGAGCACGATACCGGCAGGCACAAAACCAGACATCGTACGCCCAGTCAGCCATGGTGTGGGACTATCGAAATTACCACCTGCTCGCAAAACTCTCTCGCCTCCTTCCGAAATGGCGCAAGATCTGGAAGGAAGCCGAGCCGTGGAACGATATCGTTCTCCACCAGGTCAAGGAACGTTTGAGGCGATACATGGCGGGCGAGAAACTTGACGACTTTTTCTCCGCTCTGATGGACGACAAGTCCGGCAGCCCTCGCAACTTGGAGCTGGGGGAGCTCTATGCCGAGGTCAGTGTCATCATCAACGCTGGCGCAGACACAACGGCCATTGCGCTCACAAATCTCCTGGATGCATTGATTCGACACCCTCAGCACCTTGCTACTCTCAGGGAGGAAGTAGACGGGGCCCTTGATGAAGACGAGGTTGTCGCCCCTTATGACAAAGTCAAGCATCTTCCATTTCTGCGGGCCTGCATTGACGAAAGCATGCGACTTATGCCTCCGACTTCTGCAGCCTTGATGCGTCGGACGCCTCCCGAAGGGGCTCAGATCATGGGCGAATGGATACCCGGCGACACAAGTGTCTCGATGACAATCTACGGAGCCCACCATGACGCCAACATTTTTCCAAACCCGAACGAGTTCCAGCCTCAGCGGTGGATGGATGCGGAGGAAAGAAAACGGATGGAGCCCTATTATATCCCGTTCACCACTGGCGGACGGGCATGTATTGGGAGAAACATTTCGTATCTTGAGCAGGTTGTGGTTTTGGCATCACTCGTGCATCGCTATGACTTTGCTCTCCCGGGTCCGGAATGGACGCTTAGGCGTCACGAGGCGTTCAATATCATTGTGGGCGAGATGCCGGTCAAGATCTGGCGGAGGGAGCTTTCCTAAGGGAGCTGGGGATTCTTAGTTTCGCTTCTACCAAGATCGAAACCCAGTAGAGAAAGAGATAGACAGAATTACAAAACATCCTGCTCTCTGAATTTGTGTGTGTTCGTCAACTTTCTGACTTTCATTAGCCGTGCTTTGGTTGTAGGCTGCAGGCTCTCTTAAGTCATACCGCGTTTAGCTTTACTCCTCCTACAATTCCAGCACTTCAGGATCTTACGAAGGTCTGGCTAATGCGTTCCAATTTCCGTACTACGATAGCGGCTTTAATGCTGCATTCCCGACATGGAGTCGGCATTTGAATGCTTCAATTCCCGGCGCTCTATTCCGAAAACCCCCCAAAGCCAGGTTCCCAAAAGAGATGAACTCGCCGAAACTACGAAAATGCGGCAGAGAAAGCAGTCTTCTCATGGAAACAACCCGCCGCGCCCCGGAGATCTCTCCCCATACCCCGGACCACGTTATGGGGGACTATTTCCAGCATTCGAACGTTGCCACACGGCAGCGCTCTAGCTATGCGAATGCTTCGCAGCGGAAAGTTATATAAACGAGCATGTTCCCCAAGAATGTTCGGCTTCCATTCAACGCCCTTACTACAGCTCAAGGCCTTGTCCGTTCAGGCTTGCCTTAAAATCCATCCTGTTGATATTTCACGACGTCGCCACAATGACTCAACTCGATGCGAAAGGGCCTACCACTCCCGCGGAGAGTACCAACCACGAAGAATATGTTGAACTTGCCAACCACGTGCTTCACGCTGATCTTACCTATGACAAGGAAGGCATTGGAGGGATCCTGCGGTCGCCCTTCGTCTTTGGCGCCGCCTTGCTGGCTTCATTTGGCGGATTCTCGTTCGGTTATGGTGAGATCCCTGACCAACTGGCTACCAGAGAGAAACAAGCCCTGACACAGTATACAGACCAGGGCGTGATCTCCTTGATCCTGGTGATGCCGCAATTCCACGAGCAATTCCCCAAGATTGCTCCTGGCGCGGCTCACTATGGCTTCAATGTTGGCGTTATGACAGGTCTGCTCGAACTCGGTGCCTTCATTGGATGTCTCTGTCTACCGTATCTGGCGGATCGCTTGTCGCGGAAATGGGGCTTGACGGTTGCGACATGTTTCTTCTGCATCGGGGCTGTCATACAGACTGCTTCTTCCAACTACGGTACCCTGGTTGCTGGCCGCTTCATTGGGGGCATTGGCGTTGGAACTCTGGCTGTGAGTTTTCCTGCTCTGCCATCTTGTCCTCCTATATCTTGATCGCAGGTTTGATTTCGACGCTGACTCGGGCAATTCTCTAGATGGGCGCTCCTCTCTACATTTCCGAAATTGCACCCCCAAATATCAGAGGGTCTCTACTGGTGCTCGAGGCCATCAGCATTGTCATTGGGGCTATAATTGCCTATTGGATCACCTATGGGACCAGGCAAGACAGCCCCCTCGATGCTCCGTTGTCGATTACTTCCTAACACACTCTGCAGGCACATTGCTGGTGACTGGTCTTTTAGGCTCCCCTTCCTATTGCAAATGGCACCGGCTCTCGCCGTTGGTCTGGGCATCCATTTCTTCCCATTCTCTCCTCGCTGGCTCGCCATGAGAGGTCGCAATGGTGACAGCTTGAAAGCATTGGCAAAACTACGAAGACTTCCAGAGGACGACCACCGCATTCAGACCGAGTGGAAAGGTATTCTGGTTGATGTTCGCTTCCAGGAGGAAATGCTGAAGCGTGAACACCCCGACACCGGCCCATTAATGCTCGAGGTCAAACAATGGATCCAGCTCTTCAAGCCCAAGTACATTAAGCGAACATTGGTGGCAATCGGCATACCATTCTTTCAACAGGTAAGAGCATTGTTCTCACCTCTTTGGCTGTCGCTGACTCGCCGCTGGCTTCAGTTCTCGGGTATCAATGCGTTTGTATATTATGCACCGACCTTTTTCGCTGCACTGGGACAAAGTTACGAGATGACCTTGATTCTCTCTGGGATGGTGAATATCTGCCAGCTTGTCGCAGGGTAGGTTCGACCTGTTTCGTAGAAGCTCTCAAGGTCCATCTATACTCACCAATACTTCTCAGGATCCCGACTTTCCTCTTTCTCGACCAAATAGGAAGACGAAAGCTTGCTATATTTGGCGGCTTGGCCATGGCAGCACCGCACCTGATTATGGCTGGTGTTGTGGGCAAATTCAACGGCCGTTGGTCAACACACCAAGGCGTCGGGTGGTTTGGTGTTGCCCTGATATGTAATGCGCTGTATACCCGCAAGCTTTCGACCCGTCACTGACTTCATACAGATTTGTATGTCCTAACCTATGCGGCATCGTATGGGCCACTTGCGTGGACCTTGCCAGTAGAGTGTTTCTCAACCGCGACAAGAAGCAAGGGCGTCGGAATCGCCACTGCTACGATCTGGATAGCAAATTTCATCATTGGAGTGGCTGTCCCACAAAGTAAGTCCTCCTACATTTCGGGATACTTTTGTACTTTCCACAATCCTATACCTTGTATTGCCAAATGATACTAACAGGTCTCCGGCTTAGTGGTCATATCCATCGGCTGGGGCACCTACCTCTTTTTTGGCTGCTTCTGCATTGCAGCCAGTATCTTTTCATTCTTCTTGGTCCCTGAAACCAGCAAGAAATCACTAGAGCAGATCGCCGAAGTGTTCGGAGACAAATCCATCTACGAGGAGGCCGAGTTGATGGGCCGCGTGGCGGGAGAGCTCTTTGGGATGGCGGCATCGGTCGAGGAGCTGAAAGTGTGAAGCATATACAAATCCCGAGATTCAGGCAGTAGTTGTGTGTATGCATTTCATTACCATCAGTGGCTTGTAGCCCAATAAAAGGGGCTTTACAGCGGCTTTACAGCCAATCTCAGCCTTGCCATCTAGCAACGGCTCCGTGCTTCATCTGAATGCTTCAACACACCACCTCCACTCGTTATCCAACGTTACCTTTGACTCGCAGGATCCCTCTCCCCCAATGATGTTATTCCGTTAGAGCTTGCCACCAACTCCAAGTTAGTCCCGAAGATCGTGATGCGGGGTGAGTTGCAGCTTTCTTCTTTAAGGAGCCCAGACGCCCTACTCCCACTAATAGAGTCCATCTTCGCTCTATATGGACACACGACTGTCTCGTCACCATAGAATCGATTGCTGAAATCTGTGGCCACCGATGGTTCTGTCACGTCCCAAGCCGATGCTGAACGAGTAAGTGGGATCGCCCGACAGTAATAGTCACCTTGGGGCCGCGACCGCTAGCTCTGAATCCTGTTTCGTCATGAGAGCTCGACCTCCATGGTGAGGACGAAACACAGCAAAGATGTCGCAACCTCACAAAGAACGGACTGTTCCATGCACAAGCTGCAAGAGTATACTACCCCTTATCCCTTCACGCAGAGTTATTATGGCTGATACGGTTGAATTGTGTAGATAGGCATCTCAAATGTAAGCAAGTTCTCTTCCAAAATGCCCTACATCGAGACTGAAGCAGCTACGAAGGCGACCCTCATGTACCTTGCCGCAACTGCAAAAAGTCCAGTCTCCAATGTTTGCGTCCAAGGAAATCTTTCCGCTTCAAAAAGGCTCCTCGGCCTCAGCATGAGTTCACCTTCGACTCAAACCAGACATGGTTGGCACCGAACAAACATGGTTTGTCCAAACCCATTAGACACGGCGACGTCCCTCCTGCTCATTTGCTTACTGGATTTTCAGACGCCTTATCTTACATTGATGTTACGAAAGAGGTTGCTCTTGCTTCTGTCGGATCTGCACAGCACCCGGACCACACCAACGAACGCCGGTCTAAAAGGCTACTGCCAGATCACACACATGAAAGTGCAGAGCGAGCGGCAGAAGCCTCGTCCCTTTCTGACCAAGCAGCACCTGAACAATTACACGGATCTCCGGTCTATGATTCTGACGATGAAATAATGGAAAACCCACAACCCACCTACGAAGAGCAGTCTCGAGCCCAAAGGATTGAACCAGACCTGTTCAGCCGGATTGAGGCTTCATCAAGTCCCATCCAGACCCAACCTGTCGAGCAAGTCCAGTCATCGACTGAGGTCCCAAGCCATGATCAGTCACGTCCAGCCGGTTCTCAAACTCAGGTCGGGAGTCAGACGGGACATGGTCTCACCCCTAGCAATCAATCAGTATCCGACCTACCACATCCATCTTATGCCTTTCCGTCACCGTATTATGCTTCTCCCGATGCGTTACACGGTCTCCCAGAGAAAGCAACACATCAGGCATACACAAGCCTCCAGGAGGCTTGTCTGATCAAGCACTTCATCAACAAGTTGGCGCATGCCGTGAGTTTCAAACAACTTCGACCCTAATCCCTTCTAACTTTTACAGTTCGAGACAACCGATCGAGACCGCCATTTCTCTCTTGTGATCCCCCAGCGTGCCATGTTCTGTCCGGTGCTTTTATATGCCATACGTAAGTCTTTTGTTTCGGAGGAAGATCAATTGCCGGACTCCTCCTGCTACGGTTTCAGCTAAGGATGTACTCAGTCACTGCGTCGGCACGCCACCTGACTCGATTGCATTCAACACATAGTAAACGGCCGGTCGAATTTGAAGGAACTCCTCTCGCCGACCTCAACGAAAATTCGGCAGTAGAATATCACAACCTCTGCATTTCCTACCTGATGGAGGTATTGAATGATCCGAAGAAGACGATCAATCAAGACGCTCTAATTGCTGCAACCATCCTCAGGTTCCACGAACAAATTGACAGTGAGTCTTCCCCATGGAATATGTGACTCAATATGAAATTTCAGAGTGATATAGCTCGGCATGGGTCATATCTGAGTCTGTACTGACAAGTTGGCGCTTACAGCCCCATTGACCGGCTGGGACTCGGAGACCTATCTAAGCGTCCTCCGGGGAGTGATAGAGTCACAACAGAACGGATCCTTCTATTCCCTGCGCACGATCCATGGTCCTCCCCGAGACTGCGATATATATGCCTCAAACAATGCGTCGCTGGCTCATTCTGCTTGCTTGATTGCTCTCCGACAGGAAATCTGGTCGGTCTTACTCTACCGTAGACCTTTCCGTCTCCCACTCTGTCCAGACAACGACTATTCAGATCTGGATCCAGCAGTGGATGACTACACATGGACGAACCGCATCTTGGTCTGGTGTGCCGATGTTTGCAAATTCGCGTTCGGTGGGGTAGGCGGTACCATCGAGCCGAGTAGCCGTGTTGATCGGTGGAAGCGCCTCAAAGTCGTGCAGGACAAGTGGGATTCGGTTCAGCCAGCCTGCTTCAAGCCCCTTTACTACCGAGACGCGGATCCCTTGAGGGGTAAGTATTTCCCAGAGGAATGGCACATGAATGATTGCCAGGTTCTCGCGCTCCAGCACTTCGAACTGGCGCGAATATTGCTTGCTGTATACGACCCAAACCTCCAGAGATTAGGGCTAGGCTCCAGTTCGTCCATGACTTCCCTCGAAGCTCAACTAAGGCGCTCCACAATGCGTCTCTGTGGACTGGCTCTTGCCAATATCAATGACCAGCCCGGCATGGTCACAGCAGCAGTGGGAGTATCGATGTGCGGCGAATACATCCGCGATGCTGGAGAGCAGTCCGCCGTTGAAGGTTTTCTCTCTACGCTAGAGCGCGAGCACGCTTGGCCCACCCAAGCTGTCAGGCATGCTCTGCGAGATGCTTGGGAGGCAACACGAAAGCAGTCAGCAGCATATTCAAGCCCAGAAGAGTAGCAGTCACCGCATATCCCCTTGATTACTTGTCCTTCAAATCCTGAGGCGGTCAGCGCACAGGTCCTTGAGTCAAGTCAGGTCCCGTTCTTGATTCAAGTCAGAAGGATTCGTCATTCTGCATAGCACCAATACGAAATACCCTGGCGATCGTTTCCTCAATCTCGGTCCAAATGGAAGCGGCGGCTTCTAATTCCCTGGGCAGACTCCCTAGTGGCGTGGTTCAATCCCAATGCGTCTGGTGGATAGGCACATCTCACCGTTTCCAGGGCGAGCTAAGAGGGAAAAGATTCCTCCCCGTCTCCAGATATACGTAAAGACGCCGATTTCGCCCCGCTTCGGGGTTTTCCATCCCTGAGCTTGCACCAATAAGGCAGTCTTCGGAAGAGGACCAGCGTCCCTAAACCTGGCTACAGATTGGCCATCTAGCAAACCATCTAGGCGAGTGGTGCCACCCTGGCTGCCGGATCTCAATTATGCATAACCATTGGTCTCAAGCCCTGTTCAGCCTATCGTAATTTCGATATTGGCCGAGTCTAGGCCCTTGTCGATCAATCCGTTGCTTTTCCGGGGCCTCTCCTCTCGGTGCTCTCCCGCATCTGGCTCGGTTCAGCAACGAGCTTTCAGCTTTCAGCATTTACAATTAACGAATAACCTCGAGACTGCAATGCTCTTGACTTCCCAGCTTCTGGCAATTGCCGCCTAGAACCTTAAGGAAGGCCACAACGATTTCAATGAATCCAGATGTTGAATACGACGGATCCCCGCGTGGGCTCGGCCCGTGACAATTCTACGAGCCCTGGATTGTCTCGTGTGGTTTCTGGCTCAAACTCATCTTCAACAAGCAACCTTGTTGCGACATTAGTGCCAGTCTTGATCTGGGCTGCCTTGTGTCTCATTATCTTCATTGTTCTACGGCGCAAATGTCCTCGAGTATACGGTCCAAGGGCATCGCTGAAGAGCCTGGAACCACAGTATGTCTTTTCGCCCTGACTCTCACTAGTCACAGCTGTAAGGCTGACATGTGTGAAAAGCGAAAAGAGTGCACCTCTTCCCAATGGGTGGTTCAACTGGTTCACCGAGTTCTATCGCATCCCTTCTGTTTTTGTGCTTAATCACTCATCCCTCGATGGATATCTCTTTCTGCGCTTTCTCAAAGTGCTGGCGATAATATGCCTGGTTGGAGTGTTGCTCCTTTGGCCCATTCTTCTCCCCATTCATGCGACAGGTGGTGCGGGCAATCAGGGGTTGGATTGCTTGACTATGGGAAACGTGGTGGACCACAACCGACTGTACGCCCATACCCTCTTGTCATGGGTCTATTTTGGTATGTCATGTGCGGACTCAATTTAAGCATTCCCAGTAACGTGCTATGCAGCGTTCATCCTGTACATGGTCTCACGAGAATGTGTATACTATATCAACTTACGACAAGCGTATCTCCTTTCACCATTTTATGCAAATCGACTGTCCTCGCGGACAGTGCTATACAGAAATGTACCTCGACAGTTCCTGGACGAGCAGAGGCTTCGATGGATGCTTGGAAGCTCTGTCAAGCGGATTTGGATTCCCCAAACGACCAGTGAGCTTGAACGCCTTGTCGAGGAAAGGGAGCAAACGGCGATGCGTCTGGAAAAGGCCGAGTTTGAACTCATCAAGATGGCCAATGCGGCAAGGACGAAAGCACTTAAGAAAGGAAAAAATGGGAACAAGCAGGAACCAAGTCAAGAATCTCTCGAAACCGAATCCCGGAGTGAAAATGGGAGAAAATCCGTCTCAAGATCTGGCGCCGCCGAAATCATATCGGCGCCCGACAGCCCACAGGACGCCTCTTACCCTTCGAAAGAGATGGGAGAGCGGACTCTGCCAGATGTCAACGGATCAGTTGCCTCACAATGGATCCCGCATAGCTCGAGGCCACACCACAGACCGATTGCAAACTACGGGCGCCGCGTGGACACGATCAAGTGGACCAGGAATCAGATCAGGAAGCTGAACAACCAAATTGCCAAAGTGCGGCGAGACCAGCTTTTCAAAACCGAGGGCATGCTGCCTTCCGTCTTTGTGGAGTTCGAGACACACACAGATGCACAACACGCCTACCAGACGCTGACGCATCATCGCCCGTTGCACATGGCTCAACGCTTTATTGGGGTTCGGCCATTCGAGATCCTATGGGAGTCGTTGAGCATGTCGTGGCTAGAGACGATCGTGCGAAAGTTCTTGATCAAGGCTCTGATCACCGCCTTGATAATATTTTGGGCCATTCCATCCGCCCTAGTAGGCACAATTTCTAATATTGACTATCTATCGGAGAAGGTCAGTTTCTTAGGATGGATAGCAGATCTCCCAAGCTCCGTGAAGGGTATTTTGAGTGGTGTCGTTCCGGCCATGGCTCTGTCTTTGCTGATGAGTATCGTTCCGGGGATCCTGAGATGTAAGTCGATGCTCAGCTCCCAGTATTCCAAATGCTGACCTTGAACCAGACTGTGCGAGGCTAGGCGGAGTTCCAACTCTGAGCATGATCGAGCTCTACACCCAGCATGCCTACTTTGCATTCCAAGTGGTCCAAGTATTCTTGATTACGACCCTGACATCCGCAGCGTCGGCAGCCGTTACGAAGTTGCTCGAAGATCCGACAACGGCAAAGGACTTGCTCTCGCAGAATCTGCCCAAGGCCTCCAACTTCTATCTCTCCTACTTTCTTCTGCAGAGCCTGGCACTTGGCTCTTCCGCGCTTGTCCAATTCGGTAATCTGTTCCAGCTGTATGTGTTTCAAAGGTACATCAGCAGTCCACGGAAGATGTACAGGAGATGGCACCGGCTGCAGCGTATTCATTGGGGGGCAGTCTTTCCCGTCTACACCAACCTTGGTGTCATCAGTGAGTTCTTTCGAGCACATGTTCTGCTTGGGCTGTTTCTTACATTGTGGCAGCTCTCAGCTATGCGCTTATTGCGCCAATAATCCTGGGATTCGCCGCTGTCGGTCTCCTCTTCTTGCATATTGTGTACCGATACAACCTCATCTACGTTTACGATTCTGAAGTCGATACGAGAGGGCTGGTCTACCCTCGCGCTCTTATGCACCTCCTCTTAGGCTTATACTTCTCCGAGGTTTGCATGATTGGTTTGTTTTCGCTCAAAGGAGCATACGTCCCAGTCGTGTTGACTGTGGCCCTCCTTGTTCTCACTGGTTTGGTCCATACTTCGCTCATCGACGCGCTGGGGCCACTTTTATGGAGTCTGCCAAAAAGTTTGACGATGCAAGAAGACCAGCTGCACTTACTGGCTAGTACCCCGACGAATCGACGCATTGCCGAAGATATAGAGCGATCCGAAGAATATCATTCCGACAAAGAGGAACAGGGGCCAGACCAAGGCGACAGCAGGGCCTTGGAAGGCGCAAGTGGAGCTCTCAACGCCCTGGGAGGCGGCGTCAAAACCATGTTCAGGAAGAAACTGAAAAAGGAGGTTCCCGCCGAAGCCCACATGGTGGTGAATGCTCTCAACGCATTTTGGATGCGATGGCTCTCACCAAATCCCGCAGACAAGTCGAACTTTCTTCTACGCTGGCTCCATCCCGAGGTATATTCCGACTACACCATACTTCGTCGGATGGTGCCATCCGACTTGCCAGACCCAGTGTATCCGGATGAGATTGAGCAGGATATCTACTACCCACCTTCGTTCTTCGCCAAACCGCCGACGTTATGGATTCCCCGTGATCCAGGCGGGATCAGTCGACAAGAGGTGGAACACAGTGGGAAGGTCATTCCCACCACAGATGAATATGTACAAATAGACGAAAACGGCAATGTGATGATCAATCTGGAGGAGAGCCGACTTTTTTTTGACGTTAGCCGGCTGAGATATTGATATTCATAATGATAATGACACCCTGACAATCTAAGTTAACCATGATATCCCTTTTCTGGTGCCGTCAGATGTCTTTTCGCCCTGCTCGTGCACAAGGCTGGAGCAAAAGGCTGTCATTTGCAGAGGCGGAAACTCTTAGCGCGGCGGCAGGAGGAACCGAGAACTTTCACGCATCCGCACCGCAGGGCGGTAAAAGACAATACATTCACCACCAGGCAATCGTCGCTTCACTTCAGTATACGCTCGCCTCGTATTATTCGACTTCTTTTGTCACTGCCAACTCGTGTTTCCCTCGCCATGAGATGACGACTTGTGTCCTTCCAAACTCTCTCCCGTCCCTCAACTGATCTCCCACCACTGCCAACATGGCGTCAACAGCAGTGCGAAATGGCAGTACTGCCAGTGACCCCAACGGAAGAGCAGGGGCGGTGGGAGTCACGCCGGCGTCACGCTTTGCTGATATCCCCTCCGCGATCGATATTCCTGTGTCCGGCGGGCTGGACGCCGACGAAGCGGTCGAAGTCAATCTTGAGGACCACCTCGACGACCCTACGGAGCTCTGTCAACTCCTGGAAAATGAAAAGGCTGCGAAAAATCTATGGATCACAATCGCACTGGCGTACGCCAAACAGGCTCAAATCGACCACGCGATCGAAATATTGGCCAAAGGCATGGGGTCACTGTCAAGGAGCGGGCCCAAGGAACGTCTGAGCCTGCTCGCCTGTGTGGCGTGGTTGAATCTTCTCAAAAGCAGACAGGCTCCCCGAGTGTTACCGGAGAATCAGCAATCGTCCGATGTGAAGACCAAAGATCATTACCTGCGAGAAGCCACCGCCTCGATCAATGACGCCCTCCGAATCAATCCTGCCTTCCCTCCACTCTATCTCACCAGAGGCGTGCTTTTCCTCCTTCGAGCTTCCTTGCAAGCGTCAACGAAAGCTGGGTCAGATACTGAAAGAGCCGAATCTCTTAAACAGGCGCTCAAGTGTTTCGATGACGCGCTGCGGGCCTCGGAAGGTCGCAACATGATGGCTTCAATTGGAAAAGCTAGGACACTTTATTTGCAGAAACAATATGGCCCGGCGTTACAAGTGTACCAGGACGTGCTCGCCAAAATGCCCGGGCTCACAGACCCGGATCCTCGGATAGGCATTGGCTGTTGTCTGTGGCAGTTGGGATACCAGGACAGGGCGAAGATGGCTTGGGAGCGGTCGCTGGCACTGAACCCCGAGTCAAAGATCGCGCATGCGCTCCTGGGGGTGTACTATCTGCACGAAAGCGCCAAATACCCGGCCTCTGACCCGCAGTTCAACGCTCTTTACAAGAAGGCTATGATCGACCATACGAAGAAAGCGTACACTATCGACAAAAATTTCCCCCTCAGCTGTGCGACTTTTGCGAGTTATTTCCTCTTGACGGGGCGCTACGACACGGTGGAACCCTTGGCGCGAAAAGCCATCGAACAGACTGACATCAATGCCATCGCTAGTGACGGTTGGTATTTGCTGGCTCGAAAGGAGCACAACAAGGGGGACTTGCCAAGAGCAAATGACTATTACAACCGGTCAGACCAGGCACGGGGTGGCCTGGATCGAGGCTACTTCCCGGCGAAATTCGGTCTCATTCAGATTATGATTCAGACCCAGGACATTCAGGGTGCCAAGTTCCGGCTGGAAAATCTCTCCCAGCTCAAGGGACATGTAGAGGCCATGACGCTGCTGGGCTGTCTTTATGCCGAAGAAGCGTTCTCCGCCCAGAACACGACGACCAAAGATGACAAAGCGACCGCGGCGCGCAAGGCCATACAGCTGCTAGAGGGTGTTCGAAAGACCTGGAAGGACGAAAAGACTCGGAACAAACCCGATGAGTCGGTTCTGCTCTACCTCGCGCGTTTGTATGAGCTTGAGAATCCAGTTGAAAGTCTAAAGTGTCTGCAAATGGTCGAACAAATGCAGCTAGAAAAAATTCCGGATGAAGACAAGCCAGATCCGAACGAGGAGGAAGCAACATACATTGCGCAACTCCGCGAGAACTTGCCCCCACAGCTTCTGAACAATATGGCGTGCTTCTTATATGGGCAGGAGTCGTACTCCCTGGCCCGAGAGACATTCCAGATTGCGCTCAATGCTTGTGTCAGACTCACTGAGAAGCAAGAGGCTGAAAAGAAGGCGCTGGAGGAAGAGAAAATCGGTACGGAGGATGTCGACAACAGCGATACCGATGCTCTGGTGACCACGATTTCATACAACCTCGCCCGAACTTTGGAGGCATTGGGACTCTTGGAGGAGGCTCAGAAGGTTTATGAAGGCCTCCTTGCCCGGCACTCCGACTACACAGATGCTTCCGCGCGCCTAGCGTTCATAGCCTTGGAAACGTCACCGCGAGACGAAGGGCCGCGAAAGATCCACGCAGTTTATCAAAACGACTATGGCAACACCGAAATCAGGGCTTTGATGGGCTGGTACCATCACAGCGCCAAGAAGAAGACTTCCAACATTGCCGAAGATGCTGAGAATCGTCATTATAAGCACACATTGCAGGGCTATGACAAGCATGACCTTTATTCTCTCGTTGGTATGGGTAACATCCACCTCACCATTGCGAGAGATATGCCCCGAAATACGGATCAAGAAAAGGAAAAGCGGACCAAAATGTATGCCAAAGCATACGAGTTCTTCGACAAAGCGTTGCAGTTGGACCCAAAGAACGCCTATGCCGCACAGGGAGTTGCAATCGCTCTCTGTGATGACAAGAAAGCATACTCAGATGCGCTGCAGATATTCACCAAAGTTAAAGACACTCTCCGGGACCCCTCGGTCAACATTAACTTAGGTCATGTGATGACAGAACTTCGGCAGTATCAACGTGCCATCGATAACTACGAGATCGCACTGAGAAAAGACGGCAAGAGTGAAAACGCTCAGCTGTTGGCGTGCTTGTCGAGGGCATGGCTGTTGAAAGGCAAGGCTGATCAATCCATACCTGCTCTGACCACTGCTCTCGATTACATGAAGCGCGCTCTGGCTACCCAACCCGACTCTCCTCATTTGCAATTCAACGTGGCTTTCATTCAGTTCCAGATTGCGCAATATGTGAACCAGGCTAAGGAAACGGATCGGACGCTTGAAGACGTGGATGCTGCCATCGCCGGGCTTGAGCAAGCCATTGATACCTTTGAACAAGTCGCTCGACATAAACAACCTCCATATCCCCGGACGGCACTCGAGCAGCGGGCGGCCATGGGTAAAAACACCATGAGAAACCAGCTGGAGCGCCAACGTGTGAGACAGGCCGCATACGAGAATGAAAACGCCACGAAATTGAAGGAAGCGAAGGAGAGGCGGCAGGAGGAGCTGCGAAAACGGGAGGAGGCCGCAAGAAAACGCAGACAAGAGGAAGAGGAACGTGCCCGGAGGATTGCAGAAGAACGGCGAAAGATTGTCGAGGAGACGGAGAGAATTGCCGAGCAGATTCGCGCCGAGGCCGCAGCCAGAGAAGCCGCCGAGTACACGGACGACGACGAAACTGGAGAGCGCGTGAGGCGCAAGAAGAAGCCCAGGGCTGGGGGCAAGCGGAAGAAGCGAGATGACGAAGATGGGTTCATTGAAGACGACGAGGATGGGAAGAGCGAAAGAAGTGTTTCGCGGACTCCAGTTAGTGGTTCGGACAACGAGGCCCCGGCAGAGATGCCCAAGAAGAAGAAGAGAAGGCTGGAGAGGAAGAGTGCGGCAAAAGAAACTCCACGGAAAAAGAATGAGAAGTTCAAGTCCGAGGCCGTGGTGGTGGACTCAGACTCCGAATTGGAAGACGAGGCGAGCGCTGTAGCGACCCCGGAAGAAGCTACCATCGACACCCCGGCATCCGAAGTCCCGGATAGGGATGAAGAAATGGAGGATTCACGCAACGGACCTGAAGGGGAACAGGAGCAAGTTCAACCTAAGCCGCCACCGAGGCAACGCAAACAACTCCGGACCATTGCCGACGACGACGATGACGACGACGAGGAAGACGAGGAAGAAGCGTTCAATGCGGGCACTAATGGCCACACGGATGCAGCGAGGACGTCTGCCGAAGCCGGTTTTGGGGGTGATGATGATGATGACGAGTAGGCGCCGTTGGGGTCTTACGTATTCTCGATCTCTGACCCTTTGCATAGTGAGAAGGACGGCGGGAGGAGCGTTCAGTAAAAGTGTGTTTTCTACATCACTGCTTTCTTGTGTTTGCCTGTGGCTGCTGTGCCTGAGCTGGTGGGGATGATGACCAGGTTTCTACAATGTATAACATCACAGCGACTTCTGTTCTACGAATGAAGTAAACGGGTGGAGCAGAGGACCATTGAGGCCTCTGGAAACGGACTTGAGGTTAGCAGTCAACTCGAGTTAATACCATTCAATGATCGGATCGAAGTCAGAATACAAGTTCTCAGCCTCGTCCGAGTAGACAGTGTTACTTGGCAAGGCTGAGTTATGACTCGCGACACGCAGAAGACGTCACGTGTTCCGAGTCAGGTGGCATGAACGGTGCAAGTCGCCTATTCAAGTGGCTGCCTTCTCCTTGCATGAAAACCTCATTACATGTCAACGTTTCGCTGCAGATCAAGGTGCCTATGAGACCGGCCGCCAGAGCACGACTTTGATGGCTACTTCACCGGCGAGACAACAAGCACTCATTCGACGAGCATCTGCGGACGATGTCGCTCTCATGCCCCCGCCCCCTCTCAAGCGGATAAAAAGACCCCCCAAAGTTCTGGACGAAGATGAATACACCCAGGCACTGTCCGACATCATCGCCCGCGACTATTTCCCGGGCCTGCTGGAAAGCCAGGCGCAGCATGAGTACTTGACGGCATTAGACTCCGGGAACGAGTCGTGGATCGTGGAGGCAGCACAGAAACTAAGACAGGCCGCAGCGCCGGGGACAGGCATCAAGAGGAGGTCCGCGCGGAACACTCGATTCGACAGGACGCCGTCAGCGACACCCCGAGGAGTTGCCGTGGGAGATACGCCGGTGGGATACACAGGGAGCGAGACACCTGTGACAGTCGCCGGGAGTGAAGCTGGAGAAGAAGATGAAAGGGGAGGGGAGCAGCCAACAAAACAATTGGACACGTCGAGATTTTCACTAGGTTCATTTCAGGCGAAATACACCTCGGAGGACAATGAGTCGTTCAATGCTCTGCTCGACAAGCAGAACCAAAACCGCCGCGAGAAACATGCCCACCTGTGGACTCAGGACCAGCGCCTCCCGTCCGCACGCCAAATCGCCCACCGGGCCCGCGAAGCCCGACTTCTCAAGGAGCGCGAAGAACACGAAGCGGCGGGGGGCAAAGCCTTGATCCCTATGACAGCAGGAGCGACGGATGCACGTCTCGCCCGTCCTGACGCCTGGAAGATCAGGCGTCCGGACAACAGCTTCATGTTCAACACGACGTCCGTGGACGAAGACGGGCTGCAGACCGTGCAGGAGGTCAAGGAGCAGAACTCCAAGGCCGGCCCGAAACACGTGGTCCACGCAAACACACGGTTTTCGCCGATGCAGTACGTCGATGATCCTGGACCGGTCCCTTCGTCACCGTCGCTCAACTCGGAAATCATCGCGCAGCGGACCGCCCAAAAAAGATATCGTGGCGATGATGGTGATTCGACAGCCACAGCGACGGAATTCCCGGTTAGCGAGACTCCGCGTGTCAACGGCTACGCATTCGTCGACGAGGACGAGCCCGAGAACCTGCCATCCGCGACTGTCTCCTCGACTCCCAGTTACCGCGATCTCCTGGCGGGCCAGGTGGGCGACGGCACGCCCAACCCGTTCAAGATCAGCGAGCTCCGCAAACGCGAGGATCTGCATCTACGGATGCTAGAGAAGCAGGCGAAGAGCAAAAGGGAAAAGGAATGGGAGACCCTGAGAAGTTTGGTGACTACACCTGCGTCGACAGCAGCCGGAAACATGACCCCTGCTGCGCGACGGCTGATGGAGAAGCTGGGCGGGAAGACGCCCACGAGGAAATCTGGGCTGGGACTCATGGGCGGTGAAACAGACGGTGTCGACACGAAGGACATGTGGACTCCAGCACGGACAACGCCGCGGAGGAGACAGCATGCTGGCAAATGAATAATGATAATCATCAGCAGCAGCAGCATGAGCCGGGATCTACGTTTCTATCCTGGTCAGCCTTGTCTTTGCATTGCGACAGGGATGCTTAACATAGAACAATACGATTGGTCACGTACAGTCCACGCCGGACAGAGAAACAGCAAATGATACAATGCAGACAGAACGGATGAGTTTTCTTGGTTCAATAGAGCAAGAAAAGCACAGCACAGCACAGCACAGCACAGTACAGTACAGCACAGAAAAAGTGAGCACGTAAACGTCTGCAGCAAAACAAATCCCGGAGTTCGTAAACTCGGTATATACATATCCATATATCCATATCTATTCTGGCACCGCGCTTTAGAGAAGATTCCTCAGGCCCAGGATAAACGCCACTAACGCCATGCTATACACGCTCGGTTGTTGGAGGATGGAGCTCCCGCTCAAATAATACGCCGCGCCCAGATAGCTGCAACTGATAACCCCCTCCGACTCATCCACTCGTTTGCCGTAACTGTCCTCCAAGCCCTTTCCTCGGAGTGGACACGCAAACCCCAAACTCGCCGGACAGCTCTGCATGAGGTCGTAGCACAGGTCTTCGCAGGGCAGGACCTCCTTGTACGGTCCCGGCTGGATAGACGTGTCGATGACCGGATTCCGCGAAGAGTTCGTGGCCACATGGTTGAGGAGCGCTTGGTTGACGTTGAATTGCGACGGGTCGGCCGAAATGCTCGAGCCGTTGATGAAGGGCTGGCCGAGATTTCGCGGTTTGAGGAATGAAGACGTACTAGAGAAATCTGCACAACGGGGGATGGTCACGGCGCAGAGCCACTGTTTGTACGCCCGGGCGCAATCATCGCAGTTGCGGGCGAGAGAGTATTGAGCGCTGGAAGTCGTGTTACAAGGGATTTGTTGCAGGGAGTAGTTGAAGTATTGGTACATTTGGGCCGCTTGAGAATCGTACAATCTGGCTAGATCGGGGAGTCCTGTCTGGGGGGAGAATTTGTCCGGGTTGGTGGGCACGGCGTAAGCCACTTCCGAGCAGAACGAGAGATTGTATAAGAGGGCACAGTTGTTTTCGGTCTTGGTCTCGAATTCCATGGCTGCCCAGACGGTGCCGCCGCCTCCTATCACGCCGGCGCCCGATTCGGTCGAGTTCCCTTCCATGACCAGCATGCCCCAGTATTTCGAGGTGGCATTGAGACCGGTGATGTAGAACTGCTCCTTGGGCTTGCCGCCCAAGCCTCTGTTGGTCATTTGGGCGACATTTTGGTTCGGGATGTTGTCAATATTCGCCGCCAGTTGCGCATTGTTTCGCAGCCCACAGAACGATTTCTGGACCCCAAGAATTGCCCGTGAATTCTGATTCGAAGCGAAGACACCCCACGGAGGACTCAGCTTCATCCATTCCTGATAGACAGTCTGGTTGGGAAGAGCTTGCGTGGTATCGTTGGTAATCAGGAGGGCTGCATGGTTGTCGCCGTCAACGAAATACAGGTTCTTCACTGCTGGGTCCTTAAAGTCATGGAAAGGCGCATCGATCGACGCGGCGAGGTTGTAGTTCCAGATGCCTGAGAATTCCGTGGTGTTGGGCGCAGAGATCCCCACGTACACATCACTATCGACGTCCGCCTCAAAGATCGCATAGCCTCCATCAACTGTAATGGTCTGTTGTTTGGGGTCTCCGGAATCAGGCCCTGGTTTCTGATTTGACTCGGACAAGGAAATGTACATCTGCAACTGTGGAGGCACTTCATTCGTGGCATTGGGCGAAGGCTGCAGACAAGTGTTGAGAGTAATGTAGACAGTGTTTCCGGCCTGCCTTCGTCTGAGTTCGTGCTGTTCCGGGAGCAAATCCGTTTCCTCCAGCTTTTCGCCTGGCAGACCGACCCCAGGCGTCCCGTGGGGACCGTCTATAGCATCCTTTGGGAACACCCAGTTCTGGGTCTGACCGATCTCGATGTTACTGTTTGCGGGGTCGTTGTTGGCAAGCGCCGACACTCCAACTTCAGCGCGGGCTGTTATTCTCTCCTCATCCGTCTCTTCCTGTTCGTCCCCGTCTGATATGACATAAAAGTTGTGGTCTTCAGAAGATATCCGAGAGGAGTCATGCTCGAGGGCGTAAGCAAAGGAAGGTCTTGTCAAAGTGAGGTACAGCAGCAACAGGAAGACGGACGCCGAGAGGCATGCCGTAAACCTTGCTTGTAAAGGGGTCAACTTGATGAGCGGCATCTTCACGTCCCGCTTCGACTCAGATGCCGCAAATTGAGAGAGGGAGGGGACCGTTGACGAGTGCTATATGGACATTTCGACACGTGCTAAAGAGCCTCACGGAAGGTGGGCAGCGAGCGGTGTGATGGTTTAAGTGTGCAACCAACAATAGGCACGACGAGATGGACAAAGTGTGCTGGAAGGGGAGAAGATGCAAGTTGCGAAACCGAAACCGGTCAGATCTGCGCCTCACTCAATCACTCAGCCTTGTACAGCCTTGCAGGCCCCGCTTTTCGGGACTTTGTTATTCCGTTTCCGCTAATTATATTCCGCCAACTTCACCATTATCCATTTACTATCCCCCATTCACGATATCTCTGGCTGGCAAGTTCCCTGCTTCACTTGGTACAGGCAAGGCCGTGGAGAGACATTGGCCTCAGACTACACGCCATACATGTCTCACCCACAAGAGGCATAACCCTCGGGTTTGCCATCGGTTACGAGCTGCTGTGACAAAGGCCACATCAACCTTTGCACTTCACGATGGCAGAGATGTGCGAACACAAGCCGACTATAGGCTGTGCTCTGACAGCAGTGCCTGGCTGCTGCTCCTGTGCGGACAAGAGACCCCTCGTACGCCATCCCCTAGACACCTTCTGCGTCCTAGGGATGCCAATGCTGCTGCTGCCCTTTCCGATCCATTCTTTCCTTACTGACACCACCACCACCACCCTAGGCAACTGCTTATCCTTGCTATATTGATGGTCAAGGTATGAGACTCCAAGGCAGGCGCTGGCAGCGTTACTGCTGGAAGTGTCGTGGTACGTCCAGCGATCATTTCTTTCACTCTCTGCTCGTCACTCATCGTCGGTATCACCAAATTTCCACTACAAGTCACTCGCTCATTAACATATTGTTAATCTGCATCATAAGATTACTGGAATCTACACTCAGAGTCTACAACGCGTGCATCTCTCGTCACCAATCCTCCAATTTCCCATGCTGAGGACCCGTCGGATTCATCTCCAGTTCCACCGAGTGACAGCATGGAGCGTCCACACGACAACCCCTTCGCACTTTCCAATGCCCAAACACAGTCCTGGTCCTTTGATGGTGTAAACGATGGACAAAATACCCTTGACAATTTGTTTTCTGTTCCCGCAGGCCCATCCTTCAACCCCGGCGACGGCACCGAATATTTCATGGGCCCTGGAATAACACCTGAGTACTACATGAATGATTCATACCAGTCCCACGTGGCAAATCTCACCCATGAGGCCCAACTTGGGGAGCGTCATGCGCTCCCCAGACCACACCGACCTGCACCCCGCCGGTCGAACCCAAACGGCGGTTCAACCCTATCGAGCCCAAGAAGCAGGCATAGAGCCATTACAAATCCATTCGGTACCCGAGAAGAAATCGAGTCTGAAAGTTATCAGAGCCCCCTCACCGCAATGTTTGGTCGAGCATGGAATCGCTATAGACAAGCGGAAGAGCAAAGGTCATCTGTTGAGAATGGCTCCCTCGACATTCAGGAGACGCGAGGAGAACTTACAAGCATTGTCCTGGGGACTGGGCCGCCTCGCAACGGGGATACAGAACGCCAAGTCCAGGCCATGATGAATCATATGCGGCGACAAGAGGACCGGCAATTGTTCGATAGCCTCAGAAGCTCGTTACAGCAACGAGGAAACTCCAGGGGCGACCAAGGTCATCTACATACACACCCACAAGTCAACCCTATCGACTCTCAACCGCTGCGACCACGACCTCTCGAACTGGGGGAGCTGACCGTTAACATCGCCTGTAGAGTATGTTGTGAGCAGAGAGTCGACACCTTGTTGGAGCCTTGTATGCACATCGCAATCTGTCACTGGTGTTCAGCATTGTTACTCGAGCAAGCACGCCGTCACCGGCACTTGGGACCAAGTTTCAACCCAGATGAATCAAGATGGAAGTGTCCGATTTGCCGTCGTCACATCCAATGCGCGAAGAGAGTGTATCTGGCTTAAGGGTCAAGAGCTGTGTCGAGTTGCCGTAGCCCTCTTCAGATCGAGGTGCCGGATTGTGAGAGCGTCCAGAAACTGGCGGAGAACGACGGACGTGTTTAATCACGGCTAGCATCACCATACAGGCGATTGGTATGCTGGGGCCTCCTGTGAGTGTCATGTGAGCACGGGACTTTACGTGAATTTGGAGCGGGTTCCGTTGAGCTCGCGTGTTATGTGCATTTTGTACTCTATATAGACGAGCCAAAAGATTGTCTTCTCATGATCCCCTGACGCAAGGTTCCAGTCTCTCTCAGCCTGCTACTGAGTAGAAAAGGCACGAGGAAACAATACCAGAGTAAGAACATAGACCCAGCAAGAAAGAGTTCCTGCTAGCAGAGGAGACAAACGGCGACGACTCCGAGTCCCATTCCGCCAGATCAGACTGAACACAGGTAGGAATGAAACTGTTTTGTGACAACGAGTGGCCGTAACGGACACATCCGTGAGCAGTTGAGAGAGAAACTCGTGCCCGGATAGGAAACCAGCGGATATCCTTTACTAGCTAGACATTCAGACTCCTGGACAGTTAAAAAACCCTGCCCCATTCCAGTAATTATACACAACGTCACCGCAGGAAAAATGGGTGGGGAGATAGATGGAATTGGAAATAGAAAGCGAGCGTGACTCACGAAAATTCCACTCTGTACTCTACATACAGTAGTTTCTCTCTCTCTCTCTCTCTCTCTCTCTCCCTCCCTCCCTCTCTCCCAGAAACGTTACACGCAACCCGCCCTCCACCGACTCAAAGCCCGCCATTGGGTAATTATGCGGTAAATATTTACTGCATTTGGCATGGAAAGACTGACGATCCATGATTGGATAGATGGATGAGCCTCGTGGTGGTCCAGGATGGAGACAGGGACGGAGATGGGGTACATATTATTATTTTGTACTACAGGACTTGTCCTGCTCGGGCAACCAAACAAATAATAGTATTGTAGAACAGGGCGTTTATCTTGGGGAGGGGATACAGGACAAGGCTCAAGAAGCAGGGGGTTGGTGGGTTTATTTCTTCTTTTCCCTTTTGCTTCCGTTCCATTTTCTTTTCCCACATGGTGGTTTTTTTTTTCCTTTTTCGGGACAGGTGGGATGGTAGTGGTAGAAAGAAGGCATGCAGGGAGAAAAGAAGGAAATAAAGACAGTGAGAGGAGGAATAAGGAAAACACGAGACAATACTCGCCAAGTCGAGGTGGTCCAGGGTACAGACTGTATCTATCTTTCTGTCTGACTCTTCGCGTCATGCAATTGCACAAACGAAGGATTTTTCTCTTTTTCCTTCTTTTTCCACCGAGTCAGGAAAACATTTTCGCTGTCTCATGATGCGCCGGAAGGCCAGCTAGGGTGGCCTTGTTGTGCTCACAATCTTGGGGTGGAAAGTCTGTAATTGGAATTTTTGTTCGTCGCTCTTCTTGCCACGTCCCTGTGTACCCTTACAGCCTCTCGAAGTTCCGTTCTGGCCTCGTCATCTGAGCGAAGAACGGGCGACTTCTCTAGAGAGATGGGGACCAAGGGTGCGAAGGAAGTCAGATGTCCGGACTAGGACACGAGAACAAGGTATGCACTGTAGAGGGAAGGGAAAACAGTCCATGTGATGCTGCTCTCTTGCTTTCGACCATGTGTATTCTCGGCACGTTCCCGACTGCCCTCGCTTGTGGATAGAGGCACGTCTGCAAGAGCGGGAAGAGGGCAATGAAGGCACGCCTGGAAGCTCTCACACGAGACTTTTTCTTTGCCTTGCCCGGGAGCAGCTGATGCAATGCTTGCTCGTTGCAGGGCTTCTGGAAGAGTGTAATCCCCTTTCATTTGTAAAATGCTCGTTCAGCCTTACCGTTTAGACTCTCACACCGGTCTACGCGGCACGGATGCTGGCCCCCTTCTTCGTGTTGCCTTGAACTTGGGGACTTCGGTTCTCTCTCCTGAGCTCCTTGCATGGCTTCGAAAGGCAGTTTTCCGTCCGAGAGTTAGAGGCTTTCGATAACATCAAGGGGGAATGACTCCCTGGCCCGAAAACAAGCGAATTCACAAACCTTGCCCGAACGAAAAGCCAATGACGAAAGCCGTGAGATTCTCCCTCAATATCCAATGCCCAGCCCCCTCAAGCTTCATTTGCGGCACAGACATGTGGTAGAGCCGGGCCAGATTGGTCTCCGTCTAGCCCAGAACCAAATGGAGCCGAGTTTACAGATGGATGCCTTGCAGATGACACATTGGAAATGCATCTTAACATCCAAATATTGCTTCGAATGCCCTTAGACGCATTGACAGCTCCGTCACGGAGCACGGCAGTTGGCGCCGCTGTGGCGTCGGCGCCGGCCATCTTGGGAGTCAACGCAGACTGTGCAGCCCGACACTGTCACATCCAAGCAACAGCGCACTGCAGCTTTAGTGCGGGAGAGAGCGCATTGCCGACTTCGACTTCGCGGAATGGAGGGTAAACACTGCACTCTTAGTGTCATGGAGACAGAGGGCATTGCGGACTTCGTGAGGCGGAAGTAAACCTCCTATGAGAACCACCCAATCCGTGTGCTCCTAGCTCTCTGGGCTTGCGGCCTCTCTGGTGTTAGATACATGGGAGCAAGGGCGCTCAATCTGGCACGGGCGTTGGGCGCATGTCTCAAGCCAGCATGTGTTCACAAAGGCAAAATCGTATTGATGGAAGCGAGAGAGGAATCCAGCTTGAAGGTTCAGGCTTGCACACAGTTGTGTCCATGAGGCTGTCAAAGAGACAAGGCGTGGGGACAAGGTTAAGGGTCCGACTCGGCCAATTACCGGGGTGCATTTGACCACATCGAGTACTCCATTCTCGGTACTTGTGAAACACCATGGCGGCTGAAAGGGGAGAGACATGGATTCCTGTGACAGCCCCTGATTGATGTACCTATTGATTGGTTCGCTAATAGTCACGTCCTACTAGTCGATGCTGGGTCTGGCGCGAGTTGCGTTCATCCAGTCAGCTGGCTTCCCGAGATCGGCGGTACGAAGGGCGCCTCGTCGCCTTCTCGGAACAGAGCCTTACAATCACAACAGATATGACAGTAGGTACTTGTATTTGCGACACTGGGGAAGCTTTCGTACCGGTTTCAGACAGTCACCAGCTTGGTCGCAAATTCCCAACAGTAGACCGGTCACCGAAGGCGATCAGCGGAATTTATGAGTAAGACAGCTCAGTGTTTCGACCGAAGCCGAGAGCCTGACAAATGACTCGCGGAATAGGTTCGAAAAAGGAACCGAGCTGCCTAGTGACAATGGTGAGGCTGATTGTCTCCAGAAGGCACGTACCAAGAATATGCTCACCACAATATGCGGTGTCCACGTCCCCATGTGGCTGGTGTCTACCAAGCTGGAAAATACGTGTCCGGTCGGCGATGTGTCTAGGCTCATGTCTATTCCCGATCGGAGACGTTCATTCCCCGTAGCGTAATGTTCTGCTTCCAATGCCGGGCTCAATCGTGCAGCGATAGCCGATGTGTAATCTTAGGAGGGCATATATATCCAGCACTAATCGGATTGAGAACCACCCGCTCTCCATTGGGGAAAGCAGCCATGCAACTTAGAATATGCAGTGATTATCCATCACACCAAGCTCTCAAATCGCGGAGAAGAGGTCAGCAGAACACGTGGCCTGAACGAGAAAATGCTGATATTTGGCGATGGCGTACTCGTTTTGATTCGCAACATTCGTCGAGGCATTTTCGGAACCGCATAGCTGGATGCCTAGTGTACCGAACTGTAAACTAGAGATTCATTCCAGCCACAGCGATGACGAGTCTGACCCAGGACATCTGGGGCTCGATACAATCGAGAGCAATTCAGCGTAATAGGATAGTCTCCAGGCAACGTCCGGCGACGTTATCTGGCATTTCTCCGTCGTCCTTCCTTCTTGTTTTGGCTTCGCGGTTCTTTCCGCGGATCACCGGAAGGAGCAATAGCATCCCACCGCATAAGAGATTGACTGATTGGATCGAAAGCGATTGTGGCGAAGACATTCCTCACGCGAGGTCATTGTCGACCTACCTCACTCGTAGGAAGCGGGCTATACTGTTTGTCGCTCATTGGAACCCGAATTTGCTCCGAATTTGCGCACACGCCTCGCTTGAAGCGGGAGCGCGAAGATGGGAAGAAACAGATCCGGCGGCCACGAGCAATATTTGAAGGTCTCTCATCACCTCATCGGTAACGTGCAAAGCAATTGGAAGGGCAACACCGTGTCGCAAGACACGAGATTTGTGGCGTGAAGGGAAAATATCTCGCGAAGTTGCCTGTGTGGCGAAATGCTCTCACGCTTCTGCATGTCTGTGCAGCGACCCATCGCACGCATCCGAACCAATGGCACGAAAGGGACTTGTGCATTCAGTATACCGAGGTTGAAGTGCCGTGCTGAGAGCTGCTCACAAATGTAATACTGCGATGAACATGAAGGTGATAGAGAGTAGGTTCGTCCACCACAGCTATGGCTGCAAAGACACAGAAAAAGCTTCCCGTGAGGGTATTGTGATCTTGTGACCGTGTTACCCTCTTTCTGCCACCTCATCGACGACCATGATCGATTGAGAAACAAGGCAGGGACAGACGAGTTGTCGCTCTACCAGCTGAGCACTCAGTGACAAGCCAATGTCTACAAGACAGATGAGCCTGGCCCTCGAAGATTTCCGCAGTGTTCTGTGAGACGTGGGTTTCCCTTCTCTTATTTGTGCAGCATAGTCTTCCCTCGTTGTCTTTTGAAGCGTTCCTCCACTGCCATGCCCGCAGAATCTCGTTGGCATCAACAGGGGGTTCGGTTTCTGTGGTGGATTGTCACGAGAGAGGAAGTAATTGGGGAAATACATTTCATCAAGAGGACAAGAGGAAAAGAGAAAGGAATCATTGAGACCTGACCTGGAGCCCAACGCAATGTCGACCACCGCAGAGCATCACTTGGCTACACGGGAATGCCATTGTACAGTGTAACTCGGAGAAGCACATCGTGTGGATTGCTCGCTGCAAGCGTCAGAGGATCGAAGGGGGTCTGTGAATAAGGCAGTGGCCTGTATGTCAGCCTCAATATCGTCATTGAAGTGAGACGTGGTGTGTTGTTGGCAAGGCAGTCGGTGCCTTGGGGCATAGGAGGGCAAAGATGAACACTGAAAGACATACGCCTAAGGTGGTAAAGCAAGAAGGCAGTCACAACCTGAGCACCTTTGGGCCACCTACATACATAGCTACCTAAAATAAGGCTGCGGTGCGAGACCATTTTCCAATAGTGCGTTAGATACCTCATAGAAGTCGAGGTGGCCATCTGCATTTGGTCGCGACGCCCGGTTGCAGACAGGCGGACTTCGTTTGAGCCAAAGCCGCACCCTGATGGTGGAGGTGGGGAATCGTACGCATAAGACCTCGTAGTCGGTCCGTGATACGCGAGGGTAAATCACAGAGAACGAATGTATAAAGATATGCTCTGTCTCCCCTCAAACGTCTCAGATCAAGCTCCCTTTTCTTACAGAGATGTGTGTGCCTGTTTCAGCTGGTGGTGAGCAATACGAGTGAGTAAGTTGAAGTTATTATTTAGCCAAGGATGGGTTTTGGGGGCGGGCAAGTGAGGCTAGTGAGGCTCAACTGAAGTGTGGGTGGGGCTGGTTCGCGAACTAGAACTTGCATAACAAAAGGCAACCAGGGTTCCACCATGAAGCAAGGGTATGACGAGCCCAGGGAAGGTGCGTTGCGAGCACTTGAAATTTCCCTCTTTAAAGTCGATGAGCTCCTGGTGAGGGTATAGAGCCTCTTTGCCATTATCCTTCCATGGACTGTGTTCCCTTTTGCAGCAACACCAAGACAGGGTCAATTCTCTAGAATCGTCGCTCCGGGAGCTAATAACGGCACAATCTGGCATCGTGGCCATCAGCACAACAAGCACCAGATTGAATTCCCTCCTGTCTTTTGGAACCAAGAATCCTAGGTGAGTTAGGACCGTTTCTCCCGAGGAAAATCGGCCAAGGTGCCCCAAAAGTGCCTCAAGCAGCGCAACCTTTGCCAAAATCCCAGAACTCTGCGAGTTTCTGTCCGGGAAAACATTGTTCCAGGCCGAATCCACCCCTTTTTGGTGCTACCGGGACTGACGCTAAAGGACCTTTTTGTTCGTGCTTCCAGGACTTGCATGCTATGGCTTTCCCGAATCCCGGAGACAGACGACTTCCTCATTTGAAATCAAGCCCACCCGCCGGCGGCGGCGGCGGCGGCGGATCGGCCCCTTCGGCAATTGCAGCTCACTCGGTGGTCCAAAAGCAGCCTGCTCTGTTCAGGTACCGCTCTCCCCCTCTCTCTTCCTATATATACGCCCACCAACACTGGCTCTTTTCCGTGGCCACTTTTCTGAATATTTCTTGGCTGTAGGACCAGGAGTCACCAGCAACATGATTCGTCGCCGCCCATCAAGCAGGAGCCATTCGAGTCCTTGAATCGGTTGAGTCTCACCGAACACGCAAGTGATACGAGACCAAGCAAACGTCCCGCGATTGAAACAGAATGGTGGCCCAGCAAGATCAGAGCTGGCTCAGCTTCCCCAGCATACTCTCCCGGCCGCCATGAGCACGAAATTTCACATATACACTCACCCCCGCCGGACTCGAGTAGGCAGTCACCGTCGGGGGGCTATCAATCGGCTCAGCAGACGCCCGTCTCATCTCCCAAGCCAACGTCACGCCATTTAAGTACCTTCCCACGTCAGAATAGCCGTGCTTTCGCCCATCACATCGAGTCGGAAAGAAAGTATCATGAACCGCGACCCGCTTCAGCTCATTCCTCCCAGGATGATTACTCGGAGGTAGAAATACGGCCGCTTTTACAGCCCGAGACGAGGCCTATCTCCCAGGAACAACTCGTCAATGAAGTAAAAGGCATCTACGCTGGGCTCGTTATGGTTGAGAAGAAGTGCGTGGAGATATGTGCCCAACAAGCTCAAACCACCAACAAACTCAACAACGAGCAATGGCAGGCATTAATCGCCCTACACCGCACTTTACTTCATGAGCATCATGACTTTTTCCTGGCGTCTCAACACCCAACGGCATCGGCAGCGTTACGACGCCTCCCGACAAAATATGCAATGCCGGCACGCATGTGGCGACATGGTATTCATTCTTTCCTGGAACTTCTCCGCCATCGCCTCCCATATTCTCTGGAACACATGCTCAGCTTTGTATACCTCGCCTACCAAATGATGGGACTTCTTATGGAGTCAGTACCGGCCTTCCACGAGACCTGGATAGAATGTTTAGGCGACTTAGCTCGTTATCGTATGGCCATTGAAGAGGTTGACCTACGAGATCGAGAGACTTGGTCTAATGTCGCTCGAATGTGGTATCAGAAGGCCGCCGACCGTTCGCCCGATACCGGAAGGATCCAGCATCACCTTGCAGTTCTCGCCAGACCTCACATCGTTTGCCAATTATTTTACTATTCCAAGGCTCTCATCTCCGTCAACCCTTTCCCTAACGCCCGGGACTCAATTATGCTTTTGTTTACTCCCCTATTGGAGGTATCCTCGACCCAGAAGCCGAAGTTGGAGTCCACCCCTTCCAAATATCCCAAGCTCGAGAGTTCTCTAGTAACTGCCGCCGGCCTTCTATTCACTAAGGGTTCCGTCGACCAGTATTGCTTCCAGGTTGAGCGATTTACATCGGAGCTAGAGAGTCATATAGCACGATCTGGCGTCAATTGGAAGGCTCAGGGACCAGAGGTGGCTTCTGCGCTGATTGCATTCCTTCTTGACTTTGGCTCGGACGACAATTACCTCTGGAAAGCGTTCCGTGCCAATCACGATCGAATTAAAGGTTCCCAACCAGAGACGCAACAAGAGCAGCAACAAGATTGCAGCACCACGATTACCCCGATTACCCCGGATCCCATGGCCAAAGAACGTATCCACCGTGAATTCTGGGAACAAACATCCATCGATGCAAGCGATTTCCGCCAGGCCTCCCCGCCTCCCGAGCACCGTATCAAAGACAAATTCACGTCGGCAGATGAAGTAACTTCATATGGCCTTCAAGTGTGGTCCCAGGCTATAACCATTGTAGCGGGCAAGCTCGGAGATCGCAATATCCTACCTTTTCTGCATCTTACGTTAGCATTCGTTTGGTCACTGTCATACGTTCCAGGCGCCCTGATCTATGTCGAAAATTATGTTCCGTGGAGAGTGTTGGTCCTTTTCTTGAACAGCTTGAGCAGATCTGGTGTGGTTGATGCGCACGTCGAATCCAAGGAGTTCCCTTTACAACGGTCCGGTACGGGAAGACAGTTACCCGAAGACTTTCCAATCCGCGGCCTAGTCTGGGCGCCGTACTATTTCCCGTCGGACTTTTTCGAGGGAGAGGTTGCTGACGAAGATGAGCGCGCATTGGAGCTGCCAAGCCACACAGCACCACGGGCTGAACGGTGTCTCTGGCTGGGAGTTAGACTTGCATCGGTAAGTCTAGGTATCCTGACTCTTCCTTCTTCTACTGACCCTTTCCAGTTGAATCGCTACATGACATATGACGCTTTGACAAAGCAATTTGGTTGCACCAGCTTTGCTTTGTCGCTTGCGGATGATGCCTCAATGCATACGTTGCACGTTCAAACACCCACCACCGTTGAACGTGACCTGCAAATGACCGACGTCTGAGAGTGAAGGGATCAGGAAGCCGCGAGCTGTGAATCTGGCCAATGGTGGCGACCGTCGAGTTGTTCCGACCTTGTGCCGGGGTCCCCGCTGCGATTTTGGCTTCAGAAGATCCTACCAGACGAAGGCGTTTGTTTGTCTAGCCCGACAGTTGGTTGACACAAATCGACAACTGGACGGACCCAGTCAGCGCACCATAATTTGACGTCAAGATCGGAGAAATGCTACTTAAGGGGATGTGAGATTGAGAGGATGCGAAGGGTTTACGACTTTGGGGCCGAAACACTCTGGCCACTGCCAAGGAGAACGGTAAGGAAGAACAAGGGTTTGCCAGTTGCGTGCTGCGATTTTGTGGGGGGGAGGTTCATGGGGACTACTAATCTTGAACTGGACTCGGGGTCCCGACGCAAGGCTGGCTAACTCGCTCAAAGTATTTGAAAACGCAAAGACCAAAGAAACACAGCCTCGAAATCGGCCATACACGGCCCGAGAGGGTAAAAGAAAAGGCTCGCGGGTGTCCTTCGGGACAAGAAACAACAACTGAGAAACTTGCGACCTTTTTGATCACGAGACACACGACTTTCCTTGTGTCAAAAACAAGCTATTTTTTCATCTTTTCCACATAATGCTTCCCAAGTAATGAATGGGTCTCTCATGTTGCTGCTTTCCTCAACCGTAAACATACCGTACGCTGATATCACATGCCAATGCTCCATACGCAGCCCTGTCACTCGAGGTTTGAAGTGGTCCTCACGAGAGAAAGAGCCGAATACATCCACTCTGGTGGTCTCGGGCCTTTTTTTTTATTATTATTTTAGATTTCCCCGGATGGAGGCGGCAGGGAAATCAGGCTGGGGAGAGTCATGATACGGAGCTCGACGAGGTTAGCTAACTCAGTAGAGGAGGCTGCAAGAATACGATGACAATGGTATTCGTGGGCTGGCTTTGGAGCAGACTACGGTCATTGGTTGGATTGGGAAGGCGGGGGGGAGCCGACATCGAACAGAGACGACATCGAACAGAGACGACATCGAACAGAGACGACATCGAACAGAGACGACATCGAACAGAGGTGACAGGGTCGAGGGCCAGTCACGACGGAGGAGTATTAACAGGTAGGAAAGCAAGCAAGTGAATCCTCCCCCCAGCTCTCTACCGCCACTACGGTTGTGAGGATTCCACCATCTACAGTTACGTTCCAAGGGTACGACGTACATGCCTACTGAACGATCAACTGACTACGTCGGGATGGGTTGTGTAGGGATGGACCCCCCGCCAACAAATATTATGGGAGGCAAGGAGGAAGGCAGGGGGATTGTGAGGGTTGCCTTGGACGTAGACTCCAAATCATGAACTGTGCAGAATTTCAGGTTCCAAGCCCATGATCACGGTTACCAAAGGTCAATCAATTGATTCATTTGGAGAGGCCGTGTCATATTCATTTATATAGGTTGGGATGATGTGCCAACTCCGCGGTTCCGACACGTCCATACCAGAAAACCAACTCATCCAGCAGCTCTAATACATGGCAACATGCCCTCCTCCTACATTAGAATCGTAAATAGCTCACTCGCCACCAGCTCAGCACGGCGGCTTAACCGACAACAAACTGCCCACAAGCGCGCTGTACAACGTCTGCTTAGATGGAAGTGCTTGGCATCAAATCTTGCGATGGTCTGTTTCGCTCCTCCGGTGAATATGCATACCCTTGGTCGAAGCGATGGTCTTGATGACGGCATCCGGCGACACTGTTGCCGTCAGAGAGGCCATGAATTTATCGAGCTCGAGCTCAATCCCGGAAGCTTGAACTTTGCCCGTGAGGTTGTCTTTGTTCATTGAGGGATTGTCAACATGGCGCGGTGGGGACGGGCCATTGGCCATGGCGCAAGAGCTTGAGCGTGCCTCGAGGGTTGCGCCGCACATTCTCTGCTCCATACTGATATCAATCGCTTCCATCTCTCTCAGATACACAGACAGCATTGGGTCATCCGGGACAGTGACCAAGGCGAATGCCGTCAGTGGGATCCGTCGACGTCTGTATCTCCTCAGCTGTCAACATCGGGTATACTCCTGGAGTCTGGGAATCAGAGGACGTACTCTTCTCTGTTTATTGGCGCCATTGCTGATCGCGCAATATGAAGAGATGTCCCAGTGATACTGCACCTGGTCTTTGGCGGGATGCCGGGATTGGTATCCATAGATATCAATGGCTCCAGGATCCGAATAGTTGCCACGGCCAGGAATCCGGAACTGATGGCAGATGGATGGGCTAGATGACGACGGCAGGTTAAGTGTCTGGTGCAGTACCAGCAACAATATATGATAAAGGAGGGAGAGAAAGGAGGGAAGCCAGAGCAGGGTGGAGGGGGAGCATGATGACCCCGAGCAGAGGTGACAAGGCGGGTATGCAGGCACTACGTCTGGCCTTGAGCGAATCGGAGCGTGCCATCTGCAGCTAAGGCTCGTCCAGCCTATCAAGCGCGCAGCCGGTAACAGGTGGGCCCACAAGTCCCAGATATACGAGCATTCTGATTCGATGCATGTGACATCGGGTTTGCGTGTCCGAGACTATTTGGGCGTGCTGAGATATTTCCTCCCGTGCCCTGATCTGCCGGCCTGCAATGCTGAGCATTGTAAAGTGAGACTGAGCCATTGTATCAGCCCGTTTGAGGTTGATGGCATATATCTGATTGCGCCCGAAAGGGACGCTGAATGGTCACCTCTGGAGTTGGTTTCTCGATGGTGGGAACGAACCAGCCATGCAAAGGCGAGGAAGCGGTCTCCGGATTGGGGTGTTCCCGCACGTGCTCAGCCTCTCAAGTAGTCAGTCCAAGTCTTGAGGGACACCGACCTTGTTTCATCGATGAATGTGCTCGAGGTCGCTGTCCTTCCCTTCCGACTGATGACGATTGACCTATTTCCAGCAGCAAAGTCGGAACGAGGACCATCTTCCCACTTCCCCGGGGCGTGTCTGGCGAGTTCGGCGACGCACATGAACCGACCGTCCTGCACTGGTCATCTACATACACATTCATAAGTCAGCCCTATCGACTCTCAACCGCTGCGACCGTGACCTCTCGAACTGGGGGAGCTGACCGTTACTATCGCCTGCAGAGTATGTTGTGAGCAGAGAGTCGATAACTTGTTGGAGTCTTGTATACGCATCGCAATCTGTCACTGGTGTTCAGCATTGTTATGAGTGTTAAGCCTTGGAAAAAGTCTCAAAGCATGCAAGAATCTCTCTGTTTTGTGGAGAGACTGTGAAAGTGACAGATCGAAGCGCAGACTCGTTTCTCGTTCCCTTGCAGGATGACTGGCGTTGTCGAAACAAGCGTCCAGGATGTAAGCTTGGGACCTCTTTGTTATGGCGGATAGAAGACGTGGTGATATTAGTAGAATGGAATTTACCCTGTCCTGTGGTGATCCATGCGTCTGAAATTGAAGGCTGTCTGAACGTGACTCAACATGGAGGGAGTCCGATTGTGCTGTGAGAACGCAATGGCCCCGAACTGTCAGGAAGCAGCATTTTCGAACTTTTGAGGATCAAGGTACTGTGGTCTTGTTGCTCGAGACAGCAAACTCATTAGTCTTCTCGAGCGCATATCCAGACGAAACATTTCCCCTAACGGAACCAAAACAGCATATCGACGAAGACCTGTACTCTGTGCAATCCTGAAGAGGGCTGTCTCTGGAGGACACAACGAATGGTAATTGCTCTATGCACAGCTGGTTCACATGAAATTACATCCACTGATGCCGCCGATGGATTGAAGTGAAGTTGGACTGACGTCGAGGGAAAAGTCTCCATCGAGGCGCCACATGTTGTTAGCTGAGGAGCTAGGGCTAATAACTTCTGGTACTGTACTAGCTTGAGCGCCACAAATGCACAGCCGCAGCACGTGGCTGAAGGCCCTCGGGACGCGCCGACTCCCCGGACCTTAAACCTTGGCACCAGTACTTTTGCACATCGGTGCAGGAAAATCCATTTTTCCGCCGCCGCTTCCAGCTGCGTGATGCAACGGACTAGATGTATCTGGCAGTCGTTCAGGTGGCCACCTTTTTCTGACCTCTACTCTCATTTTCCTGCCTTAAGAAGCGTGGCTTTTCCTTGATCAGGGCTGATCCCGTTGTTGTGAGCTGACACCGTCGTCGTAGTACCGCACTATGCGCACTGTTAAGCTCAATCTCGAGTGTCCCTGTCCGCTCTGTTGTATTCGAGCCCGCAGCCGCACATCATGCTCAGCCTCACCAGCTACATTACTACTCGTTCTCGCCGGTCAGCTCATTGCTGCGGCTGTTACAGCTCTCTGGAAGTGAGGACGACGAAGGAAAGCATCGGCACGTCGATCGCAAGCATTTTTTATGGTAATGGTCTATTCGATTGGCTGTGGCGAAATACTCGCCCTGCTTTTGATCCCTGATCGCCACTTCACGCCAAAAAGCCAACCCCAGAGGTCTGAGCATGGTATGATGGACGGCTCTTTCTTCCAGTAAAATAAGAGAACGGCTCTAGAAGACCATGAGACCCCTGGTAGGACGAAAATGAGGGAAACGTCAAATGTCCTCGAAGATTGGCATTTCGCCACCACCACGATGTCTCTCTAAACGAAAAAGCCAGGGGCCCTGTCGACTTTGATACTGTGGACTCTCATCAAGTCATGCTGCACTGCCAACAAGTGCACTTCATCATATCGAGGTTTCGCCCTTCTTTCTTTTTCGACACGTAACGGATGCTCGTTCCTTCTGAGCATAGCCCCAATGGTAAACGGACCACCCGCGACGGTGAGGGATTAAGTTCACCCTACCATAATGCAACACTAAGGCGGCGGAAAATCACCCCCATGCTTAGGTGGTGATGTGTATATCTGACCGCCTGCTGAGGCGAATGATATTCTGAGGCGAACAGCGGAAGCTTCTGGCGCATTTCACCTGGTCGGACCGAACTTTTGATCCTTTTGAGACGGTGTATGGCGGCCAACGGCGGCTCAGACTACGTCAAGAAAAATGCTGCGATGCTGCGCTGTCAGGCTCTTCAGGAGCCACATGTGCGTACCGAGGTCGGCCGCTGCCTTGATTGAGCGGTGACCGAAGGTTTGGGTCGGTGACAGGTCTTTTGTTGATTGCACACTGCACTCCACTGACAGAACATATCCCAAGTCATGTGGCCCTCATTGGTCCTTCCTCATCGCCGTCACAAGGCAACCACTATTGACCAAGGGGGCAGCACCATTTCGCTGGTGTGCCACAGCGTCAGGCTCGATGGCCACATCTGGATCATGGTTCACTTCATGCCAGAGTCGTTCAGGCCCGATGGAACCGAGACGGGTCACTGCCTTTCTTGGTTTTCGGAATATGATTTGGCAGCACTAAGTTTTCGGCTCCGTCGTCGTGGAGTGTTGTCAGGAAACTTGCAGGCGATCAAAGCGAGTTTGCCTTGCCTCGGGTGTACTACTCTGTAGCGTCCACAATTCCAAAACGCCCCAGCTGTTGATCAACTGACCACATGCGAGGTATGGAAGGTGTTCGACTTATGTACATCAAATTTGACGCCCTGTTTGGGCCTCCTTTCTATTGCCCCAGGCATACCGGCGGCAGCGGTGAAAAGTTTCCAATTTGGCTGACACGGTTTTCAGTGGGTCTTCCGAAGCAGACATCGAGGGCCCCGGCAGTCAGCCTAATCGACGGGGATCTCGCTCCGGGAACGGACCACGAATGACTTCTCAGCAATGACCTGGTTCCAACGGACGCCTGCTCATTTCATCGAGATTGGGCCTCAGGGGCTACGAGAAGGAAGCTTACGCTGTGCACGGTCGTTCCTAATCATCACTTAGTGCAAGGCAACATCAACAGACCTTTTGTTCGTGTTTTTCGGGGGTGAGCTCCCTGCCCAATCTCTCTTGCTGGTTGTCCTGAAACTGCGGAGCAGGTGCATTACGTGTATTACAAGTAAGTACAAGATATTCTGTACTTCGTTCTTTCGAAGACGCCTTTTTTCTGCGCCTCCACTTTGAGCTGCTGCGTACTCGTATACGTGGCGTTGTTCAACACCCCTCTGTTCAACGCCCGCATTCATCGGAGCTCTTGAAGGATGGATGGATGGCTGGCTTGCTGGGTCTCGTATTAGTTTCCGACGCGAGCAGGCATGCCTCTCGTCTGTCCGCTGTTGATGGTTGCCTTTTGAACGAAACCACGCTGTTCCACAATCCAAAGTTTCGAAAGGAGCCTTCGGGGTTCATCCCTAGAGTCATTGTGCTTCTGGGATTTGATGACACGGAGAAAAAGGCAAACAAGAGAAACAGGCTAGAGAGATAGGTCAAAGATCTGAGCTCCATTTTTGATGAAGGGGCTGGTCACCGGTTCACGAGTTTGGTCCGTTGCATGCGTATCTACCCAGTATGCAAGCTTGCCACATACGGAGCTCCGAAAACGGGTTGTCTCTCTGTCCCTCGGTCAGGCTGGCCCTTTGTCTAGCCTGACCCCTTTTCCTCCCTTCGAGCAAGTCACTCCTCATACCACGATCTCCTCTTCTGCTCTTCTGGCCGTGGTACACTTGGAAATATCGGGGTTGATGTTGGGTGCACGAGCAATGAGGGCACACCCAGCTATGCAGGAATGCGAGAGCACCCCCTTGTGGGCGAAAAGAGGATGTCATCCCGGATACCATGGCATTTCGTGGCCCAAGCTGATCATGTAGATCCCAGATTTTCGGTCTTGTACAACTCCCAGGTTCACATGTCCGGATTCTCGATCCTTTCCCTCAACGTCCTTTGGGAACCACAACTACTCTGTGATACTTCCCTTTGTGCAAGTTGAATGCTACCTCATCTTCAACAACCATTCCCCAGCGAATGTTCTCACTCATATTTCCCAAGGCGACTCTGTCTATCGTGCGCATTGAACGGGAAACGTTCTCAACATGGCAAAGGCCCCCGCCCACGGACACCGCCCCGTTCAACAGATGATCCCAATATGCCCTGTTGCCATGAAATCTTAGACTTGATCTTATGCGAGAAACGCAATCCCGTGCTCAGAAACTACCAACAGCTCCGTTGTTGCGTGCCGACGACTGGGGGCAAAGATACGTGGAAACTCATATTTGAGCATCGGGGGATCATAGGACTGGGAAGTGTGGCTGGATACTGGAACGCGTCGGTCAAGCTTGAATTCGAGCATTCGTATAACGCTTATAGCATAGTCACTGTAGCTGATGGACGTCAGATAGAGAAGCGCACATCAGATGAGCGGCACTCCTCGTGACTGACTGGCAATCAAGTATGTTCGCCGTCCAAAGACTCCCTTCTCCTCTTTGCTCTTCTTCGCCCTTCTCCCAAGTGATCCAGCTTGCTCGCTGAGCAACCCTCCAGACCCAACAGCCAGCTCCACTGGACGACGTTCTCATTCTACGAAGTCCAGTAGAACCAGCCCCAGGCCGGCTCGAAGACTACGCATCTGAGCTTCGGCATACATCGGCAGAAATTGCTTGTACGCAGCGCCTGTACTGGCTTGTGGCAGCGTCGGCTTGCTTGCTTGCGCGCACAAGAACAAGGCGGCTCGGCACAGGTCGGTATCTGAGAACTGACGTGCCTGGATCGCGGGTGTCGAGAGTACCAGCCCACCTGGATCCCGTCCCTGCCAATGTTCAGATTTGGTGTGCGGCGTCGGAAACACGGGTACTGGCGACACCCTCGTACTCGTTTTGAAGCTCGCGGTCTAGGTGGTTTTTGAGCAGGTTCCGCCGAGACCTTGTCAGAGCGGTAAATCTGGCGCATCCCGGAGGAATATGTCCCGCTTGGCAAGCAGCGTTTCGAGCACAGGGTCGAGCACAGGCGCATCATAGAGAAACAGCTGGAACAGGCGCTTGGAATTTTCAAACTCGAAAACTCCAATCTTCCCCCCCAGGGCAGCCATGTGCCGGGAAAACCAACCTTCCGACAAGCCCCGGTCCCTGCTTTCGTCTGTGAAAAATCTATCTCCAAGTTCCTCAGCCACGGCTCCTACGAAGAACAGGTAGAGCAGCACCTCTCCGTATTCTTCCAGTCTCTCAAGCTCAGAGAGATGTTGTAACACCAGGGTCAGTTCAGCCCGCAGATGGTGAAATGGAATATACATTGCAATTCTTTCCCAGCTGAAGACGAAGATCGTTCTCTGGCAGTACTCGAAGGCAAGGCAAAGCGATTTCTCGAGCTCATATTCGAGCCGTCTGCGCGCGGACATGTTGGTATACCTAGAGTATCTGTCCACAATGTCGTGGTACATGAGCATGCAAAACGCTGAAACGGCATAACGGCGCACGTGAACCCACGACTGAATTGCATCAGCAGTCTTAGTGTCGGATGCATTCGTGTCACAGCCGCCTCCATCATTAGGATTTAGTGCCTGAGCAATATGTCTGCTCAAGAGGATCTCTCGATGACCTGCCAAGTAGTGTCTGAGGGAAGAATCGAGGCTCTTGTGGAAGATCGCTTCACCTTTGAGAAGCGGCATATCCCTGGACTGTGCTCTAGCAACATCAAGGACTCGCTGAGAATTGGCAAATGGTTGTTGGTTCCAAGGTCCCGGATCCCATTCCCAAATGGCAAAACTAGGCGGTCGCATAAAGAGATGAGAGCTCAGGTTGTCCATGAGAACAATGCGCAACACCAGCGTCCACGGAAGTTGGCCTAGCCCACCCCCTTCGGCGACCAGTAGTCGAACAGCTTCAGAATGTGTACGGCTCTCGGGGAATTCTCCTGCGAAGAAGTGCATCATGGCGGCCAAGTAAGCCCCCTTTAGTGTGTTGATTCCTAGAGCGCGTCCATTGACGAGTCCTTGGAGCGACGAAAGACAAGCAATCTTGTGTCTTAACGCGGTAGACAGGATCTTCGACTTCAGCGGTGATTGATGCATTATGCGTGAGACATAGATAGAGGCACCTGCAAACATGGCATGAAGCTGCACCTGACTTGCAATTGCCTCCCGCAGCTCTTCCACCCACGCCGATCTTGCTGCTTTCGATGATGCGGCGCTTATACCAGATGGCCACAGCGACCGCATGAAGCGAAGCTCCCAAAATTGAATCAGATTGTTGTCGAGTGCATTGATCGGTAGAGCTGCAGCTGCAAATGGATCCGAGCTGCCATTGCCGAGCAATGTGAGTGGATTGGGCTCAACATCGCAGTGTCTGTAAGTCTCCTGTGGCTGGACATCATTTGCACGGGTTGGAAAACCACGTTCAGCCCTCGGAGATCTTGATGACCCTGGGGATTGTGCAGAACGTTTGGCGGACAATGGAAGAAGTTGGCTCTCTGCCAGTCTCCGTCTCCCTCCCACTAACCTTACTCTCCATTTCGATACATGGGCCGTCCGGCTGCCCTGGCCCTCGTCATCCCCATGGAGCACGGCTTCTTTGCTTTCCACTGGATCTGGAGTCGTTGAAGAATTGCCACTTCTTTGACCGGTAGGTGCCCCAGTGTTGAAAAGAGTTTCATCCTTCAGCACCTTCGCCCTTCGTCGCTTCTCGCGTTCTTTGTGAGTAGCGACGTGTGAATTGATGGCGAACGCTTCATCCTTGTCCCGCCGCCCCCGAATATTTTCGGCGTTTTTTACCACGAAGAGATAATTTTTCCCAGGCCGATCGTGTGGACTATTGCCTTCCATTATTGCACACTTGCCTCGTTACCCGACTCAGCGGAGCAGGCACGCGCATGTGGAACAAATATTGATCCGTTTCTTACCTTCAGAAGAGGTTCTGGAGAATGGAATGGACTTTTGTTTAAAAAAAAGAACGGGCTCGTAAGATGACTTCCTCTGATTCGTGGCGACAACAAAAGTTCCCCACGAGCAACGCAATCTACCTTAGCGCTATTATCAGGGGAAGCCTTGCCGGTATTGAGTGTAGCTGCGGGACGATGACAAACAAGACCAATCCCATATAGCAAATCCCCGCAGCGCTGAAGTACACTAGAAGAATCATTGTGGGATCATCAAGGATTTTTGAGTGCATAAGGCAAGGTATTGACTTGTGGTAGGGAGCCATGGTGAGCAGATCCGAGGCATACGCGTGCAGCGGCCATGTGAAGCGTGGGCACCCTGACGGAGCCTTTGGCTCGTTGGCCGGAAACTCGCCCACCGATACAAGTCGAATAAGGCTACCGTTTGTCATGCTTATCAGTGACTAGCCGAGAGCGTTTAATGACTGCTCACTGAGGGAATGTGGCGATGAGTGACGTTATGCTTCAGGGTTTGCTTTGGCGATGGCTTTGTCATTCGACTACTATCGCCAGCCACATCCCACATCACACGGCGTGCGTGGACGGCCTTCCCCCCATGACAACACCGTGGCCTTGTTCGTTTCGGTCATACACAAGGGAGCAGTAAGCAACTTGTCACTGCGTCTTTTTGACTCTCCGGACCAGCTCGTCGTGGGTGGATCCTGCGGTAAAAGAGGGCTTCAGCTTCAGCAGAACCCACAAAAACCCGAGAGCAATTGTAACAATCGTCAGGGATTCGATCGTTGACGGGCTTGCAGTGTTGAGGTCCAAGACTGGGATGGAGATGCGCTCTACTAGTCTTCCTGGAGCAGCACCCTCGGTCGGCACTGGGTCCAGATGGTAGAACATAGTTCTGGGGCCGAACAGTCCTTCAAAGCCAAGATGAATTCTGTCGAAAGGGTTTACAGGAAACTTGGTGCCATCGTCAGCGGTGCAGGCCCAGAAGACAATAGGCCAAGGCATTTCAACTTCGGACGAGCTGCCATTCTTCGGTTCCAAATAGCGTAGGTGCAGCGGTATGGTCACATCCCACACTCCACCAGCAGCTCTCGTTTCTCCAACACTGCCATTCGGCGTCTGTAGCTCGAGTAGCATTGTCGAACCCCATTTCTTGACGACGTAATTTGGCGCCTCTAGGTCCGTCTCGCCTGCAATCGAATGCAATTGGCCGACGTGATGTAACTTCTGAAAAAGCGGGTCGTTGCTGAGAAACGCATATTTGTCGGCAAAGATATGCGAGGGAAGAGTTAGATAGGTCTGCAAGGCACAAACGCTTCCAGGGGGCTTATTGGTGGGTTCAGTCAGCGAAACTGCCGAGGGGAAAGAGATCCGTAAGGTCGGGTGCAGCCCAGTAGGCTCGTCAAACGAAACGGTGTATTTCTGGAACATTGCTTGGTCCGGACCAAAGGAATGATGCCGGGATGGAAAACTGAAAAGTGTAGCTTTCGGATGATCATCTTCTCCAACGACAGTAAGGAAGCCTGATAGTTGAAGGTCCGAGGGCTCAGTTGCTGGAGACGCACTGAGAATACCGACCTCAACCCTGTCGTCCTTTCTGGACTGCACATCGAGATTCCACGCATCGAGAGTCGTGAACTCTCCGATCGGGTCGTAGAATACTGCAGGCTGCTTTGACCAGAAAACACTGATGATGAGAGCATGGGAAATACTGTCGTAGTCAAAGTCCACGGAATCGGCAATGTTTAGAAGCGACACCGTGTGCAGACACTGCAGGTCGTTTCGTACGCAAATAGTATGGTATAGAAAAGCAACAAGATGCTTTGGCGAAGGCAGAAGAGAATAGTACTGAAGGGATGAGGTCTGGGCGAAGCGTTCGGATATCAGAGGAGGGCTGATGAAGGTTGCATCTGGCGAGTCACATCGAAGCTGTTTGCCAAATACCTGGTGGAGGAGGTTGCATAGCCGATCGACCTGGCCTTCGTGCAAAGGGGTGTATTGGACATGTAGACCAGGAGATGTTCTTGAAAGGAAGGGAGCTGTTGTGTTGTAGGGAAGCTCCGGTGCCCACCGAATGTGAAGCTCATGGCATTCTCGTAAGTATCCGGCTATCTCTGTGGGCAGTTCTTCGAGGCCCACAGTCAAGCGTTCTTCTCGTGCTGCCTTCAATGCCCCGAGCAGAAGCTGATTTCGTCGGACTTGGATATCATCTGGATTGACAGCACGACTGGGGTGCGTGATATATGTTGATCTCCTGCGCATAACTGGGGAGTAGTGAAGCTAGGAGCAGCCTCGGTGCAGGTACCAGTGACGGCGGGTTTCCTGTAGTTGTAGTAGGAGTTGGGCGTCGGTGTCTGGAGCGAGAGAGCGAGGTGGTATAGGTGGTTTCATATGGAGGCAGACTTGGCATTGATTTGGTGTTCACGTGTCGCGCGTCAGACGCACAAGAATAGAGTTGGCGCTAGACTTATCGATAAGCGAAGGCACTGACGTCCACCTTGAAATCGGCGACTTTGAATCTTGGAACTGCAACTTGTTCATATTTCACATTACCGGCCAACTGGCTGCTGGTGTGTTTGTGAGAGACCTTCCACCAACGTTACATCCCATTATACTGCTATCAGACAACTCTTCGGGCCTCCTGGCTACCTCGTCGATCCCACTGTGCTGCCACTACCTCCCAATTCAATCCCTCCATCCCTGAGATGGTGCCTACCGTGGCCTCTTCCAGGACACAATTGTCCTACCCGCTCTACGCTGCCGACTTTGACCCTCTCAATCCAGACTTTCTGCTCGTTGGCGGAGGCGGGGGCTCGTCATCGACTGGCGTCCCTAACAAAATCTCCCTGCTCGATACTTCGCAACGCAATCAGTTAAAGGAGGTCCTTGACATTCAACTAGCCAGCGATGAAGACTCAGTCACGAGTCTGGCCGTGGCGGACTCGTCTGCAGCATCGCTCACTGCCTTTGCCGGCATCAACAGTTCTGTCGCCGACCAGAACGCGGGAAAAAATGAACATCTGAGGTCGTTCAAGATCGGGCTGCCAGCAAGGAAAAGGAGGGCTGATGGGAGTGCCGTTGATGAAGATGGGGAGAAGCTGTCGGCTTCAGCACCGGCCTCGCAGCCACTGGGCCGAGCTGCGTTGTTCAAATCTGCGACGACCACCAAGAACGAAACATATCAACGAGTTTTGCGATTTTCGCCGACCACAAAAAGTGGTCAATCTCGACTCGCAGCCATCGCGTCTGGACTTGCCCCGACTAACGAAGTCGTTGTGTTCCGCCCGAACCCAGAGCCCGGGCCGGACGATGTGGTTTCGCGCATCGAGCTTGGTGCTCGCGAGGCAGGGGATGTGGATTTGGCGATTGACGGTGGCGAGAAGGGTGGCTACCTGCTCGCTTACTGCACCGACGACGAAGTATTTCTCCAGCAGATTCCGACATCCTCCAAGCCTGATGCGCCAACATCTCTCTTTCGAGCTGCTGAGATATCAACCTCACTGCCTCCTTCTCAGAGACCCAAGTTTCGGGCTTTGCGCTTTCTCACCCCTCGTCTTCTGCTTCTTCTCCGGAACCGCCCATCGCGAACTGGCGCAGACATATTGGTCCTTCGAGTTAGCCAAGATTGTTCGCAAGCCCGCATAACCCTACGCAAACAACTCAATAGGTCAATACGAGCGGCGGTCGGGCTGGATGTATGCAGCCTGACCGAATCAGAGCAAGGCGAGAGACAGTTCGTGATTGCGGTGGCGGGACAGTCTGGAGAGGACAGTTCGATTGAGGTGTTGGCGCTCGACTACTCGAGAGAGGCAGGGCTGGGAGTTTTCAGATCATACGCCTTCATCAAAGCCGTTCATAATGGGCCCCTTACCCGCCTTGTCTTGTCCAGCTTTACTGGACCAGCTCTTCCGGTCACGAACACAGTTGGACCCCAGTCTCTCCGCCTGGCCTCTGTAGGCGTCGACAAATTTGTCGTCGTCCATTACCTCCCTCTCCGTCCTTTCCCGCCCACCTCATCCAAGACCCCTCGGTACGTGCTCGTTCCTCCAGGACGCTCCGAGACGGTGCAAACATCATTCAGTGTGTTCTTCGCGCTTGTGGTCGTTGGCATTGTGGCATTCCTGATGCAAGCATTCTGCGAGATCCGTGGCGCCGTGCCACCCGTCCTCGGAGCCCCGAACTGGCTATCACCGCGTATGCGCGAACTTGTCGCCCGACCCTATGTCTTCGCCGACCGAATGAGTTCCGCCGTGTCAGATATTCCTGTGGCGGCGCACAGCGCGACGGAAAAGCTCAAAGACTCTGCGGACGAAATCACCTCTACCCTGTCGTCTGTATTGTCGTCGCAAACCGACTCACTGAAGAACCTTGTCGAGGAAAACTCCAATCTGGAAACTCCAAAAGCCATCATTGTGCGGGAGGAGTCCCTGGGTGAAATCTCCACCGAGATTCTACATTCGGACGCCGAGATCGTGAAACAGGAGACGTTGAAGAAGTGGGAAGAACTCAGTGAGGCGCAGAAGAAGGGCTGGAAGCGCAGACTGGTCGACGCGGGTCATTGGGCCGAGCACCAGGGCGAGAACGTGCTGAAGGGCATCTTGTTCTCAGAGCTCGCCGGAGCCGTGGGGAATATGGTTGCCGGAGTTTGAACAGACCATTGATATATTTGGTACCAGGCCTGCAGCACATCGTTGGAAATCTATATTTTGAGATGTTTTATGTTCTATGATCGTGTCTGTCGTATCAGCATTCCTTTTGCCTCCCCCTTTTCAGACGAATCTCGACCTCTTCATCCCGTAAACATCAATACATCAATACGTCTCGTCAGCACTGACCCCGTAGGTTCCCCCCGCAGCATACCACGCGGCCATGATCAGATCGCACAGGTCCTTGGCCTCGACGTCCTTGAGGGGCAGGTGGTGGCCGCCCTCGAAGTCCATATGGAAGCAGTGGTCGCTGTCGCAGGCCTTCATCAGCTCGAGGCAGCCGGGCTTGACGTGGTCGTCGCGGCCCCACGCGTGCACCGTGGGCACCTGCTTGAGGAGCTCGTAGTCGGCAACGTCGACGTCTTCGCTGAGGGAAATGGGTGGGAAGGGGCCCCCGATCATCACGCCGAACTTGAATTTCCAGCGACTTTGTCCTCGCCCGCTGTCGCGCTCCTCGATCTTCTGGCGGAGCAGCAGACCCGGCACGAGGCGCGCGCCCTGCGAGAAGCCAATGGCGCCCACGAAGCTGTCGACGCCGCCATTCTCCTCCATGGCCCGGAGGATGATGCGGTCCAGGGCCTCGACCTCCTCGCGCGGCGTGGGCTCGCGATCGCTCTCGCCCGCCTTGAACTTGCGGGTCACCCACCGGTAGAAGGGCGCGCAGGACGCGAACACCGGCAGCATGCCGAACCCGGGTGTGCCCTCGATGGGCGCCTGCACGAACACGAACCGGAACTGCTTCTCCAGGTTCCAGAGCAGCCGCCGGCACTGGATCTTGAACACCGTGCTGTTCGACCCGCCGCCGTGCAGCATCAGGATCGCCGGCAGGGGCGTACCCGTGTGGGAGTGCGTGGGATGGGTGGCCATCGTGTGGTGACGCGCTGTAACGGGATTATATCTTGTTGCTGGTGGCTGATTTCGTCCTGATCCGGATGTTCTGAGGTTCTCGAATAAGGCAGCGCTTATTGTTCGTCTTCAGTATGTAGGTCGTATTAGAACGCTCAGTATACTAGCTTGGGATCGCTGACGCCGGGGGTTAAATCGTGAGCCCGTTCCTCTGGGATTTTGCGGGCCGTCTGAGAAGATCCTGCCCCCTGTTTGGCGCTTATCAAATTTAAAAAGCAACGAACGTTTGTATCAAATCTTCTGTTGCTGAGGTTGAATGCGGTTTCCCGGACTTGAGATCGATGTATGTGCCAGAGACAGCCCCTGCCTCGATAATATGATGTCGAGTTGAGTAACCTTTATGTTCTGCGAAATAGAAAAGGGAGGGAAAGTCTCGATTGAAGAACAGAGCCGGGTGAAGACAGGGGCGATTCACGTGATAAGGCTAGATACGGCCACCGACGAGGCTGAGAATTATCTCGCGCTTTAGCCGTGCCGCCTCGGTTTGTAAAACTAGAGCTGGTGGAAATTAGGGAGCCAGGGATCTCGTAGGTTAGAGTCGGATTGAATGTGCATGGTCAGCCCTTCTATGGACTATCATGGTGCCCCAGTGACTCCGGGGGCATGTGCTGAGAGAGACGAGTTGAGAAGCAACCATTCCATACTGCCAACCAGCGTCTCACACCAAGAATGTCCCGCTATTGGAATGAATCACGATCCCCGTCGCGTTGGCATCCTTCAAGCAGTAGAGGTATGCCTCGGCCAAGTCTACAGGCTGGCCAACTTTCGCAGTGGGCATCTTGCTCTCATGGTCCGCAAAGAATGCCTGTTTCCCTCCCTCCCCCATGCCCTGCCAAAGATCTGTCTCAATCACCCCAGGAGCGACACAATTGACGCGTATGGGCGCCAGGTCGAAAGCCAATTGCCGTGTGAGACCATTCAATCCAGCCCCGATGAGTGCGAGCATGGACCAGCCTCCAGCAATGGGTTTTTCCGATATGGAACCGCCGGTCAAGACGATCGACGAGTGCCGATCCTTCTTCATGTACCTGGTCCCGATTTTGACCACCAGGATTGCAGCAATGGTCCGAACTTGATTGCATTTCTGCCACTTCTCCAGTGTCACCTCCTCGAGCGGGATCATGGGCAGTCGATCTCCGGCCATGTACACAATATGGTCAACATCGCCCACCTCTTTGAACAGAGCTTCGATATTGGCCTCGACATTGGGACTGGCCAGGTCACAGGCGAACCCGTAAATGCGGTCTTGAGCGTCTGGGTAGTCACTGACCAGCTGGGCGCACATGTCCTTGACTTTGGAGGCTCGGGACGAAGAGAGGATGATTGTTGCTCCAAACTCGATGAGGCCCTGTGCAACACTAATACCAACACCACCAGTGCCTCCAACCAGAAGAATACGCTGGCCCGCAAGTTTGCTTGTGAATCGGACAGGAGACATGTCTGTGGTAGGTGTTGTTTGGTCTCGAAAAGGATTGCTGGAAATCTGAGAAGATGTCGGCAGAACACTCGCTTTTTGTGATTACAATGGTGATGGTTGGGTAGGTGCTGTGCTATACAGATGGACGGAGAAGGCTCGATGGACGCTTCGAGTGTTTTATCACTTTTCGCATTTTCGGGTTGTCCTTCAACACTTGGTGTCTCCTGTTTGCAGTCTCTTCTATCTCCGCCATCTCCGTTTGTTTAGCTTGACGGTGAGTACAACCACCCCTGTGGCGGAGTACAACATATGCTGGTTGTTGACGGGACGCAATCTCCGTCGAGCCCAATATCGGCAGACTATGCTCACCGTCTGGTTCTCCTCTTTTTCTGGGTGCGTCGAACATGATTGGATTGTCCGGCACAGGCTGTAGAAGACTGGAAGAAGCAACAGAAAACGCAAGTTCCGCATTAGGAAAATGCGATGGGCCTGACGCGACGTCACTGTTGTTGATGGGCGTCTTTTGCTTTTTCTCTGCTCTTTGCTCTTATTCAGCTATCAACAATTTGTCAGCCAAAGACCATTCTGCATACCATGTTACCATTGAGGAGATCTGCAAAGTGTCCCGGCATGATTCTTAACGCCGAAAATGATAAATCGTGGCGGCTATCAAAGCGTACCATACTGAACGTCTCAGCTCGGACGAAAGTCTCTTCAGGAGCCTGACCGCAATGTGCCCTTCATACGCTTTGTGAAGATTGCAGAGCATGGTCCATCTCGGATGAGCTAGGCAATGAGTATGTTGGTGAGATGGAACATATGGTGAACACCTCGGCCGGTTTGTATTGCAATGTAGTTCGAGGACATCTGGCCCAATCAAGTCCCGAGAAACGATGAAGCGCGATAATGGACAATGTGCTGAGCCGGCACGAACAGAGCACCAGAGAAGTCTCCAGAGAAGTCTCACGGCCTATTCAGAACTCGTCACATTCATTTCTTCATCCGTCATAGAGCACTCTATTTGTCTCTAAGCATTGCTTTCCAACATTTAGGACGAAGTCGAAGACGACAAAGGCGGGAAGAACGGGGGGCCTCAGCCTCGCTATGTTGGAGATGACTGGCCCTGAAGGATCGGGTCGTCGCGTGCGTTTCCAACATGTTGAGACCTTCGTACCAACTCTCAAGGAAGATGATGCTTCATCAACTTCTTCTCTGATAAAGGCCTTGAGATCTCGCTTCACAGGGTTTTGGGCGTCGCGCCAATTCGCAGTAGCTGATCGAGTGATATGTTTACCTGGCACAGATAGAAGCAGGTAGATGAAGCAGCGCATGTCTCGTCCTCTCAAACAATGTCCGCTTTGAACACCAACGCAACACCGTCGTCGCCAGCCGTAACAATTCTGCTTCCACCACCACCTTGTACGAACCCCAATACGCCACCTCCTTCTCCCTCCCCTCGGTGTCCCTTCCACTCCTGGACGAACCCTTGACCCGCCGCCGTCGTCCCGCCCCTCACATCCCATCTCCTGACCACGCCATCCATGCCCGCGGAGGTCAAGAGCCAACCGCCCTTTGTCGGATTCCTGACGAATTCCACTTTGACGACTGCATACTCTTCATGCGCCTCTTTAATATGTCTCCGTACCGCAAAGCGATGGGCCGTATCGAAGAGGGCAATGGTGCCATCGACGCTTCCCGCGGCAAGGATGTTGAGTGGTGGAGAGGAGAATGAAAGTGTCTCGACGCCGTCAGACTGAGCTTGGAGAGAGGCGAGGATCTGTCCGGCCGAAGAGGCTTGCTGTTGTCTCCCGGCGCCTTTGGAGCCGCCAGTCTTCTTTGCCTGATCAGCCGGTTGTGGCAGGCCGACGACTTTGATGTTCCCGCCCGCACCGCCCACGGCAACAATCGATGGGGTACATGCTACGCTGTACAAACCGCCTTCAACTTCGAAGCGTTGGTCTGCGGCGGTGAAGGAAATGACAGCTTGACCCGCGGCGAACACGTCACAGACATAGAGGCTGCCATCTTCCGAGACTGTCGCAAGGAGCGAACCGTCTGGTGTCCACGCTCCCGCGGTGCATGATGCAGTGTGGAGGTAGAACGCTTGTACGATTGTGAGAGGGCTGGCTTTGTCGTCGGCGTTGATCTGATAGACCCAGACTGAGCCGTCGTTGGCGCCGAGAGCGATTACGTTCTCCTGATCCTTGTTGGGCGAGGGCGCTACCCAGTTGATCTCTTCCACTTCAGCCGTCTCGGCCACAAATGTCCATTTTCTCGAGTCCGCGGATGACCTCCACGCCCGTAGTTTCCCGTCAAGTCCTGCCGTTACCACGTATTCGCCTCGGGGGTATGTGAAGGCCACCGCGTTGACCGAGTCGGTATGCCCATCCAGCTTTTGGAGGGGTGGGATGCTTTTTCTCTCGCCCTGAGGCGCGTTGGTGTTCTGGGGTGTGTTAGGTACCGATGCGTCAAAAAGGTATGCGACGTCGTCGCCGCCACCTGTGACCACGATGGATGGATTGGAGGGGTGTTGCGCTATGCAGAATATACTGTCTGTATGGGAGTCAAAGTGTGCGGCGGAGTCGTTTTGTAGTTGGATTTCTTGCTCTTCTCCTTCCATATCTTCATCTTCGTCTTCCATTGGGTGGTCAGGGTCGTCGTCTATTATCTCTTCGGCGGCTTCATCTGCGTCCAGGAGGCCGTCGTCCTCTGGTTCTATATTGTCGGGCGGCCGAGGGACCGGCTGAGGGTGAGACATGCTGGGTTGATGAACTTGGGTTGTTTGAGGGGAAGTGTATATGCTAAAGTCTTAGCAAGGAAGAGGAAGGAAGTGCAATGGAGTATTCGAATTGTGCAAAGGCAGAGAGAGAGTCTTATGAGGGATTGATGCGACGCCCCCGCTTAGAAATGCGTTTCTTGTGCTGTTTACCCGCACGAAAAAAAGAGCTGGGTGAGTTTTTGGAGATGGCGGGACCTTTGCGTCATTGGCTACTTACGGTAGGTACACACGTACGAGGTATATGTACATATCATTAGTCGTAGGGGCGCTGGGAAGACCAGCTCCCTCGTACAAATTCATGAGACACTCCATGCATGATCGAGCAAGGCCATATCAGATCTGATGACAGATTTTCCAACCGGAGACAGATCACTTTGATGGAATATAATAAATATTCAGAGAGGGGGGCTGAAGTGCATGGGGGACCGACCACTCAGCCCTGCGACAGAATCCTCGGCCTCGTCGGTTGAGATTCGCAATTAATAAGTGATTCTGTTGAGTTCGATGTCTTATGTCCAATCTCCGGTTTGCTTACTGTGAATCTAAGGGCCGTCAGGAATGGACAGCTTCTTATCCGATACACCGCCCACCGAAAGGCAGAAGCTGCATCTCTCTGGTCAATAAATATCACGAATCAGCCCCAACTGGAGAAATTTGTCTCCATCCCTGAACAGCGATCCAGGGGTGCGGTCCGTCCCACAGCTTACGAGTACAGCATGTGGCCCTTCCGCTGATCTGAGAGCTTCATATTGCCTCTGGCACCAAATGGAGGATTCATGCAGTGTCTCTTCGAACACACAGCAAATGGTGAAAATGCCAGATAGGGCCCAAAGTTGCGGGATGGCATCTCCTTCTTCGGAGAGAGTTCGTTGATTGTCCTGGTATAAGTGCTGTGAGTCGCCGTGGCCAGTATCCGGGACCATGGTAAGACGAGCACTCTGTAGCTCTCCGTTCAGAATGTCCACCGATCACCGCTCTCTGCAACCCTTTGGCATCTCCGTGGTTTTATCCTTCTCCCATACTGTGGACGCAGGTTTCTGAAACGCTCATCCGTCTCCATAGCGGTAGAAAGGCTGAAGAGGTGGCTGATTTGGCTTACACCCTTTACCCTGGTTCCAAGGCCTCTCATTCGTCATTTGGGCTGGATGATAGCTACGCTGTGGAACGTAACAAGCCGGACTTGTTACTAAGAGAAGCAAAAGGCAAGTAACCGTGCAGGTGGCACGCGGCTGGGGCTCCATGGCGTGGATCAAATGCAATTGAACACAGCCGTTCGGCGAATTTGCAACTCCTGAGCGTGTTTCAGATACATCGGAAAAGTTACCCATGGTGACCCTGGCGACAAATCTCCCAGGTGAAGATCGTGCCTAGCTAGGCGACCCTAAACCCTGGTCGTATAACTGGAATCCCTCCCACATAAGGGCGCATCCAGGCTGCTGATGCCCAGCCGGAGGGGACTCTTGTCCCCCAATCGCACTCCCCCTTCTTCCTCCTGGGTGCCTCTCCTCCCCAATTATTTTTGCTCGCCTCCCACGACACCATTCTTCTTCCACCTCTTCCACAATTCCACCCTTTCTAGCCGCCCATTGTTACAGTGAAATATTGGCTGCCCATTGGGCCAGTCCAGGCCAATCCTATCGTCCCTCTTCCTGGTTTGAAGGTTTCAGCCTGATCCTGAATCGACCCCAGTGCCGTCTGCCACTCGTTCGTTTGCTCGCTCGTCCATGCGATCCTCCATCGCCCTATTCCTCTCCGGCTGCCTCACCCACCCTAGTCTTCGGTGCTGCTCTCTAGACCAATTCTTGTTCTCGCGGTTCAAGGACCACGACTCCCGACGTCGTATGGAATTCTGCCGTACAATGCCATTGTCTATTCACTGATACTCTTGTCAAAGTATTTTTTTGGACCGGATAGGGCTGCCACAATATCGCCGGTCAGAGAGTGTGGATCAGACTGCGCTCACCAACACACCAACCCCAGGCCAAGACTCTGTACAAGGAGTATCTCAAACGGATTGACTGGGCCTTCGCACGACGGCTTTCGACTTCTACTCGTCCCCTTCACTTCGGTAGTCTGAGATTCTCGGAGCCGCACGTATGCTGTCACAGCTTGCGCCTGCTCAGCCGATCACCGCTCCCCTCTGAATCCCAGTTCTACTTCAATATTAACCTCTTGTCTTGCGTCTCCGGCCCAACGCCACACCTTGACGTGTAATTGAGGCCCTTTTCGAACGCCGCCCCGACAATGGCTTCAGGGCCCGAAAATGGGTAAGTGGCACAGCGAAAGAACCGAGAAACTTTCGTCGCACGTTTTGTGGTCATCCTACTGACTCTGTGCCAGCTTCTACTCCTCGGGCCAATTTATGAATCCAGGTCCTGCACCTCGCCCCCCTACCGACCGGCCTCGACATCTGGAGTTGCAGCGCTCGAACACCTCGATACCGACGAGCACCTTCGACTCCATGTCGTTAGGAGGCCCCGCCTCCCCAGCCGTCAGCACTCCGAGTGCCCCTTTCTTCTCCAATGGCAGTTCTCTGTCCCTATCAACAAACGGAAAACCTTCGGGTCCGGTCACTATCATCAAGGAAGGCCATGTGCGCTGCAAAGAAGACAAGTTCCTCGCTCAATGGAACCAACGATACCTGATTCTCCGCGAGTTCAGACTGGATTTCTTGAAGAGTGAGAACGGGAAGCTCATGCAGTCCATCCAATTGAACACTGTGACGGGTGTGACTCGTTCTGAGGAGACCCGAATGGCCTTTGAGATCACTCGCGTTGCGAATCCCAAGGATGCGGGCAGCAAAATCGTCATGGCTCGTGATTTGCCAACCCGGACCATTACCTGTGAGGTCCGCAACGACGATGAAATCTACGACTGGATTGATAAAATATATGAGCGGTGTCCTGGCATGGGGGGCGTCAGCAACCCCACAAACTTCAACCATCGTATCCACGTTGGCTTTGACCCTCAGACAGGCGGCTTTGTCGGGTTGCCACAGGAGTGGGAGAAGCTGTTGAACAATTCCGCCATTACCAGAGACGACTACAAGAAGAATCCCCAGGCCGTCATCGAAGTGTTACAGTTTGTCTCAGACCAGAAAATGCGTGAGCAGCACCCCGAGATGTACACCCCCGGCATGCTCACCCCGCCAGCAGCTCAGCCGAATAAACAACTTGGATACCCAACAGGGGGCAATAGTGTTGCTCCACCAAGGCCAGCGCCACCAACAGATGCGCAACGATATAATGCTAATCAGTTCATCAACAAATACCAGGAAGGCCCCTCCCGGATAGGCACTCCCCCAGGGAAACCGCCGTTGCAGCGGTCGCAGACAGACAAGGGTGCATATGACATGGAGGCTGATGCCGCGCGGATCAAAGCAATCGCCAACGAAGAACAAAAGCGTCGTCAGATGGAGGCGGAAGCGAAGCGGGTGCGAGACGTTGAAAGACAGAGGGAACAGGAGCGCGACGAGATTGAGCGCAACCGCAGAGAACAAGAAGCCTATAACGCCTCGTTACCAAAGACACGTCCGCCACTAGCTCAGCAGGAGATTGGGGGATACGGAAATGGCTCTGAGCGCGGACCCAACCGGCAAGATCCAAGATACAACCCCGCGAGAGCCGCTCCCAGTGCTCCCCAGCAATCATCGTCAGTATCAATCAGGCAAAACCCCACAGCGCAGAGACCGGCTCCCTCTGCCCCGAGCAGCATTTCCCAAAAATCCATTCCTCAATCCCTTTCGGCCAGTCAGAGTTCATTACGATCGCCCGAGAGCAGAGAACGTGATCGGCAGCCTTCGCCTAATGCTCGATATCCTCCAGGCGAGCTGTCGCGGAAGGACTCGACGCCTAAGCCGCAGACCAATGGTGCCAACGGACAGTCCGCGAGTCGGTCACAAGGATCTGTCCAGCAACCTAAACCTCTCAATGTGGCCAAACAGCCGCAGGCGAAACCTGCGACCGATCCGCGCAAGGAAGCCGAGATTGCTTTGACGGCGAAGAAACCCGTCGAAGAGCGGGCCAAGGAGGTGCGAATGTCGAGTATGAGCGAAAGCGAAGTCATGGCAAAGCTAAAGCAGGTGGTGTCCAAAGACAATCCTTTGGAGTCCTACAGCAAGCAAAAGAAGATCGGTCAGGGCGCTTCCGGTTCAGTTTACGTTGCGCGAGTTAAGGAAAGCGCAACGTCGGCTGTCGCACGTGAACTGTACCGTACACACGGTCCCAAGGGTCAAGTCGCCATCAAACAGATGGATCTTCGCAACCAGCCGCGCAAAGAGTTGATCGTCAACGAAATCATCGTCATGAAAGATTCCAAACACCCCAACATCGTCAACTTCCTCGACTCCTTCCTCCAAGAACAGAACAATGAGCTCTGGGTGGTGATGGAGTTTATGGAAGGTGGCGCGCTCACAGATATCATCGACAACAACCCGGTGATTACCGAGGATCAGATTGCCACAATCTGCTACGAAACCTGCAAAGGGTTGGCTCATTTACATTCTCAAGATATTATCCACCGAGATATCAAGAGTGACAATGTGCTGCTCGACCGAGTGGGCAATGTCAAAATCAGTAAGTGACTCCAATGTCTGACCTGAAGCGATCATGTTACTGACTACGACAATACAGCCGACTTTGGGTTTTGTGCCAAGCTCACGGAATCAAAGAGCAAACGCGCGACGATGGTTGGGACACCATACTGGATGGCCCCCGAAGTTGTCAAGCAAAAAGAATACGGACCCAAGGTTGACATTTGGTCGCTCGGCATCATGGCCATTGAGATGATTGAGTCGGAGCCGCCGTATCTCAACGAAGAACCGCTCAAGGCCCTGTTCTTGATTGCCACAAACGGCACACCGCGGTTGAAGAACCCCAACAAACTGTCACGGGAATTGAAGGCATTCCTCAGTGTCTGTCTCTGCGTTGACGTCAGAAGCCGGGCCAGCGCCGACGAACTGCTGAAGAACGACTTCATGCGCATGGGCTGCAGTTTAGCGAGTCTGAGCGAACTGTTGAAATGGCGAGAGAAGGGTCGGCAGTGACCGGACCGGCTCGCGGCGCACTAAGGGGCCCGGGGTAATATGGGACATCACTGGGCTGGAGGACGAAGTCAACCGCCATTGGGAAAGGATCATACAGGCGTCGACAGTCATTTCACTCCACACGCACATCTTGGATACAGTGCTGAAGATTGTTTGGAGCTGCGCTTATGGAAAGTCCAGACCAACCAGAACAGAAGCGAGCGACTTACAAGCGAGCGGACGATGGCCGCGGGTTCTTATCGAGACCCAGAGATGCCAAAGGAGAGGGGAACCTACGATGATGGTTATTTCATGGTTGATGATTGAATGGGAAACGGATCTTTGCGTTAAATGCCTGCCAGTTCACCGGGAGCATCTTCTCCTACCACTGCTTTGCACAAGGACATACCTGGACATGAAGGGTGGTGGTATGTTGTGGCATCATGCAAGCTCGTACGTGGCAGCAAGCTGCCGGTTAGATGGGACACAGTCGGCACGAGTCTTGGGCATCGATATGCCACGTCAAGCGGATGCAGCGCTTGCAAAGACAAGAAGGTGAAGGTGACGGTGAAAGTCTGCACTATACACATTGAGCATGGAGCTGAGGGGGGAAGAAAGGAGAAGCACAGAGCGAGAAGGTGCTTTAACCAAAAGAAATAAAAGGAGAGAATCAAATCCAGGTGTCAAAGCTTCAAACATTCTATCTATCTATCTGTCTGTCTGTCTGTCTGTCCATCTGTCTCTCTGACCTGAACTTCCACGACTCTCCAAGCCCCATCGGCAGTCGGGAGCAGCTTCACCCGACCGACAAGATGACAAACGGGCTTACAAGTGACACCAGGCACGAGGCAATCGGGAATCCATGCCCCTATTTCTCTTCAGGCCCCATTGGGCCGATGAGCTGCCAGTGGGAACACGACACGGAGCGACGCGAAGAACGGAGTCTTACAGAAAGACGCCAGGCCACTAGCATTACCAGAAATAGTCATGATAACAGCTCCCTACCACAAGTTCCTACTACATACATAGTAGGTACCAAGGACTGTGGACGAGAAGGAGAAAAGGGAGAGAGGAACGAGAAGTGCATAGGTAGGGCGAAGCTCGTATTCATAGGTCCACATCCGGTGGGCGGCACCAGCGTCACAGGCGTGGCAGGGGAACTTCGCAGATAACCAGATAACCGGAGATAGTCCATCCCTCAATGGGGATTCAATGCACCACACCATTCACCATTCCCTCCCTGCACCTTTGCATATTTCCACTCCGGTTCGCAGTTCTCCGAATCGGTCCAGTAATCCCAGTCCAATACAATAGTGTTGCCTGTGCTCGATACCTGCTTTATTACGTCAAGACTCAAAGATGATAGTCGTTTCCCAACCCTTCTGAATTGATGTTTATCAATCAATTGAGGAGCCGCCCCGACGTCGACAATCCGTCAACCCTGAACCCCCTCCCGACAGATGCGGTAGGGCGAGGTCTCACCTTCGATCTGTCCGGCAGTCCATCCTCCTCGTCCTCTCCTCCTCGACCCCTGCCCTGAAGGGAATACTCCTCCGCACAAAAAATCGCCTGTGTTGCCCGCGATGCTGGCACATGAAGATGCCTTCGCAGAGGAGGCGCAAGAGGAGATCAGACTGGCTGAGGAAAGCCATGCAGAGTCTACCACAAACGCAAGGTTCCATATCAGCGACAGTCAAGATGATGAGGAGGACGAGATGAGTCCTCTGATGAGCCCGGACCAGCGTCGAAACAAACCCACCGCATATGCAAGGACTCGCCCAAGTTTTGAAAGGGCGATCAATGAACCTTGGAACGGCGCCCACGGCTCAAGTGACCTCCCCTGGTACAAGACCCCTTCTGTAAGTCGCCCAATGTGTTCCCCTCGGTGGGAGTTGGACTACCGCTGATTTGTCTGCAGATATTTTGGCTGCTTCCTGCGTTCTTCCCCTTCTGTATCGCCTTTGGCGGCATCATTGTTCCCAAGACATATCTCGTCCTCGACCTGATCTGTAAGGACTATCTCTCGGAGCAAGCATCAGAGAACCCGAACTTCCACTTTCTACCGGTTGTGCTAGGCGAGGAGAATCCTCAGTGCAGAGATCCCCACGTGCAAGCCCGGGTGGCCAACTTCAATCTCTATGTCAATCTTCTCAGTGGAATGTTTTCCGCCATAATATCTCCCCATCTAGGGTCGCTTTCAGACCGTATCGGACGAAAGAAGGTCATGGTCACTGCTTCCCTGGGCGCGTTGGCCGCCGAAATCATCACCATCATTGTCGGCCAGACAAACGGCCGGGTTTCTGTTTACTGGTTGCTTCTTGGAGGTCTCATCGATGGACTGTGTGGCTCGTTCACCACGGCTTTGGCCTTGGCCTTTGCCTATGCGTCCGATTGCACCCCTCCCGAACGTCGAGCTGTCGCTTTTGGCTATTTCCATGGGAGTCTCTTTTCTGGGATTGCGTTGGGCCCAATCGTATCGGGCTATCTGATCAAGGTGACGGGGACCGTCATGATTGCGTTCTACCTCGCTCTTGCGTGTAACGCATTTTTTATCGTCTTCACCCTACTTGCTGTGCCAGAGTCTCTCTCCAAGGAGCGACAACTGCTGGCACGAGAGAAAAGACAGTTCGCGCGCGCCGAGCTGCCAGACAGTGACTGGATCAGCACCATCAAGAACTACAACCTCTTCGAACCACTTTGGATTCTGAGGCCGAAAGGCGAAGGCTCGAGCTCGGCGTTGAGGAAGAACTTGTTTGTGCTCGCGGCCATCGACACGATGATGTTCGGCGTGGCCATGGGAACCGTGCAGATCATGCTCATATATGCAGAGTACCGCTTCGGTTGGACTGCCGTCAACTCCAGCATGTACCTTTCTGCTGTCAACGTCTGCCGCGTGCTGGGTTTGGTCCTGATCCTGCCGCTACTCACCAGGATCTTCCGGGGACCGGGCCAAATGCACTCAAAAGGACACAAGGGCTCGGATATGCTCGATATTTGGATTATCCGGGGAGCCATCATTTTCGACCTGGTAGGGTACATTGGCTATGCTTTCACCCCATCTGGTGCGATCATGGTGCTTTCCGGCATGATCGCATCTCTCGGTGGGATTGGCTCGCCGACCCTCCAGTCTTCTCTCACGAAACATATCCCTGCCGACCGGACGGGCCAAGTGCTCGGTGCCTCGGGGCTTCTGCATGCTCTGGCACGAGTGGTCGCACCGACGGTCTTCAACCTGATTTACAGCCAGACAGTGGGCATCTACGCCGGGATCGTCTTCATCTGCTTGGCTTCGATTTTCGTCGTTGTTTTCATTCTCAGTTGGTTTTTGAGGCCGAACGGTATGTTTCTCCAGATTGCCTTTTCTCCTTCTTTTTCCCCCTCGAGGAGGAGAGGATTGTTGCTAACAACGCTCCCAGTCTATCTTGCGGAGCCATCTGCCGTCCATCTTGATTCATCAGAGGGTGACGAGGACCACCTCGAATGAATGAATGATTTATTTATTTATGTGTAGTATATCTATCCGATTCCAATTCTTGCAATGCACTGTAGCAGAGAGGATCATAGATTTGTTCATTTTATGTATCTACTTATTTTTACGTCAGATGACGAGTCGCTTTTTTCCCACGGCAATGGAGTCTTTCTTTTATTCCTAAGTATGGCTCTGCATGTGGCATCTATATGCAGTATGTACATACATATACATAGGCACGGCATGTACCCTACCCTACCAGATCGAATAACGCTTGGGAAGACCATTTTACCGTTGTCGTTGCTAGAATTTGCCTCTCGGCCCGGGATTATACTCCACAGAATCATGTCTTCTCAATACATAGGTACGTAGATACCTCGTCCGTGTGTTAGAAACCAAATTGGAGGGAAGAGGAGTGTGTCCCAATGAACTCGCGCTATATAGGTAGGAAGGAGCACCTCTCCTTGCATTCTTTCGTATCGGTCAGGTCTTCAACTCCCGACTCATCATGTGCGTGAGACCCAGCGGCTCGATCAGCGCGCCGCCCCTGTCCAGCCCGACGTTCCACTCCCAGACGGTCACACCCAACAGCATGCAGGCGGCGATGCCGAGAAACAGGCCCGCGCCGATGTTCGGGGTCGCGGGCACGCACACGATCACGACGATGAAGACGGCGCGGCCCGAGAGGCGGATGTAGCGGTTGTTGATCTTGAGCGTGGCCGGCTCGTCGAGGGACTTGTCCAACAGCGCCAGCGCCGTCATGCTGAGCATGATGATCCCTAGCGACGTCGCGCACGTCCACACGGCGCGGTACATGTAGCGCGGCAGGTCATCTGGTGCAATCTGTCCCTCCGACGACGCACCGGCCGCCGGCGACGAGGTGTAGGGCGCGTCGGGCTGGTGGCGGATGATGAACATGACGCTAGACGCGAAGGTCAAGATCGAGGAGAAGAGCGGGATGTGCCAAAAGACCCACGTCAGGGTCTTTTTCCCCTTGTGGGTGGCTGCCGGGACGAACGTCATGCTCCCGTCGCGGTTGAAGTAGAGGAATGAGAATTCGTAGTAGATCAGCAGGATCCAGACCATGTCCCCCGTGCTCCCACGGAGGCCCAGACCCAAGGGTCCGTCCTTGATGAGTTGCAGGACGCCCTCGCCGAGGATGATGATGAAGAAGTTGGACATGCGCGATTGGAAGTGGTGCACGTCTAGCGCCTTTCTGACCTCGATCGGCGTCAGTGTCTCTGTGAGTTGTGACTCGATGATAACGGGACAGAGATACTCCCAGAAGATGGCACCACAGACGGGCCCGATGGCACGGGCCCCCGAAACCTCGATGGCGACGACCCAGAGCGCGATTGACCGGAGTCGGAGGATGGTTTGGAGAATGACGAGTTTCCGCAGCCATTTGATGAAGACCGAATAGGCCAGTTCGATGAGCCCGAAGGCGCCGAAGATGACGAGATACGTCGAGATGACCCACTGCTTGACCTCGTCGATGTTTTCGGTCAGATAGGCCAGCTGGTTGCCGTAGAAGACCGAGAGCACCAGAACCCACAGGGTGAAGGCCCGCTGCACCATGTCGTCCATGTAGTAGTTGTTCAAGAACTCGCGCATGGCGTCCCAGATGCGCCACGAGGGCAAGAAGACCAGGATAAACACAAGCTGGTGCATCTCAGAATCAGCACATTTGGAACTCTTCTAGGCAGTGCCGGGCTTCCGTTCTCCCCCTTACCGCTGCGAGCCCCAGGTCTGGGTCTTCGGGCCTGAATCCTAATGACGAGAATACCTCTGAGAGATTGCCGATGATGCCCACCCAGATCAGGTCGATGAAGAGATCCAGTCTTTCCCTCTCCTTGGCGATATCTTCGGGGAGGTGGCTGGATATGCTCGACCGACCTGCTGACTCACGAGCTCCGCGTTCGTCTCCGGCGTGGACGACCTGTCTTCGGTACGAGAACTGAAGGGCCCGTGGTCGACGGATCGTATATCGGTGTCTTGCCCGTACCTCTGCCTGATGTCAAATGTGTCAACCGAGTATCCTAGATGCAAAGGACAACCACTCACATGGTGGTGACCTGTGTGCTCATGGCTGGTATTGGGGTGAAGATCCACGTTCAACGACAGGCCTTGCTTATCGTCCAAACGAGCAGGGTCAACCTGGATTGAGATGTCGTCCTTGCTGCCATCCTGCTCTGCGTCTGGTATTGAGGCTGGAACTGGACGGATCTGTTCGTGAAGACCAGCGTCGTCCATTGCCACGCCACGTCCAGATATTTCTGGCCTCCAGCCAGTGAAAACGCATTGGCAGATCCTCAAGGAGGCCTAAGGAGCTGAAAGGGGTGGGAGATCCAATTTCGACATTGCAAGGACTGTAGAGTGCTATTGCACCAGCCCCCAACGGATTTGGAGTATGTACGAGGTGTTAGTATGAATGGGGCGTCCCGTGGGCGAGCATCTTCCAACTATTAGTGGGCGTTTCGAAAGAAGGCATTGACGCCTCACTAGCCCTTTCATCGCGGTGTCGCCAACTGGCTCGCTGGCTATCTTCCTGGCTCTGCCCCGAGCTCACGTGCGACTCACCCAGGCCATGCCGCTTCTCTAACCCCTCCTCTGCGCTCACCTCGTCGCGACGCGGGAGACCACCAATGCAATGCATAAAATGTTACTTTTCTCTGCCGTACTATAGAATTAAATCCTTCACAAAACTGATTCCCTCGGTGATCTGAGTACTGGGCGGCATCACCCTCGTCCGAATCAGGGCAGGGCTACGCATCTTGGCGCATACAGGTTGATTCTCCGCAGGTGGAGACGAGAACTTCGAATCGCATGACACTTGGACTTAAGCACCACCAAGGTCAATGCCAACAACAGCAGCAGAAGATAACAGTTGGAGCTGCACACCCTCGATTCCCAACCATGTCGCCGTCTTGAAACAGAGCTTCTCAATGAACGCCTCAGTGCCACGGCCACTGTCTAGGCTCCAAGCACCCGAGCCCGGGAGGATAATCCAATGATGAATCCTCAAGTCCCTCCAGCAGCTCAAGCCTCTATCGTTCCCTCCAAAAATGCCCTGCGAGCTCTGCGTCGCTTAGCCCTGTCGTCTCCGGTTCTCGTGGCCAGCACACTTGGCGGCGTGTGCGGTATTGCGACCCTCAACTATGAAGTCAACCGGAGAGTCCGCCTCGCGGAACAAGCCCTGGAGTCCAAGAAAATCATACGGGCGTTATCCCACGGACGAGGTGCCAACCAACTCAATGCGATGATAGGGGCTGCAGAGAGAGGAGAAGATTTCACACTGAGCACGAGAAGTACCAAGAGGAAGAGGAAGGCTTCGACGAGGGATTTCTCCGCTGTAGCTCTTCAGGAACACTCGGAGCTCACGCACGACATGGCGTCAGAGAAGGCCGAACTTCCATATGTACCTTTCCAACAATTCAATCCTCAATCCGGAGGATCGAGTCGAAGCCCGCATGCTGCAGCTACCGCTGAGACGCATCCCAGTGGTGCGCATGGAATGGCTGTTGACAAGATTCTCAAGGCCAGCAGGGTCCCCCATCGACTGTCGAGTTATCGAACAACTACACATCCGAAACAGCAACACAAGTTAGAGGTCGAGAGGGCCTCAGACCTGCTTCAGAATTGGTTCAGTCCTATCCCTGAGGGTCCGGGAGGAAAAGACTCAGACTACGCAAAGTCGAAAGGGCTTACGCCCTTCAAGGGACAAAGAAGAGCTTCGGATATATATATGAGAAGAATCGCTCTGATAGATACTCTATCCCCAACGGAAGAAGTCCCGACGCGGGAAACCCATTCTCTTGACCATCCACCTCTCACTGAAAACGATAGCAATGGAAAAGCGTCATCCATCAATCCACCTCTCGACCAAGGGTTACCTGATCACGAGAATCACCGCATCGAGGGAACCAGACGCGGAGCGTTCCATTTTCGCGGAGATCGAGGCGCAGCATACTTGGCTGCGTACCTGGATGACGAGGGCATAGACCAGGTTCTGAGGGATTTGCTCGACCAAATCCCACAGCTCCCCTGGGATCCAGTGGCCGTGGAAAGCCTGCTGCCGTCAGCGCCGAAAGATTTCGTTGATCACGCCAGAACCGTTTTGAATCCAAAGATCCTCTTCAGCTTGCACCGATTTATCCAGCCGGAAAATAGGAAAATGAGGCGACACTATCAGTACCGGCGCTGGCTTGCTGTCATGAGGCATTATACCACCCGGCCCAGCACTGTGAACTGGATGACCGCGGAAGCTGTCTTCTACGAACATCGAAGCTTGTTCAAACCCAAAGGGCTCAATATCCTGCCGGTCTTTGATCTCGTACAGCATCTGCTAGCGACAGATTCGACTTACAGTCGAGTCCAAAACATCCTTTTTCCTCACTCACTGCAGGACTATGCGGATCCAGCTGAAGCTTTTGAAATCTCAGTCAAGTATCTGACCTTCTTCTGCGAAGGTCAGCGGCACACCATTGCCGAGTGTGTTGAAGAGACGAGAAAGATCATTAGTATCGCCAGGCGGCAGGGACTCATCCCCTCTCAGGACATCGCTGTCCCCGTGGTCAAGGCTCTCATTCGCTCGAGGGACTTTGAGGATGCCGAAATTGTTCTCGATCAACTTGGGGTGATGTTTGGTGACGTTGATTCTCTTGATATTTTGAGCAAATACACGTTTTTGAACGCCTGCGAGGGTAATTGGGCAGTGGTCGAATCCACTTTGGACAAGATTCACGGCGTCAACAAGTCGAGAACCCGGCCGATGGAATTCGCTCGCCTGTTTCAAAGACTTTTGATCCAACATACGGCCCAAAATCCCTCCGTTCAATCCTTTGGCTTCACAGTCCATGCCATCCGATACGCCGGTCTGATACCTACTGGGCTCATATCGAGGACACTGATATGTGCCTGCATTCGAGACCGGCGTTACGACCTGATCGTCCAGTGGGCGCGATTGGTCAAGGAGGCGTTTCCCAGGGTGAGCCTGGGGTTCGATCTTCTGCAAGGAGGATGGATTCTCGCGGATACCCTCATGGAGATTGGTGCCAGCTGCGAGGAAATTGCCAAAGTCTGTCTGACAATTGCTCATGGGTGCCGGAAAAGTCCGTTCAGCCCAAGCTTCAGGGAGTTTACTGTGGACCTCGTCAAAGCAGACTTGGGGCGCAGGTTATGTGCAGCCTCTGCTCAGTCGAGAGACGATATTTGCACAATGACTCTGGAACAGCTGCTCACGCGTGCCTTTGACCTCCGCGACTCGTCAACGGTCTCACGGGCATACGATGTGTATGTCGAGGGATCGAAGAGTGATATTGCCACTCAGATGTCTGCCATTGTAGATCTAGCCAAAACATTCCGAGGCGATACGAAGCTGTTGTTTCTGGGCAACAAAGGCCAGGCCGAGATTGTTTCGAAACGACGTCGCCACGGTGGTTCCAGCCAGATGCTGCGCGGGATGAACGTCTTCAAGCGGATCTACCCAGAAATCTTCGAGCAAGGTCAGCCCAATGGGGCTGGAAGCTTGATAGCTGCGCTGGTGGAATACTATGATGGCCGTGAGCAGAGAGGTCTCCCCGTCGACCACGCAGTGCTGAGAGACCTCATAACGCATGTCGGTCCACAGCACCCATCCGAGATCATTGAATTTGTCGAGGCCATCTATGCGAGCGGGTATGTCCAAGATCCCAAGGGAACACCGTTTGACGCGGATCTGTTCCGAAAGTGGCTGTACCTGGTATCGATGTACGGATCCATCACGTCGGCCAAAGCGGTGCTGAGGGCGGTAGTTGAGTCCAGCCATCAGCTGGAGTGGACTACCCATCTCCGCGTTTTGTGTGAATTTGTCGCCCAGGTGGAGAGTTTCCCGGATGGCAGCTTCTGGGACGAGAGGCAATTTCCCCGAAAACCCGACGACGAGGAATTGAGCTCGCTGTACGAGGAGATCAAGAAGTTGTGGGTTGCGGAATGCAAGCAGCGGAAGGAGACGTTCAAGTTTCCCGAGTGGAAGGGGTGGGAGATGGAGATGAGTAGCCGCTGATGTCTCCAGCCACCATATACGAATTGCCATCTGCATAGTGGTGGACGCTTCTCTTTTTTGCACATGAAGCGATCTGTATCTATTTGTATAGCGGACATATGGCGGAGTGTCCGCATTTGTCCGACTCTATATAGAGAGCGAAATACATCATACATCATACATCATTATCTTCTTCCTCTTTCTCTATTTACTCCTCCCTCGTCCAACACATCTATATCTACGTCTATATCTGCTTCATTTCCAACTCCCTCCACTCACCGGTCGGCCAAGTTTCTTTCTTCACCTCTTCACCACCCCGCCCTGAGTAAGTGAGTGAGTGGGGGGGGTGAACAGACCATGGCGGCGGCGACGGAAGCACGAGAAGAGCAGCAGGCGTCGTCTGAGCAAGGCCTCCTCCCCCTGCCGCCGCAGACGTTGGAAGGCAAAGTCGCGATCGTCACGGGCTCGAGTCGCGGGCTCGGCGCCGATATGGCCCTGGATTTGGCGAGGAGGGGCGCAAAGGTCAGTTCAGTTCAGTTCAGTTCAGTCCAGTCAGTCCAGTATGCCCTTGCTATGTCGCTGTCCTTGGTACGTCTTAGCGATGGGGGAGCTGGGAGTGGATATGGGACGGAGTTCACTTCTGTCTGGACCATGCATCCATGCATGTCCTGTTCGTTTGTTCGTTCGTTCATCTGTTGGAAACGTGGAAAAGGGGAGACATTGGAGGGAGGGACGATCACTATCGCTCTCCCCCACCACATATTGCTACGTCTCTTGAGAAAACATATATATCGCTCTTCCCTTCTCTGTGTCCCATCAGGTATACTACTACCGCAACAACAACGACAATAACAACTGCCCTTCCCGTGTCCAGCATCTCTGACACCTCACTGATAATAATCCGCATCGCAGGTCGTGATCGTTTACACATCGCCCTCCTCGGCCTCCAAAGCGTCCCGCCTCGTCGCGACGATCCAAGACCTCCCCAACGCCTCCGCCGCGATCTCCGTCCAGGCGGACCTCTCCCAGGAATCCGCGCCGGCCACCGTCGTCACGGCGACGCTCGCACATTTCGGCGGTCCGCAGGCGGCGATTCACATCCTGGTCAACAACGCCGCCGTGCAGATCACGCGGCCGCTGGGCGCCATCACCCTCGCCGACTACGAGCGCGTGTACGACGTGAACGTGCGCGGAGTCATCCTCATGACCCAGGCCGTGCTGCCGCACATGCCGGCGCGCGGCGGGCGGGTGGTCAACATCTCCAGCGTGGGGGCGCGCGCCGGCTTCGCGGGCCTGTCGCTGTACACGTCGAGCAAGGCGGCGCTAGAGGGCCTGACGCGCGCCTGGGCCGCCGAGCTCGGCCGCAACGGCACCACGGTCAACTGCGTCGCGCCCGGCCCCGTCCAGAGCGAGATGCTCGACTCCATCCCCCCGCACATCGTGCGCATGCAGATGGACAACACGCCCCTCGAGCACCGCGTCGGCACGCCCCGGGAAGTCAGCAGCGTCGTCAGTTGGCTGGCGGGCCCGGAGAGCGGCTGGGTCACGGGCCAGGTGGTGAACGTCAGTGGGGGGTGGACCATGTATTGAAAGTGCTTCACTCATTGATTGCATTGGGTTCGGGGAGCCCTCAGGGGGGGGGTCCATGGAAAGGGTGGAGGTGAATTCGGTTTCAAGGGAAGCCGACAAGGATGTTCGACGCTGTGCAGTGCTGTGTATGATTAGATGTTGAACACCTTCCAGCAAGAGTCGTCGGAGAGTATAGCTACAGATAGACAAGGCATCTCTAGAAAATACCAGGTATGGGGCAGGGCAGATAGGCAACGAGAATGAGAGGAGAAAGGAACATGTAGAACGCATTCTGCACAATGCCATGACACAGGAGAATTCAGCCACCAGCTTCAAGCTGTGAGAAGAGATTTGTTGTTGTTCATTAGTCTCATTTTGCGTCGATTAACCGTTTTATTTTTCCCTTCAACCAACAATACCATGCCATCCTTATCGTACAGTCGGGAGGATATTCGCCTGCTGGCCGGCAAAGAACTTTTTCTGCTCCAGACATCTCTCGCTGGTGCACCCTTGACATCTCAACCCCATCTGCCTCGAACAGTTCTCGCCACTCAAAAGATGCTTGTGCGCAATATCGGCCAACGCCTGGATAAAGACCGGGTTGTCATTGAGACTCTCGGCCCGCTTGACGCCCGGGTGGCCCTGGGCATCCTCATGCATGACTTCCTTGTCAATCTCGTACAGGGTTTCGATATGGTCGCTCGTGAAGGCGATCGGGACCAGGATGATGTCTGTTTGTCCTCGCTTCACATATTGCTTGACCGTGTCGCTGGTCTGGGCGCCCAGCCACGCAGAAGGCCCGACTTGAGATTGCCAGCAAAGCCTATACGGGTGGGCATGACCGAGTCGGCTCATGACAGCGTGCACGGTTGCCGCAACCTCGGCCGGGTAAGGGTCGCCCCTGTTGACCACGCTCATGGGCAAACTGTGGGCGGAAAACAGAATCACCACGTCCTTCCGACGATCTTCGGGATACTCGGCCAATTTGGCTTCGATGTTCCGCGCAAAGGCCTCGACGAGCCCTGGGTGCGTAGGCCACCGATCAATCACGCTCCATTGTATTGCTCCTTCTGGACCAACTTCGCCGTTCGTTGCTCGTTTACCCTCGAGCCGGTTCCGCCATTTCCACAGCTCGTTCAAGGAGCTTCCTGTGGTGGAACAGCTGTATTGGGGATACTGCGTGAATGCCACCGCCCGACCACCCTTCCCGCCACCGAACCCGTCTTTCAAAAGTTGTTCGTACATATGCTCCGTCAAGGGATTCGCATATCGGAACGCCACGTACGGTTTATGCGGTGCCGTTTCGGGCGACAACTTGTCCAAGATCTTGCACATTTCGGAACATTGGTACTCGGACCATTTTCGTATGGGAGAACCTCCACCGATGGCCGAGTACTGTTGTTGGATCTTCGGGGTGCGGCGGCGAGAGATGAGGGGCCCCAAGTACGGTTGTAATGGGCCAAGGGGGATGAGATCGCGGTCGGCGAAGAGACGGGAGAGGAAGTCGCCAACTTCGGAGGTGTGTGAGGGACCACCCATGTTCATAAAGACCATTGCGGTCGGCCCCTTGGAGCCTGTGGAATCCTGCGTCACAGGAGGCGTGGCTGCCGTCGCCATAGAGGCACTCTGGAGGGCCGAGGGTGCTGTCAGGCCATGTTTGACCGAGGGTGCCACCGGTGGGCGCTTTGTCGCCAGCTGGCGGGTGAGGTGGGCTGTCGAACTGCGCAGCGACATCTTGGATTCTGCGACGACAGGTGGATTGTTACCGGGCCATGAGAGGTGTTTCGGGGGCAATAAGTACCACGAGGAGAGGAGGTTTCGTGTGCACTTCACTGGGAGTAAGATCGTCAGTCGCAGGGAGCTGTGTCCCGTTAGAATCTAGTCGATGACTTTTTCTCGCCGCCAACAGAGATGATGATGATGATGATGACGACGAACGAATCAAGTGGCTGCCAAATGGATCGTTTTCTCTTGACAGCCGCGGAACAAGCGCCCCGAGATCACGTGAGAGCGCGTGTGCTTCATTCGGTCATGAGCGCGTATCAATGGTGCTGCCTCAAGTTCCTCGCCACCAGGAAACCATCACCATACCCCATCCCCCACACCCGGCTTCTGTCTCAATGAGTGCACAATATGGGTGACAATCTACCGTACCGGATCAAAGGCGATCCCGACGAGGGTGGCAGGAATGATGACGCCGATGAAGACGAAGAGGAGATCGACGAAACTGGCTACAAGACCGTTCGAGATGCGGTTCTGTTTGCCATCGAGGTCAACAAGTCCATGCTCACGGTGCCGCAGCCGTCGTCGGCCTCGAAGAAGACTGAAAACAGTTCACCACTCCTGGCCGCCTTGAAATGTGCATACCATCTGATGCAGCAGCGCATCATCTCGACCCCAAAGGATCTCATGGGAATCTTACTCTTTGGGACAGAAGCGTCCAAATTCTACGACGAGGACGAAACTTCCCAGGGTGGCTGGTCGTTTCCTCACTGCTACCTTCTCACAGATCTTGATGTGCCCGAAGCGGACGATGTCAAGGCTCTCAAACAGTTGGTCGAAGCAGAGTCTCCCGAGTCGGCGGATGTCTTCAAGCCGGCCAAGGAGCCTGTTTCCATGCACAATGTTCTCTTCTGTGCAAACCAGATCTTCCAGCAGAAGGCCGCCAATTTCACCTCGCGCCGGTTGTTCATCGTCACGGACAACGACGACCCCCATTCATCCAACAAAGAGTCGCGTTCACAGGCTACGGTGAGAGCGAAAGATCTCTATGATTTGGGTGTGACAATCGAACTATTCCCTATTTCGACCCCATCCCACACTTTCGATACCAAACTCTTCTGGGACGATATTGTCTACCGGTCATCGCCATCTGACCCTGAGGCCATCGTTCATAACCCGCCGTCCAGGGTTGATGCCGATGGTTCGAAGCTGGTGAGCGGTGCTGGAGACGGCATCCCCTTGTTACAATCTTTGCTATCCACCATAGCCTCCAAGGTCGCCCCCAAACGTGCCCTGTTCTCTTCTGTTCCCCTGGAGTTGGCACCAGACTTCAAGATATCTGTGAAAGGGTACCTGCTCTACAAGCATCAAAAGCCTGCTCGCAGTAGCTATATCTACCTTGGATCTGAAAGACCTCAGATTGTCACCGGCTACACGGAACAGGTCGCAGACGACGACCGTGATCGCCGAAAGGTGGAAAAGGCCGAAATCCGCAAGGCCTACACTTTTGGAGGCGAGAAAATCACGTTTTCTGAGGAAGAGGTCCAGAAACTGCGCAACTTTGGACCGCCGGTCATACGAGTCATTGGGTTTAAGCCCATGTCCAAGTTGCCATTGTGGGCAAACATCAAGAACTCAACCTTCCTCTACCCATCAGAAGAAGATTTTGTGGGCAGCACGCGTGTATACAGTGCCCTGCACCGCAAACTGGCCAAGGATCAGTTATTCGGCCTGACGTGGTTTGTACCAAGGAAGAACGCGGCTCCAGTGCTGGCTGCCATGGTCCCGACGCTCACTGCCGCAGGCAGCGATGACAAGCCCAACGCTGCAGGTGTATCTGCCACCGGCGCACCCCAGGGCTTACACCTGATCTCTCTCCCATTTGCAGACGATGTCCGAGAGAATCCACCCAGTACTCATGACACCCCGTTGCGTGCACCAGATGAGCTCGTTGATGCAATGAGGCCCATCGTCCGTAAGTAACAATGCCCTCACGAGAAACAGATTATGTCTGTGGAGATACTAACCAATTAACTAGAGCAACTGAATCTTCCCAAGGGCATCTACGACCCATCAAAGTATCCCAACCCTAGCTTGCAGTGGCATTATCGGATTCTCCAAGCTTTAGCCCTCGATGACGAGATTCCAGAGAAGCCAGAAGACAAGACCATACCCAAATTCCGCCAGATAGACAAACGAGTAGGCAGTGAGACCATAGAATGGGGCAAAATGTTGGAGAGAGCCTACAAGCAGTATCATGCGGAAAACCCGGACGCGGTGCCTACAGGATCGAAGAGATCTACCACGAATGGAGCCGCTCCCTCGTCGAGTGCAGCAAGTAAGAAGGTCAAAGCAGAGGGGGCGGGTGGCACGAACGAAGAGGAAATCCGGATGTTGTGGCAAAAAGGCCAACTGGCGAAGCTCACAGTGGCAGAACTGAAGGATTTCTGTGCGACAAAGAAGATCCCTGTCGCGGGAAAGAAGGCAGACATTGTGGAGAGGATTGAGGAATGGCTTGAAAGCAAGTGATCCGCAATGCAAGGAAGATGAAAAATCCGATCAGGACCGTGGCAGGATTGCCCAGTTGGTAGGATAGAACGATGTGATGCCCCCAAACCATGTGTAACATAGCTGACATTGTCACACTATTAAAATGAATAAGATAGCATTTGTGGCTGATGTGTGGTCAATCATTGCAATCCCAATCACAATCTCCAAGAGCGAGACTGGCACTGCACCCAAGATCGACTACAGGTGAATTTGATCTCCATTCCACTAGACGATTTCCGTACATCATGGATCACCGCTTGGGAAGTAGTAACCTCGTAGGAATGCTTTTTGAAGGAACGTTGGTATTTTGCGTTGTTCATATGGAAGAGAAAAAGAAGAGGAGGAAGAGAGAACGAGCTGGAGGCGGATATAAATTTTGTGCAGACGCTATGTCAGAAATGGTTAGACACGTATCTAGCCTATCTCGGCCTAGTTGCCGGCCACTCAGTATCAGAAACGGCCTAGTCCAAATGCAGGAAATGACGTTGGGGATTCGAAACTGCGGAATCCAACCTCGCCTCGACTCGACGGCCGTTGCGATAATGCAGCGCATGTGCTCCCGGTCCACTCGCTCGTAACCCATTTCAGACGACGGCAAAACGCCTTGCCCATGGCTTCTGATGTCCTGCTACCGTTTGCACCTCTTTGATCTTCCGAAAGGGTGAGCGCAATGGCACGGGTGCCCTTCATCGGTCGGCTCTTTTGGTGTGTGATCCCAGACCTCCATTTCCCATTGTCGAGTCTCGTCGTGACGGACTGCCACTGACACTGACACAGGAGGGAGTACCTGGCCCTGTTCGGGTCGCTGATCCTCGTGGCCCTTGAGGTCCTTGTTCGAATCATTACCCTTGGGCTTCCTCAACCCATCATTCGATTCTGCTACAACACGTCCAAGAACTTGTTTAACCGACTGTCTTCTCAAAAGTCTCGACACGCTCGCTCTCAACGAAAGCACACCTACAGTTCGATCGCAACCTGCGCCGACTTCACCGAACTCTGCGGCTTCTTTGGATACTATGCCGAGGAACATGTTGTGCAGACAGGAGATGGATACCTGCTGGGTGTCCACCGACTCCCCTTCCGCAAGGGGGAGGAGCACAGTGGAATACAGGTCAACGCAGGAGCCGACTCGATCAGGAAACCCGTGGTCTACCTTCATCATGGCCTGCTCATGAACAGCGAGGTCTGGGTTTGCCTCACCGAAGAGGAACGATGCCTTCCATTCACGTTGGTACAGCAGGGCTACGATGTTTGGCTGGGCAACAATCGAGGCAACAAATACAGCAAGAAATCCACGAAACATTCGCCCGTATCCGCACGGTTTTGGAACTTCTCCATGGATGAGTTTGCCTTCCACGACATTCCCAACACAATCGACTATATCCTCAGCACGACTTCGCAGCCGTCACTCTCGTATATTGGGTTCAGTCAAGGCACCGCACAGGCCTTTGCGACGCTTTCCATCCACCCCCAATTGAATGAAAAGGTCAACCTCTTCATCGCCCTGGCCCCCGCCATGTCCCCAGCCGGTCTCAGTAACGGCATCGTGGATGCACTGGTCAAGACCAACCCTCACCTTTTGTTCCTTGCGTTTGGTCGCAAGTCAATCCTCTCCTCGGCCACCATGTGGCAATCGATCCTCTACCCACCCATCTTCGTCCGCCTCATCGACATGTCGCTATCCTTTCTCTTCGCCTGGTACGGCCGCAATATAAGCGTGCAGCAAAAGCTCGCTGCATATCCTCATCTCTACAGTTTCACCAGCACAAAATCGGTCGTGCATTGGTTCCAGATCATCCGTAATAAGTCCTTCCAGATGTATGATGACGACAGCTCCAACAGGTTTAGCATTGGTGCCAGCAATCGATATTACAAAGTCGCCAAGTTCCCGACGAGAAACATCAAGACGCCCATTGTTTTGGTCTACGGGGGAAGTGACTCCTTGGTCGATATCCGCGTTATGCTTAGGGAGTTGCCCCGTCACACCATCGCGACAGAAATTCCTCACTTCGAACACCTCGATTTCCTCTGGGCGCAGGAAGTGCATACACTAGTCTTCCCGCATGTGCTCGAAGCCCTCAGCTACTATGCCCAAGGCGGCACAACAAATGGCGTCCCCAAGGCTCTTGCTCTCTCCATGGCTGATACCGCACAACTGCACCGACGGCAGAATAGTAGTAGCAGCGCCTTGAACTGGTCCGAAGATGACTCTGCTGGGGGATATTCGGACTTTGATGGCGCCGTCGATTCACCTCGCACGCCAAGGGTCAAGAGTTATGCTCAGGTGCAAAGAGAGAGGCAATACCTGCACCCGTCGCCTGGCCACAGCCATTCACCTTCTCATTCGCCCTTGCAATATCAATACGCCTCCCCTACTCCGAATAGACCCGTGCAGGGAAGCTCGATGACATGGATGGAACACTACTACAAATTCCCCAAGAGGGAATCACAGGCAACAGCCGAGGGGATTGGGACGAGTAGTGGTCTTAGGAATCACACGGAAGCTGATGCAGATTCGCAGGGAAAGCAGCAAGAGCCCGAAGGCCAACAAGGAGAAGAAGGACAACGGCAAGTGCATGACCAAAGTCCCCTAGGTACGCCACAACGCGTGCCAGATGACGCTTCCCAAAACTCCGAATTTGGAGCGGCGCTTTCAACTTCTCGGGCCCTTCCTCATGACGGTGACTCCGCCAGCACTGTTTCAACAACACTCCGCAATCGGAACGGCACGTTCAATGCCCCTCCTGCAACTCCAGCGCAACAAGGGTTCGTTACCATCGACGAAGACTACGCACGAGGCAATACAAGCGCTGGTAGCAGCGGGAACGAGAATAGACGACGTTCAGCCTCCGCTGCTGGAAGTGTGTCGAACACAAGCGGACGCACCACACCAGTAAGTCGACATACGCCGCCGAGTTTCACGGCGACGGGCATTCGTGTCGGCAGTGCGAGACCGAGTGTGGGTGCCGCGATGCCCTGAGCTTCCAAGAGTAGTAAATACCCAAAAAAAGGCGGCAGCGGCAGCGTGCGGGAAAAGGACAGCACGGATATCCCCCAGCTCTCCTGCTCCGACGACGACGCTGGTGGGAAGGAACCCTATAGAATATTTTATAAATGCGGCGCGCACGCTAGCAGAATATGAAAATTATATACATAACTACACATAACTATATAGTTATGTAACTTTTGTTGAACAAAACGCCAAAAAAAAAAAAACACAGGCACGCGTGTCGTCTGGGACCGCCTATCTATCTCTCCAGTTTTCCCTTACCTTTCAAATTCCATATCTATCCTGCTCTCGTCCAAGCAAGACCTACACTACACTGCTCCGAGGATCTCATTCAGGCAAGGAGGATTGCTCACGTGAACAAACAGACTTCGAAAGGTTCCGAGTTGTGGGTGGGCGATTATGAATAATATTATTCATAAGTATCAATACTTTTGTTACTTCCAAGGTCCGTATGCGTATGTGTGTAGGGGATGGATATACATAATAATGTCTGTGGGTTGTCTCAGGGCGTTCTGTAACCGGTCCACACACGAGGACCACCACCACCACCAGGTCCAGGTGAAGAGAGACATTCTCGAACTCTCATGTTCCCTGCAGCCAATCAGGTCCTTTTAGGACCTCCATTTCCATCATCCCCAATGCTTTGCTGCGTGCCCGTCTATATGTGAGATATCGTGAATTCGTGTTCGCCCTCGTCCTCTATCCAAAACAGAAATGCCGGTAAATGCTCATATGTCGTGAATAGTATATCCCAAACACCCCGCGCAATGCAATAGAATGACGATGTGCCACACGCTGAAATGCACTCGCCTTGCCAGTTCCCCAGAGTCGTGTTCGTGTTCGTCCTGGTCTATCCCAACTTCAATTCATCAAACATGCAGTGACATGACGTGACGTGACGTGCATTCCCTCTCCATGTGTATGGACCAAGGTATATATGAATATACGAGGGCTTGCATCATTAAAATCCTTTTTGAGGGGCCCTGGCCCTCCGATGCTTGACAGATGAGGCCGCAAAAATAAGCAGAGAAGAAGAAAAAACCGCCTCATACAACCAGTGCAGCAACAGCCACGACAGCGGCAATCATGGCAGCCATCGGTCGTGCGCTCCCCTTGTCCAGGGAGCCCGAGTTGGCATCTCCCAAAGGAGTGCTGGAGGGAGCAGCGCCCAGCCTGGCCCCTCCGGTGCCGGCAGACACGTCGGTGACTGGGTCCGAGACTGGAGTCGCGTTGGGCACGGCTTTCTCCCCAGTGGTGATCTCTTGGATGTTGTTGCTCGTGGAATTGAAGACCGTTTGAGCAAGAGAGATCTCATTGTTGGCCAAGTCGTAGACCACGTAGGCACTCCGCAAAAAGGTATCTCCAAGAACGGCCATTGCGCCTTGCGATGGGGCGATACCGAACAAGCAGGCCTCCTCGCCGTTCTGGAAGGTGATGGGCTGACCAAAATTGTTCGTGCCCGCGCTGAGGAACAACTCGTTGTAGGGCACGCGAATGGTTTGGCCAGAAAATGTGAAATCGATAGTGGCAGAGGAAGATGCGAGACTGCAGGGAGCGTATGCGGCCCCGACATCGGTTTGATACACAGCCTGGACCTGGTTGTAGATGGACTGGGTGATGTCGTTGGGCAAGTAGCTGAGGGTAGCGCCGGAGTCGAGGAGGACGGCAGTGGGTAGGGAGGACGAGGAGGAGAGGTCAGTGCCCGAGCTTACCAAGCCCGTAAGGGCAATGGCAAGTTGAAAATAGACACCATTACTGGGGATAATGGGTATGGTGGCGAGTTCTCCTTCGTACTTTTCGGTGTTGACGCCACCGAACAGGATTTCTCCCGTCGAAGAGTCCAGGTCATTGAGCCAAAGGCTGTAGGCATTGGAGGCAATGTGGCCGCCTTGGACGAGGGCTTCGGGCAAGTTGGGATAGGCATCCATTCCCGCACGCTGAACTTGAACTTCGTTCGACATGTAGCCAATTCCCAGCACACCTTGCTGCGAGGACGAGGACTCGCCAATGCCGAATTGGAAGTCTGTCAGAGTGACACCACCGAATTGTAAGGTGTCGGCCACGTAGTCGCCTGCCGCTCCCGTGCCGTCGACGTAGGAGATATTGAATTGGTCATTGACGAGCTTATACGTTGATGAAGCCGACGAATCGTAAGTACCACCCTCGCAGGTGTCTTGGCCAGACTCGCAAAAGGCAGAGGTGGCCACGTTGACCCATAAATCCGAACTGCCCGTGTCGATGTGCAGGCGGAGGGCCTGGGCGGGGGTTCCCAGCGTGATGTTGGCATAGTAGAGAGATTGCTCGTTGTCGAGGGATTGTGAGACGGTTCGTTGCGTCTGTCGTTTTCTCATGCGAGACTGTTCATGGGCGAGGATATCGGGGACCTGTCTTCGCTCAATGGGTAGGCCGATGGTTCGGGGCGGACTTGAGGAAGAGCGAGGAGCGAGGTGTATAGCCGAGACTAGAGGGGCCGCCAACGCAGCGGCCACCACTGCAACGGAGGATTTCATTCTTTGATCTTTCTCGTTTTCTGTCCTTGCCAGGAATTATTCTATTGCTTGCAGCAGAAGCGAGACCAGGACTTTCCCGCTTCCAGTCACAGTTAAAAGAGTGTTTGTCTGTACCAAGCGTCTAGGGATGGATATGTGGTTGGGGGAGGGGACTGGGATGAGGCGTTGAGGCGTCGAGGGCTGGTGGATTAAGCGAGATGGGATCCCGGTCAAGTGATAATAGAACCTGTAGAGAGCCGCCTAACAAACAGGGGAGGGATAGGGAAGCGAGTGACACAGTTTGCAGAAATCAAAACCAGTGAGGAACAATAGTGAACGTTTTATCTGTAAAGAAACCGAAAACAGTCGAGACGGTGAAAGCAAGAAGCGGGACATTTGCCTGTAGAAGTAGTTGTGGTGTAAGAGGGTGGAGGGTGGTGATGACGATAGGTGAGCATCATGGCGCAGTTGCGTAGTGTGCGTAGTTGCATCGGACTGCGGAAAGGCACTTGACCGGATACTGAGGCCTGAAGCCTAAGCTGATCATTTCAACGTCGCCCATTTGTACCGTTGCGACCATTTTCCACGAGGGTTTCCAGGCTGCACATTGACTTTTCGGGGGCTTCCATGCTGAGAGCTTCCGATGTTACCGGCCAGTGGAGTTACCGGACAAGCAGGTTACGCGGCACATGCCAAGTCTCCGGGGGCACCAGTGGTTTTTTCACGCCTAACGTCAGTGGCTGCAACCCTCCTGCACCTGCGTCCTGCATGCTTGTTGTGCCTCTGTTATTAGCATGGCATCTCTCGAGGTTATTGTCTAATCTGCCATCAAGGCCTCTTCTTCACCTTCATCTTCCTCATCTTCATCTTCATCCTCTTCGTTTGCTCCCCACTCGGCTCGCACGACGACGCATGCCGCCAAAATCCCCCGACGCCCCTCAGGCTGGCAACCCTACGTTGGAGGGGGCTGGTGAGGCTGTTGCGGCCCGTCGGGACCTTGTGCTGCTAAAAATGGGGGTTGCCGCCACTGGATGATGCCACATCAGCCCCCCTCAACCCGCCGCCCCCAGGAACAGTATACGAATTGGAAGCCTGAGATCTGAAGCCGATTGGTTCTCAACGGCCTGCGCACCAGCGTCCTCGTGCCTTTCCCTAACACGTACCAGAGTACACCTCAGCCTCCCCAGCGTGCTGCCAGCTTACACCAATCACGCGTCACTGGTCACGATGTACCGAGCACTGAGAACACAAAACCCTCACTGGTTTGCGCTCGTGGGAGTCTTGGCGATTACATGATCCATATTGAACCAAGATGGCACCCAGATGGCCACCTAATGGCGGCTCCTAGAGAACGTACCCTCCACACCCAACATTGGCCCAGTGTCGAATCGGCCGCGTGTCCTCCAGTTCGACGCACCACCACAGAATCTCTTTGGCTTTGTCCACCTCGCCCCCCAATTCATGGGCCCGGGCCAGTGCAAACCATGCCTCCGAATTGTCCCAACCCGACCCCAACTTCGTCAGTGTCGACAGGAGCCCATATGCCCGGTCGCGGGCTGCCAGTCTGTTGAGGTTCTCGGGCGTCTTCTTAAGATCCTCTTCTCTCGTTGATGGGATGCTGCTCGACGCACCGACCGGCGCGCTTGCATTCGCGGCGGGACCATCCATCTCCAACCAGCCGTTCGTGGTCGGCCCCGTCGAGATTCGGCTCCATTCGCGCTTGTGCTTCGGTCGGGCTGGTTCGTCCTGTGGTGGTGATGGCGGTGCTTCCTCTGCCCTGGGCTTACCGTTGTCGATCCGCCGGGCCAGCTCCACCTTGCGTTCGTAGTAGTCCAGGAGCACGTTACTCAATCCCACGATGCCGCCAGGGTGGTCGGCAAAGTACATCAGGCACTGCTCGTAGTTTTCCACCGCCTCCCGGATTCCTTCAGAGGGGACGGTACCTTCCTTTTCTTCGCGAGCGCGAGCGACGGCCATGAGCAGGTCCGCTCGCTCACAGTACACGTCAGCCCAAAGCTCATCCGAGCTTTTTCCGCCACCGCCCCATCCACCATCGCTGAATGCCCTGGCTGAACTTTCCACGCTGGCAACCATGCTCTCAATCTTCAAGGCCACTTTGGCCGCCTCGTCGCAAGCTTCCCGTGAGTCGTCAAACATATTGCCTCTCCGGTACAGCGTCGCAATGATCAGCCAGATTTTGACCAATATACTCAGGGCATGTCTCTGAGACGCCGTCCGTGGGAACCGAGGGATAGGATCTGTCCGCAGTGTCCCCGGTCCCACGACAGGTAGTCGCACGTCTTGCTGAGGAGGTTGATCGTGGTGTTGCGCCGGTGGCGGCACCTTCTCATGTGACGCGAGGTTGTGCGGGATTTCCTTCAAGGGCTGCTTGGCTCCTTCGCTCGCATCGTGATCCGGGGACACAGGCACCTCGGGGACGTCTGCGGATTGAATAGTCTCCAACTGGGACCGCTGCTCGGGTTGAGCTGTGTCGGCTGTCACCTCCGAGCTGGGAACTGTCTCCTGTGAGGTCTCAAATGATTGCCTGGTACTCGATGCATTATGACTTGGCTCTTTCCTCCCTCGACTCAAGGACCTCGAGCGCTGTGAACTCGGGCCCATCGACGGCAAAGGTGCCGAGGAATGACGCTTGCCCTCCTTTCCATGCTCGTGGATATGGAACCTTTTATGCTTGTGCGGTGATGATTTGCCTTCTTCGTTGGTGACCTGGATAGTCGGTGCTTGGGTCGTCTGAGTGGCCTGAGTATTGGGTCGTGGTTCTTCCGTTATCGAAGGAGCGTTATTGACGAGCACTCCTTTGGACGACTCGCTCGACCTGCCGACTCTCCTTCGGTGAAACAGTTTGCCCGGTAGACTCCTGACCGTGCCACCCGAGCTTTTGGGAGGTTGAATCGATCTCTTTCTGGATGTTTCCTCGCTGACGGCGATGACCCCGTGTCGTCCAAAGAGCCGCGAGTATAGTGCAAGCAAGTCGTTGCTGTTGTTGACCGCATGCTCTGGACCTTCCGTCAGCTCCGTCAACGCGAGTTCGGTAATGCGAATCTCGACGATTTTCTGCAGTTCGTCACACTCCATATCATCCACCAGCCCGGCATTGCGATAGCCACGGGCCAATCTTCCACCACCCGCCGAACCATTGGGGAAGTCGCCAAAGATTGTCTCGGGAGGGGAGAACTGCTCAAACGCTGCCACGCAACTTTGACCTGCCGTCTCAAAATTCTGCCGGGAGGTGAGAAGGAGCGATAACAAGTGCCAAAATGGCAGTAACTGCCGCTGTATGCTATAAGTGTTGTCTGTCCCAAGCTTCTCCGCTTCCGAGGACAGGGCTGTCTTCACTGTTGCGATCGCCTTGTCAATGTCTCGTGTCTGCGCGAGTAATTGGCTTAGTGCATACAAAGTGGGCAGTTGCTTTTCAGGTGGGAGATCTTGTGCCGCCGCCTTCTGTAGACATTCAATGGCTGCAGTTTGCAGATTGATCCGCTCCTCACTGAAAGGCGTCCAGCGAGCCCACTGGGCCTTTCCGATACCGATGGCTCGGTAGGTCGCCTCCAGCAAGTCGGCCGACAGACGGGGAGGGACCGGCTTCTCTCCGTTGACCTCTCCGTTGCTTTTTGATGCAAAGCCATTGGGAATGGAAGCTGTATGTGGCAGTACAAGCTCGTCCAGAAGATCCTGGAGCTTGTCGCACAGCTCATGCGCCTTTTCCGCCTCAACATATCGGCCAAACGAACACAGGCCCTCAATCCCTTCCGCGATGGTCCGCATAAAGACTTCATCACTGTCTCTGCTGGTCGCTGGAGCCTCGGACTTGGAAGCCCCAGCCCGCGCGCGGTCCATCAGCTCAATATAGGTATCCAAAGCCTTGTAAGCCAAGCCGAAATCCGTCAAAGCTTTGTGGACTTGGAACAGTCGGCGTAGAATTAGGGTGGAGTGAAATGACTTGGTGGCAGCTCGATAAAGCATGTCGAGCACGTTTCTGCCACATGAATTGCGGCCACCTTCGCCGAGATCCGACTCCGACCAGTTGGGGCCGCAAAGGATTTGCCAGTTGCGGATGAACTCCTCCACCCATGCTTCTATGACCGCGTTGGATTCGGTGGCCTTGGGAAATTGTACATTCCGCAAGAGTTCGTTCTCATAAGACGTTTCCACCCGCCGTAGCTCGATCGCCAAGTCGGAGTGTTCGATAGAGACGTGGTCCGCGATTCCGTGTCTATTTTGCAGAATACTGGACATGAACCTGTAGTAGGCTCTCCATATTTCGAGCTTCGACAGATGTCCTGGACCATTGCCGTAAGTTGAAGCTGACACCTCCTGGTTCTTGGTCGCAAGTACAGCCCAATGACGGAAGGCCTGGAGCCTGAAGGAGGCCGACTCGTGGCCATCGATGGTTGTAGAGTGCGTGACAGACACTTCTTGACCCAATGCCACCCGACCGAGTAGTTGTTGTGCCCAGTAGAGGAGTTGAGGGGTAGACACGACCAGGCTCCTGTTCGCATCCAGCCAGGGAAGCAGAGAGCTGAGTATTTCCTTCGCCTCTTGACTCTCGCCAGCTTGCGCGGAGAGCATTCCCCTAATGTAAACTGTCTTGACCACACATATCTTTGTCCATAGCGAAGTGGCGTCGGCCGCGGTGCGCACGGGTTCGAACGTAAGAGCAGGGACCTGGCGGTCTGTTTTATGTGCTCCTACCCAACGTGCCCAAAGCAAGCATGTCTGGCCTTGTACCACCTCTTCGGATGGATGGCCTGTTGCACGGAGTTCTTCTTCAAGGGAAGTCACTTGGGTGTCTGGAAGGGGCTGGTTCGTGGGGGCCGTACCCGGTCTGCGGGCGAAGGTAGAGGCGTAGTTGGCGACATCGTGCTCGGACTTTGCGACCCGTATCAAGCCTGGCTCAAGGGTTAAGACTGATTGCACGGGCTCGGTGGGAAGGCGTACATTTTCGATCAGGGGCATGCTTGTTTACTTTTCTTATGAGTTCTGGAAATTCTTGCCAATGCCCGGCCACACGCGCCGCGTCCAACTGACCGATGTAGCGCTGGGCTTTTTCATTGTGTGCCTGGAAAATATATCAGCACCCTGGCTATACAGGGATGGAACAGGGATGCTGGGGGACTGTACACTCATTCTGGGGGGACACGGAGGTATGTATACTGGCGAGTGTCAGCGTCCTATACTCGGGTCATGGTTGCAGGCATGTTGTAGCAGCTCCATTAGACGTGTCTCTGCTGCTGGCATCCTGCCACAGACTGTAAACAGTGCATCGGGGGATAAATTGATCAAGTAATTAAGGTGTGTTACAGTATGCACTTAGGTATGTATGGGCTGCCAATGCGCGATGCGGTCATTGGGGGCCGCAGGATGCAAAAATCAACCAGTCGCGGCTGGTCTGTCAAAAAATTATTTCTCAAAACTCCTACACGTGTTGTCCGTCCCGTCTCTTTATACACTAGAAGGCCTCTACACTTTGCACCAGCAGAACGCTCAAGGACCTGGAAAGTCCCTGACGGCAGCAAGAACAATGCAACATGATGGCGCTCTCCGGGCCATCACTACTCGGCTGAGTGCCACACCCGTTGAAGATCTTCCTCGAATATCTGGCTTCCTTGCGACCTCGCTGGCCCAATGTCCTGTCGAATTGCTTTCCTCAGATAGCAAAGGCAATAGCTCTTCGGTGGTCGCACACAAACTCAAAACCCGAATCACATCTTTACTGCAAGACAAATCTCCTGCGAGTCGATTCACCGCTGCGGTACTCATCAAGGCAATCGTCGACAATGGCGGCTTGAAGAGCCTCTCTAATTGGGAGGTCTGGGCCAGAGGCCTACTCAGCTGCTTGGGGAAACCTGACCCTTTCGAAGTGAAGAGAATCTATCTGGCTACAGTCACTCGGATTTTTGTCCTCTCCCAGGACCACCCGGTAATGGTACGGGAGCTCACGACACCACTCCTCCCGGCATTCATCACAACATGTCTCGGCCTCATCAAGCCAGTCAAAGCTCAAGTTGACGGCAACTTCAATCCCATCCTCCAATCGGTGCTCCAATGCTGGATTCAGCTGTTACCCCGGCACGCAACGGTCTTTCGCCCGTTTCTGACACGTATCAAGCTGATTTGCCTGAGCCTTCTTGAAGATGTCCGGACTGCCACTTCTACCAGAGAGCTCGCGATTCAGCTTCTCTGCCTGTTACTATCGTGCGCGCCGAAGAACACGATGGCTCAAGAATGGGCCCAAGCAGTCTCTGTTCTCATCACCTGTGCCCACCAAACTGCCGACAGATTGTTCAGAGCCGTAATCGAGGAATACGAGGCCAACGACAAAACCCGTCAAAATACAGACGGAAAGCATAACTTTTCTAAGGAGCCAAAGACTTCGGGCGCCGACCAGGTTGGACTGGCTCCATGGGTTGGCATGTACGACGGCAGTACCAGGCTTGCAACATTTCTCGACTGGTTAGGATGTTTGGTTTCAACAGTTACGCCGCAAGCAATCATGGTCCCTCTGGGGCCCTTGCTCGACCTGATTTCTCGTATACTGGCCGTGATCGTGCCTGGAGGCGCGTCAAGTACAACGGATGCTCTAAAATATCACAAAGAAGCAAGCCGAGAAGAGCGGGAAAGTCTTTGGATGAACTTGTCTCGCCTCCATGTGGCGTGTCTTCGTCTGCTCCAGAAGTTATACGAAAGCTTTGGACAGGCCTTTCTCCCAGCCAATGCGACCATGGTCATCCAGGTCATGGAATCATTTATTACCATGGCAAGTGACAAAATGGTGAGGCGAGAAGTCTATGTCACCTTTCTTGGTATCTTGAGAAATATGAATACCACCGGCTTCGTATTTCGCGAGACCACCTTTTCAACTTTACTTGAGCACTGCTGCAGTGACCTGCGAAGCGGCATCCCCGGCTCCGATGATCAAAGCAACCACAACCCCTCAAAAGATGGGTTTTTGAGCGCCAAATCCTTTTTGCCGGCTGCTGGAGGTTCCAGCTTTGCGGAAAGACAGGACGAAGTCTTCGGAGCAGCCTGGAGATTGCTGCCAGAAATCTTGTCCCATTGTCCGACGTCCATTATATCTCGCCAAGCAAGGATAGAAGCAGATAGACTGTCTGTATTGCTCGATCACCACGATGCCATGATGGCAAGTGTCCTGCGTCCAATGCTGACCAAAGATGGAAAAATGAGGATTGCCAGTCTGCTCCCGTTCCTCGCTAGATCTTCGGCAGACTGTCTCGACACTGAGGCTCTCTTAAGGCCTCGAATGCCTGTTATTCAAAATAGGGAGATCTCTGCGCAGCCACCTCATGAGACTCGAGTCCACCTTAGCGACCAAGAGGGTCCAGATATGCCCGACGAAAACGGCGCAGCCTTATCTGACCCTGAAGGCGCCACTGAAGCCGCAGAGGTTGATGGCAAACAACAGGTACCCGGTAATCTCGACGATCAAGAGGGAGATGATGGGACCCACGCTTTGACGGCGAGGAAGCGAAAACTTGAGTCCGCTCAAGACAGCACTTTTCAAGCATGCACTCCCACCGTTTTCGAGGATGCTGAAATGGTTGATTTAAGAATGTCAAAGGTGCCACGGTTGGAGGATGGCATCGTGGAAGAGTCAGTATCGGAAGAGGCTTTTTCGATTGAGACACGAGACGCACAACCTTTGGTTGCCACAACTTCCGGGGTAGAAGCGCAGTCTTCGAGCTCAGGAGTCCAGCCTACAGGCACGATACCCAACATGGTGTCGTCTGAGAACATTAGGAACGATGACAGCGACAGCAGTGACTTTGAAATTCCGACAATTGACCCAGGACTGGACACAGATGAGGAAGATTTGTAGATGCTCAAGCTGTCAGTACAATTGAAATGTAGCCATGTATACCGAGTACCAGTACGCGTACTAGTACTTCGCCGTCCTGGTTCTACTTTCGCTTAAAGAATGCTAGAAGAAATCGTTCAATTCTGCTTACGTCATTCGATAAACAAAACCTTTTGGGGGCGACGTCCAACGCGTTTCTTGCGACTCACAAAGAACTGGTATGACTATTCATCGTTTCATTTGGCGTTGGCACAAAGATCCTTGAAAGGTTTGCTCGAAAGATAGAAGAATACTTTCCTCACCCTCTGGGTAGCAGTTTCTTGTGGGAGTTCATGCAACTTTATCTATTGGTTCGCGTCCCCTGAAGTCTTCTCCGCTCTACGATCAACAGTCATGACCAAAAGAAAACTGCCGTGGTCATCGACGCCAGACATAGTTGACCTCACCGGAGACGACAACGACTTCTCTAATCATTCTCGACCCAAAGTTTCCAAAAAGACGCCGTCCTTAGGTTCTTCACAGGGACGTGCCACTCTGCCAACGCCACCGTCTTCAAGTCAACCAGGGTATTCCTCACATGGCTCGAAGCAAACTTACAGAGACTACACACCCAGTTTCAGCCAGCAATCCAGTGGCAACAGCGCACGCAATAATTTGCCGCATTCGACTCAGGACCAGGAGGCCGACATTGCCAGAGAGATTGATCTCACGGAGGACTTTGACGACGACGTGTATGAGAATTTCCAGCTGTATGGCATCCTGAATACCAAAATTGTCGGCTGTCGATTCTACGATGGCCAGGCCACTGTTGGAGAGTACGTCAGGGTCAAGCGCGAACCTCGTAATCAGTACGACAGCAATGCTATCCGCATCGACAATGTCCTCCGCGATCAGATCGGCCACATCGGGAGGAACGTTGCGGCAAAACTGGCACCCTTGATGGATGCCGGTTCACTCCTGGTCGAGGGCGCCCTGACAGGTCCCAAAACCTACTACGACTGTCCTATTGGCCTCAAACTGTTTGGCACAAATGATCCCGTTGCAGGTGCTGCTCTTGCCCGTCAGATGAAAGATCTAAATCTACCCATCACAGAGTACAATCGGTCGGAAAGGGAACGCAAGAAGCGTCTGCAGGAATTCGAGAAGCAGCAGAAAGCGAGGCAAAACGCCGCCGCCGCAATGCGGAAGCAAGGCATGACCGTCTTTGACAACGAGGGACCAAACAGATATAGCAACCTGAGCGCGCCTGTAGCGATGAAGACCCAGGCAGAACCAGGCATGGACCAGCTTCTCAGCGGGACTGCGGTGCTGAACCCCCGTGAGGTGCAGAATGTGGTGAACAAGTTTGCAGCAGGAGAGGAGATACTTTCGAAGATGTCGATGGCAGATCAGCCTCACGAGTTAGCTACAGTGCTACTGCCCTATCAGAGACAGGGTCTCCAATGGATGCTGGATCACGAGTCCCCGGTGTTGCCCAAGAGCGCCGACGATGTGGTTCAGTTGTGGAAGAAGACGGGCAAATACTACACCAACATCGCAACAAACTTCTCCTGCAGCAAAGCGCCGGAGCTGGCCAGTGGAGGGCTTCTGGCAGATGATATGGGATTGGGTAAGTTATTCCTCTTCAATATGATCTCAAGGCTGGTTGTTTAACTCCCGCTCAGGCAAGACCATCCAAATCATCTCGCTCATTATGGCCGATCCCCACAGAAATGGGGATCCGACTCTGATCATCGCACCACTCTCAGTGATGAGCAACTGGAGCACACAAGCCGCGTTGCATGTCAAGAAGAAGTATGCGCCACGAGTCTTGACTTACCATGGCTCCGCCAACAAGGAATTGTCGCCGGCACAATTAAAAGAATACGACATCGTCATCACAACGTATCAAACAATGACCCAAGAGCTTTTTCCATACGGTAAGAACGCAGCTCAGGAAGGTTCAGCCCCCAAAGGCCTGTTTGCGGTGACTTGGCGGCGTATCGTCTTAGACGAAGGTCATCAGATTCGAAACCCCAAGGCCAAAATGTCGCAAGCAGCATGTACTCTTCAGGCGAAATCTCGCTGGATCCTGACCGGGACTCCAATCGTCAACAGCCTGAAGGACTTGTACTCACACGTCAAGTTCCTTCGCTTGCCCGGTGGACTGGCAGAGTTCGAGCTCTTCAATTCGACCCTGATCCGGCCACTGAAGCATGGCGACCCGGGAGCGCGCCTTCTTCTCCAGGCCCTTATGTCGACTCTTTCTTTGAGACGGATGAAGGACATGAAATTTATCGATCTCAAGCTACCCAACATTACCTTCCACAAGTATCCTGTCAAGTTTCTGCCCCACGAGCAGGAACGGTACGATGCGTTCAGGCAAGAGGCCAAAGGTCTGGTCGAAGCAGCAAAGGCCAAGAAGGGAGATTATTCCATGACGCACCTGCTGGAAGTTCTTCTGAGGCTGCGCCAGACGTGCAACCACTGGAAAATGTGCGGAGACGAGAGAGTGAGAAAATTACTGGAGTTGGTTGAGTCGAATCAGGTCGTGGATGTGACCAATTCCGCGAACCGCAAGACCCTGCAAGATCTGTTGCAAATACATATTGACTCGCAGGAAGATTGCTGCGTGTGCTTGGATTCGCTAAACGATCCTGTCATTACAGCTTGCGCACACAGCTTCTGTCGGGGATGCATCCAGAGAGTGATCGAGACTCAGCATAAATGCCCCATGTGTCGAGCACCTCTCCAAAACAGCGAGCAACTGGTTGAACCAGCAGCTGGGATCGGCGAAGGTGACGAGGTGGACCTTGACATTGATCCCGAGACCACCAGCACCAAGATCGAGGCTCTTGTCAAGGTGCTCAAGGCATCTGAAGCCGATCCACGCGTCAAGACGGTGGTGTTTTCGCAATGGACTTCATTCCTCAACTTGGTCGAGAGCCAACTCATCCGCCACGGCCTGCAATTCACGCGTCTCGACGGGACCATGAATTCTACGAAACGTGACGCGGCGATTGAATCACTGAACAGCGACCCGTCTTGCAAGATCATGTTGGCATCCCTCTCCGTCTGTTCGGTGGGCTTAAACCTCGTGGCCGCCAATCAGGTCATTCTGGCGGACTCATGGTGGGCGCCAGCTATCGAAGATCAAGCTGTCGATCGAGTCCATCGCCTGGGTCAAACTCGAGACTGCAAGGTCGTCCGCCTGGTCGTCGAAGGGACGATCGAGGACGAAGTGCTTGAGATTCAGGCGAGAAAGCGGAAGCTGGCTAGCGAAGCATTTGGGGAAAAGGACGGGGCCAGAAAGAGAGAGGAGAGACGGGCAGGGACATTGAGGGATATCGAGCGACTACTAGCCTAACCCACAGCAGCAGGAGTTGGGGACGGCGTTTGTGCGTGGAGATCTTGTCAAGAGAAAAAGTGGAAGAGTAAAGGACAATGGGGATATTCTGTTGAATTACGAGCTGTTCTCAAGCGTGTGGGAGCGAAGAAGGGCCACGGCGAGCGTGTATGAATAGTCGAGCTTCAGATCAGTATAGGTGAGGAGCTTCGAGGCGATGTACAAGATTCAGCTCACATCATGTCACCGGCGCGTCCATCGGTAATTTTCCTTCTTATATTGTCTGCATGGGAGAGGGTTCAGTGATGCACTCATCGAGACTATTGTCTTTTTGCTCAAGCCACCAACGCGACAGTCTCATGTCACGAAAAACAACGCGATAAGGAACATGGTGTGATGGGAAAAAAAGGTCATGGGCACCATAGCAACCGGACAGAGCAGTCAGTGCATGGTGGGCACAGTTCAAGCCACAGCGACCAGGAGGCCCCCAGCCTGGTAGCCTTAGAAGGGGGCACTTACTCCGTAGGCTGGTGAGGCTTCCCTAAGCGTTGCCCAACATCCACCGAGCCTCGCCTAGCCACCCTAGACTAGCCCCGTAACTCGGCCCTGTGCAGGAAATTGCGCGTGCCTATCGCTGCCATGGCTACTAACAAGTACGCAGTAGTCCTGCTGGTACCGCTGGTCATCCACGCTGCTGCAACGTGCTCTCGAGCACATGTTTTTTTTTTTCATTCTTGTTTTGCCCGCCCCTCCCTCTTGTCTCAATCTCCTTCTGTGGTTCCTCCCGCGAAGAGAAACCCTGCTCGTGGGAACAACGCGGCAACGAGGGCATCAAAGGGAAAAATCAATATACAATGACTTGCAGATGAGCTGCAACCGAGGTTGATCTAGCATTGTTTCTGGGAGAGCATCTGACCTTCTGCATCACTGCACAGGATCAGTAGTTGCATCACTCCGCACCAGCAAACAGACGTCACCCCCCCAGACTCGACGCACAAGGACCGCTCCTGTTTGGTCTGTTGTGGGTGGCACCGGTAGCCCAGTGGCACACGGGACCACCAAGACCAAAGACCTAGTGCGCCCGTGGGAGCTCCCGCCAATAATTGATCCAGCTGGGTCAGCTCCCTTGCGACGCTTGACCCAGGTGCTTATATCCGGTGCGGGGGACCAAACACCCACCTGCACCACCTTCTCGCCCTGCAACCACCGAGCAGCCACTCACAACTCTGCGAGCTCATGCACGTCGCAGCTTTCCCACTGTGTCGTCGCGAAAAAAGTGGTTGATCATCATCACTACTCGGTCGGTCAACACCCTTGGGGCCCTGTGGTGGCTAAACTCCCATTCAGCCAGCTCGAGTTACATGACTCTGAGAATTCTTTTGTCTCTTCTACCACTTCGATAATCTCGTCCATCGGCTGGTGGCAGTCTCTCCTTCAATTCCTCCCCTCCCCTCGCCATCATGGCACCCATCCGTTCGGCTGTCTTTGCGACGGTGAGAGCTCCCTCGAGAACTGACTGCGATGTTTCCCCGCATCATTGTTTTTTTGGTTGTGTGGCTCCGTCACTGACGCAAAGGTGCCCAGCTGCTCATGAACGATGCCTATCTACCAGGTATGCAGAGAAGGATCTCTCCGTTTCAGGAATTCTGTCAAGCTCATGTGTCTATAGGCGCTATGGTCCTGGGCCATTCTTTGAAAGACAAAGGTGCAAAAGCTCCCTTGGTAGCTTTTATTCTGGCAGACAGATTGTCGTCTGATACCATCACCGAGCTTCGAGTCTGTTTTCCGAGTTCAATATTTCCCTGTCCCTGCACTAATGTTGACTAGACTGTCTACGATGAAATCGTCCCGATCCAGGAGATCAAAAACAAAAGTCCTGCCAACCTCTACCTCATGAACCGGGCCGACTTAATATCCTCCTTCACGAAGATCGAGCTATGGCGGCAGACTCAATTCAAGAGGATAGTGTACCTGGATGCAGACATGGTGGTGCTGAGAGCTCCTAACGAGCTTCTCAGTCTTGACACAAGCTTTGCGGCAGTCCCAGATATTGGTTGGCCCGATTGTTTCAACAGCGGTATGATGGTGCTGAATCCCAACATGGCCGACTATTATTCTCTTTATGCATTGGCACAAAGGGGGATCAGCTTCGATGGAGCTGATCAAGGTCTCCTCAACATGCACTTTCGCGAGTGGCAGCGATTGAGTTTTGTGTACAATTGCACACCCAGCGGGCATTATCAATATGTCCCTGCGTACCGACACTTCTCCAGCAATATTGCAGCAGTGCACTTCATCGGTAAAGACAAACCGTGGACGTTGGGAAGAGATAACAAGCTTAATGCGGGCGTCTACGGGGAGCTTCTGGGGATGTGGTGGTCTGTATACGACAGACACTACCGGCCAAAGGTGTGCGGAATTTTTTTTGTTCTCAATGGGACTGGGTTGTGCCCAGGGCTGACTTCTACAGACGGTCACTTACTACGACGCCCAAACCTTTGATTCCTCCAAAAAAGTTCAAGACTACGTTCGTGGAGAGGAACCTTTGTATGTGGTGGGCTACTCGAGTAGCCAGCCAGGCTCGGGCCCGGTTCCGCAGCCCCAGCACCAATACCACCACCCTTCAGAACCACATCAATACCAGGAACCTCAGCATCCTCGTCACAACGAAAACCAGCAGGGCCAACAGCACCATCAAGAGCAACAGCACCACCACCACCACCATCATTATCCGGCGTCCGAGCAGACGGGGCAAATTCCCTTACCTCCAGAGATCCAGGTATCCCATCCTCAAACGGGTCACACGACCTCTGTAGAGTTGCCATTGGGCGATGCTCCTACTCCCAAAGCCCCATCTGATTTCCACCCTGTTCCGACCGTCGAGCAGAGGCGATTCTCAGCACCCCATGCTGAATGGGATCCCGCACGGTAGGTGAATCTTGGTGGCATGTGGATGAGTTACTTATCGTGAACAGAGAGCCTCCACCAGCGCACTCGAAACCAGAAGCTGCCAACTTCCCAACCACGATCTATGACATGTCGAGCGAGACCACGCTTTTCCAGCCGCCTGCTCACTACCCAGAAGCGCCCAAGGATATGTGGTACCAGGTACCCGAGAAAATGCCCGAACCCGAGAAACCGAAACCGATTTTTCCCTGGGAGACGAGGGCACCCAAACCGACCCGCGTGTTCCCTCAACCGAGACAGCCTAGCCCACCCCCACCGCCGCCACCGGACGCGGCACCCGTCGTCCCCGAGGAGGTGACAACTCCTTCAGCAACGACCGACGTCACTGCAGCGACGGAAGAAAGCGTGCGCACACCGCCTCAGGCGCCCGTCGACCTCTGGGCGGCGTTCCAGCAACGGACCAATGCATGGGACGACATGCCGGAAATAGAACGCTACGTGCAGGCCATCAGCCAACCTCGCAAAGGCAAAATACAAGTCCTGTATAACACCCTCGGACAGCGCTCACCTCGTAACACCAGCGGCACCACGACCCCCACCGAGAAAGACCGACGACGGCCCAGCATCAGACTCACCGACTTTCCCACCAAAGACGAGCGTCCGAGCTTACCCGTGACCCCGGCGCCGATCCGACGACCATCGTTTTGGGGCGAGGAAAAGGACGAGGAAGGAACTCTGCCGAACGCGGAAGGAGTACCAAAACAAGAAGAATGGGTGCGTCGATTCTCCCACTACCCTCAGCCTGAGTTTCCTGCTTCACATCCCCCATCGCATGAATTTGATGCGCGTCTTGATTTGTACTGGAGATGCCAATATTGTGGCAAACAGAACCCGATTACAAAGTTAGAACAGCTGCAGTTGATGCAGAGTGAGGCATTATTGTCGCCTCAAGGGACGCGGGAATTGACGCAGGTGGTGGAGCCCCCTTTAAGAAAGATGCCAGAGAGTGCGACGAAGGAAGAGGTGGAGAAAGCGGTCATCTCTCATATATCACCAACAAAAGTACCCAAGGCACCTAAACCCATATTGAAACCCCCTCACTTTGAACTGGGGCAAGAGCCTGTGGACCCAGTCGAGACCCCGACCAGAGGTGGTCGTCCAGAGAACGGTTCGCCTCAGACTGTGCAAGCAGCCGGAGCGGAAGAGGACTCGGTTGATCCACTGTCCCAGCCGGCTGCTGATGGGGAGGAGATGCCCCCCGAGCGCGAATCAAGAGCCGTTGTGGCTCCCACGACAGCATGAAGATGGAAACCAAGGGGACAGGATGCGTGATGAGGAGGTTCCATCAAAAGGTGGGAATGTGTCTTTGGCAAGTGTTTTGCATCATGCTTTGTTGTCGAGATTGCTAAAAGCTCTCTGCCTGCTTTGGTGTGGGAAGTTGGGCGTTTTTTTTATTTGACCATGATTTATGCATGCAAATGGGAGCATCTTTTGGACTGTCTGTCTAGTTTGAGGCTGAACGAGCCATTGCCAGGGGGCCTATGAGTTCTTTGTCTAATGTGTATCATTATTATGTTGGACAACAGCATTGCATGGCAAGCGTCTTCGACCCGTTGTTGCATTTGCCGGCGTGTGGGTGGCGTTTGTGGTGTTGGGGTCTGGCTCAGACGAGGACAGTACTTTTAAGTGATTCACTTTGGAGGATCTGATAGCAAGTCATAGTGTTTGATCAACTCATCCCGAGCAAAGCAAAGATTTGTTTCTATCGAGAAGAAGAAAAGGGGGGTGATCCACTTGTTCAGCCTCGGCTTCTTCTGACTTCAGCCTTGCCTCCTTTTTTTATTGATTTTCGATCTCACGCAACAAACAACAAACAACCTCCTGTCATGTTCGACCACTTGCATCGACCATCGAGTATCAACGCAATCTAGCATGTCCATTCTCCCTTGAGCCCGTAAGGATCATTGTGAGCGGACCTTTTTGATTGATGGCTTTCTGGTGCGGCGTGGGCACCTGCTGCAGCAATTCAGCATCAAGCACGAAGCACACAGTGTCGCAAACCAAGCACTAGAGACACAGCTCTTATCCATTCCACCCCTCCTAGGCATCCTCAGGGGATCTCATTGAATTCAACATGGCCTACTCGATGGCCCTCACGCTCACCGCCTCCGAGCTGGAAGAGCGTCGCCATCAGCTCAACAGAGCCGGATTTCATGCCTGGCTCTCCCCGATTGTCCTCATGGTAGCTACATATCTGTACCGTCGCTGCTTTCGTCCAGCGTTGTTTCCATCGAAATCGCCGTCTTCACCATCGCCCGTGCAGCTGTCCCTCCGTCGGGCGGCATGGATCCTCCAGACGACGTATATCCCCGAGTTTGGCCCCCTGTGGATCCAGCTCCTGGGCCTGATGTACGCGGCATGGCTCCTCTATCTCACATTCCGGAACACGGGAGATGACTACATGCACCTTACCAAGGCGTTTGGACATGTGGCCATCTCTCAACTCCCTGTGCACTACCTCCTCGCCCTCAAAGATACCACTTACTCGCCGTTCCGGTGGGCAACGAGCCTGACGCACGAACGCCTCAACCCCGTCCATCGTCTTTTCGGACGTATCGTGCACGGCTTTCTCGCCGCCCATGCCGTGCTCTACCTCCGATTCTTCGTCACCATGGGCCTGCTGCCGAAACGGATCAAGGACCCCGATGTCCGGTGTGGGATCCTGGCGTTTTGGATGTTCAATTTCTTGGGCCTGCTGAGTATTCCGGCCGTGAGGAGGAGAATGTACCATGTCTTGTTCTACCGGAGTCACGTCTTGTTGAGTGGCTTCGTCATTCCGGTCTTGTGGGCACATGTGCCCTATACGAGGCTCTACGTGGCGCAAGTGGCGGCGATTTGGGCGCTGGGGGGATGGGCGAGGAGGAGCACCAGGAGGACGACGACTGTGCAGGCATTGAGACCTGAGAACATTCCCGGCACGGAGCTCGTGCGAGTCACGTTTGTCGTGAACAGGGCGAGTGCATTGGGGCGCCCGACTCCCGGACAGCACGTCTATGTCCGCCGCGTCGGGGGCATGGTCGGTCCGAAGACGCCGTTCTCAATCGCGGACGTGCAGTCCTCGGTCCGGCGCGGAGAGGGACAGCTGATGGAAGTGCTGGTCGTTCTCAGCAACACGGGCGGGCCGGGGACGTCTTTCTTCGCCTCCCTTTCCATGCCCGCGCTGAAAGAGGAGGCGGCGGCGATGACGACGCATGAGATCCAGCTCGAAGGACCTTACGGCGAAGCCAGCGTGTACTTGGCTCCCATCCTCCGCTCGGGGCTGGATACTCCCGTCCTCCTCGTCGCGGGGGGAGTCGGCGCCACGTATGTCCTGCCGATCTACACCGCTCTGTTGAAGGCCCGTCGCCGACCGCACGCAGATGGGGACGCCAGAGGACGACGAGGGGGACGCATCAAGATGGTGTGGCTGGTCAAAACCCACGCCGATGCGCAATGGGGCATCGACCTGCTCGCCAGCCGTCTTGCAGAAGGAGAAGCAGAAGGACTCCCCGAGCCGGATGTGGACGTGTACATCACGACCGTCTCCTCCTCTTCGTCCACGGCCGGACGCGACGACTCGGTGGTGGCGTCTCGCGTCTCCATGAGGAAGAAGAAAGAGGACATCATCCACGTCCACCCACTCGGCCACCGTCCCAGTCTCGGCTCGATCGTCGACGAAGTCTTGAACTCCTCTTCTTCTCCTCCGCCGGACCGTGACGACGAAGCCACGGTCTTCGTGTGCGGTCCGCGCACGCTGTCCCGCGACCTGAGGGCCCTTGTGGGCCGGCGCGTCCTCAGCGAGGGGAGGAAGGTGAGGTGGTTCGAGGAGGTGTTTGGGTTTGGTGGGAGTTGAGCGGTGGGTAGCCCATAGCGCTCCGTATACACACACAGAGAGAGAGAGAGAGAATGCATGGTTTCATGATTCGACCGGGTATGTGTATCAAGGTGGATGGATGTGTGTCTCTTTAGTATGCATGGTATGGTATATTATATTATATTGGGCTCTATTGTGGTCGATCATATTAGGCTTCTCTATCTGTCTATATGAATCTAGTTATTTTATTCCGATGGCCCGCGCGATCGTGTTCATCTTCCTCTTCTTCATCTTCCCTTATGGTATTTTATATTGGTTTTCCAGTCAACCATCGATCATGTATCAATCTATCTTCTAGGATCGTTCCGAGACGAGACGACGACCTATATTCCTCAAGAGCTACATACCACATGCCTGGTCTCCTTTCTCTCTCTTCCGGCTTGTTTTTTCGCCCATCTCATTCCCGCTACAGAGACCACTGTTAGTCTTAGGTAGCCACGGACTGACTGACTGACTGATTCATTCATTTATTCATTCCCACCCCCCTTCCCCCCCTCCTCTCTGTGTGTGTCTCTGTCTCTGTCTCTGTCTCTGTCTCTGTCTCGCCGCCAACACCAACTCCCCCCTGATGTTGACGACGCTCGCTACCCGTCATGGAACCTACCCCCTTAAATTTACATGTATACATACCACACCATACCACAACACAACACAGCTAGCTACCTATCTCAAAATCAAACCGAACTCTCAACACAGTCAGGTACGGCTGAGCAGTATGGAACCGACCACCCAACAGAGCCAGCCTCAGTCAATGTCGAGAGCCAAGCGGGTCATGTTCTCATGGGCGCAAGCGGTCGGTCGATCGTCCATCACCCGAGCACCTACAGACGGACGAACGAACGAACGAGCCAACGGGACACGATGACACGAGTAGTTAACTAAAGTAGGTGGTTCTCTTGGTTGTCACAGGCATACACATATACTGTCCCCCTGAGCCCAGCATGGGATGGCTAGACTGTGATTCTGATTGAATCAGTGACCGAGTGAGTCTGTCTGCGTGCGTTTGTATCTCGTTTTCCTGTTGTTCGTCTTGCTTCAAATGAACTTCTTTTCTTTTTTCTCTCTCTTGTCCGTCTGTCCTTCCTCCTTCTTCTCCCCTTTCCCTCGTCGGAATTGCCATATCGCCCCGCCATCTACTCATCCAGCGTTTTTGAACACCCACCTCGTTCGTCCGGAAAAGAACAATTCCTTTCGAGGATCAAGGGCCTCGGAGATCCGAATATATCATTTCTCGCGTCCACACCACTCGCATAGCCTTCAACGTGTGTCGACAGATCAGATACCATACCATACCACAGCAACACCACTCGATTACCACACATATTCTTCCGCCAGTTCTTCTTTTCTCTTTTCCGAAATGGTTCCCATCCTGACCTTCGGGCACAGAGTCACAGTCCTCGTACTCGGATTGGGGCTAGTCTCCAACCAGCCATCGACAGTCTCGGTCGTCGCGATCCCTCGCAAGCACAAACACCAACACCGACATTTCCATATGTCTACAGTCCCTGAGGACGGTGCTCCTAGCGTGGGAATGTTGGCAATCCAGTCACTGGACTTCCTCGGGGTCGACGCGCCACATATCTCCGTTGATACTCTTCGGTTGGAGGAAAGCCACGAAGCAAAACCTACGGTGCCCATTGAGAGCATCGGCGACAGCATGTATTCTCTGGCTCGCCCTCGTCACCGCCCTGGTACTGGTGGCCGTAAGCTGCCCACGCTACCCCCTCCGCCACGACCACAGAACAGCCTCGACAAGGCTGATAGCGCCGATCCTCTGGTTCGCAATCGTCCCGCTCCTGGTACTGGTCCTCAACTGCCCCCGCTGCCTCCTCCACCACGTCCGCAAAACAGCGTTGACAATGCTGATAGTGTCGGTCCTCTGGTTCACCCTCGTTCCATTCCTGGTAGTGGGGGTCCTAAGCTACCCCCGCTGCCCCCTCCGCCAGGTCCGCAAAACGGCCTTGTCAAAGTCGCCGCCGGTCTGTTCGAGCGCGTGGTGTCCCGGGTCCAACTCATGGTCCGCAGCTCTGGTGGCGGAGGAGAAGGCACACCCTCCCCGTCGGACACTGCTAATCAGCCAATGTCGTCGCATTCGGGCATCTCTAATTCGGCCATTGCCTTCTTCCTCGCAGCGGCCGGCTTCTTCTTCCTCTCACTGATCTGGAACCTGTATATTCGCTTCGGCTGGGTCCGGGATAAAGCCCGACAGACGGACTTGGATGCTGTGGGAGCCATGCATCTTGGATCACTGGGCGGAGACGGATGGGGTGAGGGTAGAGGGAAGGCTCGTCGCAGTCCTGGTGGGTGGTTGCGCGCAGCTAATGCGACGCCGACCCCCGTTGCTGCTGTCTGAGCATTTCCTTGAGAATGGGCTTTGGCGGCGAACCTTGTGCAGACATCTTCCCTCAGTTCGGTTTTCTAGGAATGCAATGTGACGGAAGTCGATTTCAGCTTTCTGGGCAAGTGTGCGCAGGCTAGCTGGTGGCTCCTTCATCGTGCTTTGCAATTCACAGTCTCAGCTGAGGAATCGGCTTTGGGTGGTGTCACTGTAGCATTTCCAGTGACTAGCGGTTGTCACAGTATCTGGGACGACCAGGTTTGTGCTGAAGCGAATCAAAGACAACTGGGCGTTTGGGTGGCCGCGAAGCTCATAAAAGCATAATCCCTGTACTAGCCAGAATATCTCCATGAGGGCCGAAAGCCTCGGCGTAATAAATCTGTTTGATGAAAATCGTCGAGCTCGAGTAAATTGTAGGTGTTGTGCTGAGATCCGCGATACTCAGAGGACTTTCATGCCACAACTTTCCATCCGCGGTTGGACAGTTAGATGTCTGAATCAAATCCTCGCGAATAGTTCAGATATGGCTGCTTGACGAGGATTGCGAAATAGGGCACCACAGAGGGACAGAAGAAAACCGCAAGTCTCGTCACCAACACATCTCAGCAGCCTCCGTCCTCTGTGACCCCCCTGTTGATTGCCGTGTTGAAGGCGTCAGTTTGGTCCGTTGGTTGTCCATCAGGTAGGGGAGAGGCAAGGTAAAACGACTGCCCCCAGTGACTTGAGTGCAAACGGGGAAGATGACCGAGGGGCACATAAAAGCCGGATATCGACCCATGTGCAGTGCAAGTAAATTTGTGACGAGACAAACACTTTTTCTTCGGGGTTGTGACTGTTCGTATCCGGGGTGATGCCTTGAGGCCTCGTATATATATCTCCAGGAGGAGCCCACTCGATCTCTTTCTCATCATCATCACCATCTCCCAATTGTCGGCCACCAGCAAGAGATATCTCTGCCTGCTTCTCAACACTTGCAGTGATCTGTCACCACGCTGACCCAGCTGAAGATACCTCGATTAGATCAGTCCAGCGTCACCAAATCTCAGAACCCAGAAAGCGACAATGAACGGATGGGCAATTTTCGGCATTGTCCTTGACGTCGTCTTGACTATCGTCCTCATAGCGATCGTATGGAGTGGGCTCAGGCGACGAGCCATAGTCAGGGAACAGGAGAGACAGCAGAGACAAGGCCAAGTCCACGGATTGCAGTGAGACCGTCTCAGCAAAATTCGATCAGGTCTGATGCTTGGTATGGTTTGAAGAGCTTTTTTGCCATTGTGAGATTGAAGGCTAGCTGACTGCCCTTGCGAACCAGTGACATGGTTCGATCTGAAAAGAGGATTTGTATCTCTCCTGATATATCCACTCATGACCACATCTTTCCCCCGAAGGAGGCATCGACAGACACCATAATCAACACCACCAACTTGTCAAACTTACCTCTGGCAGAGATCAACTCACATTCACGAATCAACTGTATCTATCACACAGACCGACCGACGCACGAAAAAGTAACATGGATTCAGGCTCGGCATGGGGACTGCCCGTGGTACCCTCCGTCTTGATGACGAGCATAATGAACCCCCAAGCCTTTGAATCTTGCCAGAAGTCGATGAGATTGCTGGGTGGTTCGAGGGGAGGCATAGATTTCTGATACTTAGCCCATGACAAGAATGCCAGGCATTTATCCGCCGGGCCTATTTGCGGTCTTGCAGCCTCGGTGGACATTGTTGGAGGTTAGCTTATCAATACCGGAGCCATAGAGAGCTAGATGAAAAGCAATCGCAAAATAACCTTGTGCAAACAATGGCAGAATGTTTACACTCCGAGGTCTGCATTGACCCAGCATAGCAACGATTGCCTCTGGTGTTCGAAACGAGCTTAGGGAGATTCCTATGGCGGGTTATACAGTGCTCTGCGAAGCATGGGGCAACGCAAAAAGGCATAAGTGCCCCGTCAAGGGCTCGCTTGCAGATGACCCGTCGCTGTGGTTGACCTGCCGTGATGGGTGAGCAGTAGTAAGATCGACATACACACTGGCCAGTGGGATGATACTGCAAATCGCAGATCCGTGGAGAAGGTGAGAATTGATAGTGACGGCTTCGCAAGAAAAATCAGGGCATGCCCTGCAATTTCGCCTCCGCCCTTGACGGCTGCGTTCGTCTTCTGGAGGTTTCCTCTCATCACTCTGGGCTGTCCAGTATATAGCATCAACCGATGGAACTTCCCAAGAGCCGAAGAGTCGAGTGGCTTTAGCTTTCGACGGTTGCTCAGACCAGACCTTCTACTCCGAAGATGCAGATCATCGAAATCATAGGCTCAATGTCAGCCTGCCAGTTCAGCCGCCTCTGTCTGACCCTGACGGGCACGCAGGTGTGACGCATCCCAGTCTCAGTCGACCACGCGGTGGCCCAGTATCCAATTGTTGCGACTGCGCCCAAGACCTTCCCGGGCTCTGTCGACTTGGACGGGGAGGATGGCCAGTAAGCTGGGAGGGCTATTAGAGGGCCCAGAACCCGTAGAGCTAGGGTACTGGTAGCGAAGATCTTTCGGAGAGGTGTGGATGTGGTCTTCACGATGTTGATCAGTGGGTAGAGAACAGCTCGTTGGATGATCGTCTCATCTGGGTACGCAGGGATGATGGAAGGGCTAGAGAGGGAGTTCCTCCACGGTTCGGAGGGCCGAGGAGATTGCTCGAAGCAGAGGTGGCATTATGATTGATGAGAAAGTTGAAGTGCAGTCTGGTCAGTGGTCAGTGGTCAGTGGTCAGTGGTCAGTGGTCAGTGGTCAGTGGTCAGTGGTCCTAATGTTTGCGACGCCGGCGAGCATTGAGCAAAGGAAACTACTTGTACCTAGGCGAGGAGGTAAACTTCCAGGCTAACATCTAGGCACCCATAGGTACCGTTATTAGTACTTCGCTGCCCCTCCGTCCGTTCGCCTGCACCCCTCACTCCAACCCCTGGTGGCCCCCTTCAACCCCCCAAACCTAACTAACATACCACCTTCGTAGCCACACCAGGATGCTGCCCTTACGTCTGTCTCCCTTGTCAATCATTGCTGCTTTCAGTCGTCCATCGTGATGCCTCTTCGCCCCCAGCATTCAGCACCCAACACGCGACATGCCAGCAGCTATTGGAGTTTACTTTGTGTTCCCCTGGTTTATTTGCGCACTGACTGCTGCATGCTTGCCCAAGCCAGTCTGTGAGAGAAATAACGGGCTGATCATGCTCACGTTCCCGAACATGGCATGGATCACACCTCGGCATCCTTCGTGCTAGTAGGGCAGGCGCCATGCTGAATGCGAATGTTAACGTGTTGAATCGTATGTTTGCTGCTGGATCCTGACTCTAATGCCTTCCCAGATAGTCTACGGGTTGATTCTCTTTTCTTTATCTCTCTCAGAAGAAAGCCAGTCTCGTCAGAAACAGACCCGACCTCACACCATCTCAGATTCCATATACCGTTGCAGCAATACGTGACTGTTGAACTGCGTCAATTCGCTGTCTGTCGTGCTCCCTTGAGGAGGGAGTTGACCGCCTTCAATCCCTCATGAACCTACCTTTCTCCACAGATCACCTCTCACCATGGCTTCAACCTTCCTAGGTCAACTCGCTGGGCAGGTCTCCTTCTACTCGTTCGGCTTCTTCAATTGGTGCCTGTTCCTGGGCCTTTTTGTGAAAAATGGAACGTTCTTCAGGAAGGATACCGAGCAAGATAAGCTGCAGTTTGCCATTGGTCAGTGAAGCGTTGAAGACCTGAGGACTGAACATATCTGACAATCTCCTGTCTACAGAAAGAGATCGCTTCTGGAACCTGAGCAAATCACCTTTCCCTGGCTTCAAGCACTTCTTTTACACCCTCCGCAGTGGCCGCAGACTGCACTATATTAGCAACCGGGATGGAACCTCACAGGGCAACTTGGTGATTTTCTTCCACGGGTTTCCCGACAGTTCAATGATGTGGAGACATCTCTTGCAAGAGCCTGCCATGCCAGTCCGCGATGCTACGCTGGTCTGCGTCGACTTACCGGGGTACGGAGGAAGTGACAGTTTCAAGCAGTACGATACAGAAGTGCTCGAAGCTCTCACGGAATTTGTGGTGGCAATGAGGGACAAGTACATCCCAGCGGACGACTCAGACGAGACGAGCACGTTCATCGTGGGCCATGACTGGGGGTGTGTTTTAGGGTTTCGCCTGGCCGCAGAGGCTCCCAGCCTTGCAGATCGCTTCATTCTGACCAACGCGCCGCACGTAAGTTATCGGACTCAGGTGCTACCGGACTCACATGTCTAACCGTGCATGCAGATTGAACTCGCCTTTGCGAACAAGGACCGGATCCTGAACTCGGCCTCGAAAATCTTCAAGCAGTTCAAGCAATCTCCGAAACAGAATTTTGGGTGTTTGTCAAAGGCATTGAACACGTTGAAGCCATTGATGGTGCAAACATTATTGATGGGCTACATTTTTGCGTTCCACCTACCTTCGACCCTTGTCCGATATCTGGGTGTTGCCGGGAACTATTCGTTCATACGAGGGGCAAACTGGTCAGCGTACGAGAAAGGGTCAAAGGAATATCGTGCTCAAGAATGCATGGCCTCTTCTTTCGGCCCTGGCCCAGAGGAGTGCAAGTCATCGATTCCGACTGTTAACGGTGTGGCCAACTCCACCAATGGAGAGACTCAAGCAGACCGGTACGGCCCCAGCGTACTGCAGCGAGCACGATCCCCCCAGGAGGCTTTCTGGCATATGACAGCTTATTATCGTGACGGAGTGGGTTGGCGTCCATGGAGCAAATCGCTCGAGACCATAACCGACCTCTACGCTCTGGAAACCTCGGCATCGGAATCCAGCTCTCCCGGCAGACGTCGGTCTTCAGTTTCGCAATCCTTGTTTGTCGATCAGTACAAGGGAAGTCTCAAAGCACCCACGTACGTCCTCTGGGGAGAGAAAGATCAAGCTTGTTCCAAACCAATCTGTCTGGACGGGATTGGAGACTACTTGGGCAGAGACAGCGAAGTGACAATCCTTCCACGAAGTGGTCATTGGACTCCTGTTCAGAAAGACGCTCGACCAGCTCTAGCTACCGTGATTGGGTTATATGCTGGAGGAGGTGCACGACCGGTGGCAAAAATGACCACAGAAGTGCAGAAAGTGTATGAAGGGGCTGTTTTGATGGTGAAGAAATGAAGCGTAAGTCAACCAAGTCGACGATGTTATGTACTCCTGGACTCAGATCCGGTACCCGGGGAGGGTTTCTTCTGTATAACAGTCATTAGCGGCGCGTCCACCAATTGCTGATTATGCCTAACGAGGGAGAGCTTGTGTGCGAGATCAAATGAGTACTCTTGAACCCACCAGGTCCTGCACAATTCCGCTGCCTCCGTATTCACGTACCCCAAGAGGTTTTCAGCGTCGTCGCCTCGTGACTAGGATCCAGAACGACCAGATGGTGAGCTGCATTGCGAAAACGATCGCAACCACCCCCATGACCGTCAAGGGTAAGTCACGTCCTCTGTAGCAGGATTCCTTGAGCGCTGGATTTTCTGCCGGCGAAGGGTTTCCTCGCGGCTCGAGGTGCCCTGGAGCCTGTATCTCCAACAGACGATGTGCCTGACCGTGGCTTGTGAAGGAGATACAAATCGAGGCAGCGGCGAGGAACATGGTGAGGAATGCGCTATGGAAACGCCGCTTCTTCATCGTTGAGAAAGCGATCGAGCAATCCATCTAGCCTTTGGTCCTATTTCGTTTCTCTTCTCTGGGACTTCCGGGGAAGGGTCACGCTGAGCTGAACAGGTCCGTCGTCGTCTGTCATATGTCATATATGTGTGTGTGTGTCCCGCGTCACCTGAACATTGTGCGTTTTTTGGTTCATGGCTCATTCTCAGTGACAGACAGGGGGTTGCGTGGCATATATGTCTGGGGGGACCTGTGACGCGAAGTGACGATGAGATGAGATGAGATGTGAAGGACGAGGCAGTAGGCAGAACGAGGAAAAGGGGAAAGGAGAAAAGAGAAATCAGGTGGGCGAAAGCAAGAGATTCATGGAGACAAAAGCACACACGAGACAGAGAGAGAGAGGGAGAGAGAGAAAGAGAGAAGCCACAATATATGCATTGAACATTATAAAGACAGACACATAAAGTCCCCAACCTTTTTTGGTTTGACACCGTAGACTCCCTCTTCCCGCTGAAGGACCAAGAAGATCGGAAGAAAAATCCCCCTTTCCCTCTTTCTCGCCCATATATTAATTAGAGTGGTAGTGGTTTGGCTCTGCTTTGCTTTTCTCGCAAGTTCGTGACCGCCAGCCGACGAAGGAAACGGACGACATCCAGGCCCATGTCAGTCTGCATCTTTGCCTGCATCGTAGCTTGTTTCTTTTGTATTACTCTTCTGTCACGAGTCCGTCGTTCTGCGCCTGAGGCATTGCCGGAAAGGCCGGGCTTCGTAGTTGTGAAACCCACTGCTCTTCGACCTACTGGCCTGTGACAGAACCGAGGCGTCCGCCTTTGAACAAGATCGCCTGAACTCCGTGGCTGATGCACCGACTCGACGCCCGCGAGACATCTTGATGGGGAATGATTAGAACAACAGCTCCAGACAGCAACAGCAGGTCAGCGCAGCCAGGAACGCGGCACAGCATCCATCAGCCGCAGCCTGATCTGGCGATCGATCATAGTATCCCACGGGCGGCCCCTGTTGATAATACATGCCCGGTTGCGGCGGACCGTAGTATCCGTATGGTTGTCCCGGCGCACCACCCTGCGGCGGCCAGGGACCCGGGGGACCTTGGTTCCAGCCTTGTGGCGGGACATAGGCGCCATTGGGACCTTGGGCGGGAGGGTATGACTCGGGGACAGGGCCGCGCGTGTTGTCGACTGGTGCGTTGGGCGGATAGTATGGGCCGGCGTCGTGGTGTACTTGCGGCGGGACGGTCAGGGCTTGGCTGGGCGGAGGGCCGCTGGGGGGTGCGTATTTGTCGTTGTCGGCCATGGTGAAGGACAGACAGGATGTGTTGTCTGTTTGACCTGTGGTCGGTGAGATCAGGGATGAATGTGCTTCGCAGAGGTGGTGGATTGCTTGGATTGCTTGGTTGGTCAGTCAGCCGCTGGCAGTTTCGTGGCGGGCTCTGGCTGCGGAGGTGACGAGGCTGAGTGAGCGACCCTTCGTCACGCCACACGAGGATTAGGCTGGTGAGGGGGAGCCTTCAAAGAGTTAATGAGCTGTGTGTGTGTTCAGTTGTTATCTCAATTATGTCTCTTCCACGAACGCTGCTGCAGTCATGGCGTGCAGGGCAAGTTAGTGACAGCAATGCGCAACCAGAAGAGAGAAAAATAAAAGATGCTGGCAGCATTTCAAATGTTGCGCAGTCATCAGGTATGGTGGTACTTGTCATTGATTATGCGAGCCTGTCGGCGCGGTCGGCAACACGCTCAAAAAGGCGCTGGCTTGCGCTGTTGGGCGAGGGTTGCCGCCGTGTGCCGAATTCGGCTCTTCGTTTCGACCGTCCAGTCACGGTCGGGGCGGTTGGGCGTGGATGGAAGAAAATACTGGAAGAACCGAGTATTAATATTTGCGACAGATTGGAGGGCACGGAGGATGGTTTACAACCCCCAAGCCCGAAGCCTGGTGAACCCGCCTACGAGGTACCGAGTGCACAGTGCGGGACCCTAAAACCAAACTGACGTGCCGGGCTTCTCGAGTGATGCGGGAATTGCTGCGAACATCCCCCAACCCCCCAGTCGCCCACGGCCCATGAACCCCTCGCCTGTCGCTTTTTGTTCAACAAACTTGAGCACACCCTCCATCTGGTGACCACCACACCAGCCCCCGTGGTTCACGGTCATGGTCACCACCACCAACCCACGGGATATTAATTAATTACATGAGAGAAACGGGAATCTAGCCCACGTGCCCCCTCAGAGAATTTTGTGTGCAACCCACCTTTGTTTGATTCAGAAGGATCGTTTTGCCGGAAAGACGGCCAAGTCAGAAAGAAACCACTCACTAATACGAAGGTGTTTGTGCAAATCCATCCACAGCCTACGCACGAGTACTTACTTGCAGATGTCCACCGGAGGAGCCGATTCCGTCCCGTGGCGCAAGCACTATTATCATCAATCTCAATCGAGAACAGCGGTGTACCTACCACATACCTACGCAGTAAGTGGTGGCCGTGGTGCCTTGGCCAACAAGGTCCCACAAATACAGTAGGTAGAGATAACCATTGTTTTTCCTTTTGATTGCTGCTCTGATGGCTATTCGTACATATAGTACTTTGCAACTCGTGTGGTGATGATGACGGATGACGGTGATGCATGGCGGAACGAGTGGTGCTGGAATTTCCCGGGCTTGCTTGCAGCAGGCGTGCCGGCCTATCGAACTTTGTCCCACCTTTGCCACGCTTGTACCGAGCACCAACCATGATCGCGCTCTGGGCACCCCAAGCACCCCCCCAAATCGTTGCCCCAGGGCCCCAAACCCCCATGCTTTTTGAATTTCTGAGTCCATCAGTGTGTCTTGCGGCTTTGGGCGGGTCTGACCCATCGATGCCTAAGCGCTCGAGCGGTAGGCCCGGGCCCTCGCGTCTTCCCCCCTGCGACAAAGAATCCTCAGGACAAATCGAACACGTCCCCCAAAATGGAGATGTACCCCCGATTCCCATCCAAGACAACTTTCTAAAGTGGTCAGTTGGCATTATTCGTGACATTTCCGTTGAGAGCTTTCCTTCTGGGAATTTCCATGTGAAATTCACGATAATCCTGGTCATATGGGGCATCAAGGTTGCGTTGCTGGCAAGTTCCGTGGCTTCCCCTATCTCACCCCTTGGACGCCTTTGGAGGTAGCAACAAATACCATCTATCGACTCGTTGCCAGAGGTGTGTCCGGAAGTACCAGTACCAGTGCTCCGTTCCCCTGCACCGCAGGATCTGAAATCCCAAGGGTGGATAAACCCCACTTTCAAGACAAGACGCTATCCCGTCAAGAACAACCAGGTTAGGGAGTAAGGCACGGAAGTGTTTGGTTTCGTATCAACTCAACACACACACAAAGAACATCACGGTCCACCGCTCGTACCTACCGACCGACCTGGTCGCCGGGGGATCGACTGGGTGGGTTCCTGCGGGCGCTGCTGCTATCGCTCTCGCTCTCTCTCTCTCTCTCTCTCTCCCGCAGCTTGGCCGTGTGGGTCCGTCTGGCTGCGTCACGAATTTATTCTGCTCAAGGCCGAAGTTGCTCATACCCAGTTCCGATGATGCGATGAGAGAGAAAGGGAACCTGAGTTGACCAGGGCCAGGGATGTGGTGGTGGGGGTCGAGCGACACGGAGCCAAAAAAGAGGCCACTCCTTAACCTTGTCGGCGGGATCCCACGTTGTTCCGTTCCGCCTTGCCGCGAGCGAATGCCAGTGGTGCGCACGGAGACGGACACCTAACACCTTGTAGGTAGAGATGTCCAGTTCGAAAAAGCAGCCCTCACTAGCCTTATCCTTATCATCACACCAACAATCTGGACGTGCAGAGCGCATCAGCAATGCCCGCCTTGCCAGTCGCTTGTGTCGCACATCAGCGAAAGGGAGCAACATCGTCGGGCATCCTTGGAGGCTAGCCACAAGCCCCCCTCTCTCCCAAGCCTCTTCCGATCCATGTCCATTCTACCTGCATTTTGCCCGTTTCCTGACATCCCCGATTGTTATCGGCCCTCTGATTCGACCCGCTCGCCCTCAACAAGGTTCCCAAGGTCCATTTGCCTGACAGCACGCAGGCACATGCCTCCCTGTCTCTGTCGTGCCGGCAGACAACTCTCAATTGAACCGAGACGCACAGGGCACTATCGGTCCTGCACCTCAGCATCTGCTCAGATAACGACCTTCGTCGCTCCTCCATCCAAAATACCCATCCACCCAGCTGATAAACTTCTCCTGACCATCAGAGTTGATTATTGCGTGCCAGTCTCTCAGGCTCTCTCTCTCGATCCTTTTCTCCTTCTCTCCTCTCCCTCTCTTCTTCCCTTCTGATCTCTCGTCGCTGATCCCGATACAATGAGCACTTACCTGTGGTACACGTTCAGCTGGAGTTCTTTGAGAAAGAGCTTTGCGCCGTGGTAACACCCATCTTACCCCGAAAACCAGCTGCGTATGTCCCCCGTATCCACGGTCGCTCACCGTATCTTGGCTCTTATAGGAGACCAGCGATAACCATGATCAAGGATGCTGACATTTTTTCCAGGCTCCGCAGTGCATTCTCGACCCCAAGTTTGCGTATAGAGATATCAATCAGCTGGTGATATCACCCTCTTCGGAGGGGGAGGGGGTCTTCCCCTTGAAAAGGGCCCTGAACCTTGCCGACATCTTCATATGCATTGCATAGACTACACTTCTTTTCACCGGAGTCGTTGATCGAGCCCGGGCGCCGGCATCTCTGGCCTCGATGTTTGGCTCGAACCCGTTGCCGCTTCCCCCACCCTTTGCCCACGAACATCGTCCTCTCCGGTTGAGCGCTGAAAGCGCCCGTCCTCTCCCGACCGGAGAATGTCGATATCTCCTGTTGCACCCTTCGGCACAGAACCAGCAGTGTTCGTGCCAATCCTTCCACCTCAATCGAAGCGCGCCTGGTAATATTTGTGAATGCGGCCATCAAGCCTGCTACCACGTCCACCAGGAAAACAATAATGGAAAACATACCGATACACTCAATGCTGTTCTTGACAAGATAAACATCGTCTTTGATAAGGTCAAGCGTTTGGAGGAAACCATTCAGAATGAACGCAGCAATCGGGAATCTGGTTTACAGAGAGAACGACAGATGTGGGAAAGAGAGGTTCGCATCTTGCGTGAAGCCTTAGCGCCCTTTTATCACAGCGAAAAAGAAATGCGTCGACGCATCGTCGACATTGAAGATAGAGTCGAAGGCAACTATGATGAGCACGTCCGCCTCCGGGATCGGGTCGTCGCCGTCGACGACGCCACCATGTCAGTGGAGAAGAGAGTGGAGGAACTCGAAGATTTCCGCTTCAAGAGGCGACGCGTGAGTCGCAATAACACTCAAGACCAACCGTCCCAGAATGGGTATGTCTCGTCCGACCCAGACAACTTCAGACGAGTCCCCTCCAGCGTCGACGGAGGTTCGGTGCGCACGCCTTCGTCTCGGGCATTGTCACCCAATGGGACTGCACCTGCTCCCGTGCCGGAGCCGGAAGAACCTCGCTCAAGCGGGATCCTCAACCTTGTTGCTGAAATGCCCCGTCCAGGGCCTTTCGTCAACCTGCCACAACGACTCTCACCGCCACAAGAGGAGCCGAGATCAAGCGGCTTCTTGACATTGGGCCTGGGCGAGCGACTCAAAGAGAAGCCCATTTCTGAGCAGGTAGCACAGATCTCCATCCATCAAGCCTCTCAAATTACTCCGCCTCAGGATAGGTCCAGCCCGTCCAGCTCTGCAAAGTCCAACCAGGATGTCCCTATCAAGACAATCCGAACCCCTCCTGACCTCCTCCACACCAAAATGCCACTCATAGATGTGATGGTGCTCCCTGGCAATATCTCTCCAAGAAAGAGAAAGCATCATCTCGACCACATCGCTCTGGATGTGCTTGCCGATGTTACTGTCGCCAGTCCGCTCATTCACTAATGACCATTTTTTCAATTCTCGCTATATCACTCATTTTCGCCCTTCGACCATTATGATGTGGTAGCCATGGCTTGTTTTGACCTCGGCATCTGGGTGAATGATTAGCAAAGGGGGCCAAAAGGGATTCAACGGTCTTTTTGGGGAGATTTGAAACAATCAGCACTACATCCTTTGATCGCAGATTGATACTTTTTTCCTTCCCTCTGTGATCCAGATCGCTTGGGAATGATCATTCGGTGGCCCAGTTCCTTTGTTGTACAGGTAGATACCAAACAGTAACAACACGGTCTTTGTAACCAGTCTCTGTAAACGAGATAAGGAATCAGACTCACATTTGGGATTTGCTGTTGTGGACGGTTCTAAATCGTAGGCAACTTTTTCAAAGTCTCCATGGAGGCTGCCTCTGGTTTTCCAGCCTAGCGATCCGCCTGTAGAGATTGATAACGATTTTGTCATGTTAGCCCCAGCTAACTGACGAACTCGGCGACTGGCTGACACAGGGGATGTGCCCAAAGCAAGGGTGACGAGAAGTCGCAACTCCGTACCTTGTCTGGCCTTGTCCTCTGAGAACTCCCTCGCTACCTCATCGAATTTGGCACCTGCACGCAACTTTGCGAGGGCTTCCTCTTTTTTGGAATGCTTTTCGCACTGTGAAGGGACCAGAGAGAGTCAAAAAGGGCGTTGGCTGGACGGAGTTGCATCTGCGGACATGGGGCTGGACACCACCGTTTGCGTGCCCAACACTGGAATCGACCTACCAAAATGTGTCTGACATTGATTGACTGAGCGGCTTTCAGCTTCCCGCTTCCACTGGCTGAGGAGCCATCCTCGTCCTTGCCTTTGCCTTTGCCTTTACCACCGCCCGAGGAGGTTTTGCTGGAATCTTTGGCCTTTGGCGCCATGGGTGCCTCTCCGAGAAGCTTCTGTTGAGCTTGAGTAGTTATGCCAGAGGCGCTGCCCAGAAAGTGATCTTCAAGGCGTTTCAGGTTAGAATCTGACACTGAGAACCAACTGGTGGCAGTTGTTCGGTGACGAACTCCGGCAAGTCTGCCGTAAATAATAGGGAGATCTCGCACCCGCCCTGACCAAGCCGTAAAGAGGAATAGAGTACAAACGCCATAGCACTGCAATGGTCACCGTGGCATTGCCGGATCCGGACTCGCTTAGGATAATCTCTTGGCGGCGCCGAACAAATGACGCTCACTTCCTCGTGTCGGCCCCAGTCCAGTTCCCGGGGTGGGCGTTTGGCACTACGACTCGCCCCCTTGTTCTTCTTGATCCCCCTTCGCAAAAAAGTCAGAAGGTGCCTTGTGGATCAGCCAGCGAGCAATTCTCAGCAGCTGCCCGTCCTTCTCCTCGCTTCCAGCGGCCACCCTGCGCACCACTCTCACCAGCCTCAGCACAGACAAAACCCAACACCCCGAAGCAGGACGCGCCTGGACGCGAGAAAAAAACAACAGATTACTGGCGATTTGCAACATCGCAACACGAACCCTTGTCCCTTTTAGATACATAGAAAAATGGTATATAGCAATGGCTCCCGTATATAAGAGTCGTCACGTGACGGGGTTGGATGTGTCTTTAACGCCGGCCGGGATTCGCGCTTTTCGAGGAAATGGTGATTCCAGACATCCGGGATGAGCTTGGGCTTTTGGGACTGCACCCACGGCTGCACCAACTGCGATTGACCATGACCCAGCATCCTGTTCATCGCCACCAACCTTGATCTCCTTTAATTCTCCCATCATTCTCATCACCATCCCATCGCCTTTCCTCAATTGCGCGACTGTGAATACATTTGCATTGTCCAGCTGAGGCAATTATGTCGCCAGCCCCTTGAATGATTCCGAATCCGGTGACACGACCTGACTGTACCAACCGGACGCCCTGAGGGAAGCCAAACGGAGTTGATCGACCCGACTCTCAAACCACCCCAACCCATCATCACCGCGACCATCCTCGCCGGCGAAAAAAGTCCCTCCCACCTGCGTGCAGCGCCGTGCCACGATTTGGCGATGGAGACTGGGCAAAGGCAATAGATAAACTCTTTTGATAGCGAGTCTGTGCCAGTAGGACCACCACACCCACGGTAGAACATCAAGCTACCACACCGTTCAGCGGTCACCAGCAAGGAAAAAGGATTCACAATGTCTGGATCGACACCTTACGCGGTTCGTTCGCCAACTCAGTCGAACCAATACCCACCACCTTATTCACCAACTCACCCGAATCGCCCATTTTTTGGCCATGAACCATTTCAGATACCGCCTCAACACCTCATCCAGACTCCACCTCCATTCCCTCCCGCGTCTCTGGTACACAGCCCGCATCACACCCGGCCCACGCTGGCATCACCGTTGCCCCCAGCAAGCGCTCTCCCACCGCCGCCACCACCTCCTGCTCTTCCTCCCCCGATAGGCGCCGGACCACAGCAGTATCAGCCTCTGACATCGAGTCCGCCGTTTACGCTGCAAAGAACGTACTCTGGACATCTGGTTCACCCAGGCATGCCATCGCCATACGATGTCAATCCGTCACATGCGCATCCACCTGGGCCTCAAAACCCAGCGTTGCAATCACCGATGAGGGATCACCATAGCCTCACGAATGGAAGACCTGGAGACATGTCTTCGTCGGAGTCGCGCCCGCAATCGAAAGACGTAAGTGAAAAATGCGCTGTCGGCTGGCGAGACGCTGACTTTGTTCCACAGAAACCTGACAGAGCGAGCAACCCAATGTCTTTTGCCAGCATTCTTGGTCCCTCAAACAACGAGCCCTCTCCTAAGATCACGGAAGCAAAATTGCCCCCTGCGCGACCCGCCACGCCGCCACCGCCGGTGCTGCCAAAGCATATTATAGAAAGCAAGCCTGTGCCTGAAAGGTCACCTGTGCCGAAAGTCCCAGAGATGAGTGCAATTCAGCCGTTCACGAACGGCCACACCAAATCACAAACCAAAGCAGACGCAGGGCATGCTCCCAAGAAATATCTTGCGCCACCGCGACCACGGAAGATACTCACTGAAGGGGAGGCCGACAAGATACTGAAGGCTCTTGCCATCATTGACGAGACCAGTTTTAGTGATGCCGAAGATGCGTCTTGGTCCGAACACAAGGAACGGTACAGGCAGAGAATCAGGAAAAGAGCGGCAGATGTCTATGAAGGTGAACTGCACAAGCGCAAGGTATGTGATTCTATCGACCGCACCCGTGTAGTAGTCCGGCTGACCTCCCCCATAGCGCCGCCGCGGCTTTGCGCTGGACTCTTTCATTCGATCCATGGACAAACAAGCCCTCATTGCCGCCCAACGCTTCCGTGAACGTTTCGAACCTATCGCCGCCAAAGAAATCGCGGACAAGGATCACCAAAGTGAAAAGGAAAGAAAGAAAGACATGCAGCGGAAGCGCCGTCGTGAGCAACAGATTCGTAACGAGAAGGAGAGGCTGGAAGAGCTCGTACAGCGCGCGAAAGATGCCGAAGATCAAGAAGAGGCACAGAAGTATCGGAGGCAAGCAGAGAAATCCCAGGCCCGCATCAAACAAACCACAGAACTGCTCGAGGGTGTCCCTCCTCAAGAGGACATGGAAGTACCGGCACCAGCACCCAACTACGAGGGTGGCGTCACATCATCCTTCCAGCTGGCCACGCCCGAACCCAGTGAACCCCCCAAGAAGCGCAGCAAGAAGGATCCTGGTGCTCCCTCCGCTCGTTTAAAGAAGTCCAAGGAGAAGAAACAAGCCGAGAAAGATGCCGCGGAGGCTGCTTATGCGGCAATGGAAAAAGATGCTCTCATCCAGATTGCACCCAAGGAAGAATCAACCCCGGCTCCAACAGGCAAGTCCAAAAAATCCAAAGCTGTAGTTCAACAAGAGGCCCCTGCTAGTCCTCCACCACAGACAGTCAACTACGAGTCGAAAGGTTACGTTCAGATTTACGAGCAAATCTGGAGGGATCTGGCCAGAAAAGATATACCCAAAGTGTATCGGATCAAACAAGTATCTCTCGCCACGAGATCAGAAAATCTCCGCAAAACCGCAATCCTCGCCAGTAAACAAGCGCGGAAATGGCAGGAGCGGACCAACAAGAGCATGAAGGACACCCAGGCACGGGCGAAACGTGTTATGCGGGAGATGATGTCTTTCTGGAAACGGAATGAGCGAGAAGAGCGAGACCTACGTCGTCTGGCCGAGAGGAAGGAGATTGAAGACGCAAAGAAGGCTGAAGCAGATCGCGAGGCCAACCGACAGAAGCGGAAACTCAACTTCCTCATCTCGCAGACCGAAATCTACTCGCACTTCATCGGGCGCAAGATCAAGACAGACGAAGTCGAGAGAGCCACAGACGATGCCGAAGTTGCCTCAGCCCAAGCGAAGAGCAAGCCCGCTGCAGATCACGACCGAAGCATGGACGACCTGTCGCTGTCCCAGGAACACGGAGATCATAAAGTCACAAATTTCGAAGACTTGGATTTCGACGCCGAGGACGAGTCGGAGTTGAGACGGGCAGCGGCGGCCAACGCTGCAAGCGCACTGCAGGATGCGCAGGACAAAGCCCGCAACTTCAACGCACAAGATTAATGGCTGCATTTGACTCCAGCGAGATGAACTTCCAGAATCCTACCATGGCCGGCGATGTGCAGGTCTCCCAGCCGAAGATGTTGCAGGCGCAGCTCAAGGAGTATCAGCTCAAAGGTCTCAACTGGCTGGTCAACCTTTACGAGCAAGGTATCAACGGTATACTGGCAGACGAGATGGGTCTCGGCAAGACCGTGCAATCTATTTCGGTCATGGGCTACCTGGCCGAGCAGCATAACATTTGGGGACCGTTCTTGGTCATCGCGCCAGCCTCAACACTCCACAACTGGCAGCAAGAAATAACCAGGTTTGTGCCAGCCATCAAGGTTCTCCCATATTGGGGCAGTGCAAAGGATCGAAAGATCCTGCGGAAGTTTTGGGATCGGAAGCACATCACGTACACGAAAGACTCCGAGTTCCACGTTCTCGTTACTTCATATCAACTTGTCGTTCAGGACGCTCAGTACTTCCAGAAGATCCGATGGCAGTACATGATTCTAGACGAGGCACAGGCCATCAAGTCTTCGAGCAGTTCGAGATGGAAGACTCTTCTCGCGTTCCAGTGCCGAAACCGACTTTTGCTGACCGGCACGCCCATCCAGAATAACATGCAGGAGTTGTGGGCTCTGCTCCACTTTATCATGCCCACGCTGTTTGACTCACACGACGAGTTCAGCGACTGGTTTTCCAAGGATATCGAAAGTCACGCGCAGAGTAACACCAAATTAAACCAAGATCAACTCAAGCGGTTGCATATGATTCTCAAGCCGTTCATGTTGCGACGTGTCAAGGCCCACGTGCAGAAAGAACTGGGCGACAAGGTTGAGAAGGATGTTTTCTGCGAGCTCACCTACCGACAACGGGCGTACTACTCGAATCTACGCAGCAAGATCAGCATCATGGACCTTATCGAGAAAGCAGCGCTGGGCGGTGACGAGGACACGGCCACGCTCATGAACTTGGTCATGCAGTTCCGAAAAGTGTGCAATCATCCGGATTTGTTTGAACGAGCAGACACGACTTCCCCCTTCTCCATGTCGTATTACGCCGAGACTGCCTCGTTCGTACGAGAGGGCTCCTTCGTGCAGGTTGGCTATTCCGTTCGCAATCAGATCCAATATGATCTGCCTCGAGTGCTATGCAATGATGTTGGGAGAATAGATATCGCTGGGCCCAGCAATCCGTACGCCGGCTTTCGACGCGCTGGCTTCAAGGCGACGGGACTTGGGGGCCTGTTGCGGATCTGGACTCCTGAGCACATCAAACGCTCGGCCGAGGAGGACGGGGCTTTCTCATTCCTACGTTTCGTTGATGCCTCGGTTGGCGAAGCCTCGTTTAATGGCGAGTCGGGACTTTTCGAGCGGGCCATCAAGCTCAAGAAACAGCAGCGACGGGGCTTACACATTTTCCAAGATTCTGAAGATGGACCGGACCGGCCGCCAGCACATGCCATGCTCAACATCGTGGAGAACGAGCCCCGCCGTGCACTGATGGAACTGGATCCCAACTCGCCCCTCGCGAGACTTTGCAATATCTCTCGGGAGAGCCTGGCGGAACATGGGGTTTCGGTGCTAGAGCCAGCGGCCCGACCGAAAGCGCTAGCTCCACCGATCGAGATCAGTTGCTTCGATCAGTCCTCGGTCACTGAGCGACAGTTGACTCTCTTCAACATGGATGTCCGCAGCACGCTCTTCCCGCTCGAGGAGTCGCTCGAGGAGAAGTTGCTTGAGCGCGACGTGGATCCGGCCAATTTCCCGCTCTCCAACATGTTACCCGCCCCAGAGTCTGCAAAGGCCAGGTACACCAACATCTCAGTACCTTCGATGCGCCGATTCGTGACGGATTCGGGCAAGCTCGCGAAGCTGGATCAACTGCTCCGAGAACTCAAGATGGGTGGCCACCGTGTGCTCTTGTACTTCCAGATGACGCGTATGATAGACTTGATGGAAGAATACCTCACGTACCGCAACTACAAGTACTGTCGTCTGGACGGAAGCACCAAATTGGAAGACCGGCGGGACACGGTGCACGACTTCCAAACGCGACCCGAGATCTTCATCTTCCTGCTGTCGACCCGTGCCGGTGGTCTCGGTATCAATTTGACGTCTGCCGACACCGTCATCTTCTACGACTCGGATTGGAATCCCACGATCGATTCGCAAGCCATGGACCGAGCTCACAGACTGGGTCAAACCAAACAGGTGACTGTGTATCGACTCATCACGCGCGGCACCATCGAAGAACGCATCCGCAAGCGAGCGATGCAGAAAGAAGAAGTCCAACGTGTCGTCATCACAGGCGGAGACGGGGCGGGTGTGGACTTCAATACCCGCGATCGGCGTGAGAACCGGACCAAGGATATTGCCATGTGGCTCGCGGACGACGACCAAGCGGCACTTATTGAGCAGAAGGAAAAGGAGATTGCCGAGAAGCCTGATGATGAGAACACGAAGAAGAGAAGCAAGAAGGCCGCAGCCGCTGCAGCCCGACAGAAGCGCAAGGGCGAAATGAGTTTGGATGACATGTATCATGAAGGTGAGTCCCCGACATGCCCCTTCCCCCCGGGTGATGGAAATTACTGACGTTGTTCCCCTACAGGCGAAGGACATTTTGAAGATGCTTCAGCGAAACCGTCCGGGGCCGCGACGCCAGTCAGCTCTGCAGAGGCAGCTGGACCGAAACGTGGGCCTCGTGGCGGACGAGGTGTGAGCAAGAAGGCCAAAACGGCCAAACAAAGACTTGCCATTGTTGATGCCGAGGGAGATCTCGGCATGAGTGGGACATGAGCGACCCGGACACATTTTGAAGTTTCATGGAAGACGCAACGCGAGGGAAAAAAAAGAAACGGGTGGTTGTGAAAGACAGAAGGCACATACACACACCCATGGGGATATTAATACTCAAGACACGGAGATACGGTGCATTGGGATTTTGAGATAGAATTGGGCCGGGACGCGGAGCATTGGGGGTGAATAACTCGCGTCGATGGTTTCTGAATGTACGATTATGGAATAGTGATTGTGTCTTGCGAGGATCTTCCATGGTGACGGACGACGCAACGGCTCAAGGCTCGGAAACATCCAGGCACATTGCAAACCACCACGAGGGGGAGAGAGCGTTACGAGGGGTGTATGTGGATGAGGATCGTGCTTGTATTCGTACAGGAAGAATTCAGGTATCAGCAGCACCTCTTCGAGACGGCCACGTGTTGAGATGAGCCAGCAAAAGAATACATTATCATTCCGAAGCAACCAGGGTTTGAGAGTCGTTGGTTCAGCCATCTTTGTGTTTTTCATGTCCTGATCCGCACTCTGTGAATGGAAAGGAGAAAGGTATGTATGGTATGTATACAGCAATGTCAGAGGAAGTCGGACAAGGGCGTCTCTATCTGTGCTATAGTATTCATTGTCTTACTCTCAGGTCTCTGTCTCTGTCGTTTGTTGGGTGGGTATGTCCGTGACGAAGAGTGGTTGGTACAGTATTACATGGCAGTAGTATTAGTGAGAAGAAGAAGATGTCAGTTTAGTTGTGGAGGCATGGAGGTGCCACCGAAGTCAGGACAAGTCCGCGTCTGAAGATAATGTATGGAGGTAAGAAGAAATAATGAGAGACAGTCGGTACTGTAGGCACCCTAGGCACGACTACTCGTAGTAGTCCAGGCGATTGTTTGTGCCCCATGATGCCCAAAGATGCCAATGTTTGCCCTGTTTGCCGCCACCACGCCAAGCACCAATTTCGATATCTCTCGCACGGTCATCTCCATCTCTATCTCCATCTCTATCTCTATCAGGGCTCATCATCCTCATCATCCTCATCATCATCATCATCATCATCACCACCACCTGGGTGCCACCAATTCATTCTTCTCCTGATCGATGCTTCCACCCGCAGTCCATCCCGAGTCTACGACAGCCATCCGTGCGCCCTTGCCCCTTCTAGCATTTAGCCTTTGGCGCCGTCGCCCCTCGAAAAGATAAGCTCGCAAAGCTTATTTATTCGTCGGTTTTCTTATATGCAAAAATGATTCATAGGTAGTAGTGTGTCTCTCTGTCCTGTCAGTGCTTGTCCCATCAATCACAACAGTGGACTTGTAATAATAATAGATAAGTATCAGTGTCTCTCTTCCCTCCCTGTCATCCATGCCTCCTTTCTCTTTTTCTTCTTCTGCTTCTCCACGATAGCCCTACCGTCGACAAATAAACGCATTTTCTATTGCCATGGCTGCTACTCGCCGCCTGTCCTCCCTGGTCGGCAGCACCAAGCATGATGGACCGTTTCATTCGACCATTGCCAACGAAACCCAACTGGCACAGCTGGGCTATGAGCAAGGTATGGATTGTGATTCTCTCATGTCGCCCGACCTCGTGTTCTGATTCTTCCGCCAACCAGAACTCAAACGCTCATTCTCCCTCCTGGGCATGGTCGGATTCAGCTTCTCCATCGTCACTTGCTGGACCGCCCTCGGAGGCACACTGATCGTGGGCATCGTCGCGGGCGGCCCCCCGGTCATGGTCTGGTCCTGGTTGGGAATCTGTCTGCTCTCACTGACCGTGGCATACTCATTTGCCGAAATGTGTTCGGCCTATCCCACCGCCGGTGGTCAGTATAGCTGGGTCGCCATCCTCGCTCCGCCAAAGTACGCTCGTGGCGCCGCCTTCGTGACCGGGTGGTTCATGTGCACGGGCATTGTGGCCATGGGGGCTGTCAACAACTTCGTGAGTCTCATTTTCAATCTATGCAATGCCAAAAATCCCTCCCCGGGCTCACTGTCTGTTCCCACAGCTCGGCGCCAATTTCATCCTCGGCATGGCCAACCTGAACAATCCATCCTACACCATCGAGCGCTGGCACACAGTGCTGGTCACGTACCTGATAGCCATCCTCGCCGCCACGATGAACGTCTACCTCTCCCGCTGGCTCAATCAGATCTCCACGTTCGCCGTGGCCTGGAACATCCTCAGCTTCTTCGTCGTCATCATCACCATCCTGGCCGCCAACGACCATAAACAGTCGGCCAGCTTCGTGTTCTCCGACTTTCAGAACCAGACCGGCTTCTCGTCCGGCGGCATGGCTGTCATGATTGGTCTGTTACAGACCCTGTTTGGTACGTGACACAGACCCCCACAGACGGGTGTAGTGCATTTTCTGACCTTCCACTCAGGCATGTGCTGCTACGACGCTCCTAGGTAAGGACGATCCGCTGAGGACCCCATACGCTTTGAACACTCCAGACTAACCTATGTCCATCGCTCTCTCTCCCTCATCAACAGCCACATGACGGAAGAAATGCTCAACCCGGCCAAAGAGGCGCCCCAAGCCATCATCCTCTCGGTGTACCTGGGCGCGGTGACGGGGTTCGTGTTCCTGATCTCCGCCTTCTTCTGCATCGGCGACCTGGACGCCACGGCGACGACGCCCACGGGTGTGCCGCTGATCCAGATCTTCTTCGACAGCACGGGCAGCGTGAGCGGGGCCACCACCCTCGCCGCCATGATCACCGTCATCATGCTGATCTGCTCCAACTCACTGATGGCCGAGGGGTCGCGCGCCTTGTGGGCCTTTTCGCGCGACCACGGCCTGCCCTTCAGCAAGCTGTGGGCCCGCGTCGACAAGAAGTCCCAGGTGCCCGTGTACAGCGTGCTGCTGTGCGGCACGCTACAGGCCGGCCTGAACAGCATCTACTACGCCTCGTTCGAGGGCTTCTCGACCGTCATTTCCATCGCCACCTTCGGCTTCTACCTGTCGTACGCGGCCCCGCTGTTCGTGCGGCTGTGGTCGCTGGCCACGGGGACCAACCCGGCCGCCACCACCATCCGCGGCGGCGTCTATACTCTGGGCAAGTGGTCCCCGTACCTCAACCTGGCCGGCCTGCTGTTCCTGGTCTTCGCCGGCGTCGACTTCAACTTCCCGCAGGTCGGCCCCGTCACCGCGGGGAACATGAACTACTGCAGCGCCGCCTTCGGTGTCATCGGCGTCGTCAGCGTCATCACCTGGGTCTTTGACGGCCGCAAGAACTTCACGGGTCCTCAGACCCCGGGCGTCGTTAATGCCATCGAGGCCGGTGCTACTGCAGGTGGTGACAAGGGAGGCCTGACGCCCGAAGGGACGGTGATGGGTGAGTATGACGCCACGAGGGACGAGAAGAGGGGGACTGTCCCCGCTTCCTCCGAGGACAGCATCGATGACTCCAGCGACGAGAAGCCACCCGTCGAGGATGTCGCCCGAGTGGCGTGAGATATACATAAATATATATCTACAACACATACTGAAGTGCGCACACCACAAGCCGTGCTGTGCTGCGCTACGCTGCACTTATACTATACTGTACTACTTTGTACGCTTTCTAGCCAGATAGATGGATACCCGTGCAATCTTTTCGTCTACCGGACGGATATTTGTATTTAAAAAAGGGGGGTGGACCATGACATGGATACAGTTCGCATTCTCAATGATCAATGCCTATCGCTCTACTTGTTACCTTACACGTACTCACATGCTGTAAAGCTGGAGCTAACAAGACCAATGTCGCTGGGCGCTGGATAATCAGATATGATACTGAATTCACGCCCATGCTCCATTCATTACCCATTTTACTTTCTCTCTCAAGACCCGACCGATTAATCCTCTCTAAGGGCACGAAAAGTAACGACGAACGAACATCCCTCCCTTTTGATTCAACTACGCCGCTCTCGGTCGTCTATACCGGTGATAGTGTCCCCATTGCTCCCTCTTTCAGCGCGGAAGATAGAGCTTGGCCGCCACCGCCGGAGCTGCTGCGCCCGCTGCCTTCTTTGAGCGGTGGACGAGCGAAAGTCCCTGCAGATGAGAACCGGCGCCATCGGCGCGAATGCTATCACTCCCGTTTTCGTCGTTATCACTAGCAGGTAGGTCGAATAACGACCTCCGACCAGTCCCGACCCTCGGCTTGGCTCGATGCTCGTCGCTGTTGTTGTCTTCGGCCAGCTCGAAGATAGATTCGCGGCGAGGTCGCTTGTTCCTCGTGGCCTGAGAGGTGAACAGCGGCGTAGACACCCGTCGTTTGAGTCCGCCGCGCCCGTGAGGTGGTGTGGTGATATCGGAATTGATGTTTGGCTCATCCTCGCTTTCGACAGCAATGCTTGAGGTCCGACCGTGATACACAACGTCCCGAAGCATTTTTGGCGTGGTAGGAGACTCGGGCTGCATGCTCTTTGCGCTGGCCACGCTCAAATTAGCCGGTAGTGGGAAATGAGAGCTGGAGAGCTTGTCGCGGACTAAACCTTGGGGCGAACTCGATGTTGCGGAGAAGGAAAACCTCGAGCGTTCCCCCAGAAGGACTTCCCCATCCTTCAGTGTAGCGGCCCTTGCCGTCAATTCACCAATGTCAATGCGAGTTGTGGTGTCCTCCATGTGTTCCTTGAAGGCTGTCTTCTTCGCATTTCTCGTGTCCACATTAGCCGGTATTTGTGGTGCCTGAAACGGAAGCCTGTTTTGAGAAGGCTCTGAACCAGCTCTGGGGTTCTCGGTCGTTGCTGTATCGGTGGATTTTGACCTCGGGCCCCCGGCTCTCGAAGACGACCTTACCCATTGCTCGCTTATCAACTCGGCAGACCGTGGTGACCATTTCTCAATAGCAGATAATACCTCCGGAGATAGTCGTTTGTTTGGATTTCCTTTTGGCCATATCCGATAGTGCATATTTTTCGGGAAGGGCTTGTAAGGTGGCTCGACTGGCGAATATGATCTGGAGTGGCTGCGCCCGGTTGGGTCTCGGACACCTAGCGAGCACAGCAAGTTCTTCATGGACCCGCCGTCTTGGAACCAAACCACGCGGGACTTTAGAGTTCGCGGTTGCCAGTGCCTGATTGTTCGTTGATACAAGTCCTCGAAGTCGTTCTTGTATGCGCCGTTGGAGAACCAGGAGTGGGCGAGAGCTTCTTCTGCTGTCAATCGGGCATCCTCATCGAGCAGCAGGAGCTGTTCAACAAACTCCTTCGGCCGGGGTCTGACCGCCTGCCATTCCTTTGACTCGCGAAGAAATCGCAAGTTGCATTCTCGAGCCAGCCGCTCCGAATAAGTGTTTGTGACAGGATCGCAGAAAGCCAGGCCCCCTGTGAGCAACACGACTGATATACAACCCACTGCCCACATATCCACGGCTCGAGTATACCCCGGTGCCTCGCGCTCCAGATTGCTTCGTGCAAATCCCAATATCTCGCTAGACGCAGTCAGCAGATGCTTGTTACAGAATTGTATGTCAAGACGTACGGCGCTGCATATTCGCGGGTGCCTATGATGGACGACATCCGATGAAGCCTACCCTCGATTCTCCGGGCTGCTCCAAAATCTGTGAGCACGACTCGACACCCCGCTGCCAGACTCGTCATGAGAACGTTGTCGGGTTTGATATCTCGATGGACGATATTATTGGTGTGCAGAAAACGCACAGCCACCAGAACCTGTCGCACGATGACCGCCGCCTCGACTTCAAGTAGTTTCCCATTCTTCAGCTCAATGTAGGAAAATAAATCACCGCCGGTAATGAGATCTTGCATAATGTATCTGTGCTGTCAGTAAGAATATCGTACGTGGTTGACTCTCTCACATTGTATTGTCTGTGATGTACACCTTCTCGACGCCTACGATATTCGGCTGCAGAATCCCAAGTCAGTGGCTTCCAAGGTGTCTGGCACGAGACATTACATGGCTAATTGAAGAAAGAATTTCCACCTCACGATAATAGGCACATAGCTTCCGTTTCAAGGTGTTCTCTCTTTTCTGCTGTTTGGCCCACGCCTTGATCTTATGCTTCTGGGCTATGGTATCGACCTCGTCAGCTGGAGCGGGCTCCTCTCGCCGTCCGAAGTGCGATAGCGATCGCGGGCCGAGCTTTCGCAGGTCGACGACCTTGCACGCAACCTGACGTCGAGTCGTTTGTTCGACGGCCATGAACACTCGACCAAAGGTGCCCGCACCTAGCAGCCTGTCGGTAAGAACGTAGTCTTTGCGGAATTTCTGCCTCTGTCAGTACGTGCTTTGGTCGAGATATTTCTCACCGTACTCTCATTTCAGTCTCCTGCGTATGGTCAAAAATCCCCTTTGTTGCTCCACCAACAATGGCTGCGAAGGTGAGGTATGTCTGGCGGCTCAGCCGTAAAACATCACTGTCACTTAGAAGAAAACCCCCATTGCCCTTGCCCATGAGAGATCCGTTCCAGAAGGTGCCATTCTGGGACAGGTCTTCTGCGTAGACTAACGTGTCAATCTCGCACGACTCATCGTTTTCGTAAACCACGGTGTAGATTCTCAAATGCCGTTTCGAAACGTAGGGATCGTTGAGCACATATTCACTGTTGTGTGAGCGTTGGTTCGACACGTAGCTCTTGGTCCTTACCAGCGACCTGTATCACGACCAATCACGATCTCGTGGTTAGGATATATCTTCTTTCCTGCAAGGGGCTAGTATAACCACAGACGAAGCAATTATGACAACGATCTTGGACCTACGACCCAGGACTTTGCCTTTCTGGTCCTTGTGAATGAGGACTCCGGCAGGGGTCGGCCTGGATACACTACCCAGGGTGCTGCCGATACGGTGAACACCAGAAGACGGAAATGTGGACATTGCAAAAAGAAAGAAATGCAGCAAGGAGACACGCGGTATTGAACATGAATCAAACACTTTCAGCAGAGACAGAGAAAAAGAAAAAAGCTTTGAGACGTCGTATTGACAGGCTCAATCCAGGCTTACGACAGAGACGCGATTCAGCATTCAGTCCTGTGGCTGGCCGACACCAGCATGCACACCGAAAGACACCGAAAGCAAGGGAGCAGGAGTGAAGACACCATTATTCAAGAATGAAGGGGCAACGTGATCGATGACCGCATTGAGACTCTAGCGCAGGCCAAACCTGTCAAAGCCGCCAAGGAAATTATGACAGCTGCACACAACAAAATTCCCCGCACAGTTTGCTCTCTGTTGTTTCCCGCTCCTTCATCTCATCTAGCAACCTCATCGTCGAAACCAATCTGTACGTTGCTCCCCCAAGTTCGCCGAGCAGAACAAAGACATGAGGAGCACATACTGACAGTTCAGCAGTCTCAATTGAGCGAAGATGAGAGCCAAGTGGAGAAAGAAGCGTGTTCGTCGCCTTAAGCGTAAGAGGAGAAAGACCAGGGCCCGCAGGTATGTTTCTCAATGCTCAAGTCGCCCACACAGATGGTCATCTTCTAACGGTTGCCTACAGCAAGTAATCGCGTCAACTGCTCCATCGCGTCTCCTCTCTCGACCAATGTCAACGGATCTTCAACCAGTCGCTAGTTTTCTCTCGACGTCGCATTTCGGCACCAACTAGCCCCCTCGACCGCAGTCAATTACGAAGCGTTTCTGTCACCTGTGGTTTTCATGGAAGAATCGGCCTTGCAAACTGTCGGACTTTCACGTATGTGATGTTCACGTAAGAGGAGTAGGAGATGGTCAAATTTCAATGGAGCTTTATGGCGGGTTGCTTATGATGCCGGGAATACAGCAGAGAGGTGTTGGTACTCAGGACACCTCGGACAAAGCGCATGTGTCCTATGGCTCTACGTCTCCCACAAAGCAGAGCTTTTCACCTAACAAAAGGTCGTCCAGTGTCGTGACATGCAGTGGCACTCAAGTCAGGACTTAGATAGTCAATACGATCAATTGAGCTCTGAATGTGCATTTCTCTATACCCAGTGTCATTCGTTTTTGGGGCGCTTTCATGTAGTCTGTGCATAGGAGAATGGCCAGGACTGGTAAATTCAAAATCTGCATTCGATCATTGACGGTGAGGTAGGACTGATTTCGCCAGCAGGAAGCATACTGCTTGCGAAAATGGCTGCTTGTCCACCAACTCGAAAGCCCTGGTTAATTTGACTGGCTGCACCACGACAGCTTGCGTTTGTTTTAGCAAGCTCACCCTGGCACCCTTTAGGAGGTTGCAAAGCAGTCATTATACAACGTTCGATAGCTCGATCTGTGCGGAGTGACGAAATCCCAATCCCGTTGTGTGCAGAGCGTCCCCACATGAGGTCGGTAAGAATATTTGGCAATCCGGCTCATTAGCTGGTTCTCTACCGAGTAGTTCGAAGGCTTTCTCCTGACGCACCCCCTCGAGAAGTACACAGATTCAGGTGAGACGTCCCAGAGCTGCGATATCTTTTATTTCGCTGTCAATCGAGAATGCAAGGTTTCGAGCTATCGAGCTCCTGAAGTTACAACACAATGCTACCCAGCTACCAGACCAACGAACTCTTGCTCGACACGGCCATCCTGACCGTATGATGGGGACACTCTTCGCCAAAGAGCATTTGACAAATTGCCTTAACAACGGGATCGAGATACGTTTCCCTGGAAATGAAACCAGTGGATAGCAATGGCGACATGAAGCTATCCACTCCGGCGTGTTCCCCAGCGGAGCTATGTTAAAACCAGATGGGTTTCGAGCAACCTCTCCCGGATATCCCAGCAGTTCACAAATTATAGCAGAAATGCTAGTGCTGCTGCGGCATATGCCTCGATCCCAACCGACAACGTGGGTTGTATCACGGGCGCGAAGAAGGCACTGTGATTTCCTAGTGTTCACGTTAGAAACGTCCAAAGGGCCTGCACCAGGAGGATAAACTGAAGGTACCAGGAATGTCTTCCACCTTTCCGTCGCGCACTGCATCGTCCCACAGCCGGGCATCGATTCCGCCATAGTTCCAGAAGACGCTTGGGATTGACAGAGGGGATGTTAGGTTGGCGAAATCTTCGCTCCCGGTGGAGATTGTTGCGTCTGTGCCGAAATTGGCTCCAAAGTGGTCCGTCATCGCTCGCGAAACGATGTCAGTGGCGGCTTCATCGTTATAGAGCAGCGGAAATGATCCAATGTGCTTGATGAGCGGTGGCTTTGGGCTGCCAAAGGCTCTGCACTCGGCGTCGACAATGCGCTTGACCGCCTCTATCACTTTCTGCCTGGTTTCGGAGCTGAATGTTCGGATGTTGATTTGGAGTTCAGCCTCATCACTGATGACATTCGCCGCAGACCCTGCATGCAGCGACCCGACCGTGACCACGACAGTTTCTCGTGGGTCGGTCTGGCGGCTTACGATCGTCTGAAGCTTCATTACTGTGCTGCTCGCCATCACCACAGGGTCGACGGCGTGGTGTGGGCGACTCCCATGGCCACCACGGCCATAAAGAGTCACCAAAAAACTATCGGCGGCACTGCCCATCAATCCACTACGTGTCTTGATCGTTCCTGTTCTCATAGGCATCACATGGCCGCCCAAAGCCACGTCGGGTATCGGGATACAATGTCCGGTCTCTACAAACAGGCCATCATCGACCATAGCCTGCGCACCAGCACCTTGTTCTTCGTTGGGTTGAAACAAGGCGATGACAGTACCACTCCAAGCCTGGCGGCTCCTATGCAGAAATTCTGATGCGGCGAGTAGGGACGCCATGTGCAAGTCATGGCCACATGCATGCATAACATATGTGACGGAATCATTCTCATCCACGGCAGTTCGGGAACTCGCAAATTCCAGACCAGTGCGCTCTTGAACGGGCAGGGCGTCCAGCTCTGCCCGCAAAAGCACAGTCTTGCCTGGCCCGTTCCTGAGGACGCCGACCACTCCATACCCGCCGATGCCCGTGCGGACATCAAACCCTTCCAACTGTCTCAGGTGGGCTGCCACGACCTCTGCAGTATCCTTTTCGCGCAGTGAAAGCTCGGGGTTGGCATGAAGGAACTGGTACAAAGCTTGGTACTGGTCCAGGTTCGGAATATGCTGAGCGATGAGCGTCGACACTCTTGAGCGTGCCGGGTCGGTATGCTCTACCATGTTTGTTGTGCTCGAGACCAGCCCTAGTCGGGACTTGACAGGCTTTCGGTGGGTCCAGGAGGGGCTGTTTGAGGCAGGATTGTTGATTGAGTCGACGCACAGACTATACAACAAGGTTGTTGAGTTCTTGTTTCCCAGTGTCGTTGCTTTGCAACCCTCATGATCCCAGTCCCCGTTACCGCTAAGCCCGTTCAGGAAGAATGTCTTTTCACAACGTTACACAGACTTGCCAAGCCATGTGTCACCCATTCCTGCCCATTCCTGCCCAGGGCCTTAAATTTCGACCAAGCTGCGGCAGATCTCGCTCGTCCAGAATGAAATGAACTGAACACTGCCAACATCCTGCCGTGCCGGACTCATTCTGTATCTCTCTCTGCTCCCCAGTCGTGGCCCCCCCGAAGATGTCGGAACCACTCGCCTATCCCAAGACCAAGAGCACCACGGTCAATCGCTATAACGCCAGAGGTGAGCAAAAGCCATGTTGTCATGGCAGACTGTGCACTGACGGCCGGCTGATTCATTGTCGGCTACACAGCCACGTACGATGTCAAGGCTATTCACTCCATCGTCAACGAAAGCTCGGTGCTCCATGTCTCCTTTGCTCCTGACGCCGAGGATCCATTCCCGGCCGTGCTGCCCATGATCGGGACCATGGGTTCCTACGACTATCCGAGCGCTGGACTCGACGAGCCCCTGGATTGCTACCTGCACGGCTACGTCAGTTCCCGCGTCATGAGGCTGGCCACCTCTTCACCCCAGGGTTTGCCTGTCACCATCGCAGCTACCAAGGTCGACGGACTTGTTCTCGCCCTCACGCCCAACGCCCACAGCTACAACTATCGGAGTGCCATTCTGCACGGCTATGCCAGGATTGTGGAGACAACGGAAGAGAAACTGTGGGCCATGGAGCTGATCACGAACTCGGTCGTCCCCGACAGATGGAAGAATTCTCGCGTTCCACCGGACAGCGCAGAGATGCAGTCCACGAGAATCCTCAGAGTCAGAATCACCGCAGCCAGTGGCAAGTCGAGAGAGGGTGGGCCGCATGACGAGCCGAAGGACACTACACGGGAGGACGTGACAGGGAAGACCTGGGTGGGAGTCGTGCCCGTGGTGGAGAAGTTTTACGAACCGATTCCAGCCGCCGACAACAAGGTCGACGAACTGCCTAAGTACATCGCAGACTACGTTGCAGAGGCCAATGCGAGGGCCGAGGGGTACGCGTTGAATGCTGCTCGGCTGCCCTGAGAGTTGCAGGCCCTCTGAGGTAAAAGAATGGTGTTGCTGAGAACGACACCACCGTCGCCGGGCGTTGCAGCAGCGAGGCTAGCAATCATACTCATTCGGTAGTGAGAACCCCACAGAGAGCAAGAATATTACTGGTCTACTACACTTGTATCCAAGACAGCTCTGTCCCTTGCGTCAGTCAGTAGGAACGCATGCTACCGCTTTCTAGTACTGGAGCAGAGTAGAAGGTAGAGGGTTGGAACAGCATTTGTACGCTTCGGCCGTTTTCTGAGAGATCTGAGATTTCGATGTGGGTGCAATTCAAACTGCATGGAGCGCAACAGCGAGTATGCATTTCATTGACTTCAACAAATTCCTTGTTCGTCGGTTCTCCCGCATTGCATCGGGCAGAATGAAAGAGGGAGGGAAAAACTACTCGTGACACTACATAACTTCCTTCCTTTCTTCCTTCCTTCCTATCCCCAGCTCTCCTGGGCTGGGTCGAGTCGCTCACGCGTCGACCGGATACCCGTGTCGGTCTGCGGCCTGCCACGCCGGACTGGCGTGATACGCGGCGCGGACGGGGGCGAGGATCTGGTTGAGCGCGGCGCTCACGGCGACGATGATGTCGTCCTCGGACAGTGTCTGGTCGTGCAGGTCCGTCGCGATCTGCTCGAAGGAGCTGTAGTGGCGGTGCCCGTCACCCTTGTTGCCGGAGCTGAAGGTGAAGACGGTCCCCTCGGGGGCGGAGGGGGTCCAGAAGGGCTCAGACAGTTTTACACCGCCACTGCCATCACTCTTGCCAGTTGGGCCTTTGCCGTGCTCTGAAGAAAGAATAGCCTCCACCGCCGAGCGCTCCATCAGCAGCTGGCTGAAGGGGATCAGGACGTCTCTCAGGGTCGCCAGGACGCCGTTCTTGGATCTTTCCCTGCTCGAGAAGTACCCGGCCCGCACCTTTTGGTTGACGGTGTCGACGTCGTCGAGGAACATGATCTTGGTGTGGGGCGGATGCGAGGACGACATCTTGTCGCCGAACAGGTTCGGCAGCATGGGGTTCATGAGGTGTGTGCGGTTTCGGTATCCGAGCTGGGGCAGGAAGCGTTCGGCGAACTCGAAGATGCCGCGCTTGTTGTGAACAAATCAGCCGTTGGATTGATTCATCAGCGCTTCAAGAATTGTGGATATTTTCGAAGGAGGTGAAGAAGGGGGGAGGGGGAGGAATTGAATCATTTTCATGTACCTGGTCCGTTCCTCCGAACTGGAAATCAACGTCCAAGTGCTCCTCCGCCAGCGTCTGCAGGCCCGGGCAGAGCATCGGCGCCAGCATGTCCGGGTTGTAGCTGCGGTCCCAGGCGTCCTTGACCGCCTGCTGGGGCACCAGAGTGCACAGCCTGCACTGGTCGAAGAAGAAACGGGCGTTCGTCTGATACGAGGATTCGGTGACAAACTTGATGTTCGTGGACGGGATCCCCAGGGCTTCCAGCGCCGCCTCGACGGTGAATCGATAGTAGTGCATGCGTTGGATGACTTGTTCCATGGGGTACTTGACATTGTCAAGGAAAGAGTAGACGTCAAGGAGGACCACGATGATCTGGTGTTTCCGTCAGAGCCAGGCATCGGTCAAAAGGGGCCGCAAGAGAACTCTCACCTCAGCCCCAGCCGACAAGAAATCTGCGAATTTCAGAAGTGGAATGAGATATCCGATGTGTGCTTGAACATTCGTCTCAGCCACCCGCTCGTCGCGATTGATGTTGCTTCAACTCACGCTTCCCTGTCGGCGATGTGACTGTGATCCTCAATCAGAACCTCTATTAGGCTGAGTGAGCCCGACATACTGACCCCATAGCCCAACTGGCCTTTTACCCTCTCTTGCAAGAGCGGCATGGAGTAAATCAGCACCATAGATGTTCTCCTCGGGTATTCTTCTGGTGATCAATTGGAAGTTTTCATCGAGTTTACGGCGGCTTGCCATGTTCGGGGCTGTGGAAGGCAAGGCCGAGAGAGGCTGTTGAAAGGGAGTGAGTCAGTGAACCAGAGTCTGCCAGTTTTGCATGCAGAGTTGATGAGTTGTTTGTTTTGAAGAGGTTTTCTGCGTACACTTTTACCCGATATCTGCGTCGTCAGGAGCAGCCCTGGCTGGTCGCAACCCGTCTGCAAAGGGCGACCTAACAAAGTTGCTTACACCGCGGGCTCAAATGACAGGGGCCTGAAAAGTGTGTAACTCCTGCAGTTGATACACCATCTCCGTGGAGCAAAGAGGCGTAGAAGCTTTGTGGGTGGAATGCTGGTCAGTGTAATTCATAGTGATTTGGTGCCTTTCCGTAGGCAAGCATCTGCATCGCGTCCGAGCGCACATGTCGTGAAATGAATAACCATGTGACGTGGAGGCTGCTTCTCGGCCCAGATGGACCATGTGTAGTGTAACAGAATTGGAGACACCCCATAAATGCTAGAGAGAAGAAGTTACCCTGAAAGAACGAAGATTCGGCCTCTGTCCATCCGTGGACGGGTCCTATGGGTCTGCCAACCTCTGAGTTGTCGGCATCTCACCATCAACGTCCAGGGAGGTATTGCTGAAGTCCTCCATGATGGCTCGACAAAGCTTTCCATAGGGAACAAGATCCCACACGATGGATCCTCTTTCCTTCAATAGCCGCCGGTGCTGTGGAATAGCTTTGACATGTTTGATTCGACGCGGTGTCCATGTCTCCAGTTGCCGAGCATACTGTTCAGCCCATCTCTGAAGGAATGCACTGTTCCACCAGAGATCATTCAGGGGCCCGCCGACAATGACAATATTTGCTTTGGAAGCGACCGGCAACAGGTTGAATGGCTGCAGCAAGAGGACGCAGTTCAGTGGGCCTCTGTCAAGGTCATCTTCATTGACATGCAGAGGCGGCGTCATACGCGGCATGGTACCGTCGCAGCGTATGTTTACACAAGGTATGCGAGCTGCTCTGCCCAGAGACTTGCACAGCGAAACCAAGCCATCCCAGAGGTCGGCGATGGATTCAGGGTACTGGAAAGGATTGATGTCGAATCGGAGGGCGGTTTTGGCGAAGTCCACCCCGTGAAAGCACGATACATTGCACTCGAGGCGCCCCGTGTCATAGATGGCAGAAAAACAAAGTTCGCGGCTGCACAACATCTCTCGAACCTCGCGGTGCATTTGGTGGTTACACAGCATGACTCGCATTGGGCAGCAATGCTGACAGTCTCGAGGGGTAGCATAGACATCCACAGAGCCCCGGCTCCGAGAACAGAGTGCGTGAGAGTAGATCACGTTCCGTATCTCTCTCGGTAGTTGGAGGAAAAGCGAAATCCCAGGCTGAAGTGATGTGTCGTTGTTGTGTTGTGGCATGGTCGTGTCACGGTGCTTGAGCGTTGACAGCCGGTCATAAGCGCTGCTGATGCATTGTTGGTACTGGGAGCCCTTCAAATGGAGCTGGATGCATATGACATGTGCCCTAGGAGTGATTTCGTTGCACAGGGAGAAGAAGAGTCAAGACAGCCGGAGATGCATCTACGGTACTTATGAAGGTGTGGAGAGAAACAGCGGGGCAGTTGGGCGTACACGGCGACAGTCGATTGGTGCGGAGTGTGATAGCCAAGAACGCCAAGGGTTGTAATGACAGTGGTAACTCCCCGGCAAGAACTCTGTTACCATGTCGTGAGACGTCGCTTGGGACATATTCGCAGTCAAGCATGTGCTCTTCAGGTTTTAGAAAAGGGGTGCGGCTTGAGGCCATGCAGAAGGGAGAGTATGTGTTTGATTCGTCCATGAGAGAGACTCGCCGCGCCAGCAGGCCACGACAACCGTGGTTCGAACCTCACTATTTCCTCCACATATCACGCACGGCATGCTCGGGTCGGAGGAAATAGGAAATGTAATACCGCTCGCCTGCCCCATCTCCGGTCTGAGTCACACGATGCCTAGGCGAATGAAGCCGATTCTGTGACAATCGCTGCAACGAGTCTGCGACATTGAAGAGGGCGTGCCTCGGCATAGGCGGTGGGAATGTCCAGTCACCACCACCAGGCTGCTCCGCTTCGAGGCCCCATCGTTCATAAAACAACATTGTCAGCGTGCCACTGTCGGTGTGCACGTTATCTCCAACCTGGCTTAATTTGTCCAGTGTAGGCTCTGATATGAGCTTTAAACCCGAGTCGCTGGCTTCTCCTTCGACATGTTTTGATTCCAGTGTTTGGCCGTCGTGCAGTCCAAGACCGTCAGAGAGGCATGACAATACCGTAAGGCACGTGGAGTGACAGAGCCTCGAAAACAACTCCACAAGTTCAACGTTCTCCTCCATCACTTTAGGGAGCGGACAAGTGTTTTGGAGAAGTTCGTCGTACGCCATCTGGAAAGTTGATCATCAGCAAAATTCTGAGAAGAGGGTGGGAGGTGTCGGCTCAGCTACCTCAAAGGTTTCATCGCAGCTGCTTTGTTTATAGCTAAATAGGTCAGTTAGCCCTTGCTACGATAAAAGCCACTATTTGGGACTTACCCGCGATCTTGCGATGGATTCTGCCCAGCTCTGTAGAATTTCATTTTCTCCTCGCTTGACTGGTGAAAGAACTGGTCTGAGATGCGGTAGATGTCTGGCAACATGGAAACAATTTGGCTCCCAGCGGCATCATTCTGAAGGTCCAGGTAGAAGAAACCAGACAAACGAGCAGCCTTGAGCAATTTCTCCACCTCAGTCGACTCGTGTAGACGCAAGCCGACCAGGTCAATGACCTCAAATTTGGAAATCCTGGCCGGTTCCTCACTCATTCTGAAACCTGAGATGGGAGACTTTTCTCGGCGGCAATGCCAAAAGATGGGTCACTCAATATAGAATGGTTTTGAAAACTGAAAGGAACGTAAGAAATTTGAGAAATCGCCCGACTTTTCTGGATGACTTCGTACTGGTTGTCACTAAACAGATGGTTGTTCGAGGAGCCAACAAAGATTGTTTTGAGGCATCCAATAGATTCCTGTCACTTCACTTTTGACTAGATCCTGCAGATTACTCTGTCCTGGAGAGCCGGGTGTTCCATACATGACACATTGCAATCATGCCTAGATGGGCCGGAGGCAGATGCATGGAAGAACAGCCCAATTGAAGACGTCAACTAAAGGGATGTCGTGTCTCTCTGGTATGTAAAAATGGTGGCATGCCGTGTAGCGATGATATCGTCCTCGACTCCTGGCTTGAGCGGCCCTGAGGTCTATTAGCGCTTTAGAGCTGCAGTATATCGATGCGAATTTCTTTTTCGCTCGTTCCAGGCCCAGCTGGAAGGGCATGTGAAAATCAGAACACGAGGCCACCTCTCACTCGAGGAGCACGCGTACAGCATTAGTGAGGCGGTAGAGACGTTGCACAGAGATATCCCTGTCGGCATGCTCTGTGTTCAGGTTGCTCGTAGCCTCAGCATCTGCTGTCGATTGCTGCCCAAGGCTTATCAGTTCTGAGTGGGAGTCTCTAGCCCTTGTTGAGATCTGCAGAAGAGGCATGATATTCTCGGACGAAGGGACTGCATCAGATGCAGTCAAGGTTAGAATTTGTGTGAAAGGCCAATCATCCCATACCAGAGATTCTGGGGTAGTTGGTGCGAACAGTAATGGGGAGGATCCACCGATCAATGTGATCTATTCCCAGGATAGATGTTGCAAAGGTGAATCTAACCGATGTGGGCAAGTCAATGAAGTATATTATATCCGTGACGGTTTCTCTCCGCGCATGGCTACACAACACGCCTCTGTCCTGCGAACCTTTCTTCACTTTGCACCAACGCCTTGTTACACGAACATGGCCCCTCCGTTACACTTGATGGGGCCAATTAAACTGACGTGGTACCCGTGGATAGCCATGGTCGACTCGGTAAAAAACTTCAAGGACAGGGGTGACGCACAGCCTCATGCAGCGACTTGCAGGTGTGATGGATTTCGAAATGCGAGGACCGGGAGGCGGCTTGAGATGGGGAACGCAACGAAATTGAGGCTCAACCTCGGATCTGGCGAAGGTGAGTCGAATCTAGAAAGACCTTTACAGAGCATGGTTGGCTATCCATCGTCTTCAGCAAACCTTAGACCTCCTCTTTGTCTCAGGAACGTCTATATGGTATAATCTGCTCGTCAGGTAGCAGATGGAACCGTCCACACATCTGTGGAAGCTGGGAATTGGTATCGTATTGACACTGTTCGGTTTCCTCTATTACCTTGCACAAAATCCAGTCCACCATGTCAAACAATACCCGAAACCGTCGAAAGACTTCGCGGTATCGCACGCCCTAGCCTTACGAGCTACGAAGCGACTGTATCATCAATTACAAAATCTCGAAGAGCTTCCCGGTGCCCGAGACTTAGCACGTCAGTGCTTGGATTCGCTTCTCGCCCACACGAGCATTTTGGCTCTCCAGCTCTGGAGACAAAACAGAACCGGAAAGGCGAACGGCAGCATTCTTTGCCTACAGAACTTCTCGAATGAAGGATTACGGAGCTTTTTGGAGGTGACAAATACCGAGATCCAGGATGAGTGGGAGAGTTATATCCTCGCGAGGAAAGCTGGACGCCCGCGAGAGTTATTCCAAACCGCGGACGAAGCTGCCCAGTGGATCAAAAAGATAAGCCCAGTGAAGCTCATCGACGGGGCGTGGCTGGGACATCTACGTCTTAGCCTGATGCCCTTCACACTTCACCCTGTTCTCAAGGACCTCTGGCAAATCCTCTCAGAAGAGCTGGGTGATGGTGATTTGGCCAAGAACCATGTTCACGTCTTCAAAGAGTTGCTTCGGAGCGTCGACTCCAAGTTTCCCGACGCCGACCATGAAGACTTCATCCATTCCAAAATCTTGACCGACGACATGTCCATCTGGAACTCTGCGCTCGCACAGTTGACCATCTCCCTCTTCCCCGAAGATTACATTCCCGAGATTCTGGGATTTAATCTGCATTTTGAGCTTGTAACGTTGGAGACGCTGAAAGCTACCAAGGAGTTGAAGGAAGTTGGCCTCGATCCAACCTACTTCTTCCTGCATGTCTGCATTGACAACACGGACTCTGGACATTCGGCTATTGCATTCCGCGCAGTGTGCAAGTTTATGGATCATATTCGTGAAGTCGAAGGAGAGGCAGCGGCTGGACGCTGTTGGAAGCGTATACAAAGCGGATTTTGCTTGTCGCAGTTCTCCACCAAACTGGACGTTCCCACAGACACTTTCCTCCCAAGGGAGCAGGAATTAAAGATAATCGATCTGTTGACCAGCAAAGTCCGAGCTTCCAGGAAGGTCCATTGCAACAGCCCTGCACGTGTCAAAGGCCGCCTGATCGGGGAATGGTTGGAACCTGAAAGGTGGGACTCTCCTAGTTGGCGGGTTGATTTCTTGGAGGCTTTCACTCGCACAGAGCAGTGGATATATCCAGGTGACAGTCATCGGAGCGGATTCATCCAGGTCATTTCTCTGGGAGGCAAGATGTTCGGTTCATTCACAGTGAACGAATGTCGGGTTTTGAGAGAGTGGATTGACAACCTGTCACCGAAGCATGATGTGAAAAGAGCAACTCTTCGGGATGAGGCACAATGGCTTTTGTCCGGGCAAGCTTACCTTGAACCAGATGTGATATTGTCGGCCGAAATATTTTCTAATGATTGCCTTGTCTATGAGAGGATCTTGCCCCTTTGGTTTGCAGCTTGCAGCTTGCTGGAGGGTTTCATATCGATCCCAACGAAAACCACCACGGCACTGGCATTGAGCGTGCTTAAAGTACTGCGAGTACAGAACGGGTTCCGTGACGACCTCGAACATGGTATCTCCTCAACAAATGCAGCGGCTGAGAGAGACACAACCTATAGCTTGGCCAGCATAGGACTAGCCATGATGCAATCTGCAGGGCTTTCGCCCATGTCTTCTCTCGCTCAAGTTCTTGAGACGTGGCCGTTACGTTTCTCATCAATGATGCTTGAGCTGTCCAGAAGACCTGAAGACAACAAAGCTATTCTCGTGGGTATGGCCCTGGCATTTGCCGAGTTTCATGCTCAGGTGAGCTCTTCTGACGTCCTGGGCCGGACCTGTAGCGATGCACTTCGGATCATTGCTGAGGGTGAGATCCAACACTTGAGCTTTTGTCGGCGACTTCTGGCAGAAGAGGAAGGATATCGATATCAGTTCGAGGCGGGATATAATGCTGCGCATACAGAGATTCGCAAGAGCATCAGGCACGGGCACAACGCTAGCCAGCGTGGATTAGTTCAATAGTGGTAGGGACAGCAGACGGCAATACATATGACCACCCTCATATCTACCTGACCCTTCGAACGACCCCGTCGTTAATTGGGACTGAGTTGCTGTCTTCCTGGAGTGCCGAAACGAAAGACGGAAAGCTTGAATGAGGAGCAGAGCCTCCTGAGGCTTGTGAGAGTGCGTTTCTCCAGGATCCTCTAGTAGTGTTCTGCCTTATAACGTCTGCTGTGGGATGCCTCTGTACATACTGTGCCTCTCAAAGGGTCCTTTCTCTCCCGGTTGTGCATCGCTACCATGGTGGTGCACTTATTGAAGTGGGATACCCAAGTTTGATGGAGGGCAGGACTGAGTGTCAATCTTCCGTCTAGTTGAAGGAGCCCCCTGCCCTTGCAGGCTCGAGGTGACTAGGACAGTGTCCTCGGCGCAATGGCGATAGATATTAATATCTGACCTTTCCTGTTCCGGTACTCGGCACTTTCTGTTCTCGGGTAAATATGGGCGCTTTGCTGAGTCAATGATAACTAAGCCGCACCGGTGGCTGCGGTGGCTGCAGTGGCTTGTCACGTGCTTGTCACGTACGCACTCTCATTAGTCCCGTGTGTCAAGTCCGACCAACGCTTACTCCGGTTCTGCTTACTGGCAGTCTTTTCGTGCTGTTTCCCGCTCTAAGGAAAACACGAGGAGGCGTTCTATCCTCTATCCTGCATCGCTGATTCACTTGGGAGGATTCGAGTCTCAAATAATGGCTTGCTCCGTGGATAGCCTGAAACCCAAGCGACGGCCGAAATCGCCGCTTGTCTTCCGGAAGCATATTAAGATCTGGCGTGCAACGGCTGCACCCTCGCGGACTGTGCAGGTGAGGGCGGCAATTCCCTTGTTTTACGAGAGGTGTGTCTGACCACGCCACCCAACGTTTGTAGAAATCACGCCCTCAAGCCGAGAAAGGGAGCCCCAAAATGGCAGGATCGAATCCCCACGACAAGCCGCCTGGGTCGGTGCAGGCCAGATGGCGGTCTCCGCCAATCCGGGAGATCGATGCGGTTCTGGACCCCTTCTGCAGGTTCGCGGCCGACGTGCCCGCAGAGAGTCGTCGACTCCTTCATTTCTGTCTGTTGATTCGGCCGCTGCCATTTCCCTGAAGAGAAGGGCAGAAAGCTAACAGGACAGATAGACCTTACCACGATTTCTGGCGCCATCTATGGGACCAATCGCAATCCAGCCTTCAGTCCTGTCCGAGATGTCAGTTTTGTGGCGGCGTTGACGTCCTCGTACACGTTGGAATGGATGGTCATTTCGGCAGAGGCGTTGCTTACCCGCTACAGGGGCGCCCCGGAACCGCCGTCATTGTTTCGGCGGAAGGCTGCTGCGTACGTCTCGCTCCAGAAATATCTCGACAACTTCTCGAAAGAAAAGGTCACGGATGACTTCGTCAACGGCCTCATCATGGCCATCATTGTCGAGTCGCGTATTGCAGGCCCGCAAGCCTCGAATGTACATCTGAAAGCCTACGAAGCAGTCCTGAGGGCCGGGGGAGGCCTCAGGCGGCAGGTTGCGGCTTCGCCACGCCCATTTCACCAGATGAGCAACTTGATGCCATACCTGATCTGTGAGCCTTTGCCGGATGCCTTGGTCTTCTCCGAGGAGTTCGAAGACCAAGCGATGGATCTCCTCCTGACCATTGTGAAAGGCGAGAATACGGTTGATCCGATGGAGCTGATTTTCACGGCGTCTCATCATTTCGCACGACCTCAAGTATTGTTCCTGTCCCTGCGAGGATCCCTACCCGAGCAAACCCGACGCTTGCTCGTTTTCAGCGTCATCGCGCCGTACCTGCGCGTTGACGCATGGGAACAACGACTTTATTCCCAGAAGTCATCGCACTTCATTTCGCTCTTTCTCCTGGTGTCAGCCTTCTGGAAGCTGCGGCATGATCAAAAGTCCCAGACCACACTCTTCAACAACTTGTACCGCTTGTTCATGAATAGTGCCACCAAAGACAAGGCGGGCACCTGGATGCTGACCGGCGAAGGATTCTTTTGGGTCGTCGTCAAGGCGTGCTTTGACGTGTACACCAGTATGAGTGACAGGCAGGTGATGCTGAAGAACTACATCGATTTTCTGGCTGATGCTGTCTCTGCGCTAAAGCTTTTCAGGGTCACTGATGACAACCTCAGATTAAAAATGACCGTTTACCTCTACCAATGCCTCACAGGAACAGATGAAGAGCTGGGTTGAAGGTCGTCTAACCTCCATGCCACTCAGACGATGTTTGTCAGCATTAGGCCCGTTGAGTAATCTCGGGTCGCTTGCCGGCGTGAACCATCGCGACAATGAGTCTTCAGGCTCCGGTTCGATTAGTCAAAAGAAGGCTCCATCCATCAAACTCAACACGCAACCTGGAAGATTCCGAAGCTGCACACAGCGAAAAGACGTCCTCTCTTAGCAGCCCCAGCTCGGCTTGTTCGTCTTCACTTGGAAACGGGAAGAGAGATGGCCGAGATCGGTGCATCAAGTATCTGCATGGGGCTAACAATTGCGAGCTTCACCTTCGTGTGAACGGCCGCCTCGCCTGCAGAGAGGGGACGGTGTGATACCTCTCCTGGACTGGAAGGCACACGATATAGGCGTGTTATACGTGTTCCGATACCACCAGCAACCTGAAAGAGCGCACCACGCACCCACCCAGTTCATGTTAATATCAAATTCCTGCTTGTGATGACTGCGGAAGTCTTGCTTCCGGCAGGTCGTGGTCACGTCTCGATCAGAGCTGAAGGCTGCTTGTCAAGCACAGGGCCAAAACGGGTATACGGACTTTGTTATGTGTCGGAATATACCCGCCACACGTTCTGTGAGGGAATGGGTGGCTTTCCCTCCCCGAGTCCATCCAACAGTTGATGGAAGGGATTATAATCGCTTTGTCCAGAAGTGGTTTAAGGAAGATTGATGTCCATGGAGACTTGACTCGATAACGAAGCTGCGAATGGCGTCTGTCAGGAGCTCCTGGCTGGTTACTGGGAAGACAGCTGCAAAGGATTTCCTGAATGGCTTGCTCGGGTGTGTCCAAGAGTACTTGCAACTACCTCTAGATGTATGATGGCGGTATCAGACACAAGAAAGCTTCCAGGAATTTGTGGGCCATCCCGGCCCATCCGGATATGAGGATATTTGGAGAGAACGAGAATATGCACACAATTAAACATGCCGATCTTTCCAGGCAGAGAAACCCTCACCGGCTTTCTTCCTGTATAGTTCTGAAGGCAGCTTTAAACCTCCTTCCAGCGTGTCCACCTCAAGGAGCTGCAAACTTCGGTCGGCTAAGGCATCGGGATCTCGCCCAGGACATATTTTGAGCAATTGCAAGGTTGTACGGGTCAGGCCCTTTTACTTCGCCTGAGGGTATTTTAAAAATACCCTTAAACTATGCAATTGAAAGAAAGTCGAGATAGCTTCGTACTTGTGATATCGCCGTCGTTGCTCACAGTTTAAAGCTCCCAAATTGGCGGCGCTAGCTTGCCTAGAACTTCGGTTAAGTTGCCTTCAATCCACAAATTTTTTGGACGTTTTCGTTGCAAAGTTGGAGAAACTTCCTTGTCGACCGCATCACAGGATCGAGCCATATTTCTTGTGCCTGACACATTACGCAGATATGGCGGAGAAGAAGAAGAGAAAGGCGAGCTCCCTCGAGAGCGAACGGCCGGCCAAGAAGCCTCAAACAAGCACCATCAAAGTCACTCATTTGAGCGGCCCAGCCGTCGCCAAACCTGTGGTCGGTACGCATTCACGTCTTCCTCCAGTTTTCGTTGCTGGGCTGACTATAGGACGCCAGCTTCCTCGCCCGGTGTGACACTTCCCTCAAACCTCAGCTTCGACGTGTACTCGAAAAAGGAGTTGTCTGGGAGGTCCAGCCTGCTCCTCCAGTCCTCTGACCACCCTACGATTGACTATGTTGCGACCGAGAGCAGTACGACCAACGGCGGCGAACAGCATGTCAAGCACTATATTGCTGTCTTCGACCCGGCTTCGAATAAGCTCAAGGTGGTGGAAGCCAGACAGATGACGGTGAGAAGCACGGTGCGCCAGTTAGACAAAGAGGGCGATGACGGGGAAGACGATGCAGAAACGAAGCCAGCGGCGACTCCGTCTCGCGCGGCACTCACGCAGGCGTTCGGGACCAAAAAGTCAAAGAGAGCCGTGGCCTCGTCGGCCGAGAACCGTCTACTAGCCCGGGATGGAGAGAACAGGGACGACGCTGTCTCCAACGCCGTCCTGTCCTCGATCAGGGAGGAGGATGACCCGGACGTCGTGCTCGACGCCGGCGCCGCTTCTCGCGCCAACAAACCCCTCCCACAAGCCAACCTGGACACAACCGACATCACCCTGGTGTACGACCTCTCCTCGCTCGTCTTTCCGGGTCCGTACCGCACGACCCTCTCCCAGATGCCCATCGCCTACTGGCGAGAGTGTGCGAAGAACAAGAAATCCGTGTCGACGCACCTACGCTTCGTGGCGACCCGGATCGGCTACCTGACGCAACGGCACCTCAAGCAGCCCGACAACCAAGACATCTTGCTCAAGCTGCAGATCCTGCGGTATATTCAGCTCTTGGTGGAGATCCACAAGTACGTCTCGCACCTGCCGCGCCAACGACGCATCGCGCCGCCGGAGCAGTGGCCCCCCGGGACCACGTCGGACTCGGCCCTGTCGACCGCGTTCAAGGGGAAGCTGATGGCGCACTTCTTCCCCACGCGCACGGCCAGCACCTTCAACAAGACGCTGCTCACGGCTACCATCCTGGCGCTGACGCTGCACATCCCCCCCCCGAACTTCACGCCGGGAGACACCCCCAAGATGCTCTTCACCGAGCCGAGCGACATCACGCTCGACCTGGCCATGCCGCACGCCGAGGTCCACAAGCTGTACCGCGAACTGGGCTGCAAGATGGAGTCCATGACCGACGCCGAGCTCCAGCGCTACGGGTGGGACAAGGTCTCTAGTCGCCAGCAGCAGCAGCAGCAGACCACCGGCAGCCCCGTCAAGCCGCCCAAGCCCAAGTTCGCGAAGTTGAGGTTCCCCGTTGAATTCCCCCGGATCAGTACCGGACGCCCAGCTCGGAGGTAGGGACTCTGGCGACGCCCGCGGTACGAGACGGGGCGAATTTAACAGAGAGGAGAATCGAAATGAAAAATTGAATGACTTCGTTGCATACATATTGCACTTCGCAGTAGAGCACAGCAGAGCAGAGCAGAGCCGACATGCTCTATGAGTGGAAGAAATCAAAAGTAAGATAGCTTAGGCGCACAACGGGTTCAAGGAGATCCATGATGAACGATACGTCGAAAGGAAAACGATCAAAGAAGAGCGTTGAAACAGAAGCATTGGTGTAGAAAAGTCCCAAATGGCCACTTCATATGGCGATTGTAGATTTTCCTACGTCATCATCGGGCACAAGCACAGCCATATAGCTGAGCATGGTGGCCGGGAAGGTATATAATAGGCTGAAGAGCCGGACATTTGCTCCCAATCCAGTCCAGAGGAGGGAAGAGGGCAAAGACTTTCGAATATCAAAACGAGTTCGTGCCTCCTTTTCTGCATCTTCACATTCACACACACACACACGCCACCTCTTGTCATCCTGTTCTGCTCATGTCATGCCACATTCACCAACTCATACGGCGAGCACTTGTCTGTCAGAGAAAGCTCAAGCCGCAGCAGCCGCAATAGGCAGGACTCTTTCCTCGGCGGCCTCCTCAATCAGAGGCTGGGCGACAAGAGACTGCGCAGCCCTCTCGAGCTGCGCATCGGTCCACAAGGACAGCACGGGCTCGGCATCCTTGACGCCCACGCCTACAAACCCGCCCTGGGCCTCCCAGTCCTTGACACGTTTGATGTTCAAGCGGTTCCAGACATTCTCGAGCGCGTCGACGAGCTCGGCGCGCAGCTCAGGAGTATGTCCTGGCGTGGGGGTGATGCGGAGTCTCTCCTCACCCCTGGGAACGGTTGGGTAATTGATAGATTGTACATAGATGTCGTAGTCGGTGAGCAGCATATCAGAGGCTTTCTTTGCGGTCTCGGCGTCACCAACTAAGAGCGGAACAATGTGCGAGGGATTGGGAATCACCGGGATGCCCCTTGCGGTGAGATCCTCCTTCAGGGCCCGGGTGTGAAGTTGCTGCAGGCGACGATCTCCTTGGTAGATCGATTGATACTCGATCGCTGCACGGGCTCCGGCCATGGTCGCGGGTGGAAGAGACGTGGTGAAAATGAATCCCGGGGCAAGAGAACGGATAGTATCGACCAAGGAAGCAGAGCCGGCGATGTATCCACCCACACAGCCATATGCTTTACCTAGAGTTCCCGTGATGATGTCGATTCGATCCATGACAGACCCTTTCTGGGATTCTCGGGTTCTATTGGGGTTGGCGTAGACGTCGAAATCAAGGTGTTCAGCGACACCAGCACCCCGTGGCCCATACATTCCAACAGCGTGGACTTCATCCAGGAATGTGATGGCGCCGTATTTATCCGCTAGATCGCAGATGGCCTCAATGGGCGCAATGGAACCACACATACTATAGACGGATTCAAAAGCAATGATTTTTGGTTGCTCGGGCGGGAGGCTCGCGAGCTTCGCCTCCAAATCAACCAGATCGTTGTGCTTGAAGACCATTTTCTTTGCACCGGAGTGACGGATGCCTTGGATCATGGATGCGTGGTTCATGCTGTCACTCAGAATCACGCAGTCGGGCAATTTGCTGCCCAGGGTCGCCAAAGTGGCATCATTGGCGACGTAGCAAGACGAGAAAACCAGAGCGCCTTCTTTGCCGTGGAGATCAGCGAGTGTCTTTTCGAGTTCCACAGCATGCTTGTTGTGGCCAGAGATATTTCTAGTTCCTCCGGCGCCAGCTCCGTACATGTCAAGCGTTTCGTGCATGGTCTTCAGGACGTGCTTGTTACGACCCATGCCGAGGTAGTCGTTGGAGCACCACACAGTGACACGGTCGTCTTTTGCGGCCATGTGAGCACGGGGGAATTCCTTGGCAAGACGGTTGATGTTGTTGAAGTAGCGGTATGATTTGTCCTTGTGCTTCTTGTCGAGCTCGTTGTTGTAGAAGGCTTCATAGTCGAAACGTGGGGCAGGCGGCGCATTGGGGCGGGGGCCAGCATAGGTGTCGGGTTTGAGCGAAGCGTTCTTGACGGTTTGAGGAGGCGGAGCTGGAGACTGGTCAGTATGAAGGACATCCAAGGTTGACAGGTCGTGCTTACCTGGCTGAGGAGGCCGGAACATGTGGGTGTCCACGCTGGCTTTCTTTTCAGCTGAGGTGTGCAGTTTTTTCTCGAGCAAAGACTTGACCACGCCGGCACCGCCAGCGACATTGCCATAGCTGCGACGAGTATTGATGCGAGCGCTCTGGACGGCCAGAGCCTTGTTCATGACCGGGCATCGTCGGGCAATGAACTGCAAGTTGGTGATGGTGCCGCCACCTGGGGACTGGCGGGTCGAGGTAGACAAAGAGCGCAGGGTCGCGGGAGAGGTTTTCTTCAGGAAGGGACAGACGCCCTTGGATTGGTGCAGCAGAGCCTCCATTGTTGAATTCGTAAGGCAAGGAGGAGGATCGAGGGGTGTAGGGAGTAGGTTGGGATGGATGGAAAGTGGGAGAAGAAGTGAAGGACAAGCAGGAGGATGGAGTAATATTTGCTCGGTATTAGTGTGTACTTGGGTGGATGAAAATAGTAAGAATATGGGGTGCAAGCGGGAGCTGCGGCAGGGTTTGCCAGGGGGGCGCACCAGTCTCACCAAGCCAATCACAGGCCCCGCATTAGCACCACTCTCGCCCTTTATTGCCGCTTTCGGCCATCCTGCCATTTCTGTCAGCGGAATCTTTCTACCGAGACAAACTGCCAGGTCCAGGCACAGGCACGGATCTTGACTCGTCCCCGCGGAATCGGCTCTCTCCTGCTCTTTCTTCTGCAACGTCGGCAGCCATGACATGCCGAATACATGGTCTTCGGATCACATCGGAGGCATCGTGTCACGCTCACACGCACAATATAACGTCTGTTGCTATGCAACGGAAGACATGTGCAAAGGAAAGGGCTGCAACACGAAAAGGATCTGCAAATAGTGTTCAGGAAGTAAAAGAGGTTTAATGAGGTTGGAACGTCATCTGCCTCCTCAGACACATCTCTCAAATACCTGCCAAGGACCTGTGGGAGAATGAAATGAGCCTCAGTCCGAAGAAACGCCTTGCGGTCCTCAAGGTCTTTAAGACTTGATCTGTGCCACCCTCACGCCCTTGGCCATTCTAATACGACCCTCCAGTCTCGGTGCAATGGCCTAAGCACCAGGTCAGTGTTTGGAGCCATAGAGCATACACAACTGGGTCAACACGACCCACATCTCGTACTCACCTTCGTCCAGTCAACTTGAAACTCTCCTTCGCCCATAGGATCTACACATCCCGCTTCATGGCGCACACCTGCCAGACGACGCCATTTCCGTGTCACCTTCCTTGCAACCAGAGATTCTCGTTCGCTCAGCATATCCGAATGACTTCGCACGCGGTGATCACTTTCATCTTCCGAGTCGTCGAGGGGCGTCGTTGTGCCTGTCTTGCTGTGGATTCTCTTCAACTGATTTTCGTCCCCGTTGTCGAGATTCGGCTCCACCACCGGGTGCGTTTCGTGCAAGTCCTCGTGGATGGCGTTCCAATGCCGGCTCAAGCTTTTGCCCCAGTGTTTCCACTTGCCGATGATCTTTAAAGACATGAAATACTGCCGAAGCATCATGCTTATCAAAATACCGTTCTCTTCGGAGACAATTTCCTCGGCCTCACCCCCTTCCGATTTGACAAGCAAAGAGTCGTACCCGTCTTTGCCTCTGCCCATATACCCTCGTGTGACAAGGACATATTTTCTTTCTAGGTCCAATGGCTCACCGCCGACCTTGGTCCACTTTATTCGGTGGTGTGGTGGCAGTGACGGATCGAATTCGAATGTAATATTCGAGACCTGAGGGAAACGACCTTCCAGGGCAGGATATGAACCCACCGAATTTTCGAGAGCGGCGAGCAAGGCAGCTCCAGTGACTCGAATGACGATGGTCGGGTCCTCAAATGGGAAACTGGACATGGATCATCAGCAGGGCGATTCGAGGTATTCGAAACCAATGGCCACCCAAGGGGGCTTACCAGTTCATGATGTCTTTGAGTTTCAGAACCCCTGGCGGATATATTTGATCCCCGCGGATGGTGCCAGATGCCATGAGACAGCAATCGCCGTTGTAGTGCGCCCGCATCAGATCGCAAACAAAGTTGCCGATATTGGACTCCTTAAGTCGCACTGTGGTAAATCTCGCATCCAGGGGAGCAGCAGTATATCCCAGCGGCTTTTCCAGTTTTTCTTTCAGGGAGGCCGTCAGCTCGTCGACAACTTGTTTCATCTTCTCATCTTCGGGGATATCTGACACAATATCCCGTCGGACAATATGAAAGTCCCATCCGTTCCCGCCACTGGGACGGCGTCGTGCTTCGATATAGCTCAATTGCTTGAAGTCGCTTCCCGAGCGCAGAACATGAGTCCCGTTGATCAGCGAGTGTTGGTAGTAATGATCGTGTCCTCCGAGCACTATGTCTATCAGGCCTTCTGGCGTCTTTTTCGCGAGCTTGTTGTCGTTTGGCTCTCGCTGGTGGGTTAATGCTATAATGATCTCCGCGCCTTGTTCCCGCAACTTTGGCACCAGTTCTATGGCTGTTGCGGATGCTGATTTGTAGATCAAGTTTGGAGGCAAAGAGTTGATGGTATCCAACCACTCGCGTTCGACGAGGCCAATAACTCCAATCTTGATGCCATTGGATGACGTGAGAATGATGGTTTTCAATGCTTTTCCGAGAGGAACATCCGGGCCATGTTGCGGATCTGTAGATAGTCCTCAGCACACATTCACATTCTCTCCAGATCTAAAAAACGCGAACCCAAGACGTTGGCCAACAACCAAGGAAATGTGCATTGTCGTGCCAGACTTCGAAACTGTTTAACGCCAAAGTCAAGATCGTGGTTCTGGACCAGAGGTTAGTTGAGTGGTTGACGTGGTTGAAGTATACTATGGTTTCGTAACTCACGCCAACACAGGCCACCTGTGTCCCTATCATATTCAATACAGGTACCATGTGACTCCCTGTCATTGTCAGTGGCCTTGCTCGCGTGACCACTTCTGGGCGTGGACCCTGCCTTTTGTGACACTGCTCTCCAAGCTGGGATTGAAGGCATCTCCAGAGAACAGCGTGACCAAACCGGGCTGACCTGCGAAACGTTCATCGTCTCGGTAGTAGTTACAGACAGTCTGAAAGCGGGTGACACCGCCGACCGGTTCTCTGGAGAAGGCATCGAGATGATAAACTAGATGTTGGGAGTGTTAATTCCGAACTCGTCTAGGGGATGAAATCGCGTTATTTTGGTGAAAAACCCGGCCATACCATCGTTGAAGTGTAAGAGTCGAAGATCTGGTGGAGTGGATGTGTCGCCAGCGGTGTATGTAACCGCCTCTTCCATTCTTCGCTACGTCATCCGAGCCAAGATGTCTGTCATTCAAGGCCTGCTAAGAAGAAGAATGTGAAGAATGGAGCAGGGCTTCGAGACGATATGAAGAAAGAGGAGGCGGATCAGAAGTATCCCAGCTTTCGGAAGCAGTGGGAGGACAAGAATTGGCTCAGGTGCGACAACTAAGAACAGGGGGCGACGGATGATGAGGAAGATTGAGTATGTCAGGAATGCATTGGCGATGCCTAAATAGGGTCTTTCGCACCGACGAAGCTTACATAATGCCAGCGTGCTCCCGTGAGCCTCACTCAGGCTTGTTTTCCAGCGTGCATGTGGTTGTTTTGGGATGAAATCTGAAAGGAGCAGCAGTGAAGGCCGGGTAGAGATGGATATCAGATACTACTCCCTGGGGGGGTGAGTTGAAGGTGTCAACCATGCCTTGTCGACGGCGTGTTGACGAGTCTTGCTTGGCCCCGTCCGACCCAGAGGGAGAATCTTCCCAGTTGGCAACATCATGGATTGTGACACATGGGGTCTTTCGATTCTACCGGCATATCGAACTGCCACTGGGTATTTGGACGGCCCAAGGAAGTGCGCCGTTACAGAGAGGCTGGTGCCAAACACCCGGATGTGCGGACTGCGGTTATGCGTACCCTCATTTCGTCACGGGGCTTTGCTGTTCAGAGGGGGAATTGTTGGAGCAGACGACAGGCATTGAATAGACGATGGAGAAGTAGAAGCTGGAAGAGAATGCATCTGTGAATAGATACATCGTACGAGGTAATACTCCATGCTCGGTACATCTCCCCGCCGCCTCCCTTTTTGCCGAGAGGGATCGTCCATCAACACTAGCCTGGACGCGCTTTTCCCCCACGTCCGCTGGATGCTGCGAAATTTGTCTTCTTTCTTGCTCCCAGGTCTCAAGGTCAGTGCTTCCGTACCCAGTCAATGACATACAAGTACAATGCAGCTCTAACACCACTTGCAGGCCCGTGTCTCGATGCCGAAACAAAACCTCTTCACTACCAAGCTAAAACCCAGGTCGAGGGCACCCCAACGTCACACACGCAAGCCGTAAACCGGGTTCACGCAGCCTCCTCGACATGCTGCGCGTTCCCGGATCCCTGCGGCGCGTTTGTTTGATGTTTGTGGCCCGGTGACGCTTTTTTCAAGAACAGAGATCGAAGAGATGCCTGCCTTTTGTATATCACGACCTGGATGTTCGTCGAGAATACGACTTTTCACCCCTTTTGTTTCCAAAGCGAAAGCTTTTCTCCCTCTTTTCTCTCTTTCTCTCCTTCAACACGCGACTTAGAGCTACGTTTAGTTTTCTAAGCCGACACACAAACACGCACCCTCGCCCTGTCTTCGCTGAGATATGTGCGATTGCTAGTGCGGTAGGGCACGGTGCCTCATGTGACGAAGGGAAACTTGTGAAAGGAGAACACAGGCAGGCAGGGAAGCAAAGGGACAAAATTCGTATATCCACGTGCGACTGAGGCGATGAAGATATTGTGCACACAGTCCGAGGCGGAACAAGTCGGTCAAAAATACTTGTTTTCTGTACACGTGGTTGCAAGACGTTTGCGGCAGGTCCTACAAGGGGGAGATGGGAGCAGCTTCTGTTCTTCTTGCCAATGCAGGATCAGCCCGTTCGCCTGGCCCACAAAGCTGATGAGGACATGCTGAATCCAAAGAAAGTAGTTTTCAATCGGAGCCTCCCCACTTTTCGCGCTGCAAATGCGGCGGGTTGTGGTCACGATGGTCTACGGACGGACGCACTCTCGATACCTGGAAACTCTTCATCTGCCGTGGACTTCTGGGGTCAACCGGGAGAAGATATTCGCAGGAACTGTGGTCGAAAATGCATGTTGGGAACCCCAAACGACAGTACATTCGGGAGGAACGACAGGAGGAGTTTGCTTAAAACGAACGAGGATGGAAAAAGACCCGATGAAGACGAAAGTCCAATAAGCCAAATTTGAGACAGCCGAAGGAGAGTGTGTGCATCGTTGTTCTGTTCAAGACCACGTCACCTGTACTTCTGGCTATCAGAGCAAACATGAGAGAGCTTATCTGAGGGTTCAAACATCGCGTTCACTCGCACAGAATGGTCAAGATCGAGAGGGAGATCGGGGTATCGAACAACGACCGGTATGTACAGGAATTGCTTGCAATCACATCTATCAATCTAGCTAGCTTGCCTTGTCGGCAAATTTGACACCAGGACACAACCTCAGGCATTGCAACAAATCCTCGACCTTGACCCGGGCGAAGGCCTGGTTCAAGTCCTCCAGTCCGATGCCGACTAGTACATCGTCGCCCAAGTATCCTGTCCCCAACTGCGACAGGTACTCGACATCGTCATCCTCCTGTTCCTGGTTTGCCGCTGCAGAATGGGGCCGCCATGCCCATGCCAGACTGGGTGTGTAGGTGAAGTAAGCTTGGCTTTTGAAGAAGTCGTCCTCTTGTTCCGCCTCGTTCGCATACGGCTCTTCGTCGCCTCTCCTCACCACGCTTTCCTCCTTTTCATGTAAATGCTCCTGGGTGGCATTCCACCCCCTGTCCCGGGGATGAGGCCAGTTTTCCTCCTCCGTCCAGGGTCCTGCCTTCTCGTTCTTCATTAACAAGGGGAACCGACTTACCCCCAACAACTGGAACGGCTCCCGGCCCTCCCACACGACCACATATCGCTCATATCGCAACGGCAACTCCAACTCGTTGCTGAACTTCCGATGCATGATGGCAAAGTGGACGGAGCGACCGGTCGTCACGGCCGTGCCGTTGGCGTTGTCGTCATCTGTGCACGCAGAATCACTCCGTGCTTGCGCTCTTGTGCACAGGATCAATCGTAGCGAGTTGGAGCCTTGGTGCCAGTGGCCCCTGTTGCCCAGGGAGTCTCTGAAGTGACCTTCGCTCTGGGAGAAGCAGGACCTTTCGAAGGTTGAGGTGAGGTTGGGTGTGGTGAAGCCGTTGCCCGTGAGTTTGGCGAAGGTGCGTCCTCGTTTAATCTGCCTCCCTTCGGTCCACCTGTCGCGTTTTACGTGGTGTTGTTGTGTTGCGGCAGCTGTGTGATTTGTGGCAATGGCAGAAATGAGAGAGTTGGTGGCATTCAATCCCAGTCTGGCAAGTGTCTCGATCTCGTTTTCAAGTGCTGTTTCCCCGTCTGCCTCTCCGGGCCCCTGACCGATCAGGTCGTACTGAACATAGGCGTCGTCGGCGCTGGGAAACCAGAGCATCCAATTCTTTTCCACGCGCGCGCGACTCTCCCTCGGATTCCTGGTGATCTCGGTGAGGTGCGGGTAACTCATCACGGGCTTCACGCCGAGTCCCCTGTGGATGCCCGTGCGCCGTTGGTCTTCCCCTACCTGCGACCCGGGTTTCATGTCTCTTGCTTTCACCCCTTTTGCTCCATGCCCGTCAACCCCGACGCCGATCGCCTTGTGATGGTGATCACGACTCAATACCCTCTCAAGTTGTGGGTAGACCTTCCTCAGATCCACGACCCAGAGCCCGACGCACCCGTAGCGGCTGGCGCTATTCACCAGGATCAGAGGTTCTCCCTTCCCACTCCAAAAGACCCGGGGGTCGTGGAAGCCAGGGATGTCCGGGAACGCGAGCCACGAGTCCGTACAGTTCTCCGCCGGGGTCGACGGGATGTTGATCTTCACCGGTTCGTTCAGGCAGCGTAGTCCACCGCTGCCGCCCAGCCGGGTGTCAGAGAGGTCCGAAGGGGAGCAGGGGCTGGCGGCTGGTGGTAGGGCTTGCCGAGATCGAGGCTGTCGCCCTTCAAGGTGTGTGGCAGGATCGGCGTCCGGACCAAATGGAGGGAAAGTCGCATTTTTGCTGCGTTGCAGCGGAAAGGAGACTGGTGAAGACTGAGGAGGATGGCAGATGTCCGCCAAGCAGATGTGAGATTCCTGATGGAAGCCGCTCGTCACGAGGCGGGCGACGAGCACGTATTTCGCACGCCCGGACCAATGTGGGAGGGCGATGACGGCCGGGTTGAAGAAGCTTATGGTTTCCTTTCCTTCAGCATCGTCGCCGGAGTTCTTCTCCCGCTTTTGATGTTCTGGTGACGACAGGGCTGGAGCCACGAGACTAACATTGTACAGCACATTCGGCAAACGGATATGTGAGGTATGTGGATTCGGCTGAATCGGGCATTGTGTGAACTGCGCCATCAGAGGGTTCGCCAGCGGAATGTCCTGCTGCCGTGGGATGGTGGCGGCCTGCCTGTGGAGGCTCGGTGCGCTCGAGTCCGCGACAATTAGGCGCGGATGAGTGCTGGCATTGACGACGACGACGACTTGAGCGTTTCGGGCCACGTAGCTCTGCAGAACGCCTTGGAGCGCAGTTTGTGACGAGCGTATGAGTGCACGTTGTGAGAGGAGGCGGATAAGGATCAGCAGGGCGAGGATGGTGAGTGCCGGGGCGAGATATCGACGGGCGGAAGGGACTGAGAGCATCATGGCCGCGGAAGACTGGAGACCGTGCTCGAACCCGAAGGAAGGGAAGAATGAAGTCTGGGAATGATGAAGGACGATAACGTGGTGCCATGTGGTTCTGTCGCGAATATGTAATGTAAAAGCTTGGGTCGGGAAGGCCATCTGGGTGATAAACTGTCTCTCTGCTGGTGGATTCCCACCTCTTCATGCCGTGACAATCTAGCAAAGTTAGTCATGTAGTGAAGAAGGAGAAAAGAGACGTCCATGGTGGAAGTCTTAGAGGTCCACCATGGACAGGCCTCCATAATTGTGCCTGGCAAGACTATCTAACAGCATCGCCACTGTTGGCGATTTAAGGATTCCTCCCAAAATGTACCGGGTACCTAGGCTGTGCCCCCTTTTCAGGAGAGCACATTATTATAGACCATAAATCTATACCATTCCGAAACCCGGCTGCCAGCCGACCGCTTTATCATTGCTTATTTTTTCATGCCTTCATTAAACGCCAACGCTGGTTTGAATACCGCCTAGAATCCGATCTCGAATAATTGCTTCCACCCTCCTTGGGTTGGGGGCCTCCGGTTATCTTCAAGCCTCTTCATCTTCCGACTTATCAGACCCATCGTCGTCATCGTCGTCTTCGTTCTCCGAGTCCCAGCCCTCGGCCTCCAAGTTGGGTGATCGAATACCAAAGCTGAGCAGGAAGCCGATGAACGAAACACCGCCAAAGAGACCGAAAGCAAGGGCCTCTCCTTTGGGATGGACCCGAGTCGCGAGTGAAAAGAGACCGCCGGAAACGAACGGGCCAACCGCTCGACCTGCGGCCGACAAAGTCTGCGCGAGGCCATTGAGGGTTCCCAAAACCGAGTGGTTGGGAGCTGAGTTGGTGATCTGCGCGTGTGGTCAGTAGAACTATCCGTCGTCGAAGTGCCTAAAAACACTCACCAACAGCAGGGCGCTAGTCAGACCGCCAACCGCCGCGACAGTCTTGATAAGAAGGACAAAGCAGATCTCTAGCCATAGCCATGCCGCCCCACGTGTCCCCATATTTCCATCGTCATCGTCTTTGTATCCGACCCAGGGCATCAAGACGTAAGCAATCACAAACCCGGCCAAACCGGCTCGGTAAGCCCATCTATTCCCCATCATATCTCGCAGCTTTCCAAAAATACCGATCTGGAAAAGAATGGTCACCACTCCAGCAAAGGCGAGTGACAGGCCGATCTCTTCAGGGTCAAGATTTCGGCCGGTGGGTGGTGAGGCTTGAGCGAAGATGGGATAGAGTGAGTTGAAGGAAATGTTGGACAGTTGGAAAATGAGGTACGTCACCAGTAGGAGGATGGTGTCTCGATTGAGCACGTCTTTCTTCTTCAATTCGTCTGAAGCAGGGAAGAATCCTGCGGTGTCTGTGCCGTCCGTATCTTCGTCGTCTGAAACATCGGCCAGCCCGTTTTCGTGGATTGGGCTTTGATGGCTCTTGCCCTTTCGTCGCAAGTAATGAGGTCTGCTGGATGAGGTGAACTGCCAAAGCCATGTAAAGAGGTTCCGGACTCGGGATCCTAGAGGTTGAAGATATTGCGCCTCTTCCAAGCTTTCCTCGAGAAAGATGGACGCCAAGACGAAGTCTACCAAGAGGACCGCCGCAGAGAGAAGGTTCGGTGCAAGATACGGGTACGGGTTCGGCTTTGATCTGTCGAAAGGATTCTTGGGAAACACCAACACGCCACCGATGACGGGGCCAGTGATACCTCCAAGGCCATAGATAACAGGGAGATAGGTGAAAGCCCGTGACTGATTGCTTCGATCGGTGATCTCACCCAGGCAGGTAGAGACAACACCTTGATTCCCGTTCAACAGTCCCATCAACGCCTGCACCGCTATGGCTTGTGGCAGCGTCCTCACAAACCCGAACGCCACAAAACAAGCCGCCGTGAATATTGTCCCCATTAATATGACCGGTTTTCTTCCAATATGATCCGACAGCCACCCCCAAAAGAAGTTTGTTGCCAGCTGCGCGAGCGCGAACGCAGAAGCTATCAACCCCACATACATGCCCACTTGTCCTGGATTCACTTCAGGAAAGGTCGAGGCCATCGCAGGCAGGTAGGGACTGATGGAATTAAGTGCTGTCTGCTCACAGAGAGCTATAACCGCCAAGATAGCCATTTGTTTCTTTGGCAGCGGCGAGCTGTGGTGGTGGTGGTCTTCGCCATTGTGCAGGTCATGGCTGGACGAGTTGGAAGAATCGGACAACGGTCGTCCTCGAGATTTGGGAGGTGATATACCGCCAAACGTCTGGTAGTGAGGAGTCGAGGACTTGCGACGGAGGAGAGGCCCATGATCCGAGGGCTTCATGATTGAGGATCAGGCATTCATCAGGACAGCGAGGGTGCCTGTGGTAATGTGCGAGAGCAAGAGGCGCGCTCAGGCAGAGAAGACGAGGAACAGCGAGAATTTGAACGTCGAGCACAAAACACGGGAGTGTCTGTCCGCACCAAAATCACAGCTCCAGCAGCCACTTTGGCAGATGGTGAGGTGCAGTGCAGTCTAGACTTTTGGGATGGCGAACTTACATGGGGAAAGAAAGACTGCGCCCTCCGGCCAATGCGGATTCGAAATTCAAATGACGTACATACGCAAATGACGCTGGTGACGCTATCTCAGTTCGCCAATGCGCCCACTACTACGGAGTACAGACGAGCCTTTCCTCTTCTTTGTTCGCTTGCTCGAGGCGCTTCAGGTGTTAATTCTGTTGTTGCAACCAAACACCACCACACTTGACCTTTCCAAATGGCTCCTTGCCTTAAGACTTCCCGGGAGCTGGTTGCCCACCCCCGCAGCCCTGAGGGGCAACGGTATAACCCATCAGCGGGTTGATGATCCATCAGATGGCTCGAGCGTTGACATCATGAGGCTAGTGGGTGGTTTGAGCATGTCATCCATGTCATCCATCACAATTGCTCTCTTTTGACCCTCTCTGTGTCCACTTGGCTCAATCCGTTCCCGGTGCAGCAACCTGTTCCACGTGTGATGTGACTGCTCCGTTCTTCACACCACTTGCCTGAGTTCCGTTCTTCGCAGCGCTGTCGTTGTAATGTTGAGTAAAGTCGTACCGAAGGGCCATTGGTGACCGCATAAATTCTCGCTGCGCCTCTACATCGCCCTCCATATCCTTGAGCAGCTTCAAGAACGAGTCATTCTCGAGAGCCTTGTCTGGGTCCTGGTCAAACAATCGCTTGATATTCTCCGTGGAAATGGGGTCCGTGACTGTCTGATATCGTTGCCGCCGCATTTCCGAGTACTTATCGAGTATACTTTCGTCTGCTTTCCCCTCATAAACGCCAATCAGGCAGTCATAGAGGCCTCCAATATCCACGAGCCCACCGGTGAGTCCGAGGCCGCCAAACGGGTTGCAGACTAGGGTCGAGCGTCAGAGCACGTTCCGTCGCGGGATTGTTAGACTTACTGTGTGCAGCATCTGCGGCGAGCATGAAACGACCAACTCGCATCTTCTCCACCAAACGCTGATGAATCTTGTATGGGCTGATCGCCGCCAGGTCATACTCTCCGGGTTTGGGGTGGCCCGGCAACATCGCCTCGAATTTCATGGGCTGCCGGGCGATGAGCTCTTCTCGAGTGAGTCCAGAAATCTCTCCGTAGCTGACACGCCACCAGCCGCTGCCGTCCTCATTCTTGGTGAGACGGGCGACCATGTGCCAGTGCTCGGGGTGAATGAAGAAGTTGGCATCGTCATATCCGAATTTTTCGAAGGGGTAGGCCACCTAGACTCAAGTAAACAACGGCACTGAGAGTGGAACACATTGGCTTACATTGGTTGCCACGATCTGTTTGTCCCAGGTATAACCAGGGAAATCCTTCGCCCCGTACAACTTTCTTCTGACGGTGCTCGATGCACCATCACAGCCCACGATGTACGTTGCCTCGAGGCGTTTCTGGCCCTCTGGTGTTTCTACATCCACCCATGCCTTCTCGTCGTCCTGACCGACGTCCACCACTTTGTGGTTGAAGAACACTTTCAGAGTGGGTTGCTGGATGGCGTGTCTGTAGAGCAAGCGGTCGAGTTGAGCCAATGGCAGACACGCCAGTCGATCTGGGTCTTGGTGCATGAGACTGTTGTCAAACCCGGCGAGATAGGTGCCGTCAAGTTTTCTCCAGCATGTCTTTACCGGGTCGAACCCTTCTTTTCGCACGTCGTCAATGACTCCGGCACGTCGTAACTCGTAGGCCGCTGGAGGGCCATAGTAAGCTGCACGAGGAGAGTCGTCTAATTCACTTGAAGCTTCCAGTACATGGACGGTGACACCTTTCTTTGCCAGCATCAGACCCAGCAGCAGGCCAGACGGACCGGCACCGACAATGATGGTCCATGGCTTCTCTGATGCCATTTCGATACCGAGATGTGTGAATGTTGTAAGGACTCGCAAGAGGGGTAGAGAACTCCAAGTCAAAGAGAAGAGGCAATAAGTGGACGACGACGTTTTGATTGAACCCTTTTTTATTGTTTTTCGGTCTTATATCTGGCCCGGCAAGGGTTTAAGCCCCGCGATCGTCCTCCATGTGCCATCAGTATCAGGAGATGCGACGCCATCTTGAGCCCTATGCCGAAGATTATGGGGGATTCTCCGCAGGTGGAGAGGGCCAGGACCGTCTCGCCGGTGGGCAATAGTCTGTCCGTGCCAGTAGTAGGTGGGGCAGTGGTTGGTGTGATTGTCCCTCTGCAAGTCGGACAGAACGAAGGGACTGGTAGAATCCGGTGGCTTGTTGTTGCTTTTGCGATAGTCATCCGTAGGGTTGATGCGTCGAAGAAGGTATTTGGACCAAGGACGCACGACGGAACGATGGATTGGCCTGTATGTTGCGCGGACGAAGAACTCGAGCATCTATCCAGCCTTGCTAACCACAGCCCCGCATTAGACGGCTTCCAAGGGAACCAGAGTGCAATCGAGGGCGCCGAGACTCTGTCTGATCAAGTTCCAACTCTTGAATTCACTGATGTTAGTGGGGCTTATCCGGGCGACCTCGGTCTCGTGTTCTTGGTTCTCTTCACCTCAGCACTGTCCTTGACACCCTCGTAGAGATTCACGAACCATACGAGGTATACTGTACCCGATTCTTCCCTGCAGAAATGTCGAATGCACCGGAGAATAGCGTGGCCGAAGCCCACAAGATCTTCTACGATCAGGGTTTTCAGATCCGGAACGAAGTTGCGGGCTCCGAACATGTCCAACGATCTCTTCAAAACAACTCGTCCGACTTCGCTCGGCCGATGCAAGACCTGGCTACGGAGGTGGGATGGGGAATGATCTGGGCCCGACCGGGACTTGGTGAATCTTTTCCCCTTCATACGAATCTGTTTCATGCCTGGAGGAGTTCTTGCGGAAGAGAAGAGGTTTTGTCAAGACTGCGAGAGGCTAACATTGGGTTGCAGAGCGTAAGACCAGAAGCTTGCTAAACATCGCCATGCTCTGTGCTTTGAACCGAATGACTGAGCTAGCCGTGCATGTCAGAGGAGCAGTTCACAACGGGGCGAGCGAGGTGGAGATTCGAGAGGTTTTGATGCAGGTTGCCATCTATTGTGGAATGCCAGCAGGTCTGGAAGGAGTACGAGTCGCGGAAGGAGTCTTGAAGACGATGCGAGAACAGAAGGAATCTTGACTTGGCTTGAGGGACCTGAAAGAGCATCACATCATGACGACATAGGTACTCATGAAGTCCAGGATCGGGGAGACGAACCCTTTCGGCCGCAGGAATTGACACTGACCGTAGGATGAAGATGGGAGGTACCCTCGGTGTCGCCGGTATCATAGAAGAACGGAAGAAACGCACCGTCACAATATTGAAACAGGGCCCAATTTACAAAGGAACAATTTAATTAAATGTCGCAGGATCTGTAGGCGCGTGAGCAGAACCGCACGTAACTCATCAGTACAGTCAGAAAGGGGGGGCCAGTTTGGCGTGCTAATGGGGCGTCAGGCACCAATCAGCCTTAGGATGGCACTACTTTAAAGGCCACGCAAAGCGAAATGCCCCCCCTACGCTGCCTGTTGGTGCCAATGGGCTTGGGCTGCAGGTGGGCGATGGGCGATGGGCGATGGACGATGGGCGCTGGGCTCCTCGGCAGCCCAGGGAGCCCTATTCCCCGATGCTAAAACCAAGTCAGGTACTGTGGCGTACGAGGTATGTACTGTATCATTATTGTCCGCATCCCGCTGACAGCCAGCACACCACAGCACAAGCACCAACACCAAGCACCACGGCTGCCAGCATTCGACTGCATCTGTCCACTCAATATTGTGCAGATGGATCATCCGCTACTCATCTCGACATTATCTACATCCTAGCGCTCATTACTGTATCGCCCTGATATTGGTCCCCATCCTCCGGGTGGCCTACCCATTGCACTCTCGTTCGTGGCCGGATCCCAGGCTGCCTCGCCGACCTCAACACCTCCAGAATTGTCACCGATGACTCGGCGCAGCACATCACAAAACTCGCGCAGAGTGATCCGTGCTATTGGCGTTTGAGGCAGCTCGAATATGCCCTGCGCCATCCAGGGCCGACTCTGCGTTGACTCCGCCCTCTCGTCTCTCGATCGCATCTGCCAACAGGTGCGCTGAACATGGCCAGCTACCACCAAAATGGGCAGCCTTACTACCCGTCGGGCAACCACCCTTCGTCCGGCCAGAACAGTGGCCATGTTCCCTACGGCTCACCGTCCGTATATCCCCCGAGACCTCTCGAGCGCTCGCCCAGTTTCGACGCCGGAGACGACGAAAGGTACTTTGATGGAGAAGAGCAACCGCGGGGAGGCCAGAGACACAACTCGTACGCTCCGGCGCCCACGGGAGCAGCAGCGAGTCCTCAGATGAATAGAGCTATGTCAGCGAGCGTCCAATCTTCGGTCACGATGCCATTCCGGACGAACACCCAGCATGCACCATTGAGCGGGTACCAGCATCAATATCAGACTGCGGCGCCCGCTCACGCACCCTACAATCCCGCTCAATATCATCAACAGCAGCAGCAACAGGCCTCGTACAATCCACAACTCTATGCAGCCCCCCAGCCAGCCCATCCCACAAGCACCTATCAGCCCTATGTTCCAGCTGCATATGGCGATCAGAATCTTGCTCGTCGTACCTCTGTCTACAACAGCTACGGATCCTATGATGCGAATTCTCAATATAATTACTCTTCATCCCAACAGCCCCCGCCACCTCCTCGGTCGGAAGGAGTCACATTCCCTAACCCACAAGCCTACGGGGCGTACCAGCACGACATGACCCAGCAGTACCCTAGCCAACATTACGGTCCGTCGTCGGCTTATTCTCCCCCGGCTCCAGCCCCCCCGCCGCACGGAAGGACGACGAGTATACCAGAAGAGGCATATCCATATCCTACCGGCTCATCGGCAACCTACCCAACCTCAACTCTAACGGCCTATTCGTCTCCTGACATCAACCGCAATGCATCATTCGCGAGCCGTATGAGCAACCAATCTGCGTCCCCTCAACCGACCCTTCCCACGCCGCCGAGCAGACAACCTTCGAACAGGTCCCCTCAGCGTACGGGCACACTCGATCGCCACCCTCAGGGCAGATCGCTCCCAGGTCTCCCGCCAGAGCAGGACTCGGAAAATAATTATTTCAACTCGACAGGATCGCAGAACAGTGGAGCTCGTAACACTGCTTCAACAGGCTATGATGATTTGATGCAAGATCTTGACGAAGCGATAGGCCAGACGTCAAGACATACAAGGTCGGGCAGCGACTTCAGACACCGGAATTCACGAGACGGACGGCAGGATGCTATTCCCCAACAACCATCGCCCAGGCCCCAACTTTCCCCGGACGAGGCGCCAACGCATCTCAATGGGAATATCGCCTCCACCGGGGACGCTTATATCAACTATGGAGCGTTTACCGACGACAGTGACGCTGAGGCTGCTGCGGGGCTCGCTGCCATGCAAGCCTTGGATGAACAAGAAAGGGCAGAAGATGCGCGCCGGCATAGTGGGTCGGCAACCCTTTTTCCCAGCCAGCCACGTGCGGACGAGGCGTCTGCCAGGTTTTCCTCCCAGGAGCAAAGCAGCGACAGCGACTACGCCGGCTACGGCGACTTAAGTCTCGCTGGTGGAGGGTATGCGCCTGACATGGCCTATGGTGAATCTGTGGTGTCCAACTATGCGGCTGCGGCGACATCCATGCCGCAAAGTGAGCTATACGGGCGATTGAACACCAGAATGAGTTCGGTGCGCAGCTCTGGCGTCTCCTCGGAGGGGAGGGAGTCGCAGACAAGTGGATTCGAATCGATCCCCCCGCTGGAGAGCGTCCATCCCTTCTCTTACACGCATAATGTTGCTCGAGTGGACACTGGAGGCACAGGCGGCTTGACAGAACCGAGCCCGCACCCCAGACGATTGAGCTACGAAGACGGAGACGAATCAACCATGATTGAGGCAGAGACTAACCGGACTTCGGCAAGCTCAAGTCCTTCACGAGAAGAAATGCCAGACCTCTTCTTCCATCCTGGCATGAGCCAGCAGCGTCCACTGCCGCCTCCCCCTTCTCTCTCAGACTCCGCGCTGCGAATACCACATCTCATGCCTGCTGGCACTTACACGCAACAAAGCCGATTTTCTCAGTACACTGACGCGAATTTACGCGTCTATCCCACTGCCCCGGATGCTTACCCCGGCACACTACTTAGTCCGGCAAGCGTCCCTCGATCCACTTCGCTGTCCAGCGCACGAAGTGCTCCTAGGGCCGAACAGGTTAACCGCTCGAAGACGGATGCAGACCGTCAGAGGCTTCTGCGGCAGCAGGGGAGACCGATGTCTGACCTGTATGACATTTCCAGCCCGCAATCTGCGGTGGCACTGGACCTTCCGTCAATTCCACGGAAGCGGTACAACCCCGCCAAGCTGACGACTGATCAATTCAAGAAATGTTCAGAACCGTGGGCATTGAGCTCGATCTTGGCGTGGATCAGGGAGCTGGCCGAGGAAGAAGTCGATCTAAAAGAGAACAATATTGTTGAAGGCATCGTTGCACTCTTCATGAATAAGGTGCCAACCATGTACATCACAGAGGCTGAATCTCTAGGAGAACGAGTGGTAAAGGAAATGTTGGACGCGAATGCTCTTGTAAGAGAAGAGGAATGGGTCAAGTTCGGGCCTGGGACAATGTCTGGCGTTCTATATCAGCTGACTGGCACCGGGTGTTACTCCTCCAAATTGCATCTGTATCACACCCGTGGGCGATGTTACTCTTATCATTGCATGCGGACTCTCAAGAAACTCGATCTGGACACCCTGCCGGTTGAAAAGAAGTCTGAAGATTGGGCGACGTTCTACAAACTCAAAAAGGAAGACGTTGAAACGCACGACAAGAAAGAAATTGAACGCCAGAACGTCCTCCACGAAATTGTCACAAGTGAAGACCTTTACATCAGCCAATTGGATGTGCTCAGAGTCCTTTATCGAGACAGGCTTTCTGGGGCGCAGCCGCCTATCATTCCGACCAAGAAACTGCCAACATTCCTGAGGGAGGTGTTCGGTGGCGTGGACAAGGTGAAGAAAGTCAACCAAGACTATCTCCTCGGTCAGCTCAAGTACCGACAGACCGAGCAGGGGCCCTGGATTGTTGGCTTCAGCGACATTTTCCGTGAATGGATTCGAAAAGCTCGGCCTGTGTATGTGGAATACGCTTCGAACTTTCCTCGAGCGGATTACCTCATGCGGCGCGAAGCCGAGCGAAATATACCGTTCAAAAACTTCCTTGACCAAGCTCGGGAGGACAAGCGGTCGAATAGGCTAGGATGGGACAATTACTTGAAGGCTCCGATTACCAGGCTACAGCGTTACAGCCTGTTACTCTCTACTGTCCAAAAGAACATGCTGAAGGACTCCGAGGAGAAGGCCAACTTGGCCTATGCTCTGGATGAGATTCGAGCAGCCACTTTTGAGTGTGATTCTAAGTTCGCGGAGATGACCAAGAAGATGGAGTTGATCGAAATGCAAACCAAACTCAGGCTTCGACCGGCAATGGAGAAGGAGGTCGAGCTGAATCTCGACCACCTAGGGAGAGAAATCATCTTCCGGGGTGATCTGCAGCGGGCCGGAGGTAAAGGCTTTCAATGGGTCGAAACACACGCTATTCTGTTCGATCACTACCTGGTCCTGGCGAAGCCTCTCAGCCGTGATCGCAGGGAGGGATATTACGACGTCTCAAAAGTTCCAATACCGATGGATTTGCTCGTCCTTGAGAGCTCCAACGACCCTGCAGTTGTGAAGTCCTCGATGAAGGGAATCGGAGCGGTCACCACAACTGTCGCCCCCCGTGGCCAAGTAACCCCTGATAATCGGCTAACGAGAGCCCAGTCTACCGCTAGCGGCGGAACACCAGGTCTATTGACACATACAAACACCAATCTCTCGATAGGATCTGGCAATGCAAGCCAGAGCATGGTTCCCATCACGACACTGGAATCGGGCAGTTCCAAAGAGGAGAAAATCATGTATCCTTTCCGCGTCAAACATCTTGGCAAGACTGAAACGTACACGCTCTACGCACCCAGTGCCCAGAACCGGCAGGACTGGTGCGAGGCTATTATCCAGGCGAAAACGCGGCATGCTGAGGCGTTGTATTCTCAAAATGCTGAACCGTTTAAGCTGCGGGTACTCGCGGACACAGCATTTGCCTACGAAGGTCTCACGTACCCCGCGAAGCGAATCTTGATCAAGGGAACTCCCCTGGATAGGGCTATCCGAGAAGCCGAGAAGAAATTTGAAGGCCAGGGCCGACCTGCACCAGTGTGCCGAGCTCCCGTCAACTGCGCCACTGTGTTCAATCAACCATACGGACGGCTCATGTGCGCCATTGGGACCGACTACGGCGTTTATATCTCCGAGTACCAAAATTCTCGGGGATGGGTCAGGGTAAGTGTTTTCGGCGATGGCCTTGAAATCAACTAACATGTTCTAGGCTATTCAAATGCAACGGGTGACTCAAATTGCAGTACTGGAAGAGTTTAACCTCTTTTTACTCATCTCAGACAAAGCTCTTATTGCCTACCATCTCGACGTTGTCTGTCCCCCCACGGGCAATCCAGTCGCACAGAATGACACTTCGAGCCGGAAGGCACCACAGAAGTTGTCTGGGTCCAAGGATATCGGCTTCTTCGTGACTGGCAGGATGAAGGAGCGGACACTGGTATTCTACAAGAAGAGAGATGGTATAGCCTCGACCTTTAAGGTCCTCGAACCTGTCCTTCAAAAGAGCACCACTACCCGATCACGTTTCCTGCCGTCAGCGTCACGCCGTGGACAGACCGAATTCTTCCGGGAATATGACGAGTTTTACATTCCTGCCGAATGCTATGGATTGAACTTGTTTCAGTCAAGCTTGGCAATATCGACCGCGAGGGGGGTGGAAGTATTGACCCTAGAGAAAAAGCAAACGTGGAGCGTGCCGAACCTACGAAGCGACCAGCCAGAGACACAAGCCCATCTCAGTTCCATTGCCACCCGGATCAAAGACCTGAAGCCATTGGGCATGTTCAGGCTTGGAGAAGCCGAGTTCTTAGTCACTTTCGAAGAATGTGCAGTCTATGTTAACAAACATGGCGACATTTCTCGGGGTGTAGTGATGGAATTTGTGGGTCGAGCCAAATCAGCATGTCTGTACAACCAGTATCTGATATTGGTTGACAACGACTTTGTGGAGATACGGGATGCCCAAAACGGGCGGCTGAAGCAAGTGATTGCCGGGAAAGACATCAAGTTACTCGACGACGGTGGTGGCGGCTCAGGAGGGGCTCAAACGCAGACTCAAGCTATGTTGGGAGGAGGAATTAATGGACTCGGCCTCAAGAATTTTGGAAATGCACCACGGACACCGAAGATAGTCTTGCAACATCCGGAGTACGAAAAGAGCCACGTCGTCGTCGAGTTGCTGTTGACAACCGACACGGCTTAAGATCAGGGGCGGCGCTTCTTGGGAATCGAGGCTCAGGCACTGGGCCCTGTTCTATTTTATTGTGCGGTAATTGTGGTCGGGATGGATTCTTGGTGTTTCAGGAGGCGGGACGAAGGACGTGTGAACTTCATGATTGAATGAAATATGTGTCCTGGTCACTGGCGCCCCTGTTGGTCATGAGCGCGAGTATGGGCTTTACCCAGGGGCTATATGATGGCGGAAGATATGGATGGGCAGATGTTGCATATAACTAGTTATGCTAGAGAAATGAGTCTCGATGTCGTTCATTGCCATCAGAGACATCTTCCATTATCGTCGAAGTACTCAGTCGTAGTATGGTCGACTAGACTGTCAGCCCCGGTGAGGCTGAAGATTGTCGGAAAGACTCAGCATGCCAAGCGGGCTCCTGGCTTTTGGCCCCGGCATTCTTCTTGGAACAATACCATCAGGATGCTTTCTGGTAACCACCACGGACATGTATCTTCGTCTCAAGATGCTCCAGGAGTTCTAGAGAGCCTCCGTCCGCCTCTCCACCAGAACATGACGCGCAGAACGTGACAGCCGCTGTCACCACCCGCGGAAAGCGACCCCTGTCCCCATCACCCATCACCCTCCTCCCGCTGACAGCCAACGCCATGTTGAGCTCGTTTGTTCAAAAGTTCATTGAGCAGTCCTCTTTGTCTCCGACCAACGACAACCGCCCGTCAAAAGCCTCTTTGTTTCGAGACCAGTTCAGACTTCCGGCCGGTCAAAATCCCTTGCATGAGATTACCGCTGAACTATACCTACCGCTCCCCTCGACCCCGGCGGGAGGCCCTATCACCTCCGGAGAGAAGTCGAGGGACAATGGCAACAAATACCTGGGCGAACTACACCTGAGTGAACACTTTCTATGCTTCTCGACGATCCGAACCAGTTTCCTCTCCACTGCAAGCCATGCATCATCCACCTCTTTCACGGGCCCTACGCAGGGCGCAGGACCCGGAGGCCATGGCTTTACTCTGCCCTTGTGCTCTATACGAAGAGTCGAGAGGCTGAATAGTCATCACGACAAGTTCTCGCTGGCCCTCACCACCTTCGAGTCCGTCCAGAAACCTCCGACCGAGAAGACGAAGGCGGTACCCCCTCCTCCCCGGAAGCTCATCCTGACCCTTGACGGCAGTCGCATCACCTGCGAACGCTTCTGTGATGGTTTGAAAAAAGGATTGAGAGAGGGCATGAAAGAGGTCGACAATCTGCGGCTTGTAGTCTCTCAATGCTACTCGGAATACCTCCTAGACCCGGCTCGGCTCAAGGCCAAAGAAGAGGGCACCACGCCGCCAGATCCGCCCGATACTGGACTGGGCATGCTGTTCAAATATCCGGGAGACGCCAGGAAACTCAGGGACAGGAGTAAGATCAGACTCTGGGGCGAGTACATGCGAGAGAATGGCCGAAATGCCACGATAGTGCGCCAACCCACTTTCCACAAGCTGATCCGTGTTGGGTTACCCAACCGGTTGAGAGGTGAGATATGGGAGATCTGCTCCGGCTCTTTCTACACGCGGCTGAGAAATCCCAACCTCTACGCCAAAACTCTGGCCAAGTTTACGGGGAAGGAGTCTTTGGCCATCGACGAGATTGAGAAGGATCTGAACCGAAGTCTGCCAGAATATCCCGGCTTTCAGAGTGAAGAGGGTATTGGCCGGCTCCGCCGCGTCCTCACGGCCTACAGCTGGACCAACGAAGAGGTCGGCTACTGTCAAGCCATGAACATCGTTGTGGCTGCTCTGCTCATCTACATGTCCGAGTCACAGGCGTTCTTCACCCTCGGCGCCTTGTGTGACAGACTGCTCCCCGGATACTACTCGAAGGACATGTATGGCACTCTCTTGGATCAGCGTGTCTTCGAGAATCTCGTCGAACGGACAATGCCCGTTCTTTGGGAGCATTTGGTCAAGTCTGACGTCAACCTATCCGTGGTGTCACTACCCTGGTTTTTGTCATTATACATCAACTCGATGCCCCTTGTCTTTGCTTTCCGGGTGCTTGATGTCTTTTTCCTAGAAGGCCCGAAAGTCCTCTTTCAGATTGGTCTGGCCATTCTCCGTATCAATGGCGAAGAACTACTTGATGTGAGCGATGACGGCTCCTTCATCTCCATCCTCAAGAACTACTTTTCACGATTGGACGAGTCGGCCCATCCTCATTCAGAAAACGAAAAGTTGAGGGCTATCACCAAATTCCAGGAACTCATGGTGACGGCCTTCAAGGAGTTTGCCGGCATTACACACGCGAGCATCGAAGAGCTGAGAGACAAACACATCGACGGCGTCAAGGAGGGGCTTGCAACCTTTGCCAAACGGACCTCAATCCGGAATTTGGGACCAGAGAGTAAGAAGCTCAGTGCTGACGATCTGAGTGCCATCTACGACAGGTTCTTTGGCGTCTTGGCTGAGCGACAAGAACGTGCAAAATTTCGCGAGGTGGAGAGAAGGAAGCAGCAAGATCAGAGAGTGCGGCCTGGTTTGTGGCCGCAACATTCATCTCGCAACAACGATGAGCCTGCCCGTAATGCCCAGCCACTGCAGACTATGGATTACGACGCCTTCAGAGAGTTTCTGGCCAACACGGCCAAATGGGCTGTGACAGACTCGCCCTCTACACCCAGCAAGGAGTTTGCCAGTCTCAATCAAAGCCAGAGGAAACGGAGTAAGACCATGTCGCAATGGGGCTCTGGGCCCGAACCTGCCGACCACGATTTCATGCAACGCTTGTATGGCAAATGGGACGAATCGCATCAGGGAGAGATGACCCTTCAGCAACTAGTCCGGGGTCTGGCCCAATTCAAGGGAACCACAGACATCATGAATTCCATGAGCCTGTTCTTCGATCTCTTTGACGACGATGGCACGGGCAAAGTTGACCGGGAGGGCATCCTGAGGATGTCTGAATCGCTCTTGTTCCTTTCCCGGCGAGGTTTCGACGGTGCCATAACCCCATCTGACACGAGCAACGGACTGACATCTCCGCTCTCTGCCTCAGACTCAAGGGAAGGCCTGAAATTGAGCACCAATGAAAAGTTTCTAGGTAGCGTCAGTGCCTTCATCAGACGATGTTTCGAATACGCCGATCCAGATGACGCCCTGGGGGCCGCAAGCCCAAGGCTCGAGATGACAACCACCGACAGATCGAATGACGAAGACCTAATTGAATTGACCGAATCACGATCTGACCACAAAAACCTCGCGTCGCCCAAACCTACAGAGAAGGATCCTCTCTCCGAAGTGACACCGCCTCAAACGCCTTCCCTATCGAGCGCCCAAGACAAACGCATCTCCTCCTCTTCTCGCGCTGCCTCGCATAACCTCGCCCTCGATCCCAACAAGCCCTTGCATATCACGCTCCCGACTTTCCGCATGGTCATCCTTGCAGACGAACTTCTCGAGCAGTTCTTTGAGACGTTCTTCCCTCAGTCTTTCCGCCTGGCCGACGTTGCCCCCAACGCCAGCTCCTCGTCGTTGGCGTCACCCACCAATACACTCTCAGGAAATCTGACCACCTTCACGAACCTAGGCACCCCTGTGAAAAACTTGCTGAATGGCACACCCTCAAACAAGACTCTCCCTGACGTCGGCCGTGCCGGTGGTGTTGTGGAACCGGGCTCCCGAGGTCTGCGAGGTGTTTTGGATAATATTGTCAACGACGGCATGCGAATGGCAGCTGAGATGCGGAAACGTATGGACGATGCGCAGAGGGAGTTTGAGCGAAACGCCCGCGAGCAGGGGCACAAACCTTATCGAGACGACGAGGACGACGACGAGGATTATGATGATAAGGACACGGGGGTTGGGAAGAGAGATCAAGAACTGTTGGAGGGGGCCGAGGTTGCCAGTATCCGACCAGCCATCGGCCCTGGTGGGAGTATAGATGAAGGAGGTATGAGGAGCCGAGCCGAGAGCTCCACGACGCTGAATTCGAAGGGCAGTGGCAGTGGCAGCGGGATGGGAACATTGAGCCGCAAGACCACGAGCAGTGGGAATAGCGTGAGTATTTTGGATGTCAATGATACGTCTTCAGATTCAAAATGATTAGGGTGCCTGAATCTGAACCAGCAAGGTGCACAGGGCAGCAGGTTATTGCTACTTGGGAGGGGACACAAATGAATTATTTATTATCCAGCTACAGCAGTCCCAATCAATACCCCTGAACTCGCAAGAGGAAATTTATATAAAATATATAGCCGGATGGCATGGAAAACCGAACGCGCATCAATATCATCAGTATCCTCATCACCAGACTTGTCTAGCCGCTCTTTCCCTGTCCTGGTATCTCCAGATCCAAACGAATCAAATAACTGTTGATATGTGCGTCGCGTCCGGGTCCGAAGAAAATTATTGTATGTCGATGACGTGTTACACACTGTATACTAAGTCCGAGCCAAGTCCAATTCCAAGTGCAAATAACGAGGATCGATTTTTTAAGAAGAGAAGAGAAGAGAAGAGTAGATATATTACAAGAAATGACATCTGATCGATTGATAGATGTGATGGCGGGGGAGGAAGTAGTGGTAGTGGTAGTAGTGGTTGGGCGATTGAACAGTTAAACAGCTAGATAGCTGGATGGAGGGATGAATGAATGGAGGGACGGGTGAAGGAGGAAAGTGGACCGGATCTTCCAGTCACGAAACAATCTGCGCTTTCTACAGTAGCTATTGTTCATGGTGGTGGTTCTATGGCTGAAGATTCAAGGAGAACTGTAAATGGTAGGGGGAGTGTATCTATATGAAGATATCAAGATATAAAATAGATAGAAGGGGAAAGGCACAAACTGAAGAGGGTCGTTTCTTGCCCCCTGCCCGACGCAAGCAAGCATCCTGCTTTTTCACAAGCTGTATCACGTATTGGTGATGACGGAGGGGGGTGCGGTCGTTTCGTCCTGATTTGAACGAGTCGAGGGAAAAGAGGTCATGGCTCATCCGATTCTCTCAATTGGAGCCTGTCGTGGACCACCCAGTCTGCTACGCGGCCCAAGAAGAGTGGAACAGCCCACGCAGTACTCGGTAGCCTCCCTTCATGTCCAACACGTTGAAACGCCGAAACGAAAACGCTGGGAAACGCAAGAACAGTCTAGTATTCCCGACTCGGGAAATTGGGTCAGTCTTTCAGCGACCGCATACTCCTGGCGCCTTGCTGGAACGCAAAAATCGCAATACAGGCGCCGATTCTGGCTGTCAAGCGCCGTGTTACTCCTCCTCGTCGTCGTCGCTGGCCTCACTACCATCCTCCTCTTCTTCGTCATCTTCTTCGTCGTCGTCACTCTCGACCGGGACCCCTCTGCTTCCGGCAATAGCCTTCTTTGTCTCTGCCTCATCTGGTTTCGCTTCGTCATTTTGCTTCTCTCCATCTTCACCTTCCCCTTCCCCTTCTTTCTTGTCTCCAATGACTTCGTCTACCTTCTCTGCAACGGCTTGAACCTCGTCCAGCGCGCTCTTCGCCACGTCGTCTCGATCGAGTGTCGGCATCTCGTGGACGTCTTCTTTGGACGGCACGATGACCTTAAGCTCGAGTTCCGGTTGTTTACTATACACACGAAGCCCGACCACACAGCTTGCATTCCAGGGGTTGCGATTTGGGTCTTTTTCAATGTCGTCAGAGTCTTGTTTGCTCTCTTCCGCTGGTGCAGGTGCCGAAGAAGCTGATGAGGTGGACGGAGTTCTGATTCCAGAGGGGACAGGGGTTGACGTTCCAGATACGGAAGTTGAGGTAGCTCCAGACGGCGACGAGGACGACGGGAGCTGGCCCTTCTGATGAGCCAGGTCGTACAGTTTACCGATTTGAGTAATTTTGTCTCGCCGGTGTATATTCTTTCTGATGACATTTTCCACTTCATCTCGTCCAGTGGAGTGCGCCTCGACTTTGATCAACACGGTATAGGTGCCCTTGGTCAAATGCACTTCAACATTCACGGAGCGTATCAGCTCATAGTTCATCTTGCTGCGGGCAAGGTATTCCTCTTCTTCTTCGTCGTCGTCCTTTTGCACTCGGAATTGCATGGTGTAATTGTACTTGCCTTGCAATCCCTTGAAGTACCGCTCATCAAGCTGGGAAAGTACAATCACCGCATCCGTGTCTTCGGGAACAACGACGGAGAAGTGGTTTGTTTGGTAGTCCAGCGTACTCCAGGGCACTTGCACTGACATCCATTGCTGAGCAACGTGCCAGTCAGGACCGAAGATGCGAGTCCGATCAATGTATTTGTACTTGCTGAGCATGTCCTTGTAAGTCATCCAGAAGATACCGTCGTCCCCAAATTGGTGGTTCAGCCGTGTCAACCATTCAGCGGTCCACTCTTTGGAACCGTCACTCCAGGCACCTGTCCATTCTTTTCGGCCCCAAGGGTTGCGGATCTTGACCAGCCGTTGTCCATGCCCTTCGTATGTGTCAAGGACCGCATAGGCGTGCTGGCTGACAATCCCTGAGCGGCGTTCCTCTCGAACCTTTTCGTTCGTAACCAGATACGGCCGCCACTCGCGCCAGCGTGCAGCAGCACAGGAGAAGACGAAGTCTTTTCCAATGCGGCTGAGTTCATTTTTCGAGAATTCATCTGTGTCGAGAATATTGGTGGTGTAGATTTCGGTCGTGACGCCGCCAGTGAGGTCCTCGATTGCCTCTCCAGTTTGTCCGCCAGAAATGGATGCGTAATCTCCATGCGCTTTAGCATATGCCTTTTCAAGAAGGCTCACCCAAGTCTCATTTTGATCCCGGCATTGAGCAAAGTACAGCGATTTGGAACCGCGCTGGAAAAGTTCTTGGTATTGGTCTTCCTGGTCCGGCCGTCTGATTCCGTATTGTCCCAGGACGACATCTCCACTCTCGTCGTATGCCGGTGCCCGGAGGTACAACTTGTCGTCGATGATGCACTGATGCCACTCGCCGTCACGGTGGAAAACAAATCCATAGACCCCAACGGCTTGATCTTGGATGACACAAACACGATCAATAAATTCTTGATTACAGCTCAAGGTAGAAATGGCGGCCAGGAACCAGCAATCTCCTGCTGACCCTTGTAGGATATCGTCGTACGAAACACCATCAACATAGAACTTGGGCTCGTCGAAGATATCCTAGGATCGAATCAGCAAATATTCTAGATATTTCGTGTATACTTACTGTAACTCGCTTTGCATCTGCCGGATATTCTTTGTCGTCATCCTCAATGATAAGGCCATCCAGACAATCCCTGATCCTTGTGATCTTCAGATCTCGCTCGATATCCCAGTGAGAATCGGTGTATTTCTGATTCGAGGCTCGACATTCCTTGATGATTCGTTTCACGTCTCGGAGACAGGATGCCTTGGCGTCCTCGTATGACTTGACAGCCTTGTGAGCGATCTCACCGACAAGCGTCACGGCACTGAGATCCTTCTCCGTGATACGGTCGGGAAGGACGCGAGTCACTTTGCCTGTGTACTCGGGATCGAAGTTCTTCCAGAACTTCTTCATCTTGGCCTGAGGGTGAGGTTTCTTCTCTTTGGCTGGAGTGGGTGGAGGTGCAGGTGGTTTGTCTGGCACAAGCATGAGCTTGATCGTTTGACCACCTCCCAGGACCAGGCCATCTTTTGGAGTTGCCGGTTCATCTCCAGTACGGTTGGTTGTGATAGTGAAAGCCGGGTTTGGTCCATCCCCGGACCCTTTCCCCAACTCGTTAATCTGCTCGTCTGCCTCATTTGCAGCGTTATCTTGCTGTCCAGAAGTATCCATTTTCACATCGTTGCCGTTGGACTCGACGTCATGAAGACCGTTGTCTTCCAATTTGACCTGGTGAGGAGACGGGTGACCGTCACGAACAAAGAAGTACCCAGACATTGTTTGCAGCAAGGCTGAAAGGAGAGACAAAGAGTGGAGTTGGACCCTGGATTTCAGGGTCTATGAATATAAACATTCCTCGCATAATCGGGCACGCGAGGCTTAGGAGAGCAAGTCAGGCCCCTGCCCCGGTCTATCCCTGCCTGTGAGACGCTAGAGCAGGAAATGGGATCCTATCTTCGATAGTTCAACGCATTGTGAGGCTTGGTTAGTCACACGAATTGGCGGTAAGAAAGTTATCGATACCGGTCAAGGCCTAGTTGTGGAGAGTGGTTCTAAGCGAGTAGGTTCGTAGGGTCGAGACTCGGCCAACCGTGATAAGACAAGTTTGTGGGCGACCCAGAATGCCTGTGAGGGTCTTCCGGGCGCCAATAGGCGACCACGACGATGGCGAGAGTCATGGGGAAGATCCGGGAGGGTCGCATGCTCAGTTGAATGCAGCAGTCCTGAAGAACAAAGCCCGACAATAACGAGGCCAGAGCGCTCACAAACAATGGGACTCGTGTATGGAGCTAGCTCGCTAGCCCCGACGCCCACATTCATAGCTGCACAGACCTCCTGCCTGCGCACGGACTTGAAATTCGGAGTCATGCCAGCGTTGCAGCAGGGGAGTTCTGGGCCTAAAGAGAACGGACGGGGCCGGGAATTCGCACTGATACCGTGGACAGCTGAGGGTTTGGGGGCCGGTGGCTCGACGAAACCGTGGTGACCAATTCTTTCTTTGAGGGACACGTTGCGTACGGTAGGATGAGGCTGAATCCGGCCTCGGAGCTGCGGCACAACGGCTGACATTCCTGGGTAGGTATGGACGGCACTGGCGGAGTGCATTGAACATCCGCGATCAGGGAATATTCCGCTGAGACTAAGCTAGCCAGAGCTTGGAGAGGGGGGAGGGAGGTGATGGCTAGGTCTGAAGTGAGCAGAGACGTTGGGGCCCGTAGACCACAAAAGAGAGCGTCACGTGGGAGGCGCACTTAGCTACGTGGCTACCGCACATTGTGGTTGCCGGTGCCTCGAAATCTTGGTTAGCATCCGGCGGTGAGCCTATTTGTGCCTGCTGGGGACGCCACTGGAAGGCAGCGGGCTGGTGCCTGGTGGGTGTCTGGTGGGCTCCTGGCACCGAGAACGAGTTTAACTGCAAACCCCGGGTAATTTGTCTGCTTCCGCCTATGGCCAGAGAGGTATTGGCATTTGGGCTGGTGAGGGGTAGCTCTTGGAGTACAGTAGTACCAGCACGTTACGGAGTACGAGTACGAGTAAATTTTTAGGTAAAGTCGAGCGCTTTAACCCCGATAGTACCGGGGATCATCTATGCATCATCGGCACACCCTACCGAAGCTTGGGATTACCTGCGTCTGCGCATCACTGTAGGATTGTCCAAAAATCTCGGCAAACAGTTCTTTTGAAGACGCCTTTCCACGGTCCTTTCCCTTGCGGCGTCGAACAGCATTCATCCTGTCTTTACATGCTGGGTCAATTGCAGTAGATGAGGGATCCAGAAGGGTTGCAGTCTGTTCTGACTGCGTCGGGACTCTCTCTGCTCGGCTCTGGCCCTGTTCACCGTTTCGAACCATCCTCAACCCAACCATTTTGTGGTGATGCCGAGGGCTGGGGCCCTGTGAGCTCCCTCCGATGGGATCTTACGCCATGCTTCCTTGATATTTGGATTGTGGGTGTCGCCCTTTGGGGTATACTCTTTGGTGCTGGGGCGCTGTGGTATTTGTTCACAAAACGTATCGCCCAGGATGTTCCTAAAAATTGGCATTTCTATACCAAACTGTGAGGCACGCTGAAGATTCCTTTGCCAGGATCGGTGGTTGACCTGATTCTAGAACCGTTGTTGTTGCCATAATCCTTACGACTGCGCTTCAAGCCTCTCTACAGATCGAACAATTACCCGGCATATGGTTTCGAGATATCCGATTCTACACCTCGATCGCCACGATTATATCACTCCTTTTCATCTTCGCAGTACAATACCATGAGCATTGGCGGTCACGAAACCCGAACGGCGTTGTTTTGTTTTTCTGGGTCTTCTTTATTCTATCATACGCTTTGAAGCTGCGGTCGCTGGTGGCAAGAGAGTCATACAAGAATCGCCTCCCCTACTTCATCTCGTTCAACGTCAGTCTTGGTTTAGCAGTGGTGGAGTTCGTTCTTGAATACCTGGTTCCAAAGAAGCAAAGCGTTTACGATGCGCTGGGAGCAGATGACGAGTGCCCGTATGAATATGCCGACATCTTCTCGGTCCTCACCTTTGGTTGGATGACACCTCTGATGAAGTTTGGATACAAAAATTTTCTTACCCAAGATGATTTATGGAATCTCCGGAATCGAGACACTACCCGGGTCACGGGAGACAAGTTGCAGAAAGCTTGGGAAATCGAACTGGAGAAGAAGAAACCAAACCTCTGGATCGCTCTAGCCAGAGCGTTTGGAGGACCATATCTCCGTGGAGCGATGATCAAAACGGTCAGCGACTGTTTGGCATTTGTCCAGCCGCAACTGCTTCGGCTGCTGATTACCTTTGTTGATTCCTATCGACCAGGTCGCGAACGCCAGCCAGCTGTCCGAGGCGTGGCCATCGGTCTGGCAATGTTCGCAACTTCAATCTGCCAGACAGCCGCCCTGCACCAGTACTTCCAGCGCGCTTTCGAGACTGGTATGCGAATTAAGTCCTCGTTGACTGCAATGATATATTCAAAGTCACTGCGGCTGTCAAATGAGTCGAGAGCAACCAAATCTACTGGCGATATTGTTACATACATGAGCGTGGATCAACAAAGACTCGCTGATCTCGCTCAATGGGGCCAACAGCTGTGGTCGGCGCCGTTCCAAATCACCCTCTGCATGATCTCGCTCTACCAATTAGTGGGAGTTTCGTGCTTAGCGGGGGTTGCAGCCATGGTCGTCATGATCCCTATCAATGGTTTTATTGCGAGATTCATGAAGAAGCTGCAACTATCGCAGATGAAGTACAAGGACCGCCGGTCCCGGCTAATGACGGAGATCCTCAATAACATGAAAAGCATCAAGCTCTACGCCTGGGGTTCTGCATTCATGGACAAATTAAGCCATGTGCGCAACGATCTTGAGTTGAACAACTTGCGCAAAATAGGCGCGGCGCAATCGTTTGCAACCTTCACCTGGTCCTCGACGCCCTTTTTTGTCTCATGTTCGACTTTCGCGGTGTTTGTCCTCGTCAATAACAGACCCTTGACAACGGACTTGGTGTTTCCCGCTCTGACTCTGTTCAATCTGTTGACCTTCCCCCTCACAGTGCTTCCTATGGTCATCACGAGCATCATCGAAGCGTCGGTGGCCGTGGGTAGATTGACTGCATTCTTTACCACGGACGAGCTTCAGGATGACGCAGTGAGATTTATCGACGAGCCCCCCAAACAAGCGGGCGAGGCGTCTGTCTCTATCAAGGATGCAACCTTCACCTGGGATAAGAATACAGGCAAGAATGTTCTCCAGAACATCAACTTTAATGCCAACAAGGGAGAATTGACCTGTATCGTGGGCCGAGTGGGAGCTGGGAAGTCTTCATTACTGCAAGCTATGCTCGGTGATCTTTACAAAATCAGCGGCGAGACGGTTGTGCGTGGCCGGATTGCTTATGCGGCACAGTCGGCTTGGATCATGAATGCGAGCGTCAAAGAAAACATTGTTTTTGGACATCGGTGGGATCCTCACTTCTATGAGCAAACGGTCAACGCTTGTGCTCTTGTTGATGACTTCAGACAACTTCCGGATGGAGATCAGACAGAAGTAGGGGAACGTGGCATATCCCTGTCCGGAGGCCAAAAAGCTCGACTCTCCTTAGCACGGGCAGTTTATGCCAGGGCCGACGTCTATCTTATGGACGACGTTCTCTCCGCTGTTGACCAACATGTTGGACGCCATTTAATCAATAATGTCCTTGGTCCCAATGGACTCCTCAATGGTAAAGCGAGAATTCTGGCCACTAATGCAATCACTGTCCTTAAGGAGGCAGATTATATGTACCTCCTCCGGGATGGCACGATTCTTGAAAAAGGGACATACCAGCAACTCATGGCCATGCGTGGCGAAGTCGCCACATTGATCAAATCCACTACCGCAGAGGAGGAATCCGAGGGAGAACGCAGCCCAAGCATTGAAGGAATGGAGTCTGATGACTCGACAACCGTTGTCGGAGCAAACGGCAGCAGCACGCTGGACGAACTTGATGACGAGGAGGTTGAAGAATCACAACAAGAAGTCGGGGGACTGGTGCCTATCCACGCAGGGCCCAGTGGTCCCTCAAAAGCCCGCAAGTCCAGCTTCAATACTCTCCGTCGCGCCTCCACCACCAGTTTCCACGGACCTATGGGCCGTCTCACAGACGAAGAACACGGGGGTGCACAACTGAAAAGCAAACAGACCAAAGAAAATGCCGAACAAGGCAAAGTAAAATGGTCGGTCTACACGAGCTACGCAAAGGAAAGCAATCTCGTCGCCGTGGGGATCTATGCCCTTGCCCTTCTGGCCGCTCAGACGGCACAGGTCGGAGGAAGCTTCTGGCTGAAGAGGTGGTCGGAGATCAATGAGTCGTACGGATCGAACCCCCAGGTCGGAAAATACATTGGCATTTACTTTGCGTTCGGTATCGGTGGTGCTGGACTGGTTGTCATCCAGGTACGTACCTGTCATCTCTCAGTTCCCCTGTCTTGGATCTATATTTTGCATGATCCATGTCCCCAGTCCTTATCCGCGCGATTTCGTTTCACAGAAGTTACCTGAACTGACATGAACCTGTGGGAACTCTAGACCTTGCTTCTCTGGATTTTCTGCTCAATAGAGGTATGGTTTTCCCATTTCGTGTCCGCGACGTAGGCCTCCTTCGTCACCTCCCATGTCTACAATCGTGGATCACGACAATCACGTCAGGAGATCGTGGTACAGTCATGCGAGACACGACTGCGCTGTCTCTCATCTCGGCTCTAACGCTCTCTTCATAGGCTTCGAGAAAGTTACATGATCGCATGGCATACGCAATATTCCGCTCGCCGATGAGCTTCTTCGACACCACCCCAGTGGGACGCATTCTGAACCGTTTCTCAAGGTACGTTGCCGTACCGCCCCCTCTCTGTACCCTGGCTAGCACAACTGGTAGGTACATCCCTTGCTAACCTGCTGTTTTAGTGACATTTATCGCGTCGATGAAGTCATCGCACGTACGTTCAACATGGTGAGTAGTTACAGAATCACATCCTTAATCTAGCAAAGTATCTTACTTCCATATCAGCTCTTTGTCAACACCGGTCGCGCACTGTTCACCCTCGGTGTCATCGCTGCTTCGACGCCGATCTTCCTAGTCCTGGTGGTACCTCTGGGCTTCGTCTACATCATGTACCAGAAATACTATCTCCGCACCTCGAGGGAGCTGAAACGACTTGACAGCGTCAGTCGCAGTCCGATCTATGCACACTTTCAGGAGTCGCTGGGTGGTGTCTCCACCATTCGTGCATATCGACAGCAGAGGCGATTCACCCTGGAGAACGAGTGGCGCATGGACGCCAACTTGCGTGCATACTTTCCCTCGGTTAGCGCCAATCGCTGGCTGGCCGTCCGCCTGGAATTCATTGGGTCTGTCATTATCCTTTCGGCTGCGGTCTTTGCCATCATATCGGTGACCACTGGAAGTGGCCTGTCCGCCGGCATGGTGGGCCTCGCGGTAAGTTTTCCTCCTTGGACCGAAATCAATGCTGCTCCCCATGCACATCATGGGCGGACGGTACACAGCTGAGATGACTGACCGTGTTCCCGGATTTCAGATGTCATATGCCTTGCAGATCACACAGTCCCTGAACTGGATCGTCCGTCAGACGGTCGAGGTGGAGACCAATATCGTGTCGGTAGAACGGGTTTTGGAGTATGCAAACTTGCCCAGTGAAGCTCCTGATGTCATTTTCAAGAGCAGACCGAGCATTGGATGGCCCGCACACGGGCAGATCACCTTCAAAAATTATTCCACACGGTATCGCGAAGGTCTGGATCCCGTCTTGAAGGACATCAACCTAAACATCAAGGCTCATGAAAAGATTGGGGTGGTTGGGCGCACGGGAGCAGGCAAGAGCTCGTTGACGCTGGCGCTCTTCCGAATCATCGAGCCAATATCTGGCTCTATCAGGTGCGTGAACAACATTAGAACCAGAGCCGCGACTCACCCCTTACTGGTTCTCTCTGGATGAGACGAGTGGTGCTGGGCTAACTCATCCTCCTGTAGCATCGACGGGCTGAATACTTCGTCGATTGGTCTGCTAGATCTGCGGCGGCGGCTGGCTATCATTCCTCAAGATGCCGCTCTATTCGAAGGCACGGTTCGTGACAATTTGGACCCGCGCCATGTCCATGATGACACTGAACTGTGGAGTGTGCTTGAACACGCTCGTCTAAAGGAGCATGTCTCGAGCATGCCGGGCCAATTGAATGCGGCCATTCATGAAGCTGGTGAGTCCGCCTCTGTCTTCATCAACGAGGACCCGCAGCAAATATGTATTTCCCCTTTTCACGTGTTCTGACCGTGGATATATTGGGTCGCAGGTTCCAATCTGAGCCAAGGCCAACGCCAATTGGTGTCTCTGGCGCGTGCGCTGCTCACACCCAGCAATATCTTGGTCCTGGATGAGGCTACCGCAGCGGTAGATGTGGAGACCGACAGGATGCTCCAGACCACGCTTCGAAGCAGTATCTTCCAGAATCGCACGATCATCACCATTGCGCATCGCATCAATACCATCCTGGACTCGGATCGTATTGTGGTGCTGCAACAAGGGCGGGTAGCGGAGTTTGACACCCCAGAAGAGTTGATCAAAAAGCGGGGCTTGTTTTATGAGCTTGTGCGTGAAGCCGGATTGCTCGATGGGTTCGGCAATGGTACAGCGAGTGCCATCCAACATTAGCATCCGAGTAGGCCTGAGGGCCTCACAGCGATGTGCTCTAAGTCATCGTCAGACGGGGAACGAATACTCTGGGTTCCGGCCCCGAGGAACTGGGAGTCCAGCATCCCTTCCCCAGCGATGACGCGCGATCTCAGCCGACAGAGCAACGCCGCAACTATGGAGTGAAAGTCTGCCGATCCACTTCCGGGGCTACACAGTGCTCGACTGGAGGGCAACTTTTGATGGGGGAGCAACATGCACACCAGTCCAATTTGGGTGCGATGAGCGGATGCCCTCAGGGGGGGAGACAAAGATCGAAGGATTGCACAGCTTCTGGCCCACCAATTGGAGCCCGAGCAGGCGCTCAGGATTCAACTAGTGAGCACTTGGGAGGCCAGCCTCACCAGCCGGCATACGACAATGTTGTGTAACCCTTTGACGAAAAGGACAACCTGGTTTTGGTCATGAGCCGCGGTTATAGTTGCTTGAGAGTTTGTTCCGTCAGGGCAAACCCGTCCTCACTGCCACCATTTCCCGCGGTCGTGCAGTGGACGCCAACGGTAGCACAAGGCGAAAAGCTAGAATGAAACGAGTCGGACAAAATGCACGGATCCGTGCTGAGTGCAGCGAGACTCTCTCAGATACAGTGCCTTCCGTCCTTCTGGTACAGGTACCTCGGGCCAGATCATTCTTTCTCTGGGCTCAGGGTACCTGTTACCTATTAATAGAGTTTTGTGTCCAGATCGTAGTTGTACGGTTCCACCAACCGATGAATAACAAATCGAGGCGTGGAGGCGAGTTTGCCTCGGTGGGGGGCATCGAGATTGGACACACAGAGAGAGAGTGTGTGTAGAGAGGAAGAGGAAGGAGGAGTGATCGAAGTCTCCAAGCAAGCAAGCGCCAGAGCGGTTGCAGTAAAAAAGACCCTTGTTCGGGAAAAGAGCCTGTGGGCATTCCGTTGCAGATTCACGTACAGTGGTAGCTTTGCGGCTTTGCAGGTATTCGTTATTGGTTGCAAAGGGCTTCCGTCAAACGGGCATCTATCCCATGCTCTCCATGTTTGCTTTGACTCACTTCCACGGCCTCAACCTCTTGGGGTGCACCCACCGGTCGATGCACAATCTACTAGGGGGCGCAGACGAAGCGCGATGTCAGGCGGTGCCACCATAATCCAGAGTCCAGTTCGTAGCCGGAAACAAAGTTTCGCCTACGCATGCTTCGGCGTGCAAAGAGGATTCTGCATTTCGGTCCTTTTCCCCACACCCGGATGGCTCTCAGCCGTAGATCTTGGCCCGGTCGAAAGAAGACAAACACAGGATGCGAGGGCATTATCCGTATAACCAGAACACTTGGCTGTAGCCGTTGAGTACTCAAGGGAGGCCCTGCGGGAAACCAATCCGCAGCACCAGGACACAGGCGGAATGTCTTGACGAAAGCGGCTAGCCCTCTTGCCGCAAAATTGCACAGATGGTGAGATGGTGGGCAGCCTTGGTCGGAAGATCGTTGACAGAAGCGGGCGGGCGAGCATGACAAGATTCAAACAGAAGCCAGGGCAGTCTCTTTCGGATAAACCAGCCGCCAGGCGCCTCTGGCCTCTTGTCTCTAAACTCTCTCGGCAGCTCCCGTCTCGCCGGTGGCCAAGGGCGGCTGGTCAGATCCTCCAGGCCTAGGAAGGAGCAAGATGTGACAGCATCGTGTTTCTGCAGTTTGCTTGTGCGGGAAGGGAGGGGGAGGGAGAGAGCGACTCGAGGAGAGGATCTCTGGCGAACAAGGTCAGCCAGCTAGAAGCGATCGGGCTGAATAATGTCCACCGTGCCGGGAAAAGACTTACAGGCACGTTCACGCCTGCTGTAGCCGCAACGGGACGGATTGGACGATTGATTGATCGACTGGTTTGACTTTGAGAGGGCTCCTCGGAGCCCAGGGTGTGACAGAAGGAATCGCTTAGCGTGGTGGTTTGGCCGACAAGTAGCACGGATGGACAGGGTAGCGAAGGAGGGGGAGCGTAGAAATTCACCAGAGCTAGAAATAAAGAGGCTGCTGCTGATGGTCGCTGCCGTAGCATGGTGGTGATGCATGGTGCGAGAGGTGCAGCCAGCTAGTATTACGAGGTACTCCGTAAGTGACGGAGGCGATAAGGCCGTCAGGGCAGGTGGGGAGCTAGCTGACCAACTGCCGGAAGTCGATGCCTTTCGTTTCTCTGGTCACTAGGCCCACAGCCACCTGCTGCAAGCTCCCTCTCCCCGTTACTCAGACTCCCTGTCCATGCCCGTTTCTGCCTGGCACAAGTCGGAACCATGCTGCCGTCGCTTGTCTGACTCGCCTGAACCGTCCCCCAACAGGCCCGCTACTTGGTGCACGGGCCCCCCCTTGGGTGCCCCGTGTAGTCCCTCCGTAGCCGTTTGGTTTTGGGAGCCCTCAGACAGCAGAGATTTTTAGCTGAGCTTTGCGTCTATCCTGAGTAGAGACCCCGTGGCCGGAGAGAAGTCAACGTGAAAGCCTTATCACTCGTGTCCATCCGAAAGAGGCACCTCGATCCTAAGAGGGAGACAGGCCCAAACCCAATCGTGACCCCAGAACGTGACGGACCGGTGCGACGAGGGACAAAGCCCGACAAAAGTCGACTGCTCCCTCTTCCCTCCACCTTCTCACCTTACTCCGGAACACAAGCCCTTGGAAAGAGATGGAGTTCTGGTTGCAAATTTTGTTCTGACAGCTGCCGCCACTCTCGCGACTTGGTATCTCCCCTCTACCATACACACCACCAACAGCGCTGCCACCCTCCCCCTCCCCTTTACTCAGTCTCTGCTCCACGAACCTATGCCCCAATCCCGTCTCAACCCCTTCTGATCTCGTCCTTACCTATTGGCTGCCTGCATGGCGTCGTCCGATTGGCAATCGCATATACATCTTCGTCTGGACCACTCCGGGGAGCTCGGTTTTCTCGTCCCTTCCCTAGACTCTTTCATTTGTACCCAGCTAGCCACGCCGTCTTTCCGCTCCAACTCTGCCGTTATCCACGCCTCAAAACTAGACAGTCGAGAAAGCAAAGGCAAGCAAACAGTCCTGAACAAACTGGTCAACGCAAATCGCTGGACCGTCGCCCCTCTGTCACCTGGGAGTCTCTTCGTCCACGCCCCCTGTCCTCGCGACTTGACTCCTTGAGAAACAGCACGAATTCTCTGTTTCCTGAAGCTCCTTCTTCCACCCATCCTCCTCCGAAGCACATACTGTCCAACTCGAATATTGCCCTCGGCAATTGCAGCTCCTGGATGGCTGTTTAGAGCTGGGAGCTCGTCCCCTACCATCTCGCTGGCCGGCCTCGTCTCTGTTTTCGTCGCTTTTTGTGGTGGTTTTGTTGCAATTGCTTTTTGTGGTGCACACAGCGGGGCGACAGATATATTCGACCCTCATACGAACTAAAAAAACATATCGACCTCACAGCCTTGGATTGCTGCTCAAGAGCCACCGTACCAACTGATCTTGCGCCAGAGCCCGGGACCGTGACTGCCTCCCAGGCGAAAGAAAAGGTTCGTGATAGTTCCATATCTCCCCCAGGATTTGTCGTTCGCCCGAGGTATCTGCGAAGATGCGCATGTCGTCCTCTTTGACGCCGCCGGATGATGAGGAATTGATGATCCGTCGCAATGAGCGGCTGGCGGTGGGGAAGCCCCCAGCAGTTAGCTTGGAGATCCCCCAGGCATGCAGGGCGACCGGGTTTGGCTCTAACTTAGCCTTACCCCGGCGCACCGCGAACGCTTTGCCCACCCCGGCCTAGCCGCTCTCCTGGGCTGTTCAAGCATGTGCGAACCGTTAGAGACGGGCTAACTAGCTCTCCACCACTTGCACCTCTGTTGCTCCAGGCCATCACCCTCCCCCTCTACGACCACACCGCCCCAAAATCATGCATTCACGCTCCGGGGGCACTGGTCGTCGGGCCTCGCCTTGCCTTTGGCACATGAGGTTCTGGCTTTTGGCTCGAATCACAGTCGCTAACAATCATGCGCTTCCATCTAGAGTCAACTTTGCTTAGACTGCTCCTCGGATCTCGAGCACTCCTTCTCCACTTTCCACAGCCCAAGCATCCTACAATGTGGATTGAGCCTTTGCATTGAAAATGACGTCTGAAGTGAACTTCAAGTCCTCCCCTCAGTCTCCTACCGAAAAGCTTTCAACCGTGCCTCAAGACGACCCGAAAACAGCCGGCGCTGCAGTATCCGGCCTGACAAAAGAAGCCAAGCAACAGTACCTGATAGTGAGCCATGGATCCAGCACCAGCGGAGAGGACAAATGGAGCTGATGTGTCTTGCAGAATGAAATCAAAAAGCTTGTCGAAGACTGTGAAGATTTTATCGGCCTGGTTCCGGGGCCCCATGGTGTTCCCGAGGTCGTGGTTTCCCCTAATATCAAAAAGGACAGATGGGCTATCATTGGCGAGGCTCATGGCACCTTTGCTCAATACCTGTCCATGCGCAGCCCCAGCGCTCCCGGTATGTGGTTCCATCATGGGCGAATGCAATTCTGACTGGCGCAGGCCATTGCTGCGGCGCCAATCATCAAACAGCCAAACCGTCGAGGCTAGAATCCATTCCAGATGGAGGAACGCCAGGTGGTGCAATTACTTGGCCAGCGCAGCGTCCTCTGAAGCGGCACAGATCGAAACCCACTTCCACAAGAAATCCATCAAGATCAAGAACCCAGCAGGGTGGCGGCGGAGCGAGGCTCTGGGAAGCCCCTGCATCTCAGATCCGGGTGGACGACCACGAGAAACTAGCCCAGTGGTATAGACAGGCCTTCTTGATACTCCAGCAGGTGGCTTGTCGGCTAGTGGCCAAGGTCTGGATCAAAGAAATCCACCCCAAGAAGGTTCGCCGGCGACTCCCGGGCATGTGTTGAGCGAAGAATAACTGAGAGTCCCAGCAATCGACGCATCCATACAATGGCCAAATGCCCCGTGGCGAGCCTCCCGACCCGGATCGGACAAGGCCTCCTTACTGGCCAGCTGGTAAGTCGCCCACTTCTGGGATACGACGTACCTTGTGTTATGTGTCTGCATTATTCCGGATCTAATATCTAATGCTTTCTTCTAGAGGTCATTCATCGAGAACCCGATCATATTGGTCGTGATGGTAAGCTTCGTGTAGAGGCGCAGGAAACCCTTGGCGCTGACAGTCTACAGACAGAACCCGCCTGCTTGTCCATTTGATCACGAAAACTCCCCAGCCCGTCATTACGAACCCTCTGTCCGAAGGAGTGAACCAGCAGTTTGTCAGGGCTCGAGACTTGCTGGAATCTTTACAGACGAAGAGAAGTGAACTGCGAGAAGACCGTTGGGATATCATCCAACAGATTGTAAACGCAAGAGAGAAACAAGAGCAGTACGAGGCCAACGAGATAGGTGAGCGCCCCGAAGACACGCTGAAGTGTGGCTGCAGCTCTGACACTGGCAGATGGTGATACGCTGGTCTTCGTTTGTGATTACGGCGACGCCACAAGTTCGAAACTGTCCGCAATCGACTCTGATGATGACGGGCTTAGACGGGCTGGCTCTGCGCCTGGTGCCTCCAGTGACGGCTCCGTAGATGCAGGTGAGGAGCATGAAGCAACGCCAGGCTCTTCCACACAAACCTCTCCGGCTGATCAGGCGGCTCTGGACGCGCGCCTCTTGGTCAACAAATCCAGGAGCTCCGGGTCCAAGGAAGCCAGCAGTCGTCGATACGCAGCTCGTCGGCCTCGACCGAGCTTCCACGGTCCTCGAGTAGTATCGGTGATTGCGCCACGGACGGGACAGGACTTTTCTTCCGGGGTGAAAATGGGGATGGAGAACGCCTTGACGCATAGCGAGGGCGTCATGCTTCCACTGGCTGGAATGCACCAGGCACCCACCAACATGTTCGGACGCCATCTTGATAACCATGCCGGAACCAACGCCATGATGCATGCTGCTGCGCACAGCGGTCATCTCAACACAAATCTGCACGCTCCAACCTGGTCAGGGATGTTGCCAGACATGGTACCTGATCCGCCACCTGAGATGTTTGTTATGCCCACTAATATGGCGCCGCAACCGGTTGGCTTGAGACACTACTTCACTCAAGAGACGCTCGAAATGGCCAATGGTATCCAACATGGACTTGGCTCCTCCGTGGTGAGTCCCATGCTTTATCACGACTTTGGGGACAACACGCGACGATCTCTGCCGCATCGGGTTGCAGACACGCAGCAAGCCGCAATGATACAAAGCCCAGACATCAGCATGGAGATGATGGCTGATCGTTACAAAATGGATCACTGGTGAGGCCTGTCGACACCAGGCGGCCACGTCTTCTGGTCGACTGGTCCTCTCTTGAAGGCGACGGAGTTGTTACAAGCAAAATTCTCTCCTCCTCATTATTCAACGAACTCTATCATGGTCTGCTTTGTCGGAATTGTCTTGGACGCGGTTCTCGACACAGTGTCGCACGAATTTCCTTTTGAACCTTTCGCGTTTCATCGGCTGATGACTTGCTTCGTTTCGGTTTGCATTCTTTGCTCGGTTGCACGTATCGGCTCCGCTTTCTGCATTTTTTGACAAAGAGGGAAGAAGCTCAGCAAGTATGAGTTTGGAGCAAGTTACAAAAGTTTGGGACGAGGTAATGAGTCGGGTCGTCAGGGCGTCGCCTCCGTCGTGCCAGGTGGAAGACAGTGACCGTTCGCATCCGTCACAGCAGGATTGGCAAGGCGCCTGTCACAAGCGATTCTTGATTGGGCAGTGTTTGGGCTTTGGTTTTCGGACTATCTCAGTTGCGACTGCTTTGCGGTTTTGACCTACTTTGCTTTTGATTTTGGTTGAGCCCATCGAACGGATTGCGTGGCGTTCTCATAACGAATGCGAGCATTTGCTGGGGACCTTTCTCGGGTCAATGTAGATGAGATACGAGTTAAGATATTGGGCATCTAACCATGTCAAATGAATGCATATAACCGAACAATCGAGTATGGACTGGGGCTCATTCATTGATCAGCAAAGTTTTAGGGGCTGTGGAACAAAAGACAAGAGCCAACCGCATCAACGAATGAGTCCATGGCATACCGGAAGATCCAGTTGATGATTCCACAGGTGTGGAATGTGGGCTGTTGTTGATATTGAGTGTGGCGGCCTGGACAGCGCGCAACTTGCTCGACGGCGGGTAGAGAGCCTGGGGACCTTCGCTAGGCATCGAGGCATGTATTATTTGGTATTATTGGGGGAGGTTGGTGCTAGTGATGCTAACGAGGTGCCCGCGCCGGGCAGCCAATAGGCGTGACTTGCCCAACGGTCGCCTGGGCGGGCGTCTGAGATTTCAACCGTCACGGTGGGCGCGCTGTCATCACATTCTCCGTGCTCTAGCAGCTTTTGTTACATTTGCTTTTCCACTCCCACACGACAGACAACGACAGCACAACCACGACGACGGCGACGACCAAAGCAGCGCGCGCTGCCTCACCGTCCCAATCACCTGCGTCTTGTGCGTCTCCTTCTGCGGTTCGATATTCACCTCGACCAATTTCAAGTGGATTTAAAGTCACAGTCTTCGACTTCCACCCGCCCTCTCCATCTCGCCTTTATAACCTCCATCCCCTTCTGCCTTGACATGACAATCCTCCGATGTTGATCGATCATTCTTGCGCCCATGTCTGCGCCACCGTCCACTCGCGGACAACGCGGTGGCACCTCGACCAGAGGTGGACGAGGGACTCCGTCGCAATCGACTCGAGGGCGCGGTAGCACACGTGGATCTGTCAATACGAGAGGTCGAGGTAGCGGCGCAGGCGCAAACGTGGGTGCTTCAAATACTAATGGTGAAGGGCTACTGCAGCGACTACGCGCGGGAACTGTCAAAAGAGGTGACGACAATGGGTCTTCAGTGCGTGGAAGAGGTGAGTCCCTGCAGCCACTGACCCTGCGACAAGAGAAGACAATGCTAACCTGCGTCAGGACGCGGTGGTGGTATTGGGAACACAACACCCTCTGTGAACGGTTCTCGAGGACGTGGTCGCGGATCCACACACTTGTCGCAGACATTCAGCACGCCCAAATCCCAAGCGTCAAAGCCTGGCTCTCGAGCAGCGTCTCCGGCACCTACCTCACACCGGGACTTTATGAATATGGCATATAACAAATTCCAAACGGTGCGTTGCTATCCAATCCGTGTGTCGCTGACCAGGAGCACGTCTATAGGTTTCTGACATGCGAAACCTTCATATAGCTCAAGCAAAGCCGGGAAGAGGAAAGGGCCAAGGCGATTCGCGATGGGTTCCTGGCCGATCCGGAGAAGAAAACCAGCTTGGACAAAGCCATCACCCCGGTCGGAACCTGCACGGAGATGTGTCCAGAATTCGAAAGAGTGGAACGTATAGTCCAGAACATGGTTGACAAGGCAGAGAAGGTGAATTGTTTGCTTGCTCGTGGATGGGTGGGGCAGTATGCTGAAGTTATGGGTAGGTGCGCAACGAAGAAACCGGCAAAGACATGCCCGCAGAAGATCGCATGGTCAAGCGATTTCGTCGGTCTGCTGCTGGCTATGACGAGCAGTTGCCTTCCGATATCCGAACCCCCGAGACTCTGAAACGAACGCTGGATTATCTTATCGACAAAGTCGTTGGTGGCGGTGAACGACTGGCTACAGTCCACAAGTTTGTCTGGGATCGAACGCGAGGGATCCGCAATGACTTCTCAATCCAACAAGTCACCAACGTCCAGGATGTTCAGCTGGCTGTCGACTGTTTCGAGCGAATCGCAAGATTCCATATCTTGTCATTGCACCAACTGTCAAACCCGGACAATCTGCTGGAGGGAGAGAACTTTGACAGCTACCAAGAGAGAGAACAGCTAAACAACACCCTCCTATCGCTGGTCTACTATTACGATGATCATCGAGGGCGGATTGACTTCCCTAACGAAGGGGAGTTCCGCTCTTATCTCGTCATCTTTGAGATTCAAGCCCCTGAAAGACCGGACTTGGAAGATCGCATGCAATCATGGCCCAGGAGTCTTCTCGGGGACAAGAGAGTTCGGACGGCACTTCAGCTGTACCGGGCGGCAGGCAACTCCTTACTCAACCAAGGGCCTCTTCAGCCGTGGGAGCCTTTCGCCGTTGCTCAGGGGAAAACGGGAGGCTTTTGGAACCTCTTGGCCTCGGATGCGGTGCCATACATCATGGCTTGCCTCGCTGAGATATATTTTGCCGAAGTCCGCTTCGTCGCCCTCGATGCATTGTGGCGCTCGTGCAAGAAAGGCCCTCAGGCCCAACAAGCAAAGTCTAGAGATTGGACGCTGGGTGAAGTGACAAACTTCCTGGGGTTTGACTCGAACGAAGAAACCGGGGACTTCTGCGCCGCTTTCGATCTCTTCTTCGGTATGGACGATAGCGGCGAGGGTTATCTGGATGCCACAGCAAATAGTGCTCAATCGCTTGATTGTGCGTCCTCCCACCTCCCCACCATTTTCCCTCATCGAGTACTGATGTCCGTATAGCGTCCTCGATACCACGACGCCAGATATTTTCCCACCGGTACGTGGAAAGGAAGCGGTACCATCGCACCCTGACCGCCGTCATCAACGGTGCAACCGTCGCAGAAGCAATCCGTCAGGGCTGGGTTGAGTCTCAAGATGAGGACGCACGCCCCATGGATGATACCAGGGAAGATGACCAGAGCTTGTTCGTTCCGGAGACGAAAGCAAGCTCCTCTGCAGCTTCCTCTCCTTGGGGCCCTTCACTCAATGCACAAGCTGCTCCCTTTACACCATCGTTCGTTCAATCCACCCCCTCGTCGAGCTCGACGATGCCAGCAACGGGTACTGGATTTGGCACTTCTAGCTCATTCAACGCTGCTGCTTCTGTCAAGTCGACAGACGAGTCTCCGTTTGGAAAGCCATTGAAAACTGGTGGCTTTGGAACTTTTGACCCATCCAAATTGACCGATTCGACGGGCAACTTTGCCAAGTCAACTCTTTCTCAACAACCGCAGACATCGACTGGCGGCTTTGCTGGATTCACGCCGTCAACAGCATCATCTACTCTACAGAAAGAAAACAAGTCCTTGGGCCTGGGCGGATTCACTGCCAAAGCTCAGGAAGCACCTACTACCACTGCTGCAGATAAAAGGCCTGCTCAGCCTGCGTTTGTCTTCGGCACAAATTCTTTCTCTCCTTCGACCCCTGCAACCTCATCAGAAACTCGCATCTTTGGCCAGCCACCGGTGCCACAATCGACAATTTCTGTCGCCTCACCAGCAAAGCAAGGTACGCAACCTCACTTCTGTCTCACCTTGGCACTCGTGAAGCCATTGCTAACTCTTTGTTTTTGAAAAGGGCACGCCTCAACAACTGTTCCATCGTCCACGCCTTTTCCACTCACCTCCCCCACAGCGTCATTTTCGACGTATACAACGTTTGGGCAGACTTTGGGAGGCACAACTGCCCCATTATTTCTTGGATCAGCCGAAAGACCTACAACCTTACCAGAGGCCGTGCAAGTGACATCAGAGTCGGAGAGGCGCTCACCCTCAACCACAACTCCCGCAGTCTCGTCCTCAGAAGCGATCCCAAGTTTCTTTTCGAAGCCAAGTGTCACTGGCTCTTTAGAGACACAACCATCATCAATTCTTGAATCCGTTTCGAAGCCTTCATTGGAGAAGTTCAATTTCTCTACGACGGCAAGTTCAACTACGACCTTGGGGAATCAGCAGCACCCAAGCCAACAACTTGACAAAACAACAATCGCTCCGAGCCCATCATTCACCGAGGCTTCTACCCGCAGCACCACTCCTCCACATTCTCCCCGTCAACCTCCTCCCAAGCCGGTCTTCACCCACGCAGATCGGAACAAGCTTGCAGAGAATGTGTCCAGGATTGCATTGACACAGCAGAGGGGATTGCTTAACAGCTATATTGATTTCACACTGCGTGATCTTGTGACGACAGCCTTCAATCAATATCGACTAGAAGCGCGCGATGCAGCTATTAGTTGGTCCACATATTCTGTTTCCAGAGACACATTGCTGACTATGTTGGGTAGCTTCTGTTCGTGAACGTATCCTAGCGCGCAAATTTGGCTATCTCTGGCGGACCCGCGCTTGGACCGGTGCGCTGAATCGACGAGCGAAAACTCGACGCCAGCTATTCGCGGAGACCATCAGAGCCGAACAAGCACGAAAACAAAGAACAAAGGAAGAACTCGAGGAGATACTGAGGGCAACAATGGAGACAAAACGTCTTCAAAGAGAGGTTCAACAGGCTGTCATAGCAGGAGATCCCCCGACCGCCACGCAAAACAAAGTAGAAGTCTGCAGCGTCGCTGGACGAAAGCGCAAAAGCTTCTCGGGTGCGAATTCGGCAGCGAACAGTACACCCTCGATTTCTGGGCATAAGAGGTCGAAAACGATGAGTGTCTCTTCTGACCCCTCAGGCTCTACCATGAGCCAGAGACCGCCCATCCCTAGTTTCAGGGCGTCTATCTCGAGGCCACCTCAATACGTCTCCATCTTCTCGCGCACATCTACGCTCGGTCAATCGGCATCTGCACAGAAACTCGATACTACACGCACCGACTATTTCAGGCTTAAAGCTATGGGTGTCGATCCCGAGACGCCGATTATCCCCGACACTCAGCGAACGCTAGCGGTCCGACGACAAAAAGAGGCAGAAGAGAGACAAGCAAGTCTAAGAAGAGCAAACCGACGCCTCAGAACGTCGCTCTCCTCTGATCAAAGCTCTCCCGCACCAACACTGCCACCCGTTGTGGCTGCCTCCCGGACGCCGGATGCAAAACCAATACCGCAGCAAATATCTACCGCCCCTCCAGTCGAAGACGATTTCCTTAAGCAGATCAGAGAAGCTCGTGAAGCAATGGTAGAACAGATCGAATGGTTCAAACAGCAATCTGTCTCGATAGAGAAGGAGATCGAGCAAGACGAAGAATACCGAAGAAGCCAGAGCAGTCGTGATCACGGTAGCCCCAGTTCAGCAACTGGCTTGGTACGAGTCAACGGTTATGAGTACCTTCCGGGAGCGAACAAACCAGGATCCAGTCTGTCGCGTACCGAGAGGCGTATTCGAGAAACTGGCGCCCATGGATTGGCGACGAAACCTCTCCGAACGAGCTCGCAGTATGTGCCGGTTGCAATGTCCAAAAAAAGTGCACAGATTTACTCCCGAGGGTCCAACGTTTCGAGTCCAGGGAAAAAACGGGCGCACGACGATGTGGATCTGGTTTCTGAGAAGGCTGCAAACCGGTATCTGGGGACTCTGCCTGCTTCTAAACGCCCTCGGGGCGCACCGTATCAGACTGCAGTCCGGATCGTTCAGCATTCAAGGCCGAACCATATCACCAGAACTCATGGCAGCAATTCATTCGACCTGCTCCAGTCACCCCGTTCGGATGAAGATGTAGAAGAAGCAGATGACGACACCGACGGAGGCGGGCATCATGAGCACGAGCTGTATTATGAAGAGGAAGAAGAGGGATATTCTGGACACGATGCCTCCCAGTATGCACGCAACGGCATTTACGCAGCCGACGAAGATGAAGAGGAGTTGGAGGAGGACGATGAGGATGAAGATGAAGATGAAGATGAAGAAAAAGAAAATGGATACTACCCTATGGAAGGAAATGGAGAGGCCGAGGAAGAAGATACGGAGGAGGATAACGACGACGACCTCGAGGCGGACGATGAAGAAGAGGAAGATGATGATGATGATGACAGGCAATACAGTTATCCAGCGTACCTTCAGGAGCGACAGGACGAATTTGACGACGCCGAAACACCCCTGACGAATCCCCAGCTCAGCCGTGCCGCCAGCAGCGCTCCAGGTGCTAGTGTGGACGACGCACTGGTCCTGAGCGACAGCGACTGAAAAGATGGATGGATGCACATCATCTCGGCTTCCAGGGGCGTACTTGAGCAGTCCATCAACCTAGCTATCGATCGATTTGTGCGATCCATAGCTTGTCAGCAAGCAAGTAAGCCGCAACGTACCCTTTTTCTCGCTAGCCTTGCAGGTAGGGGAGTATTCAACTTGGAGAACCGGGAACTGGAAAACATGGGAAAAGGAAAAATGCAAGGGCGGGCGGATGGATAAAGCGTGCCACCCAAAACGGGAGCAGTCGGGAACAACTCTCTGTCTCACCTTTTCTCTCTTTCCTCCTCTCTCCCCTCTCTCTGCGAGTCGGTCAGTCAGTCAGTCGGTCAGTCAGTCGGTCATTCAGTCGGTCAGTCGGTCAGTTGTTGAGGAAGCAAGTAAAGTGCTGCATAAAAAGCAGAGAAGGCAGGGAGGATCAATCAATGATCATAATAACAATAACAACAACAACAAATGAAACGAATTAAGGCTGCTTGCCTGCTTGTTTACCCCGTTTCCTTCCCCCCCTCACTCAACCGTTCTCAATTCCACATAGCTATACATATTATGTACTATATATTATGTATAGGGTGGAGGTGGGAGTGGACTTGACGACCACTTTATTCATTCCACCTTGTGCCCTGTTCTCCCCCTTTTTTGGCGGGGGATCGAAGTAATATTAATAAATTAATAGCGCACTTTCTCTCGACGATTTCCTTCGGTCGTGGAATCAAAAGTATTACTTACGACAAAGAAGAGAGAAAGGCAAGGCATGCGAGGGCAGGGCTAGAATGGCTAGCTAGCTGGGCTGACATATTTCTGTCCATGCCATTATGATCCTTTGACCACCCCATACCATGATGGGTCATCCTGGTCTGTCTGTCTTGTATGGCTTTTCCAAGAGTTCGTCTCCTGATTTCTGCCTCCCGTCGAATTTACTCCGCCAGCTACCTACCTATCCAGTTCTCATCTTCCAAGGCCAATGGTGTCTCTTTCTGTCGTTCCATGCATGCCTGGAGGTGTGCAAAGAACGTAACTAGCATCGATTGTCGATGTCTGCTTGCCTAGCTAGCTAGTTTTACCTCCTATGCTCCCCCTTTCACCACTTGCTTGTTCACCCTCATCATCGTCTGCGGCGGCCTACGCCAGCCTCGTTTTAGGTATTTCGTGCGTTATCCTCCGCGTCGAGTGGATAAATATATATAGGGAGAGATGACAGACATATACGCTCGTTCACTGGCCTACCTAATTGCGTCGCTCTACAGAAAAAGGGAAACAAGATATGACAAGGGACGTTCCCTTTCATTTATAGCTTCGCCTTGAATTTGGCAGAGCCCAGCTCGTTACGGCTCAGACCCTTGGATCGGAAGATCTCCTCGGTCTTGGCCTGTTGGCGTGCAATACGGGCTCGGATGTCCTGTGCGCGCGACTTGTTCTCGCGGCGGCCGAGTTGGCTTAGATGAGCTGAGAGGCAGGAGAGTTAGCAAACGAGCAAAGCGAAGCCAACCCGGGTGAAGGAGGTTGGTTGGATGTCTGGGACAAGAGTCACTTACCCTCATCTGGTCCGTCGGCTATTCTCAACGTCCTCAAATGTGCCCACATGTGAGCCAAAGGCGTGTCCTGGCAGACACCCATGGCGCCGTGCACCTGGATCGCACGGTCAATGACTTTGAGCGCCATTTGTGGCACCTTGACCTTTGCCTCGGCGATTTCCTTGAGGGCAAACTTGGCGTCCTTCTGGTCTATCTTGACAGCAGCGTTCAGCACGATCAATCTCGAGGCGTCAATCTCAATCCGTGCTTTGGCGACCCACTCCAACAGCACGCCGTGCTCGCGGAGAGGCTTGCCGAAGGGGATCTTCCTGTCGTCGTTGAGCCGGTTGATCAGCCATTCAAGGGCCCGTTCAGCGGCACCGACAGCTCTCATGGCGTGGTGGATTCGGCCGGGTCCTAGACGGCCCTGCATGATCTCGTTGCCTCTACCCTCGCCTAGAATGAGCGCGTCAAGGGGTACCTTCACATTGTCGAACGTGATGTGGCCGTGGCCGTGAGGGGCATCATCGTATCCGAACACCGAGAGCATGCGGTGGACCTTGATGCCCGGAGTGTCGGAAGGCACCAATAGCATACTCTGCTGTCGGTACTTGTCTGGGTTGTTGGGGTCGGATTTGCCCATGACGATGAAGATCTTGCAGCGGTCATCGCCGGCGCCTGACGACCACCACTTTGAGCCGTTGAGCAGGTAGTGGTCACCCTTGCGCTCAATACGGAGCTTGATGTTGCTGCCGTCCGAGGAGGCGATATCGGGTTCGGTCATGAGGAAGCCTGAGCGGATCTCGCCTGCGAGGAGAGGCTTGAGCCATCTCTCCTTCTGGGCTGGAGAGCCATAGCGAGCAATGACCTCCATGTTGCCGGTGTCGGGAGCGGCGCAGTTGCACGCCTACATGGAAAAGCCATTTGTCAGTACAGAAGACCCAGACAGAGCCGCAGGAAGCGAAAGACGTTCGTTCGTCCCCTCCTCCCCGGATGGAGAAACACACCTCGCTGGCTGTAATGCTCTTTCCCAACTGCTCGGCCATAAGCCCATACTCGACATTGGTGAATTGAGGCCCCTCCTTGAAATGGTTCTTGGGCAAGAACATGTTCCAGATGCCCAATGCACGGGCTTTCTGCTTCAGGTCATCCATAATAGAGGGGTGGCCGTGCCAGCGGGCATCACCCGAGCCGATTTGTGACGAGTAGACGACATCGGCGGGGATACATTCTTCCTCGACGAATTTCTCGACCTGCGAGGGAAAGAGGTTAGAAATTGGTCAACTGAACAGAGAGAGTGCAGGGGCAATAGTACCAAGTCTAACTGCCTCTTCGCTCGCTCCGACACAAAGGGAGCGACAATAGGGGGAATGTTCTCTGAGGCGGGCATCGTGGAAGGTGTGGGTGGTGTCCTCGGTACGCAGTTGGGGAACTAGTAGAGATTGGCAGACGGTGAGATTGAGGATGGCAGGCAGGAAGCAATCAATATGTACTCGGTGCTTTTTCAGGCTCGTTGGAATTGCCAGACCCTCGGCTACTACTCGAAATCAGGAAGAAAAGAAAACAGTCAATGGGAGACGCGGAGGGCGCAGTTACTTTGTAGCTTGTTCGGCTGTAAGTCTGAATCTGGGGGAGTTGGAGTTGGAGACGGCGGCCCAGTGAAGCTTGTGCCTCGGCCATAACGTCCCAGGGCATCCACCAGCCGAGATGCCTGGGGAGACTGTTGACGGCTGATTTCCATATCCGGGAGCCAGGCGCTTGGGGGCAGAGAGGGGGCTCGGGGGGACTCTGGGGGGTTCCTGCTGGACGCTAGGCTTAACCGACCCGAGCGAGAAGGTACCGAGTGTTATTATCTTGTACTTGTACCAGCACAACAACACAATCAAATAAACACAACACGGTGGTGAGAGGGTTGAAATTCTCCATTCTTGTAGACTCTGGTCAGTCAATGCCCGTCTAGGCAAAAGTATCAATCTAGCTACTTCTCGCTCGACAAGCGCTCAGTCTTGCTCCCAGCTCCCAGCTCCAGCTCCATCTCTTCAAGCCAACAAAGTAAAACAAATCCCCACGAGTCCAGGAGAATTGATGCAATTCAAAGAGCACGCACACGCCCCGTCGCAACACCTCAAAGGGCTTCCTTCAAACCTGAATAGTGAACCGTTTCCCTCACCCTCAACAGCAACAACACCACTCCCACCGAGCTTTTTCTGTCCCTATCCTATAATGCTGTCCTTGTCGGATTTTATGGGTTGGAATTCCCATGGCTAAATAAACACACAAAAAACATACTCGTAGCCGCCGCTACCCCAATGCCTTTGTCCGGGTATTTTTGATTTCTTGCTGCTGTTGGTACACTCCATGACACCTCGTCAATAAACAAGACCATGTTTGTAAAGTCATCAGTGTCAAGGTTCCAATCAAGACAAAAGTGAGGGTGGTGGGAGTATTTTTTTCCTTCTTCCTTTCTTAAACGCATGGCAATGTGGTCTTCACCTGACCATCCAAACAAAAACACAAGATTCGTCCCCCTTGCTGGGATTGTAACTCGCCTCCGCCCCCCGGTTCACACAAAGTTCGAATAAGCTGACAAGAAGGTGATGCTCAAAGAATTACAAATGGAAGTTGTGCCAACCTCCAACCCACTCAAGTTCATCCTCGTCTGTCGAGGGTGAATCCGACACCCGCTGTTGCCGCCAATCTTGATCCAGGTACGCTGGACGAGCCTTGGGTCGGCTGTCGCGGCGATGCCACGGATTTGGATGGTGGTGTGGATCATGTCCCAACCCAGTCGTGGGCTTCCTGCGTGATCCAGTCGTCATCGATCGTTTCTTGAAAGTCCAAGTCTGCGTGTCTGATTCCGTCTGGTAGTTCCGTCTCTTGTCACCCAACGCCGCCCACTTATCCACCGCACTTTGTTTGGGTGAATGTCGGGGGGTGCGTGCACGCCATGCGAAAATGTCGTTCTCATTTGCCCCATGGCTCGCCTTGATCGGTGATGTCGGCTTGGGCGTTCGGCTGCGACGCGCGTTGCTCGAGGAACGGCTCTTGGACTCGGTGAGCACTCCCGGAGGCACTGGGAGACGCTTTTGACTATCTTGACTCCAGCTTCGAGAATTCTGCTCACGTCGCAGCTTCAGCTCAGCCTCACGTTCCCACTCCTCCTCATCTTCCTCGAACATATCACTCCAACTTTTGGCCACCGTGTCATTCTGCTTCTTTCCAAAGACAGACGACATGGTGGGAATAGGTCGGGAGGCACGCGTTGGCAACGAGTTGGGGATAGGTACAGGGTCTGGCTGAGGAGGGTTGCGGGCAGCAGACCGTCGCAGCGTCATGGATTTGAAAGACCCATAGGCCGAGTCGAAGATCGAGGTCAGAGAAGGCGTCGTGCCATGGCCGGAGTACCAGGACTCCCCAAGCTTGAGGCTCTTGTCCGACTCGAAGAGATCCTCTTCGTATAAGTCGGGGATAGAATCCAGCTGCTGCTTTAGAGGACTGGCGTGCAAAGCCTTAGCCCAAGGGAAGGAGTCGCCATCCATCTGAGGGCTTTGAATTGACGGGGTCCGCAGAGGCTCGCGATTGGCACTGGCCCGAACAACATCTCGTTCTTCTGAACAGAAAAAGTCATCAAAGGATTCGTCCTCGGTGGTAAAGGCAATGGCACGGAGAACAGCTTGCTTGACAGCTTCCAGGTCCCGTTTGGCAGGGTCCAAAGCCATGGCCACAGACAGGATCTCAAAGGTATCCTGCGACATGCTCGGAAAGATGTCGAACAGAGACTGGCGGTCTCGACGATAGTCGGCAAATAGGATGTCCGATTCCGTGGGTGTAACAAAGGGATTCCTAGCGAAAAGGACGTTGAGCAAACAGATGCCGATAGACCAGATATCTGCCTTGGCCGGCGAGTAGCCCGTGCCAGCAGGATCATATTGTTCTGGAGCCATGTAGCGATCGCTTCCAACGCAAGACTCATAAGACCAGAGGCTCCTGGTCGCCAATCCGAAGTCCCCCAGTTTGACGGAGCCATCTTGGGTCAAAAAGATGTTCTCAGGCTTGATGTCTCGGTGAAAGAGGCCGTTGGCGTGCATATGTTGTACGGCACTGATCAACTGCAGCATGAAACGTCGGACATGCTCGGTCTGGACAGGACCCCGATTGAGGCGGATCGCCTCATACAGGTCACCTTGAGAACAGTATTCCAGAACCAGGTAGGTGTGAGCGTCAGTCTCAAAGTGGTGCACGAGGTTCACCAGATGGTCGTGCTGCTTTAGAATTGCATGACACGCAAGCTCTTCGGTCCCTTCGTCTGTGGTTGGCACCTGGGTAGACTTGGCGGCAACAGAAGGCTTGGTCAAGCATTTGATGGCCACGTTCTGCCGGGTCAGGATGTCCTCGGCCAAGAAGACCATGCCGAAGGAACCATGATTGAGGGGAGCAATGGTCTTGAAACGGCCATCCAGAAGCTGGTCCTTGTGGAATTCACTTTTCATGCACTCCATCGTCATATTGATGGTGTCAGGGACGGTGTGAGCCGATATATCTCTGATGATGCTTTGTGCAGTCTTATCCTTTGGGAATGAAGTGACAGGAACTTTTGTTGGCTGAATAGCGACGCGTAATATGATCCGGGAGGACTTTGTACAACAGTATAGACAGGAACGGAATTGCAATGCAGACGCAGTGTGGAGGAGCAGATACGCTCAGGAGGAAACGTCGAGTATAGGAACTGGAACCCGGACACCAAGCATAGATCCGCCTTGTAGCTTCAATCTTCAATCTTCAATCTCCCCCTTATCATGTGTAGAAAACGCCCAGTCGAGAAGGACACCGCGGAACTCCTTGTCGTTCGTGTAAGGTCAGAGGCTCATAGAGGTGATATATAGGTCGTAACGTAAAACAAAAGGAAAAGCTGATCGCTGACGCAGAGCCTGCTGGGCTCGTTGTGCAGTCGAACGAGCAGTGGCGTAAAGAGCGTCAGTTTATTGTGTCATGGTCGAGAGAAGTTGTGGGACTGGTTCCGGCAGAAGAGCCAAAGAATGCGAGTGAAGAAGTAGAGGAGACTGATAGTCGAAGAAGTAGTAGAGATTTGACAGAGAGAATAGTGAGTTGGTGGAGCTGGTCCCAGGTGGTTGAGGGTGTAGCTGTGTCACGACTTGTCGAGTTCAGATGCCTGTCGACAGGCAGCCACAGGGTTTTGTCGCCACGTAGGACGCTGGTGACCGGATCAGGAAGAAGAGAATGATGAGAGAATGAACTCGGGATGCTGCAGTCTTGACTCAAAGCGAAGCTGCACCCCTTTGTCTGAAGTTTATTGTGGTGTGGGTTGAGCGTGACTTCACCTGACTTTGACCCAGTTGACACCCGCAACAATGATGCACCAACTAAGCCGAATGCGAAGGGAAGGCGAGACTCGACAGATTGGATGCTCAAATAGCCCTAATATCCCAGGCAGATCGAGGAGCAACTCAACGGTATAGCAGGATTATAGATACAGTTGTGATGGGGGTGGTTCGAGCTCAATGCTAGGCGTGGTGGGGAGTCGAGGACCGGCGGGGGTGAGAGGTCGCCGGGCGACAGCGATGAATGCTGGCGAGCAGAGAAGGAACGTCTTCGAGACGGAAGGGTGAGAAGGAGAGACACGGCCAGGTGTTGAGTTGTAGGTGACAGGGAGAGAAGAACGAACACTCGTGAGGGCTTTCGATTTCACATTGCAGGGTGGTCGATCTGGAGGTCGAGGTTGTAGGGGCAAAGGTAAACAGTGAGACGAAGATGGCTGAGTTATGGTTATGAAGCAGAAGTCCACAGGTGCGGCGGTCGAGTTGGCGGTGACGGGTGGCTCCTACAGCTTGGCCATGTCCGGTGCCTGGGAATGGTGCATTCTGGGGCCAGCCGAGCAGTGGGCACACCACTCTTACGGAGCGCCCTCACAGCCTAACTTTGAACAGGCGGCATGAGGGCTACGGGCTACGAGCTACGGGCAACGGCGAAAACTGCCCACCAGTGCCTGCCCCAACAAATGACGCTGGCGAAGTCAATGGAACCGGCCGGCAACTGCAGGGCCAGCCAAGGACGAATCACGCCCGGCCGGGTGGGGAGCCTGCCATTGTGCCTGCGCCTGTGAGGGTGGCCCACTGCTGGAAAGACGGGTGCAGGGGCTAGTCCACTTCGGCACTGGCGGCTTCTGCACCAGCAACACCTCGCAATTTCCTGCTAGCGCGTGACCCGTTTTTCTTCTGGCCCTCGCTGGACTGTCGATGGCCTTCTCTGCCTGTCCTCGTGCTCATCTCTACGCTTGAAGGTTTGAAGGCTTGACGAAGCAATGCCGCCACCCACTGCCCTCTCTTTTTTTGTCTCACCCACCCTGACGCTCTCCACGTCCTCCCAAGTCATCCAGACCCAGCGGCAGGTCCCCAGACACTACAGATCAGGTGCAAGCCAGACGAAGCGCTCCCTTTTTGAACTCCCTCCTTACCCGCTTTCGGTTCATGGCTTCGTCTCCCTCCAACCAATAGTCACGCCACAGCCATCAAGAGCCCTGACCAGAAAATGACCGCCGCCCGGTAGCGGACACTCCCACCATGACCAGTGACCATAGGGCCAGAGGCAAAAAAAAGAGGACACTTTGCCAGTACATACAATAATAATAATGAACACAATATGGAGTATTCTAATTACGAATCTCGGGTCCAGAGGGAGCACGAGCTCCCGAAGGCTTCCATCCCCCTTTGTCATGAAGAATTTATTTTGCCTCCATAACTCGACTCTACTGACCCACGTCATGGACGACATATCCGGGTACATACAACAGTTGCTCCCGAGTCCCGTGGCACTATCCTTTGTGATAGGGTAATGCGACAGCTGCCTCACGCAACGCATCGAAACCGGACCTCCGATTTTCAGGAGCCCTGCATTGATTTCAGGAGCTGACACGTCAAGGATAGCTAATTAATGGGCCTGTACGGTTGAGGGGAAGAGTGATGAAAATCTCTCACTTGGTCCTGAGGGTTGCTGCTCGATGCTCTCCAGGCTGAGTCAACCTTACGAGTTCTCTTAGCAGCTCCCGTTCAAAGCCCAAGTGACCTTGGATGGTGGAAGCTTACCCCGCAAAACTCGGGATCCTGGACTGATGGTAACAGGTTCGTCGCCGGCCATGAACCACCATTTTCTAAGACCAGGATGCCTTCCCATGCCTTGTCACCGGCATACATGTCGTTGTTCTCTGTAATGTCCTTCGGCGTACAATGCAGAACTGAGGCGCAAGGTGCTTCGTACTCTCTCCTTGTACAATTCTTGCAGCCACACTCGACGAGCTGAGGTCATGTGATTGTAACCATTCGCATCGCAAAGGCCCACTTAGACGGCCCCAAGAAGGATCCAAGTAAGGAGGTGTATCCCTATGCTTCGACCAAGTTCCAAAGGTTTCCAAGCATTCAAGTTCTGGGTGCTCTATCCAGCAAATCTTGTCCCGGATTGGAGCTGTCAAAAACCTGCCAACAACAGTGGCATGTTTATCTGATCGGCAGTTTGTCCTCCAAGCGACATTAAGCTTACGAAACATAGATCCAATGATGTCCCAGAGAAAACAGGGGATGACCACGTGAAATGATAAGCAACTATTGGCAGATGCTGGGTTTGAGGTCTCGCAGGGTCATCTCGGATAACCACGAAGCACTGACCCTGGAGGTTTCGGCATTACCATTGAGACGCCTTGCTGATGTTTCAGCCAGACGTGGTTTGATAGGTAAGATATCGACAGGACAAGAGACCCAATTTCTTGACAGACAGAGCATTCATCGTCAATGCAGTGTCAATCGACCGTGCTGTAAATTACACAGACCAGCAAGTCACCGTATCTCGATCAGTGACCAACAAAAGACAGATCCGACTGCTATTCGATACTGGCCATTTTACCAAAAAGTCGGTGAAAAGGCAGTGCAATTTCAACCCCCTTCAAAGGCCCTTCCAGTGGCACTCTGGGGCTGTTACAGTGCCTGTGTTGGAGCAGTCTAATGCAGCCAGCGGGCACTTGAGATGCAGAAACCTGCATAAGCTCAGCAGAGTGTTTCTCCATTCTTCCTCCGCTTCGATTTGGGCTGGGCGACTGCCGATGAAGGGCTCCAGGCCTGTTTGGATGCTGGCGCCTCGGGAGGAAGGCCAAGTCATCTAGAGCTGATTGGCGCCAACGGAGAAATGACATTCGCCACCCATTGGCAAAGTCCCACGAGCATCCAGTTATCGACCAGCCTGCAACAATGCCATGGCTGTTGCCAATGCCGTTGTTGTTGTCGTCGCCCTGCACTAGGCAAATCCAGCCGCCCGAAGCTTTGAAGCTTCCATTATTGGTCTGTCACACTATCGAACGCTCTGCATTGGCCAGCGTCGGGCCGAAGCAACAACTTGCAGCTCTGGAGACTGGTGCCCCTCCCCGACCGCGTCACTCCACCAGGCCGTCGATCTCGACCTGAAAATCTTTGGCTATGAAGTTCGCGTTGAGAGCCGGTCCACTGAGCAAAGCGTCTGCTCTGACAGCCATCATGACAACCGTGGCACCTCAAGAGGAGTTGGGCTACACAAGCCTTCGTCTGGAGTATGACTGACACGTTGTCGACGAGGTTGCCCCCAATCTGTTGGCATGAGGACGAGGAATTCCCCGGCTGCTTGACGCCCATGGCTTTTGCTACAGGTGTTGACGTTGCAATCCTCCCCTGCTTGTTATTCGATATACTGCGTAGAGCCACTCTCCACCACTACTTGTGCCACGGTCCGGCTCTATAAAATGATTGCCCCATAACTACGACCAATACTCTGAATGTTTGCCAGCGCAACCAATCTTCTTAGCACTGCTGCACTACTTTTCGACCACAACGATTCCACTTCTTCGGTGGCTCCACGCCTTCTGTGTTGGTCTCTCATGCGTGCTAATACTGCATTGCATTGGCGGTCACAAGGGGCAGGAAGCCCAACCTGAAGCACTTCCATTCAGATCGTTCTACGGTAGGTTTTCGAGATCTTCCAAACCCCTAGTCCAGAATATGGGGAGCTGTAGTCTGGTAAGTCCATAAGCGAACCCACCCGGCGGCTGTTCCCATACACCATCCGTTTTCTAGTGCTTCCTGCTCTAAGATGGCGGTATATACACCGCTATATTGCAATTTCTTCCACCTTCAAGATGCGCTGGTCGATTCCTTTCTCTCTGCCGAAACTCAGTAAGTTTTGCGTTGGTGCTGCAGAATGCATGAACGATATCAAGGTGGCTGGACGGCAGATCTCGATTGCATACGAGTTCCTGTGCTTATTGGTGGAGCACGTTGACCGTAGTCGCACATTCAAAATTTCAACGAAAAATCAAAGAAAAACGAAGAAAAGAAGGAAAGAAAAAAAGGCTGGCGGCATTGTCTGCACGCGACGCGAGGATCGTGTGTTGATCTTTAACTTTTTCGATCCATGTTTTCCAACAGCCCGTTTCCAGGTGCACATATTCACATGTGCCCAGACGATGGAACGGAATTCGCATACCATGGGGTGGCAAGTCCGTGAATCGCCTTTCTTACGGTGAGAGACAGCTGGGATTTCATCTCATCCGCAGATGGGAGACCGTCTAACTCCCATGCTGCGTCCTTCTATCCCATTGTCACCTTGCGAGGGAGGGATCTCGAAGCCCTCCGTTATCCACAACCATGGGGATGCGAAGACTTCTGTATGAGCTCACCAGCGTTCAGTAAAGGGTTGGCTGCATCTCAGGTTTCGGCTTGCCCGTCTTTCCTTCCCCTCGACCTGCAGTCCTGTGATCGGGACAGCTTCACATTGCGCAGATATTCAGTTCGCTTGACACATCTCTATGACTTGAGGGGACTTTGACAGATGTTCTGCGAATCGATCGATTTCTTATGGATGACCAATGGATCGCGCCCCAAGCATTGCCTTTTGCCGTCTCGGAGCGAGTCGCCTTGCCCCTGTTCGGATCTACCACAACGTGGGTGAGTCGTGGATCAATCGAGTATTGCGGCGGGCAGGTCTCGCCAATTGCTCTTCCTGTGGCTCTCGACATCGGGATATCTGTGCTTCAAGACTACGCACAAGGCAGATTTCTGAAAATCTTTGTTGGTCCTGGATTGACACAGGTCGGACATCTAGAATGGCGAGCGTCATGGGGGTCTCCTCGTCGAGCGGACGTTTTACTACTCTCATATCCGCCACTTTGCACAACCATAGGCGCCTTGGTGCGTTTGCGCGGAACGCTATGGATATAATCAATTTTGACAGTCTTCCATTGCCCCTTTGAGAACGAGGTCGAATGCTCCCTTTATTCCCTTTATCTTCATGGTAGTCCACACAACACATTATGGTCATACATGTTATATACTACTCTACACATATAGCTCTTTCACATGAGCTCTTCCTACTCGATTCTATCAGCTTCGGGTTTCCTACTATCCAGATGCTCGTTTCAATAGTCCGCCTGGTCTGTGTAGGAGAGGAAATGTAATGTACAAGGGGGAACGATCCGGTCCCGTCTTCCGAAGAGTTTTCCTGTGTGATATATTCAGACGTGGGGGCAACGTTGTATAGTCATCGCGTCAAGTTGTGTGGGATACCAGGGTCTTTTTGGTTCTTTGACTGCACTGTATAGCTGTTCGCGGGCGCTCCGAAAACTCTGCTCCCGCTTTCCGTTCTTTGAAGAGCTCCCTTCCGTAGTATGAGCGTTTATAGAGCACCTCCCAGGGCTTCAACCAGCCAAAGTGCCAGTCGCACCTTCAAGCCTACCCTCCGATCGATTTTGGCGAGATCGTCCTGCGTTGCGACTGTAGCATCTTTCTGTAGATTTTCCGTCTCTTCTTTGAGTCTTCGTTTGAGCCCTTCGTCGCCGGTGAGAATCATTGCTCCAATTTCCAGGTCAAGGCTGTAGCTCCTTTTCGTGTAGTTGCTGCTCCCCACCACCGTGATGCTCGGTCCCGGCTCTTCGACAGCTTGTCCCTCAGCGCCCAGTTGAGGTGGGAGAGTCACCCATAGCCCCTTGGCGTGGTAGGTCATTCCACCGGGTTCACCGACTGTGCCTTTTCTCCACTCCTTGAGCTGAATCACGTCTTCTTTGCCGGCATTATAGACTGTACGCAGGAAGCGTCGAGAAAGGAGGGTATACGCTGCTGGTAGCATCCCGCTTACTCCAGGGCTGCCGTAGAAGCCGTTGGCCCACGGCGATGCGGTGATCACTGTGCATACCTTCTCGAAAGCTTTGATGTCTGGTTTCAGTGCCGACGGACTCTCCGGGGCGGCAGCTATAAGGAGTTTGCAGATGTCTGGGTCAATGTTGAAATATCCGGCCGTGAATATCCACGTCGACTTGTGTAGTCTATCATCCTCGGCCAGGTTGGTGAGCAGTTTAGTGATTGCAGGCTTCTCGGTGGAGGTGTATTGTGCAAACTCATAGTCGAGCACAGCCACATTCTTGGGGGGTCCAAGGAGGACATCGAACTGAGCCAGCGGGTAGACAAATGTCTTTTGCTGAGTGAATTCGACGGGAAACATCTTTTGTCTAGCCTTCTTGTGGATTAATGGTTCAAGTGTTTCTTTAGCGTATGCTTTGAATCTCTTAGTATGCCACAAAGGATCGGGATACCCTCGATCATGGGGGCTTAGCAGCTCGAAGCCGCCAGGACGCTCCTCGGAGGGGACGAGGTGGTACGACAGATCACAAACAGCTTCGTGAATAGCGCCGTAGAAATCCGTGAGCTCTTTAGAGGAGAAAATGTGGTAACGGTCTAGACGGTTGGTAAAGTAGTCATTAGACAAATTCGCGCTGGTTGAGTTAGAATAATGGCAAAAACTGTAGCGAAGAGCCACATACCCTGAGAGCATGATTTCGTCGTCAAAGCCATAGAGTTTCATGTGTTGCAAACCCCATCCTTCGTTTATCCGCTTGGGCATGTACTTCTTCTTCCACCCATTCAAATTTGGCGTGTGAAACATGGAGATCCGAACCCGGTCGCCGAATTGGACGATCAACGGTGCGAGGAGAGTGGCACATGATGGATTGGGATCCTCCCGAGTGCCTCGAAGTGCATCGGTTAGGATCGAGATCTCGAGGTTCGGGTTGTTCACCAACGCTTCCTTGAGCGTCTCGATGAGCTCGTGCTCGGTTTTGCCAATGTACAATGTGGAAAGATATATCCGTCGTTTTGCTCCTTTTATCTTGGCCTGCAGCACACCTTAGCTGGCCGCTTTCCCACAAGCGCCTTATGTGTCTACCTTCAGGGTGTCGTAGAAAGCGGTTGGAGAGTCGAGGATCTGGATATTGTCCGGGTCAATCTCGAACCGGGGTGCGACATGGTCAAGCTGAGTGGCAACCCCCGCAATGGGATGTGCCGTTGGAGCAGGGCCATTGCTGACTGCCGACGAGGAAGACGAGGAAAAGCGTCGTGAGACGAACTTCGTCGCCTGCGCACGATGAATGCAAGCTCTGGTTGTTCGACTGCAGCTGCGAAGGGCGTGCAATCCGCAGTTCCTGGCGAACATGTCCGTCCAAAGTAATGGATGCACACAGCCTGTCACCTTGCGTGCAGCTGCGACCGCTCCATCGGGCACGTCCCAAGCTCCAGGTTGACTCGCTGATGGCTGATGGGCTGATCTACCAACGCGTGCTTCACCATATGCCCGATAATTATTTCTTGCCGTGTCTCCAGCGACGTCATAGCTTGGCGGCTCATTTCTTACCTCCTCGAGAACTCACCTTCCCATCACCCTCCTGACACCTTCCACACACCTGGCTACTCGATTTTCCTGTCGCCCTTGCCCGAGACGGTCCCGAGATATGTCTGCATGACGGGGCACAGGGGGTATGGTCCATTTTTGAGTCTCCCGGAATAGGGTCTACCGTTGGCCTTCCCTGCGACTCACCCCTAGAGAGACTCTATCGTGGAGCATAAGATGGTGCCTCGTCCGGGGTCGAAGCTGGCTGGCCGCCAAATTCTCCCTCGCAAGCAATCCTCTGCACCTGCCCGTTGGCTCGTGCCCATTCCCGTCCGAACCCTGAGACGACCATGACTTTGTCCACCACTTCTCTTCCCGCCTCTAGCACCAACTGCTCCCTCAGCCGCCATGGGCGGAGAAAAGATTCCCGTAGACGAATTATGGGTTCATGCTGAGGCAAATGGTTATAGAGGAGGAGCACACGAAGAAGTTGATATGCTGATCACTTTCAGGGGACACGACGAACCTTAGCCCTCCGAGGGATCGTTGTCAACAAGCACTGACCGAAACACAATTTCGCAGTTCGAGACCTGACCCGTGTCCCCTTGTGCTGTGGACGTACGATTACCTGACTTTATCCACGAGCCGTACCGGGTTCAAACCACGTTCCTGTGACACATCTACTGCTGGACCGGGGCCCGGATCAGCGCCTTCTTTACTGTCGGACTACGGCACAAGGGATGCTTCCCGGTTGGTCCTTACTCGACATTTAACCTGATAGTATACCTTTAACAACGAAGGTGGGTGATATCTGTGAGCAGTGACGAGGTAGGGCACCGTGCCTGGAGGCCAGGAAGGCCTCGAGTGGCCGTTTGTCCTGTGGCTGTTTGTCCTGGGACAAAGAGATCTCCAGGACATTCCATCCAGGCTGGTGAGGCTAGGGGGGGTCACAGGACGTCCGCCGTGGCAGGACGCCTGTCCCACATGCTCTGGCCCATATCTGGTGTCTCAAGGTATTGTTTCTCCTGTCACTGAGAAGGATCCTGACCTGCCAGGCGTTCCAAGAAATACGAGCTAGGATGCTATCAATTCTAGGACCACAACTCCTAGCATTTTCAGTAGCCCCAAGCTAACCCGCCACAATAATCACAAAGGCCCCGGTTGCCTCAGATTTGTACCCGTATCTAATGTAGTCAAACTTCTCTGTCATGACTCTCTTGGATGGCCCCGGCGGCACGATTCCCAGGCCAAGCCCCATTAGGTGCTGGTGCTCCCCTTCTCAATTTACTGGCCCCTCGTCTTCTCGACGTCTATCACATCCCCATGAGCTAGAAGCGGGGTCAGAAAGCATCACCTTCGCCGATTATAGAACGCTCTAACTGGCGTTGCCAAAGAACAGCATGGCAAGCAGAAAGCCCGGGTCAAAGTATCTGTATCATGCAGCAGTGTGCCAATCACCAGGTAGTGAGCAAGAAGCGAGGCTCAGAACAGGAAGCACTTGAATGACAACACATACCTGCACCTGTTGTGCAACCGAACACAAGATCTAGAAGCAAGGGGATGCCATTTGCTACTAAAGGCCAGTGATGTGCGAAGTGTCCAGAATCTGTGCTTCAACTCATGATCCATAACTTGTACTTTCTAACTGCTTGACCGTTTGATAGATTCGGCCATAGCACTTCTTGCCTGTCTCCTCCCCGTTCTTAAGAACGTAGAGGATGTCGTCCCTCACACACATATCCAGCACTACGCCAGATGTGGTCAATGTCAGCTCGGTGTCTGGGGTGCAAAATCTTATCGATGTGTTAGATCTCCCGACGCAGCCTGTCTCTCTGTACTTCAATTTTGAGGGAATTCAGCAAGGGGTCAATGGAAGGATCTCAAAGATGGTTGTGTTCATTCGCCCAAAGTCGACAGTGTACGTCGTTGAGCTTCGCCAACTTGGGAATTTGGCCTTCTGCGTTCCTGGTAGAGACGGACGGACCCTCAAGGCTATTCTGGAATCGGACTGTCCCCAAAGCCTTCTTTGACGTACGTAACACTTCGGCTGCGCTATTCGCCCAACACCAAATTGCTTTGGGCGGGGTCCATGAGGTTCAAATGATGGAACTCGCATCACGACAAGGGGATTTCAACAAGAAATTCGTCGTCGGATGGGACACATGCATCAAGAAAAATGGCAGCGGGCCCTTCAAGTCCCTTGAAAAGGGATATAGGCCATCCTTGCCCCGGTTCGACGCGAGAATCCTACACCTTCCTGTGCTCTGGGATACGTACCACGCCAGGCTTACGGGCGAGGGAATGACCTTCTGGGTCTACATGGTGCGCAAGGCAACTAAACGCCGCGTGAGCGATACGCAAGGTTCGTCCTACGATGAAAAGAACGTCGGAAACGCCTTAGGTCCCTGGTCAAATGACGAGATTGAGAGGGAGTTGCAGGATTGGAACGACGACGTTGTTTCCCAGGCCATGTGGGGCGAAACCTGGGTTGACTACAATTCATTCAAGGTGCTGTAGATACACGGATGGCCCATGCCGCCAGGGGTCTGTGACCGCCCTCGTTGGCACTGAGGCGTCAAATCCGACACCGAATCAACTCACACTACTGCCTCCTAGTAAGTAACCCCTGGTTCTGGGACAAAGAACGATGGAAGACGGGGCCACCGCTGCAATGGAGAAATCTGCCACCCGACCGTTGCAACCCGTTCCACGACCATTCACTTCATTAACGACCGTACGACTAGATACAGAGGAAGAGGCTGCAGCACCCAGGTGTTAGGCATGGTACTATTCAGCCAGGTGACGGAAAGGAGCTTAGGGTGGCTGGCGCCTTGTTTATATCTAATGCGCCGTTGAGTAGCTTTCGGCCGCAAGAGTAATATCTGGTCTTATCAGTGCTTATGATGAAGAAGGGTCTGCGACTTGAAGGACTCACTGATATCCCGGACTTGCCAAACAAGATGGATCTGGCGATAGTGTAGCATACGCTCGTTATAGCCGCGAATCAGATGTTTGAGATGTGGTAACTGGCTGCAACCCCAAAGTCGCTGACAATCATAAGGATCTTCTCATAGTTGTCCATGCAGATGCTCTTCCCGTGGGGACCAGCATGTAATCGTATAAAGAAGCATCCCGGCAAACTCCTCTTTTCAGCTCTTTTCTTCCCTTCTCCCTAACTCACTGCGCAGAAAGTTACACCTACCTTGGTCTCACCAAACGGCTTGCACATCGACATTCTGTGCACCTTGCACTAGATTAGCGCCCTGGGGTATAAACCCGTCCATATCCACAAGATCACTGTCTGATCAGCTTGCAGACAAACCGCCTTGCATCCTCTCCGAGCTCATACGACGCCGTGCATTCGGGCCTTCGAATATTTCATCCCCGATACCTCCCTGCTCCCTCTATCGATTCAAGAATGCCTACCATACAGTCCGGCTGGGCTCGGCAGCCTTTATCTTCGTATCGAGCTGAAAGCATCGACCGAAGAGGGTGGAACAGAAGGCTGCCAGCTCAATTCGTCGACTCCGACAGTCACAACTCGATCACTCTATCCCCTTTGTCACCTAGAGCAGCAGTGCCGGATTGTCCACTGACATAATGTGTTGGATGCTCAAAAAAGGCGGCAAAGGGGCATTGTTTAGTGAGCCTGAGACAGCAGCATGATCAACGTTGGACGGCACTGTATCCATGTCGATCAACAACGATCAGATTTCGCCGTCGGGATCAGAAGTCACTTGAAACAAGATTTCTGTAGTCCTCGACACTTCAGAGTCACAGGACAGACCTCAGCAACTTCATGCATAAATGTGAATGCAGGAGAGTGCCTTGTCCAGATAGAGGGCTTCAGATACCAGGCTTGGGGTGCCTCTGGCACTTCTAATATTACGTATATAGCTGTTCAATTCGAGACAGGATGTAGTGATCCAGACTTCCGTAGGTTTGCTTCTCATTAGGGTGATGAGCACTCTTCCCCTGAACACCGCCCTTGAAATGACTGCTCAACATCGTTGACTCGCTGCGCTCTCGCAATCAATACGCACCGTGCACAAGCGGTCGTGTGGCAAAGCCGGGGGAACTCGGCACTCAGCAGCTCAACGGTAGAGTGCCACAGGCAGGTTGTTGATATAGACCAGTTTATAGACTGTCCAAATGCCGCTTTAGTGGGGCCTTAAGGGGTTCCTATAACTACCACCAGATGTTAAAACAGGCATAGAGCGGCAGCACAACCTAATCTGAAAAAGTCCCTGGCGCTTTCGCTTGTGGACAACATGACCGATTTCCACTTTCTCACTGGAACAGTTGTCGAAGGCGGTGTGTCCGTGGCTAGTCAAGAGATGAGAATGACATGAGCTGCGACAAAAGATCTTTTCAAGGTCTCCGTCTCAAGAAGAAATTTCCAATGGACACCGCTGAAAATGCGATTTCCGGAGCCGGTTTTCCTCCTCTTCGTCACCCTCGCTGCGGGTACCTCGAGTCCAGTCACAACGACATTAACACCCTCTACTTGTCCCTTCCGCACAGTTAACTACATTACTCACAGCCTGCCTCAGCAATGTCTCGCGTCCACCCGGAAAGCCAACATCACTACCACCACGGTCGAGGGCAGCGCCTCTCCCAGCGTAGAACCAGCATTGCCTACATCTTCTGCAACTGACCATTCCCACGGGACTGCCTCTTCATCCGTCCTGTCTCCTGTTCACTCATCATCCACGATTAAATCTTCGGTCCAATCTGTGTATACTGGAGAAGAGCAGTCTGCCTCACGTCCTTCACAGACTGAAGTGCATGGTGCTCCTTCCAGTCCAGGCCACGATGAGTTGGAGGAGGATTCTCCTCTCGAGGATGGGAAATTCCTTTCTTTCGAGGACTGGAAGCGGGAAAATCTCAAAAAGTCGGGTCAATCAGAACATATTGGCAAGGGGCATGGGATCGACGGCCGAGAGCCGCGCAAAAGAGCCGCGTCTCTTCGAGATTCTCTAGATTCTCTGGGGGATGACGCTGAGATAGATTTGGACTTCTCTGGCTTTGTTTCTGATACCCTCGACCCTCCGAACCAAGCCCAACCCAAGGTGCAGCAGGAGATCCGCGACAGCGCCATTGAGATTGAACCGGGACGCGCCCCGAAAGCCGGAGTGAGGAGCAAAGATGCCGGCACGACCTGCAAGGAAAGGTTCAATTATGCCTCTTTTGATTGTGCAGCCAACGTTCTGAAGACCAACCCCGAAGCCAAAAGTGCTTCTGCCGTACTGGGAAATAACAAGGACTCCTACATGCTGAACGAGTGCTCTGCTCAGAACAAATTTTTGATACTGGAATTGTGCGACGACATATCGATCGACACTATTGTGCTGGCAAACTTTGAGTTCTTCAGCTCGACGTTCCATACTTTTCGAGTAAGCGTATCTGACAGGTACCCAGTCAAAGTCGACAAGTGGAAGACTCTAGGCACTTTTGAAGCCCGGAATACACGTGAAGTCCAAGCATTTTTGGTCGAGAACCCGGTCATTTGGGCACGCTATCTGCGCATCGAGTTCCTCACGCATTATGGTAACGAATTCTACTGCCCCGTCAGTCTAGTCAGAGTCCATGGGACGACAATGCTGGAGGAGTACAAGCACGATCTTGAATCAGTCCAGATGGAGGATGAAGGCAAAGCGGAGCAGGAAAGCGCCGAGAATGCAGAAGAGAACGGACTCGTCTCGGAAGCAGTGGCTGAGCAACTCTTGACTGAGACCGATGATGTTGAGGAGCCTGTCGACACCGCTGATCCAACAATTGCATCTGATCCATTCGGGGTGCAAGATCCTCTCCTCAGTCATACTCAACGTCCCCTGGTTGAAGGTAGTCGGGTCGCGGTTTCAACATCTCCTGCTCTTTCGTCTCAGATGCCCAATGACTTGGAAGATCACAATGATGGGCCCAGCACATGTGAGACCACGAAAGACAATGCTAGTATAACTTCCGATCCTCTTGACCCACAAGATATCACACAATCGTCTGATACAGAAGCTGCAAAGCTCAGTACCGATGTCCTGGTATCCAGTTCTTTGAGGGCAAATAACGTCACAACGACGTCAACGGACTGCTCAATCATTACATCCAAATCTGATTCGATCGTCGACTCAACAGCTGCCAATGCTTCATCTTTCCCACCTACCAGCAACAGTTCGAAAGCATCCATGTCCTCGACGCAGCCGTCTCATCCAGCTCCGACGATGCAAGAGTCCTTTTTCAAATCGGTTCAGAAACGTCTGCAAATGCTTGAGTCGAATTCTTCCCTCTCCCTTCAGTACATAGAAGATCAATCTCGTGCCCTCCGGGATGCGTTCCACAAAGTGGAACAGAGACAGCTGGCCAAAACAACTTCTTTCCTCGAACATTTAAACACCACGGTCCTCAACGAGCTCAGAGAATTCCGACAACAGTACGACCAATTGTGGCAGTCTACGGTCATAGAGCTCGAGCTGCAGCGCGAGCGCTACCAACGGGAAAATATTGCCATCAATGCTCGGCTCGGCGTTCTTGCCGACGAAGTCATCTTTCAAAAGCGCATGTCCTTTCTGCAGTTGATTCTCATCTTGATCTGCCTCGGGTTGGTGCTGTTCTCCAAAGGTAACCTGAACAGCTATCTTGAGCTGCCGCTAGTACAAAGTGTTTTGTCGAGATCTCCGAGTACTCGATTCGTGAATGTCTCCAGCCCTGATACACCCTCGCAGAACTCTCCAGTGTCAAGATCGAACTCCGCTGGTCCAGCGCGACGGCGTCTCGGTATTTTAAAGGGCCATCGGCGTTTCCCGTCCGAAGACTCGGTCGACAACACATTGAGTCCATCTGATTTGTACTCGCCACCGACTCCTGTGAGCTTTGGGGATCCTTCATCGGACGGTGACGACAAAGACGACAGTAACCGACTCGGGGATCCCCAATTCGATCCCAGTCTGATCGAACGACCTAGTACGAGCCCACCGGTGCTGGCGGGGGCAGAAATATCCAGCGACTCGGAGCCTAGCACAGGGGTTATGGAGGATTCCATCGATAATGTGCTCAGAAGTACCTCGTCACACGGTATGCAAACGAAGCCTCCTATCCTCCTTGTCGAGGATGCCACGCCTCCTCCGAAACATCTGAAGTGGCAACTGCCAGAGAGCTAGGGGCAGTTTTGCGTCCTCCTGGGCAGCAGAAAAGACCCAGCGATCAAATGTCAATCGAGTCGGATCTCATCAATCCGTAATCAGCGATTACAATTTGTTGAGAGAGGGCCGTCCCGACCCATACTGTAAAGAAAAAAACACGAAGCTAGAAACCCCGCCCTCGATCAACACGCAATCGGTTTTCGTTCCCAGATCACCCATCAATCTACAGGCATACCATAAAGAATGGGAATATACCTAGTGGATCTCGAGTCAGCAGGATATACTTTATGCTCGACCGCGTCTGAACCTACCCAGCGGTGCACATGAGAACGCGCTTCGGTGGACATTTTACCCATTTGTGCAGGAACAAAGTAAAGAACATGCTGACTTAGCATACGCAGCACAGCCTTTCGATTTTGCGATGGAAAAAAAAGAGACTAAATAAAGGCTGTGCAATGAAACAGGGCTCAGAAGACCAGGATCTTACACAGGTATGCATCTCCTGCTGTGAGGTGGGTTGGGAATAGTCGCTGTGCCGAGTCGAAATGTACGCCAGCTCCTTTGACTGAAGTCAACGTATGGGCCGCCCAGGAGTAAATGCTCCTGGATAATACTCACATATAAGAATCGAGCTGGGTCCGATCTGCCTCTTATGGGCCTTCCCCAAGCACAATAACTGGCGCTTGGAAGTCCCACTTATCAGGCAGGACGGGTAAAGACGACTAATCCACCACCGTTCAATGGGGTTAAGACTCCTCGGCCATAGAACATTGTTGGCCTATGTATGAGCCGCAGGGTAGCTGGGTCCGGTAGCTGGGTTCCGAGAACGGTATACCTCCTCGCCAAATACCGTGTAAATGACATGAAATTACTACGAAGAGAGAGTCGTCGTTCCTGCTTTGCGACATATGGCCCATTCTATCCCCATTAGTAGGACTCCCTTCACTGACCACCTCGTTGTCGCCCTGCAGCTGTGCCTCAGATACATTCGATACAGATGTCGGAACAGAGTTTGGATGGGTTTTTGGCCAGGAGGATCTCAAAGACGGGGCAGGTGATGGAGCGGTGGAGGGAGTGGAAGATGTTGACGGTGACGATGACGAGACGCCTTTACTTGCTACCGACAGGAAGAGGAGGAGAAGCTCGATTGCCATTGTGGTATAAAATGTTTCGTATCTTCTTTGGTGCTGCGACCTCTCTTTTCCCTCTTCTTGTCTTAGCACTCACCCGACGCAGAGGACGTGGCGCACTGTCAAACGCCACCCTTTCACCTTCTGAGTTACAGCTTGTGGATAAATTTCACCCTGTTCACCACCGCCGACTTCGCCGTTGATATTTTGGGTGCGAACGACTCAAAGCTGTGCGGCAGACCGGGATATATGTGCATCTCGAGCGGGATCCCCGCTTCGGCATGGCGAGCCGCGTATTTGATGTTCTCATCTCGGAAAATGTCCAGATCTGGCACGTCGATGTACACCGGCGGCAGGCCTGCCACGGACGCGACCCGTGACGGTGCCGCCCAGGGCGAGACGTCGGCGTCGGGCTTGCCGGCCTTCTCGCGGCCCACGTACGCGGCCCAGCCTGTGAGGTTATCGTCGGGCGTCCAGGTGTGGAAGTCCTTGGCCTGTTCGTACCGGGCCTTGTTCCTGTCGTCGAGCATCGCGTTGACGAGCACTTGCTTCGCCAGCGGGGGATTGAGGTTCCTGTCACGAGCCATGATAGCCACGCCGGCGGCCAGTCCTCCGCCCGCCGAATCACCCATGATGGCTATCCGGGCGGGGTTGACGCCTAGGTCCGTGGCGCCAGTGGAGTGAACCCACTTGAGCGCGGCGTAGCAGTCTTCGATGGGCGTAGGGAAGGGAAACTCGGGCGGCGAACGGTACTCGACGGCGAAGAACGGGATGCCGCTCTGGGTGACGTAGTTCTGGATCATCTTACGGTACAAGGGCACGCTGAGGCAGAAGAAGCCTCCGCCGTGGGTGTAGACGACGGCAGGCGAGCCGGTGGTGGTTGTCGATGACGACGACGTGGCGCCTTTCTTCGCGAAGCGGTGGACGTTGATCTCGGCGCCATCGAACGATGGCACCTTGAAGACGGTCTCCTCGACGTCCTCGACCACGGGCCACCTCTGCATCAGTCCCTCCCACATGCTGTCGATGCCGTTGCGCCGCGAGGCGACGTCGTAGGGCAGGTGTTTCGGCGCCGCGGCCATGGCGGCCAGCATGGGCTCGATGGCCTTGTAGAATTCGGGGTCATATTCGTATGGCATCCTGTTAGTTTCCTCTCCTCTTTTTCCCCTTTATTTAGCGTTGGCAATCGCAACGGCAACGGGTTGTGGCTTTTCCTCAGGTCCTAATATATGAAAAATGATCTTGCTAGCTTGCGTTAATTCTGGCCCCCTTTGTCGAGAGACAGAATTGTCCGGCTGCTGTCTGAGATATCTGTATGAATTTATACGTATATGTACATCCGTGCAAAGATCCTCCGCAGAAGGCAGGACAAGGCTGCCTTGCCAGGTTTCTTGGTCCGTGTGTCGATCAAGGAACATGGATGGGTATATTCTATTATATCCTCGGATGAAGCTAGTCACGGGCCGAGGAAACAAATATGTACGGAGTACGAGGTACTGTATAGTGAGGTGCGAAAGTGGCGTCCTGAAATCCAATTAAAGGTTTGTGGAGACGACAATCGCATTTGCTCCACTATGGCAGCGCTTAGCTCAAAAAGGCAAATGTTAGTTTTAATTTTGACCAATTAGCTTACGGCAAAGCGAGGTCTGCTTCTATTTTATTGGCGGCCTTGCAGCTCGCCAAGCATTACCCCGCGGTGTAATCGTAGTTATTTTGTAGCATGCGCTCGCTATATGGTGGCACTTGTGTAGAATGAAAGGGCCTAGAAATCATCATCCTGAACTACTGCAAAGGTTTTATTCGAACTGAAGGTGAGCTCGCGTTCCACCCCACTGCTGTCGATGTCAGAGCCAGTCGCAAAGAGGTCACAGCGCGCTTGACTGTTAGCGATCGATCAGGCTGTAGGGGGACACTCTTGGAACGGAATACAAGCGAGGCAGCGCCAGAACCAAGGCGATCTATCAGTTTATTACCTCTTATAGTGGTACTTGCGCGTTGTTATATCACTAACCTGTTGCCATTAGCAAACAAAATCGGGGAAAACAGTGCATCTACATCACGACCCTTCCACAAAGCACGATTACTCTAAGCCGAGAGTTGACGCAACGAACCGCAAAGAGGAGGGCTATCGGACTTACCCATATCGAATAGGAAACGTCCTAGATGGCCTTCAGATTCTAAAGATTCCATTAATACCAAAAGGTCACCCAGCGTTACTATATCAGAGCAATCGCAGTAAAATCACAGTGGGAGTTTCTCATCCACTCCTCACCAAAGCTACTTAAGAGTCCCAATTCGGGCTTTTAATGTCAGCTCGACCTTTCGACTCTATACGCTATGGCACCGACCAAGATGACAAAGTGCAAACTCCTTGCACGAGGATTCTGCAAGTACGGAGAGTCTTGTGACTTCAATCATGACTTGCCGGCTACTGGGAGACTCGGTGTCGATCTTGGAGCTCTGACTCTTCAAGGCGAGGAGGACAGATCACGTCGAATCTGCAGATTCTTTATGCGAGGGTCGTGTAATAAGGGCGAGGAGTGCGGGTTCGTTCATCCTCCGGCTATAGCGCAACCGCCGCGAGTCTATGCGAGCGCGACCTCCTTTGACTCATGGCGAGGCCAACGAGACAAGAGCGCGCCTCAAGCACCATTAGACCCTCGTGCGCGAGTTCCCTGCAAATTCCTGTCGCATCCCGGAGGCTGTCGAAACGATCTTTGCCCATTTCTCCACCGCGTAGATGGTCTTCGGGAGAACAGCAGTATAGATTTTGAGGAAAATGAGGATGAGGCTAGTAACCGTTCCCCTAACTTCAGGCAGAAGCCAATTTTGACGCTAAGAACAGGGCCAAGGTCGTGACGACGGTCTTGCTCGAGATTTCTCTGGAGCATCAGTCTACTACAACGAATACGGCAGCATTCTGAAAATCTCCCTTCCGACAGACTTCTCTCTTGCATGCATTACAGGTCTTGCACCGGGAGCCACCCCTGAAGCAGTCGTCGATATCCTTCGCGGTTTGGGCTTGAACCTAGACATTGAATGCGTTCGCATCCTTGAGAATTCGGCGTCTGCGGGCGTGACAGCCACGGTGAAGGCAGAAGACCCACTGTTTGCCAAAGAGCTCAGCGTCACGCTTCAGAATCGACAATCAGCTCTCAGTGCGACGCCAATGCCCATCGATGCCAGGCGGACTAACTGCAGAAAAGTTTACATCTCGTGGCACAAACCCACTCAAAGTGTGTGGTTGAATTTCGGCAATGGCGAAATAGCGAACAGGGTTGCGCAGAGATTCAACCAAGGAACATACACATGCCTCGGTCAGCGTGTCAAGTCCTCTGCTGCGAAATCCAGTCACAGTCGACGGGGTCGAGATTACTTCTCGTACAATCCTGTAGCTTGGACGATCACGCTAAGCGAAGTGCCCAGCGGTACGACGAGCAGGGATGTCCAAGAAAGCATCAGGCCGTTGCAGGATAAACCACGGCACGTCGAGGTGAGAGACAGTTACCGAGCTTCCGATGCAGAGGTCAGTGTTGAGGTTCGCTCGCACCTGGAGGAGCATGGCCCACTGGAAAGCTTCTATCTCGCACCCCCCTCCAAAGGAAAACGAGTTAAGGCTTCCGCTTGGTTTCGAGATGAAGCCGATGCCCGATCGGCATGCTCGCTGAATGGCAGACAACTAGATATCTTGGGGCAAGGCAAGTTGACGGTTACCCTGGTGCAGTCAGCCAAGATCAGTGTTTTGACGACTGTCTACTTGGCCTTGAAGCCGAGAATCGATAAAGAGAGTATAACATGGAGAGAACAGTATCTGGGCTTCCATGTTTACCCTGGCACTCTCCATACGACATTGAAAGTCGAGGGTGACAACTCGAAAAGCGTTGCAAATGCGCGCAGAACACTGGAAGAGATTTCGCGTGGAGTGGTCCTTGAGGATGGCGGGAAAGTGATTTGGGGTTCGGCACTCAACAGCACAGGGCGCGTATACAAGAAGCTCAAGTCCATCGAGAGAGACCTTCAGGTGGTTATCGCCAGAGACAAATCAAAGCACCAGCTCCGGTTTCACGGGCCACCTGAGAAAATCCAGCCTGCAGTACGCCGCATTACCGATATACTCAGAGAGGAGTCCTCCACCAGCTACGAAATCGACCTCACACCTCACCAGTTCTCATGGACGATCAAGGGTGGTTTCAAGAGCATTGAACAGGCTTTGGGAAACAACGTCGCGGTCTTCAATGTGGTCTCAAGGAGCATCATCATCAACGGTACACAACAGCAATACGACACAGCCGTGGCCATCATGGACGGCAAGCGTGCTATCGAATTCCGCTCTTCGTTAGACGGTGCGACAACCTCTGACGGAGACTGTCCAATCTGCTTCTGCGAAGCCGACACGGCCATCCAGACCTCGTGCAAGCACACATACTGCCTCGAATGCTTTGAAGGATACTGCAAATCCGCCACTTCGACCGACAAGAATGACTTCCAAATCAAGTGCCAAGGTGGTGAAGGCACTTGCTCAACTGTCTTCACTTTACACGAGCTGAAGGATCATGTCTCGTCCTCGGTCTTTGAGGCTGTCCTTCAATCATCTTTCGAAGATTATGTCCAACGCCACCCGGAGATCTTTCGCCACTGTCCAACCCCGGATTGTGGTCACATATACCGATGCACTACAAGTCTAGGGTCGCAGCCTCCCGCCTACACCTGTTCCAATTGTTTCGAGAGGCTATGCACCTCTTGTCACGCGCGACATGGCGAGTATACTTGCGCAGAGTTCAAAGACATTGCAGCGGGTGGTGACGCCGCCCTCGCAAGACTAAAGAGGGAGCTCAACATCAAAAATTGTCCTCAATGCACCACGCCGATGGAGAAGACAGAGGGCTGCAATCACATCACGTGTGGGGGTTGCCGGGCACATATTTGCTGGGTATGCATGGAAGTCTTCGAGTCCAGTGGCCCGTGCTATAGCCACATGAACAAGGTGCATGGAGGCATCGGACTTGGGCTCGATCATTTGGGGGATTGGTGATTCACGCTGCTCATAGTTCAGGCACCATTACGCACCATGAAATAGATCCCTGGCAGGACTTCAGCAGCAAAAAGGCCAAAGAGAGGCCAGTGGTGGTGATATTTCTTGCTCACTTGATCTATTACTCGCCCAACTGATCATTCTAGTCACCCAAAAGCCTCGCTTTGCCTGCGATTTACGAGGACCCTCAATCTCCCAATCATCCGCGAGGTCAACTGGGATCGACGCGCACTGTGTCGTTCATCGGAGAAAGCGACAAGTGTGGCTCTTGATAAGGCTGACGAGTGGCTGTCCGCCAGGGCTCGATCTAGGTCATTAAGTCATTGGACAATGAGCTGTCATTGCTACACAGCATATCGTGGCTGACATGTCTATTTTCTATTTGTCCACCACGGATAACGGACTTGTAGCGTTGACTCACCGCGCTCATGACGACGACCGGGTCGAGTCTGATAGATATCGCTTCGTTCACGCCGAAGAGCATCGGTCCCAGTAACAGAAGATATCCGTCACACCATGAAATCCCGTTGTGTCCTCTGCAACAGAAATTTTTGCAATGAGGATGCGCTGGATCAGCATTTGCGCGATTCACCCGCGCATACCTCCGTCAAATGTACGGACTGCCGTCGAACCTTCGGCAGCGAAGAGGCTCTCGAGCAACACCGGCGAGATTCTCCCAGTCACCGGCCGAATCCGGAAACCCCTTTGGACGCGTTCTTCCGATCGTTCTCGACCTTTGACTACGATCCTTCTCTCCCTCCGGCCACGTCCTATGCCAGACTGCGAAGACACGAGCGTTGGGGACGTAATGACGCCGCGTCGAAGGATGCTTGGGAGAGATATCAGCATGCATTGGAGGTTGAGTTGCGCAAGTGGTACGGTGCCGAGGACGATATAACTGCGTGGCACGCCTTATGTCGCGCCATTGGCGTCGAGTCGCCTCCGGAAACTTGTGGGCAGTGCAAACATGTCAGTCCATGCTTTAAAAATGTTGACTCGTGCTGAGGCAGATCCCAGGTTGTGCGAAAAACCCATGTCAACATTGTGGATTTGATCGAATGGGGAAGACGACGCGACGACACTAACAAAGGACGCGTACGGACCTTCCCGAGTGTGGCACGATTGCGAGCTTACACTGTGAGAACGGGGAAGATCTTTCGTAATACTTTCAATCAAAAAGACGACAATGTTGTCCTGAGACATTTGCTGCGCAGGCTCTTCTGAATGGTGTCTATAGGAAGGATGGATTTTTGTATGGAACCTTTCGTCTGCCATAACTATTTCCTGCCATGCCTATGATCGGTGTGCAAGCATGATCCCATACCTTTCTCGACCAGGAGCGGTTTGGGGCACATTGCGGCGGTAGGAGCTGCTGTCAACAGAACATGTAACCAGAAATGCAGCAAAGCTCGTGATGTTCTCGATATCACGGGTCCTTTCTGCTTCTCAATCACCGTTGCATTGGCACGCACCCGAGAAGTAGTATTTATTATACAGTAAGTAGTCAGAGTCCGCCAACATGCAGGCCACACCATCGAGAAAGGTTCATTTCAACGCTGGATAATGGCCCCCCTGGTGGCTTCGAAAGATAGATGAGACCATTGTACATGTATTCTGTCACCTCGGTTTTTCGATTCAATGGAGGAGCGAGCCATCCGTCGAGATAACATATGTACCTACGTACAGTAGAGCGGTGGAACAGATCAATCTCCTGAAATCTCGCAGCCTTGTCGTTTTGTGGGCCCCCTTTTTTCCAAAAGAGAGGATCCGTAGGACGACGACTAGAATAGTTATGAAACGGCCGGCCTGAATCTGGCAGAGGCATCCGGGTCCCTCTCTCTCCCTTTTCCAAGTCTTAAGGGAACGGGACAGATAAACATCACTCTTCCCTCCCCCACTGGATTGGCACCCAGTCAAATGGAGCACAAGACTTGCGGTGAACTTTTTCCAAAGGAAAGGAATATAATATCTGACTGTAACCAACCCAGTCCAATGCTTTCAAGGCACAATGCGACATGTTCGAACCAAATCCCGGCCTGTAGCACCTAAAATTCCAGAGTCTCTCAACATAAAAATGGCATGCCTCGCCGTCGTGTTGTAACCCTCACCTCAGATGCTGCAAAGTTCCTGAGCCCTTGATGGGGAGTCCATCCCGGACAAGGGCCACCGGCCAACAACTTTCCAATGCGCTCTGTGCAGCCCTGGGTGCTCCATCCTTCACAACTCGCCCTGTCTGACAGCATTGGACACGACCTCCACGTCGATGTCCCCTGCTTCGGTCCTGGGCCGTCAAAGCTCCGACCGCTTCCACTTCATATTCTGCGCCTTCTCTATCACCTTGTAGAAATCGGTGTCTTTCAGATCCTGCCCCGTGTATTTCTGGTAATGCTCCGCCGCGACAGCCACCGCCTGCTCATGTTTCCACACCAGGACGCCGACCGCGAGCACCAGGAACAGCAGCAGGACGAGGACGGTCGGGGACAGCGAGGACCGACGGCGAGGGTGGAAGGGAACTTTCTCGCCGGTGTAGGCGCCGTCAGGGGATTTGGGGAACCATTCCTCCGTCTTTGCGCGCTTCACGTTGGGGTTGATGCGGGTGGTTTTCGACATATTTCGTGCGGTGCAAGGTCAGCGAAAGAGGTCGATTCTCGAGAGCGAAGGGTGCGCAGGAAAGGAAAGTTGTGGTTTAGACGGGACTGCCTCGAAACAACAGATCACAGCTCAGCCAGTCAGTCGGCACAAGACCCAACGAATCTGCGCAGACAGTGGGAAAAAAGGATGGCACGCGAGGAGGGAGATCGCTGGTCTGTGATAGGAGGTTTTCGCCCAAAGTACGAGATAGAGTACTCGGTACAACTTGTCACAACAGCTGAGCATTCAGGCGCGCCAGGGCACGGTGCCCATGTCGTCCCGGGGATCGATATCGTGCTGACTAAGAGTCTAATATTAACATCCGCGGTGCCCAGCTAGACTCAACTTGATAGATTAGGTTGTCCGTGCTGCTAGAGCGTCGGAAAGTGGCTGAAAGGCGAAGGAAGGACGGTGCTGACACGGGGTGAGCATTGGCGTCTTGTCTCTCGTAGGTCAATTTGACGCGGTGAGCGGTTCGCTGACCGGTTCGCCGCAGCAGGTTGATGCCGGTGTGACTGGGGGCATGGCCGTACTTGAGAGCTCACAGAACAGACAGTTAATTATTTATGTAGGTACGGAGTGGAAGGATGATACTTACAGTACTGAATCATTCATGATAGAGAGGAAGGAATATATTATGTCTAGAGTTACCGAATCGACCCAATGACGTCAGAGCAGATCGACACCGACAACACCAACGAGACCAACGAGACCAACGACACCTTCACCTCGACATCCTTCTCACACTTCTTTATTCCACATCTCCGATTCAGTCATCCTTCCAGAGTACACGTCAAGCCAGAGGTAGGTCTCTCTATCCACGGGACGTGAATCGACTGTCTCGGGCCAGGAATATCCTAGCTTCAGCCGATGTGAGAGAATATGCTACACACCTGCCCGTCCCTCCAAGGATCTTCAATCTCTCGCTTTCGGTAACCGAAGCAATGAGGCTGGGTCACAGTATGCCCCAATGCACAGACAAACTTGTTCTGGGCCCTGACATCATCACGGCCATGTATATGGCACACTGCTGGGTATTGACTGCTTCCTTCATGGCAACGGGGTATCGTTCATCGCGATTGTTGAAGATCTGTGGATATGGGTAGACCGACAACACCAGGGACCAAGGGGTAAAATGCACAGTATGACTATGTCGCGCCTTTCGACGGCCAGAATATATCTGCCAGTGTGAGCCACCATTTAGAGCCGTTCAGTATGCTGCTTTCAACAATCAAGCAGCAATCATGTCACAACTTATCCACGACTCTTTTTTTGGTCGCATGCTGCGCCACTTGTCCAAGGGGAAGTTGCTGCCACACGAGGAGACCAAGAACCCTACTCTCTTAGAACAGTTTTCTGATATCTCGTCTACGCCAGCGGAAAAGACGTCTCCTGAAAGACCCCCATCGTGTGCGAGCACTCTCAACCCAGGCGATGGAGAGCAGGCCGAGAAGGGACGAGACCCGAACATCGTGGCCTGGTACGGGCCGGAAGACCCAGAGGTGGGATACGCAGCGAGATAGCTGCAACCTCCCATTGCATGCGGTCTGTTGATTATTGATGCAGAACCCTCTCAATTGGTCGACCTTCACCAAATGCGCAATCACCTTTGAGCTGTGCTACTTGACGTTTGCCGTCTATGTGGGATCATCTGTCTATACTGCGGGCGTTGTGGGCGTCATGAAGGACTTCGGTATTGGCGAGATACCTGCAACCCTTCCACTGACCGTCTTTGTGCTCGGCTTTGGGCTAGGTAATGCCGGCATTTGATCCAGCTTCCTCCATGCTAACAGCGCCGTCAGGACCGATGACTCTCGCACCACTCAGCGAGGCACCGGCCATTGGAAGAACGCCAATTTATATTTGGACTCTGCTCGCTTTCGTCATCCTCCAGATCCCTGTGGCCTTGTCGGTCGACCTTCCCATGCTCATTGTCTTCCGGTTCATTACCGGCGTCCTGGGGTCTCCTCCCCTTGCCACCGGCGGCGCCTCAATCGCAGAGATATTCACGCCGCGAAAGAGGGGACTGGCGATCGGGATCTGGGGTGTTGCAGCTGTACGTCCCGTGACATCGAGACGTCCCCCTCCGGACATACTGACCTATATCAGATCTTTGGCCCTGTCTTCGGTCCGCTCCTCGGTGGCTTTGCCGCCCAGTCGAAAGGCTGGCGATGGACCATCTGGGAGCTGATGTGGATCTCTGGCCTGGCTCTCATCATCCTGTTCTTCTTCCTGCCCGAGGTCAACGCCAAGAACATTTTGTATCGGCGGGCACATCGACTTCGCCGTCTGACGGGCAACAACAAACTTATGAGCGAAGGAGAAATCGCCTACAAACACGTCACCGTGAGAAAAGTGGCGTATCTCACCATCATCCGTCCCTGGACCCTGACGTTTACGGAACCGCTTGTCTTTCTCCTTCACACCTGGGTCGCCCTGATTTTCGGCCTGTTGTTCATCTGGTTCACCTCGTTCCCGCTGGTGTTCGAGGGCGTCTACGGATTCAACCCCGGGGAAACCGGGCTGTCGTTCCTCGGTCTCCTCGTTGGGGCACTGTGCTGCATTCCGCCGTTCATCTGGTACGACCGTAAGGTGCAACGGAGGATGTTTGATGAAGGAGGTCGCATCATGAAGCCCGAGCAGCGCCTGGTGCCCGCCATGGTCACCGCGGCCACCATACCCCTCTGTCTGTTCTGGTTTGGCTGGAGCGCCCAGAAGGCCGTGCATTGGTAAGTTCACTTCTACTCGTTCACTCTTTCCCTATCTCCGTGTGATAGATAACGTCGTGTTCTAATTCCCCAAAAAAGGATCGTCCCCATCATCGGAACCTGCTTCTTCGCCGTCGGCGCCCTGATCATCGTCAACGCCGTCCTGACCTACCTGCCGGACGCTTTCCCGACCGAAATCCCTTCCGTCATGGCCGGTTCGGCGTTCATGCGCTTCTCCTTCGGCGCGGCTTTCCCGCTGTTTGCCCCCGCCATGTATCACAACCTTGGCATCCACTGGGCCAGCAGTCTGCTGGGCTTCCTGGGGCTGGTCTACGTGCCGATCCCCTTTCTCTTTTACTTTGTAAGCATCTTTCCTTCGCCCTTCCTCTCCGTCCCCTTCCCGCAAAGATGTCTTTTAATGTCCACCTAACTTGTACCTTGTTTATAGTTTGGCGAGAAGTTCCGCAATACAAGTAAGCGAGCTCGACATACCTGAGTGCCCATGTCGCAATCATCATGATACACGTTGACATTGCATTTCTGGGTCCAATCACTACTCTGAGCAATATTGGTATCTGCTGGAGAATGAGGGGCATTCAGTTTACACGGTGGATCGGTTCATCCCTGGGTCGGAAGAGTATTTTACATTATTACACTCCTTCCTTCTTCCCGTGCCCGAGGATTGGAGGCAATACATTTGCGGCAGTGAAACGCCGCTTTGCTTGTGGGTCTAGACAACGGCGTTTGCATTAGAGGCATATTTGACACGTGTTTCATGTCCATAATCATCACTCACGCACAAGGGTATAAGCGAATATAGTAGTAGTAGTGTAGGAAGAGAATAGGTCATACGAGGACAGATCATGTCACGCATGTTGATCCCGCCAGGGCCAACGCCACTCTCTCCGCCAGGCTCCACGTAAAAAACAACAATATCATTAAATCCATTCTTGACCAAAAGGGGCTCAGCCAGCCCCAATCGATCAATCAGTCAGTCAGTCAATCAGTCATCTTCTTGACCCGCCCTCACGGCCCTAGCTTTCCTCCGCGCGCCTTTGAAATGTTTCTTGTTGCTACTGCTCATCCTCAGTTCGGCCGGGTCGATGTCCTTTTCCAGGGCCGCCATCGTCTTCGCCTTCCGACCCGTCAGCTGCTTCTGCTGTAGCTGCTGCTGCTGCTGCTGCTTCCCCTGTTCGGTGTACTGGTGGTTGAAGGGCATGGTGAGGTGTCCTGCGTTTCCGGACCCGGGGCCGAAGAAGCCCTTGTCGAGTCGTTTAGCCCGGGCGCCCTTCTCCACGGGCGCCGGAGCGCGCTGGGGCAACAGATGTGACGGCCCTTCCGCGTCCCCGTCGCCGACGGCGGACTCTTCGGAGTGCGCGATCAACCAGGCCTGCCTCTTGGCGGGCAAATGGGCAAAGTCGTACAGTTTCTCGTTGAACTCTTTCCCGTACGCTTCCTCGTCGGCCTCCGGATTGCCTGACGGCGGGGGATGACAGTAGAGCAATTTCCCATTCACGTAGTCTTTTAGGATATATCTCGCCGCACGTGACTCGTCCGGTTGACTTCCTGGTCCCGTTGTGGCAAACCCCCTCGCACGGGCGTAGGCTCTGAGCATTTCTGAGGCAGTGGGCACTCCGGTGCCGCCTTCTTCCACAGGCCGTGTGTGGATTTTCATTCCGTACACGTTCTCAAGGAAGGTCTGTGGAATGCGTTGCGCAACGAGGCCGGCGGGGCCGGTGTACTCTCTCAGTTGGTCGATCGGCAACACGCCATTGCAGACCAACTCGGCTTTGGTCGTGGCAAAGTTTGGAAAAACTAGCCCAGGACAGTCGCAGAGGATAACGCGGTCGGAAAGGTGGATGGTTTGGAAATGCTTTGTCTTTCCGGGGGTAGAGGAGACGGACACTTTTTTCGAGCCGAGGAGAGCGTTGATGGTGGAGGACTTTCCGACATTTGGATAGCCGACTAATCCGATTGTAGTTTTCCTGTCTGTCGTCGCGTCCTTGGGAATGTTTTCGAGGAAGAGGGATTCAAGTTCGTCGACAGTGAGGATTTGAGTGTCAGGTGATGTGGAGGCTGAATTTTCCGGATCACCATCTTCAGGTGTCGATTCTTCACCCCCCGAGTCTTCATCCTCGTCCTCTTCGTCAGTCCATTCTTCTCCTTCTTCCTCCTTCAAGTTGAGATCTTGAATATTCTTCACCATTGTCTTCTCCGGCAAATTGCGATCGATTTGTTGCTGGATCTGCCGTGCATCGAGTTCCTCCAGGGCGTCTCTCCCCTCATTCATTTCCTTGGCCAGATGAGCCGAGAAAAACTTGTAGTTGATACCTTGGTCTTGGAAATAATCTGCCCACGCTCTTCGTTGCTCTTCGGTCATCATGTCGGCTTTATTGACCAACAACAAGTTCCTTTTCTTCGCATCAACTTCCTTGACATATTTCTCGAGGTCTTCGCTTCGAAACAAGAGCGGATTCCGGGCGTCCACGATCTGCACTACGAGATCGGATCGCTCGATAACTCGCCAGAGTTGTCGCCATACTTCAATATTCCTCTCGAACGGTGTCATGAGCAAGTCGTCGTTCTCTTGAAGCTCTGCAAGGCCCCGCCTCCAATCCAGCAGACTCGCTCGCTCCTGCTCGTCCAACTGCTGGGGCGTCGTTGTCTCGTCCCATTTCGGCCGCCTGGGCACCGTCAATCGTCCCCTGTTTTGTGCGTGTTTCCTCCTCGCACCCCTCTCTTCCGCCGCACTCAACAAATAAGGATTTCGTTGATCTGAGTGTATGATTTTGACGTTATTCATCTTCTCGGCCGTGAAGTCGGTGCCAGCCAATTCGGCCGTGGACAGAAATTCGTCAAGGGCACCTTGTTCGGTCACACTGCGCATTTTCACCCATGACGCTTCCTTTGCAGCATTTGTAACATAGGTTTGGCCTGTCGTGTGGTCTGTCCTGAGGACTCCCTGCTGAGATACTTTCTTCCGGTCGGAACCTTTGCCTCGTCCGAAACGGTCATTCATGAGGCTGTTGCCCAGCCCCACGCTGTTCTTACTCTTCGGGAGGACCATTTTGGCGGCAATGAAGTCTCCTCGAAGCAAGAAAGAAGAGGTCTGGTGAGACGTTGCGAGGGAAATCGAGGTCGTCAAGACCTCGTGTCTTGGAGAGTGGTTGCAGGAAAAGTGAGTGGGCGCAGAGGGACGTCATATGTAAGTGGCTGTGGCCAAAATTTCTTAGAAATTAAATTTCCGCAGACACCGCAGGCGTCTACCACCCCACCACAGACCAACGTCGACCGACACAAACACCACGCTCGTTTACCAAATTTGTCCTCTAGGATTCTATGCGAAGATGCCTCGAAAGCGCTGGATGTAGGACTCATTCCTTTCTTGCCACAGACATGAAGCACTGACGAGGCCACAGCGACAAGAATAGCGCACAAACCTTCCAATTACTCTACCGCCCACAGACCGACCCAGCCCTCCACGATGAAGCGGCCGGCGAACGGGCACTCTACCAGGTCGCTGGACCTGGCTCTTCGTCTTCTCACAAGCCTGAATTTAAGGAAGGTCTACACTTGACCGACTTAGAAAATGGGCTGGACTTTGAGGACATGCGTGAAAATGAGGGCGAGGCCGCACAGTACGGCATTTATTATGATGACACGAGCTACGATTACATGCAGCATTTACGAGATATTGGTGAAGGGGGAGGAGAGTCACATTTTGTGGAGTCGGTGCCTGTCAAGGGCAAGGGCAAAGCGAAGACGGTCAAGCTGGAAGACGCACTGAGAGAATTGTCGGTTGACGACAGTCAAAGCGTGGCAGCGAGTGATATGTTTTCCACATTTTCCACCTCGACGAGGCCGAGAACGTATCAGAACCAGCAAGAAGTCCCGGACGAGATCGCCGGATTTCAGCCGGATATGGACCCGAGACTGAGGGAGGTGTTGGAGGCATTGGATGATGATGCGTATGTGGATGACAAGGATGACGAAGATATCTTTGCTGCCCTGACACAAGATGGCCGCAATGGGGAGCTTGACTTGGAGGACTTCGAGGCGAATTACGTCGAGGACGAGGACGAGGGTTGGGAATCAGATGTTACAGAAAAGGCACCTGAGCAGCCATCTGAATTGAAACTCACGCCGACTGTTCCAGCGACAACTGAACTGCCGCCGCCGGATGCGGAGATAGCTGCAGCAGAAGATGGAGACTGGTTGCGGGATTTTGCCAAATTCAAACGGGACAATGCACGAAAGGCGCCGCCCAAAGCCGCAGAATCGATCATCGCTGCCTCGGCTATCCATGATAAAGCACCGACATTGTACACCTTGAATGGCACGCCTCTGCGGCAGAAGAAGCGCAAGGGAGCTTTGACCAACCCCAGCTCCTATTCCATGACGTCGTCCTCCCTCGCGCGGACCTCGGGCCAGCAATTACTGGATGCCCGATTCGATCAAGTGGAAAAGATGTATTCGCTGGACGAGGGCGAAGAATTCGATGACATGGACGGTGGAATGTCGTTGGCCTCGGGAATGACGGGTCGGTCCAAGATGTCGCAGCTCTCCACCACCAGTTTCGCAGACGAAGGGGCAGTACGAGAGGACTTCGACAGCATGATGGATGGCTTCCTGGGAGACTGGAACAAAGCAAACCCGGGCGGTGGGAAACGGAAAGGTGCCAAAGGCAAACGTGGGAAGAACGGCAATGAGAAGTACGGCCTCCAACAACTGGATGAAGTCCGCGCAGAACTGGGCCCGGCAAGGATACACCGGCGGACAACAACAAAGACATGAAAGGGGGGAAGAAATGGCGTTGGAAATGGGTTGTTCACGTGGCGCACCACCAGAGATACCCCGTCTTAAAAGGATAGATAATGGTTTTCTCCTCATTTGAGAAAAGCTCCGGGAACTCCTCATGTATGCATCTGTACAGTAATTCGACTGGTGTAGCATCGGCCAGTCTCCTGCCCTCACTCTCGAATGTCTCGACTTGCAAAAGGGGTTGAGCCGTCTCGGGGTTTTGCGACGGGATCCCACGCGCTATATTTTGGTTTCGTCCTAGATGGGATGTCAGTTGCAGCTTTGAACCGGAGGGATTGGGCCGGTGTTGCATACGTAGAATATGGCCGATAAGCTCCTCTACTCTGGGTCAAGTTGATCTTGGGCTCTTTGCTCTCCCATGGCCGCAGTCCAAACTGCATGATTTTGTCTTCAACGGGAGGCTTATCGACCAAGTAGCTGATCCAGGCATGCCAGCCCGGGTCGATCTGGCTGGCGTCAAGCTCTTTGTCCTTGTAGTCGACCTGCAAACTCTTAGTCTCTACTCTGCACAACAGCCTTCGAAGCTCTGTCGTACCCATCGTGTCCGCAAGGGAAGCTCTTCGGCCAAGTTCTCGTAGTATTTGTTGCCATATCGGTCCGTCCCAATAAAGGTGCCAGCTTTTGTGTCACCCTGAAACCCTGTCAGAACCCATTGACGGTGCTGTTTCTGCGTGAAGCATGACGTACGATATATTGCATCTGGTGGCCATAGTCGCGAAGACCGACCCTCCAGAGGTTGCGGAGGGTACGGGTGATGGTGGACATGGTGGTATGTCCGCGGTCGTCGAGGAGGAAAAGAGAAAGAGGTGGCGGTGTGGCGGCGGACAAAGGACGTCGAGGTGTTGGTTGGTATTGTTCAGGAAGATGTCAGTAGTACGCCGTAGTGATTTTGCTTCCGTAGAGGGTTCGGAGGGTAGCTCGCTGCTCATTGGCTTCGGAGAATCGCAGTTTCGCAGGAAGCGAGCAAGCACCAGGAGCAGAGGAACAACGGAGGGTGGTTGTAGCGCCAAGCCCCGATCTTGGCGGGCAATGGGTGGTTGGATGGAGTCTCTGGTTCCGTGGCCCTGGCTGGCCTGGCTGGGTGGAGGGGGGCAAAGAGGCTGTGGAAGTGGGTTGGAGAGCTATTCGTAGGCGCAATCACTGTTCCCCATCCCAAGCCGCCTGCCTGTGTATCGCCTCGCCTCGCCCTGCCCTGCCCTCGTCCCGCGGGGCGAACAGCCAGTCCTGCTGAGCTGAGATTTCTTTACCCATAAAACCCCTCGGGCCAAGCACAGAGAAAAGAGGCACTTATGATACAATTCCCAGCGTCCTGTGACGTCCCCCCCCGTTGCCGCTGTCCATGATCTATAACCTAGGCATCTGTCGTAAAACTGACCCTGCATGACCGCATTAAATACTCCCGACAGACAAGGACAGATAACCGCCCGCCTGCCCAATTCGGCCACAAATCTATCGAACCCTCCCCCCCCCACCACCGATATGACCCTAGCATTGTGCCTTGTCTACGGTGTCTAGCAATATTCTGTGCTTGAGAGAGCAAACGTGCAATCGAGGACGTCACCATGGCCAGTGGCATCAACCGATTCCTCTCCAAACGAGACGGAAAGCGCAATCGGGGAGCCAACGGTGACCAACACCATCACCACCACTTGCCTCACCATCCTCATTCTCATCCCCTCGCCAAAAAGCCATTCTCGACCGTGAGTGCTCTTGTTCCTGCTCCTGCAAATGTGGCACCAGCAGATGTTCTACTTCTCCTGCACCACCTACCACCGTCAGGACTGATGTCGAATGTGCAACGTTTTTGCTTGTCCATATGTACCCCCTCTCGGGAGAGGGATGCCTCTTCTGTATTCCTTGGCTCTTCCCTTCGTCAGAACCCCTGCTGACCGACATCTCTCCACAGTCCAGCCCCGAACTCGCCCTGAAAGCGAGCGACCCAACCTCGGCTGCTGATTTCTATGGCCTGTTTGACGCCCATGTCCCCCCAGCCACCCTGGCGGAGGAGCCCAAGGTAAGGTGGCCTGGCTCTGTTCTGGGCCAACTCTGCTGAAACATGCCGGGGTAGATCAAGACGTTGCGCCATCGAATCCTCAACTCCAAAGGGGTGCTGTTGAGGGATGCCCAAATCCTGTGGGCGCTTCGCTCGATCGCCGCCAGTGGAGATGTCGATGCCGCATACGGACTCCTGCTTGCCATGTCCGATGCCTCGGAAGGCATCGTCACGCCGTATGACCCTAGAACGAAGCTCCTGGGTGCACAGAACCGGCAGGGAGTGACGTGTTTCCTCGATGCGACGTTGTTTTCCATGTTCTCTCGACTCGACAGCTTTGAAGCCATGCTCTATAACTCGTTCAACGACGTAGCACGCAATAAGCTGGCGTTCCTTTTACGCCTTTGGGTTAACCTGCTCCGGTCTGGGAAGCTGATTACAACAGACATCACAAAAGTGATGCAAGATACTCTGGCCGAATGCGGTTGGCTGGAAGCTGCCGAGCTGCATCAGCAAGATGCATCGGAAGCCTTCTCCTTCATCACGGGCAAGCTCGAGCTGCCTTTGATGACATTGAAAATGGACATCTACCACACCGGCAAAGAAGACACCAACGACGATCATAAATTCATCAACGAACGACTCCTCGAAGTGGCCATCCCTCCGGACCCCACGGGCGAAAGGTCCGTGATTACACTGGAAGAATGTCTCGAAGACTACTTCAACAATCGAATTGAGGTCCGAAGATACTTGGAGCGACGGTCGACAATAAATTCCATGCGCAAGGCGAGTGTGGTGCACGTTGAGACCGTCGAGTTGGATGGTGACCAATCACCGATCACTCCCCTCTCTCCGTCGCCGAGTTTCGCAGCTCCTACCAGACCGGGAGCAAACCGTAACCGCACTCCAAGTATTATCCAGGAGCGCTACATACCCCCTCGGAATGAAAGCGGATATTCATCGTTGGCTCCAATCGACTCCAAGGAGTCTGCCCCCATGTCGCGCGTCGGAAGCGTCCGGAAGGAGGTTATGATGCCTGCGTGGCAATTCTTCAGCCTGATTCGTAAGTCGTGCTCCCATGGCTGATGCGGCTTTAATTGATATGTTTCAGCCTGGTATACCGATAACGCGCCTACGAATGACGCCCAAGTCGCTGCTCACTTCTCGTCGAAACGGCCCGTCCTCGGACTTTGCCTCAAGAGGTACTCGTTCACAGCCGATGGCAGAGCGATTCGGTTGGACACAAAGGTGGATATCCCAGTCGAGATTGGAGTGCCTCACTTTATTCAGGATGATCGTATGGAAGACGCCGGAGGCCTGCACGGCAACTTCAAACTCTCCCTACAGTCCGTTGTCTGCCACCGAGGCAACTCCGTCGATTCCGGGCATTACGTTGCCCTTGTACGAGGCTCTTCTCCACCGTGGTCTTCTGATGGCCAACTTCCAGATACAACCAATACCTGGATGAGGTTCGATGACCTTGCACCACAGCGTATCACCGTTGTCGACATTGAGAAGGCGCTCAGAGAGGAAACCCCCTACTTGCTCTTCTACCAAATCCTTCCCATCCAGGGCGACCCGGGGAGTATAGCGGCAGGAGAAGAGCCCCTGGCCTCAGTCTCGGAACGCAACCTGTCCGTCAGCGAAGTCTCGAGTGAGTCTGCTTTGACCGATAATCAGCCTCCGTCTGGTCGCCCCAGTTTCGAGATCACACACATAGAAGAACCCAGGGGCCGATCGCCGACAGAAACCAGGAGAACGAGTGTCATTTCCTTCCAGGAGCGACCTCCCGAATACTCAAATGGAGCATCCTTGGCTGTGCCAAACAGTGGTGATCCGCCCAGCACGCCCCGACCCAAATCACTGTCACGGACACAGAGCAAAACAAGTGAAAGCGGTAGCCTCAGTCGAACGTTGTCCAAGTTCAAGAGGAAAAGCCGAGAAGTCTTGCCCATGGAAAATCAAAACCTGGCCGAGGTTCACGTTACAGAAATCGCCGAGCGCAGTACGCCAGCCACGCAAGACGGTCAGACGCATGCACCGCAGCCAGGTTTGCAAAGTGCTCCCAAACCAAATATTCTTCAGTTCCAGCATCAACCACCTAGAGGTCACAAAAGCGAAAAGAGTCGCAGTCGAATATCAAGGAGTAAGATTCGAGGCGAGAAGCCGGATAGAGAGTGCGTTGTTATGTGAATTTGAGCGTCGACTTGCCATCCGTTGCTTGATGCATCGTGGTCGTTGCAGCGTTCCTGCTATATGCATTGGAGACTGGCTAGCGGGATTCCCGTGCTATTGGCATGTTGTTTATGTTCGTCTGATGATTTCTGATGCAGCCGGGTTTGTTTTATTTAACGAGACCATGCGTGTTCGTGGTAGACAAAGTACCATGAGGTGGAGTTTTGGCAACACAGAGATAGTTTTTTCAACACCCTTGCCGAATACAAGACGTGTTCGCCATTTATGCCATCTCCCCATCCTGGCCTTAGATCACCCTAGTCGTTGTCAACGAAAAGATGTCCATGAATCTTGTATACAATTCGGTCGAGGGGAGCACTGGTGACGACGAGTCGACGAGGCTGACAATGAGTGTCCTAAACGGGTCTAGCGCTTCTCCTTTAAGTCAACCACAATCAGCGGCTTGTGAACATTCTCCTGCCTGATTCGATCTTTCTCACTCGGACCAAGACCGCGCCATGCTTTGGGGCAGTCTGCTCCGAATGAGGAGGCCGACACGACACCAATCGCTGGCCTGCCAGATACGGCATCGAGAAGCTCGAGGAATGCGGGGGTTTTGCTTTCTTCAAATCCTTTCTTCCCCTCTTTGCCGATGTGGGTGGGATGTACCAATGATGTTACGAACCGATGTTCACTAACCGACCAGTCATGTCTCCTTTCCTCATATTTGGTTTGAAGCCAGTGTTGACTTGGCCTGTGACCATTCGGTGATGCGGATCCGGTCACTGGCCGAGGGCCTGAATACTTAGAACATGGACTCACCCCTCCTTTACACAGCTTCGAGGGAGAAAAGGTATATATACAGGGCCCCAGGTCAACAGAAGGCCTCAGTGGGGGTGCAACTCGAACGTAAACCACGTCCCTTTGTTGACTAATCCAAGACTTGTTCCATCCCTCCGAATCCTGAGGTACATCACACTCAAACATGGCAAAGATAGCTGCTGAGGCGGTCCCTCAACTCAAATCCCAGATCGATGCTCTCACGGCCGACCCCGATGGCGCTCCCGGAGTGGTCTTCGCCGCCGTCAACAAACAAGGCGAGATCATCTTCGAACATGCGAGCGGTAAGGTGGGACATGGAAAGTCACAGCCCATGACGATGAACAATGTGTTCTGGATCGCGAGTTGTACCAAGATGATCACCGGGATTGCGGCTATGCAGCTCGTCGAGCAAGGAAAGTTGGCGTTGGACGATGTAGAGCTGGTGGAAAAGCTGGCTCCGGTACGTCTTGAACCCTTTGGTGGTTGCTTTGGAAAGGGGAATGGAGCTCCGGCGAAATGGGATGGTTTCATCGCTCATGTCTGATTACCGGGTTACAGGAATTGAAAGCTGTGCAAGTCTTTGAGAATGGCAAGTTGGTGCCCAAGAAGAAAGGCATCACCTTGAGGATGCTCCTCTCCCACACTGGTAAGCTGCGGCCGCCTCCCCGTCCTGCCTTCACTATATATTTCTCGCCCGCCCTGCTGACATGTCTCGACGTAAGCTGGCTTTGGGTACTCGTTCTTCGACCAGCGCGTGCTAGATTGGGCTGGACCCCTCGGCATAGATGAATTCTCTGGGTCCTATCACGACTATTTGTCCCAGCCGCTTGTGAACCAACCGGGTGAAAGGTGGGAATACGGAATCAACATTGACTGGGCGGGACAGCTGGTGGAACGAGCTTCCGGTCTCAAACTCAACGACTACTTCCAACAGCACATCTTCAAGCCCATGGGCATCACCCACATCTCCTTCTTCCCCACGGAGGAGATGAAAGCCGAACTTGCGTGGATGAACACACGTTCTCCAGATGGAAAGCTCTCCATCTACGCCAACGGCCATCTGAACAGGAGACCACTGTATGCGACGACGAAGGAGGAAATTGACTCGACGTTCCATGCCGGTGGAGCGGGCTGTTTCGCGAGACCAAGCGAGTATTGTCAGATTATTGCCACGTTGTTGAACGACGGGGTGCACCCAGGCACTGGCAATAGGATATTGAAGAAGGAAACGGTGGAGACCATGTTCACGAACCAGGTACGGAGCAGACGAGATCCCATGGGCGAGGAAGAGAGAGAAACAACTCGCTTGACACAATGCTTGATGCTGACATCATTGTGCTCGTATAGATCCCTGATATGCCGAACTATGGAAGACAGGTGGGTGTTTCCCATCTCATCCACACTGGTCGATCTTTCCACAACCATGGATGATGACTCCCGGCATCCAGAGATGCTATTGTCAAGGACCCTCGAGGCTGACTTGAATGAACACAGGGCATCGCTCCACCAAAACTCGACATGTCAAATCCCCTTCCGGAGCTGTACCCAGATCCGCATGATGTCCCGCAAGGCTGGGGACTGACCTTCTTCCTCCACCTGCGCGACTCGGCGGTCCATAGCGAGGGAACCGGTTGGTGGGCTGGACTGCCCAACCTGTTCTGGTGGGCTGATCGCAAGAGGGTACGTGTCTTGTCTTGTCTTGTCTTGTCCTCGACAGCCTCCCCAAGTCTATCCATTTTCTCCCTCTATTTCAGTTCACAAAAGATAGACTCCCCATGCTAACCTGCTCGATTTCCGCTTTCTAGGGCCTCGGCGGCATCATTGCCTCGCAGATCGTGCCATTCGGTAAGCATATTCCCTATCTTCGTGCATGACAACAACCCCCTGTCGTCGGAGATGGCCTCGCTGACGCGCGCACACGCTCCTCAAATTCACAGGTGATCCTAAGATCCTCGGGCTCTGGGCACAGACCGAGGCCGGGTTGATCCAGAACCTGAAGTAGAGAGGTGACGAGGGATGAGCGATGAGTGGACCGGGAAGTCCTTCATATGCAAGGAGGAGAAAAGGAGAAAAGGGAGCGAGAGAGAAGTATGAGAACTAGGAAGCCAAATAAGGGGGAAATGGAATGGCACAGGGTGCCTGTCTTATGTATCTATCATCTGACCGAGATGAGGCTCTCGCTCTCGCTACCATGTGATCTGAGCACTTCTTCCACCGGGTGCCGTCCCACGTCCGAATCATCGAACAGATTCACCATGTCGCAGTGCCTTTGTACTGAATTTGAACAGCATGATAGTAGTCGTGGTCTATTTTCTATGCTCCATGCTCCACACCGCATCCATCCTGCCCTTGTCGAATGAAGCCTGATCGAGATCGAGAAGGAGACGAGTCACGACGACACAGAACGGGCGAGCACCCTCTTGACGAGAGCACAGGGTGGCCCCATAGAAAGTCACAAGTTAAGCCAAATGCAGCAAAAAACCATGTGGGCGAAGATTTTGTTGTATTCTCTCTGAAATTGTTCGGTATTGTACATGATATGTCGCTGCCTCCCAGCCGCATGTTGAGCATGCATCCGCCAGCATAATCTAAGCTCGTTGATGTGACCATGTACAAGGCGACCTGCGGATCGTGTTTTAATCCACAACCTTGCCATAAAAGGGAATGCCCAGCTGCTGTAGGAGCAGTCTTGCATCTTTGTCACAAGTGGCTGTGGTGTGAATGGTGATGTACAGACCCTGGACAGGAGGGATTAGCAACGCATACTTCCAAAACGTCAAAGCCTGGAAGACTCACCGGTATTAACTTCGTCGGGTAGGCGTCATAGTTGATTTCGATTTCCGGAAAACCAGCAACAACATCAGGGGTCAACCCAAAAGAGAGGTTGCCACTGTTGTCACCGGTTGTGGCCCGGACACCATTCCAATCCTTGATACGAGGTAGGACAACATTGATCATTTTGCCCAGAAAATGATACATGTCTTCCGCCTTCAAGTCCACCGTCATACTGACTGGCCGGCCTCTGATCAGGCCCCAGCCCTGTTCATTCGACCTGGCCTTGTGCACCACGACCCTTTGGTTTGTGATTGCCTGCAGAATCATGCCAGCCACGTGAAGATAGCCTGAGCCTCCTTTGAGAGCGCCTTTGCAGTACGCGTGAACCGTAACTCGTTCCACCATGGGCACATTTCGAAATGTTATGGGTTTTCTCAGTAATCGCAGGACGTCTCCACCACGAGGACCACGCAGCTGTCTGTTGGAAAAGTACGGATTGTCTCCAATCCACGGCCGCAAACGGGGGCCCTTCTCTGGCGGTCTGAAGCCGGGAGGCGTATGTTGATAGCACATCGTCATGAAGTCAGGGGCAATGATGTTGTGGTACGCGAGTTCGACTCGCGGCGACGAGAAAGGGCCCGGGACGAATTCTCGACTTGCGGGATCGGAGGGATGGAGAGGTTGATGGGGATGCATCGGACCACGATCGTATCTGGGACTTCGGAATCGATACCTGCAGAGCGTGAATAAATTTCCATCGACATCTAGAACGTGTCTCGAATATACCTGCTGGGAGGCAGCTGTCGCCTTCTTGACTTTGGAAATGCTAAAGGATCAAAAGCTTGTGCTTTAGGATGTGGACTCTGCATGGAAACGAGCGATGATTCCTGCTCGAGCTCCTGGTATGGCTCCGGGCTTGCTACAGCTGCTTGAGTAGCCATGGTTCGTCGCGAGTGCAAGCATCTGTTGCAGATGGGTGCATTGTTGAAGGACCGCCACGGTCTGAGATGGCGGAGAGTACTAGCGGTGTTTGCCATGGTGCATACGGACAGCCCTTGAGCGAGATCGATCAAGTCAGGACTGAAATGTCCAATACGCAGATACAGCCAACAGTGACGCCAAATTTTGAAGCTGTTCACATCTCGGATCTCAATCGAGGAAAATCAGTTTGCACCTTTTGCCGCATACTCCGCGATATACGGCTCTACGGTGGAACCCAGCTTCTTTGCGCAGATCATAACTGCGGCTCACTCCTCCCCACCTGTTCACTGAAACGGTAGTGTGCCTTGCAGGACTCGCACTTTCACAAGGACCATCGCGCCTTCAACTCTGTACGCAGTACGGGGTATATTGCAGCGTCAACCGCCCCAGACTCTCCATCCTGTCCAGACCTACCTGTCCTGTTCTCCCAGCGTCCCATCTCGACTGACCGAAGTCGAGAAAAAAGCACTCGGTATCAATGGATCGCAGCCTTCAACTTTGGTCGACTTCCGCCAGACATTCGTCGTGACTGGCAAACACGGTCGCAATGACCTGTCTCTTTGCCTCAATCCCACCATGGAAGATATCGCCGTACAGGCGTCCCGGTATATACTTCCCTTCCTCCACGACTTCGTGGTCTGACATTTGGGTTTCACAGAAATGTAAATCGTACAGAAACCGATCTCTTACAGGCTCTCTTTCGTGCAGAGCCTGTCACTCAAGGCCTGGAATCCTTGCTGGCAAAGTGAATACAACCGATATATGAAAGAATGTCTTACTCACGAAGGTAGATTTCGGTCAGCATGTCAGGACTTCCTCTTCCTCGACTTCGAGGCTGCGGCCGGAAAGAAAGTCGAAGACCGCCTGTGGAATGCTCACATGAAGGCCAACTCGAGGTTTCGGCAGTATCTTGCCAATTTCCGTGAAGGAGAAGGCAAGAAGAAGGTTGTCGAACGTCGAAAGGCCGAGAAGCTCTATCTCGAGTTCATCAAGTCGAGCCAACGCTTCTATCGAGAGTATATCCAACGACTCGCCTCAAACTTCAAGGATATATCAGAGATACTTGAGATTGCACGCGACATGAAGTTGGACAGTATGCAATGACATGGCTTATCGTCGATCTTCACTGACGTTTGTAGCGCTCTCCACAGACCCTCCACAGACTGTCGACAACACACTGAAGAAACAACTCATCGATTCATGTTATTCTGCCCTTGTGCAACTGGGGGATCTCTCGAGGTATCGAGAGACTGAACTGCAGACGAATCGACGCAACTGGGGTCCTGCTGTGGGGTATTATAACAAGGCTGTCGCCCTCAATCCTACGGAAGGCCGAGCATATCACCAACTGGCTGTCGTCGCTCTTGCCGATGACGACCATCTACGAGCTGTCTACTACTTCTATCGAGCCATCTGCCTCAATAAACCCGCCCCACAAGCTCAAGCAAACCTGGACCTTGAGTTCAAGAAGCTCAGAACAAAGTCAAACCAAGGCAAACCTATCTCCACTGCTGCATTGGTTGCTGAGGGCTGCCGTGACCTTCATGACCGCTTCCTTATATTTCACGCTAGTTGTCTCGGAAAGGATCCAGCGGAACAAAAGGATCAGCAAATTGAGATCCTTCAACTTCTCGAGGAGCAAATTCGAGAGCGGTCTGATGCTGCACTACTCAGAAAGCTCGTCTTGGTAAATATCGCCGCAGAGAAGTCTGCCACACAGAAAGCCAACGGTGCGTGAACACAGAATATGAGCCAAGCAGCTCGCTATTTCCCTGCTTTTACTAACCCAGTCTCCAGCCACGCGGCCCTTTGAGATCTTTCAATCGTTTAATGTCAAAACCTTTTTCCTACTGCTCAGAATCTTGCTTGACGAACTGCAGAAGCTCTCAGGAGCAACCACTAACGAAGAAAATGCCACAACGGAAGATTTGGCGAAAGTCCCTCCAGTTGTCCGCCGAATTCTTCCCCATTTGAGGCTGTATAGCGGATGGCTGTTGAGTACGGTCCACCTCCTGCTCGAGAACGAGAATCTTGTCGTGTCTCTGCGGCAGATGTGGCCGTTATATGTCAACGTTCTCAATATCCTGATGCAGGTATTTCCTCCTAAAGCTGCGCCTGAGATTCAATACCTCCTGGATGAAGATATGGACACCCGAGGCTTCTCTGCCTTCAGTCCTCTCGTCCAAAAGATGCGCCTTTCCAACCGTCTGGGGCCGATCAAACAAGTTTACAGCGAAGCATCATTTGGCCCTCGTTCTCCTGGAGACGAGATGCGGTATCGACTCAAATGCCTGATCACAGACGGAGCATTACTTGCCCGTAAACAAGTGAGTTAGTCACATCGCTCAAACCAACTGTTGCTGATATTTTAGGATGATTTCAATTCCTTGCCCATTCCTATCACATTTGCCAACATGCGTTTCGTCTACTCTGAGGCGGACGATGTTACACCCGCCGAGAATCAAAGTGCGCCTGCCAGGGCTGTCGCCTCCATTGCGTCAATGGAGGGTATACACAGTTATCTTGGGCACGCTGCCCAGCATGAAATTCCCGCGCCCCAAGCACCGAGCCAACACCCGGCGGCTTTCGACACTGAAAATTCAATGGCCTATCAGATGGAGAACATGGTAGATAATCTCATGCGGTCTGAAGCGTCACGGCCCGTTAACAGTTCTGGAACCGCCACGTACGATGTTCCCGCAGCCACGTCGAACCCTCAATTGGTGCCACCGGGGCTCACCAACCGAAGCATATCGCAATCGCATCCTGCTTCCTTCACCGCTCGAGATCTCGTGCAGCGAATTCAGCGGTCATCACAGCCTAGCGCGGCGGACCAGGCTGTGAATGTGGCCATCTTGCCCTCCATCTTGAACACTCCATTTGCACCACGACCTGGAGAAACGCCAGAATCGTCACCGCGGCCGAGTACTTCCCACCGTTTCCCCGAACCGTCGTCAGCCCCTGTTCGCCTCAGCAGTTCTGCCCAATTCCAGGCCCACCTTATGCACATGCAGGACCAGGTCCAAATGCGGACGTCACCACTAGAGACATGTGAGCCGACTATGTCGAGCCACTATGGCACCCCTGCACATATGACGACTTGGATGCGAGCGAATGACCCAATCCAGCCTCAATTGTCACCCTGGCGAGCCTCTTTCGGCAGCGCAGTACCTGTGCAGCATTCTCCCATTTCGACCCGACCCCCGGAATCATCACCTTTTGGCGCCATTGGCGAGTCGCGTCCGAAAAGCAGTCGGACTCCTACCAGCGGCCAGCCGGGATGATGCTCCCCACTTTCTCATTCGCTTTGGATTTCGGCCCGCGGCGATGTTAAAGCGCCGCGATCAGCAGAGCGAGAATTAGAGACAACATCACAACGCTACTCCAGTCATTACCGGAATGTACAAAGGACATCTATCGGTCCTGCATGCCAACCGCCCGCGTCCGCGCCTGCTGGTCCCAATGCCTTGGTATTGTTGTTAATCTTCTCAAACTCGACCCGTAAATAGTATAGTATCGAGGTTTGGCACAGCACTACCAGGCGAGAGAGGGAAGGCCTCTTGACAGCCATGTGGACTCATATACTAGAGTTCGCGCTGATCTTGGTGAGGTCATCACTGAACAAATCCTGGGAGCATCACAGAGACATTGGTTGCGCACATAATTCTGAGCAGGGGTAACTAGAGACTGGTGATCAGATCAGACTTGACTCCTTTCTTTTTGGCTTCTATTTTCGTCCCTGATTCAGGGGCGGTCTCGTTCTATGTCATCTCAGGGCTCTAGTTCCGGCATCAAATTCTCTTTTCGACAAGTCGTGAAAGGCGTGGTATCATGTCCGACATACTGTGTGGAGGTCTTGTTGAATTAGACCTCTTCGCTGTTAAAGCGCCCGTGGTGGTACATTCTTTTGAGGAATTACTGGAACGCCGGACTTTTGCAATACTCAACCTGATGAGACCCAATATTTAGGCCTTGTATGTCTGCTTCGGTCGGGGATATCTGCACAGGGGCACTCGTTAGAGACCGAACGGACAGGTGAATAGCAAGAGACTTACGCAGGGCCCAGTTCCTGTAGACTTAACCTTGCCAGCCAATGGCCCTTCTTGATGCAGTCTTCCAGGGAATCGCCTTGGACCACACCGGCGCAGAAGCCACCTGCAAAAGCATCACCGGCACCATTTGTGTCGTTGATCAGGTTCGTGTCGATGACCGGCACCGAGTACTCCTTGAGTTCCACCTCTTCCTTCCCGGCCTCGGCCACGGCCACAATAGTTGGGTCCGTGCCTTGCGTGACAATCACCACCCTGGGCCTCTTCGTGTTGACCTTGGGCAGCTTGGCCATCAGCTTGGCGCACTCTTGCATCGAGATGGTCGACGGATGTCCCTGGGATTCCGCCCACGTCTTCGCCTCGTTCTCGTTCCCAAAGACGTAGTCGCAGTACGGCAGGATTTCGGCCAGCGGCTCCTTGAAGAACTGTGGGATGAAGCCGGCCGACAGGCTCAGCAGGAAGACCTTGTTCGTCTCTGCAGCGTGTTTCGCCAGCGCCATAGCCGCGGGCGGGCACACGGTTAGGTGGTAGCCGCCGACGTAGAACCCCACCGAGGTCGCCTCGACCATGCTCCAGATGCGCGGCTCGAGGAGATGCTCCAGCTTGTATTCGTTGGCCGCGGCGAGGTGCGTGCACATGGTGCGGTTGTGGTCTGTGATGATGACGCCGCATTTCCCTGTCGGCGTGTTGGGGTCGACCCGGTACTCGACGTGCAGTCCTGCTCAGTCCTTTCGTCAATGTCTGCTTGAGGGAAGGGAGAGGCTTGATGTGCGAGGCACCCAGCCCCAGCCAAAAAGTGGTGTGATGGGGTATACCGACCTTCTTCCTTGCACTTCTCCCTCAGGATCTTTGCGTACTCGTCATCGCCCACGCACCCGATGTACCAGACACTGTCCGGGGGTAGCATGTACTGCGCACCTCTGGCAGTGTTCTGGGCCGCGCCACCAGGGATCAATTTGGCGTTGCGGTTCTGGATCAAATCGTCGTAGAGGCCCATCTGGTGGGGTTCGGCGAGCAGCGTGTCGTTGAGTTTGAGGCCGTACTTTTCGAGCATAGCATGGTCGCTGGGAAGCCGTCAGCTGTCTAGTCGGAGGAGCAAAGCGTAGGTGGGAGTGAGGGATTCATTTTAACAAAGTAGCAACGTACCCAACGCCCTGGATGTCGAGGAGGGGATTTTCCAAGCAGAGCAGCTTGAATGATTTGGTCGTCATCTTGCGGGACGGAGAGGGCAGAGGCCCCAAAGACAGCGAGGAAGTATGAGAAGGGAACGGTGAGAAGGTACGAAGGAGTACAGAGGAGGAGGGTGATCGGACAGAGAAGATCCGGGGTCGCGCAGATATACACCTTGTCGACAGCATCAAGATGTATTTTTTGGTGAGGCGTCGATCAGAGAAGTGAGAACCGAGTGTGGGGCATCAAAGATGCATTGGTCGGTTATGTAATGATTAGCCGAATATAATCCGATCTGAGCTCTTGTGACAATTGCCAGCGAGAACTTGGCTATACGAGATTCATATGTAACAACCAACAACCCAGCCCACCTTCGTCCTCTGCTTTATCCCGGCACAAGTCTCCCTTCGCAATACTCCCGTCCAAGATGGCATCTGCCGCCACCGAGATCGCCTCTACCATCCAAGCTGCGCACATTAAACACGACCCGTCTCCCGAGCACGACATCAATCCCTCGACGGCCGCATCCAAGAAGATCCCTGCCGAAGTCGAGACCATCTCCCCTCCTCGTTCCCGTTCTCACTCTCTCAGCAGCTCTGAGTCAACCATACCCAGCGACATCATCCGCCCCCCGTCCCCCGGACCCCGGTCTTTCCCCCCGATCCCCCGACTTCCGCTTCGAACAGTCCTACCTCGCTAGCATCAAGAGCGCGGATTCGAACTGGAGAGTCGCCTTCATCACGGTCCGCGACCAGGTGTTTCTGCCTCTGGTGCAAGGGATATTATGGAACCTGTTGATGTTCGGCTGGCGGCACTGGAACCGTGGGAGTAAGTTCCAGGGACAGAGCTGGGGGGCGAAGGTCAGGAAGTGGTGGTGGGGTGTCAACAACTGGAAGGTCCCGGCGGCAGGGGCGGACGCGAAGGCAATGAAGAAATCGAGTGACAGACAAGTGCTGCAGAGGGTCGAAGATTTCTTCGTCGATCGGTTTGGGTCCAGTCTGGGGGACTGAGGTGAATGAGTGATTGGGTGACTAGGATTCCCAATGCATATTGAAGATGGAGCCGGTTTGAACTGTCGCTTTGGACCATCCCTCGACAGTATCTTCAGCTTCGTCACCAAAACAGCCATGGATTCTCTGCGTGGGCTTGGGGACTCTCTCACTATCAGCCCTTGTACATTGAGTTCCCGCCGGCTTGGCTGGAGAAGGACAGAAGAAGCTTCATTCCGTGCTCTTATACAAATTAGGCACGCCAGCTTCGAAGTACAATCTGCATCCCGAGGGGCAAAGTTGGTTTACAAGAGAAGAAGGGTTGAGCCGCGAACGGCACCGGGACGCAGTCAGGACGTGTGTCAGTTGCTGCGACAATAGGAAAGCTGAGGCCTGTCAGGGACTTGGTAGGAACGATTCAAGGGCCGGCTGATTCCTGGGACACCGTGGGAAAAGAATTCATTGTCAGATGCAGAAATGCCCATATAAAGCGGGACTCGAGAAGAGTAATCAAGAGCCCTGAAACAGTGATGCTTTGGACTCGTCAATTCCTGTCCTGTTTTTTCTTTTGGAAGCGTTTCTCTCATCAAGCCGCGCCAGCAATGTGGAGTGCCTTTACAATACGACGAGCAACGGGCCTATTTTCTGTCGAGAGCACTTTTCTTTATCTCGTCGGAATTTCGTATGAGCCCATTTCAATCGACGCCAGAGAACTGACTGTGTGAAGGTTTCCTTCCCCCTAGCAGCCATCCGCCAGGGTGTCTCTCTACCTTCATCATCGTTGTGAAGATATGACTTCCCACATCCCTTCTCAATTCTCCGTCCCCACCACACACCGAACCACTGAAAACATCTATCGGCTTTTGGCCTGCACCTTGCTCGGTGCACCCTTGGCGCCCTGCTTGCTTGTGATCTGGCCTCTGGCTGCGTTCGCCGCGCTCTTCGCCTTCTCGGCCTTCTTCTTGCTCTCGCTGGCGGCCTTCTTCTCCTTGGCGTCCTTGATGGCTGCTTGACGGGCGGCGGCACGGGCCTCCGGGCGCTGAGCGCGACGCTCCTTGATCACGTCGAGAGAAGCGCCCACGATGGCTCGTTGGTGTTTTACCGTGCGGCGGGTGCGTTTTTTGGCGACTTCCTATATTGGGGAATGAATGTACGTTAGTGGCCCACCGGGTCGTGTAGAGTTGTGCGCAGTGAGAAGAGAAGGAGAGGAAAGTCTAGATGTTCCCTCCTCTTTTTTGGAGATCTCGACATGTTTCACCAGTAATTCCGCCCACGCAAACGATGGAGTTGATTCGAGACTAACCTCTGAGATACCCTTCTTGTGCATGCGTCGGTAGAGCATGGTCCAGGCTATTCTTCTCGGGTTCTTGCGCTGCAAGAAAAGGGACTCGGTCTTGCCATTCTGGAATCGGAAAATCTTGCTGTCGCCGCGGACGTAGAGCTTGCCCTGTAGAGAACGTCAAGTCCGCGTGTCAGTAACGGGCCACGTCCACAAATTATGTGCGAATTTCGCGTGTGAGGTCTTTGTTGCGCGAGCACTCGCGGACCGGGTGGGAAAGTGGGCGAGAGGATACTGACCTTGCCCGGGTAGATCTTGGTGGCGCTGAAGGTATCGTCGTAGGTACGCATCTTGACGGTCGATTGATGCTGTACCTATTCTTCGATCAGTTCGTCAAGTGGGATGAAAGTTGGTAACGCAATCGGCCGTTCGATGTCTGCGGCGGAGTTGCAATTCTGCAGTGTGCGCCTTAGCTAATTGCCAAGAAATCCCTCTACGTTCGAGCGATGAGCCAATAGCGCAGCGGCATGTGACAATGCGCACGTGATTGGAGATGGTACAACTCCTGACTCCGCAAAGGCTGGAAGCCGCTGGTTTTCAATAGCTATTATCACTCTGTTTTGAGTTATCATCACTCGCTCTGGTGTGGCGAGATCTGTCGAGTCAAGGCCCTACTTCCAATTGGTAGGCGTTCTCAGCTAATAGTACACATTTGTCATGTTGTCACAGAGGCTCTCATTGATGTCCTGTCATCCAAGAGGAGCTCATCAGGAGGTCTAGCCCATCCGTCCCATTCACTTTGGTGTCCACGAACTTGATTCTTGCAGTCTTTTCCTCTTGACCGCTCATAGGGCGCGGCGATTCATGTCCTCGTCATGCCACAAGCACTCGGCCCACGGGTTCTTCTTGCACTTGCGACACTGAATGTCCTTGCAGATCAGGTTGGGGCATTCTCCACAACAATCGGGACACACCATCTTGCCGCAGCCGATCTCGCCACCCTTGGTGCATTGGAGGAAAGTGGGTGCTTCTTGGCCATATGGGAATAGGAAAGCAATCTGTAGGAGTTTCTCTTCGGCCGCCTTTAGGGATTCTGGATTGTCCTTATGGGTCTTGACGGCGAGCGCGGCGGATTTGTAGGCACAGCAGGCGCGACCGCAGACGGCGCAGCAGTGATCGAGGCAATTAGTGCACTTGAGGTTGCGAGAGTGCCAAGCCCGGCCTGTGTATGGGTGGCGTGAATATGGCTGTCCCTCATCATAGTCATAGCTGTGATTGTTGGTGGTGATGCGCAAGTAACGTTCCTAGAGCTTGCGGTTACTCAATCTGCCATGATTTCAGACTGGGGAGAGGTAGAACTTACGAGATCAGGTCGGTGAAGCATGTCAGTATGCTGAGGTGAGGCAAAGTCGAGTTGAGGCTTCTCAGATTTTGTCTTGAACAAATCAGTGACCTTGCGGAGACCAGTCTTCTTCAGCTCAAATCCCTCTGAAAGTGGTGTAGCAACTGACTTGCTGCTATCAACAGGAGTTTTCCTTGGAGTAGCTATGCCAGCCATGGGTGAGCCTTCGGTGGAGACGTTGAAGATGTCAGTCTGGACATTCTCGGCACCAATCTGGAAGGTTGACAGGTTCTTGCTGAGATCGTACGTGTTCGCTATGTCAGAGCTTTGTTGTGGTTTCAGACGGGGCAAGATGGGTCGACAAGCGAACGGCTCTGGTGCTTTTGGACTCATGGAGTCTTCGGAGCGGATGGCCTTCGTGTTGAAAGGGTTCTCTTGGAGTTTGCCATTGTCATAATTCCCTCTAATGAACGCGTTCCCAGGCACTGGCAATGTCCCGAACTTGATTCTGTGTTGCAGCCGAGCTTCATTTTCGAGCTTTTCACGTTCGGCCTCCTCGCGCTCGGCTTCACGCTCCTTCTCGTCAAATCGTCGTCTGGCCTCTTTCACCATGCGCTTGATTTCCTCCTTCTTAGACGTGGTGAGCATGAGAGGCGCATCACTTGCGGAGGAAAAGGGATTTGGCTGGTTCATTGGATGTTGACGGATGTCCGGTGCTGGGATTGCTGTCAGATGGGTGAAGGATCCTTGGACGACGGTGTGGTCTTTGTGCGTGACAGTCTGGCCATTATTCGCGCTTTCTGGAGATGAGAGCTCCGGTACTGGCATGCTGAAAGATCTCGCAGGTTTGATTGTCTTCTCGTCGTCTTCTCGTAGGACCTTCATCATGTCGGAGGAGCGACTTTGCTTGACTGGGTCGCGGGTGGGGGTGAGGGAGTTAGGGTGATTTTGGACAATTTCCATTGCCCAATTCACATCAAATTCAAACGGATTCCCTGTCACGATTGACAGGGGCCGAAAAGACCCTCCTCTACGTCTGTTGTAGAGGGGTGCGACAGAACGTGAAGTATCACTCACGTGATCCCTCAGCCTCGTGCCCTCCTCTCTGTCTGGCGAAGCCTTTCGGCTCCTCACAGACAAGGCCGTCAGGCTCAACTTCTTCCCCAGAGTCCTCAAGGGGGACCCCGGGGAACGAAGGAGAGCCTTGACAGCCTGCGGCGTTGATGGCCGCGAGGGGAGGCACGAGGTCATCTCATCAGAGTCGAGACTCCACCGGCTCTGCTCCATGATGGACGTCTTTGATATTGATGAACGTGAAAGGAGAAGAAGAACAGCGTGTTTTTAGGTCAACAGTTTCACAATGTTGCTTCAGATCCCGCCGAGCATCAGTGGCGGGTACAAAATCAACCAATGGCGCGCACCAGTCTCCAGATGCTGCTTGAGGCGATGATGTCGCCATGTTGCGCGGAACTCATATCAAAATCGGCCATTAAATGGTCAAGAGGGACGACACATCATGAACGACAAAGTCCGAGATGACAGCACGTACGCTGTCTCCGACAGGAAGGACGACCAACACCGGACGACACGGAGCCTTGTCCATGAGAGAGGCCTCAAAAGACAGGTACACATAAGAATCCAGAGCGACTTACCATAGTGCAGGGGAAACAATCTCAAACCCAAGGAATCTTCTAATGTACTTGTCATTCGATAGTAGGCTCATCGTGCTGAGAGACTCGAAAGGCAGGAGCCATTCCTCACTGGTCATTGCGTCAAGGCTGAAAGTCTCATCAGATCGTTGCTCGTTCCACGCTACATCTTCATTGAGTTCTCCGTTTTCGACAACCTTCCGTTCAAACTGGATCACCAAAAGTGAAAGTTGCAAATCATGGCATGGCATAGGTTCTGGTCCACTCTCTGGCTGTTTGGATTGCAGCCTCCTGGTCCTCCTTCCACCGCTGAGCAACATCATTCGCCAAAGGATCATCCGGGTTTGGAGCACCAAGCAAAGCCTGAATGGAGAGTAGTATCGTTCTGATCTGAAGCGCTGGCGACCAATTGCCTTGACAGAAGATTAGCCCAAGTGCATCCCAAGAGAGAGGGTTACTCACTCTTCAAAACGTCCAAGCAGATTCGGCCGAGCTTGTCAATGTTTGGATGGTATATCTTGGTCAAGAATCTGATCTTGGGAGGGGTCATCGGATAGTCGTCTGGCAGGAAGAGTTCGAGTTTGAAAACGCCTCCTGCAGAGAATCAGCGCCATCTTGCAGAGGCTGGTGAAATGCCGACGCACCTTCATATGGAGATTGTGATGGGCCATGTATGCTGACATCAAAGTACCGCAGGTTGTCTTCGTGAGGCACTGCACTAATTCCCGGCACACTTGAGAAGACTTAGATGGTCCCGACTCCGTTCAAGGGTCGGGGAGGGACCTACGGCTCCGCCATCAACCTCTCCGTCTCTTTTATTATTCGCTTTGGTAGCGCCATCGCAAAGGTATGTTCCACGAGCCACGCAGGGCAGATCAAAGGGCCTATGCCGCAACAGTCTCGGAGACCTCAACACTTGGTAATCCTGCAGGCAAGGCCGGGAAAGAAGGTGGAACCGAAGGCCAGACAAAAGGGAGTCGTGGCAGGACGTTTGAAGAGGTGTTGCAACCGCAGTTTGCAGTTTACGTGAGGCAGAGTGACAGCGCGTGAACAGAGGAATGGTGAGTCGATGGTGGCATGCGTGGCCAGTCGAGATGACTCTAGTTTCTCCGAGTTAGTCTCTGGTTTAATGAGGCAATGAGTCGTCACTGTCGTCTCAATCACTCTGATTGATACGGTGCTGCGTCAACTGCGCTGCCATTTAGCCTCATGACTCGTGAACAATCTTGGCGGCAGTATTCCGCCAGTGGAGCATGACTCGAGCTCCGTGTGCTGCGATGTCGTCGCTCTCACAAATTGTTCGTCTCTACCAAGTCACCCAGTCTATCTCCCCTGGCGCACCTCGAGGGTTGGAATCCTGAACAGAGTTGCGGAGCCGTTTTCCTCGGTCACAGTCCCTACTGCCACGGCGCTTTGACAAGAAGTTCTGTACTGGCCCCAACGCTACTGTTTTACCTGCAATAGCTCTTGCCAACCCTTGAGCTTTGGACAAAGAGAGGCGTGTGTTCCTGCAACAGTCCACCAACCTGCACAGCATTTGGGTGAGGAATAGAATATGGTATGCAGCTGGCCTGATTCCGACACGGCACGCGTGATGACAGCCGGTGCACGTCCATGTCCCGCATTTTAGCGTCCCGCATACAGACATATCCCCTAGGTCGGGGAGTCTGTCCCACCTTTGAAGGCAACCCATCATGAGAGCATGATTCAGATATGGTGCACCTCTGTGAGTCCAAGGTCCCAGTACAGTCCACAAAACAAAGCAATTCTTTGTCGTAGAGCCTGGAGTGGGACTAGCAATGCCACAACCTGGGTAGGTATCACCGTCTGCTGAGGAGGCCCATACCCCGTCACTTCGTTGTTTATGTTAGGACACCTTCCTAGATCAGTGTCCCCAAGCGGGAATCCAGAATGACTGCTTGGTGAAAGAACCCACTAAAATAAGAACTCGCCATTCCCTTCGATGTCCTTGTGTTCAAGTCAGTGCCCAGGCCTCTGAACTTTGGCTACTCAACCAGACTGATAGGATGGCCACTCAAGAGCAAAACGAGGGCTTCGAAACCACGGATGTGATAATATGTGGATGTGGACCGACTGGGGCACTGCTAAGTGGACTTTTAGGTCGAATGTGCGTCAAGAATGTTGTCTTGGAGAAAGAGCTGGAAATCGTGACCGATCCGCGTGGTATTGCTCTGGATGAAGACGGGATTCGACTTCTACAGGAACTAGGTCTGTATAAACAGGTCCACGGCGAGATCGGACAGCATATTGGTTGGACTTTGTTTACATCTGGAAAGAATGGACTCATGACCAAGCCATTCATGAAAATGAATCTAAGCACCACCGAAGGGGGAACTGGCCATGTTGCAGCCATCTGCCACAAACAGCCTGTAATGGAAAAGAATATCCGCATGGTCGCGAACAGCTGCCCCAGCTCGCAGCTGCGCCTAGGGTCGACAATTGTGGGTATAGAAGAAGAGAGGGACTTTGTTCGAGCCCAGTACATCGACAAGAATGGTACACAACGTACGATCCAGGGCAGGTTCTTTGTTGGGGCAGATGGGAAAACCGGCTTCACACGAAAACGCTATCTGGAATCAAAAGGAGTTTCCCTCCAGACGCTTTCTGGGTAAGACACATGAATTATCGCTCACACCCCGGGCAAAGTTGACAAGTCTGTAGCTATGAGTACCAGGAGACGTGGGTAGCAATGAACTGGCACATGAATCTCCCCACGCCAGAGACACATCCAGACTTCCCCCTCTGGAAACTTAACTACACCCCTGAACAAGTCTACGACAAATTCTTCCCACCAGGTTTTCGATTCATTGGCAATCCTGGTAGGCCCTCGGTCTGTGGAAGTTTCGGTCCACGGAGCGAGAGACTCTGGAGATTCGAATTCGTGGTGGACAAGGGAGAGGATCCACATGAAATGGCTACTTGGGAAAGGACTTCTGAAATCGTCCTACCATACTTGACTCATCCAGGCGCGGATTGCGGGTGAGTCTGCACAGTCCTCATGGTGGCATGTTTCTGCCCCTCGCTTATACGCTGCCGAACAGGGTGAAAGATTCTGTGCAATACCCAATTGATTGCATCCATGTTCTGCGATCGAGGCCTTTCACTTTTGCAGCCCGAAGCTGCAACAAGTGGGCCGTCGGAAGAGTGGTACTCTGTGGTGATGCAGCCCATGTCATGCCTCCATGTACGTACTTCACAAGTACACAGTTGAGAATCGTACTGACAAACACAGTCGGCGGCCAAGGTATTGCCTCGGGATTTAGAGACGCCTCTGGTATTGCATGGAGGCTCGCACTAGCTTGTCGGCCTGGATTCGACGGAAGCTACGAAGACCTCTTCAACGGGTGGTTTTTAGAACGAAAGCAGCAGCTGGACCTCTCACTTGCTGCTACGGTGGCCAACGGAAGTCTGACAACAGCGCGGAATCCCACGAAGATCTTTTTCAGGGATTGGATTCTGTGGTTGATGCAACTTGTTCCCAGTCTCAGACATAGGCTTGAATTAGGCCCACGCGCAGGCGGCATGCAACGATACAGATTCAGCCCCGGAATGGCGTTCCTGCCCGAGCTAGCAGGCGGACGTTGTTTGCCTCAGGTGTATTGTTGCGCAGTCCACCCCTCGACCAAGGCTCTATCCGCAAAGATCCAATTTACAGACGACGTGTTCCTCAATGGACCAAGGGCCAATGCACTGCTGCGACTCCTCGTTGTGGTCGATGATATGGAGCAGGCCGAGAAGGTGTGGTCGGAGCTCAAAACCCTGGAGCTTGACGAGGCCTCCAACAACGAGATCCGGAAGGACTCTGCTTTCTTCCTCATCCATTCACGCTTACTTCCAACTCGGCCAGCAAGCACTTCGTCGGATATCCCCCGGCAAAATGTGTATCGCGTAGCCACTGCAGACGAGTTTGGTGCATCAGACCTTTGCAAAAACAGGCCCTACCCGACCGGGTACGACATGTATCGGATCAAAAAGGACGTTGGAGGCAGGAAGTACGTTTTGGTCCGTCCAGACCGGTTTGTATTTGCTGCTTGTCATACTGGCACAGAGCTCACCAGAGCTTGCCAACGCATACCTCAAACGTTGTTTGGATCTTCGCTATCAACAAAGCGGCACGGTTCTACTCTCTAGACGCACTCAACATCTGGAGTCAATAGAATAGGTAATATTCAGAAGGTATTTGTTGAGGGACTTTCACAGAGTCTCGTCTACGATCCAGCAACCTACAGGCACATTATCCTTAATGGTGATTTGATACTATGTATACTATTACAGAGGCACCTTGAGAGTATTGGTTAAGGTCTCCCCAGTGTTGAAGTCAGGCACCCCAATCGGTGAGCAAAGACGGTCAAAGCCGGCGTGTCTAATGCCGCCCTCAAACAGTCCCCCTGTACATACCTGGACCAACCGAGGCTTTGGCACCAAATTGGAGCGTCATCAGCCTTATTACGGGACGATATTCACCCGAGCAGCTCTAACAGGCGAGCATGGACCTTGAGTTCGATCTACGACTGCTTCCCCATACTCGGCGTAAACAAGGCAGCATGCTTCGGCATATATGCGAATCCAATATCTCACCTAAATCTAATTTGACATCTACCATTGTCGGGTGTCAGCAGTCCTGGCCATTTCATTGCGTTATCGTCGCAAGACTGCCGTCTGGAAAGTCCTCAGACCCGTCAACAATCACCTTGTTCGACCACACTCCCAACTCGAATTGCACAGCATTCAAGAAGCTTTGTGATATCTCCATCCATGTCGCCCTCGCCTAAATAGAAGTCCAGTGAGCTCTCAACTACGGATAAGCCATGGCGAATACCCCATCGACCAATCCTGATTCCGGCCTACGGACTGAACAGGATCCACAGATGGTCAAACCTGCTGAGATTAGGGCTGGAAAGGGGAAAAAGTGTCCCTTTTGCTCCAGGGAGTTCTATAAAGCCGATCATTTTCATCGTCATATTCGATCTCATACCAAAGAGAAGCCATTCCGCTGTCACATATGTCGCAAGGCGTATCCTCGACAGTAGGTGAATTATACCCTCCTGATCGGTGGCCAACACTGACTCCTGAAGCGATACACTACTCCGACATGCAAGAATCCACAGCCAGGATTCGACCGTTGCCGGCCAGGGCACGAAAGCCGCACCGAAGGAAACGCCACAGACAGTCAATCAAGACGCATCTCCCTCCCGTACCTCTACTTCGGCTTCCAGATCCAGGATCCTTGAGGGACGAGCTGCCACTTTGTACGACACCCAATCTACGCCAGCGTCACATTCTTCGGGCAACTCGTCAGGCTTCGCCCCTTATGGGAATGTGCGAGACCCAGGTGCCGGATTGGACTCAACTTTCCCAAGGGTATCTACGCCACAAATTATCTCAGACAATCCGGTAGGAGCAATACAACCTCTGGGAGAGAGTCTCCAGGCGCCTGTGATCTTCAATCAATCTCATATCGCGGCGAGCATGCCGCCAGCTCCCGCCGTAGTCGGAGCTGATGCCTCTATAAGCACCCAAACCAATCCTTTCAACTTCAGTGGACACCTCGAGACACATCCATTCGTAGATCAACTTACTGATGTCCACTCCGGCCAATGGCTCCTGGAAGACGACTTCGACTTTACTATATTCGAACACATGGGCTTCAGCAATACTCTTCATGAACCACATCTTATGCATCATGAGGACAACTTCAGCTCGCCGGCCCACCAAAAGTCGGAGAGGTCCAACATTCGACCAGCCGTCCTGGATCTCAGACAGATCTGGTATATCCAGATTTCCGGCACGGCAAACGAGCCGGACCCAGATTCTGGGACCGTTACCCCAAGAGATATCCCTACGACGTCCGTTGACAATATCGACGAAACCTACCGTGTGAGGATGGCAAAGAAGCTGCGCCCAGTCCTGCGGGATGAACCGTTACCCTCCATCGACTTTATGAATCTGTGTATTCATCTCTTTTTCACTAGATTTAACGTCGCTTTACCTCTCATACATAGCCCTACTTTTCGGCCAACACACAGCAATGCTCTGTTGGTCCTCTCAATTTGTTCGGCAGGGTGTCTGTCGCTAGGCTCCGAGATATCTGCTAAAACAGGCTCCATGCTCTTTGAAAGGGTGAACAAGGCTATTCTCGTTGCTCCTTGGGAAAGGAACCTTCCTCGGACCAGTGACCAAACTTGGAACGTCGTGAAGGCTTCGATGATAGGGCAGACTTACGCACTACTGTCGGGCGATCCGGCTCACCGAGCAACGGCCGCTGCCTACCATGGGTCCCTCATCGCGCTTGCCCGTCACCACAAGTTGTTTAACCCCGCGCCGTCTTTTCATCTTCCTGACGATCCCTCTGCCGAAGCTCTAGACAAAGCATGGAGGACGTGGGCCAAGCAGGAAGAGCTAAGAAGGATGGCGGTGTTACTTTATATCCACGACGCCGAGATCTCAGCTTTATTCCATCATGAGCCGGTCTTTCGCCACAACGCGGGATATATACCAACGGTCTCCTCCTCAGAGCTCTTTTGCGCTCCATCTGCAGCTACATGGGCTTCATTGCTGCGGGTAGAACAAAGAGAAATGCAATTTGGGACCTCCAATTATGGAAGCGAAACCACAAGTGCTTTCGACATTGGGCAAAGAGGGATGGGTGGCGAGAGTCAGTCTGCTGCTGTCTTGCAAAGAGGATTAAAATATCGCAACATATTGAACGTGTATAACAGCCTCTCTGGTATCAGTGCGTCAATTTGTGAATGCCGACATTTGGATCTCCTCTCTTTCAATATGGTGAGCAAATTCGAGTCCGATCTTCTCACTTGGTACGCATCCACTCCGAAGGACTTCAAAATGTCGTGCAACCCTTCACTGCAAACGGAAGCTCCTTTCAGTTTGCTTCCACTATGGCATTACAACTTCCTCGCCTTGAGCACGGATCTAAATCTTCTCGAGATCGCGAGTGGCAAAGAAGGTAGCGAAGTTTCTTCATTGATCCGCGAGTCGGTTACGTCCTGGATCAGGTCCTTGGACTCCAAAAGGTGCCTGCTCCATGCCCTTTTCCTGCAGAATTTGATCGTATCGACACATATGGGAGCACTTGTCGCCATTCATACTCCACGGATTCTTTTCTCGGCCGCGATTTGTTGGTATTGCTACATGCTATATCTCCCAGGGAGCTCCTCTGCGTCCATGCCATGGGCCTCCTCGTTTCCGGATGGGATGTTTGAACCTCTAAATTCGCTGCCTGAGATTCAGCTACTTCGCGAAGGGAAAAGTATGGATTCTACCAACATTTACCCGGTGCCGCACATTCTGGATGAAACTCTTGCTGCTCTGCCGAAAATCCTGGCCGCAAATATTGCCGAGATGAAAGCCGACACTCTTTGCGTTATTGAATGCATTCTCCGCAGACTTGGGACAACAGGTATTTCACTGCGATTTGCAGACATCATTCAAGTGTTTATTTCTGGTGAGAAAGATAGCCTGAAAGCAGATCAGCAGGCAGTGTGAGAGAAGAATCTCAGGCAACTAGAGGGTAAGCATTGTTTGAAGAATTGGCACACCCGCAGCTAGGGTAAAGGGCACCAGCGCCATCGCCATCGCCGGTACAAGACTCAAGTGCTGCGCTCGAGGCTGGTCAAGCAGAGACGGATAGCAACTGGCGCACAAGAAGATATGCCACCGTGGGGCAATTGATATCCGCCGTACGTCCACAGAGGGGGCCAGTAAGAGAAGTTGTTCAGATCCATGTCGCTGTTGGCGTGTACCAGTGCTCCGGACCCAGATCTTCGTGCTACATCAAAAGTTGTGGATGCCGGCGAAGCGCATGCTCTTCTCAGAAGAACCGTATTTGAAAACGCTGTTCTCATCTGCAAGAAGCAAAGGCATTTCCCTAAAACTATCTCTGATCTCGAGAGCCGGGAAATAAATATTTGGAGGTGTGTCTGTCTATGATATTGACAAGGCTCGATGCCCCTTTTCCCAAAGGTGGCTTTTACTGTACCAACGGCAATGGATGACTAATATATCACGTAATCTGTCTTGGCATCTTAGCGAGCGATGCTTTTCCGAACTGCCTGTCAACTAACCTCTTGTTGTCGACATCATTCATAGTAACATGCAACCATCATCATTCACACGCGTCCGCTTCTCTCGGCTTCACTTGATCTATAAGTCCTAGTGCTGTTTGGATTCCACGACCCAGTGGGAAGTGAATTGGCCCTTCAGGCAGAGCGCAATCTCCAAGACGCGCTTGAAACCCTGCAGCTTGAGATGAAGGCTTCCGGGCCACTACACGAGGCCTCAAGCAGGCCTTTATTTCGTCGCTGTCTGGCGAGATGATTTTTCAGCGGATTATAGAGAGGTTAAATTGGATATCTGACTGGGATCGATAAGCCTGTAACGGACATGGCTCCTCGAGGTCCATCTTCAGCTTTCGAAAGCGAAACCTTTGGGCAAGATGCGTCTTTCAGACTCGAGCAACCCGTGGGATCCATGACCATCTCCCCAAGTGGTCGGGATGTTGCATTGGCTTCCAAAGAAGGGCTTCACATCATTGACCTTGATTCTCCCTACTCTCCTCCACGTTACCTTCCTCACCGGACTCCCTGGGAAGTTGCTGATGTTCAATGGTCTCCCTTTGCAGCAAGGGACTACTGGGTTGTCAGCACGTCGAACCAGAAAGCCCTGGTTTGGAATCTGGATGCGCGATCATGGCAGGATCCCATCGAATTCGTGCTTCACGGCCATACGCGAGCAATAACCGACATCAATTTCTCCGCCCATCATCCTGACGTCCTTGCAACTTGCGCTGTCGACAGCTTCGTTCACAGCTGGGACTTGCGGGCCCCAGCGAGACCTGTCAATTCCTTTTCCGATTGGTTTGCAGGCGCAACTCAGGTCAAGTGGAATCGGCAAGATGAGCACGTCGTTGCAAGCTCGCATGATAAGTTTCTTCACATCTGGGACGATAGAAATGGGGCATATCCTGTACGGACTATCGAAGCCCACGGAACCAAAATCTATGGGATTGACTGGAATCGCCACCATCATAACAAGATTGTCACCTGCTCTCTGGATCGAACAATCAAATTCTGGGATTTCGATGGAGAAGAAAGTACATTGGAGCGTGTCATTGAAACCCCGTTCCCTGTGTGGAGAGCGCGTCATACCCCTTTTGGATGGGGACTGCTCGCCATGCCCCAGCGCGGTAACAGCGACTTGCATCTCTATGATCGTCGTGCGGTCAATGGGGTTTTTGAGAGCGGCCCCGTACGTCCAGTTGCAACATTCAAGGGCCATGAGGGTCAGGTCAAAGAATTCCTGTGGCGCGCTCGGGGTACAATTGTTGACAACATTGATAATCGAGACTTCCAGCTGGTGTCCTGGGGTACGGACAGGGAGTTAAGGCTTCATGCGCTTGAGCCCGACATTTATGCAGACATCGGATACGAAAAAGGTGTCTCCAAAATCCAACGGCTGAATTTCACGCGAAGAGGTGCTGTGTACAAGACCTTTCGCGACGATCCGGGGGACGCAGATTCCCCGTTGGACGAAACCTCTCGCAGTGAGGTCTTCCCTCGTCACGGCCACCTAACGCATTTCCGACCTCGCTCAAGCACTAGTGTTGGCATGAGTAAAATACCTGTTTCGCAATTTCGCGGCTGGGTTCAAGGAGGTCGTTATGCACAAAGATCCGGTATGCACGGAAGAGGCATCAATCGGCAGAATACGGATCCGATCTCATGGTTAAAGAACGTCAAGATATTTTCTTGGGACCCTGACACATTGGCCGAAGAAATCCGGCAGGTAGGAGAAAAGTTCAAAAAGGTAGAATTTGAGGTCGTCGATATCTCGCATCGAAAGGCTGTCATGTCACTCCAAGCACCCTGGGGGGAGGACCAGAGCCAAATTTACCTGAGAGTGGAGATGAGGTTTCCCAAGCAATACCCTCGGAATGCCAATGCCGTCCTGACATTACAGAAGTCGGGATTTCTGGACGAAGCAACGCACAAGCTGATAACAACAGAGCTGCACACAATCGCAGAGACCTATGCCTCCAGGAAACGCGGGTGCTTGGAAGCAGTCCTCCGTTACTTGCTGAGGGACCAGAATCTTGAACAGATTGTAGCTTGGGTACTTGGGGAATCGCTGACTGATTCGAAGATCTTGGATACGAGTACAGTCGGCGCCGACGACTCCAGCAGTGACAGTGATGATCAACTAGATGGCGTGCGGGAAGGTCTCGACGCTTCGGCGAACATTCTGGTTCCGCTGGCCAAGGGCTGTGGTGCCCTTTGGTCCGAGACTGGAAAGTTGGTTTGCTTCTTTCCCGACAAAGGAAATGAGCCTGTTTCCTTCTTGAGCACTTTGGGTGTTAAAGACCTCGATGACTCGGATTCGAGCAGACTCTTCGAAGGCTTTGGCCGTCTCCACGCCAGCTCACCGGCCCGCAAAACCACACGAGGGGCGAAAACAGCGGACGATGAATCTGGTTCTGAGACGTCAGATTCCTCGTGGCATTCATCAAGCAGTTCTTCATCCTCCTTCGAGACCGAGCAAAACATCCCCGGCGTGTCATCATACCGAGTAGGGGCTTCGGGTCTCCAGCAGCGGTCGCGTTCCCCCGACCGGTCCAATCAATCTACCACCGGTGGCCACAACAAGCTGAATGATGCTCCTCGTAAGAGTGCCGTGTCAATACATACCTTTGATGATTTAATTCCCTCAAAGCGTGACCTGGCGGTTGAGTACCAACTTTCTGGAAACGGCCCAGACGTCTGCAAACATAATGCTGCGGTTGCTCGAAATGCGTCTCTGAGAGACCTGGAATCTGTGTGGACAGTTGTCGGACTTGTCTTGAACGACTCGATCCCGCTGGAAGTTCTGTCGGGAACGCGAGATCCCACGTTGCAAGACATCCTGGTAATTGCAAAAATGGCTAGGGGAAGATCTCTCGGAAAGGGCGACAACCATCTAGACGCACGCAAAGTCTTTGGCAGGACCCGATGGGGAAACCACCCTTTCGGCTCGACATACCTGCTTCCTGCTATCTTCGACCATTACGAGAGACTGGGTGATGTGCAGATGCTTGCCACATTGGCCTGCGTCCTTGCATCAAGCATCAACCATGGTGACATACCAGGAGATGCCCAGGCGCCTACGATGCCTTCCGACTATATCTCCCGCATTCCAGGTGACTACTTTCCATCCAGGGCCGTGGCCAAAGCCTTCTTTCGAAAGGATGCCGATGTGGAAGGATACGTCTTCGTCCACACCAACAGTGTCCCTCATGGACCCGGCGTACAAGGGCTAGGAGGTCCTGAAAGCCGGCGCAGACCAACCCATCTCTTAGGCCGTCAGGACAGCCAATTCTCTTCTAGGGGAACAAGTTCCATTGGTGACGACTCCCATGACCAATCTGCGCCGTATTCAACGGCGGTTTCTGTCTCGACGTCTCCTGAAGGAAATCGGCTGAGCAACAGAACAACCTCTGGCATTTCTTATCCTTCTGCGCGAGCGAGTCTGTCGGCTTTGACCCAGTCGTACTCAAACTCCCCTCCGAACCAGAGTTCATCGTCAGGTTTTGCTTCTAGTCTGAAAAAATATAGTCCCTCGGGGTCATTAGCGCCTAACTGGGTGTCTTCTGGCATATTTGGCAGTCAAACGACAAGCCGGGGCTCACGGACGCCCTTCCATCATAATGAAGGAGCGAGTCAAGATGGCCGCGAGCCAGGCAACCGCTCATCGTTGGCGTCCTCCGGTGCACAGAGCTCCCGGAGGAGTCACACTACGCAAATGTCGGCAGTTTCGCGCAGCGGTGTATCTGCGGCCGAGTCTGAGGTCTCTGAGAAGACATTGGGCAAGAATCCTCCAAAGCGTAGGAGAATTAAAACTCGCCTGGTAAACCAGGGCAAATTCGATCTGGACGGGTACTCGTCCGGGTCGATCCTGGACCGTATTCTCGAAATGAAGTGCAGGGTCTACCGGCAAAGCTATGCACATCTTCTCGATGTGTGGCAGTTGCATCTCCAGCGCGCCGAGGTGCTGAAATTTGACGGCACAGCAGCAGAAGGGATCGATATGGATAATGGCCGACCAAGTACTGTTCAGCCACCACCTGCACCTGGCTTAGGACGCCCACGCAGGAAGACCTTGAGTTCAATATCTCGAGGCACGGATCTTGGCCTGGAAATAAAACGCTTGTGTCGCAATTGTGGGGGGCTTCCAGCACCAATCGAGAAGAATGGCATACCCATCGGATGGCATTGTGTAAGTCCATCGTGCATTTCATCACATCAAGTCTCCGGGGCGAGAGCTTCCAAGGACCCCAGGCAAAGTGCATGTGCCATTTGCAACACCACCATCCGGGGTCTAGCGGTGCCTTGTCTGCAGTGTGGGCATATGACGTGCTATGATTGTGCTCAGGGATGGTTTGGCGCTCGACGAGTCAAGCACGACCAAACAGGATCGAGGCGGTCTTCGGCGGAGAAACCACAACTTTCGCCAATCGAGGACAAGGATGATGCAGATGCCTTCGGTGAGGAATCGCGGGATGAACATGAGACTTGTCCTACGGGCTGTGGCTGTCCCTGTACGACGCTCACCACCGTTACAGTGCCATATCCTCCGTCCATCGACAATCAAGAGCATGCCTATCTTGAACCGCCCCAACTGACCCATCAGCTCAGCCATAGTAGCAGAGGAAGTTCGAACCTGCCTCGCTCGACGAGTCCCCTCGTCCCTGCTTCATCTTATTCTCATTCCTCTACCGACACCGGCACCGGCACTGGCACTGGAGCGGCAGATACTGCGCTGGCGGCTTTTCTCGCTCTCACCCAGTCCCACCAGCGCTCGAAATCTGTTAACCTGGGGTCAGCGCGTAGCAAGGCCTCCTCTATCTCGCGAGCTTCCGAAATGCAGAGCCAAGGCGGTTCGAGTAAAATGCCACATGAAAGTGGCAAAACAACTATATCAGAAAGCGATGCAGAACCAGCTACGCGGGAAGGAGAGGACTCCGGCTCACTCAACCCTTTTGCCGGCAGTACCATTGCGACTCTGGGCAGAGGGATTGGAGCGGGCCTGAGTCGTGGGCTGACTTCAAAGGCCAGCGACGCCACCATTCGGAGAATTAAGTGATGACAATGAACAGGGAGCTGCTTGATACGGTCGAGCAGACGGGGTGACGTCCTTCTTATTTTTGTTCGACCTGGTTTGCGAGTGGACGTGTATTATACATCGGCCTAAGTGTGCTGGAGTCCATGGGTATGACAACGGGATGAGATGACTAGATATGAAGACGACACACAAGGAGGATGCTGTCAGCGTTTGAGGTTGACATCATTAATTGTATGTTCATTAATTGTATGTATTGCATAGATTCATCAGAGCAGCCGCCCCCCGTTGTAACCCTAGACACATCATTCTAAGGCTAGCCAGCCTAGAGAGGCTCCATGTTGATATTTACAGTATTTCCCCAAAGCTTGGCAACCAGAGAGGAGAAAATGGGTTCTATGTCGCCAGTATTTGCAGGACGAGTGTTTGAGACTCGAGAGTCCTGGACTCCTTGTACGCGAGTCGATGGGCAAGGTTCAGCGTCAAGGTCGCAAGCCCCATTCGACATTCGGCAAATCGACCGTGGTCAGAAGGCAGCACAGCCGTCCACAGGCCCAACGTCCCGCCAAAGGTCGTGCAGCAGCAGCAGCAGCAGCAGCAGCTCCCAGTGGAGGCCAACATGGTCGACCACAACAGGCACGGCCCAAGGTGCCTTTTACCAAACATGACAATGTGCTGCTCGTCGGTGAAGGTCGGTGTGTTGAGAATGCGGCCCTCGCTCCTCACGACCTCGATGCTTCCATGCTCTCAAGAGGCGGGTTGCTAACTAATGGGCCGATAGGTGACTTTTCGTTCTCGCTGTCGTTGAAACGACACCACAAAGTGCGCCAGATGGTCGCTACCTGCTACGATTCCAAAGACGTTCTGCAGATCAAGTACCCGGAGGTTCACAACACCATATCCCAACTCCAGTCGGGCGGTCACTCTAGTCCACGACACGAGACAGACCAAGGCAACGAGGACGAATGGCAAGGGTTTTCTCCCTCACCGCCGAATCTCCCCAGCCACGACCAGGTCAAAGACCACGATACACGATTGGATAAGGACACTATCTACGTTCTCTACGGCATCGATGCAACCAAGCTCTCTTCGGCACACAAAAAGGCCCTCAGGCCATATTCTCCATTCACCAAGATTGTCTTTAACTTCCCCCACGTCGGAGGTCTAAGTACAGATGTCAACAGGCAAGTTCGGTACAACCAGGAGCTGCTGGTTGGGTTTTTTCGGTCGGCCAAGCTATTGCTCTCCTCTCCAAACCGCCCAGCAACAGTACGACAGGTGACCGAGCAGGACGATGACATGAGTGACTATGACGAGATAGCAGAAGAATCAGACAGTCCCGTCCCAGGTGCGGTAAATGGCAAGATTCTCGTCACGCTGTTTGAAGGCGAACCGTACACGTTGTGGAACATCCGGGACTTGGCCCGTCATTGCGGCCTCAAGGTCGTGGAGAGCTTCAAGTTCCCATGGTCAGCCTACCCGGAGTACCGCCATGCGAGAACGGCGGGGGACATCATCACGGGCAAGGACAGGAGCGACGAGGGAAAGAGAAAGGGCGCCTGGAGAGGCGAGGAGCGCGAGGCACGATGCTATGTGATGGAGGACCGGGATGCAGAGCCCGTGGAGGTGATGTCGCCCCAACGGAAAAGGAGACGGAGGCAGGGGAGTGATGGGGACGACAGTGACTGAGATTAGGTACCTACAAGCAATGGATGCTAGATCCTTAGCAATACTACATACAGTATGTACTGTGAGTTCCTTGTCCTTTGTCCAGCATTGTTGTGCCAAGAAGACACACACGCTCCCGCTCCCGTGTCTCTCGTATGTAAAGAATTGCATCGCATCCACTTTCTCCGCAAACTCGAGCCACGCTGCTCTTCTTTCTTCCCTTTCCACTTTCTTTTCTCCCCCTTCATACACTCACTCCACTTCCTTTTGCTTCCTCCCTTACCGCCACTACGGTAGACACTCTCACCCCCATTTTGTCGCATCAATACCTCCCATCTCCCATCTGCCTCTCCGACATGGTAGACGAAGCCCCCCGCAAACGGTCGCGCTTCGACCAGACCGAACCCGAGCCACGAAAGGCCTCCCGCTTTGACCGGCGCTCTCGATCTCCTGCTTCGCGCCATAGCGATACCCGGAGAAGTCGCAGTCCGCTCACGAAAGCTAGCCAAAGTCCCACAGCGAGTGAGAAGCGCAGCACGCCTCTAGATCCAGCTGCTGCCGCAGGTACGTGACCAGATAGATCTCTGGATGGCTGCTGCTGTGGTCCGTCGCTAACCCTACCCAATAGCCGCGGCGGCTGCGAAGATCAATGCCGAGCTGCAGGCCCGCAGGGGCATCCAGCACGTCGACGTCCCTCCTGTTCGATCGGTAAGTTGTTCCATGGTGTCTTGCGTCTTGACAGTGCATGCGCTGACCATGTCTTCAGTCGTCGACACCGACTCCCGCTCCTACTCCTGCGACGCCTTCCTCAGGCCACAGTGCGCCCAAAGTCGACGGTGAGATCTACATGGCCGACGGTGACTATATCAAGGACATTGAGGTCAACGACCTGCGCAACCGCTACACTTTGACCAGAGGCTCAACACAAAAGATGGTAAATTTCCCTCCTCGCATCGTTGCGCTTGGACACTTGGTTAGCAGCCGAGCCGTCTCCAGCCGCCAACGACCGCCCATCTCGGTCGACGACCACTCGTACAGTTGTCGAAGGATGTGTCTGAACAAACCGTGTCTGGGGAATTTGCTGACATAGTTTGCCTGCCCTTAGATCAAAGAAGAGACAGGAGCTGGTATGCTTCCCCCAGCAAATCTTTGTTGTTTCGCACAAGACTTACCCTTATTCTGAAGATGTCACAACGCGAGGTTCCTACTTTCCAGACAAGTCCATGGCTACGGCAACGGTAAGAAAGGAGTATCTGCAAAATCAACATGAGAACTAACGAGACACAGAATCCGCCCTTGTATCTGCACGTCACTAGCACCACTAAGGCTGGGCTGGAGAAGGCGGTTGCGAAGATTGAGGAGATGATGAAGCAAGAACTGCCTCCCCTGGTTGATGAAAGACGTTTCCGCCGAAGGGAGCCAGAACAAGTCGAACGAGATGAATTTGGCAGGGTAAGAGAGCCAAACCGATCGTATGATTCCTGCCACTCACTCGCGCGCAGAGAAAATGGCCCGAAGAGCGAATTCCCATCGACATGGAAAACATTCCCGGCTTCAACCTGCGCGCCCAGGTCGTTGGTCAAGGCGGCGCATACGTCAAACACATCCAACACGAAACCGGATGTCGGGTCCAAATCAAGGGCCGCGGGTCTGGTTTCATGGAACACAGCACCGGACAAGAATCAGATGAGCCAATGTATCTCCATGTTGCCGGACCTCAACCCGCCCAAGTCCAGAAGGCCAAAGAACTGTGTGAGGATCTGCTTGCTAACGTTCGCATCAACTTTGAGCACTTCAAAGCGAACCCACCACCGCCGAGGATGGAGTCATACACTGATGGTTATGGAGCTGATGCACATCGCAGTTCTTACGGCGGCGGACACGGGAGAGACCGTGGCCGCGACAACAACTATGCCCATGGCAATAACAGCTACAACTCTCCCTACAACGCTGGGGCATCCGCCACCCCTACTCCTGCGCCGGGGACCGCTTCTTCACCAACCGATTACGCCGCACAATACGCTCAGTACTACGCAAGTCAACCAGGAGGCGACCCGTATGCTGCCTACGGCGGCTATCAGAACTATGTTGCCTATTATCAATACTACCAGCAACAGGCAGCTGCTTCTCAACAACAGTCTTCACCACCACCGCCGCCGGGAGAGTCGAATCCACCGCCTCCTCCTGCGGACAGTGGTGCTGCACCACCGCCGCCACCGCCACCTTCATCTGGCGGTGGCTATTCGGCGGTGCCGCCGCCTCCAGGTTTATGAGCATGTATGGTCCCGTTCGGCTGACGGTGTCAGATCGAGCGCTACGTTACCTACTTTAGCGCATCATTCTTCACGTACCTTCTCCGCATTTCTTTCACTTGACCGCTGTGTTCGACCCAAGTATAGTCATGTTCTGCCAGTGGGATCGCGGTTTGTATTTGCAACGTCCGGGACGGGCCAACTTTTGCACGTTGGACAGGCAAAGTATCACAAAAGCACATAAATTTCGAGAGAGCTGATCGGTCAATAGGGACCTGATCCCATAATTCCATTTGCAAAGCCTTCTCGTGCATTTCTCGCCGCTGACTTTGTTGGCGTAGTCGTGACCTTTTCGATCAGCTGCTCAGCTCAGTGTAGTGAGCCGACCATATGATGAGATGGGCACGACTCTTTGTTGCTGAGGCCTCGACAAGCCCATGGCTTCATATGAACCGAATGAGCCACGCTGCTCTTTTCTATCATCTCATACACCAGATTGGTCGGTCGGTTGAAGCGATTCCTATGGCATGCCGCCCCTGAAACGAAGCCTGTAGCCCTAATTACGGGTGACGCGTGGAGAGGGGAGGACGAGGACTGGGATGAGTTCTGCACATCGGTCCTCGTAGGCCTTCGAAGGCGCCAGCGTTCCAGCATATATATGTCTATCATTTCAGGGAAAATGAACGGGTTCCGAGTTCCAATCCAGGAACAGTATAGGCATGTCGAGGGGATGTTATCACATTGTTTGTTCTCTGATGAGAACTGCTATCCATCCATCCATTATTATTTATTGATTCAGTTATACCTTTTGCACTCAGTCCCTTCCTCTCTGCTCTCCTCCCGTCCTTCGCCAGTCTTCCATTCTACCACGACTCCATGGTTTTACCCGCTTGGGCCCTTTTCCATCTGCGGAACAAACCTATTCAAAGGGGCATTTCTTTGCCATCGGGCGAAATGGGATCAAGGGTGTAAATCTAATAATTCTAGGTAGTAAGGTTGGTTTTGCCTAAAGTACAGGAAGCCGAACGGAAAATGTTTTGCGTCGAGTGTGATTCTTGTTTCGACATGACCCTCTTTCTTACGTCTCACAAAATTCCTGGGAGCCCCCGTTTCCCGGCCCGCGCCCACAAATCAAACGCCTCGCAATGCATAAGATCTTTCGTCCAAAGCCCATTGGATCGACCCCAAGTCAACAATATTGAAGAATAGTAGTCTACATCCTCCTGCCTGCCATCGCCTCGCCGCCTTTCCGTGGCTCATGCCTTCAAGCTGTCTCGGTTACTTTGGCTGCTGGCGCTCATAGTATTTGTCGTGGGAAGTATTGTCTTGGGTTTAGCAGATTCTCGAACTTTGGCGAGAGCATAGACGATTCCGCTAACAAACCCGACGACAATGGCCGAGACGCTAGGGAGTGTGACGGGGGCGTCGAAAAAGATGAGGCCGGAGACGGCAATGGGGAGTTTGTTCAGCGCTCCGACCATCGAATACGTGGTTGAGGATGTGGCCCGCACACACCACGCCGACGTGTATGAAATGAAAATCGAGGATAAGCCGGTAAAAATCATGGCGCCAATGATTGCGTTCCTCGCGTCCATCGGGAAGTTCTTCGTCAGATTGACGGAGGACCAGTCTTCCAGGGTCAGGGAGGCGATCAAGAGGATGGGAATGGTAAGGAGATTGTTGTAGAACATAGCTGGAAATATGCGATTAGTGTCTTGAGCCCCCTCACATGTTGAACCGACTCACTGTCAAAATCCTTGAAGTTCGTAAGCTTGATGCGCTTGCGCATTCCCAACACGTAGGCTGCAGTAGACAGGCAATTGGCCATCATCCAGATATATCCGGCATTCAAAGTCGCCAGTTGCGCCGTTGCGGCTGCCGAAGCAGATCCATGTGACTCTAGAGCGTGTTTGATGTCGGCCCATGCCGCAATGACGGAGCTGAAGACCATCAATCCAAAGGAGAAAAGTGCCATGGACGAAACCGAGCCTCCAAACCATAGCACCTCACCGTAAGCGATCAGGATGATGGTCAAGTTCTTGAAGATGGTGTAGACGGGGATTGAGAGGAATCGCAGGGCTTTAGTGCTCGTGTAGATCATTCCGATGAGAAGGAGGGAGATGGGAAACCCTGCAATATGTTAGGTTCAACACCACCGACAACGAAATCTGGATTCAACTCGTACATTTTTTGGCCTCGTCTGCTTTGAAGTCCCGATACGTAATAATGCCGGCCGTTTTGCAGGATTGGATTGCCAGGACGCAGACGATTGACTATCCGAAAAAAAAGGTCAGCTCGGGTGCGGAGGACAGTTGTTGAGGAGATCAGCGAACCTGTACAGCCAACAGAAAGAAATTCAGATTATAGTCAGGAAACGAAAGAATGTATTTGTTGGCCACGGTCATCAAGATAGACGAGGCGCAATAGCTGACAACGGGAAGAATGGGGTTGTTCTGCCAGTTCGACGAAGGGGGTGTATATCTCGGGATCGAGGGTTGAGGAGCGTGACTGAAGGTCCTGCCTTGCTTCTCTCCCAGTTCCATCTCGTTGCCCTCGAGAAATCTCTTCTTCTCTTCTTCGGCCATCTCTTTTGTGGTGTATGTGTCCTGACCGTGGAGGTTTGAGGCTCTCAGAGAAAATGGGCCACACAATGACGTGGCTTTGCGGAGAGGTCGGAGAGAGTGTAGGGGATAATAGAAGTAGCCGAAGAGATGTCAAGAAGTCAGAACAAAGACGGGAGGGATTGGGAAACGTTGATATCAAGGTCCGAGGATATGAGAACGAAAAGAAGGTCAGGGCGTGGGTTCGAATTGCGTGTTGGCAGGTGGTGGATGTCGAGAATTTGATTAGACGGCTGTGGGAAAAAGGGACGATTGCAATGGGCATGGGAAAAAAGGGGAGACGCAGGTGGACGCGCAATTGCAAAAAAGGCTGAAGTGGCTGCAGCTTGTCCCCTCATGGTGGCTGACGTGCTTCAATCAGGCTACTCCGGTGGCAACAGGCACCACGGGGGGCTCAATTGGGCGTCGCTTTACAGGGTCTGGGTGCCCGGGAAGTGCCTAGAGAAGCCTGAACCGGCCTGAACTAACGTAAACACACCCCCAAAACGAGCCGCAGCCCAGCCAAGCACTCGCGGCGCCCCCAAGTTGCGTCCCACCGGCCTGCGCGTGTTCAGCTCAGCAGATATAATTTCCGATATCTTCGTTCTGCTGCCAGCTACAATCCCTGTCCCTACAAAATTGCCCGGACTACGGAGGATTTCGCACCCAGGACCTGGCTCGCGTCTTCAATAGCTCCTGGCGATCAGATTTGGTCCCCGGGAGATCCAGCCGATCGCGTTTGCAGTAGGGGGTGAAAAGTCTACCGGATTTGATTTGCGTCTAGGGTTTCTTCGTTTGCGGGTCTGTTTCAAAGTCCGTACTATCCATGTGTACTGTACCTTGACACTGCGACTTACCGCCGATAAGGGTGGTTTGACACCAACCTCAGTCTTCACAAGTCAGGGCCGACAATGCTCATTCTCGCTTGTTATGGGACGAGGTAGCTAGGTCCAGGACAAGAAAACGTCCCGGTCTAGCTTGGCTCAGTCGAAGAGACTGTTCCCCACGTCTTCATGTCCTCGGGCGAGAGACGCATTGGGAAAGCCACATATTGAAGACCATGCAGCTGATGTTCTGACCAAATATCAGTCACATACGCAAGGAAATTACTTCCTTCCTCATGGTGATCGACACAGATAGACGCGCACCTCTTGCCTAACGAAGAACGCCCGTGGAAAAATCTTTGAATAGGGGTTATGGGCAGCTCAGCGTTGTCCTCGACAGTTTCTCTCCAAGAACGGTTGTTTCCGCCGTTCACCGATGACATCGAGGACCCGGCTTGAATCGAGTTACCCCTGCGATCAGATAGTTAACTTCCTTGACACTTTCGATGATCACTAGCTTTGACAACGCGTGGATTGAAACAATAGCCTTTCGCTGTTTGCCGACCCGCCTCTAACTTCTGCATGCACTATCGTTCAAAGTTCGGACATTTTCCATGCCCCCGAGCGAAAGGCATGTAATTCACACTTTAATATGCTGCAGGTACTTTCAACTGTGGAACTGTTAGCCTAGGGGTCACGTCCAGGGCTGTGCTATCCGTGGAGGAAGGGCATCAGCTGCGTGTTTGCTCGCCGCGTGCACGGAAAGCTCCTCCCCTTTCATTCCTCAGGAGCTAAGTAGAGGATGCGAGCAGCAGCAGTCGACGAGCAAGCGGACTCAACTCAGCTGGTGTCCGTTTCGTAGACAAAGAACCGGACGGAGACAACACCTCGATATGACTATTTGCAGCAGGCTCTCGAAGAGACTGATCAAGGCCTCTCCCAGAGGCTTGTAAGTATGTCAAAATCTGAAACACCTAGGCTTAGTCACTCAGAAGTGTTGGACTGCCGACGCTGATCTGATACTCTTACAGCCTCGTAGCTGGTGATGGTATATCGAGTCTAACAACTCCACTAACGCTGCAGTGACTCTAGCTAATCTCCTTCATGATGGACCGCATTATCTCAGACTGGATCCACTTCAATCTTGCTCTTCCATTCTCGTTATACCGTATCAGGACAGCCAGCATAGGGGGTGCAAGGCTATTACACAAAGAACCGTCAATGACAATGCATCGATGATTACACTGCTGACCCTGGCCTCCCGCTTTGACCTGGCTTGACCATCTTGCAAAAACCCGTTCCTGACCCGGAGGATCGGGACAAATCACTCATGTATTCCCGGTAGCCCACGCATCGCATTGGGCTCAAGACTGTCGATCCATCTTTGAGCAAGTCAAGGCACCATCAACGCGTTGCGATTTGGGTCGGGGACTCGTTGCTCGGGCACCGACTGACCCGTTGATGGAATATGAGGTGACGAGTAGAGGAGTCAACTGTGGTATACATGACCGTCACTTTGCTCTGGACTCATTCAGTCCCAATCGTCGTCGTCGTCGTCGTCGTCATTCTTCTGGTTGCGACTGCGGATAGCTCCACGGACTGCTTTTCGACAATCTGGCGCATCCTCGTCGTCGCCACTGCCCTCGTCTTCGTGTCCAAGGAGGAGTTTCTTAGGTAACACTTTCCAACCCAGAAGTACATCCTCCAGAGCTCTGGTGACATCCATACTACCCTCTTTGCCATTCCAACAGAGTCCCTCAAATCCGGTGACCCTCCCTTTGACAGCTCCCTTGACAAAACCAACCACACAAGGCAACACTCTCACACTCAATTTCTCAACCACAAAGGGGGCGTTCTTGACATCGATTCTGCCAAAGGAAACGTCTGCACTTCCGTACTCTGCGTGCCTTTCCGCAATGAGCTCACAGTGGCTGTCCATTGTGTTGCACCTGGCAAAATCGGGATGGAAGAAATGGAGCACTGCCCTCTCGTGCTCAGTCGTGAAAGTCAGAGCCTCATCGTCACTTTTCAGAGTGATATACGCGTTCTTGACCGTCGCAAGGGCCGTAGTTCCCGCAGACCCACCGGCTGCGGTTTTCAATTCTGCCAGTCTCTGAGCACGATAAGCTGCGGAGTCTTCCTCCTCCAGAGATGCTAGGATCGCATCGGCGTCTTCATCCTCAAGGTCATGTTTGGTTCTGTTGTCTTCGCCAGAGCCACCGGTGAATGCCATTCTAAACCGGGAGAAATTCCTTGAGTTGCGATGGGTTGAAAGGCCTACACCATCGCCTCAACATCCGGCCTGACTGTCAACCTGGGTGCAGCAACCGTATTGTGTCAGATTAATCTTCGTACAACTTGACTAGAAGAAGGGAAATACCCCTATGATATTCGACGAAAAGAACCGCTGCGGAGGAGTACGCTGTGTGGCGAAATGATCCGCCGAACAAGAACTTGGCAAAAATGAAGTCTTGGCATGCGGAAGCCCACAATCAACTTGCCCGAATCTGCGACTTGAGATTGACAACTTTTTTGACGACCATCTACAACACCAAGTCCCTCCGGCACAATTACAGCAGAGATGGCGCCACCAACCCAGAAGCCCAAAGGTACGAATCTTTCTATGTTGTTGAGGCCAGAGCGAAGGGGAAATAACCGGAGCTGAGCATTCGAAAATGCTCAATCCGATCGAGGAAGAGAAACTCTCTAGAGTTTCCTTCCGCCGTTCAGACCTGTGCGTGGAATAGAGGGCTGACAGTGGTACGAATCAGGTGGCTCCTCAAAGCCCAAGAAGCCGAGTGCGAAAGCGAACCAGGCCGCCAAAGCTACCCTCAAAGGCGTACGTTGACTATTGTCGATGACAATTCCATGGTGAAAGAAAGACATCTCACGGTCTATTCAGGTCCACACCAACAAAGCCCGCAAAATTCGCACATCCACCACTTTCCACAGACCCAAGACGCTCGTTCTCTCGCGATCTCCCAAATACCCACGCAAGTCCATTCCCCATGAGACGAGACTCGACCACCACAAGGTTCTCATCCACCCGTTGAACACCGAGAGCGCGATGAAGAAGATCGAAGAGCACAACACCCTGGTATTCATCGTGGACACCAAGGCCAACAAGCGACAGATCAAGGAGGCGCTGAAGAAGTTGTACGACGTGGAGACCGTCAAGATCAACACCCTGATCCGACCAGACGGAACGAAGAAGGCCTTCGCCAGATTAACATCGGATGTGGATGCGCTGGATATTGCGGCCACGAAGCTGTCGATTGTGTAAAGTGGGAGGGGTCTGCACGTGGAGTGGGTTGTGATGGATTGATTGCCTGGGAAAAGGAGAGAGAGAGAGAGTCCATCGAGCTGGCATCTACGGATTGCATCGGTATCAAGGGCATGATTCAGCCGGCCAAGGGTCCCAATCGACGCCTCGATATAGAATCTCGAGGTATGATTGACACGAAAAAACAATCGGCGTCGCCAAAATAGGAGCAGAAATTCTTTTTCAATTGCTTTTCCGAGACGGATGTCGTTGTTACAAATGAGCACAAAACCTGCCTGCCTGCCTGCCTGAGCTCAATCCAAGCCTGCTGCTGCCCGTCGGAGCAATTCCAACGCACTGTAAAGCCATCTTTCTCTGACCGATAACTTTCACATCTCATGCTATAGCTCTTCTATTCTGTACAATGCACCTGTGTAATCGAGTGCGTTCGCAGCCTCTTCTCGTCTTGACACAAATCACTGACACTGCGTCGAGATCACTGGTTCGCCCTCAGCGTCTCCAGATGTTTCAGAATCACCATGTTCGAATCGAACAGGCGGTTCACGCAGTTGGTCATGCAGGACTCTTCTTTGCCAGCCAGTTTGCCCGATGATATCGAACCCGTAATGCATTTCTTGAAGCATAGCTCGGTCAATTCGTGGATTTCTATAAACACGGAGAAATCGACAACAAGTCAGTGGATATTCCTTTTCTACACATTCAACTGCAGCGACATAGGGGGAGATGGGAGACGTACGTTTCTGAACCTGGGCTTTTTGCGACTCGCTTTGGAGAAAGCCTTGTAGCTCCCGCTTTTCGCGGTCAGTCAGGCGCTCGACGTCTTGCGCGTTGATGCTGAGTTCGCCGTCGTCCATGGCGGGGGGTAGGTTCTGAGCTGGGTATAGGTGGCAGAGGAGTAGTCAGACTTTATGTATTTGACGGTGCAGTTGTTCAGATATCGATCGGTGTCGCGGAAGACATGAGAGTCAAAATCGTGTATTATTGCCTTACGTACTCAGCCTTGCCTTGGCAGCGAATCTGTCCACAAGGCTGACTGACTGGACAAATCTAGCATGCTTCGACTATGATCCCACACAACATTGACCATCTGGATTCGTCTGCTAAGATCTTGATTTATACCACTTGGGGATACGGCCGAACCTGCAATCCGTAAGCAATTGCAGCGACAGGGCTCACAATATGTGTGCTGCAGAGTAAAAGGGTGCCGAGGGAGACAAGCCGCCTGTGATTCCATGCTCCTTGTACTCAGCCTGATAATTAACTTATGGTGAGCAACAGCTATAGTATTAACCTTCAATGTATCTAGCAGAGATTAGTCCAGTCCACATGGGTGTGCCAGAAACATCTGTGGTATATTGTAAGAAGCCCTCGCCGTTTTAAACAGAGACGAGGCAGAATATCTCGGCAAAGCTACCACATACGTCATCGAGGCATTAACTAATCTTGCGGGGCGCAGTTTGGGTCTTTCGCAGCCTCGCCTGCCACTTCTCTTTGGTTCCAGATAATATAACACTCACTTGCCTCCGACGATCCTTCCTTTCCCTGCCAACTGCCCCAACACAAGGATTCCATTCATTCAAACAAGCTACCTGCTTCAATCTCTGGAGACTCTCAACACCAGTGTCTCCATCAATTGCACATCCCTCATATCTCTACTTAAAGGGAAAGAAAAGAAGATGCCTCCCGTCCGCTCTCGCGCCCACAAAAAGCCGCCCCCAGCAGGGTTCGAAGACATCGAAGACACTCTTCTCGAGTACTCGAACAAGATGCGCGATGCACAGAATGCGTCACACGAAGGGAAAAAGAAACACGAAGCGCTCTGGCCCATCTTCCAGATCTCGCACGCCCGGTCCCGCTACGTCTACGACCTGTACTACGAGCGGGAGGCCATCTCCAAGCAGCTGTACGAATGGCTGCTCAAGAACGGGTACGCGGACGCGTCGCTGATCGCCAAGTGGAAGAAGCAGGGGTACGAAAAGCTGTGCTGTCTGCGCTGCGTGCAGACCAAGGAGACGAACTTCCAGGGTACTTGTATCTGTCGTGTGCCGAAGGCGTCGTTGAAGAGGGACGGCGAGGCCGGCGCGGGCGAGGGCGGTGGCGGGCTTCAGTGCGTCAATTGCGGGTGCAGAGGGTGTGCAAGCAGTGACTGAGCAGGAGTTCTGGGGCCAATGGTGACGACGGACAGACGGACAGCCATGGCCAACTCCTTCAAGAATTAAAATGTTTCATGACGCTGTGACCGCTGGATCTTTTCAAGATTTTGGAGCTCCAGCCCTTCGAGGGGAGACAAACTCCTTTCATCATGTACCGATCAGGACAACCAGCTGGATCAGCGATTACGCATATGACCACCACCACCACCCTCCGGAAGGGGGCATGGTTAGGTGGCTGATCAGAAGATGACGAAGCAGGACTGATCGATCAACATTTCCCCACGAGTCCACGGCTCTTTGGTTGCCTCTTAATGGTATACATACTATGGCTGACGGGAAATGTGAATGGACGACACAATCATGTACATGACTTGGAGGATGACACCGCTATCGAGGAGAGGTTTTACGTTTCCCTTTTCCCTTCCATTACCTGCCCATGCCGGCGCAAAGGCAGCGGTGGCATCACTCCATTAAAGGTGTGAGCTGGGTCGGGACAAGCCGGCGGGTTGGGGGGATATCATTATTATGTAGCAAGCTCGAGAGGGGGGTTGTCTTCCAGGCGCCTTTTCTCTCTGCATCTGCTGGATTGTTAGAAGCACAAAGGTCATCGCGGTCATGCACATGTGTGACCAACGGGCTTTTTGTGCAATCGGGAAGAAGAGAAATCTACATTCGTCTACAAAGCAAAAGTGAGCTTCGTTAGGTATGAAGGTATGTGTCCAGCCAGCACCATCATCCCTTTGGGAAAACAAATGAGATCCATCTCAAAAGAATGACCAGTCTCTAGTTTCATACTTTCCAAATCTGCTCCATGATATGTTCTTTCAGAGATAACGTCCGTGCCAGTACACCACCACATGAACCAACCCAAAACCGACAAGTCCATGCCGTCCTGACCCGAGTCATCTCATCAAGATAACAAACCATGGTCCTCCGTACATTTGATCCAGCCGTGGGTACGTCTTAGGTGCGTCTAAATGTCAATGAGAAGCTCCCCTAGGAACCGAGTCATCCTCGAGATGTGAGGTCCAGCTTCAGCACCCTTCTCAAATCATCCTCAAGTTGTTGCGCACTAGGCTTAGATCGATGAGTCGGCATCTGCGGCTGGTTCGTGGATGGCCCTGTAATATATTGGGATTGTTGACGGGAGTTGTGTTTTCGGGAAGCCGTCGGTGGCGTTATTGCACTATCAGACGACAACTCGGCGTACTCGGGCTCGCTCTGTGCTCCATAGACGTGTCTAAGCCGGGAAGAGTTCGTTCGCTTTGGAGTATACATCTGCGCGGCAGGGAATGGATACCCGACGGGATTGAAATTCGGCGGAGAATGATGATACGTGGAATTCTCGTGCATGTAGACCGGTGTGCCGGGGTTCGAGCTGGAACGAGCCTGGCCATATGCAAGGGAAGCACCCGCTGAATACGGGGCTCTGGCGTTGAAAGGATTAGTATCGGTGACGGAATCATTTTCGGTGCCGTTTTCTCGACCGCTTGATTTCATAAGCAACTTCTTCAATGCCTCCGATTTCGCCCTGCGCTCGTTCTCATCCATGCTTCTGCCTCCTGTAGACGTGGACTTGGTGGACCGTAGAGCCTCAATGCGGTCTTTGTAAGGGGTAGCGAAGGCCAGTCCATCTTCTCCCGGGTTCCCGCCTTCCAGCTCGAAGGGAAACATGGGATCTCCCTCTCGGGGCGCGGGTGAATGAGAAGCAGGACTTCCATTGGTAACAGAGAGATTGCCGGAGCGTGCGGCTGGGCTGTCACCCCGAGGAGTGGCTCTTGCCTGTCGGGCGGCTTCGAAGAGGAAGTCACAGGGAGTTGATTCTCGCTTGCTTGGTGATTCATCGCCTGGTGTAACCGAAGAGTCGTGGGAGCTGGTGTCTTCTGAGATGGGAGGTTGTGGTGGCATGGAGCTCGTGGTAGGTAGAGATTTGGAATAGAAGCTCGGAAGAGGAAGAGCTGAAGGGGCTGGTGATTGTTGGAAAGCAGATCCCGCATAGGCGGCTGGTTTCACGGGTGTTGGCATCGCCTTGACCTTCTCCTGCTGAATGTTTCCATACTTCCCTTCTATTTGTGACTTGTTGTTGCCTTGTGGAGGTTTGCGGTGTTGACCTTTGTTGTTCTTTGTTGTACTTCCCATGGCGGGGGAGGGGTTGCGCCGAGGACCTGCGGAAGCTGTTGTGCTGTCGCCGTCACGAACGTCTGACGGCCGGTGGTTCCTCCCTGAACGGCGAGGACCTCGGGAGGCTTGAGGTATCGGAGTCGCAGTTGCTGCAGACATTGTGTATGAGAGGTGTGATGGGCCTGATGAAATCGGCAGCCCAGGGCCTGAGTAGATAAGGAATAATGAAATGCAGAACGCTCAGAGGTATACGAGTATTGTATCGCACAAGAGGACAATTAGACCGGCCGGGAGTATAGGTGGGCGTCTATCTTGAGCGTTTCCGGTGTGGCGAAGCGTAGGGTCTCAAAGTAGGTCGTCGTGGTTGGTGTGAGATGCGGTTGAAGGTTGAAGTGTAAGTGTTCATTGTCTGAACGTACTGTGGTGACTGATGCGCGAACGACCAAAATCTATCCGTGAGACAGAGGATTGGTCTGAAATGCAATAGTTGTATCGATAGCAATGAAGATATTGGTTTTGAAACAGATCGGTGAACCGCGGAGGTGATATGGTAAAAGGGACGAAGAAAGCGAGTGAGTCCGGGTGACGCAGGAGCCTGCGACAAGAGGGTAGGAAGGAAAACAAATACGAAAGGGCGGCGGGCGGTCCTGGGCAGTGCTTGCGGCTGGGCTGGGCTGGGCTGGGCGGCGAGAGGGGCGTTGTTAGAGGATCTTGGGGGGGGGGGGCTGCCTAGTAACCCATTATTGTCGCCACCCCAGCGAGCCAGCCAGCCAGTTAATTACCTAGGTAGTCTACGAGCTGACTTCATCCTCAGCCACTCAATCGCTTCAGCCTTGCGCCTTGCTCATCCCGTCCATCAACTCCGCAGTTTGAACCTGAGAAGCCTTTGAATTCCACCTCATCAGGCTCTTTCCTTCATCATCTCCTTTGATTCAGCCCATTCCCACGTGGACCGAGTCCACCCTTGAGTTGGCCCGAGAACTTGACACGATCCTCCATAACCACATTCCACATCTTCTTCGGTTCCCACCGTCCTCCCCGCACTCCCAACCCTGCTGTCGAAGAAGCGACAACCTTCCCACACATTCAAATGGCGGACGTTGAAATGGCCGATGCTACTGCACCGTCTGATGCGAAGAGCAAAACCCCTGTCAAAGCCTCGAAATCGGGACCCACTGAGGGCGGTGACACCAAGAAGAGATTTGAAGTCAAGAAGGTGGGTTCGATCACAGCGATTGCGCTTGACCTTGTACTCATATATTGTAGTGGAATGCGGTGGCCCTGTGGGCTTGGGACATTGTCGTCGACAACTGCGCCATCTGCAGAAACCACATCATGGATCTTTGTAAGCTACGGCTCTGACCCCAGATTCACTGGCCCCCTTGGCTAATAATGCCACAGGCATCGAATGCCAGGCAAATCAGGGCGCGGCTACGACGGAGGAATGTACGGTCGCATGGGGAATCTGCAACGTGAGGAGAGGAGCCGTGACTATTTGATCAGCCCACTAACTATCGAATTCAGCACGCCTTTCACTTCCACTGCATCTCCCGCTGGCTTAAAACGCGACAGGTGTGCCCGCTGGACAACCGAGACTGGGAATTCCAGAAGTACGGCCGATAAATGATGGATTGAGCAAAAGTCTAAACACCTCCCGGATATCCTTGAGAATAGCTGTGATTGAAGGTCAAGGCGGCACCTGGCAGCATTCCTGCAGAGTCACGCAGAGTCGAATGGAGAGATGAGGACTGGCATGTGGTGCCTTGAGCGGCCAGATGACTCACGCCTGGGCAGCACGATTTTGATGGACATTGATGGCCATATGCCTTGACGATCGAAGACGGAGGAGCCAGGAAACGGTGACCATGTGGTGTTTTCAGCCGAGAGAACCAGGCCAAATAATGACCTGAAGACGTTGTGATCCGCTAGATTCGTCCATGGGATATCCACACATATTGTCATCTTGCCTTCGTTTCCACCACAATGCCTCCTGGCGGCAATACAGTTTTGGAACCATGCCAGGGTTGAGGGTGTCGATTGTAGACTGGCCAAGGAGGAACGACCAAAAACATTGCAAGCACGGCGCCGGCCAACCCGATCCACATAGTCAAATAGATGTCTTGTTCAATGAAGCCCATAATCAGAGCAAGAATCTGTAAGCGTCTTAATCAGCCGCCAACAGTAGGTGACACCCGGGACCTGAAGGGCTCGGGAACAGGAGATAGCCTTACAGACGAGATGGTTAAGACGGCAGAGGAAATTCGCTCTGCAATACGCTGACCGTCGAAATCCTGGTCGCAACGAGTCAGAATTGGGGAACGCGGCTTGAGATGAGCTGAGAGAGGGGGGGTAGAGCGAGGTGTATAGGCTGATCATTTCCACACATACTATTTGACCTTCGAAGAGGTCTTGTAGCTGAGAAATCACGGCATCCATTGGTAATGATTGTGGTCGTTCCGAAAGAGGAATGATTAGATCCAATGGTTGGTGATCGTTCTGGCTTTGATTGATGATACCAGTTGGGCCGGAATAGTTGGTTGTTGTTGTTGTGGGTGAGCAAGTCAATGACCAAAGTGGCCTCGAGTCGTGATAATACTATTAGGTACAGTTGACTTCAAAACAAGCTCCGGAGGTGCCAGACTTATTGACCCCTCACGGGTGGTTGTCCAGGTTCTCCAACCCTAAACCATTCAGCAGTCTTTGACTAGTTCCAGTTAAGAGAAGGGGGGATGGGGGAGACAGCAGGGGGACCTAGATCTCGGCGATTGACCGCGAAGGAATTCTGGTTCTGAGTGGCTGTTCTGGGGGCCACGGGCGAATCCGAACACCATGCCTTGCCGACACCATGAGGGCTTGAGAAAATGCCTCTCGCTAAAGGAGGGCTGCACCCGATGCCCACTAATCGTCACAGTGCTGCTGAGTTTCAGGTCCTCCTGGTTGGTGAGCATTCCGGTTCCGTCTACCCAACAACCCCTCACCCCCTGCCTAGAGCCTATACTGGCCCCGGGCCTGCAGCCTAGCCTGTGAGGGCCTATTGGGTGTGGTTCATAATAAATTTTTTTGCTTCTCTCTGGCAATCAGCGTCTTTTTCCCTCTCGCCATCTCCTGCTTTTCTCCCCTGGTGACATCGGAGTTGCATAATAGCAACTAAGCCTCTCTCCACCTTTTCGCACACTTTTTTCCCTTCCGCTGGCGTTTACATATATCGACCTTGACTTCCGTTGTACACATTTTCGTCCTGTGGCTGCATACTGCAGAAATCGGCGGCGTTGTGACATAACGTTCTCCTCTCACCTCTTTACAACTCTACCTCGTCCACCGTTGACCTGATACTGACTCGTTGGATTGGACGACCTGTTTGTCCGAGTCTTTGTCGTTCCCAATCGGGCAGAAATCTCATACCTCGAGCATCCCAAGGTATAGGAAGGCTGTATCACAGTCTTTCCTATCTCTATTTTCGAACCGTCCACCCTGGCGCTCGACAGCGACGTTAACGCTCCTACGGCCTTCAAGTTGGCGGGCTTTACAGTCTTCTCCTCCTTCATTCGACCTCTGCTAGGAACCTCCTGCATGGTCTTTACCGGCGCAACAACTCGACCCCCGTAACTGGGCCTTCGGAGCTTCAACCTGTCCCTGGCCGTCTCTGGCCTGGGAAACCACCGCTATTGATCATTTGAGAGAGAGACGGCTTTGGCTGTTTGGATACTTTTGAAATACTTTGATTCTCTGCCTGACGGCTCTTTCGCCGTCGCATCTTACAAAGTGGCATAATTAGCATATTCGCAGCACTGGATACAGTGCCAACGACCCGCTTGGAGTCTGGAAAAGAAGGAAGTTCGCGCTGAAAATGTCGTCGTCTGGATCATTGCCAGAAGAAAAGATGGACAGCCGCTACAGCACCCCGGCGCCTGAGCTGGACGACCACCGAGGCACATTGGGTGTCCATCCAGCGCATGTTACTCTACCAGTGCCCGCGGTCGAGCTACAAGTTCCCACGGCGAGGCCAAGCCCCATGGAAGAACGAGATTTGATGTCTGTGGACCAAGCGTTGCTGAAGGCACGGGATCAAGAGAGACACCCAATCGCCCGCGACTTCGAAAATGCCATCGAAGACGACGACAGAAGCGATGTGGATTTTGACGGGCCGAACACCAGCGTCAGACGCCCGTCTCTTCATGCTAGGAGATTCACGAACAATCGCGAGGGTCGCACCCGTCTTCCGCGGAATGATCGTTCACGAGAGAGCTCGTCATCCCGATCGACCTCCCCGGCCAACTCCATTGAAGCCTTTGCCGAGCCACGTCGCCGACAACGCGCCAACACCGCCGAAAGCCATGCGTCCTCACTCCTGGAGACGTTTCGAAACCGTGCCTACTCGGACGGCACGAACCAAAGACGCCCGACGTTGAGTAATATTAGCGTCCCCCCTGCTCTGACCCAGCGCACGGACAAGGACGCCAGCGAGGACGTGACCTTCCCGACTGAGGATGAGCCTGGGAAGACGTACAAGATTGATTTCGAGGAGCTCGAGGAGTTTGTCGCACTATGTGCACAGGGCAAAATTCCCGACGACCAGATTACTGAGGTCTCAACTGACAGCCGGGCCTTTGCGGATTTGCGCAAACACCATTTCGGGCACGTTGGAGAACCCAATGCCGTTCTCAACGGGGAATGTTTCTATGAGAAACCCGTGACGCAACACGATTCAAACAACGGTCAGTCTTCCTCGTCGGAAGAGGAGGTCATGATCCGACCAAGTCATGCGGCGCCGGACCCCGTTGACAGATTCTTTCTGTTCACGTCTGAACTGACACAAGGCCAGCGTGCCAAGAAGTTGGGCGATTTTGTTGCCGATGGCACCACCTTCCGTGATCTATTCGAAGTCGGACCTGACGGTGGTGTCTGGTGGCTTGACGTCCTCAACCCGACGAAAGCCGAGCTGGCAGTCCTTTGCCGGGCCTTCAAGATCCATCGCCTCACTCAGGAAGATATCGAGACCCAAGAGGCGCGCGAAAAAGTGGAGTTGTTTTCACAATACTACTTTGTCTGTTTCAGGTCATTCAACATGGATAAAGGCCACGAAGACTTTCTTGATCCGATCCACGTCTATATTGTCGTCTGTGGTGACGGAGTGCTGAGCTTCAGCTACAGCCCCATTCCACACCCGAAGAACGTGCGCAAGCGTATCGCAAAGCTTGGTGATTTCCTCTCCCTCGGTCCGGACTACATCTGCTATGCCATGATCGATGACATCGTCGACTCTTTCGCGCCCATCATCCGCGACGCTGAGCAAGAATCCGAGAATATCGAGGACCAGGTGTTCATTGCACGCGAGGATGATTTCTTGGCTCTGCTGAGGCAGATTGGCGAATGCCGCAAGCGCGTTCTTAACATGATGCGGCTGTTGGGTGGCAAGGCGGACGTCATCAAGGGGTTTGCAAAGCGGTGCAACGACCAGTACCAGATGACGCCTCGTGGCGACATTGGATTGTACCTGGGCGATATCCAAGACCACGTTGTGACGATGATGTCGAACTTGGGCCACGTGGAGAAGATGCTCTCTCGCTCGCACGCCAACTACCTGGCCCAGCTCAACGTGGACAACATCCTGAAGGGCAACCACACCAACAAGAACCTGGCCAAGATCACCGTTTTGGCGACCATCCTCGTGCCCCTGAATCTGATCACTGGTCTGTTCGGCATGAACGTCAATGTCCCCGGCAAAGATACCGAAGGCCTGTACTGGTTCTTTGGCATTATCGGTGGCATTGGCGTGTTTGTCGTGTTGAGTCTGCTCCTTGCCAGACGACTGCGGGCCATCTAGAACATGAGCAGGGAGGGGAGTTTCTCTCCTTCTCCTCCCTGGAAAGTTCTTTCGATGCGTGTTTTGTGACTTCTGTTTGGTGGATTCGCGTATGTCTTGTTTTGTGTTAGTCTTTCCGTCTGGCATGGTGTGCTGTCTCCTACGGAACACACGTTACACATTGTTAGAGCTCTATGAGTTATGTTCAGTACAGCAGTGGGATTGATACATCGATCTCTTGACGCGATTTCTGAGTTGGGATAGAGTTGTGCATACATAGAGTTTTCGTTGATCGTTTAGATGATATATTCTCTCAAGAACCATCCAGCTTACTATATTTTTCTCAACTCGTACTTCGCCTCCATGTCTCTTTGCTTGGACAGTAGATGCCTAGGTAGCTAGCCATACGATGAGCCGTCTGTCTATGACTTGTACTTCTGGTCTCGGAACCCAGCAAGGACCTCGACCGTCCCATCTCCGCGTTCCGCCCAGCGCTTGGCCGCAATGTCGGGATTCAGCTGCAGTGTCTGCTTCGCCCGGACCCACTGCTCCATGGTGACCAGCTTGTCAAACCGGGGCTGGACCCCGGCCTTCTGCAGGACCGGCGAGTCGGTGATGGGCACCAGCACGGTGTCGTTGTGCGGGCGGGCAAAGTACAGCAGGCCCGTGCGCTTGTACTGGCGCTGGTCCTCGGGCGGGGCGACCACGCGGTGCACGGAGCTCTTGAGCCAGCCGCCCGTCAGGTGCGAGATGGTGTCGGCCAGGTTGACGGTGATGGTGCCCGGCTGGGCCGACACGTACGTCCAGTTCCCGTCCTCGCCCAGGATCTGCAGGCCGGCCACGGGCTGGCGGAACAGCAGCGTGACGGTGCCCAGGTCGGTGTGGCCGCCGCGCTTGCCGTAGTCGCTGGCGGCCCACTGCTCCTCGGTGCGCGGGTGGTAGAGCATGTAGCGGAAGTGGTCCTCGCTCTTCTTGTCGTACGTGTGCTGCTTGACCAGGTAGTCCTCGTCGGGCAGCTGCAGGACGACGGCGAACAGACGCAGCAGCGGCAGCACGACGTTGGCGTGCAGGGCGCGTTGGAACGCCTCGATCTCGCCGATGTGCGCCTTGATCAGGGCCGGGTAGTCGTACTTGCCGACGAAGTCCGCGGTGAACTTGGGGAAGTTGAGCATCTCGACGTTGTCGCGCGAGTTGGCCTGCAGGGAGCGACCGGGCCGTCGCCAGCCGTTGTAGTCGGCTTCGGCGTAGCGCACCTCGTACTTCTCCTTCTCGGCCACGGGCAGCTCGAAGAAGTTCTGCGCCAGCGTGAACTGCCGGTCCACCTCCTCCTGCGTCAGGCCGAAGTTCTTCACGTAGAAGAAGCCCACGTGGTGCACGGCGTGCTCCAGCTGCTGCGCCAGACGCTCTTTGCCCCCTGGCCGGCTCAGCTCCTCGAGGTCGAGCGTGACCAGCTCAGCCCAGGGCAGCTCAGCCTTGGTGACTGGCGGGTGCACGTAGGGCTTGAGACGGCTGTAGTCGTACTGCTGAGGATCAGCATCCTGGACTCTATTGGCCGTGGCCGTGGCCGCGGGAGCCTGGGTATCAGTGATGGTGGTGGACGACATGGTTTGATATGGAGGCTTTTGCTTGACTCTGGGTCAGACGTTACAAAGCTCGACTATCGTCGGGAATACTCGCTCAAGAGAGAGTTGAGACCTGGTATACCAACCAACACATTACCAATCGGTGTCCCCTTATCAGGACTCTGGAGAGAGAGTCGAGCGGTTGATTGTGTCAATCCTTCTCCAAATGTCGCCATAGTGATTTTCGACCATGCCATTCGCTCCGAGGTCAGTAAAGTGCATAGGAGACGGTATAAATCGCCCCCCTGCTCTTGCATAGCTGCTTGATTGTCGTGCCGACACGTCGACGATAAAGCATCTGGATCTGCGGTACCGGCGCTGTCCACGACGCCTGATTGGGTCTGTCGAGCAGGTGTATTTGTCAGTCACCACATGCCATTTCGCATTCTGGAGGATTGTCCCGTCTGTATCTGCCGAAGGACAATGTCGTGAGTGTTGCCAAAGCATTCACAGAAGTCTCAGTAGATACTTTTGGCAGTTTCATGAAGCGTGTTGTGTTCTAGGCGGGACACGTGTAGTAAGTGCCTCATCAATCTCAGCCTCGTCGGATGAGCGAATCTGTCAACGAAGCTGGGCGAACGACGGGGTATCAATAAATATAGGCGGCTTTGACCATCACTTTGAACAATACATACTGCTAATCTGCCTTGATTTGCTAAGACCTTGTACTATACCATTTGGCGTGCTGCAGGGCCAAATCCCGTCGGCAACTGGAGCCTGCCAATATTCTCTACCTCCAAACCATACCGTTCAATATCAACAAACACGGGACAAAGGGCTATAATACAATAGATGGCGACTTCTCTGGTGCCTCCCTGAAATCAAGAGGTGGGAAATGCTGCAGGCCTGTCTTGCCTCATCCAGCGTCGCCACCGAATACCTCCTCCCAGATCCGGAAGACTGCTTCGTCGTAAATCCCAATCCAGATCTCTTCGAACCAGCCCGCGAACTCGGCCTCTCCCAAACATTCCCGCAGAAGCTCTGCCACCTGTTTCGGTGGGCACTTCCACACTCCGCAGCCCAGTGCCGCTAACATCAGGACACTTTTGTCTTGCCTGGCTGCCATCCTCAAGGCCATCCTGAATCTCTCCTTGATCGTCTCCACGTCCTTGTCGAGCTTCATGCGCATTTCCCCCGTCGCTCTCTTTTTGGAACTTTTGTCCGGCACGAGAGACGAACAGGCCAGGGCCGCCACACTAAGCACGCTCACGGTCGCCCAGTCTTTTCCTGGCCAGAGTTTCAGAGTTTCGTGTTAGTTCGTCCCGGAAAATGACCACCTGTGGTGAAAATATGCCGGCACATTGGCCGGGATTGCCGTCACGCTGCACCACCGTCCGCCAGGGATACTTTTCCTTCCACTGGTCCAGCGTCGGCCATAGGGTCGATGAGTAGCACAGCGCGTCCTCTTGCGTAGTGCCGAATCGGTGTCGCCAACCTCCAGCTAGTTCGACGTCAGAAGCACAGTTCAGCACCGCCGTTCGGTGCAGGTAGTCGGGTCGGGTCTTGAGGACTTGCCATGTTAAGGAGAAGGTGTCACCATATCGTACTTTGGTGTTGGGGAATGTGTGTCCCGGGGAGGCGTTGTTGTCGAGAGTTTCGAGCTGCGTTGGGAAAAAGGTCGATTTCGATTGTTCTTGAATGATTCCCATGGTTGTCAGGACGTTAGAGATCTGGGCAAGTGTCTCCTCGACCATGCCCTTGCGTTTTTCTTTGGGTGGTGGTTCTGTTCCGAACGAGGCACGGCCCTGGTAGCGTTCTGCTGGTAGGTTGTTGGTTGCTCGAGGTCTATTGGAGCGAGACATGGCTTGGGTCTTTCTTTCGGACTGGTAAAGAGTAGGAGATGTGGGCATGGGAGAAGGCAATAGATATTTGAATGCTGATGAGGGAGTATACCTTGGCTGAGGGCAAGACGGACCTCACCAGAATCACAGGAAACATCCCCCTTCATATACTCAGGAAACGCGGCTGGAAGCTCCTATCATTAAGCTGTTGCATGACCCGACAGCTGCACATTTCGGATGAGGCTCTCGTTGGTCAAACAGATTGATGAAAGTGCACTACATAGTCGTACCAAAGAAACAATAACTCAATCTCTATCCCCATGAGGAGTCACGGGAGACAATGCAGTTTGGTCTTCCTCATAGCTGGAGAAGAGGTAAACGACGGCCCAAAGGAAGAGGAATAACAGACAAGCCACGTTTCCCTGTCACCACTAGTATTGTCTGAGGGCTGTGTGTGGGATGATTGAAGTCTTTACGAGTCTCGAGTCTCGTCTCGTCTCGGTGTCTCTCGGACTCAATCATTACCGTCGGCCTAGTTTCCTTATCTGGCGTACCATGCCACTAAATAATTTAGCTCGGCTATTCCTTGCCACTCACGTGTACTCACTTACCAACTGCAAAACTTGCGATCCACCACCACCGTCCTCCATAACCCTGCCAATACCACAGCCTGTTGACGATATACCCCGTACATTTCCCCTCTCCTCTACTACGCCTCATCATCACCCCCTCTCCCTGACACTCCTCCTCCACCATCGCCGCCATGCCTCGAGCAGAAGTGGGATCAACCAAGTACATCGCCAACCAGATGAAGTCGAAAGGGCTTCAACGGTTGCGATGGTATTGTCAAGCATGTCAACGGCAGATGCGGGACGAGAATGGATTTAAATGCCATGTTGCCTCCGAATCGCACGTCCGTCAAATGCAGCTGATCGGCGAAGACCCTCGAAAAGCCATCAACGACTTCTCAAACCAGTTCCTCCGAGATTTCATCCAACTTCTACGTACGGGACACGGCGAGAAAAAGGTCAACGTCAACCAATTCTATCAAGAGTACATCTCAAATAAACAACATATTCATATGAATGCGACCAAATGGAGCAGCTTGACCGATTTTGCAAAGTACCTTGGCAGAGAAGGAATATGCCGCGTGGACGAGGATGAGAAAAACGAAAGCCGCGCGGGCGCAAGTGGGCTCACCATCAGTTGGATTGATAACAGTCCCGAGGCTCTGCGACGACAGGAGGCGATCCGCAAGAAGGAGAGACAAGACCGTGGCGACGAAGAACGAGAGCAGCGTATGATCCAGGAACAGATTCGAAAGGCAAAGCGACAGGGATTGCCGGACACTGAAGAAGATGAGGAGGAACAAGGGGACGATATCGAGACTGTTGGCGGCGAGGGCATCAAACGGAGGGAGGGAGAGAAAATCGTGCTCAATTTTGGAGCAAAGAAACAGACACCGGAGACAGCCAAACCACCCACGCCGCCTCTCTCGGAGAAAGATGAATCACCATCATCCGACAAGGAGAAGGAGGTCGGCACAGCCCCCAGAGCCTCGCCTCCTGTGTCCGACGACCCCAAGCCAAAGCAACCCATATCCATGTCCTTTGGCGCCTCGTCAACCAAACCGAAGAATGTCTTCGCCGCATCTTCCAAGAAAAACCCCTTGGGTGCTTCGAAAAAGCCATCCGGCCCTGTCCAGCAAAGGCCAATGAGCGAAGCGGAGAGGATTATGAAGGAAGAGATTGAGCGGAAACGGCAACGGGAGGGCAGCGGTGCTCACGGTGGGAATGTGTTCAAAAGGGCACGGGTTTGATAGCAGAGGATGGGGCGGAGATGGGCCATGAGGACAAGATCACTACTGAGTATTACGATTCACGACCAACCAATGTATGTATAACTAGAGCGGTGGAAGGAAGGGAGAAAACCCCCGGTGACAAGGATCGATAAAATCGATAGCTTCCTAATATGACAGCTCACAGACTGCTGCCATACCTTGAAATGCTATTGCTGCTGATACCCACCTAGACTTATGGATTTTGTGAAAGAGAAACACTGTAGACGATCTCGTAGATATGCGAAAGTCTTCATAGTATAGTGATTCTGCCTGTATTCCTCCGACGCAGGTGATTGGTCGCCACAACACAACACAACACATCTTCAAGGCTTCGAAATAAATTGTTCACGAGAGGTGTTACAAATGGACTGGACGGGCAGAATTGCCCATGATCAACGCCGGTAGCATCGCGATCGAGCATCCGACACAAGAGGGAACGTTCATATTTTGCCCTTCATCCCCGTCACGGGGCATGATTTCAGCCTGCTGCTGCCCGACAGATATAAAAAAAACCATGCTCGATCCAACGTCATGGCGATCCCGTCGCAGACCAAAAGCAGCAGAAGCAGCAGCAGCAGCAGCAGCAGCAACCGCAAGGCTCCACGACGCAAACCACCAGTGTCTCTAAAATCGACTCGTCCACCTCTACTCGTCGCCGCCGCCCGGTCCGGCTCCGGCACCGGCTCCAAGGCCCGTGCTCCGGCGACAGGGACGGCACGGAAGACAGGCACCTCATCTTCATCGACGTTGTCGTCGTTGTCGTCGTCGCTCTCGTCAAAACACACCCGCACACTGATCAACACGCACCACCTGCTCCAGAAGCGCCTGGCCGGCGCGCGCGCCAGGAACGACGCCGACGCGGTCCGCGACGTCGAGGCCCAGATCGCCGCCCAGGGCGGGCTGAAGTCGTACCAGCTCGCCAGTCGCACGGGCCAGAGCGCCCAGCGGGGCGGCGACTCCAGTCGTGTGCTGGTCCGTTGGTTGGACCGGGAGCTCAAGGCTCGCAAGGCGGCTCTGCGCCATCAGGGTGATCCCTTGTTTAAGCGAAGAGCGCCTGGGGATCACGTTCGGGACCACGATGACGATGACGATGATGATGGTGGTGGTGGTGACGAGGAAGAGGATGGGCATGCTACCGACACCACCGCTCCATCGCCAGATGTCCTCCCGATCCGGATCCTCGAGATTGGGGCCCTGAGCACACAAAACGCCCTGAATGTGGCGGGGGTGACGCGCGTGCGCCGGATCGACCTGCGAAGCGCCGAGGAGGGCATCGAGGAGGTGGATTTCATGCGTCTCCCGCTTCCCAACAACAACACTCACAGCGAAGTTGGGGCTGGAGCAGGAGCTGGAGCAGGAGCAGGAGGGTCCTACTACGACGTTCTCAGCCTCAGCTTGGTGTTGAACTACGTGCCCGACGCAGGAGAGCGAGGGAAGATGCTGAGGCGGACGACCTTGTTCTTCGCGCCACAGGTATCACCGTCACCACCACCCTCACCGGGAGAAGCTGGCCCCAGGGACGACGAACCACAGCAGCTCCCGTGCCTCTTCCTCGTCCTGCCCTCGCCCTGCCTTCACAACAGCCGCTACCTCACGCCGCAGTACCTCACCGCCATCCTCAACTCGCTGGGCTACGTCCACCTGCACACCAAGACCACGCGCAAACTGCATTACAGCCTCTGGCGCTTCGACGGGCCACGGGCCAGGAACGAGTGGATTAAGGGCGGCGGCAATACGGTCTTTAAAAAGAAGGAGATCAATCCGGGAGGCGGGAGGAACAACTTTTGTATTGTCCTCGATGAAGGTGATCTGGAGTCTTAGAGTCTCTGGCGTCTGGGGAAAAGGAATGAGATGCAGTAGAGTCTGTTTGCATTGTCTTCGAGAGTCTTGTCTGTTTCCAGTCCGTCCAACGTAGTCCGTGCACCGTCCACACCGGAAGCTTCTTCCCCTTCCGCAGACATGTTCTTCTCTCTGGCTTCTCACACCAGACATCTGGATTTCACCCTGTTCTTTTCTATGTGGTATGTTTAGTGATCGCTGTGCGGCGCCGTATCCTCTCTGGGGGCGGCACCGAGCTCCCTGGTGAGTGGCCCCCACGCAATATCGGTTGCCGCCAATTGGAATACCAACTCCACCCATACAATAAAGCCACAAACATTCCCTCTCACCGGATCCCACCCAGAGAACTTGCCAAAAAGGGGTAGCTTTCGACAGTAAAAGCCAGAGACGCCGGGGCTGTTTAGTAAAAGTGCGCCTTCCATGATAACGAAGTCCTGTTGATGCTTGCATACAATGCTCCATGTGTCCCAGAACGCCATATCCAGGCGATGTTTGGCGGAATCTTTTATACTGATTCAGGCTGTTGTCAGAAACAAAAAATGCGGCATGGTATGATTAGATCGCCACCGTCTTCATTTCTCCCTCGATCCCATTAACGCCCAGGCCCTTGACCTCAGGCTCTGGTTCTGTCGGTTTGTCGTCCTGGGGTTCGTTGTTGCCGGCTGTCAAGACCCGGGTGAGTCGAGTGGCGGGGAAATCCTTCGAATCTGCGCTCTTCAATGACGCGGGTGTCGAGACATCGACCAGTTTATCTCCACCCTGCTTGGTGGCAGTTGTCGCTTGTGAATCGATGGGCGCAGGGACTGCTCGCTTCTTGCCTTCACTGACAGAGTCCTCGGCGGCTTCAGCAAAATCTCGTACCACATCTCCTCCCGGGCGGATAGCTTGCGGCTGGGCAATTTCTTCTTGAACTCGGGCAAGAGGACTGCTGACGGTGTGTCTCGGGCTACCCGTAGGTCCCCGTGAAAACCGGTGAGGCGACCGACCCCTATCCTCGCCCACGACGGGGCTGTTGTACGGGGAGTGTCGGCCGTTCTGCGCTACTGAACTGTTGTTCAATCCTGGTGGCTGAGATCTCCGTTTCGGTCCCCTCCGTCCGTATTTCTGGTCTGCTCGCCAACGCAAGATATCCATGTAAGCGGGTTCAACCGTCTCCGTCTTGAATTCTTTCAATTTCAGCTCGCCGGTCTCCTCGTCGACAAAGACCTTTTCGGTGCCGAGGTCGTCCGCGACCGTGGCCAAAAAGTGTGCCCACGAGCGCGCAACAACATATTTACAATCGTAGTCTCTTCCAAACAGGATAACTTGGCCCCATTTGCCCGCTGGACCTGGCGCCAGGTCGATGGCGATGTTGTTCCCGCCCCAATCTCTGGCCAGGGCGATCCAACTGGGATGAGCATAAGCTCTCTGGATGGCATTGGGGGGCTGTGATTCTTGTTTATCCAGAAGTTCTTGTCTCCAGAAGCGGTTGCCATTGGCCTGGCTCGACGAGGAAGCGCCGTTGCTGAGACCTTTGGAACCGTAGGAGGGTTTCCGGGCACCACTCAAAAATTCTTCGTTGACCACCTGCCAATTCTTCCATTCCTGGACAATTTCTTCACAGTCGAGCAGCATGCAGCCAAAAATGATGCCAGTTGGTCTGCCGCCGCGTTCTTGACCGTCATGGATGGCAAGGGACTCGCGCACGTCTTGCGGTAAAGACATGTTCAGCTCATGCTCCAGCTCATTGATGTCATTCTGCGTACACCCCTCGCCCAGCTGATCCCACAGTTCTGGATAGTTTTTCTCAGCCCAGCGGTCGATTTTCTTCCAGGAATGAGACACAGGCGGGGGGGGAGGTGCACCGTCGGCGAAGTTCTGCATTTGGATCTCGCCAGGAGAAACCACTTCCTCGGCGCCAGCACGCTTGGGAGATGATATGGAGCGCATGCCCGGCGAGTATGGTCTGGCAGGTGACTGGGGCAATTGAGTTGAGGAGACAGAGGGCCGTTTGGATTCGTCGTGGTATGTCTGGGAGAGGTCTTGGTGCGACTCAATGGCACTGGTTGCGACCGAAGTCAGGGGGGCATGTCGACTCTGTGCGACAGGGACATGTTGGCCGGTCCGGTAAGGCGAGTCGTGAGAGGCATGGCGGTCATTGGAGGTCATGGTATGCCAAAAGGAACGCCATGCCGTAGCGAAACTGGGAGAAGTCAGTACAGGCAGACTGGCAACAGGGAGGGAGACGCACGAGTTTGCCATGACTGGCGAGACAGTCAGGGTAGTCGTTGCCACTTTGACGGTTGAAAGGGGTTCTAGTTGAATTAGAACATTAACATGGGCCGAATTTGAACGAGTGTCTCTGGGTTTCGGTGTGGTTGAGTGGTCAAGACAAAGGGACAACGAGAAGTGGTGGTGGTGGTTTTTGTTGCCGGCCGCAAACAAAGCAGAATTCCCCGTGTTGACAACGGATTTGGGCGAGATCAAAACAATGGAGATGGAAGCGATTTGTGACACGAAGTATGCAGTCCAGTGCGGTTCGTGCAGAGGCAGATAGCGGGAAAATCGTCAACGAGAGGTGTCAAGATTAGTTGGATTGAAGGTTGAAAGGTCAAAGATCGAGGGTGGTGAGTATTTTGCAGGTTTTCGCAGGCACACAGCAAAGGCGCAGGGAGGGCAGGCGCAGTGTCAAAGGGGGAGCAGAGGGCACCTTTGAACTATGGGAAAAACTGGGGGAGACGGGAGCCGCTAAAAGCAATGTTACGGGCGCACCACATGCGCCTGCAGATGACATTTTAGACACCCGCGCCTAGGAGCATAGAAGCACAGGAGCCTAACTACGCCTAGTGAGCCCGCCCACTAACAGCCAACAACCCTGGTGACCCTAGCTTCTTACCGGGGGGGAGGGATGGAGAGCCACTAGGATTCTCGCTGCAGACCGCGCCCCAGTTCTGTTCTTGGGAGCCTCATCCATGTCCGCCAATGTCCACCGTCCGTCTTGTTCTTCACCCTCAGTTATCTTATTCGTCTCACCCAACAAATCATTATTACATACAGACAAAACCTAAAGTCAGGAAGTATCACAAACGGTACTGCCCCTCCAAAAGAGAGGGAGAGAGAAGGTATCGAGCTCGTCTTCTCCGATCTTCAGCCGCCTTCCTGCGTTCAGCTCTGGCAGCCCCTGCAAGCACTGCGCCCCGGGTCTCGACGCGTCAATCATCTCTTCAATCAGCTAGACATGTCCAGGTTGTGGGGGACAAGATAGCATTACGAGCTGATGACGCGCCCTGCTCTGTTTCTCCCCAATTGACCTCTGTACGAGCACAACGACACCGACCAACAATCAATCATAACGCCATCTCGGACGGTGTGAGGCTCATGCTCCACCTTCATCTACCTGAATCGCGCTTCCCGCTACGCGTCAATTAATGGGCTGCGATCAAGCCTCATGGTGGCCCCGCTCACCGATAGGCTCGAGGTCCGCTGTTAGAGATTGCACGATAACGCAAAAAGAAGAGGCGTGGAATAAAAGGGGCTCATCATACCCAACACCCTTTTTAAGGGGATACAACCTTGACCAAATTGATTGATTTTCTCTGGGTTATCGCCACGCTGATTCGTCATGTGCGAGATGAAAGGAGAATGTCACGCAGGTTACGCCCACCTCGTCGATCGTCAACGAGGCAAAATTCTCGTTTTTCTGCTTCAATGATCTTCACCGTGTCTCGGATCCGGCTTCCAACCCCTCAACCCCTCGTCCATGGCCAGCATGACCTGAAAATTGCACATCAGTCGACCAGGTTTGTCCACGAGCAAGCCCGTTTGCAGCAAATTCTCCGTTCGATCTTGTGCAACGTGGCCGCTAGTCTTGCATGTTGAGAAACAAGGTGCAAGAGCAGGACGGGATGCTGCAGGTCGATCTGTCCCACTAAACGTTGTGTTTGTGTTCCGAAGATACAACTACAACTTACAGCAGCTCTTAAATCGAACATTCTGGGCCCTTTCCTGGAGTAGATGATCACTCTTCTTCTCCTTTTATTACTCGCTGAGTCAACATTCTCTTCTATAATGGCTGTACTGCGTATTATGCAACTAAACTGGCCTGAACCCTACCCACATCCACTGGGCGGCTGAAGAAGAGGGTTTCCCCCCAACGGACACCTACAGTCTGTGTGGCATTCGACCACCCATGTCCTTCGTCGCTATGGCATTCCAGCAAGTGCCCAGACAAGGAAGAGTATACAACCATGCACATATTCCTGTTGCCGGAGCAGCATCCAAACAAAAGCTGCCAGAACGGCCAATCGGTGAGTTTTGCCACGCCTAATGCAGGTACACAAGACATTTCCGTGGTCCAGCCTTACCACCAGCATGGCTGCGAGATAAGTATAGCATATGCCCTGCAGCTAGGACAAGCCCACCAGCCAATCAGAGATGGCCTCAGTTCCCTGTTTTCGGCCCCTGAGAACAGGGCAATTCGATGAGCATCCGGAGACACACGGGATGGTCGCTTACAGTAACTGGGCGCGCCAAGCTACTTCAGCCCAGTCTGCCGCCTCTTGTGGAATCGTGCAATATCTAACAATTGACCCAAAAGATTCTATATATCGCCTTGGTGCCCGCAAAGGATTGGAGATGTGTCAGCAAGTCAGCAACCAACCACATTAGCGGGATATCATCCAGGACGCTTCGACAGGCGGAGCCTCATCTCAATCGTTCCTCCTGCCTATGTATGTACACAGGTCTATAGGCTTCGAGTGGAGGAGGCTATTATTGGCGACCTACGTACCGATTTCTGTTTCCGGTGGTCTGGCTCTTCTTTTCTCCGTTCCATGCGTCCAGGCATAATCAATCCGAGGGATGTAGAAGCGAGCGAGCCGTGAACTGCATCTTACTTGCATCTCTTCCCGGTCTCCACGAAGCTCCAGGTGTATTCGGTATGCTGACGAACCCGTTCGGTCTCCGTGTGATGCTGTCTCCGATTGCATGAAATCACACCCGCAGCCATACTCGGCGACCTGCACCCTATCCTGTTCAAAGCTAGGCCACTCTGGGTGAAATGTTCATAATGATCACTCATGCTTGGGCTACGCGCATTGTCTCTTCTTATTGCTGCAACCTCGTATATGCCGGCTGTGACTAGCTCGAGGTTCTTAAACAAGAAACAGCTTGAACGATGCAAGATCCGACCATCTTTCCGCAGTCACTGTTCGGGCCAATCATGCAATTTTTGACTCCCACTCAGCAGTTGACGATTGCCCCATTTAGCAGAGGAGGCCTAGATTGATGAAAAGCCACTTCATCATTGCAATGCTGTCGTATCTCAAGCAGGATGCTGACTCTCAGAGCTACGGCTCAGTTCACTCTACTCTCGTCGTTATTGTCGGCATCTGCTTTGACGTTGATGTCGTCGACATTCTATTCGGCTTTCTGTTTACGTCTTGATTTTTCGGAGCCTTCTTTCCCCCCTTCATCAAAATTTCTCTAGATATGACAATTATATACGGAGCAACCTCCGTCGGCCAGCCAATAAGTGCTAGGCTTTTGGCATTCAAATCTTGGTGAGTGAAAGAGACAGCTTTGATTGATGGGGATGGTGGTGCGGCCGTAGAATACTCTTTCCAGCAACCTCACATATGTGTAGACCATTCCTGGCCTCAGCCGAGTCGCCGCTATATCTCTCGACACACAGCAGGAGTTTGTCCCCTCATTTCGTGCCCGGCACCCTTTTCTCGCGTGAGGGAGTACTTCAGTTAGAGCGATTCAGCTCGTCAGTTTCCATATCAAGGTACATTGTTCGAGCATGGTTGAGCAAAGGCTTCTCGGAGAACAGGATCGATCAATCTTCTTATGAAGGTAGATTGGGTAGTGTCGATGGCAGCATTGGGGTCCTTTTCCAAACGGAAACATGACCGTGCAGAGGGATGGGGCTGTCAGCACCGTAGAATGCTTCGTGTCAATCGAAAGGAGAAAAAGGTCGCCTGCAATCGCGCCGGGATCTCTGCGATGGCCCCAGTCTGCTCTGGAATCACAACAGCCCTAGCCGAGGGAGGAAGAGGGTGTCCTTTGCGCTCTTACGGCGTGCATTGTCGTCATCCAGCTACTCCTGGAAAGAGTCGATCGCCGAGGATCGCGTCATGTATGTACACATGCTGTCAGCCAATGTATTGATCAAACGAGGTGTCATCCATCCTGTTCGTAAAGCGTCTTCCTTCACAACCCTGCGTGGGGTCCTCCCCAGACAATCACGTTCGAAGGTTTATCATAACATTTGCTTCGTTGAACAAGACCTTGGGAGATGCCACCTGCTTCACTTGTCGACTATTTACTGCATATGCATGCAGTCATAGCCAGCCAAGCGTATTTGGACACAAGCCGGACACCCTAAGGGACTCTTTTCTTGGGTGAATGAGTTACTGATTGATAAATTGATAATCGATTGATTGAAGAGAGAGAGAAAGAAACATTCATCATCACATTTGCAGCAGGAAATGGATGGAGGTCTGGATGCCAGTCCGTGTTTCTCAGTCTCTACCTCCTAACCAACAAGATTTGAGACCGCAGCACAATTTTCTCCCGCACGGAACAACGAACGCTGTGTCTCGATCCAATCCACGAGGATCGTCTTTTGCTCGTTGCTTGCATGCATGTACGTGGCATATCTATATGTATCTTCCATGTACCTCTGTACTATATGTACCTACATACAGCATGTAGCCTTTTCCATGGGGGCCAAGGGCAGCAGGCAGGATCTGTCTCGCACGTGACGAGGCTGCCTCCCTTTACACCCTTACCCTGTTACCTCTGGAAAGGCTCTTTTCTCCCAACTATCTCACATACTATTATCAGCCCAATAGGTACATAATCAAGAACCGTCGTCCTTTTTTGGTCCGACCCGTAAAAACCAATCAATGAACTGACCCATCCCGTACAAAAGAGTTCAAAACTTTCCACTGTCGAAGTTTCCACAGTATTCACAGGGGCTGGATTGCTCCGTATATATACATTCATCCAATTTATCCACCTAACCCATCCCTTCTATCCCTCTATTTAAATATTCATCCCGTATGGTGTCCATTAGACTCGTTAAAGGTGGAACAAGATCATAGCCCCGGCGGGTTCGAGACGCTCTTGATATGAGAGTGAGAAGACTACATAGCGCTCGAACCACCCGAACCGTATGTAGGGGCTCTCAACTCATGGCTTGCTCAATTGTTCCTTGCGGTAGAACTGTGGGAAGAGAGACACAAAAGGTTAGCTTGGCTGATATATATATAACAAACGATGGACAGACGGTGAATGACTGGCGGGAGAAATCGTCGTCGCTTACCTTGAAATATCCGACGCAGATGCTCAGGTTGGCAACCAAGCCGATCCAGAACCAAGCCTGCCAGATGGGGCCCACTCCGCCACTGACGTCCGGGCTGATCGGGCCGGGTCCAATCTTGTTGGGTGCGACGGCTCGGGCGACGATCGTCGCGACCGAGCCAAGCACTTGTGCCGTCACGAGGGTGAACGCGACGTGCACCCGCGTCAGCGTGGCCAAGAGGATCATGCCCAAGCCCACGCCTTGGATGGCATCGAGGGTGCCCAGCCACAGCCACAGTGCGCGGGAGATAAGGGCCGACGCCGTGTAGCCACCCGCCCAGGGCAGGTAGAGGCCGATGTTGCTGGTCCCCCACCAGATCTGGGCCCAGCGGGGGGCTCCAAGACCGATGGCGAAGAGCGGCAGGATCCAGCTGTGCGACTTGGACAGCACACCGAACAACCACAAAAGGCCCGCCCAGACACCAATGAAGAACAGGACGACGAGCAGGAGAATCTGCCACGTCTTGGCGTGCGAACTGCTCCAGAGGAACGACCAGTTCCGGCCATAGGGGGCGGAGAGGAAGAAGTTCTGGATGAGGACGGTGACGAAGAACCAGAGAACAATCTTGCGGCGCAGCAAGCTCCTGTAGAAGCTCGGCATTTTGCCGGGAGCTTGTCGGTAGTAGTTGGGCAGACCGAACCACATCAGCAGCCCGATGCACCACAGGAGAGCGGCGAGCGGGACCGTGATAGCTGTGATTTTCCAGGTCGAGGAAATGGGATCGGGAGTGCTGACGAGCGCGTCGGACGTCCGTCGGTTGAGATATGCACCCCAGTACCACAAGGCCACGACGTAGATTTGCTGTGTACCTTGAATCACGCAGGCACGGAACACCCACGCTTTGACCTGGGCACCACCTTCGTCACCAAAGTTAAGAGCAAAGAAGATGGAGCCCGACGACGAAGCCACCGCGTACATGCCGGTTCCCACATTCTGGATCCATCCGCGGCCGCTGATTGTAGAGCCATAATGGGCCGTTCCAATGAGAAGGAATGCCAGACCGTAAAAGAAGAATGGCAAAGACAGACAGAGCCTGGACTGGAAACGCCGGAAAAGGAGCCACCAGCAGATCGACGTGGCGAGATAGATGGAGGCCACAGCATAGAGCTTCTCTGCAGTCTGACCAACCTCTCCAGTCAAAAGAGTGATCTGGTAAGAGTTGGCCGCGATGATTTGTCCAAAGCCCATGAAGAAGGCATATACGGGCCAATCTCCAATACGTAATTGCATCCATTTCCGCAAGCCGGTGGGCGGCTTGTAGTCCTTTCCCAACAAAAACTCTTCCGCAAGATTGTTTGGATCGGGTTGAGAGTCGACGTCGGTGTTGCCTCCATAGATAGAAGGGGCGGCTGAAGTTGGGCGAGACTCACGATTAGTGTGAAAGCTTGTGCGACCAGAGGGAGCAGCAGTATGCCTTCCGAGTTTAACATTGCGGAAAGTGTCGAACCACTGCTTCTCCGACTTGATCAGGAATTCTTCAATGCACGTCGCAGACTCCGAATTGCTGCCCTTGAGATCTTCGAGTTTCTTTTCGAAAGCTTTTGCAAACTCGCCATTGCTGTCCGTGAAGAATGGATCAACCTTCTGCAGTTGGAAGTCGGTCTTTTCTCCGACTATAGTGTTCATGGAGAGCAATGAGTTGGTACTCGAGACGCGGTTGTGGTCCGAGAAAGCGGGTGGTGGAATGAGAAGCCCTGATTCCGGTCTGGGTGAGCCTTGCTCAGGCGAGTGAGTATTGTGACTTGAATTTGCTGGAAGGGGCCCGAGCTCCAGTCCCGTAGTTCTGCTTGACCGGCGGGTATGACTTGATTGTGGAATGTAGGGAGAATCGTCATTCACAGCCAGCCGCTGATACCGCCCGCTAGTATGAACAGGCATTGTGATACCTTCTCCATCGTCGTCGTCGAATTCGCTATCCAGGTCTTCTTCGTCGTCCTCGTCCAGATTCTCATTAGGGTTTTGAATGCCGGCTATTCCCAGTCCAGTGTCGTCTCCTTCAACATCGGGTACCGGTGGAAGGGTTGGAGGGGACTCTATTCCCTCATGCTCATCCTGGGTGTCGACATGACCAGGACCTCTACGTGATCCAAGAGAGGCTGAGCGCGACAGGCCTGAAGCCGCCCGTGACTGGCTGGAAGTGGGACGCTCAGATGGGATGTCCTGGCTTTGTTCTCGACTGTGGCCTAGATTCTTGAGACGAGTAGTGAGAGAATGCAAGGCTGCGTAGCTTGTCAACCGCGAATGGCCAAATGTTGGAGTCTGGAAAACAGCCGGTGTGACTGCACCCGATCCGCCAGGCGTGTTCCATACGCTTGATCCTAAAAGATCTGCTGCAGCGGTGTGACGCCGTGTAGCTTCGACCTTGTTGTGGATACGAATAGCCGTAGATTGCAGAATCTCGAGGTCTTCGACCCATTGTGCAACTGGAAATCTCTGCTTGGCCGATCGAGCCCTCATCAGGGCCCGAATCTCCGTCTTCGAGCTCAGGGCTTCGTGGATGGCTTGCTTGAACTGATGAAGCAGATGCGCAGTTGTAGTAGACTCGACGGTGTACCACCAACCAGGCATTTGACCCAATCCTCCAACTCTGGCTCCTACTCCCAAGGCACCTTTTCGACCGAATTCGACAGCGACAAGCCCAAAGGGTTCGTCTCTCGAAGGAATAAGCGCAAATTCGGCCCCGGAGAAGATGAATGGAGGTAGAGCTGTGAAGACAGGCTTGGAAAAGACTCTGCCAGGATACAACTTCATCATTCGATCCAATTTGAGTGCCGCAAATTTCCCATGTAGGTCGATGACAGGCCCAATCGTGATGAGCTGGACATTTGGGTTCGACTCCAAGATTGACGGGAACACGTCTGCGATTAGGTCAACACCCTTTTGCATCGACCAGCGTCCGACAAAAACGAACAGCTCGGCATTTGGATTCTGCTCCAAGCCAGCCCATTCCTGAGCTTGACGCTTTAATTCAGGTCGCGCGGCTTCAAACTCCGGGTCAACTTGGATATCAGCTTCGTTGGGAAGCTTTTTATCCCACTCGCCAGTATCAGAAGGATCGGGATTGGGGAGCTTGCCGACCTTCTTGAGTCCCCAGAATATGGGGTATCGGGCATATGACCGCTTTCCATATTTCTTGGACACGCCCACCGCTCCGAATCCTTGCTGATGCAGTCTCAAATACGAGGCTCCGGCATGGAGAAGGTTGAAGACCTCACCAAATTGGACGTACCGCTGTACCAGCTCAGAAGACAGATTGAAGACAGAGCACACCTCGTCCCGTTCCTGCTTTGTTCGCATTGGCCACAGTCCCTGAAATTCGGCATTGTGCAGGGACAAGCAAGCAGGGATTGTCCTCGGGAGGAGGTAGAGTGGAGCGACCGAGCCGTGGTAATCATTGATGTGATAGAGGTCCACAGGAAAGCGATTGAGGGCTTGGGCAATGCATTGATTCCACGCCGAATAGTAAATAGCCGAAGAAAGGTCGTCCATTCGGGGCGGATAAGGCTCAGACTTGGTTTGCTGCCTGAAGACTGGTGCGTCGAGCAGCACGTAGGTAATGTTGCGCAGAACATGATACTGGACCTGGACTTCATATGGCTTGCCAAGGACTGTCACTGTCATCGGGTCCGCTTTCTCGCCTTCCGGATAGTCGACACCTCCAACACAGGGCACAACCCAGATCAAATCTTGATGGCCAAGGTTCTTCCCCATCAGCTGTGCCATGACACCGAGGCCCCCAATCTTGATTTTGATACCCCAATCCTCGATATCGTACTCCATGGTGGCGATCAGAACCGTGCGTCGTTTTTGCTGGTCGATGACAGTGTCCGACGGCTGTAGGAACTTTGGTTTGCGGGAGAATTTTGTCAGGATGCCTGGGGATGCTTCCTCATCGACTAGTTTTTTGAACTGTCTCTTGAAGATCGTTGGAATTAACCCAGTCTTCTCTGATATGCCAACCTCGTTGAACTTGATTTGGTAAAAAGATTGCATAAATGACCATACGCCAAATGCCGCGGTGATGACTGGGACGACCCAGAGGAGCACGTAGAGGATAAGTTGAGTCCACATATTGCCGGAGGGCAGCAATTTGAAATGCAGACTGCCATCGTCGATGACAATTCTCCATCCGAGATGTGGCTTTGGAGGTGGCTGAGTGATGTTTAGAACAACCGCAGCGAGCGATGAGGGAGGTAGACGATCAAGCACCGAGTCTCCGTCGGCATCTCCCATTACAATTGTCTGATCAGGTTTTCCATCTGGGTTGAGACCCCAGACATTGATTTGGGCAAGCGCACCCTTCAGACTCCATTCAGTCATGAAATGATGGGTCCATGTTGAATTGCCCTCGAGCTTCATTTCGTTTTCGAGACCAGCGTCAAATCCATATTGGTTGTACGGCCCATTCAAGAAAAGATGAGGAAACCTCCGGGGAGTGCTGAAGCCGACATCGCCCTGTTGGATGTGGTCGCTACTGCCGGCAAGACGACTGAAATACTCCACACGGACATGCGTACCTTTCCAGGACTGTAATTTGGTTCCAGTCCACGCCTGCTTTTCGATCTGGGTTTTCCCTCCCGTGTAAGGCATCCAGTCTGAGAAAGACGAACCCCAGTTTGTTGAGTATCGCCATTTGTCTGCCCCAGCTGCCGTATGCGAAATGATCAGGGAGCCGTTCTCGCTCTTGCTGAGAAGACTGGACGAGTAGTTTGCTGTCCTGGTGAACACGATTGGATTATCTCTCTGTCCGATACGGAACAAGAAACGATCAACAGCGTCCGTAGGCTCTCCTGCCTGAGACGAAACATTTCGGACAGAAATTGCGTGGACGCCATTAGCCACATTGTTCAGGGTGGCAGACCAGGACCAGGTTGATGCAATTGCGCCGACATATGGAGGAGCTTGAGGTTCTGCAAGATTGGTACATTGAACACTGTCTTGGTCGATGGTGGGAGTTGTTCCCAGTTCAGTGGTGGAATTGAACGTGATGCCGTTGGTCACGCTTTCGCAGTCCATTTCCACCGAGAAATGAAGCTCGATGTTGACGGACTCGGTGCCATTTGCGCCAACCTTAGACTCGATGCGCACGTCGTGGCCAGGGACAAACTTCGTGATCATCGGTTTCGGGCCTACCCATTGATCCACCGGAACGTAGGCTCTAAAGTCGTAAGCGGCCATCTGTAGGCTACTCAGACAGCCGTTCGGATTGGTTGAGCCGTTGATTCCCAAGTGATGAACGCTGCCCGCAAGGGTCTGCTCATCGTAAGGATAGAACAGATTTTTGACGATCGTGCCGGCATCGTATGGAGCGATCAAACTGGTAGTATTCAGATCTGTATCATTGTTGTTGCAGTCGAATGTATACGTGGTCGATGCGTTCGCATTCGAGTAGAGTAGCCAGACGGGGAGGTTGCCGGCGCCAGTGTCACCAAGATCTTGTATTCCAGGAAACGCGGAACGCATCACTGACCACATGCCGGTCTCGGTTGTCACATTACCGGAACCAGGGTACTGGATTTGTTGGGTCTGGTTGGACAACTGTTGCAGGAAAAACCCATCCTGCAGAACCGGGAATTGTTCTCGTAGTTGATTCATGTGGTGAATTATGTTGCGTACAGGGTGCGACGGGTCTCTGTGATCGTAGCTAACTGTCTCATCCTGGCAGCCATGACGCGATGCGTTCAGGGGCATTCTGAAGAATTGCGTCGAATCGAGACTGTAGCAACCATGAGTCTGCCAGGCAGTTGCTGAAGACATTGCTTGCCGACCGAAGATGTAATTTGACGCCGTATTATCGAGTACATAGAATGCCTGCTCTTCGCCCCATAGCAGCAGCGGAGCACCGGGCATGTGGATCGTGGTGATGAAATGGCCCAACAGCTGGCGATGGATCCCGTCGGTGATTGCTGGCCATCGAAAGACATCCTGATTTGTAACTCCGTACATGTGCCGGGGGTCAACCTTCCCAGTATTCGGGTTGACAAAGTCATTCGTGAGCAGAAAGGTATTCCACATGTCCACGAAGTTACGGGGAGCATCATAACCAGCCTCCAGGTTACCGTCCATGCCCAAGAATCGTGTCAGAGTGCGATAGACTGTGTAATGGAAGGCGGCAGCATCGAGGGCACCGTGTTCGGGGTCTCTCAAAAAATATTTGTCTGCAGAGTTGTTGGTCATTGTAGCCGCCATGGTCAAGTTCTCGGGGATCATGTCAGGCTGTCTCCCACGGCCCAGGAAGATCGACCCGAAGACGTTTCCGCCGGTAATCTCACCAGGGGTGAAGAAATTCTCTTTGCCGAACCGTCGCGCGCACCGGCGCATGGCATCATTCATAGAGCCCATGGCGTCAACCGTGGACTGTGTGGCCTTATCATATCGGTATCCGTCAATGTCAAGCTGCGCAATCATCATACAATAGAAGTTCTCGAGCTTCTGGCGGACAGGCTCGTGCCACTCACGCAGACGATCTTGGACGGAAGCGAATTTTGACAGTTCACGACGCCAGTCGGGGAAGACACCAAAGGCCTCGGTGTCGCCATATTGGTCAAACTCGCTGTCATAGCAGCCGATCATTTGGCTTGTCACGTCTTCACCAACAGGGAATCCCGTCTCCAGCCAGAATTTTGGATATTGGCATGTCTTATTGTAATTATTTCCGAAGTGGAAATCATGATACTGGCGGTCTGATTTCCACTGCACTTGATGCTCCTCGAGCGTGAAAGGTGTCGTGGTATTGAGGTAGCCCTCAAATCCGATGAGGTCCCCCAGCGTAGCGAATGTATTGTCCAGGATGACGTACATACCGCGAGCGTGGATCTCTTGTATAGCAGCCCGCCACATGTCGATAGTGCCGAAATGTTGGTCCAGGACGGAGAGGTCGAGCGGGGAGTATTGATCGTAACCCCAGGGTGTGTTTATGAAGGGAGAGCCGGCAATATACAATCCCTATATTGGTTAGCCGGATGCTGTGGCTGGGGAAATGACGGCCATACCTTGACTCCCATGCCATGGAGGTAGTCCAGCGTGTCAACCAGGCCTTGGAGATCGCCTCCATGGCGCATCTGGTTGGAGTTCGGGTCGTGTTCATATGCTGTTCCGTTGATATTATCGTTGCTTGGGTCGCCATTGACGAATCTGTCGAGAAAGAGGGTATAGAAGGGAAACCGCCAATTCGATGGCGAGGGGTGGTACTGATGGTCTGTCCATTCCCCCCAGTAGTCGAGCGGATTCTCTGCTGTTTGGTTCTGGTTAAGATTATATTGAACGAAAGCTGGATCATATCTGAGTGCCCTGCAACTCGACAAAAAGAGAAAAGTGGCCCAAGCGAAGGTATGAAGAAACATGTTGTAGATAGGGAAATAAACGAAGGACTGTCGTTACGACAACGGTAACTGTGAAAGCGAACGTGGCATCCGTAGCAGGAGCGAGTGACTGGGGAATGTCAAGTCATGGAAGAATAGAAAGAGGGTGATAAAGAGAGGGCGTATCAAAGAGAAGGCGAGGGAGAAAAATCGTAAACTTCCCCAACGTAGGTCAGATCAGCCTACCACACACCATGTGCTCCATTCTGCAACAGGAGAGACGTGCATGGAAATGATGAGAACGAGCTCAGCCTCTGTCCCAAAGAGTGTGGCTGCCAGAGCTCAGCCGGAGAATACTTGATCGACCAGCGTAGTCCTCGTCACACAATCCAGCAGGTGGGGAGACGTATGAGACATGGTAAGCATCGCCATGGGAGTTTTTCTTCGAACCATGCACGAGCATCATGCGTCGTGGCGAACCCTGAATGGATTCTGGGACGGGAGGAACCTGAGGGATCCAGGAACAGAATACGATGACCCACGCTCAGGATCCCACATGCGGTGCTCTTGTTGTGATTCTGATTTACGAAAGCTGAAGGCAGTCCAAGTCCAACCAGCTGACGTTCAAGTATCCCCGGCATGTCCATAAAAAGAGCATGGTGATCAGGCAACAACATTGTGTGCTTCCAGGTCACGGTACAATGAGACAGCCAGATAATGATCTTGGCCGAAAATGGCATTGTGGCCATGCCCTGTCGTGACGAGGCGATAAGTGTTAAAAATCCAAACGTGGATGGCAAAGTGATCCATAAGGCTGGAGACAGAGGGGTAGACGAGCAGGATAACCCATGAAGGATTCGACAGGGGAATACTTGTTGGCGAGCCGGGATGAAAGCGGGTATTGGCCCAGCTATACTGCTCTTTTTGGTACGGGAGGCTGTGGTCCAATCGGCTCCTACGTGGTATAGGCTGGCGAGCGGTGCGAACGTTGCATGAAAGGTGCATCGAGCCAGGGCCTCCCCTGTCCCATCTCGCTGGCGCTTCGTCATATCGTCGGCAAAGGCGGACTCAGCGTGCCTGGGATTTTGTTCACTATGCCTGTGTCATCACCGTATCCACAAGTAAAATATTACTTTCCACATCCGAAAGAGGCCATCGTCACCTTTGCTCGAGCTTACCACAGACCAAATCCCGTGTTGGGGATATCAGCAATACGCGATTTTGGCGAGGGCATTTCCCTTGCTGCTGTCCTTGTGTTGCTGGTGGTGAAGTGTGGCTGCATGTGACGCAAGCAGTGCCCCAAGAACGCCACCAGGACCCTACATTCGCATTTGACGTTGCTGCATGCATACACAAGGATCAAGTGCTCATATCTACGCTCTCATGTTAAGGTTGCAGGGGGGCTTCAGAGAAGGGGACCAGGCGCCGAGAGGACCTAATAGCATGTTGAACATAGGCATTGCATATAGTCAGGAGCTGAAGAGCGGCTGTTGCAGGGTGAAAATTTGGTAAAACCGGAAAACTGGGACGAGGAGGATGGAGGATGGAGGATGGAGGATGTTGGTTGGAGGTTGAAAGTAACTGCGGCTGCTGGGCGACCCGCTTATCACGTTGTCCCGCTCGGGAATAGCGGCCGAGCGGCGTCTCCTTTTATTTCCCTCTCGCCGTCTAGTTTTTCCGGCTTGGCAGCCCACAATCAATCCTTGTTCCCTGCCACGCCTCTCGCTTCGATTAAACCGTGATCACCTCATGCCTAGCATTCCCTCCTACCCACATGAACGCCACCTATGTATGTGACTCGGTACCAAGTGTCTAAAATCTCGCCTTGCCGGTTGACAGGGCCCCCGGTGGCTGTGACCACTCCGATTATAGTTTGCACTTGTTTGTCCTGAGTACAAGTACAAGTATACATATACCACGCACGATCAGATCTCTTTGCCATATTTATCACTCTAGAGGGCCCGACCCGTGACAAAGAGGCTCTAAACGCAGACTCGCCGGCAGATACACGTGAACCCGCTGATCGTCAGCTTGGTCGACCACTGTCAGCCACTCACGGGCAATCCTCCCGCTACCCGTGCACGAGCGAAGTTACGCGAGGCTGTATATCCGATTACTCACCCTTGGATAATTGTCGTTCCACTTGGACGAGGCTTAGTGGTGAGTCGTATATGCTCAACCGTTTTCGGGGTGTCGCAGGATAAGAATAGCCCGTCGTGGATGGCTTCCCCTGCATGAACCTCTATCTCAGTGGATATGTTTCGGGTGAATTGTGGGTTTCCCTTAATGCAATGTCAAACCACACAACAACATGGAGCCCGCAGTCCTCTGCCACATCTCGGCTGCTAAACATTGCTTGTGACGTATCATCCCACTGTGTTGCATTTGCAACCTGCAGAATTTTACGCTTCCCACATCCCAGGAGCCCAGAACCGACTGCCATGACTGTATCGGATAGATGGCTTTACCTCGGACGGTCTGTTAAGGTCCTGGCCAGGACCTCTTCAACGCAACTCGATACCCCCCGCCTAGGTATGAAAGCAGCCGGGCCGGCAGGCCCTGGAGAGAAGAAAGTGGTTATTTTCGGAATGGAGGGCTATCCATTTCCCGACAGTTTCCACCTATGTCCCTGCCCAAACCCGTCCACATAGCACGCCCATGTTCTCCTTTTGCTGCTGTACGAGGTTACAAGGCGATCACAATTTCTCATGTCCACAGCGAAACAAAAATAAAAAGAATGAAACCGTGAAAGAAGAAAGTAGAAAGGAGGCGCACGGCTTATGAGAAACAGGCGGTTTCAGATATCTTCCGGAAGCGGGCACTTGTTTGCACGTCCGTCGATGAAATCCAGCAGAATTGGGCACAGCAAGACTGGCGGAAGGCAACGAGCACGAACTGGTTGCACGACGGTCCACCATCTGGTTGTTTTGTCCCTCCATGCCAGCGTCAGAGCTAGAAGTGCGACGTTTGCCGCCCTCACTTGTACCAGCAAGTAAATCCTTCGGGAAGTAGTCTTTGGGTATTGTCATCCTTCTTTTGATCCTCTGCTGGTTACACGTCAAAACACACCCTTACCATTCCCTCTTTGGGTCAAAGGGTCGCTATGAAGCGTGGCTATAGTGGTGGCCCGTGGTCGCCACAGGTCTCCAGTTTATTTATTTTCTCTCACACGGCAAGATAAGCATGGAGCATGGGCGCCACCGCGATCTGACCGAGATTCGAGCCTAGGATGACAATGATTTCTATCGAAACGAGGCCATTTCCCTGCAGGAACAGCTTTTTGTCGGAGGAGTCGTCCTTGCGATGAAATCAATCTGTAAATGGCCTGACGGGTACGTCTCACGGGTCGGCACGCACGTTATTGCTACGAGTACGAGCCGATTTACGCAGGAATACGAGGTAGTCCGTATGTAATACGGCGCTCGTCCAAGCTTCGTGCGATAAGGCGGTAATCCAGTAATCGCTTCCGGCGACCGGCCCACACTTCACTAATTACTGCCCAAACCACAATGATGTTTTCCTCCCACCAACCAGCCCCATCCACCAGGGAGAGGATGACCATTATTGTTATTGTTGAGGATGCGGGTGCATTGCTCGGGCCTCATTGCGAGGTCCTTGAGTCGTCCACCAGTGCATCCCTCCTCCTTACCACGATGCGGCCAGAAATGGTCCCGCCGATCACTGAACGCCGGGAGACGTTCATTTCAGAGCGATAGCAACGGCAGAGAACAGGCGCCGGACTTTGCATTCGCTTTTGAGTACGGCCAGAGAAGTGTCGCTGCCCTTGTGGGCCCTTATTCTGACATTGCCTCGACAGCATCGACGGTGTCCTCGTGCGGAGCTCGAAACCGATCCCACGTGCCTCGTCGACGCTCCGGTTCCTCCAGCGCAACCGCATCCCGTTCATCCTCCTCACCAACGGCGGCGGCAAGCATGAATCCGAACGCGTCAAAGACCTCTCCGTGACCCTGTCCGTGCCGCTCGACACCTCCAACTTCATCCAGTCGCACACGCCCTTCGCCGAGCTGATCCATGGGGAAGAGAGCCTGCGGCACAAATGCATCATGGTGGTGGGCGGCGAGTACGGACGCTGCCGGAACGTGGCTGAGAGGTACGGCTTCACCAACGTCGTCACGCCTGGTGACATCTACATGGCACATCCGGAGATCTGGCCGTTCAGCAAGCCCTTCCGGCGCGACTACTATGCATCCTTCGCGCGGCCGCTCCCCAAACCGATAACCCGACGTCCCCGGAGGACAGTCTCAAGATTGACGCCGTATTCGTCTACAACGACCCGCGCGACTGGGGGTTGGACATGCAGGTGATCCTGGACGTGATGCTGTCGCGCGAGGGGATCATGGGGACCTACTCGTCCAAGAACGGCGACCTGTCCCTCCCGAACAGCGGCTTTCTCCAGGACGGCCAGCCGACGCTGTACTTCTCGAACCCGGACCTGCTGTGGGCGGCGGACTACCACCTGTCGCGCCTGGGCCAGGGCGGGTTCCGCGAGGCGCTCGAGGGCCTGTGGCGCGCCGTGACGTACAACAAGAACCACCAGCACCACAAGGCGCCGAAACTGTACAAGCGCGTGATCGGCAAGCCCTACAAGACGACCTACACGTTCGCCGAGAAGCAGCTGCTGCGGTACCGCGAGGCTCTGTTCGGCAATTCTTTGAAGAGTCCCACAGCCACCAAGTTGAAACGGGTCTACATGGTCGGGGACAACCCCGAGAGCGACATCCGTGGCGCCAACACCTACGAATCCGCCCACGGCATCCGCTGGGTCAGCTTGTTGACCCGGACGGGCGTGTATAAAGACCAAGACGGCCGACGGCCTACGTGGGAGCCCGCGGCCATTGTGGACGACGTGAGAGGGGCGGTGCAGTGGGCGTTGAAGGACAGTAACTGGCACCAGACCTTGGAATAGAGAAAAAGAAGATGCGAGATAGACCCTGTCGGTCTGTTTTGTTTTGGGACGCTGTTGACAGGAAAAGACCGTTTTTTGTTTATCACGAAAAGAAGAGGGCCCTAACCTTCAAAGCCGCTCACTAGATAGAAAACTTAGACGAAATCAAACGTATCGCCCCATTGATCATTGATCAATCTCCCCACCCTCTCGGTCCCGACAATCCTCTCGAGCTTCAACACATCCCACTTGGAGAAAAGCGCTCTGACCACGCCCTTGGCCCCGCCCGTGCCTCCAGCGTGGCGGGCTGCGTCCTTGTCGGCCCCAAGCCCCAAAAGCGCGATGATCTCGGTCCAAAAGATGGGGTTCTCGGGGACGCCGTACCACAGGATCTTCCGGACGCCCTTGATCCTGTATCGGAAATGATGGTGCGCTCGCTCCGAGTATAGGAGCACGGCGTGGCGGCCGGAGAGGAAGTGCGAGCGCGCGCGCATCACCTCCTTCACGGGCGTGTATTCCGAAATACACCCAAACGAGAGCGACGTCGCGTCGGAGGACGTGGAGAGGTGGTTGCGCAGGCGGGCGAAGTCGACGTAGGTGGGGACGAAGAGCAGGATGCCCCGTTGGTGGCGTGCATCGCGGACGAGGGGTGCCAGGACCGTGGTGGTGAAGAATCTGAAGCGCGCGTCGGAGTCGGTCAGGGGGTTCGGCGACGGGATACGGAGGAAGGTCTGAGGTACGCTCGAGGTGAAGGGCAGGGCGAGGGAGGGTACAGAGAGCATCGCACCCGGATATGTCGGGACGAGCTTCACTCGCCCGGCGATGTTGTGCAGATGGGTCGAGGCCAAGGCGTTGATTTCCGGGGTCAGATAGTCGGAGAATACGATGGTCTGGCGCAGATATTTCGCTTGTCCATCGAGATACCAGTGGCGGACGCGCGAGAAGTCACAGCCATGGGAATCCTTGGGGATATGATTGAGTTGGGAGAAGACGTAGTCCACGTGTTGCCAGTTCTGCATTTGTAGGGCGTTCGCGTGGTCCACGATGACGAGCTCGATGGAAGAGAGGAAATCTGCGTCGGGCGACTTCTTCTTGTCCTTGCCGCTCGGCGTGGTGATTGTGCGCATCAACCCAAGGGGGGAGCCGATGATGATGTCCGAGTTGTAGAAGCCAGAGAAATACTTGATGGTCTTCCTGGTGAACTTCAACCCGATCCGAAAGTCTTCTTCGTGGTTGCCCCCGAAAAGTGCCCGAAAGTCTTCTGGTTTGTCTTGCCATTCATCCTCATCCTCAAAAGAATATGTCTCCAGAAACCGCGCTTTGTTTTCCTGTTGGTCGGGTTCGCTGAGTCTGGCAATGCTTTCGACGAAACGCACACAAGCCTGCTTCGTGGGTACCATGATGAGGACCTTGGGTCGAGTGAACCCTTGGTCACGGAGGTCGAGAGCCTCAGTACCGGAAACTGAAGTCAATTTTGCATTGTTTCGAAGGACCCGATCTCTCGTCTTGAAAATGTGGTTCAGGGCATGCAAACATGATACGTCGCGCAGATGGGTGGAATTTTGAATGTTTCGGCAGCCGTTGACCATGTCAGCATAGTTGAATACAAGTGCGGCCATGGTCTTCTCCTCCGGAGACAGACTGGAGACAACTTTGCTTCCACTATTGCCCAGTCGACGCTTTAGATAAGCATCTTTGATTGATTTGAGGTCAGCGGGCTTGCTGGGAGTCTCCTTTGTGGAGAGAATGGTGCTGCGAACGCCGGAATCCAAGGTAGAGGAGGATGTGTTCCATCGCTTCTGGTCCACCTGGTTGATGGCGTCTTTCAGATCTTGCTCCAAAACCGTCGTGTAATGTTTCTCGAATGGATCTCGCAGGAGGTTTTCCTCATCTTCAGAATCCAGGTCTGCCACATGGCCACCTAAATGCTCTTCGTCCGTTTCCACTTCGTCTTGAAGTTCTAGGGGTTGCTCATTGACATTCATTGCAAGGCTTTGATCTTGAGACACCTCTCCGTTTGTCACAGTCTCTCTGGCTGCATGGCCATCATCGTCTTTGCCGCGAAAAAGCCTTCTTTTCTTCTTTGGAGGTTCAGAACCATCACTTCCGGCGGTGAGCGATTGCAATAAGAGGGCGTACGAGTTTGTTGCATTGTCCTCGTCTTCGCTCGTGGTCTGAGACTGCTGTCCGCCTTCATCGACCTCACTCTCTTCAGCGGCAACCACGGCGTCTTCCTCGCTTTTGGTGTCATCTTTTGCAGCAGCAGCATCATCTCTACCAGCATCAGCGGTCCACGCCACCAACCAATTGTGCTGTTTCCAAGTCACTCACTCTGTTTCTTTTAATCGCGAACTCTGGAAGACATTCTGCTTCTCGATCACATGGTCTCGTTTGGCCGTGCGGGCCTTTGAGGAAGGCTTGCCTCCTCTGCGAAATCTATGCCCAGGCATTTGTTGGCTTCCTAAAATTGAGCAAAGCGCAGGCGATGCGGGGAAAAAAATTATATCGAAATTTGTGAGTCCAACGACTCTCCAATCAACATTACAGAGTAGGGAACATTTTGTTGCCGCTTTAATATTACCTGACAGAAAAAGGTTTGGCATCGTCGGTGCTATGCTGGGCGCTATGAAGCTTGGGGTTTTCTCCATCATCAACAATGACAACTTTACGAAGTACTACTCAATAAGTTGTGTATTGAGCAACCAGGGGGCTTGTATCGACGCTCTAAACTACTTACCGGCATAGCCATCAGCAGCGTTGGCGATTGATTATCCCCTTCAAAGCGATGCACCCCTTGTCTTTCCCGGATACACCCACTTGGTATCTCTCTGCCTGACCTCGTGTCCCTGGTGGAATTTGTGCTAAGGCTTGACCAATATCAACTTTGGCCAAGCTAGTGATGCCAACGTCCGGCACTCCTGTCCGCTGCCGCCGCAGGATTGGGGAAGTAAAGCTAAGTGAGGTGCTCACCCGAGGTGTTCTGTGGTCAGCCTGCGACCAGCCTGCCAATAGCCTTCTCAGTGTGGGATCAAACTTCTTTCTTGGTCGTCTGATACGCAGTACCACTTTTGGACCGGCTCAACTGCGGTATTGAAGTTTGAGTTGATGATGCTGGGAATGGCCTTAGGTGCTTTTACATGCTCGGAGGAGATGGATCGCTGGATAAGAGTAAGGAAGGATGCGAGATTCAAGCCTCACCCCTTCAGCCCCTACTCGTACTCTTTCTTGCGGCAGTGGTCCGCAAAGAGCCAGGCCTCTCGTATCGAACTGTCATTTGGTGACCGCCGTGTCGCATTACAAACGGTTTGGAAATCGTCCATTCGGCTTGAAGCGTTATTCTGCCTACAGAACAAACAATCCTCTGCCTCGCACTTGCAGACTTGCCGTACAGCCAGCTACAGAACTTGTGTCAACTAATGCAGCCTCCCCTTCGACCTAGCATCTGAAGATTGGCTAACGCCCGCAGCCTCAATCACTCAATTCGGATATGATTCGTCTAGAAGCCTTGTGGGGTTGAACTGGCGGAGAAGTCGCGCAACGTTCCTGGCCTGATTTGGTTCAGACAACCAGCGGCAGGATGTCCGTTCATGCAATATGATGCTCTGCCGGTAGAGTACAGACGAGCTAAAGATTCAGCCCTTCAGGTTGATGGGATATTCACGGAGGTGACACTGCTCTCTAAAAGCGTGAGGCTGCACTTCAAACTGGTTGTTTCTCTGCCTCTTCACTTTCCTTCCTTCCAGCAATTCAAGATGGGGGACTCATCCAAGCTTCAGGCGTACAAAGTGGGCTATCACGCTTCCGAATACAAAAATGCAAGCCTTCCATACGAGAAATCTCCCACGGGGGGTCCAGATCCTGGCAGACAGGCGAATGAGGCTGGGAAGGGTCGCCAGGTGGACGCAGTTTATACCGCCTTGCCCAACCCGGACCTGCCAATCTACAAAAGATTTATTGGCCCTACCCGTCAAATAGTGAACGATTATGACATTCTCCCGAAGCTTGAGCGAGGTCTCGACCAAATAAGCGACGAACAAAGCGTTGCTGCAACTGACTGGGATCACCCTGAAGCTGGAGGCGTCGAGTGTCACCATATCATGGACCGCTGGGGAGTAGATGGAACTGGTAGCAGTTATCAGTTCTATTTCAATTCTGCAGAGCACAAAAACGCGGCTGGCAATCCAAAAGCCAATGGAACTGTCGAATGGGTGTATGGTCTTCTCCTTCGGGCACTTTAAATACGCTGACACAAGCAATTGATTTCCAGACACGTCGGTCTTCGATCTCCAACACCAAGTTTGATCAAGGTAAGATTGTTGTTTAGAAATCTATGCTCTGGCTGAATCTGGACCTAGTCCGCTGTCGATACATACGCTCTCCCGAGATTGGAAGATGGAATTGACAGACTTGTTGATGGGCTTCTGCGACGAATGTTCAGCAGTGAGGAGAAAACATTCGCCGCAGGCTACTATCTACAACCCGGCGTTATTAGATATGATGGAGAAGTCCCGCTGCAAGACGTACCCGATAGGCCTTGCACATTCGTCAATTTCCCATATCTATGCCTTGAGGACCCTACAAGGTTGGAGGCGCTCTCAGAACAGCCTGACCCTGAAAAGAGGAAGTTTCCAGTACGCTCATTATTGCAGTCGCGTTACCGATTACAATTGACCTATCGAAAAGACGGGAAGCAGTCTGTCTCCACCTTGTCCAACGAACAGGTCAACGCATGCATACAACCTACTGTTGCCCACCTTCGTTCCAGCATTTCAGCGGCAAAATGTACCAAAATTGTACATATCCACCAACTCTGGTGCTTGTCTCTCAGTGGAGGTAACAACGAGGATTCCAATGCTGATTGTCCCTGACTAATCTGCTTTAGATACCGTAGTTACGTGTGCTCCTATCGAAGGCGAGACACTTCACGGGCAGGTCATTTCAGTCAACAAGATCAACCAGAATGAGCCCACCGTAAACATAGTGCTCGATTATAAGGGTCGCCTGAAGCGTTATAGATATCAAAGGAGTCAATGCGACTCCTGGTTTGTATGTTCAGCCACGTCGAATGACTAGAATGAGCTACTGACGGGGCAACAGCGCTTGTTGAACAAGCACAGACAGATATTGCTCTCTAAGGGGCTCTTCGGAGACGAAGGCGTACCGAAAGAGCAATTCAACCTATTCTTTCAAGATGAAACAACCAAAGAGACGGAAGTCACGGATTTAAACTGGCTGGAGGTCCTGGAAAAGTCTACTTCGTCAAATCTGGAAATCACAATCAGACCCAAAACACCAGGAATTGGCTTGGCTGGAGCAACTGCTTTGAGTCAAACGTCTCAAAACCACCAGATTTCGAAACCTAATCAGCAGGTCGTGGCTGACCCACTGTTTCCAGCGGTGAACAAGGAGACGAACAAATCATCTGAAATTCGACATCTCAATCAATTCGAGCGCAAGGCCATCAATACAGATCAGGAGGAGACATCTCAAGTATGCCTCAAGAGTGGTGCTGACATTGCTCTTGACTCGCCATCAAATCCAAGTCCAGAGGAGTTTGCCAACAGCCTGGACAGCGATAAACGCCCAATCATTCCTTTTTTCCAATGGCGGTTGCGCAAGACCACAAAGCCAGGTGCCGAGAGCACCAGGGTCGGACGCAGCCGGATCGTCTTGAATAGAATTTCCAGCAACCTGTTTGAAAGATATCGAGAACTGTTCTATGATGGGGATGTCGCCGCGAATGAGCTGGACTCATCAATCTTGACAAGGATGTCGAAAATGGGAGGATGGACACTCGAGCAATTCGTCAAACAAACCAAAGATGATGCACTACCCAGTGCTCCAATCACCTCTCTCATCGAGGAAACCAGCGCAATTTTAAACCTATTTGTGCCAAATGTTATCGACCGAAATACGCAACAAAATCCACTCTGTCCTCTTCCGCAGGACAGAGCGTTCAATCCCATAGATACACAGAGTTCCCCTCCTGGCAAATCCAATCTTAGAGAAAGCTCTTCAAACCCAGGTGGTGGACCAGCCACGGAGAATCTCGTTGCAGCAAAGGTTCAAGACTCGTCTCGCAAACCAGTCACAGCAACCACAGGAGTGAACACGAAAACCGAGCACAAGACCGTACACCCGGGGATAGAGAACCACACAACTCTGAAGCTCTTCAGAGAGGCCTTTGGAGAAGTCATTATGGTGAGTCGGCCGAGCAGGACGTATTATTTGTTGCGTAATGTGCTGACGCCGTGCAACACAGATCTTGAAGATGGCACCGATTCCTGAAGAGGTTCTCCAAGAAATCATCGAAAGACTACGAGTTATACACAAGGATGCCTTCTCCTTGCATCAAGGAGTTCGTTCGCTTTCTGGGATGCAAGAGCATGACAACGACCCCGAGTTCGGTGGTCCTGCCATCTTGCAGAGGGCCATTACGGAGGCGTTTATCCGCCTGGTCTACATGTATTTTGGACTCCGGCAGTGTCTCTGGACCCGAAACAAAGATGAGATAGGCCTGAAGCCCAAGCTATATAAGTGGGCGTTGAATCACGGAAAAATCTGTGCCGAGAAGCTCCTAGAGGCTAAGAACGACCTCATTGCAGAAGCTGGCGAGCTTGAGAAAGAACCGCCATATGGTCCGATGGTCACGCCTGAGGCCGTCATCGTCATGCTTTTGGATCGGCTCAGCCAGAACGTTCACGGAGTCGGCACCTTCGATCTAGGAGACATATACGGGAGAGTGATAGAGAAATTGGTCGGTATCACAGCAAATGCCGTTGTTGTTGTTGTTGTTGTTGCGACGCTAGCTAACGTGGCGTAGGCTGCAGATGTCGAGTTCAATCCGACCAGGTCGCTACTGTTTGAGATCAACAAGACGTCGGAAGAGCTCGACATTGTCCGCGACGTGTTCAAGCAGCAGGAACGAGTCTTGTTGCTGTACCGCACGTCTCTAGACCCGGCGACTTTCACCAAAGGCAAGGCGGGGATTGAGCGAGAGACGAAGTTCCCATGCGAGGACCGATCCATTAGCGCCGTCCTCAAGACGGTTCGAGAGAACATCAGCGACTTTGACGAGCTCAGGAACCGGATATCGCAACTGCGGACCCAGAACGTTCAATTAGTCGAGACCCAGCAGGACGAAAACAACAAGGCGATCCTGGTCTTCACCGTGGTCACCATCCTATTTCTCCCTATGTCATTTGTGACAGGGTATTTCGGAATGAATCTACAAGACATAGCAGACACGAAGTCCGGGACGGGCCATTTCTGGGCTGTCGCTGTGCCCTTGACGTCGGCCATTGCCATTCCGTGTCTGGTGCTGGCATTCTGGGGCCCGATTGTGCGATTCTGGCACCGACTTTTACAAAAGAAGTCAGGGCAGGAGGTGACCTGGGGATGAATGGCCTTTTCTATTAACTTTCCAACTGTACAATACTCCCAATACCAGGGCTCGTGCTCGCCCTAATCCATTTCCATACAAGCGTCAGCCGCGTCCCGTCGGAGTCCACCTTTGAGATTCACAAAAGTGCGATGACTAGCCATTACCATTCGAGCAGACCAAACCGAAAGTCGAGCGTCAGGGCGCTCGGGTTAGGAAGGCGTTTGTGTCAACTTCCCGATCCATTAACAGCCTGATCAGCCTTGTACATGGCCTCTAGCCTACCAGAAGTGTGAGCTCTAGTGCGTCGGGTTCGATAGATCAACTTACGGGGAAAAGACCCTCAAACGATATTCATATAGAAGGCTTCGTAACTGAGTCAGCCCTGGCTCCATAATCTATAAAGCGTCAGTCGGGAGGGGAGCCTCGTAAATGTCAGTGCTGGAAATTGAGAACGCTACCTTGGAGGTTAAGGGAGTGCCTTCTGGTTCTTCTGGATCTCTGTGGTTTCGTTCCTCTTTCGAGTCGTGAAGGAGGAATTCAAGCTCAGCAACACTGTCGCCACCGCGACTCAATAAAAATTCGCACGCTTTCCGATACGCCCTGCCCATTGAACCCTCCACAAGGACGAGGCTCTCCGCCCGCTGCCCGAAAGATTCGAGCTGGCTCTCACTTATGTCACGTTTGAGGGCGATTTGAACTAACGATAGCCCGAGAATAAACAGCTGAGGACGCACTATCCATGGCAGGCTGTTGGCATACGGCGCTAAAAATTCAAAGCACTCGGAGTGAACATGTAAGACACAACGCGGCTGAGAGGTATTACACTTGAGGTCCACAACGTTGTAACTTTGCAGGTTTGATAGCCAGGGGCCTCCGAGATGGTACATGCCAAATTCTACCAGCTTGTAAGCCAGGCTGAGCAGTTCCCTCTCGCGGAAACCGTGAAATTCCAAACTCCAGCGCGCCGGTACCGATACAAAGTCGTAATCACCCGTGTCAGGTCCTTTGACGAGCCGCTCGACGCGGTAGTAGAAGGTTGTCCCTGCGCGAGAGTCGGTGAGCTTGACGATCGACCCCGTCCCGACTGCCAATTTGGCTGCGTGGACCGCTTGCAGGAACTCGCTGTTCGAGTATAGTGGTGCTTGTTCATCCCTCAAGATGGCGCTTGCAGCCTCGTCATCCTTGAGTGGTACAATTAGCAGTTCCAACGCTGGCTTGTAGTCCGTGTGGAAGAAAAGATGGTAGCCTCTGCTGCCCTGGGGCATCTGTGTCATCTTCCCCCACCAGGCGCAGAACACGTCGATTTCGAGACTCAGGTTCCATCTCGTGCATGTGGTGTACAGTAGTGTCGATGCGTGTCGACTACTGGCGATGTCGCGCAGGAAGTCGTCATCGGTCTCGGGCGAGATGAAGAACAGCGCAGACTGGTGATGTCTCTGGAAGTACAGGTCCGACAACACGCCCGGTTTGTCCAGCGAGCATCTCAGGAGGTTGAGCCGGTGCCACAATTCTTTCAGGACAATTGTTGCTTGATGTTTTTTCGGGTCTTTCTTCCGCAGGAGCGACCACCAGCGACGAAGATTGGTTTTGGTTTCGAGTTTGATGTTGAACTCTGTGTGTGCCTGCAGTATCTGCTGAATATCCTGGCACTCGATCTGAATCAGCCTCAGTTGCTCTGCCACCGCTCGGTACCCGTCCTTGCCCCAGGGGGAATTTCCGCGGTCTGCCTTGCTCAACGCAGTGAGATCGTGCGGCAAACTCAGCTGCCATGTCGACAGTTTTTGGAGGCTGGAATACAAGAGGACGCGGACGTCATGGAGGTTGTAGCCGTGGTCTGATTGTACAGGGAAGGCCTGGGTGAACGACAACATGAGCTGATAAACATGTTGATAAACATGCTGAGCCTGCGATGTGATAACCGGCGTGAGGTTGGGGGAATCCACCGAGGAGGACATCGGGCTGGCAGGCACCAGCGGACAAGACGGCTAGAGAAAGGGGAATGGGTAGGGAGTTTGGCTAAGTCTCAGAGTCGCGGTGTGTCTTTCTGGTGGTGAATCTTGGAAACGCGGTTCTGGTGGTGACAACCGCGCCTGGTGCTTTGGTGCCTGCCGCACACCCGCGACATACATACCAAAACAAAGAATGCAGACGCTCCAGCGACTCTGTGCATCTCTTTGACCACCTCACCAGGCAATCTAGTGTCGTCGCCTATCTTCTCAGCCATAGCACCATGCACGCACACATAGACACGCCCCTGTTCGCCTCTCAATACTGGTGGAGCCCAGCATCTTCCTGTCACCTCCACCAGTGCAAATCACCCTCAACCAGGAATGCCGCGGTGTTCAGATCACTTTGACGGAATCGCCATGACGACCAAATCGGAGAGACGATGCAAACATGCTCCCAACAAGCTGGCCACTGCCACTCCGGCCAAACATGCAGAACCACCAGACTTTGGCAACTTCTTCATCGAAAAGTTAGGGCTTCTCCGTCACCCCAGCTAGACCGCAAAAACCCAGACCTCGTGCGGTGTTTAAGACTCGTTTCGCTCCAGATAGATATTATCGAGGAAGAGATTAGGAAATCAACGGTCGTTCCAAAAGAAAAGATGCTCGCATGGTAAGATTTTCAAGAGCCGAGGATTGGGATTCCTGAGATCAACCTCTAAGACCTCGTCTAGGAAGCCATCACAGGATCTCGAAAACGCACTACATAGTGCAGATAGCATGGATAACCTCGCATCCGTCGCTGACCCTTCGACAAGGATGCAGACACAACTGGATAGCGACCCCAACGGGCAAGTTAATCCCGCGGAGCTTACAGAATCCTTCCGAGAGCAACTTGGATCTACTCTCCTTGAGCAACGAGTTGCGACTTTCGCACATCAGCCTTCAACGGCTGGCAGGCTCAAAATTGGCGACCTGTTGTTTCTGTGGCAACACATTCCTGCGCGTGGCATCTCAATGAGGGGGTCACGCGTGAAAAGGGCCGGGACTGTTCTTGAAGCTTTCTGTGAGGCGTGGAAAGCCATTACTCCCGTCATAGAGGACCTAGGAAAATTCGAGGACCTCAAGAACATGGCCATGATTGCCATCACCCTGAATAAAATACATCAGGGACCCGGGTACTTTGATCAATTTCTACACTGGCGATGGACCGACCGCTTCTTTCCATTCGACAGGAGCAAGCTGGGTACAGTCTTCTATGGATCGACGGATGCATTACGAGTCGAGAATCTTTTCTTCAACAAACAGTACCAGATAAAGTGGAAGGAGTGGCCCGAGGGTGCTCATGCCACCTTTGAAGAATCCGAGCCCTTGCCATTCACGTATGACAGCTCCGAAAGAAGTGAGGGATCCTACAGTATTGTCGACAGGGTGCGTGATCTGTCATGCTACCCATCGATACCGCAAGTTTATGCCAGAAAATGTTCGAAAGGAGGCAGTGCATCACGCAAACACATAGAGGATGAGGTGAAGACGCTGAAGAGGCTGAGACACCATCATATTGTGCGATATGTCAAGTCTTACGAGAGAGGCGAAGACGAATTCGCGTTTCTGGCAACCCCAGCAGCGCGTCAGACCCTCCTCGGACTGCTCGAACAATATCGCTGTACAGCTAACGACTGCGCAAATCTCAAGCCGATATTACTAAGGGCATTTGGTTGCATCAGTCTCGGAGTGGATTATCTGCATAACGCCATGGCTATCAGACATCGCGACATTAAACCTGAGAACATTCTCTATCACGACGGCAGCTATTTTATCGCGGACTTTGGACTTGCTTACCACTTCCACCACCAAATCGGCAGTGGGACGTATCGTCGCTTTAGAGCCACCTACAACTATCGAGCTCCTGAGAACGGCAGCGCGACCGAACCCCACGGGCGGGCCTCAGACGTCTTTTCTCTGGGCTGCACGTTCTTGGAGATATTGAGTACCATGATCAAGTCCGAGACAGGCGAGATACGAGAGCTGCGAATCTATGCAGAACATCTTGATGATGTCCGCAGATGGGTTAAAAATGCGTCCTCGGAAGATAGGGGAAGGAAGGAACCGCTGAGGAGCCTCTTGAAGCTCGCCAACGACATGGTCGTTGAAGAGGCGGAGAAGAGACCTAACGTCAGAAGAGTCATCGCCGAACTTCAGGATATTAGCAGCAAATCCAAAAGCTCATTATTCTGTGACGAGTGCAGAACGCAATTGACAGCAAACCTCACCCTGGAACATCGGGCCCGTTGGAAGCGCTGGATACGGGGACTTCGCCCACAATTTGGCAGAAATGAACACTAGTCAAGTGGTGTTCGCTTCAGGAGGCCACATCAATCCACAAATCGACTATACATCTTCATCCTTGACCTATACTCCTAGATCTTTTCGATGCTATCCCTGTGGGTGCCTGGTGTACTTGAAGTAATGTGGCCCACCCAGTCAATTCCGATTCCGCTTTCAACTTCTGCATTGCGGTGACAAACCTCTCGTACCCGATCCTATGGACCTCGCTGAGAGCGTTTGCAGATCCTGATGCCCTTTTTCCACTCCCACCCGGTCTGACTTCCCCCTGGGGATGGTTGGATGGCCAGACCCCGCCGCCGAGATATGTACTGCGTATGGTGATTGGTCCCGACGGACCGACCTGTCTTATAGGGATCCACAAGGGTAAAGTTGCGAGTGGGGCATTCATACCGTAATCGTATCCTCCCGCACCCAGTATTCTGTACATATCTATCTTTCTCTGTACCTCGTATACCACCAAATACACACCGCGGGAATCTCGCTGCGGCAGACATACTTATCGGGATGGATAGCTTCAAATGGTAAATAAGTGTCTCCTCTTCCTGTTCTTGTCGTGTGGAGATGAGTTCCCAAACTTGCTCCGGGGGGAAGGCCAAGGGAAAGGGAGTGGGAAGTATGATCATGGATCAAAAAGGTCAAGTTGAGAGTAGTCACCATGAGGAGGAGAGGAAGAAGAAGGCCACGTATGCAGATGGCAGGTCATGAGCGCCGTGTGGACTTCCGGCATGCGCCCCGGGGCACCGAAGGAACTCAGTCGTTGCTGTTCTTTTTTCCATTTACTGAACAACAACGAGGACGACGGTGGAGATATTCGTCACGTACGTATCAAGAAGAGCGAACGAGATTTTCAACAAGGTCTGCGCTGTGCGCTGTTTGTTGGGCATCATCTTGTCATCAGCATCGCTAGCTCTGGCCTGGCACACACACACACACACACAAACACACACCAACCCCCTCCGCTCCCCCTCCGTGTGTTTGTTTGTGTCCAGTCCTTTCCGTGTCTGTGATTCCGCAAGCTCGACAAGGTCGGTGTCGGTGCTACTGTTGATCGTTGCAGGCGTCCCATGCCGGCCGGCACTCTCACTCCTGGATTTATGTTCACCCAAGATGCGATCAATCAATCAACCAGCCAGCCAGGCACCGAGGTCGTTTACTTCTTTTCCAATTGACAAGCAGTCCCCCCAATCCTTATCCTCATCCCCATTCCCATCCCATCCGTTCGACGTGACAACAATCCCTCTTCAAAGGAGAGGCGGTGAGGGGCAATGGCATGTCGGGGCGTAAATATGAACCCCTTCCAGTGAGTCGAATGGCATCGAACAGGAAATAAGCGAGTTGGCGAAGAAAAGAAGACGACGCCATACTTCAAGTCTCACTCTTCACCGCGCCAGATTTGGCCTCCTCCTTCTCGTCGCTGTTCGCGTGGCTCTTGGCACCATCGGCTTCGTCGCCTTCATCGTTGTCGTCGTCGGCATCAGCGTCGTCTTCCTCGGACTTGACAAATGTCTTGCTCTTCATCTTTTTCTTCGCGCCGACGCCACTCTTTTTGCCACTGCCTGCTGCCGCTGCTTCGTCCCCGTCTGCTAATGCGGACGCCTTGCGCTTGCGAGCAGTAGTGGTAGTGTTCTTGTTGTTGGTCTGCTTCTTGGCAGCGCGCTTGCGAGGCTTGGAATCGTCGTCATTATTTGCCACGGCGGCAACGCCCCCGCGGCCCACGCCGGCATCGTCGTCAGAGACGGTGATCGTGCCGTTCTCAAACCTGAGTCCGTGCTGCTCCATGATAGACTTGAAACGGGCGCTCCTGGGGAAGGCGAGATGGTAATCGAGTCAGCCTCATGATCAGTCTTGTCGCGAGAGAGCGGTCCGACAGAAAGGAGGGAAAGGAGCAGAGGAAAAGCAACGTACGCATTCCTCGCATACGCGATGCCATTCTCCCTGGCCACTTCGTTCCAGTCAGCCTTGACATGCTCGCAGTGCTTGAGCACGCTCAAGAGGAACCGGAAGGCCTGGTCGCCGGCGCTGTTGGCGGTAGCTCCAACACGTGGGGCCATCTCGACTCGGTTGCTGTGGGAATAGAAGAGTAGAAGAGAGTTCTCGGTGGAGAGTAAGAGTGATTGGATGACAGACGTATTAAAAAGGAAACGCGCCCAGAGAGATGGGAAAAGAAGAGGAAGTGAGAAGTCGAGATGGGTTTGTCGTTAGCGACGTCTGGCATATGTGAATGGAGAGCGCACACAAAAAAACAAAGGAACAGCGAGAGAAATGAGGAAATAAGCAGGTTATCCGAAGGGAAGGGACAGTGAAAGGACAGTGAATGATAAGAACACACTGGGTGAGAATGAGAAGAGAGGCACTCCCTTTCTGCCGCTGGTGCACGTGTGTCTGATATTGTTGTTACTCTGGAGTCCAATAGTTCTGGTCTGTCACCTTTGACGCATCAAACTTGTACTCGCCAGTTTGCCTGCCCCGGAGGTCCTGGAAACCCTTCTCAGTCTGCAGCAGGTACAGGTTCGGGTCCTGGGACATGTTGAGGAAGAAAGGCACATCCAGGCTGTTGAGCTCGCCGTCGACCCACTCGACACCCACGGTCGAGATGCCCTCCCACTCACGCTCGATCTTATCCTTCATGGCTCGCGGTAGCTTGGTGGTCATGGGGCACTGGTACCATTGCGCAAAGTAGTCGATGGCCAGCATGATGCGGTGCTTGTCGCTCTTGTTGGGCATGCCCGCGTGCCACAGCCGCAGGTCACGGAAGCAGATGCTGCCCTTGCGCACCTTGGGCTGCACCGGCGGTCTGACCTTGGCACGCTCCTGGATGTACTCTTTCTTGATCCAACCGCGCTCCGGGTACGCCTGCTGCTCCTTCTGCGGGTACGCATTGTGCGTGCCGCACCACACCTCCGTCACGCCGTTTCTCTCATCCGAATCCTGCAGGTAGATGTTCATGACCAGCCCAAACGGGATCTCGGGCCACGCGTGGCTGACATCGCTGTGCACGGCCTGACGACCCGTGCCGCCTGGGCAGGCTACGTTGCTGTTGATAAAGCGAAGCTCCGGCTTGGGTCCCAGCAAATTTTCCACCACGTGGATCATGTGGGGATTGGCGTAGAAATCGCGGTCCAGATACTCGGGCTCAAGCGGCGGAATTTGACTGACATTGCCCGTGGCTGCACCCTGGTTCCAATGCATGTGTTTCTTCTTGAGGAACTCGACGTTGTCGTGCACCATGCGGTTGTACAGGCGGTCTACCAGCTCGTCGGGGATGGCATTTTCCAGCACCACGAACCCGTCGCGATGGAAGTACTTGAGGCACTCTTGCAGCGTCTCTGGCCGTGTCTTCCCTGACTGAAGCTCCTCGTCGGTCAGACGAATCACCACGGGATTGTCGCCGTGCTTCTCCACGTCAGTGATCAAGGCGCCGTCAACATATCTCGGCGTGGTTGATGCTGGCGGATCGCTTATTGCTGAAGGGGCCATGGTGAACGTGGGTGCTCGGTGAAAGATTCTCAAAACCTGACTGAACAGAACAGACACAGCGGCGTGGCAAGGGCGATGATAGCAATGATAGCTTCGGCTCTTCACGTCTTCCTCCCTCAATTTCAATGCCCGAGGTCAAAGGGCGTCAATTCCCTCCGTCAACGTGGTTCAGTTCGGACTTCCTCTCCCTTGTCGGAGTCCCCCACTTGAGCCGGTAGTAACGGCACGCCGGTTGACATGGTCGACGGCCGCATGTGTCGAGTCACAAGCTGTAATAAGGTCCAGTTGGGTATTAACATACGGCTGATAATATCCATTTAGGCTAATGGAGTATCGGTACGGCTCCGCTGGCGGGTTGCGTGAGGCTCTCTCCAACATGGAATTCCCCTCGTTTTTCCCAACTCCCCACAGACTCCCCCAAAGTCGACCTCCATATGGAGCAATATCAACCAGACTTTTCCCCCAATTTTCAGGCGAGAAGGGGGCGGGCCCACAGCCGGATGTCCAGGATTTCGCGGTCTTATTGGCCCGTAGCCGAGGACATGGCCTTACTCAGGAGAGTAAATGGCACGGCTGGGACAGATCGGAGTGTTGCCGAGCTGGGGTGATCGACCACGTTTATTACTGCTTTGCCAGAGATCGTCTGAGAGCTAGCGGAATGGTTGTTGTACTGAAGCCACTTAGAACATCGGCGGCTGGGATTCCCACACGCGATGCGCAATGGTTCGAACATGCAATGTGACCTTCTCGTCATGCGCGTCTGCGTCAACCTCGGGGCAACAGCGATGAGACCGTCCTGCGATACTACACCGTCCCGACATATCCCCTCTCCCATGGGGCCTCGAGGCGCCTGCAAAGACCAGAAACTGCTACCCGAGGATGTGAGTTGCAGAGTCAGAGAATATCCATGATATTGTTCGTGGGATTCTCGTGGACCCATTGGGTCCCTGGACTGTGCCCCGTGTGCTTCCCCCAGATGTCTCCTCAACGGAACCGGCTGTCGAAAGGGATACAAAAGCGTGGGCAAGGACCATGAAACTCCGTTGGTGCCCGCATAACTCTCCCTCTCCTGGCTGCTCGTCCGAGTGTCTGCAATCATGGTCAATATTCTTCCCAAAGTCCCCAAGACCCCCTTGGTCGTAGGAGGCAAGGAGTACCCAGAAGTGAACTGGTGGAAGCACAAATGTCTCATCCACTTGCATTTTCTGTGCGCAATTTTGCTATTGTCGTCAGCCACAAACGGCTATGATGGATCCATGAGTAAGTCGTTTCTTCCCGTTTACCCACAAACCACGGCGCGCTGACCATGGGCAAGTGAACGGTCTGCAAACCCTGAGCTATTGGCAGAACAAGTTTCACCACCCCTCCGTTTCTACCCTCGGGCTTCTGAACGCCATCTTCTCCGTTGGACAAGTTGTTGGCTTACCTCTCGTGCCTTTCTTCGCGGACCACATTGGCCGCAAGTGGACTATCCTGCTTGGAAGTTCCCTCATCTTCTTGGGTGTGATCCTGCAGACAGTCTCTATCAACATTGGCATGTTCATTGCTGCCCGGTTCATCATCGGACTCGGAATCGTGTATACCCAGAGTTGCTCTCCGATGCTCATTACCGAACTGTCTCACCCTCAATATCGTGCGAGGCTGACGACCATTTATAACACTCTGTGGTATCTGGGCTCCATTATCGCCAGTTGGACAACGTACGGCACCCTCAAGATGCACAGTCAGTGGTCGTGGAAGCTGCCTAGCATATTGCAGGCGTTCCCATCGGTCATCCAACTTTTCTTGATCTGGCTCGTGCCCGAGAGCCCCAGATATCACATCGTCAAGGGCCGCCACGAAATCGCCAAAAAGATATTTGAGCGCTTCCACGGCCCGGCTTCTGGCCAAGAATTCGTCGAGAGTGAATACCAAGAAGTATTGGAAACCATGGCGCTGGAGAAGGAATTTGCCAACCGTGGTATTTCCGAGCTCTGGGCGACCAAGGGCAATCGACACCGCCTGCTGATCGTCGTCTCCGCGGGCATCTTCAGCCAAACCGCCTGGGCGGGTGTTGTCTCGTATTACATCTTCCTCGTCTTGAACCAGATCGGCATCACGAATCCCAACTCGCAGCTCATCTTGAACGGCTGTCTGACGATTTTCAACATGTGTATCGCCACAGGGATGGCTTTTACGGTCGACCGATTCGGCCGCCGCCCTCTTTACCTGACAGCAACCTTTGGCATGTGCATCTCGATGACAGGCTGGACAATCGCCAGTCAGCAGCAACAGGCCCATGGAACCACGGCCGCGGGTCGTGCGGTGATTGCCCTCATCTTCCTCTCCATGTTCTTCTACAACCTGGCCTGGTCCGGCCTGCTGATCGGGTATGTGGTGGAGATCTCGCCTTTCTATCTCCGGTCGCGATACCTTACCGTCATGCTGCTCAGCGTGGCTGCCGGCTTGTTCTTTTCCAACTATGTGAACCCTGTGGCGCTCGAAAATATCAAGTGGAAGTACTATCTGGTGTATATCATCTGGCTGGCATTCCAGTGCGTGGTCGTGTACTTCTTCTACATTGAGACAAAGGGCCACACCTTGGAGACGATAGCCATCTGTTTTGACGGAGAAGATGCCAAGATCGGTGGACAGGCGGCAACAGCGAAGGGACGGGAACTGCTCGGGAAGTTGGAGCACAAGGAGGGCAAGGACAGCAAGGCTGTCGAGACGCACATTGAGCGAGTGCAATCAATGGAGTAGACTGTATCTTTACAGGGTATACTTCAAAGATTGGGTATTGTGCGTAGGTGAGGAGGGAAGAGGGAGGTTCAGAGGTCAGATGAGAAGCGAGTTTAGAGTTTACGTATTGGGGTTGACCGCCCGAGCAGTTGCCTCCTGTTGTGCTTGTCTAAAGCAGCAGCACCATCATTCCGAATGAGGAAGGCATACCAAGTCTCCACATCAATACGCAGTTCACGAAAGTTGTATTGTTCTGTTTTTAGGCTGACTCCGCCGTTGGTTATCTGTCGCAACCTGAACTGTGTTTCATCTGCAGTATGACTTGAGCATCATAACATAGGCTCAAGCTCTGGCGATTCTCCATCTGCCCCAGCAAGCAGCCTACTCCAGTCGGCATGGTTCATCTCCAAGTCGCACTCGAAGATGTGGAAAGCTTTGGGTTGGAAATGACAGAGGTGAACCGTCCCTTCCTGACCACTTTGTATCGTAATGAGCAGCTTGGTCATTCCTCTTCGTCCTCGAGTTCGTCCTCGACTTCTGACTTGATGCTTTGCTTTTCGTCCTTAGTGTCGTTTTCGGAGTTCACTTCCTCGACCTTTGGCTGCATGGCTTTCTTCTTGGCCGCGGCTTTGGCCTTCTTGGCCGCCGGGCCTCCGTCGCCGTTCTCCTCGTCCTTGACCTTGCGCTTGCGAGACGTGGTAACTTTGTCAGCAGTGGCTGAAGCCGGTTGGCGACCTCTGCCACTCCCACCGGCAAGACCCCATTTTTTCATGATACCCCAGTGACGGTGATAGCTGTAATGGACAGTGAAGATGGATTAGTGTCTGTAGAGCTACTGCTGTGAAAGCGATTGTAACAGGTGCAAGTGGAACTTACCATGCGCTGCCACTCTTTGCTCCTATCTCCTTCGCGACTTCGTCAAAGTCGATCTTGGGCTTCGTCTCTACATGTTTCAGACATGTCATGATAAAGTTGAAGTCATCGGGGCTTCCGCTAGCAGGAGCCATTTCGCTGTAATCCGTCAGTCAATGGAAGCTGAGAAGATTTGGCGGGGAAGGGAGAAGAGACAATGGTAGTAACTCCGAGGCCCACCTGACGAACTTTTGCAAGAGAGGAAATGAGATCTGATGCTTGCTATGCCGACAATGAATGGTGTAGCGGATGGGCCAGGAAGAGGTCACCGACTGGGATTGAGACTGAAGAAAGACAAGAGGTCGAGGAAAGAAAAAGAATTTGAGATGGGCGAAGGGAAAGGGTTACATGGAGTGTGGCACTATGTGAGAGTATCCCTTCCGGCACCTGAAACGATGATCGACCGGAGAAATGAGACTGGAAGAGCTCATGGACTTTTCACTTGTCGAGTCGAAATTTAGTGGAACTACACCTAAATCATTGAGGAACACTGAAGGAAAGATGAGGTATGATCAGTTCATTTCGCCTTCCTCTCAAATGTCGAGGGTGGTAATGCTATCTCAGTTCATTGTGGGGATGCTGTCAGCAGCTACATGCTCTGTGGTATCCAAGAGAAGAATTGCACACCAACCATGCCTCTTCTGCATTACCAATGTGCCCATGTCGTGGGAGCCCTGTGTCCATCGTCCTGCACCAAATGTCGAAGTTTCTTCAAGGCCGATTCATGATCACCAACTTGAGGAATCGAAAAACCAAGAATCACTATCGATGCATTTGCATGATAGCTCCAGGTCTGCTTGTCTGTTTCTTAGTCATCGCCCTCGCTTGAGGTGGTGTCTGTCTTGCAGATCGCCACAGCAGCATCAACCATCTTTGCAGTGGAAATATTCTTGATCGCCGCCTTTGGCGCGATACTGACATCCTTGCCTGGAGTTGCTTCATCATCACCCAAGATGCCTTCATCAGTAGCAGAGCCGGCCTTCTTGACACCTTTGTCCTTGGATTTCTTCTTCGGGACAGGCGTAGCAGCCCGGTCGTTTTCGGCATCCTCAGTGTGCTTCGGGGGGTCTTTCTTGATGAAACTCGATCGAGCTTTCTTCTTGAGAGGTTCGATGTCATTGTCTTCAGACGTACTTCCACCCTCGTCCTTGACGCTGATTTGCGCCTTGTCCGAGTCCTTCTTGGCGGGGGCCTTGCGTTTGGTAGAGGTGGCGGGAGGAGCGTTGGGCTCTTTGTCGACTTTGCTGATCCACGCCGCACCATCCTCTTCAAGCTGCTTGATGATAATCCGGAACTTGTTGCTGCCGAGAAAATGTATTAGTCCACCTGTTGCCACGGATGTATGATAACGAGAAACATTCCCACATCATTCATTTGTTGTGGTATGAGGGCAAGCCATCATAGAATCTCCAAAGAGAAACCAAAAGGAGGTGAACACACTTACGCAGCGCCGCCCTTGCTCATGCCGAGCTCCTTCGACAATGCCTCGAAGTCGACAACGATTTTCTCCTTTGCATATTTGATACAAGCGGCCAAGAAGACCGCATTGCTGGTAGTCGGACTCATGCTGACTGAGCCCTTCTTTTGACGTCGTAGCGGATCGAGAAGTCAAGGAGTTGGAAACGCCTAGGTGGCAGATGGAGAGACGATCAGTAGAGATTGTCAGTAAGTTTGCTTCAAGAGTTTGAGGAGGACAAAGTGCTATACCAATGATCCGAAGGTGTCTTGATGACTTGTGTGAGGACAATCGGTGATGGAGAGTTCAGATGGAGGTGAGGGTCAGGTAAGGTGCAGGTAAAAATCTATGGCAGGCTCTGTTGAAGGAAGGTGAATGGCTGCCAGTAAGATTTCGCTAGAGGCGCGAGATTTCACATGGCGAGCCATGCTCAAGATGGAACAAGCCATCTGTGGACAAAGGTTCGGCATCAGACTCACCCTCCGACAGTGGTATGGGAGCAAACCGCGTTGCATGGGCTGTCATAACCAAGCGACGCCTCCTCTCAACTTTGTGACGGCCTAGATAGTCAGTTCATGCTAAGTCTATGCTTGACCAGATCCTTGAATGGTGTCTTGAACTATTGAGACGACATGATGCGCCAAAATAGAGTCCTATCAGCCTTGTTGCGGCAGTGGCCCTTTGTTCCTTGTGCGGGCGCGGGCAGAAAGCAGAGCGATCTCCCAGCTCTCATGTCCGGTCATTGTTGACAGCATCACCAAGCCATCTTCCCGTTCTTCTTCTGTCAATATCTTTGTCTTCAGGTTCCAGACACACCTTCCAAAGGGCAACGTTGAGGTACTAACAGGGGAAGATACTCTCTTACAGGGTGGATGTCCGGGGTCCACAGAGGGCAAGCATTCAGATCCAGCTTGTTTTCTCCCACATGCTATCGGTCATCAGACAGCTATCCTGCTGCGATACCGTCATTGTTGGACAAAATAAACAAGGACAACGTAGCCTAAGCCCAGAGTTGACAATCGCAGGGTTTGTGGAGTTCATCATGCCCGCCTCGAAGAGGAAGCGAGTTCCAATGACTCCTGGAGTCCGGGCTCTGACGACCTACCTTGGTGGGACATCTGCGCAATTCTCATTGTGTTTCATGTTGGGCTCCCTCTCGAATTGCAGTGCGGTGGTGCATCCTGTTGACGAGACCAGGTTGTATCGTACAACTTCCTCGACGGCGTCCGGAATGAGAAGTTTTGCAAGCCCGATTACAGACTGTGGCCATAAGGACTTGGCTTTGCCTGCCGCAAAGCCTCATAACATCGTGCAGCTTCTCCGGACACGATCCCGGACATTGCGAGTACGCTGGTGGTGCACTCCCGCCCGTCATTATCGGTGATTGACCCAGCACACAAGAAATCGGCAAACCACCAGAATCGGGGACGGTCTGCGTGACCCAACACGAAGTGGATAGGTTGATTGGGGTTTCCAGGATCTCAAACACATCAATGCAATCCAAGACAAACCTCCCGATGCAAGGGACCTACCGCCGTGCTGTGCGTTCGTTCTTTTCACCCAGAACGGCATCCGAGATGCACCTTGTTACGAGAGTTGCCGGCCAAGTCCACGCGCAGCTCTCTGTCGCAAGAAGTCGGTCCAGAACCCAGATCCGAGAAAGCGAAAGGCTCGTCGGGGACGGAACGAGATTCGACCTCGTGGCCCAGCAAGGTTTCGAAGAGCGATCCCTGCGTCATGCACGACTTTAGCTCCGTCGAAACTGGGGTGTCCACCAGGTTTGCACAGTTTCCTGGTACGCACGAAACCCAAACTGACTGCGCTTGACAAAGGGTGGTGTGAGAACAACCTTTTGGGGGGTGGTCAGAGCTTGGAGCTTGGAGGCTCGCTTGTTGGGTAGCGAGCTGAATTGAAACGGCAGTTGTCAAGGTTGCTGGACTCCCGGGTCGCTGACTCGCTGACTTGCTGACTCGGCGGGCCTGGCCTCGCCGCCATGGCCTGCTAGGGGCTTCAGAGTTCTTCATCTTCCACGTGGCATATCGGAGACGCCGGCACTGTGGCTGGCGCACTAGCATCAGAACTATCGGAAACCCACGTGGACTTGTGGTCAGCCCCAAAACGTCGCTTAGACACAGGAGACTCCACGCCCTCCCATCGCCGCCAATCGACCTGTTATAGAGTGGGCGCTGGATGACATGCTGTCGGCTTGGAAGAGAGGGGCTTGAGCCACATTCTCGGTGGCTCTGCTCCGAAATCATGGTGATCAGCTGCGACCCCGAATGGGCGTGATGGGCTCTCCAAAGGGGAAAAATGAGCCAAGGGCCACCGAAGAAAAGGGTTGGACCAGCGGCGAAAACAGGGCGTCCGCGGTCTAGAACATCTCGCTTGCCTTGTCCCACCCCTCTGACGTTGTTGCCATCTCGATTGGCGAGCCGTCTCGATTCTGGCATGCAGCTAGAACATGTTGTGGCGCTTCAATGGTGCCAAATCTTGTGTGACCCAAGGATCCAGCACGCTGGAACGTGACGGAAAGCATCTTGTCAGAAGCCGGGGCGATACGGTACCAGAGATTTGAACAGGAGGCCCTCGTGTGTCGCTGGCAACCCCCAGACGAGGGGGACGAGGACGAACGGCGTGATGGTGCTACCAGTGTGGACAAATTGTCAAACATCCAATATTGTACATGTCATTCACTATCCTTCAGTCGACGGAGCCCCATGTGTGTTCCAGCCCATAATGTACATGCGCATAATGTTCATCATCTATGCTTCTGCTCCAAGCAAAACCTCCCACAATGTCTTTTCCGTATGAGCCCGCCGAGAGATGCCATTAAATCCCCGTTTCAGTGATATCACCATCGCAGGAGGTGTGTAAGAGACAGAGGGTATGCTTATAACCTATCCGTTACTCGAAGGATGGTTGCACGAAGCTAACAACGACTGCTGTACTCTGTGAACTGATAGAGGTTTTTTGCGTTTCCAACGGCTAATTCCTGATCCAAACCATGCTGACATGCCTCATTCCTCGAGCATGTTCATGCTGATCTTTGTCCACCTTCCCTGAAACCCATCGCTTGAACGCAGAAGACACAAAAACACACATGAGATGCCGCATAAATAGGAAGACAAGAAAACGGGAGAGCTCTTGCTGTTGCCGGTGCAGACCCTGCAAAGGACATCAGAGACTCGGAGAGTTTCTTGTAATCAGTGCTGTTTTAGAAGATCGGGGAATGCCGCCAACCAGCTTTTGACTTGTAAAACTTGCAGATGAAATAGCACGGTCTGCTCTTCCAGGATTTTTTGACTTCCCGGAAAGGCGCAGCAGGGGAAATGCTGAGGGAGTGCGCCACGATTCACCGTCCGTAGTGCAGACTCTCTTCAAGTTGAAAATGTAAGGCATGAGTAGCCTCGCTGCTCTCGTGACTCTTAGTAGCTTGCGCGCGTCGAAGAGCCTCTCGCTGCTGCAGGTTCACCTCCATGACATCCCTTCTCGTGCCGCTTCATGTTACTCCTTACGCTGAAATATTTCCCGCACCCGTCGTACTTGCACCGATAAGGTTTTTCGCCCGTGTGTGAGTAAGTGTGGATCTTCAATGAGCTCGGCCGGGAAAATGGTTTGTGGCAAGTTGGGCAGATGTAGCGCTCGTGGTTGTGAGGGTATGAGTTGTGAACCGGGGGATAGTAGCGAGGAAGTTGCCACACTGGCGTCACTGAAGGGTCGATTGTTGGCATTCCCATACCAGGCATTGGGCCAGGGAAATCTGTTGGTAGAGGCCGTTGTTGAGCGAGAGCACTGTATCCTAGTCCCTCTGCCGGACGAGGCTCGATTGAGGGAGGTGCTTGGGGCCTCGGTGGCTGGTCTGGTTGCACAACTTCAGCAGCGAGTCTTGGAAGGTGCGAAGATGGCCATGATGTCGAATCACTTGATGGTGGATATGGAGTAGTTGGTTCAGCGACAGCGGCGCCAGTTGATGGCCGTTGAGCATACAACTCAGGATTCGTGCTTGAATGATAACTGCTCCTGTTGGGGCCTGAGCTGGGCGAAGTGTTGGTGGGGGAGGGTCGGGGCAAGTCGAATCTCGAGGGCGGCGGTAGTTCTGGTGTCGGTGGAGGAAGACTTCGTGGACTTCCTGATAGTTGTGGTCTTTCCGGGCTTATTCCATGGCCATGTGAGCCTCCAGAAATCCTTCGAGAGGCACCGAAAGTTGGAGAGGAGGCATTTCCTGGCGGCAATTAGAGTCTGTCTTTCGAGGTTCGTGAGATCACACGATGGGAATGCGTACCTTTTTCAGACCGCTCCGTGACTGCTTCGATGAGACTGGAGATTGAAGGCAGGGAAGGCCTGAATCTGTTGGCCTGCTCCATGGCCGCGGATGCCAGCAATACCGTTGGCGAGGGTAGAGGGTTCTGCAGTGGGTGGTTCAAGTGATAAGGTGGAAGCAATGCCAATGCCATAGCACAGGCTAGATGTTGGCGAAGAAGCCGCTGGTAGACTTGATGCGTTTGTATCTCCCAGTCCAACCCGCCGAGGGAGGATACAATGCCAACTGAGGGCTGTGGAACTGGTGGACAACGAGAACGCTTCGTGGCTACTCTTTCAGGTTTTCTGAAGTGTCCGGACAACCTGGGTTGATTGGCAAAGGGCGGAGTCCCCGTAGGTTGTTCCTTGCTCGGTTCGGGGGGTCGAAGGATGGTGTAATGGGGGTCGTCCACAGAAGATCGAGATAGAACTGGGATCTACAAATCCTCGCCTGCTGGCACCAAGAGGGGAACTATGGTGAAAGTAGAGATGAACGTTGTCTACCGGCGGGGAGGGTTACGAGAGACGAAGGGAGGGAAGATATTGGCTGTTGAGGGATCAGGAAAAGGTAGGTTGGTGGGAATTCAGGGTGGTGACGTTGCAGTGGGAGCGAAGCAAACTGCCCAGGGTTGTTCCAAGGACTGGATCGTCTGTCCTCGAGCAAATCGACGAACGGCTCGCTTGTGTTGTAAAAGGGATGCTAAGGCAAGCGACAGAGTCGGAGAGGACGGGCGGTCCTTGGAGAGGGCCACAACAACGATTGAGCAGGGCGCTTCCGGAGCCGAGGGGTACGACAGGTGAAGATCGTCAAGAACAGGACGGGGGGTGGGTTGGATGTTTTTTTCGTCTCGGTGGTTCCAGAGTCTCGAGAGTGATTGGGGAGGGTCGGCTGGCCACGGGCTCTGCCACTCCACTGGCCTAAGGCAGTGGCCTAAAGGGATATCTTGTCCAGTGTGTCCACCTAGCACCGGTGCCTGGTTTGGCAACCTGAAGGCGTGCGATGTGCGAGCTTGGGTGAAGATCAAAAGTGGGCGGGAAGTGAGTTTAAAGCCACGGTAGGCGGAAGGAGTGGGATGGATAAGCGGCCACAGGCCTGGGGAGTGGGTAATCGGGGCCGTCAAGACCAGGTCCCCATCATACCATGGCGACTGCTGACCGTTTCCGGACTCGGACGGCGCATGGGAGCACGACGGTCGTGACCTGTATGGCTGTGGGTTGCTGGGCCTCCTCGTGTGGGTGGTGCGTGCGTGGTAATAAACTCCCGAAAAAAGCCCAACCTGGCCCAAGAACGGCTGAGGTGGCGTCACTGGCGCACCTGGGGGAGACGGCCTGGCGAGCTAAGATTGAAAGAAGGACGGTCCTGCGAGGATGGTTAGTGAGAAAAGTCAACCCGGTGTGAGAGAAAGCATACAGTAGTGTCGAGCGTCGCCCCAGGGAAAAGGCGGGTTGGTGTCTGGTCGGGTCGGGATGGTGGTACTGTACGAGTCGAACGAGAGAGGATGGATCCTGGATCCAGGATCCAGGCGAGGAGGGAAAGTGGAAAGGCGTGAATCGACTTACTAGCAACCGACTGCACGACTGCACGACAAGCCGCACGGGGGATGATCAGCGATACCGGGGTTGGGAATACAAGAGCTCCATACAGGTAATACGCTGGTGCACGCATTTATTTTGGGGGGGAAGACGTGACGAGGGAGCATTCGAGGCCAATTCGGAGCGGCGCCGAAGGAATGAGAAGGGGGGGAGAAAGAGTGGGAAGGGTGGCTTTCTTTAGCAAACTTCCCGAAGATCCATCAAGAGAAACAGGCTGGTGTTCATCCACAGTGGGCAGTTGTGCAACAATAATGAACGGAGAGACTCACAAACTGTCACTGTCTTCTCGAGTTATTGCGGTGATGGCAGGAGGTCCCATGGCTGGCTGTGCAGAATCCAGGTCACTTGGATCAACAGCCAATGCAGTCAATGTAGCCAATGTATCTTTGTTTATTCCTTAAGCGAGAGAGGTTGCCCAACAGAAATAGAGACTGACCTTTAGGGCCATGTTGTGCTTTCCCTGAACGGCTCGAGGTTGGCGGCGCAAGAAGGAAAACAGCTGGAAACAAACCGGTCCCAGAGATCTCCCGGGGTTCACGCCCAGGCTGAGGCCCCTGGGGGATGGATGGTGGTGGTGGTGATGGTGGGTGCCGAACCACGATCAAAATCGATCAGACGATCAAGCGGTAAACCATTAGTCTCGAGCTAGCGAGTGGAGGTGACCTTCCCAGGGACCAGGGGGGTTCTGCCGGTGGTCATAGGCCAAGCACTTGGGTATGGGCATGAGCATGGGCATGGACATGGGTGCTGAACAGCGTCCCCGGAGGCCCAGGCTAGCCCGAGGGAGGCTAACCCTGGTACATAAGCCTGCCAAGGGTGCCGAAGCCTCTTTGGTCTTGTGTCACTTCGATGCGATTAGATAACGGTTGCCTCGTTCACCATCGCATTAACCCTGCCCGGGCCTTGTCTGTCTTCCCATTGCTCGCAAGGTTACGATGCAAGTCCCAACTGTCCTCGTATTCCAGCTGACAAGGCTGCCCTGACCACCCCTAAGCCACCGTGTCCAACTCTCGCTCCTGTCCTGGGAAATGAGAGAGTGGCACTCTGAAACCGCGCAGCAAAGGACACGGGCCTTTGTCAACTACTCAACCTGGACGGTGAGGTTCCCTGGTATTCGACCCAACACCAATCATGGTTTCCAATACATTCCGCGGAAAGGGGGAATTTCCTTTTACAGACCCATGTACGAAGGACTTCGGCTCGATATGCCAGGTACACGCTCGCTCTTCTCAAAGACAAGTACTTACAGAAGGCAGAACATTCCTCCTCAGCGCCAATCCTGCCTCCGTACCTCTGCACATTATCTGCCCTGTTCCTTATAAAGCACTCCGAGAACATCCTCTCTCCAGTCACTAGGCAGGAGGAACGAAAAATTTACAATACTAAAGAGCTCGGAGCTTCTACGTGGACAATCTGGAAACACACAATATCAGGCCCCCAAGAGATTCGGCTAAGGAGTCCTGATCACCCAGTCCAATGAGCGTCAATCGGAGATTATGCGCATGAAAGACATTCTAGTGCCTCGCCTTGGACTGACTCGCTTATTGATGACCTGGTCTGACGCTGCCAATGAAGAAACATCTTGTGTCTTTGTACACACTAAGAGCTTGCCCTGGTATCCTTGTGTCGGGAGAGATCTGCGCCATGACACAAAAAGAGACCCAACCTCGCGCTGACCGGCCCCAGTATTTGTACTCTGGGTTGACGCGAATGCCGTAAAGTATGGGTATTCAACACAGTCTCAGTCGACTATCGGCTCAGGGCTAAAAAATTGCTAAGTGAGGCCACAAAGAAGAAGCAACCAACTACATCACCATCTTCCATCTTTGTGGAAGCAGCACATCACATCTGTGTTCTCTCCTGGCCATCCCCCATGGTCACTTTCCTTGGCAAATGCGTGGGCAAAGGCCCCCCTGTTGGTTCCGAAGCAGCGGCGTCATTCGGGGGATCATCCAATCAAGCGTGCCGGTCATCATCAGCATCCTGGTCGCGGCCAGCCACGCGGTGTCGATCGTGTTGCACATGGGGTCCATGGAGCCGTTTGATCATCACCAGTGACATCCTCGTGATTTCCCATGCAGCTCCCGAGTGGTGACCTTCCTGATACAGCCGGCTATCACCGTACAGGAATTCATTCCCTGTCTCTCTGTCCTCCCTCTCTCACCAGCTCCACCACGCGACGTGGTTTAAATCTGCGGTCATTTGCGGGGCACTCTGTCCTCACCCTGGGCGGACCACGGCTATAACGCGAGATGAAAAGGACACATGCCCTGTCGCCCGCCTTCTCACCGGCGGTTTGAGGTTTGCATTCGTCGTCCAACGATGTCTAGCGGAACAGATAATCGCCGTGCAACGTGGGAAAGCCACGCGAGACGTTCAAATTAGATCCGGACTGCACGCCTACTGCGGCTCCATACTATTATTATGACTCCATGCCTGCCTCGGTGCGCACCACATTGCCCCGAGTTCCAAAAGAGGAGGTGCTGAAAGAACGAATGTCGAATAATTTACGAGGCATGTTGTACAGAAGGACAAGGCCTGCAGGCTTTGTCAGCGCCTGTGCCCTGCCACCGCAACCCCCTTCTCCTTAGGCGACCTTTTGTTGGGCATGTAGCTGGTCTAGATTCAACAAAGACCTCCTATTATTTCCGCGGACTCGGCTGGTACCTTCAAAGGAGAAGCGCACTCGTCGCTGTGGTTCTGATAGAAGACACAGAGGCAATGAAGGGCTTCTGCGTCGGCAATCACTAGCCCCCTTCACTGTGCTGCAGTCGATGCCTCGAAGCAAGCGAAAAGTACGGTGAAAGCCGGAAACAAGCGAACGGTACGTACATAGATTGGTGGCCCCTTGGGCTTTTTTCCCATTGCCCTCATTTCTTATGAGGACCACGTGGCGACTAAGTCTCGTGGAACCTGGATGTCTTATGCTCGTACCGAGTACATTTTTTTTGCTTCAGACTTTCCCCAAAACCAATCTGATACAAGCTAACAAGCGCTATGCGGACGATCTTGGTTTCTTCCTAGGAATCCTTTGCCCCGGGAGACCGCGATCCCTGAACCATCGGGGCCTCGTGTACCGTTTGCGGCGGTTCGCAGACTTGGACACAGAAGTGCTGAATTGACTTCTTGATTTCGAGACGAAGCGATTAAAGTTGCCAGAACTTCTAGAATCCGTACCGACTCTGGACAAATAAAGACTGTTGCGTGAAGGAGAGCTCTAATTATGGTCAGATTGCAACCGAAGATCATCCCTCCTGGTCTCCGCTTCCGGCAAGAACGGATCTGAGATCAGGCCATGTGGGTTGTCCTTGTTATTCTCTTCCTCCTTCTGTCAAAAAATCCACCCCGGCGACTAGAAGCTGGTGTTGGCCGCCCCAGCCTAGTCTGAAAGCGCTCTTTTCTCATCTCTGTGATCGACAGTCAGGATCACTGACTCGACAGCAGTCAAGTGGGCGTGATTGACAGGTCTAAGCAAGACTAGGTAAGGACCGCAAGATCCCCAGAAACTGTTGCCCAGAAATTCGAAGTAGAGGCTCTTAGGCCAAGTTTAACAGCATACACTGTGAATCAAAACGATGAGCTAGGGTCGCCAGGTAGGGAGTTTCTACATGACATGTTCAACAGCGTGTCTCTACCTAACCAACAGAACCATTGAACATTGACTTGCGTGTTTTCGCCCCCTGTTACTCATTTTGCGAGTAGCACTCCATATCGAGTGGCATCCATCTCAAGCCTGTTGCTGGGGACAGCCGCCTCGGCAGCCGGATTGGGGGCCAGAGTAGTTCTGTGAAGGATCATCAAGACCCGACGAGGAATCCACACCAGAATAACTGACACTTTCTCGACTGTTATCTAACAAAGGTCGGCTGCCAGTTTGGGCATGGACGGTATTCCAAGCTTGCCTGAAACCAAACCTTCTAGAAGCGAGAATGTTCCGAGCTTTTTGGAGCTCCGACAAGCGCTGGCGTCAGGAGAAGCTGAAGATTTGTGGAACAACTAGTAAGCAGTGCTCTCCCGCTGCTAGAAGACTACTCGAGGACTGATTTTTCTGTCATGAGGTGCGTTTGTCCAAGGCCTTGCCGCATCTTGGGTCACGGCACGAATGTTTTTTAAGATCCTTCGGAGCAAGCGCTGGAAGCAAAACCCTTTGCAACATCGGCCTCAGATCATCATGGTCATCACTACTGCACCCTTTCTGCTTCGTGGATCCTTCTCATTTTCCAACCCCGGGCGCCGGTAGTTCGCTCCATGGTTTCGCTATCTCACAGCAGGGAGCCTGAATCCTTTTCAGCATCAAAAGCACACGGCTCCGGGTGCATGCGTTGACTGACAAACTACGTATTCGGCTACTCATGGCGCATTGCCTCGCGCGTGTCTGTACGCAGTAATTCGAGTGACAGGTCACAAATCCTGGCCAATTCCAATCATCGGGCGCTTCAAGCAGCTAGCCTCCTAAGCTATCCCACTGGATGCGCCGTCACTAGGCTAAGACGTGGTGGACAAGGCCTTTCAAGCCAGCCGGGATTCATTCCCCGCTAATATTTCCACGTGGCAGCCATCCCTGGAACGGTTGTTCTTCTGGTCCCACTTGCTGGGAGAAGAAGCTCCCCTGATCATCCTCGAAGTCAGCCTTCCAGCCTAGAAATCTGAGCACGCCATCCTCCTCTCCCCCCCCAACAGACGGGACTACTCTAATATCCACCTCTTAACCCGGTTCGAGGCCTTTTTGCATCCTCTTGGTTTGTTTGCACACTCCCGGTGTTCATTTGCTGCTAACCTCACTAAGGTTAATACCCGTGGGCGTCAGTGCAGGGCCTGAACTCACAGAGCCGCCTGTGCTCCCCTACAATTAAAGCTCTGATCTGCGAACAAGGCCGCGCAAATTGGATGCCAGTCATTGTCAAGAACCAGCACCATCCCTGCATTCACCACATGGCTCTTTTACGTCAAACAACTTGACATCTCTGCACAGACCACATAGGTGGTACTAGGGACTTACAAGCACTGAAACAAGGCGTTTCCGTGTGAGCATAGGCCTGTCACCCCGAATGCTCATTTCGATCACTTGCAGGCCCATTCCATCACCGGGTCCGATTCCTTCCAGGCTTACATGGCTAAAACGGTGCCCACTCCCATCGGCTGGCGATTAGCAAGCGTGCCTAGGCTTCAGAATCGTACCCTTGCGGTCTCACGAAATCCCCTCGTGCTCAATTCGGCTAGTGCAGTCATTGTGGCTCTCGAGGTCATATTAGAAGCCCGAAATCCCCGGGTCCCCGAAAACAACACCCTCAGAGCAAAGAGTCTGGCAGGAATAACCGTGAGACGGGAGGGAGTGACAACTCCATTGTGGACCTCTTCGCTTGAAAAATCCAGGACTTTCCCCTCAACCTTGACCAGCCCCGGTCTGGTTTGACGTACAGAGTTTCCTAGATGCATGCATCTGAAGCCGAGATGAAATTTCGCATCCTTTTGAGACTCCCAGGTATTGTCCGTGGCTGGCTGACTGTCGGCGCCGGCAGCCGCGCAAAAGATGACCCTCGTTGACGGAGGCTGGTCCGGCAATATCTTGGGTGATCGTACGAGACGTGATGCCTCCCACCAACTTGTCCAATGAGGGGAAGGGGTTCTTCATTTCCAGAGTTTGACGCACCGCAGAGTTCGCTCCGTTTCCTGCACGTTACAAGACGCATCCCGGGTAACTCGAGGACAACCAGACTTCTTCCCCATATGGGTGGTAACACTGGTAAGGGGAAATACGAAGAACGCATGCATTTTCACCGATGATCAACGGCGACGATCTGCGATTACCATCTAATAAGAGCATAACCCAGAACATAGCGTCTTACCGTTACGGAGTACGGCCAAGGCATGTCTGCGCAGCTCCAAACATGGCTGGGCGTGTGGCCTGAGTGATGACCATGCATGCCATTCCATCATAGAAGCCGCTCGTGGTGACAGCCTACGATGTTGATGATGGGGGCTTTGACATCACGCTCGCAAGAGAGGCAACAGGCTCGGCCCTTGCACCAACCCAACTGGTAACGGGACTATTGTTTTGGCCACTTGGCTTCCCTGATCGACTATCTTGCGGCGGGATCTTCATACGCTTGGACGAGAAGCCCCATGACTTGTCGTCTTCCATTGATCAACGTGAATTGGCCCTCCCATGTCGGATGGCGGATTGACTTTGTCTTCACATCGAGAGCGACGTTTGGCTAACGCGAAGAGGATCCTTGCATGATTGGCAGCTAACCTCCTCAGGGACTATGAATCCTGTTCTGGCACTCTCAAATGAGTCCAATGCCTGATTAGCATCCAGGAATATAGGAAATGTCAAGTCTCTGCTTTCCCACGGGCAGTCAAAAGCAACATGGTGTCAGTCTCGTGCGGGTTTTGCTGGAGCAGTCGACGAATGCCAGGCGCCTTGCCGTGTGGTTTTCCAAGGAGTCATATGCATGTCCCCTGACGAGAAGATCCTGACATGTTCCCGCTCCTTCCAGCTTGCTCGATTCCTTTTCTACTTTTCCATACATCGCACGCTCCTTTTCAACTCAAGCCAAAGGGAGAGAGCTGCGAAAACCAGCTTGACTTGTTGAGGCTGAGTGACTTGGCATGGGGGCGGTGCTGCTCACCCTCTCCCTCAGGCAAGCCGGAGATGTTTGCTATTCATTTCACAGCCGTTAGACTCGGGCAAATCTGTCGGCTCTATTGGCAGTGTGTTATGCAATGCCTCCGATCCGGACGCTGCGTCAACACACTGGTTGTCCGGACTGGATACGTGGCAGGGTATCTATTCCAACTGCTATCTCCCATCGGGTTTGTGAATGATGCTTACCAGAGGCCAAAGTAAAGAGAGTCATTTAGCAAACACACGCGGGCCGGACAGAATGTCAGCATTTTCTTACCTCATTTCCTATCAGTACAAACCATGTGGTAGGTGCCCTGCCTGCAAGACTACAGTGTTGGCACGTGACTTGGAGCATTCGTTTCCACTGCAGCGTAGCCGCATATGTGTCGATTATTTCAGGGTTGTAGGCCCATGAATTCACTATTGTGTATTCTGCATTGTTTGTCCTCCTCTCTCCCCAGTTTTCGAGCGAGTTTAGAGAGTGCGGAGGTGTTCGAGTGGCATTAATATTATTGAAGTGGCGGATGTTGTGGTGGTGAAAGTGGTTAATGACATAGTTGGCCGTTGCCCCGCAACGCACCTGTAAATATCGAGCATTGGTGTCTCTCCCACACACACACCAACTTGTTCATCCAGAGAGTCCATCTCTAACATCCATTTCGCGTTTCGTGAACAGAGCACTGTTGCTCGTCATTCTAGCATTGGGAGTTTCATGTATGGGGAATGCTTCTGCCATAACCGGACAAGTCGACGTTGATTGCGCCTGCCTCTCCAATCTCTTCCCAAGGTAATCGCTATGGCCCTCGAACTTGCCGAGAACGATAAGTACGAGGTCAAAGAGATCATTGGTACATTCCACTCACCCTACAGCCTTTACTTCCTCCCGCTGATGAGCCTAGGTCGTGGTGCATTCGGGATCATTCGCAAAGTTCGTCGAAAACAAGATGGCCATGTATGCTTCCTCCCATCAAGTGTCCCATTGTCCCATTGCTCCCAATTTCTGACGGTCCACAGATCCTGTGCCGCAAAGAGATCAACTATCTCAAGATGTCTCAAAAGGAACGCGACCAATTACATGCGGAATTCTCGATCCTCGCCTCCCTAAGCCACCCCAACATTGTCGGATACTTCCACCGTGAGCACCTCCGACAGACGCAAGAGCTGTACCTGTATATGGAATACTGTGGTGGTGGTGATCTGGGCTGTGTCATCAAGGAACTCAAGCGTAAGAATGAATACGCAAAGGAAGAATTTGTCTGGAGGATCTTCAGCCAGCTGGTCACAGCGCTGTACCGTTGTCATTACGGAGTCGACCCGCCCGAACCTGGAAGTGATTTTTCCAGACAGAACGACACCCGGCCCCTCAACAAAGGCAAAATGATTCTGCACCGAGACCTCAAGCCAGAGAATATCTTCCTGGGTGAAGACCAGTCTGTCAAGCTCGGTGACTTTGGACTTTCGAAGATTATGCAGTCGCATGATTTCGCCTCAACCTATGTCGGCACACCCTTTTATATGTCACCAGAGATCTGTGCGGCCGAGAAATACACTCTGTATTCAGATATATGGTCACTAGGATGCATCATGTACGAACTCTGCACCAAGGAGCCACCGTTCAATGCAAACTCCCACCTGCAACTCGTCCAACGTATCCGGAAGGGTGACTTCAAACCGATCCCAGCCATCTACTCGAAAGACCTCGCGAATGTCATCGCGAACTGCCTCAAGACAAATCCGATGCACCGACCAGACACCAGCTCGCTGTTGACTGTACCGTACGTGTGGCTCTCTCGGAGGCAGCAAGAGATGGTCACCATTGGAAAGACATTGAAGATGAGAGAGGAGATTGCAGACCACAAGGTCAGGCAAGCGGAAGAAAGACTCTCCGCCCTTGAAGCAGATCGAGCTGCGTTGAAGCTGGAGATTGATGCCCGGCTCCGTCGCGAGTGGGAGGTCAAAGCACGACTTGAAATTGACCGACAAGTTCAACTGGAACTGGAAAGACTCCGCAAGAAGTTTGACAGGGAGGTCGACGACCGTGTGGCACAAGTCATGGTTAAGCAAAAATACTTGACGGAAACCCGAGCACTGAGAGAAGTCCAAAACCCCCCTGGGAGAGCTTTCGACAAAGAGAACATAAATCCTTCCTCATCAGTCAACACGGCTGGTGAGGAAGATTTCCCGTCAACCACAGATATCACCGACCTGTCGGATCTTTCAATTAGCTCGCCAACCACGTCGAATAACAAGTTAATGCCAAAGAAAACGAAAACCCCTTTTACTCGGTCCAAAACGACCTTCGACTCTCCTGTCGATATCCAGATGTCAGAACCATCACCCATGTCCATCTCTTCTTTGGCGCTCTCTCCCCGTCGAAACGCCGCAGCGCAGGCAACCGCCAACACGACCGTCACTGCCGTCGGCGCCAAAAACCTCTTTGCTGAAGCCGCACGCCAAAAGGCTCGCTGGGAGCCACAGTTGGCCTATTCATCAGACGAAGAGAATATTGAACCCGCAGACGACTCGGATGACGATGGGTTCCCTGAATTGGCGAGTCCCACGAGATCGAAGGGGGTCATTGCCAACACTGATCCGTTCAAGAACCCGGCACCCCTGCCGTTGAAGAACAGACCAGCCCTCTTGAGACAGAATACGACGGCCACCATGCAGAAGTTAATCGCGAAGCCAACTCTATTCCCATCCAGCAACACGGCAACACAAGTGAGGGCTGGGATTGCTTCGGGAAACAATACTAATGCCACCAAGGGGATCCCACGAAATGCCACAGAGGGCGATTTGCGAACCGTGGCAGCGAAGCCTACAAGCCCTAATCGACGTCTCAGCAAGATCCCCAGCCGAAACGACCTCAGGGAGCATGCTATTTCTGAGGAAGGAAGCACTAGTCCGCTCAGACGAGCAGCAACAACGGCTGGCCGGCTTCCTAGTAAGCTTGGGGGCGGCCGAGACGCTGTCATTGGCACCGGCATCGGAGGCCGAACTCTGGTGGAACTTGCCCAGGCTCGAGCTGGAGGCCACCTGAATCCAAAGGCGAGGTCCATTCCGGAACAGAGAAGTGAGAAAGACCTACCTCCCGTTCCAGTCTGGGATCCTGAGATCTTTGGAGACGAGATGCCGAGTCCTTTCCTGAAGAAAGATGTCAAATCCGTGCGGCTTATACGGTGATTATACGAACCCTTGCGTGGATATCATGCATGGAGGAAGGAGTTACGACGATCATGCGAAAACGTAGAGAGTGGATCTGACAGTATATGTTCAGGCATGGATGGCATCTGATATATCAATGTTTGGGATTTGGCCTTCCCAACGTATCCAGAATCTCTAAACCGACGACGAGAAACGGCAGTGCAGCTCCCCGACTGTTGCCCCCCAAGATGGGTTGACTGGGCCCCTTACAGATCTCCAGCTTTGTTTCTTTTGTTTTAGAACCGTTGATGAACGTCCGACCGATGATTGAGTTGGACAAGCGTGCGCATGACTGTCACTCTGGATACAACGACGGCGATTTGGCGTCGGGAATTCCTTCACGGATGCGGTCAAGGGTACTTTTGATGGATGAGGGAGTTGGATTGATCAGTTTGATAAAATGAGGTTCAGTTGCTCCGTCTCTCTTTGCACGCGGCTTGGAGTCAGGCATCTCTTTTGATCAGACATTGCCCTGTATATACCCGAGTATGTGTGTATGTGGTCTCCCCAGTCCACACCAATGCAAGGCTCTCCATGCAGTTGTTAGCAACGGCTTTTTGTATGCAGCTTCGATGGTGTCAAGCGACTTCCTCCCAGAAGACGATGGCAGACGAGACATTGCTGCCAGGCCCAGTCCAGGACTAATTGATATCCCCCAACCCTTGTCTCTTACGCATCCTCATCCTCCACTTCTTCGAGCTCCACGTTCCTTCGTGGTGGTGTGTGCTGTGACTCCTGGGCCTCTCTGGGATGTCCGCCTTCCCCTTTGTCTTCTGCGTCCTCCGCTTGGTCCTGCATTTCCACCTCGCGCAGAAAGCGCTCTTCCTCCTCGGCGAGCCTCCTTGCCTTCTCGTCCTCGTCTACATCACCAGCGGTCTGTGGTCCGGCGTCGTTCGTCTTGCCTCGATAATAACCCTCCGCTTCGAGTCGATCCAGCTCCTCGGGCTCCAGCAGGCGCCCCGTGGGGCCACCTTTCGCGGCTTCCTGTTTCTTGCGGACCACGTCCGGGACGAATCTGCTGACAGCCTCTTTGCGGAGATCACGAATCTGCGGGGCACTTTCGTACGTGGTTTTCACTTCTATGGGCTTCGTTCCTGGTTTGATGGGGAGTTGTGTGCTCGGGACCGTCGGCTGTGAAGCATTCTCACCGTCTTCCCGGCGCGGGAAGTAGCGCCTGAACTCCCGGGGAATCGGTGGCGGTGTATCTTCTGGCATCGGTATTCGGCGGACAGATTCATCGGTGTCACTACCAGATGACTCTTGTCTCGAGTGTTGGTATTTGCGCTCGCCATCATACCTTCTCTTCCTAATGTCGTCCCGCTGCGCTCTCCATCATGTCGGCGTGTTTGCCCGGCAAAGGCTGGAGCCTTGTCGCCTAAAGCTTCTCGTGCCTTTCTGACAGCACGCAGATCTCGTTCCAGGTCTTCTAGGATGGCCCGCTCTCTGGGTTTGAGGTCCCCCGCTGCCTCGAGAGCCTTGAGGTCATCGATCTGGCGTTGGATGCGCTCGGGGTTTCGGCGGGCCAGTTTTTCATTGCGGCGCGCTTGTAACTCGGCCCGACTCTTTTTCAGCTGTTTCGCCTTTTCGAGCTTGCGTTGCTGTTGCGCAGGATTGACAGATCGTTCCTTGTCTTTCGCCATTGTGTTTTGAGGGGGGCTAGTATTTGAAAATCCACAGGGATAAATCGGTACGGGGGAATTTGGGTTGAAGGTATTGACTAAAAGTCTTGACCTGCAACCACGACGTCAGATGTCCAAAACGATCGGCCGGTGCCGCAGGCGCGTGCAGTAGCACAACTCATGCAGCTGGGGGGAGGGCGCTCGGGCGGGTTTGACTAAAGATGGAGCTGCCAGATTTGATTGATTGCAGTTCACCTTCTCGGGGGTTGCTTGGTGTCACGTCTGCATCCATGAAACATTGGGTCTCACCGGTCAGAAGCAGACGAACCCAAGAGGCAGGATCCAGGAGGGCTCCAAGAGGGATGCAAAAACGATGGGTGGATTGCAGTAGTGCTGCAGTGGGCAGATGCAGCTACCTCTTGGGAAGCGTTGACTCCTGCATGAACGGCTAGGCCTGCCCTCGTGAACCGATTCAGAGCATGGTAATTGGAGCTTGCTCTGAGTTGTCACAAGGATGGTCGCACAGGTTGGTGGTGGTTATGCTGGTTGTTGACCGTGTGAGCCGACGCCCTGCATATAAGGTGGTCAATGCGGGTGGATGGTGGCCCATGCGGATCAAGTGTGATTGAAAGAAGATGAGGCACTGAGGGCTGGTAGAGAGAAATGGTAGAGAAGACGTTTTGTTTCAAACGGTTGAGCAGGCGGCGGCATTTGGGGGGGAGGGATGGTGGCTCACTAGGTACACCTGCTACAGTGCCACACAGTACCGACTGTATCTCTGGAGGTGCTACTCCTACTACTCCTACCACTACTCCTACCACTACTCCTACCACTACTACTACTATCCTCCTCCCGCTCTCCTTCGTCTCTCGGATTGCTCAAATCAAGATCCAACAGCCAGGCACCCCCCCATGTCGGTTGTCCCTTTTCCCTTGCTGCTACTCGCTCTCCTCCCATCCATGCCCCACGAAAATGATCCTCCTCTACCAAACTAACAAAACACCACGGCTCCAGAACCAATCGAACACCCTCTCTGGCCATCCCGCGTTGGTGTCAATGTCGGTCACCTGCTTGTCCCCACGATCACCCTTTGTCCTTGTTGTTCTTTAGCCAGGCACTAGGCTGCTGAGGCCCCATCGAAGGGAAGTACCTACTGACCTAACAACAGACCTAACCAGACCTAACAGTGCTTCGATAGCCGCGCTCCTCTTTTCTCTTTCGCTTTTCTCAGCTCAGCAGCTTCATTTGTTTTTTTTTTGGTTGCGTTTCTCCTTTACCCTGCGTCGGTCTGCTCCTTGCTTGTCATCGTTGCAGGCGATGAAACAATACTCCTCCTCAACCGTCTCGTCCGTCGCCATCCCCGCTCCCGTTGCCGTTTCCGCGCCTAGTCTCGTCTCCTGGTTCTAGTCTGTTGCTCTTCCGAGCACGCTTTTCATCATCTTGCTCACTCTGCCGACCGTTGTCCTACCCCTCTTGGCACGAGCTGAACCGAGCCGCCCGCTCACCGTTAAACAGGGTACTCTCCACCATCAGCCGCCAGGATCCTGGGAGGGGTGAAGAGAGGAGACCATAAAAGACGACGAAGAAGAAGGAGGAGCAGCAGCAGCAGCAGCAGCAGCAAAATAAAATAAAATAAAATACGCCAGTCCGTCGGGTTGAGACAGAGAGAGAGAGAGAGGAGAGAGATTGCGAGCGCTTCGCCAAACTTGAGGCTCTGCAGTCGCTAGCCACGCGCCCATCGATACGTCAAAGCTACAATGACCAGGCTCACCCCGACTGCCATATCTCGCAGCTCGTTCGCTGTCTGGTGTCTCTTGCACCACTCTTGACGGCTTCTCGCAAACCTATCAGCTTCCAGAACTGCTATGTGCCGTTTGGCCACCACGGGTACCTGTCGAAGCTCATCTGCCTCAACGCTTAGATTGGTCACTTGCACTGTTGTCTTTGCTGCCCGCCCGGGACGTCCATGTCCGCGACTCAGTCAGTCGCCGACTCCGTTCTGGGTTTAACTCAATCCGAGTTGTTTCTCCTCCGACAACAGCAACAAATCCTGGCCCAGCGCAGTCACCAAGGTGGCGGCATGCCCGACCGTGGCCGTGGCACTAGCAGGCAGTCGCAGCCTAGCTCCCGCGCTGTCAGTGCCGCCAGCAGCCAGAGTGTCCCCGGGCGGATTATGCTGGATCCTCATAGTCTGCAGGCTTTGTATGGGCACCTGGAGAATGTCATGAGGAGTATCCAGCGACGAATCGGTGAGGTATGCTTTTCCCGGCCTGAATGTGACCTGAGTTCTTCGTCGTGAGACTGACTCTCCTACAGCTCGAAGACGCCACCGAACAGTCGGTCAGGAACTCCAGCAGCCGAGCTGGAGGCGTCGTGCAAAATGCGGACAACGAGATCGCCAGGATGCGGCGCATCATGGCCGAGATCGACAAGCTCGAGGAAGAATTTGAGAAGATCAAGCGGATTCGGGACAAGATCAAGAGCATCCGAAACAACGTGGATGAGCTGAGTGACAGGCTCGACCGCAGTCGTCCAAGCGGCCACAGTTCTGGCGGAGCACGAACTCGGCGCTGATGTGCAATTGGTCTCTCGGGACGTTGAGCGATCCTGAACTTTACAACCAACTATAATTCTACGAAGACCTGGGACGCGGGGGGAACCAAACTCTCTCGACCACATCTCACAGCAGGGAAAGAGTCCAATTCCTCCCGGACGCCCTCGTCCCGGGCGTCTCTACTTTGTTTTACCACCTTTTCGACGACGGCGAATGCAAAGATGGAAGCCTCACGGCAGGTCATTAGTTAACGAGGTCATGCTTGATGAATGTACGAGTATTGAGTGGGACTTTTCGCTGTGCTGGTTTGCATGAACATGGAAACTTCGACCTTTTGGCGTTGGAAGGCATATAATGACGAGCTCCTCAATCTCATGCGCCCTGGAATGGGGTTACATCCGATAGAGATGTCGTGGCTCAGGCCGCAAAACAGACACGGTTGGGCATGGGGCAACTTTTGGAAACGACGGGATGCTGGTTGATGGGGAATCAATGAAAATGTTTATTGTTGGGCTAGCCCTTTGCAACAGGTTTGGAATCTTGCTGCCTTGTCTGATCCGACTTCTTTCGACAAGGAAACCGTTTGATAGTCCCGCATTTGTCGCAACGAATCTCGTACACATCGGCCCATGGTTTCCTGCCTCCTTTGCTTGGGTTGACGATCTGTTCGGTCATGGTTTCTCCGGGGATCAAGAGTGCGTCGCAGCGTTTGCAGATTGAATGCTTCACTCGTGGTCCCAGCCGGATCTGTGACTTTCGCGAGACACCCCGGAGGTGCGTCAGCAGTCGAGTCGTCTCGATAGCACTGTGGGTGGTCACATCCTCGTTCGCCACAGACACTGCATCTCCGGCAGACCCGGTCGCTTTCTGTTGGTCATTAAGGGTGCCGACTGTCGCTAAATACGTGGCAGCCTGGTGGAGGTAAGATAGTCTGGAGTGAAGGTGTTTGTGTGGCACTTGGGCTTCCCTCTTGGAGGGCTTTGATTTGCCCATGCCGGGAGTTCGTAAAGGTACTTCAAGCATGCATGATCTCGGTGCCTCATCCTCAACGAGACTCGGTGATTCTGAGTCACGTACGGAGTAGGGAGAGTGGTGTCACCAGAATGGCTCCCTTACCGAGTACGCGGACCTTTTTTTTGGCGGCGAAGAAAGGGATGAAGTCCATGACTAAGCAGCGTGGTCTTGGCGGCACGGTTGCCTCGCCTTGGCTCCTTCCGCTGCAGAAAACAACCTGGAACATTCCCGGCGCAGGCATCATCTCTCTTCCTTTCATCTGTTTCTTCTTCATCCATCTTTTCTCTCTGTCTCCATCAAACTCTCAAACTCCCGTCGCATCTCTCGCAGACCTTGGCTGGTTCTGCTCCCTCACCACCTCTCTGCTCTTGCTTCGCGGGTTATTTGAATCGACCTTTTCTTTCACCCTAGCCTCTGACAGCCACATAGCCTCAGCCACTAATCCTACCATCCGCCATGTCTGCTGAAGAGGATCTCATCGACTACTCGGACGAGGAACTTCAAGCGCCTGAGGCTCCCGCGGCCGGCGCGACCAACGGTGCCGCAAAGAAGGGCGATCTGACTGTCAGCGGCGGCAAAACAACCGACAAGGGCAAAGGCAGTTACGTCGGCATCCACTCGACGGGCTTCAGAGATTTCCTGCTCAAGGGCGAGCTGCTGCGAGCAATCACCGACTGCGGTTTCGAACATCCTTCGGAGGGTTAGTCATCCATCATCCTGCCATATTCTTGCAAGCAAAATATCCACCCTCCAAAGTTCTTCCTGCTCCGAGCGCATCCGTCCATCTCCAAGAAAAGAAAAAGACAAGAAAAAGGAAGAGAAGAATGAAAAGAATGAAAAGAAAAGGATGAAAAGAAAATGCAACTCCAAAGGTTCTCCAACGGATTCGAAAGTCTCCGGTCGGCGGCTCTACGGTCGAAGACAGGCAGGCGATAAAATGCCATAGCCTCGCGTCGACTGCTTCGATGGACTGTCCTAGAAGGCTGCAGTTTGCAATCCAAGAAGTGAGAGCATGCCTTCTTCTCTGGAGGTGGCACTTTTGCTCCATGTTCACACCGGCATGCTGAAAATGCTGCCAATGGTGACACTTTTCGCATATCCGGCTGACGTCCCACTCGCGCTGTGACATTCGCGGGAAATGGTGTCCTGGATATGCACTGCTGGCGTTCGGTAACAGAACCAGTCACGAGGTGGGATAAACAAGAATGCGACTCGTTCCTTCAGGGGGCAATATCAGGGAGATGGACGGATCGGCCTGCGATGCTCTTTTGTCGTCTTCGCACATTCTTTACCAAAACCAAGTCTAACATCAACGATTTCCCGCAGTCCAACAAAAATGTATCCCACAGGCTCTACTCAGCGTCGACATCTTGTGTCAAGCCAAGTCTGGTCTTGGTAAGACTGCGGTCTTCGTCTTGACCACCTTGCACCAACTGGAACCTGTTCCCGGCGAATGTTCTGTGCTGGTCATGTGTCATACACGTGAACTTGCCTACCAGATCAAGAATGAATACGCAAGATTCAGCAAATACCTTCCAGACGTGAAGACGGCCGTCTTTTACGGTGGTACACCCATTCAGAAGGACATTGATCTCCTCAAGAATAAGGAATCCTTCCCCAACATCATTGTCGGGACCCCGGGCCGTCTCAACGCCCTTGTCCGTGACAAGATCTTGTCATTGCGCAATGTCAAAGCGTTCGTTCTCGACGAGTGTGACAAGATGCTGGACCAAATCGGTATGCTTCAGGACTCCAACTTCTCCATTCAGACCACCTTCTGACAGCTATTTCAGACATGCGCCGCGACGTCCAAGAGATTTTCCGAGCAACCCCAACCGAGAAACAAGTCATGATGTTTAGTGCCACATTACCCCAGGACATTCGCCCCATCTGCCGCAAATTCATGAGAAACCCTCTCGAGGTTTTTGTTGACGACGAGACCAAGCTCACCCTCCACGGTCTTCAACAATACTCTATCAAGCTCAGCGAGGGCGAGAAGAATCGAAAGCTCAATGACCTGCTCGACAGCCTCGAATTCAACCAGGTCATCATCTTCGTCAAGAGCACTCTCCGTGCCACCGAACTTGACAAGCTGCTCCGGGAGTGTAACTTTCCGAGTATTGCGGTGCATTCTGGTGTCAGCCAAGAGGAGCGGTAAGTCCAGACACCCTTTTGATATGTCAGTTCTGTGCTAATCGTTTTCCACAGTATCAAACGATACAAGGAGTTCAAGGAATTCAACAAGCGAATCTGTGTTGCGACCGACGTGTTCGGTCGAGGCATTGATATTGAACGAATCAACTTGGCCATCAACTACGACTTGCCCGCCGATGCCGATTCTTACTTGCATCGCGTTGGTCGTGCCGGCCGTTTTGGTACGAAGGGGTTGAGCATCAGTTTTGTCAGCAGCGAGCAAGATGAGGCTGTGCTCAAGGAGATTGAGAAGCGGTTTGACGCCCAAGTGCCTCCCTACCCTGAGGGTGGTGTTGATTCGAGCACCTACATGGCTTCCTAGACGTGGCGTTCCACAAGGTGATGAACAACTGGCCAGGGGAGGTTCAGTTTCAAGACGGTGTGCGTGAGGTGGCAACCCAGTTTCCGCTTTTCTGCTCAGCAGAAGAGAATCATGTATGTGTATCGTGATGTCTTGCTGGAATACCGGTGGTTAAGGAAAATTGAGACAGTGGACAAATTGCCAATCTGATTAATCCGCATAGGTACGACAAAGAGAGCTTTCCATAGCTAGGTCTTGCCCTGAACTTTTCCAAAAAGAAAATCGTTTGATACACCGGTGCCATTCCGTGATTATTCTGTCGTCGTTCTCTATGGCATTGGTCATATATCTTCTATCTTTATATGCACTCACGTCGACCCCCGGCCCATGACCAATCCAAGAGGGTTCGCCAAAGGGAACGATTACTACATAAATCTCCGGACGAGAACCAGATGTACCAGAGTTGAGCCCATTCACGGGTTCTATGTAGACCCTGCCTCTCGGGCGCTAGTTACCCAAGCGAGTTTGATGAATAAAGACAGAAAGCGGTATACATGTAAGAGGATAGGCCACACTCGGTCTATGATTCTATTTTAATTCTATTCTATACTTACGGATACTGTCGCTTCGGACAGCAGAAGACAGCTAGCTACCGCTCTTGGTTCGTCGGTTTGCTCTGCGTTGATTTGCTCTGCGTTGATTTGCTCTGCGTTGATTTGCTTTGCTTTGCTTTGCTTGATTGCAGGTGGGCTTGTGAGCTGGATGGACTTGACCGTCTAGGCGTCCAGCTTCAACCGGTCGAGCAGACGGTCGATCTTGCCCAGCAGGATCTGGTAGTTGACAGCGTCGGCGGCGAACTCGTCGCCCGCGAGCTCGCCGTCGAGCGTGCGCACCGCGCCGGACTGGAGCAGCGCCTCGACGGAGTTGGGGTCGGCCGTGGGCGGCGACATGTCCACACCTTCGTCGTCGTCGGCGGGGAACTGCTGTAATGAGCCCTTCTGCGAGCCCCACTGCGGCACCGGCAGTGTGGGGGCAGCAGCAGCTGCTGTTGTCGTTGCCTCCTGCTCGGTATGCCCATGCGCTGCTTGACCTTGGGCGAGCGTCTCGGCCATGATGGCCTGCTCCTCGTCCATGACATCCTCGAGCCCGGAGTCCTCGAAGCGCAAGCGGAACCGCTCGCTCAGGTAGTACCGGATATCGTCCAGCAGCTCGATCGAGTCGGTCTCCTGCCGGGCGCTGATCCGACTCGCCGACTCCTTGACCAGCTCGGCAAAGTCCGGGTCGTCGATGTACGACTCGAGCCGGTAGGCGATGTAGCGCGCGGCGAATTCCTCGAGACGCTGCACGCGCGTGAGCCAGGCGGCGCGCAGGATTTCATAGATATCCAGCTCCTCCTCTTCTCCCCGGTGGTGGTGGTGGTGGTGGCCATTTGTGCCGCCACTCTCCTCGGTCGTGATCTCAGCAGGAGAGATGATGGCGTTCGGCATCGCCATGGCGTTTCCGCTGCCGAGCGACGAGATCACCAGGGCGGCTTTCGCCTTCACTTTCTCCAGGAACAGCATGTCCGCGGCAAAGAGGACGTCGACGGCGATGTCCAGCCCGAAGTCCGCCCTCTCGGCGTACAGAAACGTCAGGATGATTTCCAGCACCTCCGGGCTGCAGTCGATGGGCACGATCTGAAGGTGCGGCGTGTCCTGGGCTTCGCGGAACGAGGACTCGAACATGGTCATGAAGTACTCTGAGCGGATGAGCATGGCTTTGTGGCACGGGTAGATCTTTGATTTGCGTGGTCTCCGCGAGCGCGAGGGAGAACGCGAGGGGTTGGACCGTTGGTCGACGGGGATGCCCAGCGCGTTCGTGGCAGATCGAGATGGCTGTTGGGGTGGTCGCTGGCCAGGAGCAGGAGCAGTCTCCTCTTCCGCTTCGTCCTCGTCGGCGCGGAGAAGGACGTCTGCAAAAATGCCATTTTCACGATCCCATTTGACGTCGTCGGCCCGTGAAGTCTCGACCTCGATGACGTGCTTCAAGACGTTCTCGCGGAACCAGTGCTCCAACTGGTCGCGGCCCCTTTGGACTTCATCCTGGCGCCGCTGCCGGGCTAAGCGACGGTCATTGCTGTCGAGGATTAACTGTGAAAGGTTGTGGACCTCTAAGTGTTTGCTTATTCGGTCGACACCGGCCAGGATCTCGGAATCGGTAAAACCGGTCCCTGGGCCCCCGCCGAGATCTCTGGGCACTTCCCCGAGATACAGATGCTTTAGGGCAATGGCAAAGGACTGTGGAGGGATCGTGGGGGCCGGTTTCCAGAGTTTGGTGTCTGGAGACTGGGTGAGTTTGCTCTGAAAGTAAGGGGACCGGGCAGAGAGGATAAATTTATGCAGACGGAATGACTCGCTAGGGGTGACGACGGTAATGTCATGAGTCCTGGGGTGGTCCCTGCTCAGCAACGAGACCAGATGCGACGCTAACGGCTGCAAAGGATCGGTCGACTTGGAATAGTCGTATTGTAACAAGAGATTTCGTATCCGGTCGTTCAAAGCATTATATAGACATCTGGCGGCGGGTGTGTCAGTCGAAGGCTCCCGGCAGTGCCCAATGGATATCGGAATCCGCACCTTTCGCCCTGAAATGTATCTCGTTCGCATAATGCGCCCGATTCTAACAAAAGCTGTACAACTTCGTAATGTCCACACAGGCTGGCCTTGTCGCAGTGTCAGTGGACTGGTGTACCCAACCCAACAGTGGCAAATCCCCATCGTGGATAACATCAAGTAGATGAGAGACCTACCAGGATCAAAGGGGTGTAGTCATACTGATCCTTTGCATTGATGTTTGCGCCCTCCTGGATCATCTCCTGGCACAGCTTGAGGTCGCCCCTCCTGCAGGCGTCGCATAGTCTCTGGAAATTGATGCTGAAATCGAGGGGGTTATCTTCCTTGAGGATGCCCTCCTCGATCAACCTCTTCTCGTCGTGGAGACTGAGCTCGAGTTGGTCTTTGCGCAGAAGTCCATTGGCACTCATGGTCTTGGGTCAGGAGGAGTGACAGAAATGTGGCGAATGGATCGAGAGGGAGGGAAAAATGGCAGATGTCGAGGGAGAAACCAGCGGGCGCCGTCTTCCGTCATATCAAATAATTTATATCGCCGGCATGTTGTCGGCGTTAAGATCGATTAGATAAGATCGTGACCTATCACGTGATACCAGTAACTCACGTGACACACACAACTGCGCAGCCCATGAATTTTATGCAAGGCTCTGGCTCTGTGTGGCCCAAAATTTCCCGCCGCCCATCACCACCATCACAGACAGACAAAGAGAGACACCCAAGTCTTTCCCAAGGGCCAGACCACTTTCCACACCGGCCGGCCAAAGACTGAGAGGTCAGGCTTCTCCTATCCTGAGATCACTTCAGCAGCCGACTCTTCGTCTTGCCCAGCATGGCTGAACAGGATGCGTTCCTACACCTCACCCGCCCTCTGGGCCCTGTCGCAGTTGGCGCACAACCCACAACAGCCCCCCTGCGCGTCGTGATACAACCGCAAGTAAGTCCAGCACGAAACAACTACGATACCGGCATTTGACTGACCTTACTCCTCCAGGCCCTCTTCTCGATACTAGACCACTGCATCCGTCGCCCCCCAGACCAGCAGAGAGTCATTGGCACCTTGCTCGGCACCCGCTCCGACGCCGATGAATCTCAGATCGTCGTCCACTCCTCTTTCGCCGTCAGCCACACCGAAACCACCGACCAGGTCGAAGTGGACATGGAATACCAAAAGGCCATGTTGGCCCTGCACCTCCGTGCGAGTCCCAAGGAGGTCTTGGTGGGGTGGTACGCCACCAGCTCCGAGTTGAACACCTTTTCGGCTTTGATTCAGAACCACTACAGCAGCCAGGGCGAAGGCACGTTCCCATACCCGGCGGTGCACATCACCGTGTCGTGCCAGCCCGGCCAGGACATCGAAGTGAGGACGTACATTTCGTCGCCCGTGGGCGTGAGCCCCGAGCGCGCGGCCGATTCCGCGGCGTTCATTCCCATCCCTTACACCGTCAACTACGGCGAGGCCGACCGCGCGGGTCTGGAGGCGATCGGGTACGCCAAGGAGTCGGAGAGCAGGACGGCGACGATCCTCACGGAGATCGAGAGCCTCGAAAAGTCGCTGGAAGACACGCTGGGCATGCTGGACCGGGTGGCCAAGTACGTGGAGAACGTGATCGAGGAAGAGACCGAACCCTCAACTGCGCTGGGCCAGTTCCTCCTCAACACGCTGGCCCTGGCGCCCAAGGTCGACCCCGCCGAGATCGAGAAGGATTTCAATAACCACGTTCAAGACGTCTTGACCGTGTCCTACCTGGCCAACATGATCCGTACGCAGATGGACCTGTCGAACAGGCTGGCGACGTCAGCATTGACCATGGGTGGCGGTGAGAGTGGTTCTACGGAAAAGGAGGGTCGGGGTGATCGCAGACAAAATCGACAAGGTGGACAGAGGCAGAACAGGACAGAGAGTTTTTCTGTGGCGAACGTTTGAAATTGAAAAAGGTTATGGAATGAAGGACAGCCTGTCTGAGACTGGCTGCTATGCATGAATAACTGCTCTGTGGCGCGAGGCTCTAGCCGTCCCAAAGGATGCCACAAGAAAAAAAGGCCTTGCGTGATGATTGCATGAGAGCAATTCAGATCGGCTCGAGGCGACGTACGCGCATACTGTCTCTGATATGGAAATGACTTCCAAAGTCATCCTGGTGGACAGGTTCGGCCAAGGTCTCCCATATGTGATGGCCGCCCAGACCGCAGAGACCTGGGCAGATAGACAACCCGACTCCGTTTGGGGAGTTTTCACGAATGACATGGTGTTATGGTTCGTACTTCCAAGGGTTCTCCCCCACGACGGTGCCACGGCACTGTCAATGAGGCGGTGCTGGATGTATACTCGCCGCCGTTCAGCCCTGAATAGTCTTCGGTACCTCTCGTTGCTCCTAGACTGTGGATGCTGTTCCGTAGGATGATGTGCCCCAAATAAAGAGTCGTAAACGCCAACTCTTTGCAATCGGTGTCTTGTTCATCCAAGGTCACTTTTGGCCCTCTTGCTGGCCCTCTCCTCACCACTCTCGTCCGCGCCCGGCGTCCGCTCCTTGGAGTTCACCCCTCCATTGACCATTTCCGTGTCCACGTCCCCGATGTCCCTCTTCTTCTTCCTCCCCCTGCCTCGGCCCTTCCCTTTCGACGTGCCTTCCTCGCCGACCACCTCGCCCAGATTGACCAGGTCGTCCACCGCCAGCTTCTGGCCTTCCTTGCCCTCGGTCGTGTCGAACAGTCTCTTCTTGTTGTCGATCTCCCGCTTCTTCTTGAACATCTCCTGCACGCGGCCTAGCTTGATGTTGTCCTTCCGGATCGCGAATTCAAAGTCGGAGAGCTTCAGTTTGGCGCGCCCGGAGTAGACCGACACCCCGACGGCGTTGTGGCACGTCTCGATGATGAAGTCCGTCAAGATCTCGTCGAGCACGCGTAGTGTTTCAGGGAAGGGCTGCGTGAACGGTGTGGGTGTGTGGCTGGTGTTGGGTGTGTTGTTGGACGACAGGTATTGCCGTGACGAGGCGCCGAGGGGCTTCGCGATGTCGGGGTGCGTAGGTGCGCCATATGCGTACAGAAGGGCCGAGAGCTCTGGGCCAAAGTTGAGGTTGACTTTGTGCCGGCCGGCACGGGCGCGAGGTTCCATGACTGCGAAGCGAGGGGAGGACGGGGTGATTTCGACTTATTTGAGTCGGTTCGCCTAGAAGACAAATGGCATTCGGAATCGGTGGAAAGATATCATGACCAGGTCAGACAGCGAGGGTAACTCCAGACCAGCAGTGAGCAGCGGGGACGACAGGCAATAGAAGGAGTGGCTGGGGGTAGGATTGAAGGCATGAAGCACACTCACTCGTATGGAAGAAGAAGAACGTAACAATACGAGATAAATGGAAGTCCTCGTCCCGTACAGGGGAGGCTGATGCGTCCACGTGACCGATCTTCTTACGGTTAGCGCCTCCGTCTTCGTCGAAACCACCTTTCAACATCTTGTTGAGCAGCAGGTTGAGTCCTTCTTGCATTCCACAACGACAGTTTCCAGGGAACCGAACCGAAGCAGACGGATTCCGCAACGCTTTCACCGTCCGATGCGTGCTGATTTGACGCTTTTCGGCTTCGTCTCAGTTGCAGAAGAAGAATTGGTGTCTTCACAATGGTACGTGCTCTCCTCACCCCCAATACCGATATTCCTGAAGACGAAAAGAGAGAAAACCCCTGGGCGGGGAATGGAGGCTAAAGGGGACGGGGAGGAAGTTTCTACCCAAGAACCATCAAAAAGAAAGAAAGAAAGAAAATGCACAAACAAATGGTGTCTCAACCAACTCTTTCTAACCCTGTGCTCCTCTGCCGGCCATATATAGACAGCCATATTCAACTTCCAGTCCCTCCTCCTCGTCATCCTTCTCATCATCTGCACCTCGACCTATGTGCACTCCATGGCCCCCGGCGTCATGGACCGGAATAAAGACGGGTAAGCAGGAAACTCCCGGCCCTCATTCCGACGACGGCGACCCGGTGTCACCTAGCCAGTGGCTGATTTGTCGGCGTCCGGCCATGGAATCTATTTAGTGTGATGGGCATATTCTGGAAGTGCGCCCGGATAGGCGAACGTCTCAGTCCGTACGTGAGCATCTTTTGCATAGCCATGGCGGTAAGTGTGTGTGTTCTGCGCAGTGTCTATTGGCTTGACCATGGACCGGAATCCCCGTTGCATTGTGAACTGACAACCACCGACGATAGTGCTCGATAATGATGGGCAACTGAACGCGATGATCCCCTACGCTGAATACACGACAGATGCACGGCGTTAGGAGTTATGCCACGAGCAGACACGAACTGGAATTCGAAAGCCTGGGTTCTGGGGCAGGGGTCTACTGGGAAATTGTATCAATTGAGACGGCTGTGGTGTACAGTTTTTTGCCGGTGGCCAGGGTTTCCTTTTGGCTTATACAATGTGTTTTGAGCGTGCCATGCTCCGCGCTGGACGTCCGAAGCACACCACACCCCTGCCAGTAGCACGTCACCTCCGTTTCCAAAGCAATATCCCTTTCCAAAAAACAAAAGCAGACACACGCCTCGAGGATCATCCAACAAGCATTGCATGTAGCGGGGGTATTATAAAGCCAATCTCCTGCATCCCATCCCATGGCCATCTCGGCCCCCTGCTCAAGGCGAAAACAGGCATGAGAGGCCTTTTGTCCCAAATATATCCGAAAATGTTCTGTTGTTCCATCTCCTGTCGCCAAATAGCCTTCACTTGTCACTCCGCAAGCGCCACGCAATTCCCAGCTCGTCGACAACAAAAGAAACTCGCAAGGCTTAGGGACAAAGGTCTCTGTTTCAGCTCGTGTCTCGTGTGGTGTTAGACTGAATGCATCGGCGCAACATGGTAGTACCCAAGACAACACCAGAACGAGGTCCAAATTGTTGATAACAGCCCGCTGTTGGCACCGCTAGCCCACTCGGTTGCAGTCGGGGGCAGTCGGAGGAAGCAGGTCAAACAAATTCCGAGACTCCTGCAGCGACTTACGCTGACGAAATCGAGTATCGCGATGAAGTCGATAATTCCGAGTAGTCCGAGCATTTCGATGAGGCTGTTCCCGAACGGGTAGTTTCTGAGGCGATTGTACATAATTTTCGTCATTACCGCATCCGTCAGAATCGTTTTCCGATTCCCACTCAAGGCCACGGTCTTGATGTATGTTAGTGGTGAATGCGGTCTGTGTATTCTTGCTGTATGCTTGGCGAGGATGCTCGCTCACGGTTTTGGGCAGGCGTTTCCAGGCCGAAGGCAGAGAATGGATGGACGCCACTTCTTGGTCAATTCCCTCCTCTTCACTCGCTGCGTGACGCGCCTCGACAAGCGTCTCCCCACGGTGAGCTGAAGCTGACACGGGCACTTCATCTTCATTTATGAGCTCATGCGTGCTGCCACTGTTGCGAAGCTTCCTCTCTGAGGATTTCCCCTCGACGTAGAGATCATGCTGGTCCGGGGTGAAGTGGGGCTGCGGAATAGTCTGAGATCGAAAAGCTAGCTCCGTCAGGACCGGGCTTTCCAGGTCGTTATGGGAGAGTGACTCGGCACTCTCAACGGAGACTATCGGGGGCACCACAGCCTGATGCGAGACCTCGCCGGGATGTGTAGTGGTAGGGGGACCCATCAAAGAAGTGGAAGCGCCATTACTTTGTTGTAGAGAGGACCCAGCACGTATGCCACCTGACGAGTTCTGTACTGAAGGCTTCTCAACGACAGTCCTCGGGGCTTCCCCTGAGACGGTGCGGCCAACTTGTGGCTCTAGAGCGGTATATTGAACCTCATTCTTCCCTGACGCTCGGCGGAGAGAGCGCGCAGCCTCATCCATTACTGATATCTGCCTAGGCTGAAATCGCTTTCTCGGAATGAAAAGTGAAGCTTCCGTTCTGCGACGCTTCAGAGAGCGAACGATCCCATCTCGGTGAACGGGTGGAGTTGAAGCGTGGGGTTGCACGCGGTCCTTTCCATCGTTCGTTTTCGACACATCCGGGATGTCGTCTTCGTCGTCTGAAATCGACATCATTGTCCTCCGGTCATCTTCGTCGTCGTCAGCGTCATCATCGGAAAGCCAAACTGGTGACTGAGGCTCGCCACGATCGCTGCTATCTCCCAGTCGAAGGTCGTGCATAACTGTACACATGGCACAGCGGAGAACGAAACCTGCAATCAATTTGCCGCAATCATCACATTCCTTCAGGCCCTGAGCGTCTGTCGCCATTATGTCTTCTCGGTTCTGGCTTGGGTCAGCTACGGGGTTAGTCGCCGGTTGTGAGTTGTCTTCACTTTGCCGGTGCGAGTGGACGATTCCACTGCTTCGAACTAGATACTCGACAGGGGCTGGTCCACTTGTTGGGGTGTGCTGTGCCTCCTGTTCCGTAAGTGACTGTGCTGTCCCTCGGTCAGTGTCAGAGTTTGTTGGGAGTGTGGCTAGTGCTCGAGCAGTTGACTCGTGGCGTATTGCGTCACTGGCCAACGGCAACTCATCAGTATCTGAAACGTTGTTTGGACTTTGTGGACGATGAGATGTCTCGTGGTTGTCTCCATTGAGGCGAGGAGTGCGATGAGCGGACAGACGGCGACGAGCCGGCACTGCTTCGGCCTCCGTACCTACTGTACGTGCGGTTCTGACTGAATTTGTGTCATGATCAGATGAGAATTTCGGCTCCGAAGAATCTGCAGGCAATTTCGAGGGCAAGAGATGTGCAGAGTCCGCAGGTCGGACAATGGGACGGTGAAGGGGTGAGTCAGTATTGATAATAACCGCGTCCATCGGAGAGGTTCTATCCGAGCTGCCTCTGAGTGATTCACCTTTGTTGGTCGCGGCATCCTGCATTGTCAAACTCTTTGCGCTCCTTCTATGTTTCGTTAAGTTAGTGTTACATTGTGCCGAGCGGGTGTCTATCTCTTTACCTTTGATGAGGTTTTGGGTTTTCGAAGCCACTACGACGGTCTGTACGGCTTGTTTCGCAGGGCTCAGGAGGCGTCTTGCTCCTTGTGGCAACCATAATGATAAGTGGTAATTCATTCGAAACGCTCTAGTCTCACAACGCTACTCAGAGCGTCGTGGCGAAAGGCAGAACTGGTTGGAGGATCAAGTTAGCTGAAGAGACCAATGGAATCTGAATCGAAAGCGCAGCGATCGTGGATTGATCTCAGGTCTTTTCAGTTATTTGGGTCTTCACATTGTGTCGCTGGGGTTGCTGTGAGGACCTTGGAAGCTGTTCGTGCAGGTCTCACACTAGAGAATTGACAGCACAGCGATGACAGGCCAGCTGCACTCCCAGCATCCCTAGCTATCATCCAACAGCTTGACGATAGAATGTGTTAACAATGTGCGCTGCTGCCATTGGCTCAAATATCCACGAGGTCTGAGGGAAAGAGAGCCCCATTGTTGCGGCGCCTCTCTGTTGTGGTTCTTGTACCCGAAGTCTCCAGCAAAGCAGTCCTAACTGTTTAGAGTGCATTGTTCTTGCATGACTCCGTGCTGTCTAGATTGGAGAGATGGTAGCAATGCGGGTGTGCATTAAGTTCTGTTTCGCTGTTGGGCCATCCTTGTGGAGGTGCGCAAAGAGCAGGCCCTTCTAACGAGCTACCACCAACGACCATTTTTCCAATCGGACCTTTTACCATTGACTCATCATTGGGCAGGAAATTGTAGAGGTGTTGAAGGCTCATTCAACCACACGAGGTGCTTACCATTTGCAATTAAGCACGGTTCCCATATGCGGGGACTGGATGCAGCCACAGGCTCAAAACCTAATATTCACCGAAGGGACCCATACACAGTCACAGGTCGAGTCCCAGCATGGGCGGCTTGTGCCTCCAAAGTTTGACGGAAAGGAGTCGGTGCCGTTGAGGAGGGTTGCCGTCTCGTCACACCAGGGGAAATCGTTGTGTCAAAGACGTGACGTGTCGTCTTGGGGATAGCCAAAAATGCTAAAAAATCATGGTCATATCGTGGTAAGAAAAGAGCGGCTGATAGAAATGTTTGTGCAGAGACTAGATAGGCAAACGCAGCCCTTCGTCTCCCGATCAAACACAAGGAGGACGCAACGCTGACAAGAGATTTTATCGACGAGCACAAATAACAAAAAGGGCAACGATTCTGAGGGTTAAGCCTGAAGAGAATATAGAGGTGAAGGGGGAACTAAAATACTGCCTATGATTGGCTACCCATGCGGTGCCACTCTTGGCGCATGCTTAGTCAGAATTGGCTCGGGGCATTTTGATATCACGTTGACAGCCATACTTAGCTGCGAGAATAGGGACACTCGGTTGTTTGTCCCCGTCATGAGGTCCGTGTGAGAAACTATCGTCCAGAGCTACGGTTGACAGAGCTGGTTTTCAGGCACGAAGCATGGGTCGTACCTCTATATTGAAAAAGGACATGCTATTGGTACATATTAGCGCCCTCAGGGGCTTCCTTGAATCCATAACTCTCAAAGATTCCATCTCTCTCGACTGCTTGCTCATCCTCAACCGATCGTCGAGAGTCGAGGGCGTCTGTTCCGGCACCTTCGGCAGTGGCGTTTGCGTCATCTTGCCACTTGAGAGTCGTGTCGAGCCCATCAGGAATTCGCCGTTCGTCCAGGACATATCTGACCAACTTGGCAAGTTGGCTTTCATCATACTTCCCCAAGAGAAATGCGTAGCCCTGCTCGGTGGGCTGAACATCTCGTGCCAGCATCATCCTCCAAATTTTCTCTGCAGCCTCTTCTTCACCGTGTTGCAAGAAGCCACAAAGTACTTCGCTCCACGTTCTCTCGGTGGGTGGGCACAGATTGCGCTCAATCATGGCTTCCACAACGTCCACCGCTTTTCTCAGGAAAAATCGGCTGCGCGCGTAGAAGTGAATGAAACCATTGTACATGATGTCATGTTTAGCGCACTCGAGAATGCTTGTGTCCTGTTGTTTAATCATATGGATTATCCAATACCACAAGGCCGAGACAAGTCGCTCGTCTCGCTGGCAGAGAACGTAGGCCCAAATTGTAAATCCGAGGACTGCCGGCGGAGGCTCATTGAGCTTCATGGAAAGAGACTTGTCGGTGGGCAGAGGATTCACAATACCAAGCTTGATCAGCGGAGCTCGGTCGTAGGCTCGGTCGTAGATGGCGAGAAGGTGTGACACTGATATCCCAGCGGGTAACTTGCGGTCGATCGTGCAAACAACCCTCACGATATGCATCATGTATGTTACCAGGTACGGGTATTTGTAGAGGTCTTCGCGTTGGTGGATAGCAGACATAATTTCATCCAGTTTTTCCCGATTCTGTCTTTCGAAACTATCCTTGAGCAAGAAAAGGTGACTGCGTTCGTCAACGTGGATATGCTTGACTTCCATGAAACGGAAGACTTCCCATGCAACATCAGGCACTTTCAGAGAAATTGCTCGCTCAATGATGAGGTTATGCGCCTTCGCGTCCATTGGCATGCCAAGTTCAATCAACTTGGGAAGTGCCCGGAAGTTACCCACGGTGTCAGATTCTTCGACTGTGTCAATTGTTATAAGCTTGGCACAGCGGTCCAGAATCCGCACCTTGTGTTCTTCCCTTTGGTCCGGAGGAATGCAGGAGAGGAGTTCTATTGCTCGATCCGCGTCGCCAAGTTTCGTAAAGTGGTCCACCATAACTAAAATGAGCCGTGGCGGCACCGGTGCACAATTCCGGAAGAGGGTATTAATGATCTTTTCGCAATGCTCTGCGTCATTGTGCCGCAAAAGGAGCACCAGGAAGTGGAACGGCATCGTCTCCTCGGGCCAGGTCTGGATGCGAGAGACTAGAGCTATTTGCTGTGTAAACAATTTCTGAAGATAAGGGTCCGCATCGATCTCAGTCCGATAGACCATATCGAGGTAGCAAAGACAATCGCATCGAGTTCTCCAGTCGCGAGGGACCACGGGGAGAACAGATAGCATGAGGAGAGTTCTCCGAGCACCATCGGCAAGGCATCCAAGCAGGATATGTGCGAGATGTCGCATCTTGCTGCGGATGGGCATTTTGAGCCACACTTTGCGAAGCTCCTGAAGCGTGTGATCGCCCACAAAAGCTATCGCGACTTGCTTTTGGACTTCTAACTCTTGACGCGCCTTCGCATAATCGCCATCTTGTGGGAACACCAACTTCTTGTATGGCTTTATCCACATCCTGTCGAATCGGTCGTCTTCAGGCAGGTCTCGTCGACCTTGTTCTGGCTCGGACTCGTCACGACCACCTTCGGACTGAGGAACATTGGACTCGAAGTTTTTAGATTCGAGGGCCTGAGACGCTAGAGCATCTGATTTCGAGGCTGGGGGGTAGAGCCGTGGGATACGTACTCCATCAACTTCAAGCGCAGGAGCTGGCGAAGGCTCGGAGAGGTTGCAAGACCCTAGGTCACTCGACATGCCAGGCCGACCCTGCTCAGTGCCAAATATCCGATCCGAGAGAGATTTAACATCTTGGAGCCCCGCCGCGTGTCGAGAATAATACCCCTGTGTACGCGATCGAGGAGAGACGGACTGTACTCTGGACTCCGCAGGCGGAGGAGTTATGTTGCTTGGAAAGGGTAGGGATTCTGTTGCGTCTTGAAGCGAACTATCTGAACCGCCTAATTTTGCGATATGTTCGGTGGACGTGACATGACGTCCTCCTGGGGGTTCAGAATACGCCTGAGCAAGGACACAGGCTTGGTGAAGCGGTTGACAGTGCTGGAGGCCATGTTTGACAAAGTCGAGAGAAGGGCAGGTGAATCGGGATCGACACCTGCCGAAGGTTGCTGGATTATTGCTGAAGCATCCTCGTAGAGCGCTGGTTGACTTGTGGAACATTCAGTTTCCCGGGCATCTGGCTCTAATTCCCGTTGGCAGAAGAATCGAGGGTCACAGGTGAATGGTGGATGCGAAGGAAATATGTGTACGAGGTAATGACTGCGGACATTGCATTTCTTTGCGGGCGGACCCAGGAAAAGGGAAATTTTGCCGAGTAGGAAGTTCCAAACCACCAGGGCACAAGGTACTGCTTTCACGTCGCCACCTTTTCTCACAGGTCCGCTCTTGTGGTATGCATTGGTAGCGGGATGTCCTTGTTCTCGGGAATCAATCTAGCAGAACTATCTTCGTGATGTCAGCCACACATAGTAGCCTAGATGCTGCTGCCACCGACAGAAAGGCTCGCTTGGCGAAACTCGCATCTCTGAAGCGGAAGCAGCCTGGCTCCCATTCTACAGTTTCAAGCCTACAAGCGGACACCGAAGAAGGAGACAAGGAAACACTGCCTCCATCTACAACCGACCAATATCTCTCAGGCCGAAACTACGATGTGACAACAAAAAACGCCAAACTTGGATTCGAGAATGCCCCCACCAGTGGTGACGTCGAGACCCTCGAAGAGCAGGCCGGTCGCATCCTCGCATCTACTGCAGAGCAAGCAGCCAAAGATGAGCTGGAAGCAGAGAAGGGTATTGACCTGTTCAAGCTGCAGCCGAGGAAGCCAAATTGGGACTTGAAAAGGGACTTGGCGGAGAAGATGAAGATTCTGGACGTGCGGACACAAAACGCTATTGCGCGTCTGGTGAGAGAACGAGTCGAAAACGCGAAGAAACAAGCTCTCGAAAAGAAGGCCGTTCAAACGCACCCTACAGCAGAGAAGGAAGAGGAAGGAGAGGAGGTGGGTATTGAAGGCAATACGCTCGTCGAGAGCATACATTTGCGGGAACAGGAGGAGGAGAGAGAGGCTGCCCTCCAGAACGAAGAAGATGGCATTTCATGATCAACGACCCGAGAGACTCAAGGATAATTGCACCAAAACGACGGCCAGAAGGCCAAGTCGATGTAGGATGCGGCCACAGCAGCCCGTCCACTTCTCGGGTTGGATATACACCTGAATGAGGTCAAAGGTCTGCGTCACGCAAGAGATATGGATCATGTTTCTCACGACGCTCTCCAATACCCGCAAATCGAAGCTGAGTACAGCATCACACGATATGAAGACCGCTGTTTAGACCCAAATGCCAGAAGCATCCATTGCAGGCAGTCACGCGGTTGACGAGGATGTCCTGCTCCAGGAGACGAGAGGAAAAAGAACGAGAGCCGGCAGAAAGCCTCGCTGAAACGGAAGATTCTGCCAAATACTATCAGGAACCATTATTGAGAACTATTGGCGAATAGGCTACAGAAATGAGCACGTAACAGTGAGCAATGAAATTCCAGTATCCAATCACCTGATGATACCACGAAAAGAACAAGCACTCCGTAATGACAAACGTGCGCTTCTCGTAGGGTATGGTAAATGGAGACCAGCCTGTCCATGTGGCAATGCAGCCGCCAACGCCTTGCAAACCACAACCGACGATACCACCAAGTCAAGTTCCTCTGTATAGAACTAGAGCACCCTCCAATATCCCGGACTTGTCCTTCAGGACTGACATGTCACATATTCATTGCTTGCGTCAGAGCCAGTCTTTTGCTGTACGGGCTGAGACTCCGCTCTTTCATGTTGCGCCGCCTCTCGCCACCGAGCCTGACGTCTCCCTGAGGCAATTCGTGGCGGTCATCATCAGCGTATTTCCGCCAATGTCCCCGGGATGTGGCACTGGCGTGGTCTTCTTCCTCAAGGGATCTTCTCTGCTTGGTTATTTGGCTCTTGTCCATGCTTGGACTACCAGTCCGGCTACGATGGCTGCCTCGACGCATGGAACTAGGCCGGCCTCGGTCACTGGGACTGAGGGTGCGGTGACGTCGGCTTTTGCGGTGTGAGCCAGGCTCGCGCTTTGGGGACCTCGGCGATCGAGAGTTTGAACTGGACACGGAGTGGTGCTTCCTTTTCCGCGGAATTTCAGTAGTTGGTGTGCCTAAGCGATTCCGGTGTGCACGACTGGTGGTGTAATAGTTAACACCACGTTCCCGTGAGCGAGACCGCGACCGAGACCGCGACTTATTTGTCGATATCGTCGAGACGGAATCTGAGGAGTCTGGGGTTCGTGATCGGCCCCGGTCTTCAGGCTCCACGATAATTTCTTCTCGTCTGGCCTGAGCTTCGGCTAACTGTTGATCAGCCACGCCCTTGCTAGGTAAGTGTCAGAAAGACGTTGTTTCCAGGCTCCCGGGCAAGGACAGTCACCTGTTCAATAGATTGTTCGGGGTGTCGCTCGCCAGCTTTGGCGTCAATTTGGGGTTGAGTAGTTGCTGGGTCCTTGATGGCCTGGAGGCGTATGGCCGCTCTTGTACGCTTGATTTGCATTCATAACTGTAGTGACGTGATTAATTTGTCAGTACCAGTGGTGGTCAGATTGCAGATGAGAAAGAAGTAGACATATCTTTCTTCAAGCATTTCTGGCATACGGTACTGGCGGTGGCCTTTTGGGGCCCTAGGCCTGGAAGCGTGCGATACCGGTTCATGGAAAAGTCCCTAGCAGCAAATGGCCAGGGAAAGAAATGGACGTCGACAAGTCTCACAGGATGTGGTGAAGGCGTAGGCTCAACACGGACACCCCGGGGAGTGAGATGCCTGCTTTGTCAGAAGTTATATAACGGGGCGCACTGCGGCTCCGACGTATATGGAGGATAACTGTGATGGCACTGAAATGCTGATGCCTTGTGCCGATGTCGAATCTGCCACATATAGCCACAGACAAAATGCTGGCCCCGAACTGGAATGGATGTAAAATAAGCCAGAAGGTGCCGCCTTCCAGGCTACCAGGCAGGCAGGTCCAGGAAGGAAAAAAAAGGGTGAGCGAAGGCACGGGCTCTCGGTGGTTTGCTATCCGGGAATGGAATGATGCTGGGTTGGCCTATTGTTCAGAGTTGTTCTACCCTCTTTTTTTTCCCTGCTCACTGATGGGTGCCCATAGTTCCCTGGAATAATACCTAGGCGAGAGAGACGTGCCCACTGCTCACGGCCCAGTGTTTCTCCCTAGTGGCGACGCAACAACTTTAATCCGCCCATCGTGACATGGGGAGTCCTTGGCATTCTCTCTCACATCGCTTGCTTGCGGTTTTCGATGCCTCAAGACTGCCACAAGTCACGGTTTTCCCAGCCTTGACTTCAGTCGTTGCTGTCCACCTTCTCAAGCCTGTCGATCTCCATTGTTCATAGCCACAATGGATTGATCCGACTTTCTCCCCGACGCTGCTGTTTCCTGTCACGGACCTGATTGATATTCCTTCACTTTGAAGGCGCGCCCATCGACAACCTCTCAAAAAACCCGTCATCCCTCTTAGGCGGCACCAGCCCCCCAACCCGACCGGTTTTTTGTCCTTATCAATTTGGAGCGCCCTTTTCACGTATCACCGGCCCCGACACCTCGATCTCTGGCTTGGGTTCCCGAACTCTCCAACACAGCAACCCACGGAATCGTCCTATTACGCTCGCAGGCAGTCCCTTTATTGCTACGCACGCTGACAGCCCAAAGACCGCCTTGCCGAATCCATGGAGCCTTTTAGGTTGTGCTGTGTTGGCTCGTTCGATGGGCAAGACGTTGTGTGAGACAGCGGAAGGAAGAATTGAAGCGTCGACATTGGCTCGTACAATTCACATTCATTTTCAACTCCAATCCTCAGCTTGAGAGCCTTGGTTGCAACGCTGTTGGATACGACGTGACGAATCTCCTTGGGCATCATGGCGTCTTCTCAGGTCGGGCCGCCTCCGGGGAGGTTATCGTTCGCAAAGGTACGTTTGATCCACGCGAGACACAGTCTTTGTCTCTTGCTAACGCTTTCAAGGTCGCCGCAATGCGTGCCCCTGCTCTTCCTACATCAAACCCTAATGCCTCTGACGAGAAGAAGACACGTCCTGTCGAGAACATTAATGCGAAAACCATTCAAAGCAACCTTCTCATATCCCCGACTTCTCCTACAGACACTAGTGATCCGCCACAGCAAAGCACTCTGGAAGAGCGCAGCCACCCAAGCTTTTTGGCACCTGCATTCGAGGGCCTTTCTCTGGTTGAAGATGCGAGCCTTGTATCAGGTGGTCCACAGAGCGCAGAAAGCGGAGAGTCTCTCGAAGATGACCAATCTCACCTCTCTAATTCTTCTACCAAACACCAGAGTTTCGATACTAAAAGTATGGCTTCCGTCACAACCTTTGCGATGGACGAGAAGGAGAGCATTCGTCCGGATGACAGTGCCAGCGTTCGAGCCGCAGAGGACGAAGAGACCTCAAATGTGCCACACAGAGAAGACTTATCGGCGTCAAATGCTCGTGGTACGACACGGCCAAGCAATTCCGGAGTCACGATTGCGGCTCGCCGATATCACACGTTGACTTTGACCAACCCTCCGCGGTTTGGAGATCTTCCCCTTCCTATCATCCAGGGAGAGACTGGCGATCGCCAGCCTCGTTCAGAAGGATCAATGGAGCAGCCCCACGAGATGCACGAACGAGCTTCATCACTTCCGCTTGCGCCCGATGAAAAGCTCTTGGATGCACTGGCCACCCCGAAAGACCGCCTACCACTCCTTCAACTGGAAGAGAAGTTCCTGGCCTTTATTGCCATCCAGGGGTGAGTCTACTACATGTTGTCATTGTCGACATTATTCACTGACCATGGCACAGAAATGATTTTCTCGACCTCCCACCGCAGAACTCTTTCGCAAGGCTCCTTGCCCACAAACTTGCAGACTATTACTCGCTCGCTCATCACATTAATGAGGACGGCACATCCATCCGCATTTTTCGGACGCCCGATGTTTCACTGTGAGTCCATCACGTATCCTGACTGAGTTTCTGATGCATTGACTGATTTCTGTGGCAGGCCCACACCATTACATGTCTTGGCACGCTCCATCCCTGCTGGGCCATCCCAACCCCCTTCCGCTGCGGGTTTTAAGATCATGCGCAGAGTCGGTTTGGGTCCGCGGCAGGGCTCGGCCGGTGCCAGTACACCTGCAAGTTCGTCTGCTCCCTCCAAAGCCACGTCGGAAGCGGGATTGGAAACGAACAGCGAGGAGGGCGTCTTGTCGCCAGTAGACGGGACGCCAAATAGAGACAAGTCGAAACTCACAAGAGAAGAAAGAGAAGCTCAGTACAAAGCTGCGCGGGATCGAATTTTTGGCGACTTTCAGGAGTCGGTGACCAGTGAAAGCGCTTCCACGGGGGAGAATTCAGCAAGCATGTCGCGGTCGAGCTCATCTAGTGGCAAGAGAAAGGCACGCAAGCACAAGACGCCAAAAGACGACAGTTTTGAGGCGCGATCAGCATTCATTCCCAGCTACACCCCCATGCATGTGTCACAAATGCAATCCCACTATCAGCCGCAGTACTCGGAACAAGCGTACCACGGGCCGTATCAAGCTCCCAATGGCGGATTCGGCGGAAATATGAATTACAGCTCTACTCCCACCCAGGCATATCCCACTTTTGAGTCTAGCATGTCTTACAACAACGCTCCCATGGGGTACGGAAACAATAGCAGTCAGTCTTTCAGCCCCGCGGAATCCTGGTCATCGCTGCAGACCCCCTCGGCAAACGGATACTTCAACTACTCTACCTCCCCAACCACCTATCAGCAGAGCATTTCTCCCATGATCGCTCAGATGAACAATCAATACATGCCGACGTCACATCCAGGGATGCAACAGCCACAGAACTGGATCAATAATCAATTCCAGCCTACCTATCCGCAACCCCAAGGTCCAGCGAGCTCAAACATGAACGGTTGGTCTGGCTACCAGGCTAGTGCAACTATCAACAACGCAGCCAATTATGGCTATGGACAAATGCCTCCTCAAAACTTCGGCGGCAACGTGAATCAGCCATACAATGCTCAGTATCCGAATGCAAGCACCTACTCCCGATCACTCTTCAATCCGCAGACCCGGTCCTTCGTTCCCAGCAATTCCACCAGCCGCAATGGCGGCCGTAGCGGCCACAATAATCACAACGGCGGCGGCGGGCGGAAAAAAGCCTCCTCATCGAGCCAGAGTCGAGCGAACAGCATTCCTCCCACCAAGTCCTTCAGTTCAGATGCTTCCGGGATGGCTCCAACTGCGCGCGCCTTCGAGAAGGGACTCGCCAGTAATCTATCGTCGCCCAAGCCACCGCCACCTCCGGTGAAAGAAGACTCTCTCCAGCAGAAGTATGGCGCGCCTGCACATTTGCCTAAGAAGCCCCCTCCATCGCAGGTCCCGTCGCTCTATGATGTTGAGAACATTAACAACGCGAGTACTGGTGCAGTCGGGACGGGGGCGGGAACGACTACATGTGCGAACACGACGAGTAATAGCTTGACAGGAACGGGACAGAACCACGGATCATAGGCATGAGATATGGAAATGGAGAGGGGACTTGGACACGTGCTCAGGCCGGTATGGGGGCGCAACAAGCGCATGGTATTCAACTGTCGACATTTAAGGCTCTTTGTCGTCGCAATTGAGGTATGGCGAGCATGGCAGGAAGCGAGTGTTCATGTGATGGACACCGAAAATGGGGGCTTGGATGAAGAAGGGATCAATTATGCGTGTATCAAAGCGTGTCTCTTCCGCCGCCGCCGAAGGGACCGAGATAGGAGACAGGCTTAAAATTCCAAAAGAAAAGAACCAAAACGGGGACTTCAAAATAAATGTCTGATTTCAGCCTTTAATACATGCAAAACAAGTGCCTTGTCGCTGCCTCTAGTCTCGCCTGGCATTTGCTCCTCCGTGTACTCAGTAGTATGTACAATGTAATGTACCGATGATAGATACCATATCGCAGTGTATGTAAGCCCCGGCATGCAATGAATGCTTCACCTCCGATTCTGGAGGAGGAAGGGAAGGAGGAGGATATATGTACCTACCCCGGTTCCACCACAATGCACCCTGTTTGTTGTCTTTCATGAGGGATGTATGTATGTTTGTTTGGATCGATGTCTGCCACCACGGAACTGGAGAGGTGGGAAGGGGAAGGCCTCGTTCGTTCGTCCCCATACATCTACCGTATCTACCGTATCTCTTGTATCTGTCCGCTGTATCTATCCATACTCCGTCCCGTTCCGTTCCGTTTCGTTTCTGGTTCTGTGCTTCCTGCTCTGCTCGACTTGACTTGACTTTGTGCTGCGTACTCCTACTCCTACTCCTACTCCTACTACTGTTCTTTACTACCGAATGTATGAACACACACACGCCTGGATGATTTCGGTCTTCTTACGTCGTCAGAACGATTACTCCCATTTCCCCCATCTGCCTCTGCTCATTCCGGCGCCCTGTATCCTGTGTTCTATGTCCTGTGTCCTGTGTCCTGTTTCTTGTGTCCTGTCCAGAACGCCTGCGTCTCCCCTAAGTTCTCCTTTCTAGTATATCTGCGCCCCCACTTTTGGTTGTCCTCCCCTTCCCCCTTCCCTGAAGCTCGCAGCCGTGTCCCTTTCGCTCCCGTGTGTCCCTGCGGCCGATCGACTCCCCCCCTTTATTTTGAACGTCCCTGTATGCATGTATGGATGAATGACACGAAGGTAGTTAGGTAGCTAGCTGGTTGGCTGGCTAGCTAGGTGGGTAGGTTCCAACCGTACATCACGAACTTACCCCTTCTTTCTTCAGGGCCTGCTCGTATCTCGGCGTAATTCTTGCATTTCCAGACTCTCCAGAGCCTTGCCGTGTTTGTTTTGTCGCGCACCGTCATCAAGGGTATCGTCGTCGTCATCATTATCATCATCATCATAGTCCTGGCGGCCGCTCATCAAGCCCACGGCTTCTTCGTGAGAAGCGGCCTCCTTCGTCTGTGCGTCCTCCCTCGGCACCTCCAACCCGCCAGACACTCCGGGAGTGCTGGCAGCATTCGGCTTCGGCTTCGACTTCGTTGCCGAGTCCCTGGCGGCAGCCACCCACACTGCCCCTGCAAGAATCAACACGCTGCCGATCCAGCTCATCGTGTCCGGCGTGACGCCAAAGACCAATTTGTCACCGGCCAGCGCGAAGAGCATCTGCGTGTAGCACATGGCCGTCGCACGAGTCCCCGACGGTTTTGTGGTCGGCTTCGTCGAGCAATGAGCATGCTCACCGCCCACAGGGTGTCCCAGATGGGCCGGACCGGACCCTTCGAGATCCCTGATCTTCGCCGCGGGTTGTTGATTTTTGACTTCACTCGGCCCGCCGTATGCCAGGCCGGCTGTCAGGAGAAACTGCATCACAAAGCCGCACAGACCGAGGCTGGCGAGCAGACTCCATTCCGTAAGATTCCCGGGCAGCCGGAACTTGACGTCAGGGAAGACCATGAGGCACACCAGCGAGACGACGCTACACCACACGCTGAAGTAGTTGATGCTGATGAAGGCGTGGGCGCGGGTGCCGATCACACGGATTGCAGTCAGTGCACCGACGCCACCCACAACGCCAATCATGGCGATGCCGACGGCGGCCAGATGTTGTTCGGGCGTGATGTGTTGGGCCGTCTCGGCCGTCACGGTGGAGTTGACGGGAGGACTTACCAGGGCGTCGGCCGGCTGGGTGGACGACGAGGCCAGCGAGAAGAGCGAGGCGGGCCGGGCAATGAAGAGGACGCCGATCAGGCTGACGACGCCGGCAATCTGCTGCTGCACGCTGAAGATTTCCCCGGGCATGATGAAACTGCAGAGGTAGCAGGTAAGGATCGGCGAGAGGAAACCCAGAACCGTGGCCTCGCTCAACGGGAGGTACAGCAGGCTAAAGTATAATCCAAATACTCCGAAGAACCCAGCAATGCCCCGTAACACCAGCAGCCAGCGAACACCACGCGGACCAAAGGGAAAATACGGCGTCGTCTTGAAGTAGATGCCGTATGTGGTGCAGATGAGGGCCGTGATGGACTGGCGAGCGAAGAGGATCTGGAACGGGTGCATGGGTTCGCCATGGGTCCCTGGAGTCTCGAGGAGGCGGGTGCTGATGTTCATGCCGACCCCGAAGGCCTGCGAGGCAAGGACCAACATGGCACCATAGTTGGTCACGTAGAAGGAATCCCAAGCAGCTCGCCAGCGGGAGTGTGGAGGAGAATCGTGGGATATGCTGCGGACGAGAGGGTGGACGGCTTGGAGTTCGTTGGAACGGAACGAGAGCTCTGAGAGCTCCGAGTAGGTGCTGTCAAGCGACGGCCGAAAGGAGGGGACATCCAGGTAGGAGGGTCTCTGGTTTGTTGCTGAGCTGGGTAGAGGAGGGATCGACCTGGACGAGGAGGGAGAGGCTACGACGGTGGTGTCGGTGCTGGAAGAAGAAGGAGAAGGAGACGCTGGATCGAACCCATTGTGGGTGGACGCACTGCTCATGGACATGGTCTAATCTGCGCCATCCCAATCAATGACTGCCTCCGGTTGCCGGTTGCTGGTTGCTGCGTCCAGTGTCCAGCTGGAGAAAGCGAAACAGTTTCAGAATCGAGGAGTCGAGAGAAGGAGAATCCAACACAAAGAGACGGCGGGAAACCGCCAGACGGAAGAATAAAATGCTGACCAAGACGCAGTGATGGACAGGAAGAAAAACGATGACAAGCCACTAATGGGGGGGAAGGGAATGTACTCCGTTTCTGTCAATTCCAGTTCAAACACCACAATTAATATAACGACGATGGAGGAAGGACGAAGGACGTGAGGAGATAAAAGGCTAGAAAAACTAGAGCGGGATGAGAGGCGAGAGGGAATGCGTCAGTCACTGGGTTTTCCGTCAATCAGCATCTCTGGACGCCCAGGACATCATGTACCTTAGACACTTGGGTGTAGAACGCCCTGCGACACCACAAATCCGTGTCATAGACGTGTATCAAGTGGCCTGCCATTGGACACGATATTACACCGCAGGAATAAGGCCCGGGGGAAGCGCCGGTGTGCTTGTACCCACGGGAGGGGGAGGGGGAGGGTTAGTTAGTGCTCGGGAATCACGGATATTGGGTCACTACTAGGCCACGCCATGGGTGCTGGGAATGGTGAAAGCGAGTAAGTACGAGGTAATTACTGCGTAGACAGAGAGACCAGAGAAAGAAAGGCACGGAAAAAGACAGACAATAGCCTAAAAGCCATGGAACAAGCACAGCAGAGCACAGCACAGCACAGCACAGATTTTCTTCTTTTGGTACACGAAACCCCCTAGGTGTCCCCCCTCTCCAGCCCGTCTTCCAGCCACATGTATCGTCCTGGTCATATCCCCCCCTCCTTCCCCTTCCCCCAAAGCGTCTACGAGGCCGAGGCGCTCGCCGCCTCTGCCTCTCCTCTCCTCAGTGCCAACAGTGCCCGCACATCCGTCACGTACTGCAGCGCCTCTAACATGGGTATCAAATGAAGCAAATCGTTGTCGGTCGGATCATTGATCCATCCTTCGATCGGAATCGCATTGTCTGTCATGAACCCTCGTCTTAGTTCGGGCTCAACCATGGCATGATATGCTGGTTCTCAGGAGATAGATGGCTTACCTTCGTGGAAAATGTAACTGACGGGACTGTTGTCCAGAATGATGACCTTGCTCAAGTCGGGCTCAATGCTGCTGAGATCTTTAATATACGCCCCATTGCGGAATGTGCAATGTTGCCGGTAGTATCTGCCCACAAAGTACTTCCGCTCCTGCTCCAGCCAGTCAATCACCGGATCGGCGTATTCTTGCACCGATGCTGTAAACACCACCAGCTTATACCACTTGGCGACTTTCCGCAGAAACTCGTCACAGTGAGGTCGCTTGTGCACATAGTATAGAATAGGATGTTGGGGCCCAATCACCGGGGTCGCTTGGCCAGGTTGAGGGGGCGCCAAAGCCACAGGGGCATTCAACTTGACCTCAACCATATGGCCCGACGACATCCGCCCCCCTTTGGCCAGAGAATGGATCAACGTCTCGTCAAGGTCGAGGATCAGCGTTTTTTGCTGGAGGGGCGGGCCATGGCGGGTTGGAGACCGGGGAATGAGGTTGGCATAAGAGGGTTGACGTCGAGGGACGAGGGGCCGGGGGGGTTGCGGCGCATGAGGATATCGAGTGATCTTGAGGGACGGGGACGGCGATCGCGGGGACTTGATGTTGTCGACGGTCAACGGAGTGGAATCAGCCAAGGGACTGGCAGCTTTCTTCTGTTTTCGTCTTTTGAGAGCAACATCATTTTGCTCTTTGATCCTGATGGAGGATCGTCGGGTTTCCGAGTCCTCCCGCACGGCCTTCTCGCGCTTCGGCTTCGACCGTAGCTGAGCGCGCTCCGCCTTGCGATGTTCTGCGTCCGAATCTGACGTTGTAGGATCTAATGAGTCGCTGGAATAGGAGTGGCGCAGCCTCGTCTCGTGAAGAGCGCGGTGCGTGGGCTTCTCGTTTGGCCAACTGCCGTCTTGTGCTGCATTGGAGAGCCCCATCGCACGTGCAGCGCTGGCATTGAGCGCCCTTTCCCTCCGCGGCCATCCTGGGACCATGGTGAACTTCCCCTCCTCATCCCTGAAGCACTTCGCGAGATAGACCACGGGGGCGCCGATGGCAGCCAAAATGGTGGTGATGGCGTCTGTCAGCTTCTTGAAGAGAAAGCGCCAGCCTTCTGAAATTGAGGCATCTTCTTCCTTGTCGCCCGTGTACAGCAAAGGCTGCTTCTCATCCTCAGACTTTATGGCAGGTTCGCCGTCCTCGGCAGTTGTGTCGGCGGGGAGCTTGTCTGAGAAAACATCGTCGGGCTCATTCTTCAACTCCGCCGTAAGCTCCGCGCTGTATGATCTTCCCCTAAACTCCTCATCGCCGGACTCCTTCTTCAGAAGGTCACCTTGTGACCGGGACCGAGGACGAGAAGAGGACGGAGACTGTCCGATGACTCGGGAGGAGATGAGATTGAGGGAGTTCATCTCCCACCAGAGACGCAGGCACGGACACTCGGTAGCGCTCGACGCATCGGCTTCTGGGCAGCAGTGTCCTCGGGTTCAACTATCGTGATCGCATGACGATCCTAGGCGATAGTGGGGGAAATGGCGAGCAGCGGGATCGGGATAGGGATAGGGTGGCCTGTGGCTAGCGGATGTGAGGACACGATATGCTCACATAGTCCAGCTCAGTATGGTGGGGAGAATTCCTTTCAGGTCCAACCGACGTTTGCGGACACAAAGAAGAAGACGACTGAGACAAGATCATCAAGCTCCGGGCAGTAGAAGCTCTTATTGACGAAGGAGGAGGTGGTGGCTGTGACTGGCGCAGCTGATCCGGTTCAGTTTGCGAAGTGGGAGCGACTAGACAGACGCGCGGGTGGCTTTCCGCGTCTCCAAATGTGAATGAAATGTGGTGGCATGCGACTCTATTTGCTCACCACCACCACCACCACCACCACCTCCTCCTCCTCCTCCTCCTCTACCAAAAAAAATTCTCTGTTCAGCCTGCAGGGGGCTGCTGTAGAGGAAGATTGCAGAGACCAGACCCCGAACAGGTTTATTGTGCCCCTCTCTTCTCCTTGGATCCCAGACCCGGTCATTTTCCTTGCACATCGTCTACTCAGGTCGAGGAGCCACCAACATGGCCCCCCCTGCAGCGTCCCTGACGCCGGGGTTTGCCAGTTTCCAAAAGGTCTTGTCGACGGAGCCGCTCGACGCTTCGACAACATATCTGGTTTCGTGCGTCCTACATCCGTGACTCTTACAGCAATGGTGGGGCTAATGCGTGTCCAGATTGCTCAAGAGACGCCAAATAAGAGGCTCCAAACGCTGCGCTGTTGTCACTACTCTCCTGCTGCTCCGCACCGTCGAGTTAACTAAACAAGCCGATTCAGTCAGGTTGATCCAAAGAGTCACAGAGGTGGGCCAAAAACTCATCGAAGCCGCTCCTCATGAACCCGCCGTTGGGAACATCGTCCGCCGAGTCCTGGGCATCATACGAGAAGAAGACGAAGATGACGCTGCAGGCACAAAAGGGGGGGACGAGTCGAGCTCGGTTGGTGGTGATACCGACCTCGATTCGCCTGCGACGCTGGAACCTCCCCATTCAAGATATCTCTCTCACGCGGGCATGAATGGCGATTCGCCCAGTCCTTCGCCTCACAAAGGCACGGCAAGCCCCCGACCTCCGTTGCTCAGTTCGCGCACTGGGGCGCCCGAGACTGCTCGCCCCGTCACCTCCATGTTCAGCATCAATGCCCATCCGACAATGCGAATGCTTGGTGGACATGACTCGCCGTTGAGCCGCAGCGGTCAAGCCACTCCACAAATGCAGGCTTCAGGAATACTCCCGTCGAATCTCCGTCCCGAAGTGATAAAAGGCATCAAAGAGATCATTGATGAAATCAATGCCGCCGACGATGAAATCGCCACTGCTGCACTCGACCAGATCCACCCAGACGAAACAATTTTCACATATTCGTCTTCGTTGACGGTTCAGCGCTTCCTCCTTCGAGCCGCCTCCAAGCGGAAGTTTACGGTCGTCCATGCCGAAGCATATCCCAACAATCACCTCAAAACGCACGCCTTGCTCACCGGGAATCAAGAAGCGGTAGCAGAAGATGAGGATAATCTCCCCAACGACACGTTTTCCAAGACGTTGACTTCGGCTGGCATCACGGTCATCCTGATTCCGGATTCGGCAATCTTCGCAGTCATGTCTCGCGCCAGCAAGGTCATTCTAGACGCTCACGCAGTTTTGACGAATGGATCTCTGGTCGCGGCGGCTGGAAGCAAGGCCGTCATCAAGGCTGCCAAATTCCACCGCGTTCCCATCATCGTGCTGGCAGCAACGTACAAACTCTCCCCAGCGTACCCTTACGATCCCTTCAAGCTGATCGAATATGGCGAGGCTGGAAAGGTTGTGCCGTTTCAAGCGGGCGAGTTGCGTCAAGGACTAGAAGAAGGAGCAAGGAATCCACTATATGACTTTGTCGAGGCTGGCGACGTTGATTTGTTCGTGACCAATGAAGTGCCTGCTGTTGTGAGCACCGGTTACCTTTACAGGGTTGTAAGGGAACAGTATCGAGATGAAGATTTGGAGCTGTGAGGCAGCTCTCCGCCGGACATGAGTCTGCTGAGTCGCACTTGATTATGAGAGGATTTCTTGTCATGTGTGTATCGAGAGTGAATGTCGGGATAGAAAAAGAACTTGATACCCCCCGACTGACTGACATTGGTTGATTTGGTGGAATACAGATCGATGGCTGCACTTTTAGATTCTAGCACCATATGCTGTACAAAATACATGTCTGATCATTGCATCGCACTCGTCTCAGTGAAACCCCCCTGGCCCTGATGAGCTGATGGTAATACAATTTCAGAGAATTCCTTTTTTTTCCTCCACAGAATTGATAGAGTAACTGACTCTCCCAATCAAGGGACGGCCTTGTCCTCACCGACCCTCTGCCTCCTCAGCCGTCCAGGGCCCTTCTTCTCCTTCCCCTTGATATCGCCCGGCCGGTCCTTCTCGCCCCTCACCCATTCGTACACGGTGCCGTCCTCTTCAAACTCCCTGCGCTCCTTTTCCCTCTGCTCCTCCTGGTCCCTCTCCAGCCGGCCCACCTCCTCTTCCAGGGCCTGTTCCCCGTCGAGCCGGAACCGCGTCACCTTGCGGATGTTGGCGGCCATGACCTCCGACATGTCGAGGTTCTCGCGCCGCTGCCGCACGAGCGCCTTGGCCGTCATGCTGAAGCGCATGTCGCGCGGGCCGTCGACCAGCGAGAGGATGGCCGAGGGCGCCTGGTCCTCGCGGATGGGCTCCTGGCGCAGCACCCGCGTGTAACCCCCCGGCCGGTGGGCGTAGCGGGCCCGCAGCTCGCCGAACAGTTTGTCCATGTGGCCCTCCCGCTCCGGCTCGAAGAAGATGGTCTTGGCCCGCTCCCGCGCCGCGCCCGTGTTCTTTTTGCCCAGCGTGATGAGCTTCTCCGCCAGCCGTTGCGCCTCCTTGGCCTTGTGCCAGCTGGTGGAGATCGATTCGTTGGCGATCAGCGAGGTCACCAGGTTGCGGAGCAGGGCGCGCCGGTGTGCCGAGTCGCGGCCCAAATGCCGGTATTTGAGCGTCGACATTGTGCCTTTTCTAAAAAGGGGTAGGAGGAGGTGGTGGTGGTGGTAGAGGTGGAAGGTCGATCTCGTTCGGAAACGAGAGGGTCGTGGTCGTTGTTCGTGCGAGACGGAAGTTGTTCCCCCCCAAGAGGATCGGTGCTATGGTGTGTTTATAGCGACATCGCAGTAAGATTGTCAAGACAGGGGATCGGCTATTCGTGTCAACGGAACGTGTCAATGGGCTCCAGGTGGCCTCCTTCAACGATGCAGAAAGCTTTTTGTTCAATCGAGGAAGTTATATTCCCGATGAAGCGCATGGTTCACCGTACCGCGGACTCGGAGAAACACGGCGGACCACGAAGCCCGTATGGCAGGGTAATTCTCCGAACGCTGTTCCAACACCATCATAATTGTCATCATTGGGACGTAGAGTTGCTGTCAAATACCGTGTATCCGCAGAGTTGGAGTAGCTAGAATTGATCTGAAGGGCAGATACCAATGTCCTTCATGTATGGTTTACGCCGATGATTGCATTTCTCAGCAATCCTGCCCTGCTCGGCCCGCCTGCTGCAGTATCCCCTTCCGGTGCGAACGAGGCTGTGACACCCTTTCTTCTCCTCGTCCTCCTACATCTATCTAGATCCCTGCCTCGCCCATCCACCAGAGTAGTGCCCATACATAAATACATACATAACCCTTTCTTGTCTCCCTAACTCGCGATGGTACCGGTTCTTCCCAAACATGCACAGAAGCTCTGTCTACCTGCTGGCTTGGTGCGGGTGGGGTGGATGGTGGAAGCGTGACAGACAATACACGAGGCGGAGAGAGCTATAGGTGGGAGCATCTGCAACTGTCTCTCTCTCTCTCTCTCTGTGCATGTGATCAATCAAGCTGATCAATGTGGACAAGAAACCAAAAAAATCCTCCGTGGGGTGTTTCTTCTTGGCTCTCTTGAAGACTGTATATTGTGTTTATATGTATCTATCCTTCAAAGTTAGTCAGCACCTATCGATCCTTCTATAATTTGGCCTGTATAGACGTCGGCGGCCTCCCTCTCGACCGCAGCTCCTTTCTGAGTATCTTGCCGGAAGCGCTCTTCGGTATCTGATCAACAAAGAAAACACCTCCCCGTAGTTGCTTGTAGCTTGCGACTTTGTTTTTCACAAACTCGGCCACCTCCTGAGCTGTGATGGATCCGCTGCCAGATTGTTGCCGAGCAACTACGTAGGCACACGGTACTTCTGTTTGTTGCTGATCATGCCACAGGCCGATGACCGCGGCATCCGCAATCCGAGGATGAGAAGTGAGGAGCGCCTCCAGCTCTGCAGGGGCAACTTGGGAGCCCTTGTACTTGATGAGTTCTTTCTTGCGGTCGACGATGCGAACATGACCGTCCTTGTACGCCCCGATGTCTCCCGTGCGATAAAAGCCGTCTTGAAACGATTCTTGCGTGGCCTGTGGCCTGTTGTGGTATGCTTGGGCGAGGATGGGGCCTCCAACGAGCAGCTCTCCGGTTTGACCCTCAGCGAGGTCCTGGCCGTCATCGTCGACAACTCGGAGTGTGACATTGGGACATAGCTCTCCGACGCTCCACGTTCCGTCCTTCGCATATGCGGGCCAATCGGTGGCAGTAATGACACCGGTCGTCTCCGTTGTTCCCCACGTCTGAGCCATGTGAGCACGGCCTCGACCCAACTTCTTCCTCACCTCTCGCACAATGTCTTCTCCGATCGGGGCCGCTCCAGTGACGGCAACCTGAAGGGCGTCAAAGTGATCAGTCACCTTGTCGCTCTTTGCAATCCGTAACCATACCGGCGGCACGCTGAATTGGTACGCAGGGCGATAACGCCGGTGGTATTCGAGAAATGAGTCAAAGTCATACTTTTCCATCCACCAAGTCGTGCCGCCCATGTAGAATGGATTCGTTGAATACAAGCTGATCCCAGCAATGTTGGACATGGGCAGATGGGCTATGGTGTTGAACGTGAACTCTCGACCTTCCTTCTGGCAGAGCGTTCTGTACCGCCGGGCGACGTCCATGGTGCAAACATTGTTTGATACAAGAGCCCTGTGAGATATGCGGATGCCTTTGGGCAGACCGGTCGTCCCAGAAGAATACAATAGGCATGTCGTGACTTGCTCTAGTGTGCGGCGGTCCGTGATGCGCTGCCAGTCCAGCATCTTTCCCGAGTTTTCTTGAAGCAGGTCTGACCGGTCCGCCACAGAGACCAATTTCCAGCTGTGTGGAATCGAGCTGTCCAGAATCAAAACTCGCTCCCTCGCAATGCCGCAGGCCTCGGCCGCTTGAACCACGCGCGCCTCGCATTCTGGTGAACACACCAACAACGTGACCTTTCCGTCCTCGATTTGACGGGTCAACTCTTCCACTCGGTATTCAGTGCTTGCGCCGGAAAAGACGCCCCCAGCAGCGACGACGCCATAGAAGAAAACAGGGGCAAATGGACTCCCATTGAGCACGGTAAGGACAACATCGATCCCTGGTCCCGAGGCACCAATGCCGAACCGGTGTCGAAGCACATATGCCACCTGTTTCAGCAATTTGCGGCTCTTGGCCTTGGTGATGCTGTTGGATGGATTTGCAGCTTGCACATGGATTTTGGTCTCCTCCAAGGCCAAGCCCTGGTCCGAGTCTGCAGTAGGAGAACTAATCAACGAGCCATGGCCGACAATGCGGACGATGGGGGAACATGGTTAACCCTTACCGAACAAGAGTGATAGGAGATCGAGACGAGGAATATCAATCTGCCTCTTGGATTTGAATACGACCATCTTTACGGGGTGGGGAACGAGGCGTCGGGAAGCCTTCTCTTGCCAGCACTGTTCTAGGAGCCGTATCATGGGGGATAAAGATGGCGGTTTATGCTGGAGTGTGCGGGGAAGACGCTGCGGGTATCGTATGCTATAGCCGAAATCCCCAGCGGCTGGGGGCCGAGAAGTGAAGTGTAGGAAGGAGTTGGACAGGGAGGACTTGGAGGGTGTTCCATATTCTGGGACATGGATGAGGTACTACTCGGTAAGGGTGTCACAGTGTTGGTGTTGATTGTTGTTGCTCCAGATTTCAAACGGACGAGAATGCGCAGACGGAAAATTGTTCCTCCGAAGGTCCTCTACGGCTTCACCGTCACCGGGATCTGCTTTCTACTATTACAACTTACCTCGTCCTCAAGACAGATCCATTCCACCTCCGTCGACCACATAGAGCAAAAGGTGCCACCGATTCCATCTCTATCGTGGAGTTCAGTAAATGTATGCGCCTGAAACCTCGGACATACCAAGCCGGGATTGGAGGCACACCAGCGACTCCGCTTCGTCAATCAAAGCCTGCAAGCCACCACCACTCACATCCCGCAGCCTCACTAGCCTGAGGCAAGCCCAGTACAAGCCTTTCTAAGCCTCGCGAAGCACCGCATTAGTTACAGTCTGGCCCGTCAGGCAGCCCCGGGGGCCAAAATGAAGAGCTGGTGGCTCGTGCCTCGGGACCACCCGTTCCCTGTCGACGATGGATTCTCAGCATGATATTATACCAACGTCGTCAATACCGACGGCCACCCCTCATTTGAAAAGACTACACTGTTCAACGAATACCTGCTAGAGGCACGGTGTAACATTCCATGCGCTCCTGGACTCTCGTGTTTCGAGGAGATACAAGCGACCCCTGGCGATAGCGAAATTCTTCGACAGGGGCAGTTACAGAGCTAGCCTGCCTTTCATTTGCTGTGCCGCGTGCATCGCCGCCACCGTGTTCCAACACCGACATGGACCCCAGTCAGGCGACCCATGCCATGGGTCTCGCAAGAGGTGTTTGGGAAGGTGTCAAATAGTCAGGCGACGCACGGCTGCACACTGAGGATGGTGTCCAACTTACATTCCTTGTACTCGTACTTCCATCCTTTGCTGGTCGCTGCAATTCTCAGACAGACATATCCCGTCAGTCAGGAAAGCTCATCGTCGACCTTGTCATCACAGGCTCCCGCCAATGCCCAGTTCCAAGACAACCTCCGAAACCGTGGCGGAGAGCGTCAAGTCCGCCAGTGGACGACAAGGGCGGTCGCTCTTGCGACAGTAAGATCTTAATCGTGTCTCCCTGTCTACTAGCCTGTACCCTGATCTCTTGCAAGTCACGAAAATCAGTCCCATACACGCAATGCCATATCGGCATGGGGCATCGAGGCTCTTGGGCTCTTGATTGCCATCATTGCTTTTGTGGCCATCGTCATCACGCTGACCGTCCATCAAGGCCGGCCTCTGCCTGAATGGCCGCATCTAATATCGATCAACGCATTGATTGCTATCTTTACGGCGATCCTCAAATCGGCCTTGATCCTTCCCGTAGCATCGGGTACGAATACTCTGGCTTGTCCTCCACCCCGCTTGGGCTGACGTTTTCTCTCCGCAAAAGGCATTTCAAGGCTCAAGTGGCTGTGGTTTACCCAACCTCGAGAAGCTGGTGACCTGGAGCATTTTGACTCTGCGAGTAAAGGGCCATGGGGCTCGTTCTTACTACTACTAGATCTCCGAGGCCGGTAAGACACACCTTCCAGAGTCCTCGAGCAAAGGCTGATGAGCCCAATATGCAGGCATTTGGCGGCGCTGGGTGCTCTGATCACTGTGCTAGCAACCGCCATCGATCCCTTCTCACAGCAAATCCTCGATTACCATGAGTGCTTGCGTCCAGCCCAGGGCGCGGGGGCTGCGCCGGCGACGATCCCAATCACAAATTACTATGGTGCTGGCTCGTACTTCGCCAACGGCGACTCCAAGATTACCGATGGAAACATGACGGCCGGAATCTATATGGGACTTATCAATCCTCCTGCCAATCTGTCCTCGACCATCGTACCTAATTGTGCTACCGGAAACTGTACGTTCTCCACTAATGCCAGTGACACGTATACCACGGTCGCCATGTGCAGTTCATGCACCGATATCTCCAAAACGATTCTAAATACAACCACCAGCGAGCAGCTGAATTACACAACGCCTTCCGGATGTCAGATCGGTCCCGGAGCTGTCGTCGCCAATTCGACGTACGTGGTCGACGAGAGTGACGACGCAGACACGTCCTTCGTGAACATTGACATCCTCACGGCTCAGAATAGCCCCAAGGGTGATGGTTCTAGAGCATTCGCCGCACGATGTAAACTGATTCCCTGTGTGAATACTTACACCGGCAATGTCAGTAACGGCATTTTGCACGAGACTTTAGTTTCCTCAACGGTCATGCCCCATGCGGGTGCCGCCTTCATTTATTGGTATAGCCTGGTTCTCCCTTCGGTCAGGCGCAATGGCAACGAAATATCCTGCGCGCCCACCGCCAAACCACGTCACCCCACAGACCTTTGCTCGGACATCGGGTTTACGCCATATAACTTCACTGCAACAAACCAGCAATGCTGGCCCAACGATTGCGTCTGGACGCTTGGCGTCAACCCGAGCGGTGGAATACAGGCGCTCATGGTGGAGCTTTTCCAGGGTTCGTACGTGACAGACATCGACGGCATTCCTGAAGGCGTTCCCTGGATGGTCAATCTCTACAACCAGGGTGACACGGGTCTTGCGCGCCTTGAGACTGCTTTTGCCGGGCTTGCAGATCAAATCACTTCGGTGATGCGTCAAAAAGGCGACAACTCGACAAGTCCCCTTGCGGTGGGAACTACGCTGGGAGTACAGACGTGCGTTGGCGTCCGGTGGTCGTGGCTGTCCTTTCCGGCAGCATTGATTGGATTGACGATTGGTTTCTTCGCCATCACCTTCCTGCGGATCTCAAGCAGCGAGGTCCGCAAACTGTGGAAGTCGGGTTCCTTGGTGCTGTTGTTTCATGGGCTGAGTATCTACAGTCTCCACCGTGTAGAGGAAGGACAGCCGGAGCAGCGGGCCGATGCGGAAGATGATGCGAAGAAAGTCACGACGCAGTTGCAGTGGTCGGGCGAGGAGTTCGAGTTTGTCGAAGCCTCGAGCTCGAAACGCTAGTAGCATCCAGCAAAACTACAGGGTTTATGGTCTTACTTCCTCGTATACGCGGCAGCGATTGCCGCTTTCTTTCTCCACCAACCCCGAGGCTGTCGGCCTGACAGTGGGAGAGGCACCAACTAAGCCCAGGCGGGATTAGACTCATGCCCCGAGATTGAGGAGGGGCGAGACCTTTCAGCCGCATCGTTCAAGAGTTCTATCTTGGTGAAGGTAGTGGAAGAAGAACCCTGGCGTGACGAGGCTGCAATGTCTTTTGGCTTCAGTGCAGGAGACTTCATCAGCGTTGTCGACTTGTCCTGGAGAGCGTTCCGTGCCGTGAGGGACGCCCCCGAAAAGTTTGGGGTGCTTGAGGCCGACGTCTCGTGCGTGTCTCGTTGCTTTGCCCCTTCGTGGCCGTGGGAGCTGACCCAAGTCATGTCCAGCACCCTGAATGTCCTCCTCCGGACTCTGCAAGACGATGCCGAGAACCCCAACTCGCTCCTCAATCGGCGGGGAGCCAGTCGGCGGGAGGCGCTGTTGCGAATGGTCGCCACCATTGAGAAGCAGATGGAGGAACTCCGACGTCTGGTGGAGAAGTACCAGAGCCTAAGCTCGGCGAAGAAGAGAGTCTTCGACCGGTTCATGTTTGCGCCCAAGGCCCTGGACAAGACGCGAGCGGCCATTGTGAATCACGTCCTCTACATCAACACCTTCCGGCAAAGCATTTCCCAAGAATCGCTCTCGCGCATCGAAAAGGTGTTGGAGGATGGTGTACAGGTCCTGCGCGAGGGCAGACGTGCGCCGAGCATCCTCTCCGTGCACCAGAAGAACGATCAATCGTCGTGGGAGGCGCTCAAGAAAGACCTCGCTGACGAGGGCATTCCCTACGCCGAAATCGAGAAGCACAAGGCCGCCATCAAGGATTACATCGGGTTTCTGATCAAGACGCAAAATATCGCGGAAGACCTTTCGGATGACGACGACGATGACAGCGCTCAGTGGGATTCTATCTCAGCACGAATGGGGCAGATGGTGGTAAGTGAGGACGACCATGAGGAACCTGTAACAACTGGTCCGGATCCCAAGATCGCCCCCGGGTCGTCAGAAGCTCCTCTCAGTGCAGTCGAACAGGCAGTCGCGTTGTTTGACTTTGAGGGTCAGCAAAAGGGTGATCTTTCGTTCAAAGCCGGCGACATCATCGAGATTATCTTGCGGACCGAGAGGCAGAATGCATGGTGGACAGGAAGCCTGGCGGGTAAACAAGGCCAGTTCCCTGGTAAGCAATGTCTGCTGCTTTCTTGACACGACAGCCACAACAACAACGAGAACAATGAGAGGGGGAGTTTAACGTCGATGTCTTCTTCCACAGGCAATTACGTCAAGTTAGTTCCGAGATCGATCTCTTCTGGTTTACCCTCTCGGCTCAACGAGACACCCAAGCTAGGGCCAGGAGCCGAAGCCCGTCAGACGGGCACACCCTTTCTCGTGCTAGGTCTGCCAGGTGCCGTCTTTCAGTTCGTCGAGCGGGTGCGCCGATTACCAGGAGGGTCGTGGTCGGCCCTAGAGGACTTTGGGTCGTGGGAGGCGTGGACGTTGGCCTTCAATGGCCTCAACTTCACCTTCTACCACTATCCCAATCGTCGAGATTCTGCGTCGGCCATGCACCCGCCGGTGCCTTTCGTCGGCATCGTCTTTGTGTGCAATCTGCTCTCCCACGCGCGGCCACCACCGAGGCCCAATGGTCCGAGGGCGCCCAAGCCGGGGACTGAGATGCTCCAGACGCTCGAGTCTTTTGGGCAGATGTGCCGGTCGCCAAGCCTCCCTCGGCGACCCATCTTCCTGTTCCTCGACAGGGTGCAGGAATTCAAACACCGGATCGAGTCCGGCGAGGAACCGCTGGGTAATGCTTGCTTTCCGGACTATCAAGGGGGAGCGGACACCAACCGGGCGGCGAAATACATTCTGTGGCGCTTCACCTCGCAGCATCCTAAGCGTGAGCTCTATCCACATCTCATCGAGTCGAGCGACAAGGAATGCATGGCGGCCGTTTTCCCTCTGGTGCTGGAGCATGCGAGTCGAACACCTGCGTCTGGTCCTACAGTTTGAGAAAGTGTATGGAGCTGTTTGATATACAGACACACACACACACACACACACAATTTGATATACAGACACACACACACACACACACACACACATATATATATATATATATATATATACATATTCATAAATATGTATGTCGAGAGACGAAGGTTTAGATAGGAAACCATTGGCTACTGTCATATTGAGGGACATGAGGCGGACACAGTCGACAACAACGATTAATACCAAATCCAAAGTCAATATCACACCGGACACCACCTGTTCCAAGCGAACCCATCATCTACCTAAACGTACATAGGCGGGGCCCCCTCCTCGATATCGTGCATAACAATCGTCGTACAGACGTCCTCGTCGTTTTCCTCGTCCTGGTCATACCCCGTGCGTCTCTCCGTCGCGACACTCCTCAGACGCCGACACACCGGCCCACCCGGTGTCGCCGAGGGGCCTAGGTCATAGAATATCTGCAGGGGCACTTCGAGCCTGAGCTTCGTCTGCTCTGTGTTGAGCCCAGAAACTTTCACGTCCAGCAGCAAACTATACTGCTGGCTCGCCGTGGGGCACCAGAACGTCGGGACCAGACCGTGCGGAATCGTGAGCGGGCAGCGGAAGAGGTTGCTGCTGTGCCAGAGACTGTAGTCAGCTGTCGAAGCCTGTGCACCGTCATCACTGCGCCGCCTCTTGTGAGTCTCCCACTTCATTTCTTCTTCTTCATCATCGTCTCCTTTCCCCGCCACTGCGAAGGGACCGTCATAAGCCTCCTTGAGGGAACCACCCAAAGAAGGCGCGGCTGATTCGACGGGAAGACCCATGGACGCCCCCAGCTGAAATGCCTGGTCGTTCATCCGGCAATTGCTCGTCGGAGTCAACATTGCCTGTCCTGGGACCTTCTCGAAGGCGACGGGAGTGTAGAATGTCTTGGCCCGGAGACAGGTCTGCACCTGAATCTTGACTTTGGCGAGGAGGCTGCGAAGTCGCCGTTCATCCACCGCGTGTGAAGTAGCCGGTCGTGAGAAGCAGACGCGGAGGTCGACGTTAGCGACCTGGTCCGATTGGCGACAGTTGAACGCCACCGCCGCTGGCTCTGTCGTCGAGATTCGGAGACGAAGTTTGGGCGATTCCAGTCTGCGGAGAGCACACGGGGTCTCGGCGACGGTCCTGTATTCGGCGGCAAAGTCGCCCAGACTGATTGGCGGCATGATCGAGGAGCTCTTCCAGATCTTGATCGGCTTTTCTTCCCTCAGAGTCCACGTACTCGGTGACGATTGATCCAGGAGCACCACTTCGCCCACGAGATGATACGAAATGTTGGGCTGCGCGAAGACTCTGCCGTGGCGAGGGCTCCACGCGAGGCCGCCGATCAACGTCGTCGGGGGGAGCTCGAGACACCCGGCGGGCAGTTTGTCTGCGTTCGATGATATCGTACGAGATATCAGGAAATCAAAGGGAATCCGATATGTTGCGAGGTAAGAAGACTTTTGGACCTCCCCACTGACTTTGGCGACGCAACGCACGTCGTGGTTCTGGTAGAGAAACTAGAAGTAGTTTGTTAGCTTCGACAAGTACAGGTCCCAAAGAGGAGTTTATTCCATCTACTTTATGTACTGAAAACTCTCTGCTGCGGTCCTTGTTCACACTGTGAATCAATGACAAACCTGAGGCGGCATTCGCATCAGCTGGATCTCAAGGCGTTTTCATGTGGCTTCGCATGCATACCTTCGAGGTCGATCCTGGCACTCGAGATGGCTGCTGAATATGGCACTCTGATAACGACAGACCCACGTATGTGTTCTCCCGGAAGCCAGTACGGTTGTTCGAATACATCGAATGTGATGCTCATTGTCTCTGCGGTTTTGTTGCCGAGCTGAGACCCCCACAGGTGCTGCTCCATTTCTCCCTCTTTCTCACAAGCCACACAGGCCGCGTTTCGAAGATTTGGTATGCTTTTGTACAATCTGATATATGTTTCTTTCCAGCGTATAAGGGGAAAAGTATGAGAAGGACCGGTGTATCGTTCAACCCAAAGTTGCTATGACGCATGGATATATCAACACGTATACGCATCAGAGCTCACGCATTGAAAGCGAAGAGTATAGGTAATGCTATAAGTATAGCTCGTCTGTTTCTATACAGCCCTTTCAAATGTATCACAGGTAGAGAGACAGAGACCTGGCTGCAGGGTGAGATGACGTATTGGAAAGGAGAACAGCCGTTCAAACCAGAGATGCACATGAAGCAGCGGTCAAAGAGCAAGGACTGGGATATGGTCAGGCACTCAACGGATGGGCACAAGGGAACGAGAGATTGAGACAAGAAACCTGCCGGCTCGCGCCCAATATGAACCTGATCGACGTTGAACGAGGAACTCATCTGTGCTGATGCTCGAAGTCAATTTGATATTGAATAGAGTATGCCTTGTAACGGGGTTAGATTGTATTGTTGGCCCAATCCTCGTCGAGGACAGCTACTAACTCTGCAGGTTCGGGTTAGCATTTGTGGCCAAAGCAAGCACTGGCCATGAGGCGGCCAGTGCACAAGAAACACCTTCCTCTACCAACAAAGTGGTCCCGGCGCCAGTCCTTTTCTGCTGTTGCCACAAAACCTCACTGAATTGACGGCGTTAGGACAGTTCCGCAGCCCCCAAAATAGGAGCGTCGTTCGCCTTAGGTGTCGATCCATGCTGCAAGGCCACTGAGATATCGCCAGGAAGCTGCAGCGCCATGCGATGAAAGCCACAGCATCATGCCTTGGTAGTTTGGGGGAACTTACATCTGTATTGGTGGTCTGCTGAAGTAAACGCTTCCATACGAGTAATGGCGAACCACAAACGTTGATTCGTCAAAAATGCCCGGCATGCGTTCACGCTCGTAGTCAGGCCCCCTCGCCACCATTCGAAGCGGCGAGCCCGATTCTTTTAATTTGAGTGTTTCCCCCGGTGCTCGTTTGGATTTTCCGAAAATGGGATGGAGTGTCACTCCACGGCCAGAGTGACCACTTCACACCGGCGCTGAAGAAGATTGGGGGCCGACCAGAAGATGGATACAGGCACACGATTGCAAGTTTCCTTTGGCGCGAAATCGGCGTCAACACAATTTACCAGTTTGAGGATAGAAAACAGTCACTTCCAAAGACAATGGCGCCTACACAAACGAGGGAAGAGCATACGACAGTCTCACCGGTGGGGGATCCGATGACACTGTTGCCTGCGTTTCTGCCCGTGGTGTTGTCAGCGTGGCTATTGCTTGCCGAGGTATATATATGTATTTATAAAATCCCCGAATAGTCGTCGCCCAGGGTTATTTCGCTGACTTATCCCTCGCCGCTTTGCTCTCCCGCTAACGACTATTTAGTCGATTCGCTCCCTCGTCCGCTCTCTTCTACTCCCTTCCTCCGCAAGCGTGGTGTGCGGTTCATGACGGTCAAGCGGTGCAGGGTGGTGTAACGCTAGAACGAGGGATGACATGTACCAGCCGAATTGTGGCTAGAGTCGGCGGCACTGGGCACTACTCATAGTCGATTCCTCTCCCCTATAATAGAGCGATTGACACGACGACACTCGGCGCGTACTGCCAAGATGGCTGCGGGCATATATTCTGTCCTAAAGAATCGGTCTCCAGTGGAAAATTTCTGGGACTCAGCTTTATCGCTATCGGCAAGGCTGGTAAACGCCTCCGCGTGGCACATCAGAGGACACAGGAGGCTTACATTCATGCAGGTACGACAATTTACTCCGGTGCTCATGGACGGCGCACTTTTGATACATGCGAGCCTATGAAGCTGTCAACTGCGGGATGGGTGGCGTCCATGTCCAAGCTGATGACCTCGGTGGCGATCTTGCATGCTGTGGAGCGAAGCCTGGTCGGCTTGGACGATAACGTTGCAGAGATATTGCCGGCGCTTCGTGAAAAGGAGGTCTTGATCGCCTACGATGATATAACCAAAGTCTCCAAATTTCAGGCGCTCACGGAGAAAATCACTTTACGGTACAGAGAGGACCCCCACCATTCGTCTGTGATGAGGTTAGGCGCTTACATGTAAGTTGAGACGGCTATTATCCCATTCGGCTGGCTGTTCCTATCCTCCGTTCCATCCAGTGCTTGACCAATGGGCCACAGACAACAACCGGACGATGGATGTGTTCTTTGGCGAATTTGTAAGTTTCAAGTCCAGAACATTCTACGCCAATTTTGATGTTCTGACGCACCTTAGGAGCAAGACTGGGATCTTCTATTTGCAGCTCAGCCAAGGGCCAGCTGGTTTTATGGCCAAGGCCTTGACTGGGCAGGTAAGGTACTCGAAAAAGTAAGCAATATGACGTTGGAGGAGTATATGTAACAATACATTTGGACGCCGTTGGGCATGAAAAACACCACCTTTCATCCTGAGTCGCGTGAATCCTATCCCATGCTGGAAATGGGCACGCGCGAAAGTGGCCCAGGCAGTAGACTGGCGCGAGGACACGGCTGCCCCTATCCCATTCCCGCAGTGAACGAATCGGGAGGCGGCGGTATATTTACAACTGTGGAAGACTTCGCCAGATTGCTGGCTGAGCTTCTCCGAGACGACGGAGTGCTGCTCAAGAAGGATACCATCGACGAACTTAGTGCCACCGCAACTGAACGAAGCTGGTAAAGCAGGATTGAAGGAATTACGCGACAGGGGCCTGATTCTGGCCGAGATACCCCCGGAGATTCCTGTCGACCATGCCCTGGGAGGTCTTTACTTCGCCACCGATGTCCCCTGCGGTCGTTCCAAGACCAGCATTGCTTGGGACGGCTTGACTAATTCCAACTGGGTATTATGTTCCTCTGTTCACCACTGCGTTCCATTTTCATGCTGACATTTTTGACCTGTTAGCTGCTCGACCGTGAGGCCGGGATTGCCATGGTTCTGTTTGTTCAGATCTTGCTGGTGGATAGTGACACCAAAATCTTATGGAGCAAGTTGGAGAGGGAGGTGTACGCCATGCTAAGAAAAATGAAGGAATGATTGCCGCTCAGAAATGTTGATACCATGGGCAGATTTGACACAGCGGCATCGTGTCCGCGTTCGCGCGCGCCATGCTGGTGCCCATTAGAACTGGAGTATTCATGTCATATTGTACGAAAACTGCCTCCGGTCTGCGGAATGGAGGACCACACTACTTAGTAAGCCCTCGGATAACAGTATTCTAAAACAGGATCGATGGAAAGGGAGCCAGTAGTATCTACACCGTTCGTTGTGCGCACGTTAGAAGCTTGATGCCAATGGCCTTCCCCTACTCAAGTAGTATTGAAGTCTCGGACAGGTCCACGTCTTCTAGAGGTGCTAGCACCGTCCGAGATGGCAAGAACGGGGAGCTTTTTCATGGTTCCGAATGCTGATAGGAGATTGGGATTATCGAGCGAGACGCACATCCTGACAAGCCAAGTGGTGCCGACAAAAAAAAAGCTCCCATGCACCCAAAAGAGCGAAGGAACAGACTGTTTGACCGATCTTGGGGAATAGCGGTTTCTTCTCTGCAAACAGCAAGGATTTCGCCTGAATCAACGTCGGCGATCCGAAGCCCTAGTTCTGAAACAGAACTCGCCTCCGCCACTACTGAGATCAGCCTGGGCATAGGCTTTATTGATACCGTTGATAATATTTTAAAAGCGTGACCCTGTGGCCAGCACTGGAACACGATTAGGCCACCAGGAACAGGGAGTCCGCGGGACGTGATATAACAATAATCCTAAGGACAGCTTGCAGCAAGCGCATCTCTTGCGGTAGAGGAAAAGTGAGGGCGCCTGTGCCGAGTCTGTGTTCGGCAGAAGTGCGAAAACGCGATGTTTTGGTCAAGCAGCACTCGTTCACTAGTTCCCCTGGGTATACATGGTTTCAAGTCTTTGCGACTCCAATGCCGATATCAGGGATCGGAAGTCACTCTTAATGTAAAGGGGCTGTCCATACTCATCATCGTTGACAGGTTCCAACCAATCTCGAGGTATATCGTAACTCTCGTTGATTTGCAAATAGCTCCCGCTCTTTGACATTTTCAACGGCAAAATTCCATCTTGGACTCTACCAAGTAAACGGAGATGCAGCTGAGCACGGGCCTTCCCTTTGGGTGTTGGTGCAATTGGTAAACACTCAGAGAGATTGGATGGACTGGCTGTGATCTAAAATATGTCAAATGCTGTGTTTAGCCGTTTCCTTTCAAGTTGGGGTAACTAACCACCATACACTGATAGGTGCCTGTCACTCTTCGTCCGACGACGACGACAGGGTGAAATACTGCCCCGCGTGGTATGCCAAACTCCTTCACACAGCGTTGCTTGTTTCGTACAGTGCATACTCGTCCCCACATATCTTTGTCACTGAAGGGCATCCTAACTTCTTCCATTGTTCTTTGGTCAATCCGGTCTTCGTGATATAGTGCAGTAGAAGTCTGCGGCCGAGACCGATACTGTTAAGCCAGTCAAGGTCAGGTATCGTAAAAATGCTTTAAGCAAAGGTTCACTCCTGACGCAGCGGAACGACCATGTAACTCTGGCGTTGGACTCCTGAGCCCGATATTATCGCGTTACTTGCAAGTAGTCTTCAACAAAAAGAGGCACGAACAAATTTCCCCCAAAAAAAGAAAAAAAAGACAATGATAACTAAACAAAAAGAGAGATTCATGTAGCTGCCGTTTAAGTGTGGCCCTTTTGGGCCTTGCGGAACGAGCGGGGGACTGCCCCTAACTCCGAAACCATTTTCCCTCGATTTCCGATAAGGTCAAGCCCATGTATCGTAACATAATGTATTCAGACTGTTACATGCGCCCGACAATGATTGGACACTTTTAGTGAGCCTATATATAACCATAAATAGAAAAGAGCAAGCAGAGGCGGATTAAATCCCTTGTTCCGTTCGAATAGGACACCGAATTCGCACATTACTATAAAGCGAAGTCTGCAGCAAAGTTGAGGGAAGGTGAATTAAGACAAGGAGGATGGGTTCCGAGTTGGTAGCGATCATTTGAATTGTTCTACCGCCAGTTTCGAACTATGTTCCCTGCCAGAGCCCAGAATTGGTGTTGGAGGCCTAGAAAAGACTCGCACCAATCTGCCTATGGTTTGTGCTAGTCCGTGCATTCTTACCTCATAACCTCGTCTTGAGCCCCACGGTTAGAGGCAAATGCAAATGCACTTTTGCTTTAATGCACAGCACAGTAGCTCGTTGCAGGTGATCTTATTGAAGGTCATTGCTTTTGTAATCTTGAGTTTCTGCTCATAGGCCCGCTTCTGGTGTCACCAGGAGGGTGGAATGGTTTAGATCTTTGATGTTGGGGCTCTTACTCTCCTCATGTCCTAGTTATGGGCCCTTGGAATGGCGACTTTTCGGGGGACCAAGAAGAGGTCCCTATGCGTTCGAACAACTTGGAATCACTGTATGTTTCTACGACAGGCGCTGGTGCTAGCTGGGCCTGCCCATTATGACACGTCACAGATGCCGCCTACTTCCCTCTGAATGAAACCGTAAGCTCATTGGCGTTGCTGCAGACTAAATGGGCCTTAGATGATCACAATACACTATGGAGAAGCCAATAATCGAGCCTGTAGCTTTGTCCCAATGGGATCATATAGATGGGCGCTTAAAGTAAATCCATGTTCAAGATTAAAGTAAATCCACGAGAGCAGGGTGAAGAGCAGAAACACCTCACTTTCGAAATGTAACCCTACATTTATCCCACGTGAGTAAATTTTCGAATAGTCTAGATAATCCTTCACAGGTAGTTACTGTCCCCCAGAGGATTTCGAAGCTCTCCATCGAGCTTGGAAATGTTCCGAAATTGTCTTTATTTTGACTCTCCACTGCCGCCTTCTTCATTACTAACCCTTTAGTGCTCATAAAATTCAGTCTGCGTCGCACGAATGTTCATGCTCGGTCCCTCCAGTATGTCTAAGACGGTCTTACCCAAATCTCATGAATATACCGGCATATTCCTCCCAAACGATGGACTCAATGCTTGTGGCGGACTCCACATGCAGCGCCTGATACTATTGCCTACGATGTGTAAAAGATGCAATTATTTCGAGAGCGTTTTGGTGAAACGAAGTTGAGTAGTCGCCTCTTTCACCGTTTGGCAAGGCAGTTGTCTTCGCCTTCCCATTGACGGCGCTGAAGCGCCTCTTTTGTCCCGCCCAAATGGGCTTAATGCTGTCCAGATGACACCAGCGACTGGGGTGATGGAGGATAGGAGGATTTAGGATGACCAGGTTAAGGAAGCGGTGAGCCCTAAAGACAGCCTCGCTGGTCCTAAACCTCAGCGAGGTCATGGTCTGGGGGCGGATGACCTTTGGTGCCTGCACAATGTCAAGATTTTGACGAAACCGGGGCATTTTTAGGTAAGGCTGTTGTTGATTCGGCAGGATCTGAGCAAGGTTATGCATGCGCCCGTTTACCTCTGCCTCTTCTCAGGCCAGGTCTGATCGTCTATATACAATATGTTAGGTGCCAGGAAGACCTCTCCTGAGTCCTGCCATGCCGCAAGGCCTCCTGGCACCAGGCGCAATCGAGTAAAGCTTGAAGCGCTGGTGGAACGACAAACTGTCTCAAGCGCAACACATCCTATCCAATTTTGTTGTCTCTCTGTCAAGTCTGCACAGCCACGCAGCTCCTGCCGGTTCCATGTCGATTGGCCGCATCTGCACGCTGTTATCAGGTCGGTCAATCACGCCTTACCCGCCCCAATTTCTATGCCATGTCCAACTAAAGTATGACCCCGCCGCCAGGAACGCCCAACAACCAAGGCATGAAGGACGCACGGTTGCCAGCACGCGGTGGGAATCCGACTTTAGCGATGAAAATCATCTCCCGACGGCTCCTCCGGACGTGCATTTGAGTCATTGATGGACCACTCTAGTGCAGTTAGTTTGATAGTTTGCGTCCTCGGTCTAGTTTCCCATAGATCACTATTCATACCGATGGAGGTAGTTTATCTGCGGTTACGGTTACCAAGGAAAGTACAGTATTAGTAATTAAACTACTGTCTTATCAATATATAAACTTCTGTAGAGTGCTATGGATAAATCAATATCGTAGGTTGATTGGAGGGTGCCTCCTCCAGGCCGCCGCGGTGATTTTCTTGCTGATAATACCACAGGATACACAGCTGATATTCCGAAGCACTGTCGGGTGCAACGGTCGACCGTATCCAGCTACGTACACTCATCCGTACGGCGAAGTACAAGAGCCAAAGATTTTGTATTCTGATATCAGAGCTCAATTCCGAGTCAGGAATTGTATGGGCTTTTCTATTGATACATCCACATTGCAGCTTTGAGCGATTTCATCCGGTCCAAAGCACCTAGGGCTCGATAATAGAACAGGGAAGCTCTCTTCTTGCCCACACACTTTCACCAACTTCCCAGCAACCCTGGCTCTGAAGGGACCCTACGAAGTCGACCTAAGCTTGCAGGCTCCAAAAATCCAAAAGGAACGTAATTCTGACCGAGTTTCCGGTTCGGAGAGCAATTTTGAAGCTCCCCAGCGCCCAAGATGGGCTTCACAACAGGCTTTGTGAGCACCGCCAATTCCTCTGTTCATGCTTACTGAGGAAGTCCCTGGCACTGACGGGATATTCTGGATAGCTCGGCGGTGCGACACTAACCTACTCCCTTCTCTACTTCTCTCTATACGTCCACCGCGCCAACCGCAATGTCCAACGCACACTCCTGTCCCAGCAAGCTACGCTGCTCAATTCCGTCGTTGAACCCGCACCTCCGTTGCCCGATCCCCCAGCGTACGAGGTCCGCCGAGCCGGACTATTAGAAGAGCTCAAGGATCGGTGGAACAGAGAGGTGGAGAGATTGGTCAAGAATGTGGAGGAGACGGACTGGTCGGGCGTGAGGGAAGAAGTCGAAGAGAAGGTGGGGAACGTCTGGACGAGAATCAGACAGTCGCAGACGGGCAAGGAGGTGGAAGATAAGGTGAAGGAGGTGGTAGATGCTGGCAAGGAGAAGGTGGACGAGATGGTGAGTGCTGGGAAGCAGACAGTCAAGGAGGAGACGGCACAGGAACCGACAAGGCTGTTGGAGTTGAAATAATGTTGCAGCGACTGTCGAAGCAGCATACTCTGTCTTGTTAGTATGAACGGTCAACTTCTCCTCCGCCCAAAGCTGCTACAGTCAATACGACCCACCCCAGAGATCAGTCTCGCGCACATGAAGAATCCGGTCACTTCCAAGATGCTCTCCCAGCCGCCGAGCTTCTAAAACCGGGTTGAACTGGATCGTCTCGCCCCGAACGATGGCTCGACGCTCCCGGCCAACAAGCTATCAACTCTCCGTCAAATACTGAGCTTTGAGCAATCCGCTGTCCCAAGTCAGTCTCCCGTCTGTCTGATGGAGTTGGTCATTGGCGTCTTCGAGCTGAGGTCGCAGAGCACGACGGGGTGTCTTCCAGCGGATGTCCGCCTTTCGACTGGCGACTGCCAGCCAGCAAAATCACTGTACCAGCTCTCGCGACAAGAGGACGAGGATATCTTGTAGGGCTCCATTTTGGACGCAAAGACGTCTCCGGTGAATACTCCAAACCCGACGAGACAGCGTGCGCAAAATCGCGTCTATTGGATTGTGAGTAAGGAAATGACAAGCAAACGAAGAGACGACGGGCTAAGATTCGACGGGAAGAGGAGCGCGGTGGCGGAGGAAAGACAAGAGTCGTTCAGGGAAGGTGCCCAAATATGTCTCAGCTATTCTATCACAACAAATTGAAATCCGGGTCTCCTTTTTCGTTCCTTATCGAGCTGGGGACCTTGAAGTTTCCCGCTCTGATTTTTCGCAATCAGGTCTTATCCATGACATGTCATCGCCTCGCAGGAGCATGTCACCTCCGGCATGCTTGCATCTAAGCTTTCAGACTCCAGGACAGGATTGGGTCACATAGAAAACAAACCGACGCCTGTAACACCATGCATGCTGTTGTTCGAGTTTTTCCATCGTTTCCTTCGAGAAGTGTTCCCAATCGCCAAGTGGTCCTTGTACGGCGAGCAAAATCGTCATGTCAAGTTGCTCATTCGTCGTCATCATTGATTCATCATGTGGCTCTCTTCGCGTGCTCGCTCACATTTCAGTTCCTGCAAAGGGTGTCATGCGTCGACGGCAGCTCTCCAAAGATGGAGAGCGAGAGACAATGAGCACTCATACTGTATTCGTCGTTTGCGCCCGCTCGTTGGCCCTCTGTAAACTCTTTTCCAACTCCTTGACCCTTGCCCTCAATGTCTCGTTCTCCCGCTTCACGGCCTCGAGTTCCGCACGCTGCGACGCCGCCTCTTCATACCTCGCTTGCGCAAGAGCTGCGTTGGAGCTCGGAGAGCGTGTCATTGCGGCATGAGTGGAGACAGACGCGGCGTCCACTGACGACGACACGGAGCTGCGGTGCGGGTATGCGTACCCTCCTTGGGTCAAGTGGGGGGAAGAAGTCATCGAACTCGACCGAAATCCCGATGCAGAGGTCGAATTCTGGCGACTCATATCTGGTCTGCTCATTTCCATGCTGGGTCGTGCACTGGCTTGAACACTCTGATCTCGTGGAGCGGCCACGCCCGAGACGCTGGTGTTGGCGGCATTACTGAGACTTTCACGGATTGAACGGGCTGAACGAGCGGAAAGGTTCGAGGAGGAACGATGGCGGCGGGTGTTGGTGGGGATGATGGTGGTTCCTGTTGTAGTTGGGTTGTATGGGTCGCTGGAGAACAAGTGCTCGGAAGTGGAGGAGGTGGTTGAGGCAACAGAGGCAGTTTGGGCTCGTAGAGCAGAGAGTTCTCGCGTCAGTCGATTGACCTGGTCGCCGTCGTGGTCAGTGACCCTCTCTTGCATGACGTTGTCCTCGCCCGCACCGAGTACTTACAATGCTCTCTTGCTCTTTTTCAAGTTCCAAGTGTAATTCAGCCGCCGTGAGAGGTCTTGGATGTCGAATAGGCCCTAATTCATTCTCAGCGGATCATTCTCGAGTGTCTGCAACAATCTGTGCTCCTTCTCTACTGACCTGGGCCCAAACCCACTCCTGTGTTGTCCAGCATAGCCGCCTGTGGCGGCCTGGGTGAACTCGGGAGGCTGTTATTTTGAGGCAACGGCGGAGGCAGCATTTGTGTCGAAGTTCTCCTCGAGGCGGGCACAGAAGGGGGTTGTGGTGCGGCAGAACTAGTCCTTGGAGCCTGCGGGTTGGGGACACCTCGAGGGGATCTTTCGATCGCGTTGAGGTCGGGCATCTTCGCGTCCTTATAAGAAGGGAGCACTGGAGTAATTGTCAAGACAGGTTTCAGAGAGAACACAATGTGTTCTGCCGTGTCACTTTTACAAGTCCCCCATCGAAGCAGGAGGAGCAGGAGAGGGATGCGGTCAGTGGCAGGGGGGCAGTTTTGTAGGGCGACGTTAGACACCGGGACGGTCTTCAATAACCTTTCCTCTACAAGTGAGGCGAGTACTGAGCAGACCGCGCACGACGTGGTAAGGAATAAGTGGTCTTTACTGAGGGCCAACGAAGCAGGTCTCAGTTCTCCTTGCGTAGGTTGAAACCATGAGGTCGCGTCGCCTTGGGCCAATCACAACTCGTGACCAAAGCACCTTCCTGCGCCTTATTTCCAGATTGTAGTCGCAGCCCCAAAAGGGAAAAATGTAGTGTGTGAGGAGCATAGTCATACTCTTGGTCATCTGTCAAACATCTATATCTTAAACATGGATGGATTTCCTCCTGCCGCCTCTCACCCTGTATGAATCGCTCCCTGAATCATTGCCGTGCCATTGCCCCTTGCATGCCCTTCGGTGTCCCTTGCTGAAGACGCGTAGATGTTGCGACGAGCATCAATCGACGTAGACGACATAACCTCCTAAATCCAATCAAATATTCTATTGTTTCGTGTGAGGAGCTGGTGGCAACTGCATCAGCTGACTTGCCGTTTGTCTTCTGACTACCGCCAAACGCACGTCACAAATCGAAGAAAGAGCGCTGCAGAGGTACCGGTTGCAAGTGGCACTCTGGCTGCCCTGGTTCACCTGTCGCCAGCGCAATTATCAGATCTCAAACATGCGACACACCGGTTGATGGTTCAACGATGGGCTTCCCGTTGGTCACCACCGGGTCTGCATCGCTCTCCCTCATAGGAGATGAATCCGAAGATGCAGCGAGATCCAGGTCGTCATGATCCCAGCCCTCTCCAACTTTCGAGGGACTCTTTTCTCGGGCGTCCTCGCGAAACTTTGGCGACTGGTCTCTCGGAGCATTTTCGACATGAGCACTGTCGTTGTCCTTCTCATCTTCCCCGATCATTGCAGCCAGGCTTCGGAAATTGAACATAGGCTCGAGACTTCCCGGCGGAGGAGTACCGGAACCCGAAAATGAGGCTGCAGGACCTGGCTCGACAAATGAAGACGAAGCGGATGAGGCAGTAGACATTTGCCGGAGATGAGATCTTCGGAATGGTTCGGCCGCAGTAGGGATGGGTATGGAACTCGCCAAAGACTCTTGACTGGTCCCAGACAACGACAGCGACAAAGCCGGAATATATGATGGTCGCGGAGCGTCGTCCTCCACCTTAGCTCCTCCTGTGGGAGGGGTATCACTCCGTTCTACTCCCTTGCCCTTGCTGGTCGTAGAGTCGTCATCCTGGCCGAGGGAAAGATTGCTTCGGGACCTTTCCATCTGACTGCTGGATGCGTCCCCAGTGCTACCGTTTGAATTGACTGTGAAGAGACTGTTCTTCCGCGCTGCTTTCTCGGCCTTCTTGGTTTCCTTTTCTTTCTTCTTTGCTTCCTTTCGAGCTTCCTTTTCCTCTTTTTTCCTGCGTTCTTCTTCAGATGCTAGACTCAGGCGGATGGCCTCCATCATCATCATGTCTTCTAGGTCGTCCATGCGACTTCGTCGGGAACTGCTGCCACGTGGGGGAGGCAACAAGGGGTTTGCGCGGGTCTCTCCAGCAGCCTCTTGTTGCCGCGCTGCATGCCTCTCCGCCAGCATTGCCAGCGCACTCAGGTTCGAACTCGGACCATTCTCTCCACCTTCGAGGGTGGATCGTCTCAACATCCCGCGCCGGCTAAATGCTGCGAAGGCTCGTGAGTCGGCATTCTGCCCATTCATCAGATATGCAGCTGTATGTAACGCCGTAGCTGCTGCAGACCGTCGGGCAGCATGGGCCCGAGCAGCTGCCAGCTTGGTCGCCCAATCAGGGCGTATCTTGTCTGTGGTGATGACTTCCGGGGCATTGGCCGACAAAGAAGTGCCACGCCTCCGGCCCGGCCCTGGAGAGAGGTTTCCAGAGGAAATGGAGGTTTGAGAGGACATGGCTGACATGACCTGATATGGCTGAGATCCCGTGCCATAAGTGAGCCCTCTACGGAATGGAGGTGGCGTGTAGGTGATACCAAAATCAGGGGTTTTACAATACGGGCAGGTTGCAATCTCAGAAACAAGCAGACCATCGGCCTGCGCTTCACGCTCAGCGTCTGAGACTGGTGGCGCATTGGGATCCGGTTGTTCGTGTTCCGGAGGGTGGGGATCGGGCCGCTTGATTTGAACGAAACATTCTGAACAGATAGGCTGCTCGCAGCACCTGGTTGTGTTAAGATAGGGCGGATAGTATAGGAAACAGATTGGACACTCTGATGCGTCCTTGTAGAGGTAGACTTCGATGGGCTGTCCATTGACGAAAGGATCTGGCGGCAGCTGGAATTCTCTTGGGGTCATATCTACCTGGGAATTGCCCCGAGAGGAGGTCGCCAAAGACGCCAGTGTCTTGGCACGAGTCCGAAAGGTGCTCGTCCCTGGTGAGCCGGTGGGCGGCGGTGAAGAGGGTGAAGGAAGCGGTAAGGAATTGGGAGGCGGCGACAGGGGCGCGGAGCTATCTGACTGAAAGGACTGCGACCTTCCTCCGATTGGGATCGTCAGGCTTTTGAGTGCAGATTCTTTGCTCCTGTCCATAGTTACCCTTTTCGCGAGCTGGTATTCGAGTTCCGGAGGCACTTCATCCGGTGGTGGAATGGGCAAGCCTCGGGCGGCGGCCATGAGTTGATGTTCAGCCCACGAATCCGAGAAATCGTTCAGTCCTCTCCAGAATGGAGCCAGTCGTCTCTCAATCTGGACCACATCAGATCCCTCTCACAGATTAGACGGGCAACATTGCCTTACCATGAATTGTCTGACAATTGCTTTGTTAAAGTCTTCCGTCCCCACATAGACACCTTGAGTCACCAGATATCCCCCATCGACGTGCTCTTCTCTCATGCTGCGTTCGCGTTCCTTGAGTCTTGCCATTCTTTCCTTTTCCACCTTTCGAGCTTCTCTTTCCACCTTGGTCTCGCGTCGCTGCTCGAGTGAAGAGGCATCTTGATCACTGCCTCCACCAATGCCGAGGAAGGAGAAGTCGGGTCGGCTGCCTCTTCGTTGACGGGGGTGCGCGGGTCGAGGGGGAGCTTCCAAGCTATTTTGTTGTCCATCTTGTCGTCCCGTCGGGCTTGTACTGCCACTGACCCGTGGGCCAGAGGAGCCGTGGCCACGTGCTTCCTTTGTCTGGGAATTCCCCATGGTGGACGTGTTTCTAGGTCGATGGGCAACCTCTTGCTACTGATAAACACCGATCTGATCAATCATCGCCACATATTTGGGGTGTCCTGCGAATCCGGTGTCGACCACGGACGTTTTGAATGGGAATAAGATTTTGGTTCCTGTCGAGTGCAGCGGTCGGCACAGGTCTTTCCGAAGGGCTAGGGCACAGTTCGGATGCAGCGGAGGATTCAGCCAGGAAATGAGATCCAGGCTGTAACTAAGAATGATGGGCAAATAATCTCGTTGAAGTGAGGAGGCTGATCTAAAGAAGGTCGTGGAGTGATCAGTGACTTCGCAAATCAACCATGTGAGATGAAATAAACTGGGACATAGTACCTGCACGCGGTAAGAGATGCCGTGCAGTAGTGAAATCGCAGGGCAGCAAGACCAAGACCAAGACCAATTGCCCCGGGATGGCAAATTTCGCGGCGGGCGACGTCAACTTCCTGTGCCTTGCTTTGCCTGACGCAGGGTGCTTAGAAGAGGAAGCAGGATGATGCACGGGAAGTGTGAGCACGGAGGGGAAACGCACAAGCTGGATGGTGAAATGTCAGGATTGGGCGCCGGCTATCCGAGCCTCCACGATAACGATACGGAGGGCGATCTGCTGGATTGCCCACCTATCTGCCCACCTCTTTGGTGAGTCTATCCCTAAATCTGCAACTCATCGGCGGTGGCTCAAGCCTAGTACCCTCGAGTCCCCCCCGCATCACTTGGGGCCTCTCAAGCTTTGGAGAACCCCCCTGTGCCTCCGTCGCTGCCGCTGGTGGCATTATTACTCATTACCACGGTTGGAGCCTGAACCATGCAAGCTTTGGCTTGATTCGTTGGGAGTGCCCATCCCGTCCCCTCAAAATTCCATCCAGCCTCATTTAGATCTCATCTGGCTACACGGGCGCCAAAATCTTGCAGCGCTTGTTCTGGATCATTTCTCTCGCAAGCGTTCGTTGTGTGAGATGACTGCGCCATGGTCTCTGATTCTGTGCGACTACATGTAACGCCCTTGAGTCCCGATCTCCTCCAGGTTATTGTTGGCCCACGCCTGCTCAAGTCGATCGCCAATTTGTCCTATCACACGATCCAGACGTTTCCCGAGAACAACTACGGTTATTTCGACCTCCCTGCCATGGAAGCCGATAAACTGAAAAAGAAGCTCAACGGGGCAATATTGAAAGGCAGGAAGATTAGGGTCGAAGAGGCTCGACCAAAGAAACGCAGGCGTATCGAGGAGCCGAGCAAAGAAGATGACGATCCCAGGCCGGAGCGTAAGCGGGCGAAGCCAAAGAAGTCCAAAGAGCGTAATGTTATTCAGGGCCACGAACTCCCCGTGGATCGCAAAGTGAAACGCGGCTGGACAGAAGCCAAGTCCACCAAGTCAGGCAAAAAGAACAAGGGCAAAGCTGCCTCGTCTAGCTCAAAATATTCAGATAAAGATGAGGCGCTTTTTCGAACGAAGGTACCTCCCAATAAACTTGACTGTGTGGAAGCAACAAAGAAGGAGAAGGACAAGTCGAAGAAGAAAGGCACGCAGCAAGTGGTGCACGAGTTTGAGAAGACCACAATGCAACCTTCCTTCCTCAAACAAGATATTGGGCTAGGCTTAAAGGGAAATCTACAGTACGTGGAGGGAGAGGGTTGGGTCGACGAACAAGGGCAGGTGGTTGAACAGGAACATGAGCGCGTTTCCAAGCGCCGCGAGACAATAAAGCGACGGGGTGGGACCCGTGACCCTCCATCATCCCCGTCGTCGTCGTCGTCGTCGTCCTCCTCCTCCTCCTCCTCCTCCTCAGACACTGCCGGAGTCGACGTGGAGTCCAGCTCTCCAGATGTCGAGCAAAACGAGGATACGAGCAGTTCGGGCTCTTCATCTGACTCGGATTCCGAGGAAGAGACGGTCAGGAGCGCGTCAGCCCATGAGGCATCGGAGGCAGATACAAAACCAGGGGTGCATCCATTGGAGGCTCTCTTTAAGAAGCCGAAGGCGCCTTTTTCACAGGATATAGCAAAGCCATCACTGGAGATCTCGACGTCGTTCTCTTTTTTCGAGTCGGGAGATCCTGATGGCCTTGCAGAAGAGCCTGTCGTTCCATTGACACCCTTCAGCTCTCAGGACATGCGTTACCGTGGATTACGGAGCGCAGCCCCAACGCCTGACACTGCTCACCCAAGCCGATTCAACAGCTATGGCAGCTCTGGACTACCAGGAGATGAACCTCAAGAAGAGGACGAAGAGGGAGCTCACGCAGCCGAGTTGGACGCTGGATCTGGGGCGCAGGAACAGCACGAAGAGCAAGCACCTCGTTCGCAAAGTGATTTCGAGAAGAAGTTCTGGGAGAACCGGGCGGAAAACAATCGGTCCTGGAAGCTAAGACGCAGGACTGTGCTCAAGGAGAAGAGGCAGCGTGAGAACAAGGCGCGCAGACCCCGGAACTGGTGAACCAGGAATACTAGGACATGCCCGACGGTAGTCGGTATAGTAGTGGATGCTCTATATACCCACCACTAATGAGACATGCTCGTGCTGAGTCAGAAAAACGTGCGAGCTTGGCAATGGACCGCGATCTTCTGGATTGGGATGATTTTCCTAGTATTAATTCTGGAGCCTGATCCTTGGGTCCGTTTACGATACTCGGCCGACCTTTTGTTCTTAGATCACTTCGCTTCCACGGCCCTATCTTTTCGTTTGCTGCTATTGTCACTCCGCCGTTGTCAATCTTGCGCATATTTGAGTACCTGCCTCTTTTATAATAAGCGCATGGCTGACGCGTAGCACCCTGACAAAACTCTTAACCCGATTGTCAGCTCGACCGTCGCAAATTCGACGTTGATGCTGGTGTCATGACATGCGACGGATCACAATCACCCACGGCCTGAATTGCTGTTGACAGTACGCTTCCTCTCATGCCGCCCAAGAATCAGCGACGTTCTCATACAAAGTCGAAGGACGGATGTAGCCAATGCAAGGTTCGGCGAATTAAGGTCAGTGCATTCGGACAAGACACCCTCAGCAGGGTTGGTGTGTGTTGAGTGCTGATGTTTTCCCGTTTCCCGTCGCAGTGTAATGAAGTGCATCCAGTCTGCAACAACTGCGAACGTCGTCAAATATTCTGCGACTTTTCCGCGTCTCCCGGTAGTAGCAAATCTCCCAGCACCGTCGCTGCAGATGTACGAAAGCCAGGGAGTCAAGCAGGATCGGTCAGCGGGTCACAGCGCACGCCCACACAGCCTGTCGTCGATCCGTTTCAGCAGCCTGACCTCGTGAGCACCAAGAAGAGCACTGATCTTGACGTGACCGACCTCCGGTTGATGCACCATTTCACCAGCGTAGTCGCGCTCGACCTAGCCAATGCCAAAACTCCCGAAGCACAGGCGTTGTGGCAGGTCCACGCAGTGAACCTGGGCTTCAAGCATGAATTCCTGCTCCGCGGCATTCTGGCTGTTTCAGCGTTTCACCTCGCCTATCTTTATCCGAATAGGAAGGCCGAGTACGAATTGATTGGGACGACGCACCAGAGCCTTGGGTTGACCGAGTTTCAAGAGACACTGGCCCACGTCGACGAAACCAACTGCCAGGCGCTGTTTGCCTTTTCGTGCCTGCTGATTGTGCTGGCCTTTGCTTCTAGCGCAAAAGACAAAGCGGAAGACTTTACGCATGACGTGCTGCATTGGTTTTATTTGCTGAGAGGGGCCAACATGGTGCTGAACATGCATCACCACACGATCCGGTGCAGTTTTCTCAAGCCGTTACTGGACGAAATGGCGCACATGGACAACATTGCCGCCTACCGATTTCCAGACACGGATCAGATCACGAAGCTGTTTCGAGTGTGCAGTTCCTCGGAACACGACAAGGAGACGGCGCAAGCCATCGACCTGGCCATCCATTCGCTCCTGAGCACTTTTATTCAAGCTTCATTGCTGAGAACACGCGGCGAGGGCACTGTTCTAGCAACCTTTGTCTGGCCGATCAATCTCCCGCCCAAGTTCCTGGATCTCCTGGGCGAAAAGCAGCCGGAAGCTATGGTCATCCTTGCACATTATTGCGTTCTCATATACTGGGGAGAGAAGGTCGTCCATGAGGACAATTGGTTCATCAGTGGATGGGCCAAGTATATGCTTGAAACGGTAAAGGAATCGATACCGGAGGTCTGGCACGCACAGCTCGAATGGCCAACCATGATGATCACTAAAGAACGTGATTCGCCCAGTGCTGAAGCAGTATCTTTGGCACCTTTGACCGGACCTCCAACGATGGGCTGAACCTGCCCGTTGTCGGTCGGAAACACCATGCAGCCCACGGATGAAATGATGTATAACGCAATCTTGTACACTAGGATACCAAAGGAAGGAAAATCGCATACTATGCTTTTGGCTGTAATGCTGTGAGACTGTTTATGGGAGGTGGTGATCCATAGGTGGCGCCATGGGAGGTTTGCTGGTTCGGCCACGGATGGGAATCTGACATGATGATGGATTGCGGAAATGGTAAATAGGACGACTGCGACGGGATACGATACCTGTGAGCTGAAGTTGGGGGGCCGTGGGAGGGATCATTCACAACAGGAGCAATCTCGACCATGGAGCAATTGTCTATATAGAGAGGGGCAATAATAATAGGCAATAATAAATAAGATAGCCACTCCATATGATCGTTCGACTTATTGATATGGAGAAAAGTTACGCCGAGTCCGTCGCTAGATCTGCGTCATGCTCATTGGCCGTTCTGCGACCCCACCTAGCCGCCTTCGTCTGGGCCAGTTCGACCTCCTCCTCTCCTCAAACCTCGTTTCCAGCCTGCGTTCATTGTCTGCACCGTCTCGCAGTTCATCAACGGATGTGCCGTGACATATCAATGCACGAGAAGCTGGCCCGTCGAGGCCACGCATCACGAGCCATGGGGTGGGAATTCTGGGACCGACAACACTCAGAGACACGCACCCTCAGTGGAGCAAGTCTGAAACGCCTGTCTATCCTGAAGCGCCCCCTTGCGACCATGGAGCTTCACCCACAACCAACCGAACCCTCCTGACGCACAGTCGAGTCTCCCTAGACTTGCGTCTTTGCGGTTTTTCCTCTTTATCTGTCGCGCTGTGCGTTTCAATTCCCTTTCCTCTCTTTTCCTCGACCACATTCACTTTTTTCTGTTTCTTGGGGGTTCGTTTTCCTTTTCGCTCGACCAGATCGCCAGCGTCCTTCGAGCAGGTCTCGTCTTTTTCTTTCGACACTCTTTACTTTTGCAGTAGAACAACAGGTTTATCACGGCTTGAACACTCGTCGAGAAGTGCGAAAGCCCACAGCAGTGACACAATGGCGAACAAAATCCTTCTGGTCTTTATCGTCTTCGATGTCATTTTCCTCCTTTGCGCGGGCCTCCATCTGTTCATCCCACTGTATACTCGCATGAACATCAAGAACAACAACAATGTGAATAACATTGCGTCCAACCTCTTGCTCGACAACTGTCCGCTGACAGGTAGAACCTTCCCACCCCGTGTATCTGGGCTCTTGAATGCATTGACTAACGATGAACTCTTAACAGTGAGCGTGGTCAATTCCATTATCATGTTCATCACCTTCCTCCTCTCCGTCCCGGCCCTTTTCATGCCGCGTAACCGCACGTTCTTGAAGATCCACGCCGCGGGAATCGTCGTTGCTGCCCTCCTGACTCTGGCCGTGGGTCTGGATATCTGGTACTCTACCCTCCAAACCAAGAAGAACCTCGCTCCGATCTGGAACGCCCAGTCCCCGGCCATTCAAACCATGCTACAGACGAAGTTCCAATGCTGTGGTTACAGCAACCCGTCGCTGTTTGTCAAAGACCAGACCTGTGCGAGTGCGGCGACGGCGGCAAGGCTGGGACCCTGCGTCACGCCCTTCAGCACCTTCGCCAATCGATTCTTGGATGTGGTTTTCACGACCTTCTTTGGATTCGTCGCCGTGGATATGATGCTCCTATTGGCTGGGTTGTGTCTGATCAAGGATCGCAAGGAGAAGGAACGATACCGGCTGATTGATGAGAAGAGAGGATTTGGACCGATCTGAGGGCGACGAAAGGGGCAGAATAACCTGCGATGGGATTGTTTTGCCTGGGACTACAAGTGCGAAGAAGAACAAGCCAGACAAGTACCAAGTTGTTGAGGAGTGGGGATGAGGGACCAGAACGTGATCTCTCCGGGGTTATGAGATGGAGGACAGGGATGTTTCCCCGCCGTCTTTCACCGTCTTTGTGTACTTTAAGCTGTGTGGTGTGACTTGGCTTTTTCTATGGTGCTACATGGGTGCTGGCACACGCGAGATTTGTTCGCTGTGAAACGGGGGATATATGGGGGGAGAAAGCAATGGGCCAGCCAGCGAGGTGTTCGTTGTACAAGGAAGGAAAGAGAGATTTCTGTAGCACGAAAACATGTGAACATTATTAGATATGACCAACCAACACGACACACCAGGACAGATAGATCCAACCGGTTTCCAACCCCACGAAACCTCCTGCTGCCGCCGCCGCCCCCTTCCCTTCCATCACGCGCTGCTCTGCTCGAGAGATCCGGCGCCTCCGCCCTGACTGACTGACTGACTGACTGATTGAGTGTCCATTTATTGACTTGACAGCGCCTCGCATCGAAAGTCTACTTTCCTTCCATATACGCGGTAGAAGGTCCTGCTAGCTATTGTGCTACCGAGCAGGTCTGTCTACCAGGACGCATTTAGGTTCAGGGTATGTCTGAAAAACATACCTACATAGCGCGTCACATGTAACCTGTAAAGGAAGGGAGGGAGGGAGGGTTCGGGAAATAACCAAAATAAGAGGTTACGAACAAAGCAACAGCTTTTCTGAGTTTTGGTCCAGGTTGGCTGGCTTGCCGTAAGTGTAAATCGTCGACATCATCACCACCACCATTACCACATATGCCCACTATGACCACTGTGACCACTGTGACCACTGACCATAATTATCGTCGTCGTCGCCATGTCCATACAGGCATGCATGCACAAATCCCAACGGCAACTTTCCCTTCGTTGACATAATTCCCCACGCAAACCAGAGCAAAAGGGAAGCAAAGAATCGACAATCTTAGAAAGAAAAGGTCATATCGTTTCCACCGGTTAAGGTGTCCTAAACAGTTAAGATAATCTACTTCGTGACTGCTGCGGTAACATCGGCGATATTGGCATGAGAACTCAACCGCTAGGAGGGAGGAAGTGAGCAGTCGAACCTTGTACATTGATAACAGCTGGAATCCATCTCACGACAACGTTCGGCCCACGCCCTCACAAACGCGCGGGATACTGGGTGCAACGACGAGGAAACCCCCGCCGGGCCATGGCTTGGGCACTCGTGACTCCCTCGTCCAGAGGCATTGGCTTCGCATTGACCCGTCACCTGCTTCGAATGTTACCCACGAGCGTCCCTGTCGTTGCAACGGCGCGCTCTGACATCTCCAGCGTCCGGGAGAAGCTCCTCTCGTCGCTGGAGCTGTCCGGATCACAGTCATCGCGCCTCGACGTGCAGGAGTGTGACATGCTTTCCGAGGCTTCGATTTCCCGGCTGGCTCGGTACTGCCAGGATCGATATCACGACAGAGCCAAGGAAAAGAACGCTCATCTACGAATGGGGTTCTTCATACCTGGCATGTTGATACCCGAAAGAGCACCAGACAAGATTGATTATGACAGCGCGCTGCAGACGCTCAAGCTCAACCTCCTGGCGCCCATGATGCTAGTCAAACACTTCGCCAGCTTCCTTCCGCGCAAGTCACCCAAGCTGGTGGTCGAGGATGGGTTACCCAATTCGGCGGTGCTGGCACTGATGAGCGCCAGAGTCGGTTCAATCACGGACAATCGATTAGGAGGATGGTACAGCTACCGGGCGTCCAAGGCGGGGGTTAACCAGTTGGTCAGAACCACAGACATATTTCTGAAGATGCAGAGCGGCAACAATGCCCTGTGCGTCGGGCTTCATCCAGGCACCGTCAAAACAAGTCTGAGTCAGGAATTTTGGAACAGCACGCCCCAGGAAAAGCTGTTCAGTCCCGAATTCAGCGCACAGAGGCTGATAGACGTCGTCAACGGGCTCGAGGAAAGTAGCCGGGGGAAATGCTGGGATTGGAAAGGCCAGGAGATCCCCCCGTGACGGCGGATGATGTACATCACAGGATGATGAGTAAGAGAGGAGTGGAACAAGGCTGTTGTGGGTCAGCCACTCCCAAGGTACCGAGTACAAGGGATCAAAGGCCTTTTGCCAGATGATTTTTGGGGTCTCTTTGATTTGCCGAAATGCTTAGACAGGAGGAGGTCATGAGAGTACCGCGTAAAAGCCGGCCAAGTCCGACATATGGGAGGAAGTGGATGGAATTTGTGTGGATATCAGAGTCCATAGACGCCCAAACCACGCGGGCCGATGTCATTGACTCTCTGATATGCGAGCTTACTGTGTTCTTTACCCGTCTCTCTGTCTGGATGTTTAATGTATCCTATGAGACCCCAATGGCTATGGAGACGGATGTTTGTGGGAAGGAGTGGAAGCTGGAGAGGCACGGAGGTCATGGTGTACCGGCTAGTGACGGGCTGGTGGCGGTGATGAATCAGCTTGGCCATTAGGGCGGTGTTGCTAATCTCGGGGCTAACAGGCTGCGAGGATTGCGCTAGTCAGGGAGCAGACAAGCCGGGAGTGGACGAGTGGGATTTGGGGGGTTTTCGTTGAGGGCAGAAAACAGAGAGGGATAGACGTTGGGCAGTGGGTTAGTAATTTTGAAATGAATCGATATTCCGGAATCAGGCTTTTCAACTGGGAAGTGAAAAGGGGAGATAGGTATCAGGCCTCTCTGCTCCCTGTGATGGGAAAGAATCTGGAAGACTCAAGAGGAGCTCTGGGTTCCAACGTGAGCCGGTGAGCACTTGTGCGATAAGTTGCATCAAAGAGCCCGTGGTCCGTGGTGGTCAGTCAGCTAACGAAACGCAGGAGTCAAACTAGCGACTCGGGCTAGTTGCAAATGGCTCCCTGGGCGGGGCTCCCAGGCTGGACTGGGCCAGTGACACCTGCCCGACGGCCTGTGGCACCAGTGGCACCGGTGGCACGACCGCACCAAAGGGCTCGCTAGGCCTGTTGGCCCTTAGGGAGCAGGGCCAGAGCCCCAAACAAGTCGGGGAAAGAATGATCCGCTGGTGGTCCTGTGTCCAATCACGGCACAGGCGTGGCCGTGGCTCCCCAGAGGCCCAGAGGGTGCTTGGGTGGTCCCCCAGGTGGCCTTCTGTCTACAAAAGGCAGGCAGCTGCCGCTATGCCCTTTCCGACTCCCTTTCCTCTCTCGTCCATCCTCTATTCTGCCACTGTCCACTGTCCTGTCGCTGTGTCTCACGGCGCGCCCTGTCCATCCAAACGTGTTGCCAGGCCTTTGTTCGACAAGATCTAGAGATCCAGAGATCCAGATAGATCTGGCACGGTGCACATTGTTGCGTTGATCTGGGTGTCCCGGGCGACTCTCGAGAATTCCACCCGTCCAGCGTCCAGCGGCCGCAATACCTACCCTCTCCCATCCAGACGACTTGTACCAGCCTCTGTAACCACCAACCCATCTATCCATTATTGATCAATTGATCAACCGCGACACGTCACATCCGTGTCCCAAGCTGACTCTCGACACTATTCCTGGCTCTTGAGGCGGGAAAAAAAGGTACGTGTGTCTTTCTCATGGCCTTCGGCTCGCTTTTTAGTTGTTACGTTTGTTTCCTGTTCCATCCACAAGGCGAAGATCATCCTTTTCGACCATCCCGCATTGAGCACAGTATATGCCCACGACCAAGCTCCTCTTCACGGACACGAGCAAAGGACCTTCACCGTCTCCTGTTCGCATTCTGGACAACCGAGGTTTGTCGATCAGAACCATGGCGATCGTCGTTCTCGTTGTCGGCCGACTTTTGAGAGGGTGGCTGGCGATTGTTCTGTCCAAGGACCAAAAAGCCCTGGAAAAGAGACAACGGGAAATCCACTTTGCCCACCCACACTCCCCCGGCCAGACTTCGAATTGCGAAAGCGAGACAGAAAGATAAAAAGTGGATTTCCGGCAACTGCGTGTGGTTGCGTGCCCGGAATCATGGCCCCCAGGTTCCGTCTTGCGCATCGCCAAGGCCTGGTCGGCATGCCTATCAGCCCCCCACTTTTGGGTCCCGGGCAGGCCTGCGTGCTGACTCGCCCACTGGCCCTACTGGCCGCACTGGTCCACCACCCATTTCTCACCGGGCACTGCAACCCACCGCTGGAGCTCGCTACCTCTTGAACATCCTCAGACCACCTTGTTTTTTGCTCGTGCACAGCCCACCTGCCCTCCCTCCCACTTGCCAGCCAACTCCATTTCGCCGTCGTCTGGTGTCTGTTTTTTGCCGTGAGCCTCCGCCCCTCTTTTCCTCCCCTTCCAACCCCCTTTGTCTTCGTTTCCTTCTTCAGAACCTCCCGAAGTTCCCTCTTCCTACACACACCAAACCGTTTTCTATCCAGATCTCAGCCCATACAGAAAGTGGTTACTTCTCTGTATTCCAAACCCACTTCTTATCCCCTTTGCAGTCTGAGTGTTGCACATCCCGTCCTCTGCCCACAAAGCTTGACCCCCTTCTTCGCCCTTCTCAGTTACCTGCCGTTTGCCCCGGATTTTGCTGTGGCGGTGCCTGCGCCTGCCGCATCCGTGTTCCCTGTACTTGGCCGAGTACGTGACTGTGATTTTGTACCGATACCAATGACCTCTTCACCCAATCGTCACGGGTTCCCAAATGCCTGTGTTTTTTTTTGTCTGGTCCCAAGTCACTGACATCAGTTTCATTCACAGTCGCGTCACCAATCACTGTTTCTCGCCGAGAGACAAGTCGACCGCACCACTTCTTAAAAGGTATTCTATCCGTTGTCCGCTTTCCTCTTTCGTCTATTAACACCTTACTTCTTTAGGGAAGACATTGTCATATTTGATCCATCTCATACCATCCTATTATGGCGGACATCACCGACCCCTCTGCCAGCCTTGAGCATCCCTCGCCCGGCGACGACCTTGCCGGCAATGGCGTTGACTCCCGCGGCACCAAGCGACCAAGAGCGTCCATGGCCGGGGAGGATGATGACGATGATGACGAGAAGGGAGGACGGGAACGCAGAAAGATTGAGATCAAGTTCATTCAAGACAAATCGCGTCGTCACATCACGTTCTCCAAGAGAAAGGCTGGTATCATGAAGAAGGTCAGTCGCGGCCCCATCAACCGCAGGACACCTCACCGAACCTGTATTGACTTGTCCTCTAGGCGTACGAACTGTCCGTGCTCACCGGGACCCAAGTCCTCTTGTTGGTCGTCTCAGAGACCGGCCTTGTGTACACGTTCACCACCCCCAAACTGCAACCTCTGGTCACCAAAGCCGAAGGCAAGAATCTCATCCAGGTATGTCTTCCTTCCTCCCAAAGTGTTAGACTGCCTCGTTTCTGACATGGAGCTCTAGGCATGCTTGAATGCCCCCGAACCCTCTGGCAACGAGAACGGTGTCGACGCTGCGGACGATGTCGCCTCTCCGGACGATGTGCCCTCCATGCCTCCTGCCGCGGCCGGCGTCCCTCGACCTGCCCCTCATGCTGGGTACGGCATGACTCCGGAACAACAGCAGCATGCCCTGTACTATCAACAATTGCAACAACAACAACAGAATCAGAGCGGCCAGTATGGCGGCATGCCCCAGATGCCTCAACATCAACGTGCATAATAAACACCACACCTCTTCTCTCACATATTGATACCCCCCACCCTACGAAACGGTCGGCTCTCGTGCGGTCATTGGCCTTTCTGACACATGGGCCTCGCTCGTTGCCAATGGCGGTCTGATATCGGCTGAGAGGCGGCTCGCACTCCCCTCCTCGACTGGCATCTGAAAATTTGCTCAAATCAACATCAACATCGGAGTTTCCCCAAGATGATGTGCTTCCAGGGTGATTTCTGTTTAAACGGTCCAGTATTCTCCCATGCATTTTGTACGAGACGGTCTTCGGAAGAATGGATGCGGACCATGGTGGGCAAAGACTGGGAATCAGAAAGAAATACACCCCTAGTGTGCACAGTCATGAATCGTGTGTCATGCTTAACAGGCAGAAGAGAAAATGTCAAACCAGATTCAACCTGTGGTTCAGGTCCCGATGGTAGCTGATCCCCGACATGATGTTCCAGGTAGCTAGCCGCTCCATACCATGAAGGCAAAGGTGGCTACGAAGATAATCCAATTTGTTTGTACTGTCTCCTATATTCCCCTTTATCTTTCTTTCCCTCTCACAATTTACTGGGCACCCATCTTGGAGCGCGCTTCTCGACAAATGCTCGGACTCCCTCGCGAATGTTCTCTCCCTCGTTCAGCCTCTTCGAATAGATGTCGACGATGTTCTGGGTGGCATGTTCGGCACTCCCGTCTTCCCAACCCTGGATCACCCCGGCGCGGCTGATAATGACACTGTCCGGGCTGTTGTTGCAAATCTCGCTGGCATACTCCAGGGCCTTCTTCACGACGGGCCGGGCCAAGATGTCGGCGTCGACGGGCGCATCGTCGGTCACGGCGTTCACCATGCCCCATTCCCGCGCCTCGGCCGCCGACACGGTGCGCCCGGTCAAGGCCATCTCCATGGCCCGTGGCCTGCCCAGCGTCCGGATGATCCTCGGCAAGGCGCCCGCGATGGCCACGACGCCCCTCTTGACCTCGGGCAGGGCGAATTGGGCCGACTTGGCGGCGACGACCAGGTCCATGTTAGCGACCATCTCCATGCCGCCCCCGAAGGCGAGGCCGTTGATGGCGCCGATGACGGGCTTCTTGCCGGCGCGGCGCGACACGGCACCGAAGCCGCTGCTGGGCATGCCGCGCTGGCCCTCCCCGCCCGCGGCGCGGCGGGCGTTCGACTCGTTCCACTCCTTGAGGTCGGCGCCGGCGCAGAACGCGCGGCCCATGCCCGTCAGCACGCAGCACCGCAGCGACCCCTCGTTGTCGTACCACTCCAGCAGCGCGTGAAGCGCCCAGTGCATCGTCGTCGACAGGCAGTTCAACCCCCGTGGGTTGTTCAGCACCACCACCAGCACCGCCGGCTGCGGGAACAGGAGCACCGTGTTCGGCGTCGCCGGTGGGGGGGTGGACAGCGTCGAGGGGTAGGGGGACATGATGCTGGGTGTTGTTGTTGTTGTTGTTGTTGTTGTTGTGTTTAGGGACTTCGATTGGGTTTGGGTTGATTTGGCTCGTGGAAGGGAACGACAGAAGTACAGCCAAGTGAGTGGACCGTCGAATTGGTCCGGACTGACTGATTGAGTGAGTGAGTGAGTGATAGATGGATAGATAGTTCGATGTGCCGAGTATGGGTTCGCTTGTTGATTCCAGCTCGTAGCTCGTCCTCCCGACTCTTTCGTAGTCGGCTGTGTGCTCAACAATTGGGAAGGAAAAACCTCTAGCTATCTAGCTCCTATCCCTCCGTATATAAAATCCTAGCCGGGGCCCGAACCATCTCTGATGATTTATTTATTGATTTGACTATGCAGGTCGTAGGTCCTTGTGTGGAGAAAACAAAGCTCCGACGAGGAAAGCCGAGGTAATAATACACATACAGTAATATGACAGTATCCCCTTGGTCGGAGCCTTAAAAAACGTAAACTCGAGGGTGTGTGCATGATTGGATGGATAGATCGGTGGATTACTTTCCATACATGCATGTTCATCTGTGTACAGACCTCGACACCAATCGATGGTGTCTCAGATCCATGACCGGTTCGAGCAGAATCGTGGCAGCGATAGTCCTGTATCAGGTAACACAGAAGAATAAGGAAAGGGAAAAGGAAAAGGAGAGAGAGGAAGACTATGTGTCCCCTTTACACACTCTGCTGTTGTTGTTGCTTCCCTGTATATCGATCTTGCAACGTCCAAAGCAACCAGGCCGTGGTCTGTCAGAAGAGCTCGCTAAGTGGCACAGGTAAGGCTGAATACCAAAGTCGTTCGCGGATGTGTGTTTGTGTGTTTGTCGTAAAAGAATTTCAATCACTACTTCATGACGTTTCCCGACTCTCATCTCATGCTCTCTCTACCCAGATTCATGGCTAGGTCCTATATCTCTAGAACCACCGTGTTGGTCTCGTATCCCTAGTTGCGTTAGACCCCTGGTCGTGAGGGCTGTTCACCTTGAGACACCTCATTCTTCAACTCCCAGCGGAGCATATCCAATCCTAAATCACATCTCCCACCGCCCTTCTCTTGTCTTGCACCATTTTGAAGACCTCACCTGCCCACAACCCCTCCTCGTCATCTTTCAAATCCAGAGCGCCCTCCGGATCCGGGAGGATCGCAATGGCCCGTCCATGCAAGTTCCCGTCAACCGCGAATCGGCCCGCCACATCAACCACAGCTTCGATATCCACAAAGGTGAATCCTTTCCCTGGCGCCATGCCTGCTGCGGCAAATGTATCCAGCGAGTTGTCGATCATTGGGGTGCGCATAAAGTAAGGCGCGAGACAATTTGTGCGAATATTGAGGCGGGGAGTTTCGTGGCGTAGGCCACGGAAAAGGCCACGGACACCGACTGCAGAGGAGGTAGATGTCAACAGCTGGACTTAGGTCTTGACCATTGCCCGTGCCGAATATTGCTTCGTCCGCACAGAATGTAAAGCGACGGAGTGGCACCACGATCAACAATGGCAGGGCTAAAAAAAGACTCAACTCACACTTCGAAGTATGGTAATCTGCAAAATTCCCGACGTCGGTGTAAGCGACTGTCGAACTCACAAAGATGAGTGACTTGGAGAAGTCCTCGTCTTTCCTCTGTCGGTCAGGCCCATGCCGGTCCGTCTTCATATACCACAAGGCCAGATACGCACAGTGGTACACTCCCAAAAGGTTGACGTCTAAGGCCGGATGGTGAAGCTCTGGCGGGGTGAGACATTTCTGGCGTTGGGAATATAGAACTTTGTCGACCAAACTTCCCGGCTCACCAATGACGCCAGCGATCAATGCCGTAACTTCGATTGACCCGTTCGGCGACGTTCGAAGCGCGTGTTCAAAAGCTTGCACCGAGCTGGAATGGTCCGTCACGTCGCAGCGGACGAATGTTGCAGAGAGGCCTTGCGCCTGGAACTCTGCCGCCGCGCTGGTGCCACCTTTGGCATCGAGGTCTGCGATGGTGACGTGGGCGCCTGCATGGGCGAAGCGTTTGGCGATGGCAAGCCCCAATCCTGAAGCTCCGCCTGCGGAAGTGTCAGTGCTGTCGCGGAAGAGGATCTCAACAGAATGATTTTGTAAGTCATTCTTTTGAGGTGAATTGCTGCTCTCACCGAGAACCATAACGGACCTGCCCAGAAGAGCAGAGAGGTCTACCAGCTCCGACATCGTGACTTGACCGGCTGAGAATGGAGTCTATCCTGAAACCAAACACAAGCGAGATATCCTTTGAGCTGTCTCTTCAGCAGAAGACAGTTGACGAGCTTCGAGATTCGTCCCGTCTTGAAGAGGGGTGGAGGGGTAGGTGTAACCTGTGAAGCACAACGTGCGAAGCATAATGATGCAAGGAAAACAGGCTGTGAGACGCAACTTCCAGGTTAAATTGCTGAAAAATCTCCATGTGTCCCAACTGAGGATCCTTATATTTCCCGTCTCTCCCTCAAACACAGGGAAGCTACCAATGGCGTTCTTTGCCTCTTGAGTGGAACATGAAATATAGATTCCGGCACCCAGGAGCTTTTCAAGTCTGATATCTCAGATGGACCAGGTAGATTTATCAGAAACCGTTCGACGAGATACCAGCTAGGCTCGAGGCTACCATCGAAGGCTTCAGCCTGGCCCAGAGGTCCGATGTTCGGAAGATTGAAACGGATAGCTGTTGTTCTGTCTTTGCATACCCTCTTCTGCATCGGCTTTTGATTTCTAACTATTCCCTCCCAAAGGCCTGGGGTCTCCACCCTGCTGTCCTAATAATGGGGAAAGTGGTAGCGAGGGCCATCGTGACCATCTGGATGATGGGGATCCGCAGTAGTTGGTTCAAGAAAGTCGCGTGTGAGGCTAACATACCCTAGCCGATGTGTGCAGACACGGATGTTGGCTTGTTTGTTAGTCCTGGCGGCCCTTGAGGACTCATAATGCAGCTCTGACCACTCCAGTCCCTGATCTGCGAGCGATCATTGATCAACAGGTGTAAGCGCCTGGCAGGTTGCCGACTCCATCTCCGCAAACTCTCGGCGTTGAACTGTCCTGGACAGCATTTGCCAATAGTTGTGGCTCGGTGCGGTGTAGATCCGCTTGTAAAGACATGTGTCCCCTGCCAAGTGTTAATTGGTTCAGCAAAATAGAATTGGTGATTCTGCTTTCCGTCGTGTCTCGGACAAATAAGATACCAGGGAAATACCAACTCCATATCTCTCCATGGCCCGGAGAACCAGCAACGCCAACACCAATATTCATATCCTGTCAAGGCGAATCATCCCCTCGACTTCAGGGAACGCCCCTAGAATGCTTTCCCCAATGCTCCAGTTCTGGTAGTTTGTGACATGCTCCATGAAGTCTCTGGAGAGCAAACGGCGACGGTTCGACTCGCCCCAAATTACTGCTTCGTCCATACCGCGGGCCCAATTGACACTTAGCGCTGCTGCAGGCAAAGCCGTCATCCAGTCTCGGAGGTTCTTGATAAGAGCTTCACGCAACGGTGGCAGTGGTAAGAAGTCGAGCGCAATGTGATGCGGTACCATATACTGGATCGGTCGTGGTTTAAGGATGTCTGGTATGGCAGCATAGGATAGCGCCGTAGGATCCAGCATCCAGCGCATGACTGTAGTGTATGCCAAAATCTGCGCAAGTCGGACGTACACGTCCCAATCATGGAAGCTGCGCCATAGCTGGAAGATATTGACGTTAGCTCTTTTGAGGCCGATATGAAAGCGAAGTACTGACCTCACAGGCCCAGCCGCTCACTGTCAAGCCATCCTCCTGAGTTCGGTCACAGAAAAACTGCTCCACGTCAATCGTGTCTGACCCAAGAACTCCAGACAGCGAGGCGCCACATGAGATCAAGGTCTTAGCACTGTCCATAAATCCCGTGATAATGTCGCTCAACGGAGTCTTCTCCTGCCTAACCAGCGTTTGGATGCCATAGAGCGGTGTTCCATGTTTGTGCGAAGAACCACGGGGATTCGGCCCTTCAACACTGATTCCTGGTTGTGCTTGTTGGGCCACCAGCTGGCACGAAGTATCATTTTGAGGTGCCTCTTCTTTGGCCAGGAGGTCAGCTGGGGGCAGGCTCGGACGAGCTGACTGAGTCTGTGGAGTGCACAACGAGAAATGCCAACCCTGCCTACCTTGTGGGTCTTGTTTGCCGGCTACTGGCAGCCCTGGGGAGTCTTGAACGCTTCCTGGAGGAGTAGAGGCCGCGGCACCCATGAGAGAAGGCTGATGACACGTTGGACAGATTCTGTTGCTGGGACGATCGTGCAATTGGGTTCCGCTCTGATCGTCGTCTTCGTGGCTTGGTGGAGCACTGTCCGTTGCAGTGTCGTCGAATTGCCGGAGACACTGCTGAATTGTTGCAAAGATGTTTTGGCTGGGCTCATTCTCGCGGATACATTTGATGAAGGTCTCGACCTGGGAGCTCGAGCGGAATTGGACGGCTTGAAGCAGTGCCGTAAGGGTGCGGTTCTGCAGAAGCATCGCTTCACGATCCTCACGATGCCCACGTCGGCCGTCGAGTGAAGGGTCGAACGTACACCTGTTGCCCCGGTACACGCACAATGTGCACGGCGCAGGGCCGCCACTACACTGGATTGCCGGAACTTGTTTAGCCTCACCATCCGCGCGAGCGATCAGCAGAATCGAAAGTTGCACTAACCTTGGACCTCCGTCGTTTGCAGGATTCGCATGCTGTACCCACCCGGGTGACCTTGTTGCGTTCCAGTCTCCCAGCGCGAGTAGGCCTGTTGGTGGTGGTGGTTGTGGTTGTGGTGGCGGCACATTGGTTGGGGGTGCGGCTGGTGCCACTACTGCTGCTCGGAAGCAATGACTGGAGTGGCCTTTGATCCATCAGATCGCCTTGATGGCAGTCAGACAGGGCAGGAGAGATGACGACGAGCGTTCGAGTGGAAATTTAATCCTGCCTGGCAGCCCATCCCATTTCATTTCAGCCCACTCCCCGCCAATTGGCAACATGGGAGGCACGCCAAGAACACACGGCGGGAAAAGATTCCACTCAGATACGGCCAACAAGATGAAGACAAGCAAAAGCCTATGACGCTCCGGAGATGGCCCTCCGACTGATACTATTGGTGCAAGAGCCCAACGTGCGAGTGGAGTGGCTGGGGGGATTTCCTTCACTTCCACCAATCTGTGTCAGGACCAAGAGGGATATCTGCGGGTCAAGTGTCCATGCAGATCGGGGCAGGCAGTAAACGGACTTTTGCCCAAGGGACTTTGCATCGGCCCACTCACGATGCCTCCGAGGTCATCTTAGCTACCTGAGGGTGGCGAGCAACCGTCTGCCCTGGACAGGCGTTGATCAACAGTACTCCATACGAGTATCGGCACATACCTCGTACACTATACACAGTGCCACCACTGCTCTGTGTGTGTGTGCGTGTATGGAGGTGAGGTTTAGATTCAATCCACAAGAGCTAGGAACAACAATTCGTACGGGAAGGATTTTTTTCAGTGAACAAGCAAAGGTACCCAGAGAACATCATCCTGGCTGGCGTTGCTCAAGGCAGAGACTTTGGAAGAAAGGACCACTGTCTACGTTAATTACGACTCTCTCTCTCGCAGGGTCAACATTACTTCTCGGTCAAGCAGAGCGTCAAGACGGGGCACCAATAAATCTTCTGGATCCAGAACGCTACGACAAAAAGGGACCGACGTTAAAACATTCATGACGCTGTTCGTGCAAAGTCTATCTGAGAAGTGTGCTTTTCGAACTCTGCAAAGGCGCAGAAGGTCCATCCCTTCCCGTCTCCATGGCACCACCACCCGCCAAACACCTCTCGTATGTCTCATGACAGCAGACGCCCGTGATGTCTACTTCTTCTCATTCTGGACGATCTTGACCTTCTCCAAGATCTTGGGGTAGAGCGGATGGCTTGGTTCCAGACCAGTGAGCTTGGTGGTTGCCTCCTCAGGACTCATGGTGCTCATGATCTGTGCCAATTCCTTGCTCTCCTCGTCACCTTCAACGTTCTGGAATCGAAGAGCCATTTCCACACCACGCACTAAGGCAGTCACATCGTAGCCACGTTCGGCCAGCTGAGCAGCGGGACCAATGAAGCGCTCTTTGCGACCAAGCTTTCGGAGTGGGGCACGCCCGACACGGACGGGGACATCCTCAAGGTGCGGGTTGGAGATGCGAGAGATGATGGTGTCGACATACTGTTGTTGCTCCTCCGGGGTGATGCCGTGTTTGCCGCTGATGAGGTGTGCAGTCTCTTCCAGGGCCTCGTGAACCTCTTGTCGGATCTCGGGGTCTGCCATGGCTTCATGGATGGTCTTGATACCCTTGTAGTAGGCAAAGTATGCGGCAGTGGCGTGGCTAGTGTTCACGGTGAACAACTTGCGCTCGATGTATGGCTCGAGGTCATCAACCCAGTGGATACCCTTGACTTCTGGATGACCCGACTTGAAACCAGTGGTCTCAACACACCACTCGAAGAAGCTTTCGATGACAACGTCGAGGTTGGCATGCGCAGGTTGGGTTGGGACGATTCTGTCAATAGCGGAATTGCCGAACTCGGCCTTGGAGTCCAGATCCTTTAGCACCTCGGGCTTCATGTTCTTCTCGTCGGTGATGAGGGCCTTGAGGGCGTCGGTGGCGTTGATCATGTTCTCGCAGGCAATGACAGCAAGAGGCTTGGACTTTGTGCGTGCCGCAATGCCATCAGCAATCGGCTTGGCAATGAACTTGAGGATGTTGGGCCCGACAGCACAGGTGACGATATCGGCGTCAGCAATGCACTTCACCACCTCGTCCATGTTGTACTTTGAGTTGATCGCACGGTAGTTTGTGATGACCTTGCTCTTCTCCCCATCTTCACCCACCTCGGTGATCTTGTACGACTTGGAGGCGTTGATGCGGTTGATGAGGTCGTCGACAACATCGACAAAGATGACTTCATAGCCAGTCTCATGGAGCAGTTCTGCGATGAAACCGCGGCCGATGTTACCACCGCCGAAGTGGACAGCTGTGCCGACCATGGTGAATAAGAGGATATGCGAGGCGTGTGAGAAAAGTGGTCAAAGGGACTGTGGCTAGTTTGCTGCCCAAAGTTAGTGAGTTCGCTGTCCAACACTTGGTACGAGGATAACGACAACCGCGCCGCAGGGTGGTATACTCACAGGTCTCGTCTGCAGCGAAACCGCTATGCAAGCTCAAGGTAAAATGAAGTAGAGAGTACAGCACGAGGTCGGGGAGTGATAGTGCGTGTGAGAAGAAAAAAATTTGGGCAGAAAAAGTCGGAGGTGACAGAAGATATATGGGTTTGGGAAGCGGTCAACAAGAAATTAGATCGAGTGGGATGCCAGAGGTGAGGCACAAGGGCTAGTAAATGTAGCTCAACGAGCGAAAGCTTCGTGCCCCGCGTGCCAGTGCGTCACCGGGAGGACAACTAGCGACCAGCCCACGACACCTCATTGGTTCTGGGGGGCTCTTGGGGCTAGTGGGCAGGGCTATATCAACCACGGGCTGCGATGGGGGTGTAAATAAAGACCCTTTCAACAACCACTTCCATTATTACGTCATATTCACTGCTGTCCATCCCGCCCACAGAAGAAGAAAATGTGGTAAAATTTGTGCAACATTCTGGATGGCATTGCAACCCAATCTCTAGGCATTATCCTGAGTCTGGTGCTGGTTGTCGCGACGCCACCACCACCCTGGTAAAATGTACAAGTCATGCGCCATCATGGTGGCTTGCTCTCATCTACGTAGATCCTCTTCAAGTCGTCAATTGATTATGCTTCAGGTCCATCAATCGCAGGATCAGTAACCTTCTTTCCCGCCATAACGCTTGGGTCTGGATCGTCCCACACAACATTGTACGATAGACACCAAAGATGCCAGCAGCATGACCGCCGTCGCCGCCCAGGTCATCGCCAGAAACTTCCCGCCTTTGGTTGACGATATGCCGATTTGATCCGTGTATTTGTTGATGCGGTTGGTTGCAATGACCATCACGGCCGTGGCGACGGCTGAGGCGACGCCGAGGGTAATGAACGCCAGCTGAAAGAACCATGGTCAGCCGCAACCCGCATTTCTCGCTGAAAGAACAAGAAGAACTCACCACATCCACCAACCAGTTGAAGAATGCTGACAGTCGGCCATCGGTAAAGATGCCAGCGGCGGCCGTGAAAATGGCAACACCTGACAAGACTATGCCGACGATGAAGAAGATCACCATGACGCGGCTGACCACTTTGAGGATGTGCTCGGCGTCGGTGATATCGCTGGGCCAATGGATATCACCCAAGGTGATCCCGGCCGGCAGATGATCCTGGACAATCTTGGTGGGCTCGAAGTGAAAGCCCAAGGACGATTTCGAGCATTCCGTCACATTTGATTTGGCATGGTGCGCAGTGGAGTTGGGTGAATATTTGCCCTGGCAGTAGTCTGTGGCATGGACATTGAAGAAATCAGGTAGGCCCAGGAGTGAAGCAATGTCCGTGGCTGCATCGCCGATGAGGTCGTTGATATCCTGCTGAATGGTGCTGCTCAAGCCCGAGAGCAATCCGCTGTCACCACTCGAGGTTTCAAATAGATTGCCATGACCAAGACGAGAGATGTTGAGCTTTGTTCCGTTAGCATATCATGCGCCTATAAAATCGGCGAGGAGGTGTACTTACCGTCAATATCTCGGTGTCTTGCAGAAATGTCCTCTTATCGCCGGCAAGCAGACAGAGGATGGAAAGAATGAAGGCTGTTAAGGAACATGCCAGTGTAAGGAGAGAAGACAACCGCATCGTGGAAAGGATCTTGTGGGAGAGGGTGATTCTGGACAGAAGAAACGAATGTATTCCTAGAAAAGAACGACTTCTTTTGATAATTTCAAATAGGGAGCTCGGGCTGGATGCGGTTGAGTGATTGAGTTGAGCAAGTGATGGGTCATGGTGGTGCTGATGGGCCCGTTAAATGTAGGACGACGTGTCTCGCCGTTTGCTCTCAGCCTCAACTTGCGTCAAACACGAGGCCATGACCACACAATCTGTGATCGGTGTGGTCAGAATCTGGCTAGGGAGGTCAGAAAAACAGGGCATCGGTCCAGCGAGACATGGAGCTTTCCCATTGACGGCCAGGTAACCCAGGGCCCCTAGGGTGGATCGGGCATCCCCAGCCTCCTCCCGGCGCTTTTGTTTGGCTGTTTGGGCACGACGGGCGCCAGTTGGCGCCCCTAGGACTGCGGAGTGGGCCTCCGATTGGCGCCCTCAGCCACCCCGAGATCGTCGCCCACCAAACATTCAGGCAACGTCATGCATGACCTCGTCGATTTGAAACGGCGCGTGCTGTTGCCAGCTGCGTAATAGCGAGACGCATCATGCTAACCTGCTATGAGAAGCGGTAGGCGGATCCCATACAATGTCGCTGGTTCAGCAATTCGCAGTGCGCCCATGCGCATCAAAGCCATTAGGTGTCCCGCTCCGTCTTACGAGACATGAGGGCGCAACCCATACAGATCTTACGTGTCACTGCCAAAAGGTTCTTCTCCAAAAGCCCGTTGCAGTCACGTGGGCCCGATTGGTTTTCGCGCTACACCACACATTGTGGCTGAGAGACACCTGTATGTGCGTGTCGCATCGCATCGCGAGACACTGCTGAAATGCCACAATGATATGCAATTCATGCCATTTGCTTCTTTGCCGGTTCAGATATAGCCACCACCTTGTCCATGGCGCAGCCTCTCCGATATGAAACCGAGGAGTGGGACCGAATTCGAGACATTGAACACGACGCTGATTTTCCGAGCACCGGGTGCTGCACCCTTTCGTACACCCCATCCACCACAAAGCAGCGACGACCCCATCATCACAGTTAACTGGTACCTATCTCGCGACTTGATAGTCCTCGGGCGCTTCTCAAATATATCGTTCTCCTCATCCTAAGTAAAGCCAATGCTCGGGGCAGCTTCACCGTTGCCTGTCAAGAGCTCTGAGAAGTTGGCTGAGGAGGTAGTTTCTTCGCGACAGGAAGTATTCATCGCCGAGCCTCGATTTCCGAAGCCGGTTCAAGGGCGCAACAGACGGCACTTTGCAGCAGAGTGATTTCATTCAGATAATCCAGACTCTGGTTGTAAATCCTGGGTTTCTTGTCGTAGTTCTTTGATGGCGGTCTCAAAATCTCTTAGTACCCGCCGCCTTATGAATCAGTCTCAGTCCTTAACTCACTGCTAAAGCCTCTGGATTGACCCCGTTCTCAATGAGGGAAACACAAAGCGACAGTTGTGTCCGATCGAGTTGCGTGTTCTGCCTTTGTTGTGAGATGGATGCACACGAGAATTGTGATCACTTACGAGGAGAATCGATATCTCTTCGAGAATATCAACCACCTCTCGAGCCTTTTCTCGCTTGTCGGTGGTTGCAGGCATGTCGCCCACCGCGTAAGGAATGGTAGAAATCTGGGTATGAGCAATCCGAAGCCTGGATGGAGGGAGTGAACGGTCGAGGGAGAAGTGTCAAGCGCGTCTGGTGAGAACGCGCTGCTTTAGTTGATGGAAGCTTCCTCAGCCAAGATTTACGCGTAAACCATCTTGATCACCTCAAACTTGACTTCCTTTCGACACTGTGCTCTGCTTTGATTTGTGCTTGCGACGCTGCATGCCTTCTGCAGTCATCGCGCCGACTTCATGCTATGGCAGAGTCTACAACCCCCGGCTCGGTCATGCCTGGCAACGCAGCGACAAGTCATTGTGGCAATACCTCGTCTCGATCTCCCCTCCTTTTCCACAACATCCGGCAATTGCCTCGCTCTACTATGACACGCATTTTAGATGAGATGAGGAGACTGGAGCGCAGGGCATTTGCATCTCGGGAAGTATTCTCATTTGACGACAAAATCCTTCAGCAGCGCAACATGGAAGTTATTGTCGGGCTTTCATATGAGGTGGAATGTCCGTCCGTTGTCGCCTATGCTGTTACCGTGAAATGGAAACACGGGCTTCTTCTACACAAAATTTGCGTGTCTCCAGCTGTAAGAAATCAGGGTATAGGTAGCTTGTTGATGCAGAAAATCATCCAAGATGCGAAATCCTGGTCCTGTCGCACAATTGTTCTTTGGGTCAGCGAAGCAAACCAAATTGCCAGAGGCCTCTATTCTAAATGTGGGTTTTTGGTGCAATAAACTGTCAACGACTACTATTCCCCCGGTAGGCATGGAGTCAAAATGGTCCGAGCTTTGCAGCCTTGACATGTGAGTCTCCTTGGATTTGAGGGTTTTCACATTCTCGCGCAGAGCTATCCCTTGCAGACATATTCAATTTCTTCTGGAAGTCGACCAACCCCTCGAGAACATCATCAAATGCTCGCGACGCGTTGTCTCGTGCAGCCCGCGTCTGCAACCGCAATGAAAATCTTCGTTGCAAATGTCCTTCAACTACACTCAGCCCCAGCGTCGAGCTACCCCATTTTCAGAATGATTTCGGACTTCCAGTCGATCACTTGAATGTATCTCACAGAATTCAACAAGCCTTTATTGGCGTTTTGGCTGGCTGCGATACTGGATTTCGTGGCAGCCGCACCAGAGCTCGCTTTTCCGGTCAATTCGCAAGTTCCGCCCGTTGCATACGTGTCACAGCCATACGACTTTGTATTTTCTGCCGATACTTTTACCTCAAACGCTCCCCAGATCTCCTACACTATCGCAGATGGCCCGGAGTGGCTTAATCTTGACAGTGCTTCTCGCGAGTTCCGAGGGGTTCCTAATCAGAGCGACTTAGGCACTACCACTTTGCAACTGGTCGCTTCAGACCTAACAGGACAGTTATCCACGAGTGTCACATTTGTTGTCCTCGAATCTCCCACTCTGACGCTCAATTCACCTCTACTGCCTCAACTAGAGCAAAGTGGCTTCATTTCGCCGCCGAACTCCTTACTTGTGCATCCACAGCAGTCGTTTCACCTAGCCTTCGAAAGGCAAACCTTCAGTGGTGCTACACTTGATACAAAATACTACGCAGTTTCGGCCGACAATACCCCTCTACCTCCATGGGTACAGTTTGATGAATCTCATCTCGAGTTTTCGGGCACAACTCCTGGGTTGGTGTCCCCTTTGGCGGAATCCCAGATGTCCGGCTTAAGACTTATTGCTTCGAATGTACCTGGATTTGCGGAATTGATCCTTGATTTTCAAATCGTGATCAGCCGAAGGGTCCTGGCATTTTCAACCGCTTCTCAACACATTCGCGTTTCTGCTGGTGATCAGTTTCAAACCATGCCACTCCGGCCGTTCGTCACCCTGAATGGGGGTCCGGTTACGGACGATCAGATTGTCAGCATAGATGCGAATGTTCCAGCATGGATTGAGCTAGACAGAGAAGAAATATCTTTGAGTGGGACCCCTGACGGTTCTGTCAGCATTACTATCACTGTCACTGTCATGGATATCTACCATGATGTTGCCAATGCCACCATCTTCCTCGAGAATACCGGGAATTCAAATGTTTCTCTCGGGATCATAGGCAAGGTCAATGTTACAGCCGGGGAATACTTCTCATACAACTGGACCACCCCGGCGTCATCTCCTTGGGTTAGAGCTATTGCGGCTCTGGGCAATGCAGCGTCCTGGCTTGATTTTAACACTCAGACGTGGACACTGTCAGGGTCAGTGCCCCCAGATCTATCTCCCCAGACACTCAATGTTTCCATCACATTTGCGAATGCATCAACTGATGCAACGGGAGAGGTTGTTTTACAAGTGCTACGAAAACCTCTTGTTACCGCAGCGACACCATCGCGTACTGCGGAGCCACCCACAATTTCCAGATCTAGTGGCACGAGCAAAACATCTGAGCGAGCAATGAGTGCTCCGGATGACAACACGCTCGACAGTCGTGTGCTGCATATCGTTTTGGCCTCTGTCTTTTCTGTTGTTGGAGCATTGCTCGCAGCTTCTCTAATCTTGTGTTGCCTGAGGAGAAGGAAGAAGAGGAGGGACCAAACCAATAAGGCCTCCGTCGCGGAATGCCCCGGACTTCCTGACGGACATTCACATGAGCCACCTAGCCGGTCTGCACCAGATGCAGAAATGGCTGGCCGTCTACTCCATGATCACGATATTGCCCTTCCTGACTCTCTGATAATGTCCCCTGCATGGCCTAACGACTCTCCCAGGAGTTCAAGGTACAGATTGCCAGGCACAGGACGTCCGCGTCCCCTCTCGCAACATCGAACTTCGCAAGTTCTTACTCCTGGCAGCGTTCTGGGTGTCCAACTTGAAATTGCTGAAGGGGTTGAGAGAACGAGCGATTCGGCGTTTGCGCCTTTGCCTGCTAATCCGAGGCTGTCGATCCTGAGACTTTCAGCATTAACGAACAGATTCTCAGCGGCAGGTTCGCAGAGCCAACAGGAGGATTCGACCACCAATACCAATGCAATTCCAACGCCACACGTGATCGGCTTGCCGGACAGGAGGAGCGGCGCTGGACATGGTGCCGGTATCCTTGTCTCTGGTCATACTGGTCTCGATCGGACGTCCTGCCGAGATACTTGGACATCTAACCCACTGAGTGACCGCAGAAGGACTACGCTGGTGTTGGATTCATTCCCTGCACCCCCTGTTAAAGGAGCGACCACCGCTAGAACTGTATCTCAGACAAGGAAATCAGGTCCCGTCCTGCGGGATGTTTTGGAAGATGGCAATCAACCTCTATCCTTTGAGGAGCAGCGTCAGAAATGGCATACGGAACGTGCACGGGCTAGGTTAGAAGGATCTGCAAGGTTTTCAAATGCAGGCTCGGCACGGATGATGATTTCACCACGAACTAAGTGGCTCAAAAGCACCCCGACGCTCGCAGACCGAGGCCTGCGAGCTTCTACATCAACAGCAAGAGAGTCCAAAGTCAAGGATATCCAAGCATTCCGTGAGCATTCATGGCCAAGGTGGCCTGGTTTTGATCCCGAGGCTCCGAAACCTGCACGAATGGGTCGTCTTGTACCCTCTTATCAGGGAAATACACCAGCGTTGAGGGCGCAGCTCAGCATTGCGAGCAGCGGGCAGTTTGACTCAGCCACTTCCTCCGACAGCTGCTACCTGGAGGACGAAAATCCGGCCATGGAAGAACCACCAGCAGAAGCCCAACAGTGGCCGGCTAACCACAGCTCGCAGTCTCTACCACGCTTACCATTCAACCCTGTCTCACGTTCGCAAGAGAACACGAGGAACAATGAGTTCAGTGATGCAAAGCAGCAAGGGTGGTTTGTAGAAGGCGAATCGAAGAGGCCCCAAGACCGCCGAAGAGGGAGTTTCCGGTTCATATGATTGTTGAAGTCGACCGTCTGGTCTGTAGTGGCCAAAGAGTTCAGAGGTAAGACCACGGGGCGGACGGGACGTCTATTGTTTGATTATGTATTGCCTAGGTAATAAATAATAATATGGACTTCCCGTACTGTAGATACAGGCTGCACTAGGCCTTGGCATGCCCGACACGGTCACACAGGGCGTTGAGGTTCCTTACTAAGGGAACCCAGTTGCAGTGGGCGGATTGGCAGGCGGGCTTAATGGATCTATCGTCATTTACCTCGTACTCGCCCTGGCACCAACTGACTCCGAACTGGGCGGAAGCCCCAAAGCATCACCACCTGTAACTCCCTGCGCCATTCGCCTGCCCACCTTTCACATTCGGATTATCTTTTTCTGTTGAAAAGTGACATTCTCTGACTCCCCTGCACGCGACACCTTGACCTCCAGCAGCAGTCACCGAGAGCCTTGACCTGGCTGCGTTATTGTTGGTCTCGATCTTTCGGGCCATCCCCCAGCCGCGACATATTTCTCGCAGGTTGCAGAGCCTGCGCCTCTTCCCGCTCTAGTCCTCCCTCCGCTGCTTTTTTTCGACCTGCCACCACCACCGCCAGCTTATGACATCGCGTGCGAGGAGTACATGAGCACCGTCACCGCCAATTCCACTCACAAGTTGAAAAACTACAAGCATGGGTCAGACTCTGTCAGAGCCCGTTGTCGAAAAGGTGTGCTCACATAGATTCCATTTCCCCCTCCCTCCCCTCCCCTCCGTTGTGGTTCAGAAGAAGCCTTTTGCGCCTGCGCGTGGTCCAGAGTCGCCAGACCGCCAGGCTTACTTCCTGTTCGCTGTTTCATCGCTGTCACCAAAGTAACGAACTCGGTGGCTAACGCTCCTACGTGACAGATATCCGATAGCGGCGCAGATGACTGTGTTTACTATGGCCTCTCGGCAATGCAGGGATGGCGTATAAGTATGGAAGACGCACACGCAGCAGTACTCGACCTACAACCCGAGGACGGTGGCAAGAACAAACAGCCCGCCCCGCCAGATAAACGATTATCGTATTTTGGTGTCTACGACGGCCATGGTGGGGAAAAAGTCGCGCAGTTTGCAGGAGAGAACGTCCACAAGATTGTCGCAAAACAAGACGCCTTCGTCAAAGGAGACATTGAACAAGCCTTGAAGGACGGCTTTCTCGCCACCGATCGTGCCATCCTCAACGGTATGGGATGCCCCCACGCGAACACCATCCCTTCGGGTACTAAAACATCGTGTAGATGCCCGTTACGAAGACGAAGTGTCCGGATGTACCGCGTCCGTGGGCATCATTTCAAAAGACAAAATATGGGTGGTGCGTTCAACATGCTCCAAATCTCTCGGTGTTCTGACTCATATTTCTAGGCCAATGCTGGAGATTCTCGCACTGTCCTCGGAGTGAAAGGGAGAGCGAAGCCGCTGTCCTTTGACCACAAACCCCAGAACGAAGGTACGTCACTGGGTTGTGTTTCGGATGACACGAGCTGATGAGAAGACTAGGCGAGAAAGCCCGTATAAGTGCCGCTGGAGGCTTCGTGGACTTTGGTCGAGTCAATGGCAACCTTGCCCTGTCACGTGCCATAGGCGACTTTGAATTCAAGAAGAGCGCCGATCTCTCCCCCGAGCAGCAGATTGTCACAGCCTTTCCCGACGTAATCACGCATGAGGTCTCTTCCGACGACGAGTTCTTGGTGATTGCCTGCGATGGTAGGTTACTCCGCTGACCCTCTACTTGTGTTTCGTGTGGCTGATGATGAGCCAGGGATCTGGGATTGTCAATCTTCACAAGCCGTGATCGAGTTTGTGCGAAGAGGTATTGCCGCCAAACAAGAGCTTCAACTCATCTGTGAGAACATGATGGACAACTGCCTCGCGTCCAACAGTGAAACTGGAGGTGTTGGCTGTGACAATATGACGATGATCGTTATCGGTCTATTGAACGGCAAAACCAAAGAAGAGTGGTATGAGATGATCAGCAAACGAGTGGCAGACGGTGATGGACCATGTGCGCCACCAGAGTACGGCAAGTCCAACCTCAGCTTCCATGAGGCCAAGTCTGGTCTAACAACCCGCAGCTGAATTCCGTGGACCAGGCGTCCGACATCAATTCGACCATGACAGCCCAGACGAATACGAGCTTGATTTAGACCATCGATCTCGGGGCTATGGGAGTCGAGGTGGGAGGATTATTTTGCTCGGGGACGGGACAGAGGTCCTGACGGATTCAGACGACACGGACATGTTTGATCAGAGCGAAGAAGACAAAGATGCGGCGAACCAGGTCAAGAAGGGCACTCCCGACACATCAGACATCGAGTCTGCCCGAAGCGAACGAGAAGGCACCCCAGCTCCCCAGTCGGCGGGCGATAACTCGAAAGCGTCAAGTCACCTGGATGCCTCGCACAACAAAGACGCTGGGAACACAGGAACCGCGGACGACACGACACAGAAGGCTGCTGCCTGAAAGCCAGGGATGAGTGAGACCACACAGGCAGATCTAGTTTCTTCCCGACGCAAGATACCCCTGCGGTCACCGCATTGACGAAGAGTCCTAGCATGCATGATACTGGTTTAGACCTACGTGGAAGAGCGTGCCGAAGGGACTGACTGACTGAGTGCCTTCCTTGCTGCAGCCCTGTTCTCATGACCATTGCGCGACGAGGCAGAGCCGAGCACGACGGTAGATTGATGCCACTTTTCTGCACCTGTTATCTATATACACCGCGTGGGGGGGAAGGGCATACCTTGAGTTGTTTTGAGCGCAGCATCGCAACCACCAGTTATTCATGGGTCGACCGACTTCTTCCGTAGAGGGTGTAAACAACCACCGCCAAAGGGGACCCTCCCTGTGTTGTAGGACCAGAATATCCAGCCCAATAGCGGGCAATCCACACAGTACCTCGTACAGTGTCCGGTGTGGCATCGGATGACGTTAGAGACACTGTGAAGGCACATGGCATCGCACTCTGCCACCTGTGACGGCATTGCCAACAACAGGTTTTTCTTATTTTCCCTCTGAGCATTTGGATTTGTCCATACCAAGTTGTTGGGGAGGCGCAGCGTGTGCCAGTCGGGCTTCTGGCTCCTGATAAATCCTGACTATCACGCCAACTCCAACGCGCCTATCCCTCTTCTCGCTTCTCACGATCCCCGAAATTTGTTTCTCACTGTGGATCTTGGCACCTTGTTGCTGGAAACTCTGTCTCTTCTCTCCTGCTAACTTGTTATCTGCTCCTGTCTTTCCTGGCATGGGACTACTGTACATGTACCAACTTGAACGCTGCCTGGGACTCTGAACATCTGCCCAATATGTCGTCGCCATCATCGACGTCATCCGCGAAACGGAAAAGGACGGCCCTCCCAACCGACCTCCAACAACCGTCGTCGCGCGACGCTTCAGGTGAAGAGCTGGCTGATTCGCCTTCGCACAATCTACGGAATCGCAAGCATGCCTCGAGTACTTCTATCGACGGCACCGTGCCGCCTAGCAAGCGAGCTCGCACCCGGTCCATCCCTAAAGCGGTCGAGTCCAACGGAGCGATTGGAAACGATGTTGCCAATGAGGAAGACCCCGGCGAGCCTTCGAGCACTACTGTGGACAGCCAAGAGATCGAAGACACGGCGAGGAAAAGGCAAAGAGCCGTCACAAGTTCCATGAAGAAAGCATTTGTCAATGACGATCGAGACACCATGGAGGACGTCCCCAAAGCAGGCTTGAGGGATCCTGTTGGGTACAAGACCAATCCGCCACCGGTGGGTAGGCCTGTCAGAGTCTACGCCGACGGAGTGTTTGATCTCTTCCACCTTGGGTAAGCCACCTCAGACATCGCTTTAATGGACGTGGAAGCGCTAATCTCCTGTCCAGGCACATGCGCCAGCTTGAACAGGCCAAAACTGCATTCCCAAACACCTACCTCATAGTCGGAGTCACGGGAGACGCCGAGACACACAAGCGCAAAGGCCTGACCGTGCTCACTGGAGCAGAAAGGGCAGAGACGCTTCGCCATTGTCGATGGGTCGACGAAGTTATTCCCAACTGCCCCTGGATTGTGACGCCAGAGTTCTTGGAAAAGCATAAGATTGATTATGTGGCGCACGACGACGAACCTTATGGCGCCGACGAAGGGGATGATATCTATGCCCCTATCAAAAAGGAGGGCAAGTTCCTCGTCACGCAGCGCACCGAGGGAGTCTCCACTACCGGCATCATCACCAAGATTGTCCGAGACTATGAAAAGTATATCGTCCGCCAACTCAAGAGAGGGACGAGTCGGCAGGAGCTGAACATCAGCTGGCTCAAGAAAAACGAACTTGATCTCAAGAGGCACATGCAGGAGCTGAGAGACAGCGTCAAGTCAAATTGGGTCACGGCCGGCGGAGAGATATCCCGCGACCTGCGATCGTTCTGGACGAATGCCAGTTCGAGACCCGCGAGTCCAGCTCCGTTTAACAGACAATTGAGCGATCCAGGCCTCAAGAGCCCGCTCCTCAGCGGTGGCATGACCACGGTCGAGCAACTGAAGCAGTTGGAGACGGCCCTGAACCCAGAGAAGCGAAGCGACTCCCCTGGTAGGCTCAGTAGGAGCGAGGACTTTGCCGCGGGGTATAGCCTGGGGTTGATTGGAGGTGTGAAATCATGGGTAAGCAATGAAGATACCTGATCTGGATACTTTCACTTGGACTACATGACTGACGAAGGTGTCTCTGAACAGATGATGCGGGGAAAACGGGCCCTGCGCGATAGCCAGGCTGCCAGCCCTGAAGGCAGCGAGGATGATGAGGCTAGAAGCCCCATTAGCAACGATGGAGAATCCGATATATTCGGGCTTAAGACGCCTCCCTTGGGTTCGATCCGGGGGAGAAAGGGCAAGGCCGCTAAGGGCGACGTCGAAGAGCCCAAGCGAGAGGCTATGGATGTGATGCATTGACTTGAGTGATGGATGGGATTACTCTTCGGTTGGAGGACCATGTGGGTAGCCATGGCTTCTACGCTTTCCTTTCAACCAACATCTTTTCTACGTAACATTCTTGTTGTTCCGTCGGCTGAAGGGCTGTAAGAGCAGGACATGAAGATAACAAGAGCAAGGTATGGGCGTTCATTCATTAGAGGCCGAACACATCTGTGGGCGGGCATGGGTCCGAGTGAGAAAAACACCCCGAAAAGTACATTGTTTGTTTTTGAAAAATTACACATAGCATCATAATTCTAGTCAAGGATGGGCATTGAGCAGAATAATCAAGCCTTTACGAGATGGTGCTTTTTCGGGTTTTGTCTGATGCGACCGGTTCGGCCTTGAATTCTGACCAGGATCGTTCTATCGAGATAGCCATTCTCAGAAGTCCCATGGGACATGAAGACTCGACTCTGCCACACAATCAACAAGGAGGATGAGCAGCAGCAGCAGCAGCAGCAGGAAGATGTCTGCTTCCTGGACTTGGCGGGTTCAAACTTCCCAATCCGACGACAATGTGCAAGCAAGTCTCTTTGGCCCAATCCAAGGCGCGAGGATGGATGGGCACAGGAAGATTCGATTATCTTTTGGTCTTGTTTTTGTTTTTGGGCTTTTTTTTCAGACGGGCATCTCTCCTTTGCTCTTCTTCAAGTCATCGTTGTTTCTCTGCTGTGCCGTGTTTTAGCCCCCCCAGTTTTCATCCTTCCTTTCGCTCTCACACCCAAGCATAGCAGGAGAAAGGAAGATAGGTAGGGAGGCAGATTAGCTGTCCCTGTCCCCTTCCTTCTCCCCATCTGCCACGCCACCACTCGACTTACTCCCTTACTCTCATTTCCCAACTTTCCTCTCAGCAGTTCGATGCGTCTACGATCGGGGCTTCTCCTTCTTCTCCTTCCACAAAGCGCTCAGGCCGACGCCCGACACCTTGACCACCTTGAACCGCACACCGGGAATATCACCCTTGGCCTTGCCCTTGCGACCGAACCCGGCCAGGAGGACCTCGTCGTTCTCGTCCACGAAGTTGAGACAGCCGTCGTTGGGCACTGTGATTGGTGAGTTTTGTCAGTAAAAAACATTCTGGAACTGCTGAGCCAGTTCTTCCATCTAGGAGATGGGGAGTTTCTGTTTTTGGTTTTCCAAACTGCCCATCTCCTGGTCTCTTCACACATCCAGATTTCGATCCTTTTCTCTTTCTTTCCTTTTCCCTTTTTTTAAGGTAGGGTGGAGGCGCCGATGGGCGAGAACATACCGAAAGCGGTGACCTTCTTGCCATTCTTGATCAACTGCACCCTGACACATTTCCGAATGGCCGAGTTGGGCTGCTTGGCTTCGACGCCGACCTTTTCCAACACGATGCCTTTGGCGTGCGAGGACCCACCGAAGGGCGAGGACTTGTAGGCGGTGCCGAGGAGACGCTTCTTGTAGTGCAGGTCGGCCCAGCGACCCTCCTTGCGGGCGGCGACGAGTTTGCGCGCGGCGTTAAGACCACGGGGTTTGCCTCTGTTTGTCATGTCTAGATCGAACAGCAAGAAGATGAATTAGCTTCGAGGAGAAAAAAGAAGACGTAGAGAAATGTTCAATGAGTTTGAAGAATGCGTCTTTTCTTTCTCGTGTCGTACTCTCTTCGATAGCGAGAACAGAGACAGAGAGAAGGGAATTGTACGTACTGGGCGACTGTGACAAGCAGATGGATTGAGAAAAGTCTGGAGATTGAGCGGTGCTGGGATCGTGGGATCAAGGCGACGGCGATATTGACGAGTTGCCCGCAGAATTCGAGAAAGTTTGGTGCGCCTCGCCAAGACGTGAAAAGGGCGGTGAAGAGTGGCAGAAAGCCTGGTACGGTGGAGTGGAATCTACCATTGGCGCAGTCGGCTGCCAGTCACGTGCCAATTTTCTCCATCTCCAACTCCACACATATTACTCTGCGTACGCATTGAGCACAGCACAAGACTCGAACTGATTCCAGGAGCGGCGAGGGCACGGCTCTCTGGCCCAAACTCACCACCCTTGACACAAACATGGCATCATCTGCTGCGAGGAAACCAGGACAACTAGAAGTGCCAGCGGCAGCGTCCGGGATTGAACGACCCAAGCTCACCACCACGACCACGCGAACGACCGTGCACCGTCTCCCTCCTCCAGCGCTGTTCCAAGGCCCTCCGTCCAAAAATGCATCGCACATCTCCCTCGTGGTCCCTCCCGACCGTCCTCCCACCGAGGCCGAAGGAGGCGCCCAACAGGGCCAGCGCAAGATTATCCGCCCGTCTCGAGTTCCTCCCGCCCCGTCTTTCTCCGGCACGTCGCCATCTCAGCTACGTCCCCCTGCCGCAGGGACAGATGGGGACGACCAGCGCGCCGAGCAGCTCTGGGCGGAGATGCAAAAGACACTCGCAGACGTGGAGATCTCGGCCATGAACACCTCTCACGTCTTTGGCTCGTCTCACTTACGAGCATTGGAAGAGCTACGGACCGCGCAACTGTCCCTGGCGAAGACGTGGGCGAAGATTGAGGCGGACGAATCGTTGGACCATGACTTCGACATCGTCTCGCAGAAGGAGTCGAACTTGGGCGCGACATTGGAGAACAAGACCTCCGCAACGCCATCCGGTCTCCAACGGCCACCAAAGGGCACAGGTGCGACCGGCACCGGCACGACGGCCTCGCCTGCGACAGTCAAGGACGCAGGATCCCCTGACGGGAAGCCCAGCGCGTTTACGAACGACAAGAACCTCGAAGAAGAAACGGAGCGGGACATCCAACTCGCGCGGCAACGGCGCGAGGCCAACGACCGGTATTTCTCGCAGGTCAACAAAGGCGTGCTGGACGTGGTGAGCAAACTGGACGAGGTCGCCGGCGCCATGAGGCGAGTCGAACGAGAGAGTCGGGAGATTTGGGACGAGTCGAGCGAGGATTCGGACGATGCCAATGAAACCGGCGGCAGTGACACGGAAGGCGAGGCCACAGACCGGACGGGCATGACGGATAGTCCTGTGCCTGTGAGGAAGGATGGCTGAACGTACTCTGGGGCATTTGACTACAACGTGGACTGTTCTGGGGTACGGACACGAGCAAAGATTATCTATTCGTTCTACATGGATATTTTGATGAGTGTGCACTGGGTCAGAATGATTAGAGGAGAGATGAGCTCCCTCTCTCTCTCTCTTCAGCGCCCTTGCGCCGCAAGCACGGGTCTATTCCGGCTAAGAGGGCGCGCTACGAAGATGTCTAAAAAGCGCGTGAAGCACATCGTCTAGTACACAAAGCACGAGCGAACTCGACGTCTCTCCGCGACATGGGACTCGACACGGGCATGCTCTGGACTGGACTGGCAGGAGCACAGCATCTGCATACGTATCGCTTGGTTAGCATAGCCCTAACCTGCTCGCGCGGTCTCTCTCATATACAGTGAAAGACGAAGGCAAGCAACGCCACACAAAGCCGGCTGACATCTGGAGACATCGAGCTCGTTCTGCTATTTACGCCTTCATCGCGAGTCTGGTGTCGTGCAGGGATGAAGTTGGCATTTGCCTCAAAAGCCAGAGAAAGGGGCACTGATACTGACAAGACGCTTGCTGGCACGACGGATTCAATACATTCATTGCCGTCCTTCTCTGGACAATGGCAACCGCCGACCAATCCTCCTCCCTACCCTCCCCCCTTGCTTTCACTCACTCACTCGTCTCTTGGGACGGGCCCAATCCCGGTGTCTGTGTACAATGGATCGGTTGGAGGGAGGGAGGGGGGTAGAGTGGACCAGAGGAGACGACAGCGCCCCTGTCAGTACCTGCGTAGGTGGGTATGTGTAAACCATACGTCGAAGACGTTCGAGTTCACGTACCCGGGTTACAAGGAGAGTGGACTCCAGCCCAGGAGGCGGTCTCTGGTGGTTGGTGGTGTCTGGACCACATTTGGTGGTGCACTTACAACAGAACGAGACAGATCAATTGGCAAGATCCATGATCAAAAAAAAGTTACTTTGGGTCTGTGTTGCCTGGTCCCGTACGGCCGTTAATAGAAGATATAAACGCGCCATGCAGATGCCGTGTCCTCGAAACATCCATATTCAAAGCACAGATGTATCACATTGGGGCTGCTTATTCGGTAGTTTCGCCTCTTGTGACGAGCCAGATGCCCATGCGCTCAATCCCCACTGCTCACGAACCACCCGAAGCTCATCCCCTCTTACAGTCCATTTTCTTTGTCTTGAGCGCCACTGTAATCGTATCGACTACGAACAGGCTGTCGTGCAAGTTGATCATCGCCGTTACTATCATTTCCCTGGTCTCTATCGTCGACGAACCGAACGGATGTACTTCTATGACGGGCGTGGACTTGAGAATGGGTCGGTTCGCGCCGACCAGTTCCGGGAGCACTGCTTCGCCTTCGATGGGCATCCTTGCCCCCTTGAGACGATATGTGTCGATCTTTCGAAGGGACGACTTTTGACGGGTCCGAGTTGTGTTCGCTCTCTGTTGAAATAGCTTGTGAGGAGGCCGAGTCGCCCCTCTGACGGGTCATGGAGTTGTGTGCCAGGAAGGGCGACGGCGTTCGAGGCAGAGATGCAAGGTAATCATCCTGGCGCTCCTGGTCGTCCAACTCTGCCCAGATACCCTCCGTGTCAGTGTCGGGTGGCGGTGCATGAATCGAAAGTGTAGGCGGGCGGGCACGGTTAACAACGAGGGGCGCCTGCTCGTCCACTGATCGTCTTGAATCAGCGGTGTAGCTCCTCTTCCGTCCTGTTGATAGTAGTGGAGCCCTTTCGTCCACGGGTGACCGCAATATTCCCATTCCTGGCGTCAGCGGAGTTCGTGGGGAGGGCGTCTGGTAGGGCGCTTCTGCGGGTGTCGTATCATCCAATCTCCACGACAATGCCAGAACACCAGAAAGAAGTATAACCGTACCCAACGCCACCAGCCCTGCATGGAGCGAGCTCAACCTCGATCCTTGTTGGAAATAAATCAGGCCGTCTAGAATTGCAATAATGTTGTAAATGCAAAACACGAAGGGGTATAATACGCTGGTACTGCACAGCCGAAGACCAAGGTGCAAGTAATATAACTGCGTCAAGGCAAAGAAGAGGAGCGCCACCAGGATGAGCCATGACTGAAATCGGTCGAATTGGTTCTTGTGGTCGACAATGGTCCTAACAAGGAGCTCCACAGCGGATTTGGCCACGAGAAGAGAATGTGCAGACAAGATGCCCGAGATCAGAGCATAGGACAAGCCTCGCGCGAGCCGCAGACGACTGACACGTAGTTTCAGCGGTTGAGGGAGTTGAGCGGTGAAAGACCGAGAGAGGATGCGAGGGCGGTCAGTACTGGATGATCCTTCTCGAGGTCTCTCGCTCTTTGGCAGACTTTCCACGATCCGCTTGTGGGACGACCACATCTTCAGGACGTGAGCGAACAAGATGGTGGCCACGACCACCATCATTGTGCCAACCATCCAGGCGATGAAGTTGCGCTTGCTCAGCAGACCGAGCAATTGGTGCAAGTTATGCGCCGGCTCACCAATCGCCCCAAACGTGGCGATCAAGCCCGCCCCCGAACATGTCAGGATTGTGCCCACAAAAGAGAAATGGGTGAAAGGTTCGCCGAGCAAGAGAGTGGCGAACGCGGTGTTAAAGACCAGCCCTGAAGCCTGTAGGGTCGAGAGCACAGGCAAGGGCAACGTGGTGATCTGGATTGTGCTGCCCACCAAGTTGGACACGATGAACATCAACATGCCCAATTGCCATCGTCGTCTCTTGTAGGGAGGGATCCGCGGCTCGGAGTGGTCTTTGGCATCTTCGATGAGGTGCGACTTTCGCTGGAGGGTCAGACCCAGGGACTGGACAGAAGTGGACAGGAGGCCGACGAAGATCCCAATCTACCGTGGAGGTTAGCCAGGACAGGACGATTATCTCACAGAGGAGAAGAGAGAAGGGGGAGGGCGGACAGCAATGGTGCCCTGAGGCGAGATGTCACCGAGTTGACCCATGGCGGTCAAGCGAGGCAGGAAATGTGCAGAAGCGCATGCGTAAGGGCTGCTCAACTGAGCCGCTCATCTTGGGCTTCTGCGCATGAAGTTGTAGGGATTGGAATTCAGCAGACGGGGATATACATGGTTGGAGGGAGGTTCGTCGTGGTTGAATAAGGCAGTAACTGGTTATGGTGTTGGTGGTGAGGTGCAAGGTGCAGGCGAGGAAGAGAACGAGCCACAAGGGTCTGAGGATGAACGTCACCGATTCGCTTGGGCTGCGGGAGCTGTCACCGTCCACACCAAGAGCTCACTCACTACTCGGTACTACTCTCTCCACCAACTGATTACAGCCTTGCATTGACCTGCTGCATAACCTGGTAATACTAGAATTGAACGTTTCGTGTCCCCTTGGGAACAGTTTCCACCCTCTCAACAGAGCTCTGAGTCCACGGCAAATTGTTGAACCGAGCTGAACTTGCCTGCAACGCCAGCTTCTGGAATAGTCCCAATTCCCTCTATCTCAGATACGAACAGCAGCAGCAGTAGCAGCAGCAGGTTACGAAGACGACCATCACCACCAAACACCAGCTCTGTCTCTCTGGAACAGGGCCCCCCTTGATCCTACCCTTCTCATCTCCACCAGTGGTCTCCCTGCACCAACAACCGCAATCATGTCGTCCCACGCGCTCTCTGACGACCAGGTATGCTTGAGCCCTCCGTTTCCCCCTCCGCAGCAACTGCTGACGGGGTTGTCCAGGTCGCCGCCGAGCTCAAAAAAATGACAGCCTTCATCCGGCAAGAAGCTCTCGAGAAGGCCCGGGAAATCCAACTGAAGGCGGACGAAGAGTTCGCAATCGAGAAGTCGAAGCTGGTCCGCGAAGAGATCGCCGCGATTGACAGTCAATACGAGAAAAAGTTCAAACAGGCATCCATGTCCCAGCAGATCACCCGCTCCACCATGGCCAACAAGACTAGAATAAAGGTCCTCTCCGCCCGTCAGGAGCTGCTGGACAAGCTGTTCGAGGAGGCGAGGAAGAAGCTGGCGAGTGCGGGGGCCAAGAGCAAGAACTACGACGAAGTGCTGAAGGGGTTGATTCTGGAGGGCTTGTACCTGCTCTGTGAAAAGAAAGTGACCTTGAGATGTCGGAAGACAGACAAAGACAAGGTGCAGAGTGCCGCGAAGAAGGCCGAGGCCGAGTACAAGGAGAAGATGGGCAGTGAGGTCCAGGCCGTGGTGGACGAGAAGGAATGGTTACCAGAGGAATCGTACGTCTTTGCTCCTTTGTTCCCCAGGAGAGGTGATTTCTTTTGCTAACATACGTACGTGTACAGGGCCGGCGGTGTCTTCATCGTTGGCGGTGGCGGCAAGATCGAATTGAACAACACTCTCGAAGAGAGACTGCACCTACTCGAGACCGAGGCCCTTCCCAGCATCAGGGCGACACTGTTTGGCGAGAACGAGAACAGAAAGTTCCATGACTGAAGTAGAGGAACTTGGTTGCACAAGGGGAAAAAGATCAAGTTCTGATCAATGGAGGTGTCTCCTCCGTCGTGGTCAGAGGGTGCCTGTGGCGTGGTATCAGTACGTTTCCACGTGCACTTCTACCGGTGATAGATTGCATGGGAGACACGAGCACCACCACGCACGGTAGACATGGGTATTACTAGGTACGGTCCGAATCGGGTGTGCGAATGAATACAATGCGAGCGTCTTGAAAGAAGATTTTCTGTATGAAGTGGTCACTCTTTCTTATCTTCACGTCTCCCCAAGACGCTAATGAGGGAGGCATCAATCGTCAAAATACATGTTCGTTCATGTCCACCCCCACACACGCCCTGGCGCCTTGATACCATATGCGCATGAACGGACCACCCCAATTTTTCCAGAAGAACCTCTGCTGCCGGAGCATTGCACGAAGCCTGACACATAGAAACGTGAAATCCTCGTCCGGAAAAGCTGTGGCATCAAGTCCTTCCAAGCCTCCAGCTGCCCTGCCTAGCTCATACTTCCTCTTCACCTCCCTTTTCCGGAAGTTTCCCTAGCTTCTTCCCCAAAAATCGGCTCATAAACTCCTTACTTCTCTCCTCGAATTCCACTTCCTCGGCATCTCTCATCCTGCCAGCATCCATGAAGAGACGCCGGCTTGGTCTCGACACCGTCCGGACACCGTATAATAACCGCCAGTACAGTGCTTGTAAGGCGCCCTTGCACTCCGTGCGGGTCATGTGCGAGGCTCCCGCGTCGCCGATCGCGACAAATGTGGCATTGATGGCATCCGCGAGACAGTCGACGGATTTGTTGAAAGCCTGTTCAGCCGAGCGGGAGGGGAATTCGGCGGGTCGGCCACCATCTGAGATGGCGATGTCGAGAACATGAGTGCGAGCCCGGAGGGCAGTGTAGTCCACGACGCTACGACTCGTTTGGAGCCTGGTGTTGAAGTCGGGAGAATTTGATACGTACTCAGCCAGCGTGTGGAGTGAGATCTTGGGAGTACCGGATGCACTTCCTTTCCTGTTGTCGACTCCAAACAGAAAAGCTTGCGCCAGGCGGATGCGTATCCGCGATGCGGTAAGCGAACTAGGTAGGATATGAGAGAGCAATTGTGCCTGCAGAACGGCATCTTTCAGATGCTGCCCCATATCAGACAGGATTCGATCTGCAACATGAGCACACATTGCCGGGTTGGGCAGGGAGAGCAGCCTTTCCAGGATCGCGTCAATTCTCGAGGAAACTCGCCCATCACTGGTCAGTTCGCCATCGATCGCCAGCCGACAGATTATAGAAGCCAGACTGCTCAGAGCCGGAAGACCCATATTCGCACAGATGTGCTGGAAGAGATCCAGGACGGCCAGCAGATATTTCGGATTGCGCTGCGCAGGCTCCTTCAGCAGCTGATGTCGAGGCTTTATCTCGATGGAATCCTGGAGACTGGTGGGTTCAGCTCCTAGAGTTTGGAAAACGGTCTGGACGTCTTGGGCGCGGATATTGGCCCTTATCCACGACGAGCTCGCGTTCTGCAAGCATCGAACATATGCTTGTCGTGCTTCGTCTTGTCGCTCAAGGACGATGTTCCCAAATGTCCAATTCAATGCATCGTCGGAGATCAAGCGTCGTGCCGCGAGATCGCTCACATAGCCTGATAAGTAGGCTCGTAGCCTGGATTCGTTCACCCCGTCCCGCCATAGATGATCTGGAATGGCATCAGGGGGGAAGGGGTGCTCAGCGGGATCTTCATCATGCCAGTCGTTCAACCCGTTGACTCCAAAGAACAAGAAGACTGAGTCAGATGCCAGAGCTTCCGTGCGGTTAATGGCGCCCATAATTCTGGCGACTTTACGGCCATCGTCCTCCTCGGAACCGGTCACAACGGCGGCGAGAAGGGTTTTGTCGAGTGCTGGCTTACCGACTGGCTCTGCTGCTTTGGTTGCTGCGGCGACGTCTGCCCGTGCTCTCTTGACATTTCTCTCCCTTTCTTCATCGCTGAAATGATCGGCCGTTAATGTGCTGATGTCGGAACGGAGCTCCTTTGCCCGCTGACTCAGAGCCTTTATTCTGTCTATGCCCACGAAGTCGTACTGGGTGTCGAACATTTTGTTCGCCATAAAGAAAGAGGGCTTCCACGAGTGCTCGGCCTTGACTTTGGTCTCCTTCTTTGGGGCAGACGACTTTGGAATACTCTGAGAGCCCGAGTCCCTGTCCCTCCACGAAAAATCCCCGAGTGACCCCAGTGAGCCCTCATCATCGGAATCGGAGGCAAGGATCTCGATCAATTCACCATCCCTGACGACGGCGCGCGACGAACTGGACAGATCGCTGAAGGAGATATATTTGCCCTGATTCCTAGAAGTGTCATCCTCTTGGGTATCTGCACCCAGTATGGGGGCTTTCTTGTACGTCGAAGGAGGCGCTATCGGATCTTCTGAGTAGGAAGCTCGGCGGCGACGGACGGACAATGGGGTTCCCGAGCCCAAGCGCACCGACTTGGGTGTTGGCACGGAGGAAGGAGGCGCCTTTGTGGTATATCCATCGGTAGTCTTCTTTGCCGCCCTTTGAGTGTTCGTGTCCGAGCCATCCCTGCGCGAGTGTGCTACCTCCTGCGGCTCTTCTTCGGTCGAGGGAGACGGTCGTTTGGCCGGGATTGTGCTCTTGACATGAGGCTTGAAAAATTCACTGATCAGTCTCATAGCGCCATACATTGGGCCGACTTAAATGTGACATGACATATCAGAACGTCTGTCGGAGATATCGTCAGAAAGAACGCGACATGTCAAGGATGAAGGCCTCGTCAATGTTGAGGTCGCTGTGGGTGAGTGGGGGGAAAGGGTAACCAGGAAGCAATAGGCAACGCGCACCCGCCGACATTCACGCGTTGTAATAACATCTCGCTAAACATGCCAGTTGGGAGCAGGTGGGGGGGGAGGGGGAGGCAAGTAGGCTAGTGAGGCTTGGCGGGGTGCACTGAGTTACCAGACTAGCCTGGGGAGAAACCTACTAGCCTGCCCAAATACTCAACAGGCGCCCGGAATAGGCGCCTGAACTGTTGACTTTGGGGGAACATCCAGGCCCGCAAAGCCTGTTGGTTAGCTATCATGTTCGATCTTGCCACCGGGCTTTTTAATTATCCGCCAGAGTCAAAATCCTGAGGAGCCATGAGACGACGTTTCACGCGATATCATTTGCCGTCTACCTCGTTCAATACTCGGTGTTTGGAAAGCTAACATGAGTCATAGTCAAGATAAATGCCAGTCACGGCCTCATGTGGATCCGCAAGAGCACAGGTAGTCGGTCTGTGAGCCCATGCGATTTACAAGATCTGAATGTCGTGTTGATCGCTGTGAGCACCCAGGAGGTTTATGAAAGCCGATGTTCGAGGAATGCATATATAAGTACAGTAAAAATCAAAAAGCCGAGAGATAAAATGTCCATCGCAGGTGCCACTGGGCTTTCAAAGCGTGTCTTGAGTCTTGCAAGCAGCTAAATATATACAAGTGATCGTAGGTATCTATATTTCCGCTTTTTCTTTTCATTTTTCTGTCCGATATCAAAACGAACTGAACTTTCATTCTCCGCCCGGGGGGCAGGGTCCAGCACAGCAGATACAGAATCGGGGGTTCTTCTTTTGTTCTACCATCGCCCGAGCAGAGTCCCCCAAAAACAGGGGAAACTACTCCTCCTCCTCCTCGTCGAGAAGAACAACAGCATCATCTCCATTGAAAGTTTGGGGGAAGATCCTGCGTAGGACATGATGGAAACAGCCAGCAACAACATCGACAACAAGAAAATAACAACAAGGGGGGCCCTCGAGGGGACGGAGAAAATGGGGAAACGAAGGGAGCAGCGAACACCGAGGGAGAGAAGCATCACGGTGACGGTGCGTTGGTTCAGGTGGCTCAACTCTGCTTTTCCTTCCCTCCCGATGGGACATCGTGGAGAGGGACAGAGAGACAGAGAGTGAGTGACTGGGCAGTGGGCGAGTTTCAGGTCAAGGTCAAGCAAGTAGTACGAGGTAGTTGTGGATGGGAGTGAAGGAAAACAGAAAGAAAAAGTTTGATCAATTCGTATACTTCGCCGTAATACCAACCAGTATTACTGTGCGGCATTCTGTGGAATGGCGCAGTGCAGCCTCGTCGCAACTGCACAGATGATGGGCGTGCGGTGAAGCAACGGACTGCTCACACAAAAAACAGCATCCTTACTGTACAATCTCATGGACAAGCCAGGAAGTACGCTCGTTTTTGTAGTGTTCCCCCCTCCCCTCCCTGTTACACAACCGCATACTCGACAGGGAAGGGGAGGGACTGGAGCAAGACGTCCCATCGTGGGGATCGATGTCCCTAAAGGCTATGTAGAGGACTCCAACCCTCACTTTCCCATCGCCTGTGCTGGGCTCATATCAGGCATCGTCTTACGGTTAGACACCATCTGACAAGGGGAATAATACCTCACCCTGAAGATTCAATCCCATGTCGGCCGTGCATGGCGTGTTATCAGGAAAGCCTACTTGTCAGAGCAAGCCAAGGACGTAACTTTTAGTTGACCCGACCCGACGAACCGTATATTATGTCAATAAATAATCCTATACATGCCGTCCCATCCTTAACTTTACATTTTGTAAAAGCATATGAGAGTAAACTTTTGTGGAAATGACCTCTGGAAATGAAGGCCCTCTGCCATCTGAAATGTCCTGTGCTCCCTCAGAAAAGCAGGGGGGACCATCGGGAAAGAATTAACGGGTATCTCAAAATCAACAACGTAGCTTTCATCGTAGAGTTCGTCTGCTTCACGCAGCAGCAGCAGCAACAGACCACCAGTCCAAGGCCTGCGCGCCGACATTCCGTGGAAAGAGGCGAAATCCCGCGTCTAGGCCATGGCCAAATGGGTCCCTCAACATATCGGTGGCGCGTTTGAACGCCTGAATCGCCGAGAGACAGCCCAGAGGCGGCGATCTGAGCAGAGGTGGTGACAAGTTGTGTTGCTCGAGGCCTGAACCTGTCGTGTCGCTGAACTGACTGTGCAAATGGTTCCTTTGCTCGACGCCCGGTGGCGAAATTGGATAAACTTGATGACCCGTGGAAACCACCACAGCATGATGGACTGTTGCTAGTGCCGCCGACATCTTTTGAGACACTCGGTCCACCAATCCCGATGCCTCAAGCATGCCGAGACAGGTTGTCACACGTTCCAAGTCCAATTGTGTCTCTGCTCGTTCTGCGGCGTGCTGGATGGTCCTCAGAGTAATATTGTACAGAAGAATGGTGCATGCTGTGTAGCTTTCCAAAACACAGATCCAACACCGAACGTGCATGTTTGTGGTGGCCGTGCCGAAGCGGAGCAGGATGAAAATACGTACGATGGCGCGTGCCGCCTCGACAGAACGTGCCAGATGCTCCTGCAAAAGCGTGCTCCCGAGATCGGTTTCTGCCCCATGGCTTAGGATACCATCCGAGACGGCCACCAGGACCCGTCGATGCAGCATCATGACAGCGCCCAAGTACATGGCGTGGGAGAGGAGGAGCGCGCCTTGTTGTGCCGCTGTAAGAGGGTTGGCATCGCCATTCAGCAAAACCGTCAAAGTCATATTGGGAGGCAGCTTCTGATACCAGCCTTCAAGGGCCGTCATATGGTCCTCGATTATCTGTTCGGTGGGTGGTTCGAGCCCGCAGGTCGCTTTGCAGACTCGAGCCCGCAGCACGATGATTTCTTTAGCCTTGACCTGCGTCACGCTGTCATCTTGAAGTCCAACTGCGGTAACTGTGATGGGCTGAGGAAACTCAATTTCTCCACCGAGGTCAGGCGTGTAGCCCAACGATGTCGACAGCCAACTACATATGAAGTGTCAGTCAGTCGAGGGGGCTGGCTGGTGAAAAAGCATTTAACACGGACTGACCATTCAAAGAATATCGTTGTTTGATACAGCCTTCTCCACTCAGAGGCCTCCCCGTTGAGCTCGTGTTGTGGCAGAGCCAAGTTCCACCGGGCGAGCTGCAGGCTGAGCTGGATAAGCCGGACAGTGCTCTTCCTCTTGTCGATCATGCCGTATGCGCACAGGCAAGCCAGATATTTCATAGTCTGCAGGTTGCCGAGATCAACCATCTCAGGCATGTAGTGGAGGGCGGCTTTGAAGAGAGCGTCTTTAAGTTCTCCCGTGGTGTCGTCCACATTGAAATGAGCTCCGACGGCGGCCGCTGCGCAAATTCTGGCTACGACGCGAGTATTCGGTGGCGATTGTGTCCGAAAAGCCAGGTCACAAAGCTCGTCAAACTCGCCTATGGTCATGATGTGGAACAAGCCAGCCGTCACTTGAAAACATATCTCGGTTCCCTTTCGAATCTCAACTTCGGGCGGTAGTTGGCTGGGGGAGAAGGCAGTCGGGTAGTTAAAGAACCTCAGCATCGGCCAAGATGAAGGTAGAGCTTGAGAGCGAGACTGTCGACTGCCTCGGTCTGCCTGAAGTTGTTCTAGGTCTTCCGGAGACAGAGAAGGCAAAGTTGGGAGACGCACCCCGTACACGTCGTGAAGGAGGTTTGAGGACGATCCACGCCGTGCCGTATCCTGGTGGGGGGAACGGAGAGCTTGCCAAGCAGCCAGGGACTCGTTGTCGCTGCCATATTTGAGCACTTCGAGCAGAGAGCGCATTTCCTCGTTCTGTGCTTCAAGGATCTGGATGCCCTCCTGCCTGACACTGGCTTTCCTCTTGTCGTTGAAGCGATACACGCACTGATTATTGGCGTCGACACATGAGCGACAGCGAGGCTGGCCATCACACTGGGGTCACAAGAACGAATTAGCTTGAGATGACCTCCATCAACCAAGGCACAGAGCAGCTCTGTCAGCTGGTGTAGGCGGGCGAAGAGACTTACACGTTTTCGTTTGAAGCGACAATACTCGCATGCCGCCGATGTATACTTTCGCTTGGAGCCCGATGCCGGTATGACGGCGCCGACCTCTGATGGATTCCTTTGCTGGCTGAGAGGGCTTATGGTGTCCCGAGATAGCTGCATCCCGCTCATTCTGGGAGGCCACACGGGATTCGATGTACAAGGTATATACCACCAAAACTGGAGGAGATACACAACCCATCGCGTGCTGTCTCGGTGTTATGAGGAACGGCGGTCGCCACACGGCGGGGAGCTATCCCCTGTATGTCGAGCCCTGCAAAAAAACCAGACGATGGGGAAGCCGTCAAACTCAGATTCTAGAGCTGGGGAGGCCGAGCCCTGGAATCAGCCATTGAAGTCAGCAAATGTTCGCTGTCACAACTGTCGGTCACTTCCAAGTAAGGTCTAGTGCCGAGGAGTGTACTCTAGCCGTCCACTGGTGGTCGACACTAGCCGGTCCGCGGTATTAGACTCCAGGCGTTCGCAGTGGTAAACTCTAGGTGCTGCCGGTGACAGACCCTAGGCGTCCCCGGAGGTCTAGACAAATTTGCGTTGGCTGGAGCTGTGTCACTTCATCGTTCCATCGACAACCTCGTCACTCGATTGAGCCGGGTCGAACTTCGGGCGAGATTCTTGGTCTTACAGGCCAAAGGCTTGTTTCTCTCCTGTAGTCTTGGGACTGCCTACAAGGTGGAAGAAGAAAGACGATTGAAGCAGTACATCGGGCGTCGACCAGTGCCAGGAGGCGTACCAATTCTATCACCTGAAGGAGAGAAGTCGTTATTCTGCTACCTGATAGGATGCACAAATGCCCCGGACGCGCACTGGGCAGGCACTTCAGCAGCACCAGCAGCACCAGCAGGTCCAATGGCTGCTTCTCTCGCCGCTTTCTTCTTTTGCCACTGCTCCCTCAACACAGTCTTGATTGCATGTTCGCCGGCTTTGTAGTTGGCACAACACACCTTGACCAGCATTTCCACTTGCTCACCCGTCCACACCAAGTTGTACGAGCCGGAGAACTTGGCGGTCGACGGATCAAAGTCGGCCACCGCGCCCTGGTTCGGCAGCAGTGGGAGATATATCATGGTCGACTCGTGGAGGCATGGAGGTGCCGGGGGATTGGTCACTTTGTGTCCGTAAGAGTCAATCACTTCCTCGGGCCTCTCTTCGAGGATACTGCCGTCGTATATCTGGGCATATAAGCCCTGGAAGCGGTCCGGGTCCTTGGGGTCAGTGCCAGCTTCCACTTCAGGGTGGCGTTTCGTATATTTCAGACACCGTCGGCTCGCAATCTGGTCCACCCGCTCCTGGAAACTGCCTTTCAACACGTCGCTCGAAGCGTCCATGTTCAGGATCACATCTACTCGCCGGTGAGGGTGCAACATGACATATGTCGGGCAGTTGTTGTCCATCCCCGAATCAATCAGGTGAATCCGTGGGGAGTTCTCGATCGGTGGTGACGGCTTGTCCTTGCTCTCACCTCGGGACAAGTGGAACATGAAATTGTGCTCATTGACGGCATGGAGAGGATGATGAGCTTGAAATTCTTCCTTCCCCCTTGGTCCCCACATGCGTGCGATTCCTTTGGCCATATCATTGATGGAATTTCCAATAAATCCCGCTGGAAGGCTGCGTTTGATGGTCGCTAGGTAAGAGGTCAAGGGTCCTGCGGGCGCACTGGTGCACAGGCCCAGCAACAATGCCAGAGATTGTTCGGGAAGTTGCATCGTATCTTGGCCCTTTTCGAACGGTCTGCCAAATGCCCATGTTGGACACCAACCTTCCAACTCGTCACATCCCACCTCGATCGGTGAGATTTCGAACCAGTTGAACCAGGCGTCCTGCGCCTCTTGATGCTCCTTCGTTTTTGGATCTTGATTCTTGAAGGGGTGTTCCTTGTCCACCCAGTCCTTCCAAGGCCGTTCATGCCGGATTGCGGTCAATATGGGAAACGGTTCGCTGCCGTCTAGCAGATGGACATTGGCCGATGACCACTTCAGCCAGTTCTCATGGAGCCCCGCCACCTCCTTCTTGACACCAAAACTCTCACGGAGGCCGGGGGGCTCCAATGCAGGATCGTGGTTCAGAAACAGATGACCAGTGGTGAAGACAGAATACAAATCCATAGCCACCGTTGAAAGGCCTGAACGGTGCTTCTGGACCAAGGGGCCAAGCGTCTTTGCCGGGCCACCAGGGGCATTGAGCACCTCCCGAACAGCCTCGGGAGACAAAGGGTGATGAGGATGCAGTCGCTTCTGGCAATGGTCAATCACGGCCTTCATGCTCGCCCCGGCCCAAGTATAGTATGCGGCAAGACCCCAGCAACTGCCGCTCACGCCAGCAACATAGGTTAACAGATCCCACATCCCTGTCCGCTTCATCTCTTCGCAATATCCCAGAAGCCCGATCATGGCCCTATATCCCCCTCCTGACCCGCCCAATGCGACGATAGGCACGTCATCAATGTGGACCTCGGACGGGTCGAGATCGAGATAACGACAAAAGGCATCGCGCACAGTGACCTTTCTCCGCTCACGAAATTGTATTTCCTGTGGAGCTAACTCGATACCTCTCCTTACCGTGGCCTTTTGAGCGATCTCGGGATGCCTCGTCGCGTCCCTCAATTCTTTGGTAATAGTCGCTTCGACCTTCAACGCGGCTTTGATGATTGAGATGTCTGCCACAGCTTCGGGAAATGCTGGGACGACGGTCTTGTTCCAGAACGACTTGAGTTTGCCCTTGACCTTGGCACGTGCCCTTGTCGAGCTCTGGCCGGTCGAAGAAGGGCCACCTTTCTCGATGGTCACTTCTTGGTCGTCGTTTTCCTCGGGCATTTCTGGCTGGTCAGCAAGATGGTTTCGCTCCTGACTTCGCTGGCTTTCTGGGTAGTGCTTGCGAATGATAGATTCTTCGTATTCTTGCTGCTGGGCGGTCTCAGACGTGCGTTGTATCCTGGTTCAGGTCAGGCTGAAGTGTTTCGCAATATGTTCGCAGTGGATTTGCACGGACACTGATGTAGCTATCATAATTGGGAACCCAGGTTCTCGGGGCTGCGGTAGCTCAGATGGTGTCTGTGACCTCCTTCAGAAATCCATCCGTTCCTTTGGTCGTCATTCGCTAGCAGTCTTCGTAAGGCAAAGCAGACGCTGCGATCAGTATCATCGTCTGTTTGCATGCCGCCCTTGTTGCCCGAAGCTCGGATCGTACATGGAGACCACATGATGAAGGAAGGGACCAGATACATCGCAAGGCTGAGCCCTGAACCGGACGAATCAAGCACGGCCATTGCTGAGCGTGCCTGTAGCCCGGGCAGAGGCGTCAAGATCATTGAAGGATGCACGGGATTGGAGGTGTCCTTTCGGCCCAATGAGACAGCACACGTGCTTGAGCTTGTGGTGTTAGATCTGACAGCATCAGGAGTATCAATAGGATGGGATGAAGTGATGGAAGGCCTTTCTCGCAGCGAGTTTGAGAAGATTGCTGAGTCACCGCCCAGCCGATTGTAAGATTCCTTCGGTGGACGAATATACCGTACAACCAAGAGCCCTGCTGCTGCATTACGACAACGGGATCACATTATTGATCGTCAATTACGAAGCACAGTACTACCTATGCAGAGTCCACCTGGATCAGTGTTGTCTCCACCTTGATTTCCATGCATGCAGCGACTGGGATACCGCTCCTGGCAAGCGGTGATGGCGGAAACATGAGGCTCATGGAGCATGCTCACAGCAGACAGACCCATAGATCCATTTCTCGTCAAGAGTCGTATCGAGTGTTCCAGTAAAAGTGGGATCGTGTCCTCTCGATCACCTGCTTATTGCAGCGGGTAGCGCTCACCTGGCAAATTGTCCATTCTCGCTGGGCAAACCGTCGTCGCATCTTTCTGGATGCCATCAGGTTCAATGTTTTGGCAAATCTTATTAACCGTCTGAATCGCCTTGGGGTCTAATCTTTGAGATAGCTGTAGCCCGGTGAGGACAGCGCCATCAGACTTGTCACATGTCCGCCGCTATGTCCAACAGCTCTTGAGCAGGTGTATTGACTCCCTCCTGAAATAGGATGTCAAGTCCAGTCTCCCTTGATAGCGTCTCTTCGTGGCTCATGATGGAGAAAATAAAAAGGGCCACAGTCGATATCCTCTGTGTTTCTCCGAGACCCTTGACACGGAGGTAAGGACGTGTGCAAGGTAACATCGCGGCTACTGTCGCCCTCAATATCGCCCAGCATTGGCGGTACAAGGTATGGTAGTCGAATGAAAATTCCACGATCTCGCTTTGCAACGATAGCCGGAGAGTACGAAGGAGTTCTGGGATGGTGATTTGCTGTTGCACGGGCTTCGGCTTCTTCTTGACTCGCGATTTCGCCCCAACTTCAGCATGGTGCTTGATTCCCGACGGATAATCCTCTTCTGTACAATCCGTCTACAGCGAAGTACTCTTACTGATGATCCTCTCCACATCCTGCCGAGGCTGCATAGTCATGTTCGCCCGCTCCTCGCCATCACGATGTCTTGGCGCATCACAGGCGCGCCGCATCTCCAGGCTCCGAGCAAGCCCCATCAACGATGCTGGCTGAAAGAATGGGATTTGCGGTCTCCGATCTCTGGCAAATAATCCGGCTGTCAAACCTTTCGCGTGGCAGATGCTGCGGTAGTACTGGTCCCACGAAGCTGAACGTTTTCCGGCAAACAAGTGTCTCTCACCTTGAAGGGCAATGAGGAGCTCCATGTCCTTCCACACTCAGATTAGAAGTTTGTTTCGCCAGACGGCATTGTACACATGAGCAGCGAGGACGGCCGAGCCTGAAGCTTTCCCATGCTTCATCCCGGCTTCGGAAGACTTGGATTTGATCCGGTACATGAGAAGTCCACTCAAAACAGGGTGATTCCTTTGAAGGCGATGCCTCCCGACCTCGAAGCATCGAGGTTCTGCAATCTTCACCCGAGCTTCCTCAACTATGTCAGTCCCACACTTGCTGTCCACATCAGCAATAACTTGCCCCAGAAGTTCTTCGACCCAGGTGAGCCGGTCAATCTTCAATTCCCGACTCAATTCGAGAGTGGACTTAAGCGTGAGCTGTATATGATCGCCAACCCAGCGATGGTCTTTGAACCCCTGGGAAATTTGCTCGCGCAGGATGTGATGGATGTCCAGGAATATCTGGCAGAGAAACACAACCACAGGCAGATCTGCCGTGTCCCGAATGCTTCGCGAAGACCTCGCTTCAGTTCATCGAAGCCGGGCATGCTTCCGTGAGTTCGTGCAAGTACATGAAAGTCCGGGAGGATCTCCAGAAGGATGCTTTTGTCTTCGCGGTACTTCTCACGATCCAAGATCTTCGAGCGGTCGGCCGATGCATCGTACACGCCATAGGTCCCAGGTCTGAACGATGGTATCGATCGTCCTTTGTACAGTCCCAGATACTCATTTAAGAGCATGAACGTCGGCAGCTATAAGCAATCTGCAAAGTTATACATGGCAAAGTTAAGCTCATCACCAGGGGACTCCCTGGAATCCGGGCCCTGATTTTGGGCCCCACAAACGGAACTGAAATATGAGTAGAGAACTTTCCTCAGGTCTCGACTCTCCATTACCAGTAAATAGCTTCTGTTGTGCTTCTTCCAGGCCACGCGCCAGCTCCATGCCGTATTCGTGGTGATTGAAGCGCTGACAAGATCGAAAAGACCAGTTTTGTAACCCATCCAAGTTTCGGAGACGACCGTGCGAATTTGCACAAAATCTGTAAGTAGACAGATAAGTCCCAAGATATCTTCCTCGAGATCATCGGCGGCCGCTGCTTGGTAGCTTTTTTGCGGCTTCTGGGAATTTCGTCTGTGTGCTGATCGTAATGTGCTCTCTTGAAAGGCTTCTGAAGGTTCTTCGACGTGAAGGATAGAGAATATGTTTGTCAGATTTGCCGGGGTATTGTCTTCAGTAGCGGTACCCTTAAATGTCTTGGTCCCCTCCCGGACAGCTGTTGATATAAGGGGTTGAAGTGCTTCTCTGACTTCTTCAAGGGTGCAAGTGAAGAAAGAGTGTCCCATGGCAGATCTGTAGTCAGCAGAGGTGTGAGAGGTCCCTGTCCCGCCATGGTTCCCCTGAGCAAACGCAACCACTTTCCTCAAGGAGATGGTTCGATCGAGCATTCTGACAAAGCTGTCCGGAACTTGTACAAATGATTTCTGGAAAGCCGTGATTCGTTGGGCCATGGGGAGGAAGTCTCTCACCAGGATCGTGCCAGCGAGCGATCGACGCTCTGCTTTTGCGGCTTGCTTTGCCAGGATCCTCGCTCTTCCTTTGAGTTTGTATGTATGAGACGACTCTTCCACCGTTTGGAAGTTCAGGGCAAAGCCACAGCGTTGGGCACTGATTGCTAGCCATGATGTGATGTGATTTTTATCTGAATTGTACTGCGAATAGCTGTTATGAAGATTCTGAGCATTTTCGATCACATATGCCCTAGGAGGGACTTGATAGTGGAGGTTGCTTCGAAAGATCAGCTGGAAGAAGGGTTTCAGTGAGTGAGATAAATAGAGGCCTCGATGTAGAAAGATTGGCTTGAGGGAGGTCCGAAGGCGGGAAAGAGCCAGAATGGGTTGGTGAGGCTCGTCTGATCAGGTCGTACAAGCAGCAGTGAGGTCGATGTAACCCATTGGCTGCACAGGCACCAGGTTAAGCGAAGCTACCAGGACTCGTTGAGTCTGGTACGAAAGAGACAGCTGGAAGACAGGTCGACCTTCGATCTTTGGGAGAGGATGATGGTGAGAGAGGAGGAATTGTACTTGGAGACTGCGCGGTCAACTATGTTAGGCACTTTCCTGGTGTACCATTCCTCGCCATTCCGTTGTCAGGTCCCTTTCCTCAGGAAAGCTCCATTTGCGACTTGCGACTTGCGTTGTGACTGTCATGGCTTCTGTTGCTCACATGAGAATGCAAGACTTGGAAACTTTTGGGTCCCCTCGCATCTTTCGGTAGTGATCCATGAAGATTCTCTGATTAACATCCTCCACCGGTACCGTCGGTCGATGGGCTTCCTGCTGCACTTGACTGCTTACCTTACGAAGACATTGTGTCTGTTTCTGATTGTGGAAGAAGCAAATTCGCGTTTCCAACTGGCCATTGAGGTTCACGCTGTACCTGTTGAGCAATTCGAGCTCGTCGTCGCTCCACGGCTTCATGTTGCGAAAGAGACCATTGCGGTGGATCGCCGCCATCGTGTTGGTCCAAGGATTGACGAAAGTTGGCTTCCGGGGGGGACGTTTAAGGGACGGGCTATGTCCACGTTAAGAAAGGATGTCTAGCTATACAGAGAATGGGTTCTGGGCTCGTCACAGCTTGCGTGTACAGAGTGAGACAGTTGATCGATGCTTGTCTGCGGAGGAGACGTACGAATATGGAGACGTTGTCTTGCTAACCCACCTCGAGAGCCTATCCTCTTCGTGGAGATGCAGCTAAGAAAGTTTGTGTTGTAAGAGCGATGTGAAGGGTATCCAATGCTGTAGACAGCTAGCTAATGTGTCTCGGGAGCCCGTGGTCCACGGAATCGGCAAGGAAGGCTGCTGGATCTTAGTTGTCCTCGGGATATACCCTCTTCACCAGCCCAGTTTCAACATCGAGCCACAGCCCGACAACGCCATCAATGAGATCTTTCCTCAGGAAGCCGCACTTCTTGACTCTTTCCAAGTCTTCCAGCAACGACTTGGGGTTATCTTCCTTCATCGGCAGTCTCCCTTCAAGCTCTGCAAATCCCGTAAAGTCAGGTCTCTTCTGGTGGACCCCGTCACGAACCTGCTCTATGGTGACGTGCGATGCACCGCAGTTGGTATGATGAACGAGGATGATCTGAGAAACGTGGAAGAGAGTGTCGAGCGCGGCGATGTCACCTGAGGCCGAGGCGAAGCGGCCTCCCACATTGCGCAGTACAAGGCATTCTCGGATTCCGGCGTTCAAGAAGGTCACCGGATTGGCGCGAGAGTCGAGACATGATACTGGAGGCTTTCAGTTACACTGATTTCAAACTGTTCACCGGGTAGGTTGGTGTTACCAATCAGTACATGGGGGCCATTCACTTTAGGATCATTTCCCGTGCGAGCCATCAGAGACGGAATAGGTTTGTGGCCAGCAGCGTACTGCCTGTGTTTTCAAAATCAGTCGAATGCTCATACAGTGAGAAGAGGTGGAGCAGAAATATAAAGGCATCTGAAGCCTCTGTAGGACACTGACTTGTTGCGTTCAAGTAGCTCATTGACGCTCGGGCCATACGTGTCGGCCGTATTGGTGGACAATGACATGTCTAGGGAATGCTGGATCAGGTGTGCTGAGCAATACGGGATGGTCGAACAGAAGTCACACAGCAAAGACAATCTTACAGTGTGATGGCTGACGCACATCGGAGAGGATGCAGAAGGCATGGATCGGTTTTTATACTTGCTCAACCGCGCCATCGTGTTGTTGAACTCCTTCCTCATGGGCAAGGCCACAACGAAACTTGAGCAGCCTGACTCGAACAAAGCTCGCCACTGACAATGCAGTCGGGAATGTCCCGTTTGAGGGGAGCGGAACTTGAGAATGTGGATTGACTGGTTGCTCGTATGTGCTCCAGCTGAAGCTCACCGGTGGTCTCATAGTAGTCACAAGCCTCCCAGGCGGAGGACGGGCTTCCCTCTAATGGTGCGCCCCAATCAATCACAAGGTCTTTCAGATCCGTTCTCAACAATTTTCATGTCTCCAGCTGAGGGCCAGGATGGGTCAAGGCGTGGTAGACAAGGCTTGGGGCTCCCCAGTCGCAAAGTTGATGTTGAGTAATCCGACGTCCTTCATACACGCGGGAGAAAACTAACTGCAAGCCCCGCAAGATGGACTGGTTGAGAAGACCCGGGAGAATTGTTTGATTAGAAGATTCGCTTGCTGCTTTGTTCTTTGTTCCCGCTTGACGTCTTGATTATGGCATACGGGCCTCTAGGTTGGTCTGGGTTCGACACGGCGTCGCCTCTTCCAGTAAGGGCCCCGAAGACGAGGCGTTGCCTGGTTGCCGCCGCTCTAACCTCCACACTTGTCTCAAGGTTCGATATCTTCCTGTGCCGTCTTGTAGGAAGGCCAATCCGTCCATCGTCGGGTACAAGGAAGCTTGGGTCCCAACCAGTCTCGGTGATCGTCAGGACACTGCGTGGCGCGGTCTTTAGCCGTCGACAGGATGCGATTCCTTCAAGCCCATTCTGGTCGGCAGTCGATGAGATTGCCGATGGATCAGGCCAGCCTGTCTCCTTGTGGGCGTTTGCTTGCAAAGGTTTCGATGAAAGTGTTGGGCGACATATCTGCTGGGGTTCGGCAGTCAGGCACTCTGACAAGCAAGCAACCAAGCAAGCCAGCAAGCTCTTATGCGGACACACCCTGATATGGCGGTGACTTGCACAATAATAACATTCAGCGTGCATAAGGGAAGGGCCTTTCGCCAACCTGTAACCGGAGAAGAACACCTCCCATGCAAAGTCACTCAGTCCCTGCGGCTGTTCCACGGGACAACGCAATCGGGAAGCTTCTGACCAAGGCTTCTGACCACGACGATGAAGACGTCGTAGACTGTGCCACCCCATCACACCCTGAGGGAGACAACTCACGCATCAGATACCGCGCAAAGCAGGGAGATATCTAAGTTCTGGCATCTGGCAGAGTGTGTTCAGTCCCAGGGATCCTGGTATCGGTGGATCTGTAATAAAATGTAATCAAACCTTTGGATGGGGGACCAGTGGGGGAAAAACGCCCAAACCACCAAAATTGCTTCATTGCCTACCGAGAGTGCTAAGAATTGTTGGTCCGGATCATTCATGGTGATTTTATCCTGCCCAAATGATATGCGTACGCGCGCCCATATGTACTTACTTCAACACTCACGGGCTGAGATCTTATGAGGAAAGCAGAAAGCATTCTGACAACGTTCCGGGAGTCGGAGGGGGTGACAGCCGCTGTGGCGGTGCATACCGCGAAGTGCTGTGAGGCCAAGTATTGAAGGAAAAGGGATCCATCTCTGCTTGGGACTGGCACCACCGTTACTTCAAGGATGTAGATGAAACAAGCGACGACGGCCCTCTCACAGACGGTATGTCTCGACGTCATTATTACAACCTCCCTGGCTCGCTCTGCACAGCCTATCCGTTGCGCACGGCTTGAACAATTGCCCCAGCATCCCCTTGGTCCAGTGCATCCAACGCCTCCATGGCACTGGGAGAAAGTTCAAAGTCGTAGACGTCGGCGTTCTGCTTGATCCTGTCGGGATTGTCACTTTTCGGCAGGGGAACCCAGTTCTTCTGCAGGCAGTATCTGATGAGGATCTGTGGCGTCGTCTTGTTGTATTCCTTGGCCAAGGAGACCAGTGTATTGTCGTTGGCTTTGTAATTCCGGACGAGCGGCGAGTAAGCTTCGACGACAATGCCGTGTTTCTGGCAATATTCCGTGATGGTTCGTTGTTGGCACCACGGATGCAACTGGGAAAATATGGTCAGTCTCAAGTCCCCCAAGCCTCGACGGGGAGGAGACTCGCCCTCATACCTCGATCTGATCAACGTGTGGCGGCCAGACCTTTGCATACTGCTTCATCTCCTCGATATGACCAACTCCGAAGTTGCTCACACCGATACTCTTGGTCTTGCCCTTCTCAAACAGCTTTTCCAGCGCCTGCCACATTTCCTTTCTCTTGTCGCTTCCCGCGTTGGGGCTGTGTATCAAGAACAAATCCACGTAGCCATCGTGGCCCGGGTCGATCTTCTCCACGCTCTCGAGACACTTTTTGTATGATTTTTCAACACTTCCTCCTGAAGAAAGGATCTTGGTGGTGATGAAAACCTCCGAGCGCCGAAGCCCGGACTTGCGCAGCGCCTCCCCAACCTGAGATTCGTTGTGATAGAACTGCGCCGTATCAATGTGTCGATACCCGGCTTGCAGGGCGCAAAGACATGATTGTACGCACACAGACTCTGGGGATCGATAGACTCCAAATCCAAGGCGGGGAATGCGGACCGAAGAGTTGGGTAAAGGGAGGGTGTCGCTGAAAGAGAGAGGCATGGTGACGAGAGGAGGAGGGTATCCAGCAAAGAAGGAAATTGAGAGATTTCTCTGAAGACTTAAGGGCTGAAGGGAAGTAATGTTTTTTTGCGTATAGCGCACCCTACCCCATCCAGCTGGGGTCATGATGCAATCATGCGAGGAAGAAGCCCCGGCTTGGGTTCGGCTGGGTGCCCGCAGCTGCGCCTAGGCAGCTCTGCAGCTATTAGCCTAACGACTCGGCCGCTTCTCCGATCAACTCCCATTGGCATCGTTCTTTTGCCTCCGCGATGGGCCTCGCGGAACAGCTGGAAGCTCTTTGTCACCATGAGTACTGCGAACATATACCTCAATCACCGAAAAGGGATACCCAGGTAATACCACATGCTGATCTGCCATCCCAACTCTTAATCATGGTCAACAGGCGCCAATGACGGCGTGATCCGGACTTGTTCTTGGGTCTCTCGATGCCTGCATCAGTCCGGACGTTGCATCAAGAAGGAGTTCACGGCTTGAAGTGTCGCCCTCGAAGGGTTTGCATCCTGTTTGGAGCAGGTGATCCAGGCTAGCCTCCGCCTGACAAGTTGTTTCTCGACCAGTACTTGGTCTGCGACCTCTCTCAGATGCCCTGCATCCCAGTCGTCAATCGATCTCGCCAGGTCAAAGGCATACAGAAATTTTACTGACCTTCGTCGTCGTAGCACAAACACAAGATTGCGACTGCAACACCAACACTAAGATCTTTGCCGGTGGTGCAAGTGATCAGGATCTTGCTTTGGGGTCGCGTGGAGAGCTGATTGCTGATGACGCTGATCACGCCGGGGAGCTTTTCGCGAAGATCTTTGCTCCCGAGTTTGCCATTGCGACAGCTTATCCAAAGGACCTTTGATTTTGAGCCTCTTGCGTCGCCTTGACAATTGATAATCAGATCGAAACCATCTGAGCTCTCAAGAGGCCCAACTGCGATATAAAGGTTGCAGGTTGGAAGTATTCTGGCAGCAAAAATCCCCGTGGCACGCGCTTCATTGTCCTTGTCAAGTAATTCCTCAATCAGAGCCGGAAGTGCATCCTCGGGAGTCTCCATCAACAACTCTCTATGTTTCCAGAAAAGTTCAGCTGTCAGTCCGTGGGACCATCCTTCACTGTCATCACCGGCACCTTGAACGTACCCGCCTTCCGAGCTTTCTGCACCGCGGACGCGACGAGACGCGGAGCAGAGCACTAGGTTGTGAGAGGAGTGCCCGAATGCAGACTCTGTGCCTAGTGAGGGTAGGTCTGCTTCGTCGACATGTTCAACCCCAGAGTAGCCGTTGATCGCCCAGGTGAGCCGCACAGGACGCTTCAGTTCTTTCCGCAAGCTTTCCAAGTCTAGCTCTAGTCTGGTGAAATTCCTCGTAAAATCTTCAAGTCGAGCTTCGATCTGCGATATCTCTGACGGGCCCAGATCATCTGGTGGAGGCGGAGTCTGAAGCCTGTGCGCTGAAGATATTTCTGGGAACAATACTTTATTGATAACTGCGGTCCATATCGGAACCGTCTTGCTGAAGGCATCCGGCAGGTTTTTGCCACGACGCGTCGAATCAACCACGATGGCACCGCCGTGGGCAGCTAAAATCGGAAGGAGCTGCAGATTGAGTCTGCGTGGCGAAAAGTCCCACTGCCCGTGATGGCCATCTGTGCTTTTGAAATACGTACTGCCGCTTTTATAACTAGGATCAATGTACCAGCTACCACAACGCTCGTTGGCGACCAGCGGCAGGTTGTACTGTCGGGATACTGATTTGACGAATTCGGCATCACTAAGGATAGAGGTGAGGCGATTTGGAATTGAGAGGGTAGACTTGCGAATCGACTTCAGCGTGGCATACAGAGAAGGGTGATGAGTCGAGTCGTTCAAGGTCAGATCAATTAATCGCGTGGGGAAGTCTGGATGGCTCATTCTCAATCAACAGGATGCAGACGCTCAATCTCAGTGTAGCTCAGTGGTCTAAGATTCATGCCAAGTGGTCACAATCTGCCTGCTCATCTGGTAATGATGGTTCATTCGGTTCGTGGTTGTGAAGAAGCTTGTCCGCTTCCACACTCCGACATTAAACCAGTTACGAAGAGGAACAGTGCCAACTCCAGTACGCGTCCTTGTTCCCTGTGTGTTAAAGTGCCGAGTTCTATCCAAGCCTGGTAGCCTGTGATGATGAATGTACTGAGAGTGCTTTGAAATTTCCTGATGCCAAGAATGGACCCCGATCCATAATTGGTCCAAGGCGAGCGTTGTATTGCCCCGTTAACGTCGTGAGAAATTCCCAGCCATTGCCAGTGGCAGAAGCATAGTTTAAGCCACTGGAATCGTTCCTTGCATGGATGTAGCCTCTGGCATCATGACAGCTCCGCTGGTATTCATCATTTCCACGGTATCGTCGTTGATGGGATGGATCGAGAACTGAGTGGCGGTGCAATCTTCCCCGTCAAAGAGGAGCCAGTTTTGAAGCGGCTGCCCCTTCTGTCCCAAAACGTTGATGACATCCTGTGCCAAATAGCCTCCCAGGAACGCCACCACTGGGCTGATCTCGGAGCCAAGGTTCTGCAGGAAAGCACGAAGAAATTCCGACCTCAGTGTTTCCAGGGGAAGTGAAAGTTCCAGATGTTTTTGGTTTGCCAGTCTGGTGAAGAGCTCGAGGTCTGCTCGGTTGTGCGCGGGAAGCCTTCCACCCATCTGACCTTGAAAATCGAATAGTGCCCGCAGACAAGAAAGCAACGGGGTGACCTTTGTGCGGCTTCGTCGAGTGTTCCTGACTCGCGCTGGAAGAGGAGACAAATTGGCAAGTGGGATGGGGGAATACGTCTCTTGATAGGTGATGCGCTCCATAGTCTTCTCGTTTCCTTTCTTCAACTCAACGGCCGTGATGCACCTGGTGGAAGTCTCCATCTCGCCGACCTTCATAGGTTTGTTGCTCTGTTGTCTCTCAATCACGAAATCGTGGATGACCAAGTCGTCGAATATGTAGCCGTACATACCGTGGGTGTCTGCGGCATAGAATTTCCGTCCATACATCCGGCAGGCCATATTGATGGTTCCCAGTACATCCATGATGAGACCTGTCGCAATAGTGATGTCGAAATTCTGGAAGTATTCTGGATCCTTGGTCACAGCCGCATTCGGGTCCGTGTACACCTCAACCCTTGGATTGAGCTTCTGTAGCTCGGCCATAGCCGCCTGCGCTCGGTTTTGGCCAATTTGAGCTTCCCGGACGAAGAAATGTGTTCCCAGATCCTCTTCCGCGACGACTTCATGATCAAGTATTGTCAACACTCCAACTCCTGCCAGAACCAGATTCTTTGCGATTTCACATCCCAAACCTTTCATTCCGATCAGAAGAACGTTCGCACGACGGAGCTTTTCCTGGACTTGCATGCCCCAAAGGCGGATCTGTCTGTCATACAATGCGATCTCGTCGGCAGATATAGGTTGCTGAGGTTGCACCACAAACATTTCCGGCTGCATCCCGTTCATCGCGAGGGCCATATCGCTAAATGGTGCACCGGGTACTTGGGGGTAGCCGTTGAGGGTTCCCATGACGGGAACGGATGGCACGAATACTGAGTTGTCCATCCCTTCTTCCACCGAGCCGTCCATAGTTCCGTTCAGGTCGACTGCCATAAGATTCGTGAGATGGTGTCCGTTTGGAGGAGGATGCGAGCCATCAGACACTGGGTTTTGGTCCATGGTACATTCGTTTTCATGAGAGGGGGCGTTGGAGGGTGAGGACAAAGGAGCAGAGAATTGAAAGCGGGTCGTCGAAGGTGTCTTTCTCAAAAGTGAGAAGGCAAGTGAGAGCGAAAGGTAATTGTATGGCGGTGAAGGCTGAAGCCAATGTGAACAACTGAAACCAAACGTCTGCTCTCCAGCGCACTGGCTGCGCCCACGATCTTCAGGAGCGTGGTCTGTGTTCCGTACGGTACTATTAGGTAGCCATTGCACATCTCATCCTGCTGCAGGGGTGGCACAATGCCAAGGAAGAACTTAAAACTAGTTGGACTTCGTACCTAAGCGGCAAGACTCCCCGGGGGGCTCAGCACTCATAGGCATGCTTAGCGCACGCCTAGAGGGGTCGATTGCGAGTTAATTCTCCGGGTGGTGCCTTCCATTCCGCACGGGCCTTTGGCGGGCGCAAACGCATCACCCATTTGAATCGTGGGGCAAGAATAGGCCGATGCACTGCAACATGTCACAGCCGCGTGAAGATTGCCGCACTCTTACTGGCGAACATCCAACTACCACCCATCTTCTGAAGACCATTCCCTACACCCATTCTCGGATTGTCGAAGTTTTCAGCTCCCTCTACATGGTCAGAAACGTCTCTCTCAGCCTGCCTTGATTCGATCGGAGCCGCCTTGAGTGCTGTCTTCGTTCCGAAGGACCCTTTTGTTCGTGGCGACATACTGCCCCGTCCTTTGTTCAGCCATGGTACGACCCGTTACGAAGCCCTTCTCACCCTGAATGCCCAGTTCTCTACAGTTTTCTGTTGCTAACATCCACCAAGTCCGATCCTCCAGAACGCCCGGCCTGGTCTGATGTCACAGCACGCCTTCGAAACCTCAGAAATCTTCTCAGCTCGGAACGGCACCTTGGCATCGAGCACGAAATAGCCTTTGAAGAATTTGAAAGAGAAATGGAGGATCAAATGGCAACGTTTCAGGCAAGTGATGAGAGATCGGACCAGCCTGTATCGTCCGAGTCCGCCAACTCTCGGGAACGAAGAAGAAGAGAATTCACTACACGTTTCCGTGACCAAGACACGGCTGAGAGCCGCACCCAATCCAGCGTCTTAACCGCCCTCTTGCGAAGTCGGCGGAGAGCCTTCCGGCCCAGCGAGCGTTTACAAAGATACCAAAGGGAAAGACTTGGCCAGAGTGGAAGAGCTGCCGCCTTGGAGGCATCTGTGCCGCCGTTGAGTCAGTCGCCCGCCTCACCAACCCAATCCGTCGGTGATCGCGCGGATCGTCCGAGGTCGAAACGGAGAAAATTGACCGACGGCACATACCAAGATGATCCTGAAACATTTAGCTATGGTCACAATGGCCAGGTCGTTCCTGGCCAGCTGAGATTGGAGATTGTCAGCTGTGACGGTGGAGAATATTCGGATCCTCATATCCCCATCTATTCCTATCCACAGAATGTGCTCCTGGACGATACCAGCGTCTACTGCACCAAGTCCAACAAATGCAACCTTTTACTGAAGCATGTGGGCGGGATGCCCTTCACCTTGACTGACATCGTGGTCAAGGCCCCGCGCGCCGGCTACGATGCACCCATTCAAAATGGCTTGATTTTCGTTGCAATGGAAGATGACAATCTCCTTGACCGGACTTCGCAGTACGATGTTCGCTGGCCTCCAAAGATTTACCGCCATCAACGACACAGGCGTGATGGATACCGGCCCTCCCAGGAATATATGAACTCCACCAGATCTCCTCTTAGATCCATTGAGCGCCCGAGGCACCTCAACAATCCCACAGCTCCCGAAGAGGGCTCTCATCTGGAGATTCCTCTCGTCCCGGGGTTTCACGTCACCGTGGTAGACCCATCAGATGGAGAAGAGGGAGGAGAGGAACCCCCATCGCCCCGACCGTGGCAGGACGTCGAAGATTCGTTGAGATCTTATGTCGATCGATACCGTCCAGTGTATGGCGGAAATGAGCGTAACGATCCATGGTCCAACACAAGCGATTCAGAAGGCTATGAGCCCGATATCCCGCCCGAAGCGGGAGAAGCAGGGGAAACCGCACGCTTGCAACGCCAGCAAATCGATCTCGAAGACATCCTTGCGCATCGGAATCGCATGTTGGATCTTATGCGGGCTCAGCAAATTCGTGAGAGCGATGAATTCTTTGGAAGCCGAAACCGGGAAAGCGAGCTCGACGAAGACCGATCCCACAGTCGTCGCCCAACTTCAAGTCGAAACGGAACCCAAGCATTCGCTCCTACTACAGGGATGACAGATCCGGCCTATCTCTCGCAAGAGCGTTCTGAAGCTTCGAGCTCCAAGGCGACTCTGAACGGAGTAGCAGCTGGCTCCTCTGCCAGAGTTGGCGTTGTGCCACACGCCTTGTTCTTCATCAACCCAAACAAATCTAGCACTGAAATCAAATTCGACCCTCCAGTGTGAGTAATGGGCCTCTTTTCGTTACTGGTTGCGAGTTAAGAACTAACATATCCGGAGGTCGGGCCGTTATATTCTTGTCAAACTCTGGGCGCAGTGTGCCCACGCCAATATCGACATTCAAGCTATTCTGGCACATGGATATGGTGGGCCTCGTTTCTTCCCAAGCTCAGAAGTGAGATGAGGTTCTACAAAATTGATGTTGCAGAAGGCTCAGAGAGAACTTCTGACGATTTGATTTGTTTCTACTACTTGCAAGGCTTCATGATGTTCCGACGGCTTCGTTTCTGGACAGCCTTGCAACAGGATGCTTCTCAAGGAGCGTCTCCAATTCCCAATAGAGTATCCTGCTTTGACATGTGGCTTCAGGGGTTTCAGGGATGCAGAGACGTTATTCGAGGCGAGATGAACCTACAAATTGATGCAAAGGCGTTGTGTTCGTCGTCACGCCAGAAAATGATAATATTTGGTTGCACTGCTCGGGTACTGCATAGATATCTTGTCCCTGGCCTGGCCGACACACTGCATATTTGATACGCCTCATAGCCCCAAACTGGCTGCATGACCTCCGCCATACGGGCCTCGCGCATGTCATGGCTTCTTGGGTCTGAGCCTCTGGAGAGTGTCAGCCCTTCTGCAGCAGCGGAGTCAGTCCGCTTGTTATGGATGGAGTCCGAAATTGGGTTACCCATCAGCCGCCTCTGATAAGCAATATGCTCTTTCTTATGTGGTGTCGAATACCTGCTCTCGATCTTGGAGACCGCTTGAGCCGTACTCACCTTGCAAGAATCGCAGGTACATGGGGTGCTGCCGCTTCCGTGGTGGTCACACCCGAATTGCGTGTCTTGTGCATGGTGCATGCGATTCTCGAGCTCAACATTCCAGCAGCCTTCACTTCAGAATCTACGACTGATCTCATTAGAAGTGCGAGGTACGTATGTATGGAGTTCCCTAGCTGGCCTCATCGATGCATGTCTTACAGGCGACAAATGAGTGGCGTGGAGAAGTTATTATATGCTCTGACGTGCATATTGCAGCGTACGGTGCATCAATGCGGGGCGTTCTCGGTATAGGATCTTCAACATTAAATTTACGGAGTCAATCCCCTGCAACTCTTGGGTGCAATCCCTTGGGTTCTCTACTTCAAATACCGTCAGCGTGTGAAGCACTTTGGTATGCCTCGCTTTGTAGAAGGCACGGGAATCCCCCTCCGTGAAAATGTTTCTCTACAGTCAAAGCCCGCGTCCTCAACGGAGCCACCGACGCCTGACCGAATCCGCATCAAGAACCGGCGAAAACGGTACTTGGACACTCACCCGGAATACTTTGGGCCTCAGCTTGAGCTGGCAGGTGTGCCATAAACTGGCTCTTCTCCACAACAGGTAGGCCTTGACGAAACTGACGTCTTGTGTGTTTTCTCGCAGATCCGCTCCTCTACGACCGGTTGATCCGCCGCTTCCAGACGCCGGCCGAACGCGAAGCCGAAGGTCGGCAAAAGGGCTACTCGGGCATCCTAGAAGCCGACCTGTACCGGAGCGAAGCCAAACTCGAGGCGCTGCGGCACCCGGACCCTCATGCGCTGTTCACATACCGGCGCGGGCCCAACGGGGAAATCCTGGCGGAAGATCGGGACGAAGTGCCCGCGAACAAGGAGGAGGGCCTTGCCCGGTGGAAGTGGGAGATGCAGGTCCGCTTCCTAAGGGGGGGAGACGACGATTTCGACTACGACGCAGTGGACAACAATCCGGAGTACGACGATCGAATTCTGGAAGAGAGGGACGCGGAAGACAGGTACTTTGACGAGCAGGAGCCCGAGTTTGTCAAGGGTGAGGAAGGGCTTCCGAGGAGTCAGAGTCATGAGGAACTGGAGGGGGAGACTGGAATTCAAGATTTCTGAATCAGAATTTCTCAACTGCACATCCGAGATGTTCCAGCCCGACAGCCCTGCTTCCAATCAGTGCCGACCTTGCTTTGTGCGAAGTCGGCAACACGAAAGGGAATGGGCGAAGCCCTTCAGCACGATGGCCTCGATATGAGTCCACATGGCCAAGGAAGGAAGGCCTCTCCGACATCGCCCTGGCGATATCATGGCCGTGGAACAGTCGCTCTGCCACTTGCTCCCCTGATGCGAGCAACCTTTTAAACGAGGAGCCCGAACTTTCTGCATGTCGATTATGGTCGAAGTCCTCTACCCAGTACCTTCGGGCTGAGGCTGCCTCACCACCATCAAGCCGTCAAAATATCCATTGGATCCATCAACCCCCTGAGGCTACTGGCACACCGAACATGAGGCATCCTCCTGAAGACCTGCTGACCCTCCGTCTCCCGCATGAAATCCTGCCATTCTTTGGTCGCAATCCATTCCTCACGGGCCCGTTTGTCCCGAAACTTCATGATCATGACGGTGTCGTGGACGTCATCTCGGGAAGCTGGAGCAGCATTGGAAATGTCGACCGGGTACGTGTCGAATTTGGAGATCAAAGGGGAAAACGCCGCATGCATGCCCAGTCTCGCAATCATGGAATCCAGCTGGTGAGTTGGCTTGTCCTCCAGTTTCCCTCTCCGAACGAGATCCTGATCGGCACGTTGTACGTTGCGCTTCATCTGAGACGCAAAGAAGTAAAACATGCACGTCAGTGGACGTTGGGCGTCGGCGTCATGCTTAGTCTCGAGTTCTGCTGTGGTTCGTGAGGCGGCATGTCGTCTGCTGAGGCTGGTTCGTTCAAGGAGCATTCTGATGTCCAAAGGAGTGAGCAACCAAATCTGCAGCCACGGGGAGAAGGATCTTTGTTCTTTATTGTAAAGCCTAGTAAGCAGAGACCGGCATTGACGTGAGGCACTTGAGGTCGGGCTGGTACTGGACGTCCGTTGCCCAAATAGCCCAGCTGATCCCATGCTTTCACCCCGCATTTTCAGCGCTTGTACCGAGTATTATTTTGTGGGCGGAAGCATCGGCGTGAGATGGAGGCGTCCTCGATGCTGACGCCAGAACGAATTGGCGGCGGTGGCGCACAGATGCAGGACCTCTTGGTGCTCCGTGTCTTTCATCCTAATCTCGCAACTCCGCGATGGGCGACTTGCATTACGACCGACTACTCATCAGCAGGGTTCTTCCTTTTTCCATCGGTAGATCTGCAGCATCTCATCTCACCACTCTCTTCCTTCTACACAGTGGTAATGAGTGTGCAGAACCATAGGGTAAGAGGGCATCAAGGACCCCTACTGTCCCCCCCCCCTCAGTCGTCTATCTCGGGTCTCCTTGGGCTGATCTGATCCGCCTAGTAAGCCTCACTACCCCACAAAACACCCCCGCGAAGCAAAGAACTCGGCATCCATCACCGAGTCAGCTCAACCCGTCTCAGCTCAGAGCTCCCAGCTTCTAATCATTAGCTGCCTTCCGTCCGCCGACGGCCGTGGCGGCATTGGTCCGGACCATGCGACTCCAAACACACAAACACACACACACACTTGTCTCTGCTTTCTCCCCGCAGAGCGAGACATAGGGAAACCATTCTTTGTGTGCGCCGAGATACTACTTGTGGCTGGTTAGGATGGCGAGAATATCTCCCTAAGACCAACAGATCAGCTCCCAAGATTTTGATTTCCTTCAGAGAACAATAATGCCAACGCCATGCGGGCAGCATTCCTTCGACCGCGGGCAACGGCATCTCCTCCCTTCTCCTCCCTCGTTCGGCCTCGACGCAGCCTTCTGACCCAGGCCAAAGTGCAAGGCCCGCTGCATCCTCCTCTGCTCGAAGAAACCGTCGGCGAGAACCTGGCGCGCATCGTTTCGGCACATGGCGACCGAAATGCCGTCATCTCCAGACACCAGGGCAAGCGTCTGACGTATCACCAACTCGATCTCGACAGCAACGTCCTGGCTCGGGGACTACAAAGCTTGGGGGTCAAAAAGGGTGACCGGGTCTGCGTGTCGTTGGGCAACAATCTGGAATTCGCGACTATCACATATGCCTTGTTCAAGCTGGGAGCAATACTCGTGCCATTGAATCCGGCATTCACGTCGACCCAGCTTATCTCGGCCTTCAACCACTTGTCTGCCACACATTTGGTCATTGGGACCGAGACGAATCTACCGTACAAACCACCGCGGCCGAATGTCTCGCTTCTGGAAGCACTCGTGCCCGATCTCAAAAGTTCGACTCTTGCATCCGAAGCGATTCCGTCCCTGAAGCACGTCATCCTCGTGGACAACTCCTCCGGTCGGATAGATCCCACTCCTTTCCGAGCGACCACACCATGGGAATCGGTGACACGGGACACGGACACCCGTCCTCCTACACCGTCTTCTCCTCTATCGAACGACGAGGTGGTCAATATTCAATTCACTTCTGGCACCACGTCCATGCCCAAAGCTGCCTGTCTATCGCACCGATCCATTCTCAACAACGGCAACCAGATAGGTGACCGGATGTTGCTGACACCAGCAGATGTCGTATGCTGCCCACCCCCTCTATTCCACTGCTTTGGGTGCATTCTCGGGTACATGGCGACCGCGACACATGGCTCCGCCATAGTCTTCCCCACGGAGGCATTCGACCCGATGGCGTCCTTGAAGGCCGTACAAGAGGAGAAAGCTACGGCCCTTTATGGTGTCCCTACCATGTTCCTGGCGGAACTGGAGCTCCTCGACGACGAGAAGGTTGCTTATGAAGGCTTCCAGTATCTGCGTACTGGCATTGCCGCGGGCTCCTCAGTGCCCGCCGAGCTGATGCGGAAATTGCACAAGACTCTCAATTTGACCGAATTGACGATTTGTTACGGGATGACAGAGACCTCACCCGTTTCTGCGATGACAACGACGGATGACCCCATCGAGAAGCGCATCAACACCGTTGGCCGACTGCTTCCGCACGTCGAGGCGAAAGTGGTGGATCCTTTCGACCACGACAAGATCCTCAACGTGGGGGAACGGGGGGAGCTAGCGGTTCATGGATACCTGGTCATGAAGGAGTACTGGGGCCAGCCAGAAAAGACAGCAGAAGCCATCAAGGTCGACAATGAGGGAAAGGCATGGATGCACACCGGCGACGAGGCATCTATCGATGAAGATGGCTATGTCAGCATCACAGGACGCATCAAAGACCTGATCATCCGTGGCGGAGAGAACATTCACCCGCTCGAGATCGAGAACTGTCTCTTTGCCAACCCCAAGATCGCCGAAGTGAGTGTTGTCGGCCTCCCCGATCCACGGTACGGAGAAGTCGTGGCGGCGTTTGTCATCCGCAGGCATCATCTGCCGCCAGGAGAAAAGGAGATCACCCCGGAGGAAGTCAGGAGCTGGGTCCGGGATCGCATGAGCCACCACCTGGTGCCGAAATATGTTTTTTTCGTGCAGGACTATCCGAAGACGGCCAGTGGAAAGATTCGTAAGTACTTCTCTTGACCTGGTTGATACTTGTGCTGTTCGTGTGCCGGTGACTGACGAATATGTTCCCACGCAGAGAAATTCAAGTTGAGGGAGCAAGGTGTCGAGCTGCTCAAAGAAGGAGAGAAGTCGACCTGAGGCGTCGAGCAGCAGTATTTGCCAGGTGCCTGCAATCTTGCGGGTGCCATATAGACCTAGCATATCAACTCGATGTTTGCTTGATAGCTGATGCTGAATTGGGGGGCGTACACACGCGTCAAATCAATCATCGTTCTTCATCATCATGTCTGGTCGAGGGACGATCGCGGTCTCGCGACGACCTTCTCTCCCTACTATCCCGTCGGTGATGTCGATGACGGTGATCCCTTTCTCTATCCTTGTCCCTGTCTCTCTCACGATCATGTGGCGAGTTCTGGTCCTTGTGCTTTTCTCGTGGTCCCTTTCTGTCGTCGTCGTCATCCCCGTCCCGGTCTTTTCTCCTCCTAGCATCTTCAGAATCTCGACGCCGATGCCGGTGTCGATGCCGGTGTCCCTCACCCTCTCTGTCAGGATCGTCATCTCTATCCGCCGGACCGTCATCCGTTCGGTGGTGATGCCGGTGCTTTCTTCTCTCTTTCTTCTTCCTCTCCTTGGCCCTCTCGACCTCCTCCCGTTTCTCTCGGATCAAATACTCCCGCATCGGGTCCTGTTCTTCGCCGTCCTGCTTGATGGCCAGCAGCGTCTCCAGCTCCTCTTCTTCTTTCAGCAGCTGCCGTCGTCTGCGCTTTCTCCTGCGCCCATCGCCCTCTTCATCGTGATCATCAGCGGCAGCATCATCTTGGTCATCGGTGTCGTCTTCGTCGTCGTTCCCTCTCTTCCCATCGCCATTGAGCCCCGCCTCTTCAGCCTCCGCCAGGGCTTCCAGCCGGTCGATCCGGTACGTGTCTTCGTCCTCGTCATCCTTCTTCTTGTACCGGGTGTGGTCGACCCGCAACAGCCGGCCCAGCACCTCGGCGCCTCCCAGGTTGTCCACCGCGAGGTCACAGCTCCGCTGGTCCTCGTACTTCAGGAACGCGAAGCCTTTGCTCTTGCCGGTCTCTTTGTCGCGGATCAGGTTGAGGTGCGTGGGGTTGCCGTACTGCGAGAAGACGATGATCACGTCGCCTTCGGTCAGGCCCAGGTGCAGGCCGCCGATGTAGATCCATGCTGTGTCCCTGTAGTCGGCGTGCCAGGAGGCAGACGGGGGGGTTGCGTTTTCGAGCTCGCGCTTGTTCAGAAGCTGGGTCTGTCGTATTGCATTCATGATCTCTGAAGAAGAGCCCCGACGGCGTACAGCAGGTTTCTAACATAGAAGTCCCCTATCTGCGGAAGGGAAAATAAAAATCTGGGCTGAGAAGATTAATTGTTCCTTGGGTGACTCGACTGCGGAGAAAACGCGACGACGAGGAACAAAACCCCCCCCAAAAAGTTGAATCTCTCTCCAAACTCAGCAGCGCGTCAACAAAAGTCCACGTCAGTCCGTCCGTTCGTCATTGATGAACAGATGCATCACTCTCAATTGGACATGCTCCTTGTCGTGAACCTTCCCTTCATCTAAAAGCCAACAACATATCCAATACAACAATGTTGGCAACCTCGCAACCGAGCCCCAGCAGCTTTCCTCGCCCGTCACCCTCGTCCACCCCCATTCCGTCCTCCTTTCTCCGCCCCGGCAGCAAGGATGGCGACCGACAAGCGATCTGGGTGCCCATGCTCAACAGCGCCTCCAAGGGCAAAGACCTGTCTGAAAAGCAACTCATCCTGCTCGGCGGCACCCCGGACCAACAGCGCGGATTCCTCGAGCAATTGAACCCTCCCAATCAAAGAGCACGTTACGCCAACAACGACCGACGACGGCAACCTAGAATAGCCCCGATCTCGAACCGCTACGCGCTGGGATATACCTATCACGATGTGTTGGACGCCGACCAGGAAGACGTGCTGGCGAGGATGAACATCTACATGCTGACGAACCCCTCGGCGAACTTCGCACCACTCCTCAAGCCGCTTTTCACGCCCAAGACGGTCAAAGCTACGTTGATTACAATCTTGCTGGATTGGTCGGATCCCTTGAAGTGGGCACGACAACTACGGCAGTGGATCCGGTTGCTGAGGGCCGTGATATTGACGCTGGACGAGCAGACAAAGATCGAGATGGAGGAAATCATGACGGCCTGGAAGGAGAAGAGAATTGGGCCCGATGCTCCTTCTGCCCAACCCGGCAGTGGCAGCAGCGCGACGGCGGCGGCTGAGCAGAGATCGGTTGTCCCACCGGGACCAGGAGAATGGGACGAAGGACTCGGCATTCCGTTGTCGGTGGTTTGTATACAGGCGGAAAAGATCCAGGACCTGGAACGGGACCACGGCTGGGGGGAAGATCAGTTTGACTTCCTGATGCAATGGCTGCGATGTGTTCTGCTGAAACATGGAGCCTCGCTCGTCTATACTGCCACATTCGACCCCAACAACGTCCGGACGCTGGTGCATTCGAGTCTGAGTATTCAATCCCTATTGAAGCGGGAGGTGGCGAAACACAACATCGTCGACCGAGATAAGATCCTGGTGCCGCCGAACTGGGACTCCTGGGGGAAGATTCGGATTCTCAAGGACGGGTTTGACCCGGAGGCCGTGGCGAATGCCTGGTCTGTGGAGATACAGCCCCCTCCCGAAGAGATATTCGACCTCTCAGCGAAAGGCTCCGACCAAGAGCCCGAGGGCTCTTCTCAGAACAGCGAGGCCGACTCAGCATCAGCAGTCCAGCTGTTTGAGAGCACGCTGCGCCGTCCCGCCGACATACGGCCCGCGTTCCAGCCACGTACGCACGACGAAGCGGTCTCTGTGCTGTCTGTCCAAGAATTTCTGCAAGCACAACATGAGATGCTCGAAAAGCTGAAGGCGGAAGACGAAAAGGCTGAGAGGAAATCGCGAAAGGGAGCACCTGCACCCACCGGCGCTGGTGCCGGCAGTGTCGAAGCGGGCGCCGGGGAAGAGGGACCAAAGGGGGTTTCCAATCCACGCATGGCCGAGCACATTGGTCCCTACCAGATCAACGTGAATGGGATCGATTTCGACGCCGAGGAGGCCACACGACGATTGCGCGAGCGGGAGAGCGAGCGGCAGAATGCGGCCAAGAACGTGTCCACGACGAGCGTCCCGCATGCATCCGGGGTCGTTACAGGGACCGGCACCAGCACGCCCATGCGTCGTCTGGGCAGCGACCACGGCGGCGGCGGTGGTGGAGACGGGACACAGATGTCCTCTGGGGGTGGCGCCGGCGCCAGCAAGCAGAGCAACGAAGCCATGTCGCAGTTCTTTGCGAATCTGATCCACAAGAAGGACAAGAGGGGCGCCGTGAGCGCGGGTGCCAGTCCCACCCGGGTCGCAACGGGGGGCGCTGGTGGAAGTCCTGCTCCTCCTCGCGGACACGGGGCTGGAAGTGCGGCGACGGCGGCGGCAGCAGCAGCAGCAGGAGGCGGAGGAGAAGAGAGAAGACGTGAGTCTTAGAGAGGAGGATCGATCGATTGATCACTCGGATCATCATCATCATCATCATCATCATCATCATCATATTCCAGCGAGCCTGTGTGAAGTGGTGTTGGATGGTGGTGGACCTTTGGAAGCCGCAGGGAAGTAGAAGGGCGATGAGATGGATGTCAATCGATTCGAGTCGAGTGGGAGAGAGAGATCATTATCATTTGCAATTGCACTCGCAACTTGTAGTGAGTCAGTCCTAGTCCTAGTCGAAGCGTTCAAGCGCATCATTGTCGAATGCTTGCCTGCCTGCCCGGGGGGGGGGGGGAAATAAAGAAAAGCGTTTCCTCCTACAGAAGTATTAAGGCGATATAGGTAGGTATTAGGGGATAGTAGCGACATGATTCTTTTCCTCCCAGACGAGGAGCAGGAGTACAGACGTCCCTCTGTAGACTACCTCTGTACCTCTCTCTCTCTCTCTCTCTCTCTCTCTCTCTCTTCCCGTTTATCGCTTTTTATATAGTACGCACGCAACCCTCTTCAACAACAACCAGGTTGAAATAGGGGGACGCCCAACGAATGAATGCGGACTGGGCCTGCCATCGATAGATCGATCGAATCGAATCGAGAAGAAAGAAAGACAGACAGACAGACACAACGAAAAATGAATGTATGAATGAATTGAATGAAAAAGGAAAAGAGAAGGAATGAAAGAAAGAAAGAAAGAAAGAAAAAAAACAAGAGTTCTATCTATACCGCGATACCGTGTGCAGCTGGAAGTTGAGGTGACGACGACAACAACGACGACGACGACTCTTTTTCCCACTCTTTTTGTGGCCTCTTCCTTTCTCCTTTCTCCCTTTCTCCCTTTCTTTTCTCTAGCAGGAACAGACACAGAAACAGACACAGACACAGACACAAGAATAAGAACAAGAACAACCACATAGCACTAGCACTAGAACTAGCACTAGCAGGTGACAGGGCACAGCAATGGGACTGACACCTGTTTTGCTATGCTATACTATGCCCTGCCTTGCCTTGCCCTGGCCTTGTTTGTCTGTCCTGCTCCCGTCATCACAGCTTCCACCACCACCACCGTCAATCATTCAGTCAGTCAGTCCGTCAGTCAGTCAGTCGTCCACACAGCCCCCCTCGGCAGTCCATCCGTCGATCTCAACCATTCCCAGGACTTCCTCTCCGTCCGCGTCGACCAGCTCGATCAGATTGTCCCGCAGGCGGACCACCTCGTCCTCGCTGAACCCACACATGCGGGTCAGGTAGTTGGTGACGCCGCCGAACTCGTCCGCCAGCACGGTGCGCAGGAAGGCGCGCATGTTGCCGGCACGGCTGCCGCAGATGCGGGCGGCCTCTTCGCGCGAGACGGCCGGTCGCCCGTTCTCCCGCTCCCCAGTGACGACCTGCTGCTGGTGCTGGGGCTTGCCGCCACCACCGCCCAGCCCGGTCTTGGCGATCCGCTCGATGAACTCCTTCCGCCAGCCGCCCAGCCCGGGCTCGGTCAGGGCGTACTCCCAGCAGATGGTGTCCTCGTCCACGCCGACCAGCTTCATCACCAGCGCCGCGAAGACCCCGGTGCGGTCCTTGCCGGCCGTGCAGTGGAACACCAAGGGCTCGTGCGGGCGCTCCAGCAGGTGGCGGAACATGACGGTGTAGGCGCCGGCGCCGTGCGTGGCAATGTCCCGATACGCTCGGACGAACCCCTCGGAGTAGGCGTAGCCGACTTCTTCGTCGTGGGAGTGCTCGGCCGTGTACCACTGCAACTTCCTCGCGAGGGCCACGGGGCCGTAGTCCTCGGTTTGGTAGACGGGGACAAAGTGCCTCCTGATGCCCGGGACTTCATCCAGACACCCGGACACGGGACTGGCGAGAGGGTAGACGCTCTTGTCGCTGGCCGCCACGGTGCCGGCGAGCCGACTGATCTCGGGCGCGGAACGCAGATCGTACATGTCGTGGACGCGGAGGAAGTTGGTCATGTAGGCGGCCCCGAGGGCGGTCAAGTGGGTGGGGTGGGCACAGCGGTAGAGGATGCGTCTCGACAAGACATAGGTTTTGTTGGGCGGCGGGGGCGCCGACGCCGACGCCGACGAGGGCGGCTGGCACCGATAGCCGCCCAGCTCACGGAAGTTGGGCACACCCTGGACGTGCAAGAAGGGCGGCATGGGCAGGTTGGGCGGGAAGGCGATGCTGAAGTCGCTGGGCTCCGGGGTGGCCTCGCGCTCGGCCCGCGCCTCCTGCTCCCGGGCGGCGTCGACCTCCTTGTCGGTCAGCGGCATGCCGTTGGCGTCGCTGAGGTTGGCGGTGGGGGGTGGTCGCACGTCCATGTAGGGCTGGTAGGGGTGTTCTGGCTGGGGAGCCTTGGGGTCGGCGGCGGCGGCGGCGATGTTGTTGTAGTTGTCGTTCGGTGCCGAGGTTGGTAACGTCTCGGCCATGTAAGGACTTGTGAGACGAGGGAGAGAAACGGGGACGGATGGTCTGTCGTCCGTCGTCAGTTTCTGTTGTCGAGGTGGTCGAGGGTTGTTGTTGGGATTTCTGTTCCTGTGCGGTGCAAGGAGGCCCGAATCGTCACCGATTGGGCACGAAAGGGAAAGAAGAGGAGCAGGATGGGATGGTCGAGATGGCGTTATCGGGCCCGAGAGAGGGTGATGAGCAGTGGCTGGTGCTCCGGTTGTTTAGTGTGTCTATGTACGAGGTATGTATGTGTCTATGTCTGTATGGACATGTACCCGCTCTGGAGACATGTGAATCATGTATTAATATCTATGTAACTAACTAACTAGTTAATTGTTCTTTGTATATGAATGATTATTATTACCTCGGTCGAAGGCCCTGCGATCCCGGCCGGCACCCAAGAATACATATTACGGCACGTCAGTCTAGACAGCACACACGATGGTAATGCTCAATTGGATGAGAGATCCCTAACACCATGTTGAGGGCTAGTGAGGCTGCGTGTCCGAGGCAATTGTGTGTGTCTTCATCGCCAATCATCCCTCCACGTCCCCTGACGATGGATGCCCGTTGTCGGAGGCGGCATTGGCTGGCAACAATCGAAATGCAGTAATCATCATAACAACGGTCGCTAGTAACATACATACATATCGTCGGTGTACACTAGTACACTCTGACTGCCATTGAATATGTGCATGGAAATAAATATCCTGTTCTTATTTTCATTTCCTCCCTGCTTTTTGGTTATCGTGTACCTGTTAATATATGCCATGGATAATGATATACCATAGCCGCAGCGAACACGCAGTCTACCACCCAATCGTTTTTCCCCCATGCCCAAAACACACCCCGTATATGCAAATACAACCCCTACGAGCCTAGTGAGCCCCATGGCACACGGGTCCCCCTCCGAACATGGCCAAACAAGGGACCTCTGTACACCCGCGATTCCGAGCACTTCGTAACGCAGCCGAGAGTCGTCCACACAAGCAAGCAAGAGAAACAAACAAACACACCGAGGCCCCGTCGTCGAGAGAAAAAAGAGAACAAGGAAATGCAAACACTTGTGGGCGAAACCCCCCCCCCTCTTCCCTCCCCTTCCCCCTCCTCCCCCGTGCCTCAGTCATAGCGAGACGTGCCGTCCCCCATGTCAAAGCGATGTCGTGGCAGCCGCTTGACCGGCGGCGGCAGATGGTCATGTTTGGCTTGCACCTTCATCCGGGCCGCCACCTTGTGACACCCGGTCTTGGACACATCAATCGCATCAAAGGTCGGTCCCATCTCCTCACGGGAACAGCAGTCGACGCCCTTGATCCATCGATCGTTGAGCGCGTCGCCGATACTACATCGCCGGCCGGGATCTGGGTGCAGCATCTTGAGAAGACACCGCCGGATGGAATTCGACGGCAGCGCATGGAAGATGGGTCCGCATTGCGGATGGCAGTTCTCGTCGATCGCCGCATCCGTGAATTGCGCCAGGAAAGATTGCCAGCCTTCCAGGAAGAGGGCATAGTTCATCTCTCTCGTGCTCGCGCTCGGCCATGGGTTGCCGATGTGAAACATGGTCAGGAAGAGGATCGCGCACCCCCAGACGTCCAACTTGGTGGGGTCGTACTCGCCGTCTTGGGCCAGCACCTCGGGCGATATGTAGGGCTTCGATCCACAGATCCCCGGAGCCGACTTGCGAACCTCTCTCATGCCCTGTCCACAGAGTCCTCGCGACGCGGCGATGCCGGGATGGTCGCCACAAAACACTTCCGAGACCCCAAAATCCGTGATCTTGATGTACCCGTCGTCCGTCATCAGCAAATTTTCCAGTTTGATGTCCCGGTGAGCAATGCCATGTTCATGCAGATAGTTGACCCCGCGCAGCACTTGCTTGAAGATGCAGTTCCGGTCCTCGGCCTTGAAGTACTTGCGTTCCACCAGGCTGAAGAGCTCGCCCTGCGGGCAATACTCCATGACGTGATTCCAGCGCCCATTATTCGTGCACAGCCGAACCGTCTGCACAATGTTGGGATGGCTGAGAGATTTGGCGATCGTATATTCCGACTTGACTTTCCGCACGTACTCTTCCTCGGTTTCCCGTGCCGACTTCTTGCGAAACTCCTTGACCGCATACAGCACCGTGCCCTCCCCCTTCTTCTCCCCCTTGCGCAGCATGATCTTGACCGTGGCACTGGCGCCCTTCCCGATCTCTTTCCGCCGACCGATCTTGGAAGCCGACACGAATTCGTCTTCCAAGGGACAGACGTCGACCACGAAATCTTCTCGGGGATCCGCGCTCAGGCGGCGAGCTTTGGCCCCGGCGCCCTCCTGGGCGGGGAGCGAGAAAGGCGACGAGCGAGTCGCCTGGTCGTAGTTGCTGCCATAACTCCCCGTGCGGTGGACCGCCGGCTTGTTGGACGGGCTGAGGTATTTGGATTCCTTGTGGGATTTGATCTTCGAAAGGAGGCTGAAGCCGCTCGAGGTCCGTGTGGGTGCAGGAGGCTCCCTGGTCATGACCGACATGGTCTCGGCGGTGGTCGAGACGATGCCGCGCCCGGTAAGAAATGGAGCTCACGAGTAGTGAGCGGGAACTGAGGAGGAGCCAGTGCGACGAGCCGTGTAGCAGGAAGATGACGGCCCTTTTTGAGAGTCGACCTATGTAGGGGCCGTCCGAGGGAAGCAACTTCGAGACGTTTATGGGGGTGGGCCCCTCAACCGAACTGACCGAGACGGTGGGATTGCTGGGAGCACGAGAGGATCTCGAGACGCAGGTGGGTATGCACGCAATGCGCGATGATCCAATCCTGCAGCAAACGGAGTTGGTCACTCGCAATGGGCCGCTTCGTGCAAAAGGCGAATGGACGGGGGGAGGGGCAGCAACGCCTGCGGCATTTCCAGCAGGGGGCGGGTCCCAGCTGGGTTAAGGTGCCACTATGCAAAGCAGATAAGACTTGTTGTGCCCGGTAGGTCGAACCCAAAATCACCATCCGAGGTCGATACCAGGTGTGGTGTTGAGTTCCTCGTGGCTGTCCCTCGTGGTGTCACTGGTTAGGGTTCTAGACCTGTGGTCCTTGCTCTTTTCACCTTTGGCATCTGGTGCTCTCTGTCCGATTTCTTCTGCTCGGGGAGCCAGTGTGTCCCGGGGCACCTTTGCTGGATCGTTCACCAGAGATCGCTGCCGTGTGGACCGACGACGAACCGTGGTATCCGGTGGATTGGCAAGTGAGTGCCAAAAGACACGGTTGAGTTTGAAGTGGGTCGATGCTGTTGAGAGAAGAGCAGGGCCCAGGTGGAGTGATGAGAGAAGCTTCACAGAGGAGGACGAGAACAGCAGGGGCGGTCCATAGGAAAATGTCAGCAACTATGTACAGGATGTGAGGGCACAGGGGACATGGCTGAGGATAGACAGAAAATGAGGCTGTCCGTCAACACCATCTCCAGCTCACCTTTGAATGGGATGGATCGATCGGCAGGTGGTCAAAGAGCGTGGGATGGAGGATGATGGGTCCGATCACGAGGACTCGGCTAATCCCAGCGAGTTGGGGAAGTGGAAGTTGAGGGTATTAGAGGAGGTAAGAGAGAGGGAGCGGGTGAGATAGAGATGCGTAGAGAGGAAGGAGGTCAGGTGTAGATATACAACACGGGCTCTGTCGAAGATGCAAGAGGAATGAGTCCTATTTTTTATATATCAACCTCTGCTCACGTCTACTACTACTACTACTGTATACATAGAATGCTCTCAAATATCCAACCCACGGTGCCTTGCTCATCCACCTGCACTCCAAACTCGCTACTGCAGCCTCCAGAGTCCAGCACATGCAATATGCAATGCACTCCACGCCCATCCTATTGCTTGTCTTTGGTGCTCACCTGTCCACCCCCGCGCGCTATGCCTAGTGAGCCTAGCGAGAGCCCCCGTGGGCCCCTAGAATTATTACCTACTGTATTGTCGCCCCGCACCCGGATATAGGAAGCGCCCTCTGTGTGCCTTCTTGAACTCGATAATCACATACTGTAGAATCTGTTGCCGTCTCCTGATATCGAATTCTACCTCCCATCATTGCCCGACTGCTGGCCTGTCTCTCTCGCCATTGTAAGTACACTCACTCCGGTTGTACAGTATATCCCTCCTCAGCACACTGCTCTGTCCCTGGAAGACACCAAGCTCCGCCTCCATGCAAGGGATCCTCCGAGACGGGTCAGCCTGCGCGATTTATTTCTTCTGGCCCTCCTCTTTGACATTGGTCTCAGGCTGCTCATGTTGTGTAACCCTGACTGAACTCGTCCAGAAATGATCCGTGGTCGAACTCCGGCCTGTTGCTGCCGCCCCTTTGCCGCCCCTCCTCCGCAAAACGCTTCCTTCCCGCTGGCCTCCTGCGCCCAATTGACCACTGGACATGGCCTCACCGGCCCTCTCCCCCCACGCTCAAGGTGACACTGGTCGGTCACTTGTCTGCATTCTGACGTCTCTCCAGGGGTGGTGTCCCACCTGGCTCTAAACCGCTTAAGCATCGCCCTCCCGCCTTCCGCACAACGCACCACGCCCAACGCCCCAGAAGGCCTCACGGGAAACGGCACATGGTCAGGCGGTCAGTTCACTCCGCCAGGTACCAAAGAATCAACCCAGGCCAGTGGTAGGCCCGAGCCGTTCTCTGCCGCCAGCCCAAAAGGCCCCTAAAGAGCTGATGCGTGACTGGGTGCCCTCATTGGGCTGATCGAACTATGGCCCTGCGCTCAAAGGACCCAGCAGGAAAGGAAAGGGAAACAAGACCATCTTCTCATTTGCCTTTCTAGAGTCACCGCTGATTAGAAGAATGTACTCTGCTGCAACAAGTATCCATCGTCCACAAGCAATCGGGCCACTGAAAGGCGAGCAGAAACTCACCGCCCTGCCACCTCCGCAACGGCCTCGACGCCTCTTTGGTCAGCCTCATCCCACGGCTCGCCTCCACCAGCTTCACTTTTTGGATCCATGCCTGCATGAGACCGATATCGACACGACATCTTCCGCCTCCCCCGATTCACTGACCTGTCCCCCTCCTCCGCCTCTATGCGTCTTGATGCCCGTGACCATTCAGGTCCTCCACGCCCTGGCTGTGTTCGCGCTGCATGCGAGCCTCTATCTCGCGCAGTTGACTCTCCCGTGCCAGCAGCTCTTGTCGTTTCTCATTGATCTCTCGCTGAACCTTAACCTCAATCTCCCGCAGCTTCTCCTCTTCACGTCGCAACTGCTCCTCCTTCAAGCGGACTGACTGGTTGGCAAGGTCTTCGGGGTTGATCGACGAATCTTGGGCTCTGTGACACAAAACAATTAGTCAACCTGCAGACATAACACCATTGCGGTCAGGGTCACGTACGAGACACCACCATCCACGCTCTTGCTGAGTTTCTCCGTTCGGTAATTTTCGTACAGGAAGTCGTGGGTGATCTCTTTGAGATCGGCAAGGTGCGAATGCAGGAGGGCGCTGCGAATGGCCAGGAAATCCGAATGACGCGGGTTGTCGACTTCCACAATACCCCAGGGGTACTGTCGCGCACGGACCCGGCGTCCTCCAATCTCAATCACATCTTCCGAACCGACAATGGCAAACGGCATCAAGCCACGTAGCTCTGCGTTTTCCTCCACCGTGTCCTCGTCATCCTCTTCGATGTCGTAGGGGAAGTTGTAGACAGGGATGCGGTAGTGTTCAATATCTTCCATGACCAACTTCTTGGACTCGGCCAATTCGGCCGGGGTCAATGAATCGGCTTTTCCGATGACTGGGATGACGTTGACACGGGGAGAGAGACGCTTCATCAACTCGATGTCAAGCTCGCGGAGACCGTGGCCAGTTGGGGTGATGAAGTAGAGCAGGGCATGAACACGATTGTCTCGGAATCGAGGGTTTCTCTTGATACGGGACTCCTCGGCCAAGATGTCGTCGTACTGGCGCTCCAAGTAGCCAACAATTTCGCCGAACGCTGACTCGTTGTCAATCTGATCACCGAAGCCCGGGGTGTCCACGATGGTCAGTGATACACGTGTGCCCTCCTCGTCCAATTCCAGCTCTACAACATGTTGTCAGTTCACATCCCTGACGAGCTTTGTAGAGAAAGATGTCTTCTCTCAGGCCACCTACCGACAGTGACGGGCTTGATTCTTACTCCTTCCTCCAGGTGGGCATTGGCTGCATCGTCGGCATCCTTGGGCTGAAGGACTCGCTTGCCACAGAGGGTGTTGACGAAGGTCGTTCGGCCTGTGAGCGGTCAGATCAGGGTGATGGTGAGGGTCGAGTGGAGGGAAACCCGTACCAGTTCCACTCGCACCGCAGACCATCAAGCAAAACTGAATTCCTTTCTTGACATTCTTCTTTCTCCGGATCTTTAACTGCGCCAGGCGCATGCTGTTAGTAGAGAACATGGTGGTATCGACAGGCGGTTGATGGGAAATGGGGAGTGGTTGGTGCTGGGCGATTAGGGGGTTGAATGTGCAAGAGCGAGACTGCGTACCGCATTCATCGGAGAAGACATGGTTTCGGTAGGGCAGCGTCGGCGTTGAGGGCGCCGGCAGAAAAGAAGGACGCCCGAAAATGGAAGCGGTCGACAAGACGAAACGAGGGTATAGAATAGAACAAGAAAACAAAGGGTTGGACGCGCGACGACTTGGGGTGGAAGACGGATGGATGAGGGTGTTCGATTGAGGTGGTGGACAGGCGACTTTTCAAAAATTAAGGGGAAGCCAGGGATCGACGCGCCAATTGGTGCCAGCTGGACTCTGGGGGTGGCGCTTTCCCTCTTTGAGCTTTGCTTCATTCATTGTGATTCTGCCTGCGCTATATGGCCCTTTCACAACTCTCCCCGCGACGACGACCTCTTCTTCTCCCTCGCTGGCTGTGATGAGCAGCATTCTTGTTTGACACGTCGTTGGTACACCCATGTTACTGGCCTAGGTCCTTTCCTGAAAAGTCGAGGCAGGTACCTACCCGTCAGGTAGGTCGCAGGTTCTTCTGATTGACCTGGTGTGTTCGTCATGTCTCATCGTCACAATAATCGACGGTCGGGCAACTCGCGACGACAGCAGTCTGTCGACTTTCCTCGTTATCCTCCCATGTCACAACCTCAGACGGAGCTGCCGGTATCTGCTCTTCCCCCTGCTCCTCGACCTTCGTCCACTTCTGCTGCTCTTCCCATATCCATGGCTGTACCTCCCGTCCAGCTTGCGGTTCAGGTCTCAGACTACGAGTCGGACAATCCGGGCTACCAGTCAGACTACCCGACAAAGCCACCTCCTCCCAATCGCACCAACGAAGAACTCAACCTCTCCGTCCTCAAACGCCACAACCCTCAGATATCTTCGATTCTCTCCATAGCTCCTTACGCCGTTGTTTACGAGTTCTCTCCGCTCCCCCAACCAGAATGGACAAAGACAGGAGTGGAGGGATCCTTGTTTATTTGTGAACTTACTCCTGGGGTCCTGGGTGAAGACCGGTATTCTGCGATTGTTCTCAACCGAAGAGGCTTGGACAATTTTGAAGCAGAGCTCAGAGAAGGGGAAAATGCTGGCGTCGAGATAACGGGGGAATATATCATCATTAGCTTCAAGGAAGGCTACGAGCAAAAGATCTACGGTGTCTATATCTTCCATGACGCGCCGGGCACCTCAACTGAAAACGCCCAGAAGCTGAACGGCGAACTGATGAAGTCTCTGGCTGATCATGCTGGGGTCAGCAGACAAGCCGCCGAAGCGGCTGCCTCAGCTAAGACTGCGCAACACACAAATGGACATATGCTCCAGGCCGAGCAGACGTTGCAAGATCAGCAAGGAGGTGCTCCGGCTCCTGGTCAGCAGATCAGTTTGCAGCAACTCTTTGGCCAGCAAAGATCAGACGATGCGGCCTGGAGTGTTCGAGCACATGAGTATGATGGTGGAACCCAACCTCCGTCACAACCAGGGCTGCAGCAGCCTGACATGCTGATTGATCTCTTCAGGAAAGCCGGCTTTTCAGGAAGATAGCTTGAATGATGATGAATTGCGCTTGCGCTTCCAATTCTCAGAGCTCGGGTGTTTCTGCTTTCTATATGATCTAAAGGGCACATACTGTTGTATCTTGGAGGCTGTTGTCTTCATCCAGGACATCCCTCAGCCAGCGGCTCACTCGTCTTGCCACAAACTCGCTCTGGTTCAAACACCATGCATGGACCATAGCTTCTGTTTCCAGTATGTGGATTTTTGCTGCTCTTGTTGTGGTCGTCGCCCTGCCGCTCGTCTGATCTTCCACGGTTACCACTTCTTTCGTCTCTTCAGACTCCAGGTTCGGTCGAGGCCGGGCAAGGGAGTCCCTCAGCACACCAATATCACCAGCTTTGCTTCTGAAAATTGCTTCCTTCGTCACGTCAGCGATCCAGTGGTCTTTCTTTGCAAACCAGAAAAACAACCTGGGACTACTGCTTCTTGTGCTCGTTCCCCGTTCACCCTCTACACCGGTCGTCCCATCGCCGTGGCTCGCGCCCCAGACCTCGCGTCCCCAGGCATCGCTTCTGATCTCCTGCATCTCCGCCCTCGCCATGAACAGGGCCTGTTTGACGCCCCGCCGACTCTTCAAGAATGCCATCGTGGCCTCGAAGCCGTGACTCCCCGGGTGCATCCCCGTGAGACGCGCGACCAGCGCGGAGAACCACGCCGGCGGGAGGACTCGAAGGAGCACCGTGTGCAGAAGCATGTGTGCCAGCCCCGGGAGGAAGCTGAGGTAGCTAAGGGCCGGAGTGGCCAGGCGGCCCGAGGGAGAGAGGTGGATGTCTTGGATCGTCGGGGTCAGGAGGATGCACGTCGACACCGACCAGCTCGGGCTCGGGCTCGGGCGGCTTGACGACGAAGGGGTTCTGGTCTCGGAGGAGTCCCCGTCCCTCCCAGCGGAATCTGCGGCGGTGTGTGAGGAGGGGGCGGCCAGCTGGTGGTGGTGGTGGTGGTGGTGATGCCGTTCGTGCCACAGCCTCACGAGTTCCAGCGCAATGTACGCCCCGACGCTGTGGCCCACGAGGACGACGTGGACGACGACTGGCTCCGGTGGCTCCGACGAGATAGTAATGTTTGCGGCGGACAATCGCTGGACCAGGTATTCCACCCGGGCGTAACTCAGCTCGATCTGTTCGCGGAGCGTGTAGATCGTGTGTTGTTGCTGTTGTTCCTCTGCTGCTGTCCCGTTTGCCTCCTCGCTGTTCGCTTTCTTCTTATCTTTCTCCTGTTGCTGTTGCTGCTGGGCACGGTGAGATGGACACGGGAATGTGGGCGGGTAGAGCAGTTCCCTGTCCTCTGTCGTCGACCTGCGAGGGCCGGCAGCAGGTATCCCGTTGTTGTCGTTGTCGTCATCCTCGTCCCTTTTGTCCTTCTCGTTCTCCGTCGCCTCTCGTACCTGACTATTCTTCTGTCCTCTCTGAGGAGCAGTCTCCTCCTCATCCACCTCGAACCCACCGAGACTGAACCCTGCCACCACCGCCTGCGCACACCTCTCACCGCTCCCATCGTACTCGTCTTCCTCGTTCACAGCCCCTTCTCCCGGTCCGTGCTCGTCTGCATGTCCACGCTCACGTCCACGTCCACGCTCCACCCCTCCTCGCAACCCCCGCGCAACGAGGGCCAAAAACGGATGATAATATCCAATCAGCCCCGGATTCCCCGGGACGAAGAAGACGAGTGTCCGCCTCAATTTCCTCACCGACGACAACGACGACGACGACGAGGGCACGTGCAGGAAGGCGTTGGCCGAGAGGCACGATTCGAGCGGCCGCATATTAGCAAGGCGTCCCTTTTCTACCCGATCCGGCCCTGGCACGAGAGACAGGGAAAAATGTGTTCCATATGATAGTTACTTTTCGTGGGTCACATGGTAGTGGTGATGGATGGGGTCTGTCTTGGGCTAGAGGGTCGAATTAATCACAATCTAATATCATGTATCTCTTCAGAAAATGGATGACAACATCCCGAATGGTCGACCCCTTTTCCCCCTATGCGCTATAACAGACGCTCTTCATTGCGGCTGGAGGCCTCAAACAGCCAGCCACCCGCTCCTTATTGATGCAGAACTACCGATTGCTGTGTCTGACGCTGTCGAAACGAGGCACAAGTGGTCGAACGGTACGCCAAAAGCTGACCACACGTGAGTTTCTGTCCATAATATCTGTCTCAGACGTGACCCTTTTGAGCTCCCACTAATGTACATTCGCCGCAAGCGCGACGAAAGATTCATTAAGAAAACCACACACGTATTCCTCCCAGCGCCATCTTCCATGCATGCTCTCCAGAGCGCCCTCGTGCTGTTGCATGACCATAGCCATCCCTTCGTAATAAACTCTTTTCCAGGGGTATCTCTGCCACGTGTGAAACAAATCCCGGGCTCGCTTGCTGAGAAAAAGAAAAAGAAAAAGAAATCAAACGGGCCGTACAGCTCACTGGAGAGCTGCAATCCCAAGCCTCCACGCCTTCGAAGGAAATTCATGACTTTGTGACATCGGGCTCGGTGCTTGAGGCACGACGAGGATTATGACATCCCGGGACGAAGTTTTGAAAAGTGTCATCATACGACCCAGCCGTATGAGGTGGCACGTAGACTGGTTGAGGTCCTGGCGGTGCATTCAGATGTTGCCTCCCAAAAGGAGGTGGTACAAAGCTGTGCATAAAAGACCCTGACCTGTTGGTACTGAGTCCGGCTCTTCGATCGAGTGCTGGATACGATGAGTCATGTGCGAAATTTATGAACGGGGGCGTTGCACCATGGTATGGATGATATCGTTGATATTGTTGTTGTTGTTGATATTGTTGTTGTTGATATTGATAGTGTTGATATTGATATTGTTGATATTGTTGTCGTTGTTGTCGTTGACTTCGCTCTGCAGCAAGGCGAGCATCTTGTTTCGCTTGCCACGCTGCAGGATCTTCTCGCTGCAAACGCTGATCATTGTACTCTTCTTCTGCCTCCTTCTCAGCCTCGGCGTCCAGTTGTTCATCGTCCTCCTTTTGGAAAGTCTCAGTCAGCACGATGTTGCGAACGAACTTGAGTTCGCCAATAATAGCATCGAGGACTTTCGGATCCCGCCCGAGGGCGTCGGTGAAGTCGGCCTTTGGAACGTCCTTGACGTCAAATAGATAGTCTGTATGGTCCGCCTTAGTGGCATGTCGTCTTGGGTTCTTCTTGTCGACAACGCGGCCGAAGAGCTGGGTTTTGAAAACCGAAGCGTTGAACAGTTTGTCCTCAAATGTCCCCCCTGCTTGGAAACGATAGACGAAAACCGGTCTTCGTTGATTCAGTCGATAGGCTCGGCCAATCGCCTGCTGTTCCCATATCGGGTTGAAGCTAAAATCGAAGATAATCACTCGGTTTGCACCCTGGAGGTTTAATCCAAGGCCTCCAGCCCGTATGGAGATCAAGAAAACCCGGTAGTAATCTGTCTGATTGAACTCCTTGGTGAAGGCTTGCCGGTCCGAGGCCTTTGTGTCGCCGTCGATGCGACAAAAAGATGTCTTCATGTCTTGCAGCATCTGGCCCAAGTAATTCAGAGTTGGAATGCTGTGGCTGAAGATTAACGTTTTGTCTCCAGCTTCATTAGCCTTTTCCAAGATGCGTTTGACGGCATGCGTGCGGTAGGACAGACTCGGATCATAAAGCGCCTGTCGCTCGCTCGTATCCGGGAAAAGCTGTAGGGCTCGCCGCATTGCCTCTCGCATAGGCCCCTTGACGTAAAGGGGAACGTTCTCGCTGACCTGACCCAAAGCCATGATCTCGTCCGTACTGTTGCTAGGGTCGGTCGTATCTGGGAGAATGGGTAGGGCTTGCTGTGTTGCCTCCCGCATGGGCCCCACGACCTCATGACGAGCGTTCGCGTTGGCCTCATCCAAAGCCAAGGTCTCGTCGGCACTGTCGCTAGGGTCGCTCGTGCCGTGACTGTCGTTGGGGATCCGCTGATCCTCATTCGCATTTTGCTCATGCTCCTTCATCTTGGTAACGAACCCAGCAGGATGGTGGCAGAGCCATGAGAGCATTGCAAGCCAGCCCGCGATGATTTTCGGAGAGCGAGGTTTCATATCATCCCTTGACTCGCATAATTTCCGCATGTGATAGACATAGATGTCGTATGCCTGTCTCTGTAGGTCTGTAAGGGGAATCGTGATGAAGTATTCGGTCTTTGAGGGCATATCTTTCTCGATGGCGCTAATGTCAGCTCGATTGATTTTGGGATCAAGGTCTCGTTTGAGCACATGTAACTTGCGCAAGGACATCCGCTTCTCGTGGGCTGTGCTATCCGAATAAAGTCCCCCCATAATGGGCTCCGAGTATTTGGAGCGAAACTGGACTATGTCTCCTAGATAACCTGGCGCGATCCAGTCGACCATAGTATGGTATTCTTCAAGATGATTGTTGAGAGGAGAACCCGACAGGGCGATCCTGCTCGATGTCTTAAAGCGTTTGGCAATCTGTCCTATTTTCGACTTGGCATTTTTCAACATGTGGGCTTCATCTGCAATGACCAGGTTTGGTTCTTGCAACAGAATCTGTTCAAGGTCGACCGGAACAGTACCCTTTTCTTTTGCTGTGATGCTAGCCGTGATTGCACCTCTAAACCGTTCGTACCCAATAAGAAGAACACCGCCTTGCTTCGACCAGGCCCTGATAGTTTGAATATTGTCTTGTTGATAGTTCGAGTCGACCTTGTGAATAACCCCCAGAACGGCAGGATCAGGAGTCCACATCAGGAGCTCATCTTCCCAATTGTTCAACAGAGAAGCAGGGCAAAGTATGAGGGTCTTGCTTTTACGCAGATGTGGTGGGATATGGCTCCTGACCTTTGGATCCTTACTCTGGTTGCAAAGAGAGATCGTCACAAGTAAAGAGACCACCTGCATCGTCTTACCGAGTCCCATGGTATGCGCCAGGATACAACCTTGATGTTTTGGGTCTTCAACAATCTCGCGCCACATAAACTGCAGGCCATTGACTTGATGAGGCTTGATGCGTTGAGCAATATGTTGATGCAGTCTGACATGTGGTTCTTCTAAATTGACAATACAGACTGCATTCCCATCGACTTGCATCAGAGCCAGCTTTTCGGCCATGTTTTTCCGTCGCTCTTCTTGTGCTTGAATCCTGGCCTTGTCGGTATGTTGAAGGGACTTCGCCTCCTGGCTTTCTTTCACTTTGCGCTTGCGCTTCTTGTGGGACGAAGGCTGAGCCTCTTCCAACGATTCATTCAATGTAACATCTGTCATCTGTTCGTCTGCATCGTCCTCTGTTTCAGGAATAGAGAGAGAGTCTGAGGCTCGCTTTCTTTTCCTGCCATTTGTTGGTGTCTGAAATCTTGTTTGGTTCCTGAGATATGTCTCCACGACCTTCACCAGTGAAGTGTAGAATGGAACGAGGGCAGTATCTTTGTCCGCAAGTGCCTCGTCCTTATGGAGTTCCAGAAGCTCGAAATTTTCGAGCGCATTCTGACCACAAATATATGTTACATAGAGCAAAACCAGTAACCTGGCGCTCAATTGATGGTCTGGCTCGACCCCTGGGATCATGCCTCTTTCTTCTCTTTCCCTTTCCTCAAGAGCAGCGAGACCATTGATAATGACCGTCTCCCGAGCCTGGCTGGAATCTGCGATGGAGCCCAGAAATATGGCCAGGCCGGTAGCTGCGCCTGGCCTAAGTTCGTACACGGCCTTTGCAAGCGCCCGCCGTTTGTCGATAGGGTCTATATCTGCCCATGATGCACGTCTCAAACCCTGAAAATCGTTCACCCCTGGTAAGCTGGTGTCATCTTGGGAAGACAGATTCTCCAATTCAGAGTCTGTTGAGTCCAGAACAAGAATATGCTTCGAGTTCTTCTTTGGGATGTCTACTCGACTTTGAACGGGATTGAGTTCTGGTGTGTGAACGCTCCAGTCAGTAGAAGTATCGTTGGCGCTCTTTTCAGCTCCAGAGGGGGAATCGCATGTCAGATCAACAGGTGCAGCCGCAGAACGCCCTTTCTTTCGATATCTAGAGTTCGGAAGACGTGGAGAGACGTCTAGGTCCGAAGAGTCGGAAGTGGAATGATGAGCCTTGGAAGGCTTCCACTTCACATGTGCGGCACGTGTGGTATCTGAGGTTCGAGAACCTTCGGTCTTCATGTGTATTGCCTTTCGGTGACGAGCTGGGGTAATGATCTCATCTTCATCTTCGCTTTCGATATCCGCGTCGTTAGCATTAATGTCAGGCACCGAGTACTGACGATTATCGATGGGAACTTTCGGACGTACGACCGTTGCACTAGGCTTTCTTGTTGTCGAGGGAATGATAGGCTCCCAGCTTTCTGCGTCCGGGATGTGGTATATAGTATCCTGGTCAGAGGTGTCGTCAATGAACGATAACCTATCTTCATCACTTGATGTTTCTGGCTCGGATTCGAGGAGCTCTTCATCTTCCTCCAGGACTGGGGGTTTTGGAGCCCGTATCGCTTTAAGCGCATCTTTAGGAGGTTTTTCGGGTGGAGTGTCCTGGAGCATGGCCTGGACATAGTACTCGTTTTCTTGGTGCTGATGGACGGTCAATTCGAGACTTTGGCATTGTCTCCTGACTTCATCCGGCTTGTGCCAGGTCATTCGAGCGATCTCACGTCTTATGATTTGCAACCTGCACAGAAGGCGATTCGTTTCGCGGTTGAAGGAGTCACTCTTTTCTTGTCGACATTTGTTGCGGGCTGCAAGCATCCAGTGACGATAGGCCTTCCTTTGGGCAACCACGAACTTTGATTCGCGCCACTCCTGCCTGTATGCATCTATGGTCGCGTCTATCACGCTCTCGACCTCAGTTGGCGTCATATTGGAAGACGGGGTGCGCAATTTCTCTTCGTCCGCCTTCTCTGCTTCAATCTCCTTCCTGGTGTCATCGTCGAGCTCGTTTTCATCCCCCGACTCGCCATAAAGAGGGAGCCCATCAGAATCCTCCACTGGGTACTTATCCAGAAGGTATTCCAGGCCGGACCAATTCGAACTACCGCCGTTTTCCCCTACAGAGACCTCAAGAGAGTCACCTCGCGCGCTCTCAGGTAAGTGGAGGACGGAACTCCGTGGCTGATCCTCCTGGAGAGCTGTGAGCTCGGGAAACTCTTCTACTTTATGTACCCTTGCCCGACCGCTGCCGGGCGGGAACAAGGTAAAGTATTGTTCGGAATACGGAGGCTTGACCCTGGACTTGCCATAGGGTATCTTGATCCTCCATCCGCTTTCAGGTAGGATAGTCGTGCCTTGACGTAGGAAAGATCTCATTAATCGACCTATTGTGCGACGTTGGCCAGCAGGCAAATCGGCGGAGATATGGAATGAAACTGGTTCCTCGGCAGCGACCGCATACAAGAATTCATCAGTAAATCCAGTTGGAATTTTGTAGTAGAATACATCCTGTACAGGAAGCGGATCCTGGCCGAGATAGGCGTCCTGATTTGACTTTACTGGAGTGGCCTCGGGTAGACGAGTCGGCGCGATTCTCCTCTTGCCGTTACCGCCAGCATGTTCTCTTGATGGCTGCAGTAACAGAGGAGGCGGTAGTTGATTTCGAGTTTTAGAGGCGACATCATCAACCACACCGTTTACCAGAGGGCCAGCGACAGTAGGGTTTGATTGTGACCGGGAAACATGGTAGGGACGATGATTGGAAGGGCGAACGCTTGGAACTGAGGGATCAGCAACGCTAAAAGTCGCCAACCCAGGTGAACTGAAGGTGGGACCCTTAGAAACGACCCGCTGCTGGCCCGCCGCACTGGTAAGAGAAGGTGACGGAACAGGATGCAGTGGCTCAATAGAGGGTTGGACGCCGAGACCATAGAATGCGGGAGATTGTGAAACTTCCGAAATCCGAGACTGGGTTATCTGAGGGGAGTTATATGTGGCTGAGCGCATCCGGGTGAAACCGTCTGCTTGAAATAATGTCCGCTGATAGCCTTTGGAGATCGAACGGAAATACTCCACCGCTCTCATGATGGCTCGTCTCTGACCAAATGACGGGATCCCCAGGTCGTCCTTCAGAGTGGGTATGTCGAGAGCGAGCAGATTGTCCCCATCGACATGGTTTCGCCGAAGAGCATCCTCCAAGCGATGGCGGTCAGGGATCAACTGAGGCTTTTGGTTGTTGAACCAACGCGGAGTTGAGCGCTGGCAGAGTTCGTAGACGACTTGATCGATTGACCAGTCCTGAGGGTCGTCGTCGGTTTCGAGAACAGGATCCATGTTGAGCCACCATCAGGCTGGCGCCAATGAGAGATGAGTGAGGACGTGTCAGCAAAACAAAAGTGGCGAGGCGAGGTTAATTCTGGGAGAGTGAGCAGGAAGTGAGGCGCAGGCAATGCCACAGAGAAGGAATGCCAGTCGCTTGGAAGCAAAAACGTTGAGCAGCGCTTTTGATATGTCTGAAAGTGACACAGGTTGAGAGAAAAAAGACAAAGCCGAAACCCCACCACCCCTCAACTCCTTGTCCTGCAATTGAAACGCATGTGGCAAGGGTACTCGCATGGTCCTGCACAATGTAAGACTTCGTTCGTCTGCTTGGGTGGGTGATGGAGAAACAATGAACAATATCCCGGCGTCAAAGCTAGACAGGAGCAGTTGAATTCAAGATCCGGCGGCAAAGTGAATCGGGGCTGGGATAAGCGTTTTCGCCTTAGTCAGTCTTGCCAGGGTGGGAAACTTACGCGGGCGTCAATGGGAAGGTAGAGCGAGCCCTTGCCCGATTGCTGACTAACCAACCCGTGCCTAGCGGAATCTTGTCTACTCGGTAGAGACAACAGACAACTCCCCTCTTTAACGGCGTTGCACTCGAACTACGGTCTCACAGCCCTACAAACTGCGATTAACAATCTCGTCGTCCCCAAGACTATGGCAGATCACGCTGCCAACCAAGTCTACCTTGACTATCCTCCGGCATTGACGCCCGAGCAGGAAGAGTATCTTGCTCAGACTGTGAAAAACTGGACTGTAGAGCATGGGCTTACAGTTAGACCGTCCACGGCCATCGTCCCAGAGGAGACGAATCCGAAGAATGTCCTAGCTACTAATGCCCCGGTCACTCTGTTTCCGAGCCCGTTCCCCAAAGCTTGCTTCGAACAAGCTAAAAGCATCCAGCCGGTCTACAATGAATTGTACGCCAGCATTGCCAGCGACGCGCAGTGGCTGGAAGAGATCATGAAAGAGTGAGTAGAGTGCCCTGACAGGCTGGGCCCTGGCTCTCTGTGTGCTTCCACCACTTGTTTGCAGCCATAACCCTGCTGCAGACGCATTCTGAGACTGACATCGAGCAGGCTTATCGAGGTTGATGACTTTCTTGCCAATCTCTGGAAGATACATATGGCCGTCAAGGAAGAGGGCTATGTTCAAGACCTATCTCTAGGGATGTTTCGCTCTGATTATATGGTTCACACTGCGGATCAGGCGCCACCATCCCTCAAGCAAGTCGAATTTAACACCATCTCCTCGTCATTTGGGGGGTTAGCTTGCCTTGTTGCAGATATGCATACTCATCTTGCGACCTTCCCTTCTCCGAAGCAATCGGTGGCGTATCCTCTGCATCCCCTGTTTGCAAACTCGGCCGGCGACAGCACCATTCACACTATCGGGCATCCTCCTCACAATGAGGCCGTGGCAACCCTGACTGCAGGCCTTGCAGCCGCTCATGTGGCGTATGGACCTTCGAGATCAGAGCCCCGACTCCCAACTTGTGTCATCTTTCTGGTCCAAGACAACGAGCGCAACGTCTTCGACCAACTGGCCCTCTCTAGTCATCTATACCAACACCATCATATTCCCTCGTTCCGCCTCCCAACCAGCAAGATTCTCGCTCAGACGTCCATACCGTCAAAGGACAGCAGTCCTTATCGGCCGTTGATTTACACACCGCCATCGTCCCCGTCTACTCAGTTTGAAGTCACCGTGGTGTACTTCCGAGCACTCTACGCTCCGACGGAATACAACACACCCACATCCTGGGCAGCACGCCATCACCTGGAACGCAGCGCCGCAATAAAATGTCCCACCATTCTCCTCCACCTTTCCGGCTCCAAGAAAGTCCAACAAGTCCTCACCGCGAGGCCTCCCGACACTGATCATCTCAAAGCCTTCCTTCCGACTCACTCTGAGAGCGTCCTGGAAAACCTCCGCTCGACTTTTGCTCCACAATACTCTCTCTCCGCCTCTGCCTCCGAGACGTTGTCCGGTGAACCGGAGGGAGTGCGCCTGGCTCTCTCTGCCGAGACCGCGGCGAACCACGTGCTGAAGCCACAACGCGAGGGGGGCGGCAATAACATCTACCGCACCAACATCCCACCTTTCTTGAATTCTATCCCAAGGTCACAGTGGAAGCAGTATATTCTGATGGAACTTATCCGGCCACCCACCGCAGCTAAAAACACCGTTCTCCGGAGCGACGGACAGGTCGTCCGTGGCAACGTCATTTCCGAACTAGGGATATTTGGCACTTGTCTGTGGAGAAATACGCCAGGTGACACGAGGCCCGAGATTCTACACAACACAGAAGGTGGTTACCTCTTAAGGACCAAAGGGAAGGATAGTGATGAAGGCGGGGTTGCCGCCGGCTTTAGCTCTTTGGATAGTTTGATATTATATGAAGCATACTAGAGTAGAGATGAGTGCGAGATCTAGATAGCATTAAACAATAGATATACATTTTGGTCGTTGTGTTGTTTATTTGCGTCGTAACGGATATCAGCCATTCCTGCTGACGATGATGCCTCTGAAATTCTAAGACGTCTCGGATGGCCGACCGAGAAGAGCTGAGTCGAACGCTGTCGAGAGGCAGTGTGGAAGCCGATGTGCGTCTCCCGGATGTCAATTCAGAAATAACAGATGCTCCCATGCCTGCGGATTTCGAAAGCTTGATACAAACACTCTTGCTTTTCCTGGGACCGCCCGTTGTGAGTACGGTCAGGTTGGCAAAGGTGCTCATCGTGCCAAACACTAACGTGACCTAGCATGTAATAACACCCACCTCGTGGTGTTTGTGATCAGCACAGTTTCCTTGTGGGGCTGTCGATCTTCCTTCTCTACTTCTTTCGGAAGTAGCCTCCATCGTACAGACACAACAGTCAGACGCAAGGCGTAGCCTTTTGAAGAGCCACGAAGGCGCGCAACCTGAGATAGTTCAAGGTGGCACCTTGGTTCTTCGTTCACGTTCAAGAGAACGAGGTGCTGCGGACTTCCGAGAAGCCCGGCCGTCCTTTGTCGTCGGGGGTCTTGACCTTCTTGTCATGTACCTTTTTGGAACTGCGACGATTGATGATAGCGCTTTTGACGGCAGACTTGATAGATAGAGCAGGTACTGCACAGGGATAACAAATGCGCCACAGATCCAATTCGCAAGGATGAGAACGTAGTTGTTCGGGATCCGATCGGCATTCCGCTGCGCAGCCGCAGCCAGGGACACAACGTCATGCAAACGTGTCTCGAGGTCTTGTAGCCTTGCTTCGATCTGCACAGACGAGATAGTTGATCTTTTCTCGTAGCGGCGCATGGCCCTATTCAGGGCATCTAGCTCCGGCTGTACTGTTTTCTTGACTTCAGATGTGGCTGACGCAGAGGCTTGAACTACGAGTGTGTGGTTAACTTGCTCCTCGTTTTGTCCTCCGGTGTCGGCAATGCGATCGGCAACGTGTGCCTCAAGGTCGTCCAACCTGCGTGAGATATCGCGAAGGTGCTGATTGTCCATCCGGCTTGATTCTTTGAGAACATCGAGGTTCACTCGTCGTTGAAGAAAAAGTGTTCTCCGCTGGACCATCTTTATTAGGTGAGAGATGGGTCGGATTTCGGAAACTAATATGAATATAGTAAGATTGTAATTCGAGACCAAGCCCTCGGATGGCCGAGAGAGTTGGGATCTGATGCTATGCAGAAGCCATGCGGCGACAAGAGGGAATCCAAAACAAGAAAGCAATGCCAGAAGCTCATGGACACGAAGCTCTCTCTGCGCAGCTGCACCGTCTGTGTTGACAAGCTTCGAACGAGCAGCATTAGCACTCGCCTTCGCTTTGCTGGCATCGTCTTCACCACGTCCACCCACAGACAGGGGGTCCTGATCCTCGTCCGCTTCATCGATCGGCGTAAACACGGGAGGAGTGGTTGAATCTGCCAATATAGTGGTCTGGGCAGCACGATACCAGTCCCTGGAGCAGTCATAAGTTTGGGGCTCTCCACACAAGAGGGTCTAGTCAGTCCTTACCAAGGCGACCTGAGAGCCCAGTTCATGAAGATAGCAGCTAAACCTAGTAGTGTCACGTCCGTGATGACAGCGCTACCGTTCTTGAAAAACATGCCTCCAACTGCGGGTAGCAGGGCAAGGCCAAGAGGCAGAGACTGCCAATGAGAGTTGTCGTCATGGTCGTGGAAATCATCATCGTCACGCGCGCGTGGCAGGAGTATATCGTCCGTCGATGAGCGTAATGACTTGCGCGTCTCAGAGAAAGTTTCAGAGAGGAACGAACTTCGACGACGATTGAGTGGAGGGTTGCCTTCGGCGAAGGTAGATGCTCTTCCTAGTGGCCGCTGCCTCAAGCCTTGAGGTGAAGGACTAACTTGTCGACCGGAGGAAGTAAGTGGAGGGAGGACGATGGAAGGAGGTTTTTCCGAAGCCATGATTCCAATCCAGAGCTGATGATGGCGATTCGCAGCAGGGAGTAGATGAGCGAGGGGAGGAAGTCCACGGATATGACTTCCGCAGGTCTTTTGACGCGTCACAACATCCTTGGCCGTTCAAAGGGTCGGTGGAAGAAGAAAGCAAACGACGCAGTCGTCAACCCGATATCATTCCAAAGAGGCCAGGCACTATATATGCCTACAATAATGCTGGCCAGAGCGCGGGATGGGAAAAGACGATTCAAAGGAGTGCCATCAAGGAGAAATATTGTGAACGGAAGATGATGCTGAGTCTGACAAGATGTTGCTGAAGTGGCAGTCGCGGCTCCGGAATAACAAGTCCCCGAATATCTTGGCATACAGCGGCATTCGGGTTGTTCCGAGGTTATTCCGGCTTGCAACAACACCTGTGAAGTTGGGATGTCGTCGCTACTAGTGTACCAGTCCATTGACATCCAGCGCCACAGCACAGCTGAGACTCAAGCAAAGCACCACTGTGACGAATTCCATTTTGAGTTCCAGTCGAAACACCGACGCCTTGGCCTTCAAACGAGGGACACTAAAGAAGGGATACGCTGCTGTTGCGTCATGCTGCAGTTTGCTTCAAGCGTCAGGCAGTTTTAACCTGCCGATGAAAGTTTCTGCTTTCACAAAGATGGTAAGATGGTACGCCACGTATCACCAGCATGGGTCCTTTTGAGGACCAGTTAGACAAGAGCTTGCAACGTACGAGCATGGCTTTCTGGGGCCTACCCCTTTGAGGAGAGCCTTATTCAACACCACTTTGGGAAAGATGTCTCTGAGATATCTGAGGAGCCCCACCAGGGCAGCCATACGTACCAGCGCATCGATGTGAGTTGAGTCAAGGGGACGGAGACTGCGGACATGGTGGCTCGGGAGGAGAGAGCGAGCGACGGTGTCCACTGGCGTGTTTTTGGTATCTCTTCGCTTTTTTGATCTTTCTGTTTGGGGGAGTCAGAACACACGTATCTTCTCCATACAGCAATGATGGCATGGGATCCTTCCTCTATCATCGTCGTCCCCTTGGCCTTATTGGCCCTCCTTGCAGCCTTCCCTCCCATACTTGTTCAGTTGCGGGCTAAGAACTTTGCAGCCTCGGTTCTCCTGATCGGCATCACCATCCTGAACATCCAAAACTTCGTCAATGCTGTGATATGGTCGTCTGACAATCCTCACGACTGGTGGGATGGAAAAATACTGTGTGACATCGAAGTCAAACTCTACATTGGGATATTCCAGGCCGTTGAAGGGGCAATTGCGAGCCTTTTCCGACAGATCTCGATCATCCTCGATCCAGACCGCATGACTGTTACCCCTTGCCCGCAACAGCGCCGAACCACCCGCACGATAGAACTCCTTCTTTGTATTATCTTGCCTATACTCGTCATGGCTGGCCATTATTTGGTTCAGAAGGAAAGATACTGGCTCAGAGAGGTGGCGGGATGCGTGTTGTCCTACGACAACGATTGGGTGGCGCCTTTCGTGACTTACGGATGGCCCATGGTCGTTTGTCTCATCGGGAGCGTCTACTGTCTGATCTCGGTCGTTCGCCTCTGGCGGCATCGCAAGCAGGTTTCGGTCCTGCTTGCGCCTACTCCTGGTGCCACGACCTCCCGATTCTTCAGGCTTTTCGCGCTTGCGTTGGTCCTTCTGGTGGTATATTGCCCGCTGGCCATCTTCGCCTTTATACAAAACGTTCGTGTGCCAATGCATATGTATTCTTGGTCATACATCCATCCCTCTGACTGGTCGGAAAGAATCATCCTGGAGCCCGAGCCTGCCATGGAACCCACCTCGCAGGCCTTCCCCTTCGACCGGTGGGCGCAAATTATCGCGGCATATGTATCGTTCGCATGTTTCGGGCTGGGTCAGGACGCCATCCGGATGTACAAGAACTGGGCTGCAAGAGCGAAGAGCTGTTTTCGTGGAGGCTTCAACGGAAACGTCAAGTCGGCCCCAAAAACACCCCAGAACAACCCTTTGGGTGGAAGTCAGACAAGCGCCACATTCGCTGTGTACGAGCTTTCGCCAGACGACAATTCGAACCCAACTCCGCACTCACCAGCCTCGGGTACAAATCACTGATTGAACGCACGCTATGCAGGTCTCTCCATCAATTGGGATAACGGTGTTGGAACAATCGTTTGATTAGAAGCCTTCCTGCTTTTTAAAATACATAATTCTTCCTAGATAGCCGTGCTGGTAGGTGGTTGGCCCTGCCATCACCGCTCACCAAACCCATGAGTGGCGAAATACATTCGGAGAAGGGATCTTATACAGCACCCACGAACAGCTCCGTATCGTCCAATATTCCTTGCCTAAGCGAAGGACCACCGCAGGCAGTGAGTCGTACCATTCCGGGGTTGTCAAGCCACTTGTATCTTTTCAAGCACCGACGTTCCCTGGTGCGATCTCTTCTTCCTTCGGCTGCGGTCGTTTCAGAACTTCCACTTTTGTCTGGACCAGACTCAATGAGCTCTGTTTCTTCCCGTCCGAATCCTCGTATGTGCGCATGGTAGCATCTCCTTCAAGATAGACCAGTGTCCTATTTCGACCATTGGTCAGTAAAAGTTTGGAGCATATGAGTGAATGGACCCTCAGTTGCGCTCACCCTTTGCTCAATCCCATCACAAGATCTCGTTGGGGGGACCCTTCGGGTGCGAAACTGGCGACGCGGAACCACGATGTCTGTCGATTGTCCTTCGGTCCGTAACTAGAACCCACGACATATTTGATCACTTGGCCCTTGCCGGTCTCTGCGAGTTCTGGGTCTGCGCCGAGTCTCCCCACCAGTGTCATGCGGGCGAGCTGAGACGGGCGAGTTGTCGAGAACGTGCGCTGTGACATGGGGGGCATCGTGGACGCCATGCGCCTGGCTGGTGAAAGGAGGAATGACATTGCGCGGGGTTGGTGGAGGTGGCTGGGAATTTGGAAGAGGGAGGAATGTGCAAGGACCACGGAGGCAGTTGATATTATTGCCAACTGTTGTCGTAACCAAGGTGGATGGCAGGCTGTAACTGCGCGCTCGACGCGGTGCTGGTGGCGCAGGACCTTGAAAGTCGCGATCAGGGGACTGGGGGCGGAGCTAAACCCGATCCGGAAAGTGCATGCATATATCAAATGACAATGTCTTTTGAATTGACGAGCTCGACTCCGAACTCTCAGAACTTCACATGGAGCTCTATGCAAAGTTCATGTCGATGTCTGCCATTGATGTTTGATCGCGAATACCGCCTTCATACTGTGACCAACATATCTTGGCTATGGCTTTGCACAAGATGAACGGTATTGAACTAAGGGCCATTTCACGTCCTCAAAGCCCATCCTCACTCGTGCTCTGAGACATACCCGGGAGGGCAGTTCGTAACTGCAAGTTACGCTTTTCCCGATGTATAGCTTTGTGGAAGCGTCTTCTTCTCTCTCTCCGGATGCTGCAGGCCGCGGTGCTTGGGACAATGCCGTCTCCTGGAGATTCTTTGACTCGGACAAGGACCTGGTCTTCGATCGCCGGAAAAAGCCACAAAGAGAACATACGAGTCCAAGGGTCGAACGAGGTTCGAAATCATTTTTGGTTTAAAGGCACAGGTAAAAAACTCTGCTCCCCAGTTCATTCTTCTGCAGTTGTACTACGTTTAGAGCAATTTGTTCCCGATCAAGCAATGTCAACCTCCGATTTTACGATGAGTCCGGTCGCATGGCTATTCATTTCCATGTTTTCTGGGGCTATTCTGATTCTTGCCATTGTCTATCTTTTTGCGCTCAAGATCCAACGCGACAAGGAGAAAGCAATTCGGAAAGCCGAGGAAGACGAGATCTTTGCCAACGCTATCGCCAATCCAATCACGACACAACAGCCGATATCTCACTAGGCATACTCTTTCCGACATACCTGGTTCAAACAGTGCACCCAAATCTGATCGATGATACAACTACGAGAATCTCGTATTCAAGTGAGCTGTTCAGACTGCATCGTCCGGGGAGTGAGCGGTCTTGGGACGCTGAAACCGTTCAGTTGCCTTTGTTCTCTTCTCAGTGGTCCTTTCTTCGCCTCCACTGATTGCCCAAGAGAAGGTCCTTTGTCCCTGTCACCCCAAAGGGAGTCAGGTTGCACTTGGAACGTTTCGGCCACTGCAAATCACCCTCTAGCTACTCCGCTTCTAGTGCTTGCCACAGCCAAAAACATTGGGGGCCGAAAACCGCAGGTCCAACATCCCACAGCCTCAAAATGTTGCCACTTTCTGCGCTCGTAATCCTCGGGGCTGTGGGGACTTTCTGCACCTTCACGTTCCTGTTCGCAATATATCATACAATCAAAACTAAGATTGAAGCACGACGCCTCAGAAGCGCTGAACCGGATAATGGCATGGCTCTACCACTGACAGAAACTGCAGTGGCCTCTGACACAGGTCTGAGGACTCAGAGATTAACACGGGGAGCAACACCCTCGCCACCACCAATTGCGCGCCCTCATACGCCAGAAGCAGAATATCCGCCTCCTCTACCACAGGAGCTGGACCTGGAAGACAGATTGGGCCCAGCAGAGACGGCACCGCCGTTACAGTTTCCACGGATACTGCGAAAAGACACGTCCAATGGGGGATTCTTGACACCCTCACCACGGGGGTACGAGGCCCAGGCAGACGACTTCATCCGAGCGGAAACGCCGCCACCTCTTCATCCCATAAACCGAGACAGTCTCAGAACCAGAAGAGACAGGGACAGCATGCACGAAATATATGAAATATACAGTAAGCTGCCGGCGACGCCTAAGTCGGCTCCGCCCAGAATCACAACATTCGCGATGGCGGAAAGTAAATGGGCATACTTTGGGCAGAAGCGCGCCGAGGAGATGGAGATGATCTGAATGAGGTGGAAATAAAATACGTATGAACATAAGGAAATCTTATAACATATAGGGAGTCTGAAAGCAGCCTCGAATGCCTCATTATAGTCTGAATACCCCAACCCTTCCGCGTTCACAACGCAAACAACGACTGGTATCAAATTCAAGTTTCAATCTGCTGCGCCATTATCCATTGAAGCGAAACAGAGACTCCGTGGCTGAACAATCCGGGTGTTACGTCCCGAGCGGCAATGCCTCCATGAACATTAGCCTCTTTCCCACCATTTACCACGTCTGGGCGACGAAAGACCGTCTGAGGGCAAAGGATGTGGCGTCAGATTCGGTTGGAAGTCGTATTTAGCATTTATGTAAGCTGGGATTCCCTCCACAATATGGATTGCCCCCTATTATTGGACTGAGGGATCTACTGTAATTATCTTCGTACTCGGTAGTTCTTGACTTAGGTCAGCTCCCACCACGCTGTATCAATGTTCAACTCTTTTCCACATCCCTTCGGTTTTATTTCAAGCGTTTTGCAACGTAGGTGAAATCTCGTGATCATGGATGTAAGTTGTGGGGGGAACGTCGACGGTGGCTGAACAGAAGTTCGGAAAACACAGTCGAGCAGAGCAGTCATGGCTGTTTGCTGTGGCAAAGATGGGCAAAGAAATGTCAACCCAGATTTCCCGGCTCAACGTGGCTCTTCAAAGGCACTAAAGATAAACTTGCTTCCAACGTCCGGAGTGTCTCTTCCACTGTGCAAAAAGTCACCTACAGCTCTCCTCGCATAGCCACGACAGCCCCATCTTGTCTGGTGTTTGCTACCCACGCAAACTAGTCAGGAATGCTCCGCCAAAATCCCATGGACAGCCTGGCCATCAATTGACCTCAGTCAAATACACCTCAACCACCATGAACAATAAAATGAAGACCTTCCGCCTTCGTCGCGTGCCGGCAAAGACTAACCTCCAAAGCCTGGCTTGGTCCTTCCAAGACTTTGTGATTGACCTAGGTGGAGAAGCGAATATCCATGTCTCACCTGTCGACCATTGGGCGATCACTGGTACTCTCACACAAAGCCTTCGATCCTTCTAGGTCATGGCTTAGGTGGACTTCTCATGAAGAGAGCATTGTCGATTCTCGCCACATCTAAGGCACCAACGAAATTAGGCTCTCAAAGACCAAATTGTCCATGCCATTCCGTGTACCGAATAGAGGGATGCGCATAAATCGTTTATTTACCGTTATAGGACCGAAGCCCAACAGGGGCTTGGTGAGCTGCTTGATGAGGGCCTTATGATCTATGACAAACCCCCCGACAGTCTGAGATCCGCATTTACACCTCACGCCAACCCGCAAGGGACGAGCTTGATGGCACAGGGAATGGAATTGTCAGAGGCAAAGAATCCAACACCCTGGGCCACACTTTTTCTCGGTTACGGCCCAAGTCAAACGTCGTCAATCGCCGTATCATGCTATTTGTTCAGTAGCTTGCCAGGTTTGATGAGGACCTCTCAGTCGGCGGATTTCGAGTCTTCACCTTCTCATTGCGTGCTGCGAAAGCCACATAACGCAATCATGCCGCTCCACCACATTAGCACGCGATTTTCGTTCACGCGGCCATCCCGGCGAATGAAAGAGACTCATGCTCAGAAACCCGAAGATAACATTACCTTTTTTCCCTCTACCCAACAAGCATGGGTCGCGGTAGGTCAGCACTATGTCGATGGTACCATATGGGAGTTGTTATATGTCACTTGGATTTGTGGATGCATATACCTCTGGTATAAGTAGTCCACGCAAGTACTCCGCCGGAATATATCGTTATTTCCCACTCTCTCTTGTCGCTGAGATTGCTCAAATTTCAAGATGGCTGTCGAACTTCTTACTCAGGCCGATGGCTATGGCATTATCATCGGTCTTTCGGTGCTGTTCTGTCTCATCATCCTCGCGGCAGTCCGCATACAAAAGAGGTATCTGTCAGAAGACAGCGATCAGTCAGAGATGTTCATGGTCGCCAACCGTTCTGTTGGGACCGGATTGACGGCCTCGGCGGTCTTCTCGAGTTGGTAAGTTCGAATGCTTGGTGGTCTTGAGGTTCGCCCATGTGTTAACCACGGTGAATCTATATAGGATGTGGATCAACGAGAGTGTCTTTTCGGCTGCTTATACATACCGCTGGGGTGTTGCTCTTCCGATATGGTGGGCCAGTGGGCTGTCCTTCCAGATTGCCCTCATGGCGGTGTTGGGTATCGTCGCAAAGCTGCGGGTGCCATACGCACATACCTCGCTCGAGATCATCAAGATGAGATACGGAAAATATGCGCATTGGCTGTTCATTCTCCTCAATCTGGTCAACAACATCTTTGGTTGCGGCAGTATGATCCTTGCAGGCGCTCAATTAGTGACTGGAATGACCGGAATGCATGTTGTCGCCGCGTGTATACTGATTCCAGCAGGAGGTAAGCAAACATCGATGAATATTTGTTGCAAGTCCTGACCATCTATCTAAAGTCGTTACCTACACCGCCGTAGGGGGGCTGAAGGCAACTTTCCTGACTGATTTCTTGCACACGACTATCGCCCTTATTCTGTTAATCTATTTTTCTCTCGCTGTCTTGACGAACGAGCATATTGGCGGCATCTCTGGTCTCTACGACAAAGTCAAAGCCACGAACGACTACATTCCCGGCAACTACAAAGGCTCACTTTTGACTATGAAGTCCAGGAGCTGTAAGTTCCATTCGTCTCGTTGTATTGAAGCCTTTACTGATATCTGGTACAGCTCTTCTTTTTGGGCTTGTGTTGAAGTTCGGAAATCTTGCATTGGTGCTCATGGATACGGCCTTCTGGCAGAAGTCATTCGCGTCTGAAGTGCATTCGACTGTCCCCGCCTATGACCTTGTCTCGGTCGTTATCCTCGCCATACCTTGGTGCACCGGCACCATAATCGGACTGAGCGCCAGGGCCATCGAAAAGACTCCCGTCTGGTTCGACTACCCCAATACTTTGACCATCACTCAAGTGAACTCTGGCATGGTGATGCCATACGTGCTGAGGTCGTTGCTTGGCACTGGAGCCACTGCCGGACTGCTGGTGCTCGTTTTCATGGCCATCACTAGCACAGTCTCTTCGTCCATGATAGCTGTTAGCAGCATCATTTCTCTTGACTTCTTCCGCACCTACATCGACCCACGTGCGTCCGACCGCAAGACGCTCAAGGTCAGCCACTGGGGAGTCGTCTTCCACGGCTGCTTCATGGCCGGCTTTGCCATCATGCTCGAGTACGCCGGTGCAACAAACAACTGGTCCACATACTTCCGACCCATCGTGGCGTGTCCTGGTATCCTGCCCATGATCTTGACGCTCCTTTGGTCAAGACAAACGAAGTTAGCCGCTATCCTCAGTCCCATCCTCGGGCTTATGTCCGGTATTGCAACTTGGCTTTCCCTCTCATGGGCGTGGTCTGGAGCAATCAACATTCAAACGACGCAAGACCAGGTGCCGGGCCTCTATGCCGCTATCGTCTCTTTCTTCTCGCCGGCGCTCTATTCCGTCATCATCTCGCTGGCCTGGCCGAGCCAGTTCGACTGGCGCGAGTTTCTCCGGATTGACCTCATCGAAGACAAAAGCCAACCGAGCAGTTCGCTGCAATCCACACTGCCGAGTAGCGAGGCTGTCAACGAGACGCCCAAGACGGCAGGGAGCTCCGCTAAAGAAGCCTACGAGAAAGAGACATACCTCGCCGCTGGAGACGAGACGGGTCCACTACCCAGCCCAATACACCCACCCTTGTCGAACGCTCGAGTACCTCTTGACGAAGTGGTCCACCCGTTCGATGCCCAGACAATTCGGCACATCAAAAAATGGTTCAAGATCGCCACCATCTACTTCGTCATCAACGTCCTGGTCACCATCGTGCTCTGGCCGCTGCCCCTGTACCGGGACTGGATCTTCACCAAGAGCTTCTTCGGCGGCTGGGTCACCATGGCCATCATCTGGCATTTCGGCGCCATGCTTTTGGTCATTGTGTACCCGTTCTATGACGGACGACATGAGATCGCACGGGCGGTGAGTGGCATGGTGAAGGAGTTGAAAAGGAGGAGAAGAGATTGATGCTTCTGGGAAGGGCTTGTGGAGGGAAGAGCGGGGAGTGGTGCTGACCGGTATGACTGGAGAGATAGACTTGCTAGACGGATAGACTTGCTAGACGGATAGAATTGCTAGACGGATAGACTTTGCTAGAGCAGTAGAATGGCGAAAAGAAGAATAGAAATGAGCCATTAGACAACCGATAAAGCCCTCAACTGGGACTGCAATCTCACTCGCACACACAGCGGAAACTTCATTGCCCCATCCATCATCCCCTCTAGAACGTCGATACAGAAGCAGCTTGCTACCAGCCGTACCGAGTTCCACGAACAACGACGACGACAACAACAACACCACCACCCCGTTCACTCAGGATCTTGATTTAGGCCCTCTGGGACTACTCACTCACTCACTCACTCGTTCACTCATCCGGCCCCTCTCGTCCAGGACCTCTAGGCCGGTACCTAGTATGTAATACTGTAGAAAGGGGTCCTTTCCTTCCTCGGTATTGGTCTGGGGACGGACAACGCCGCCTCGGCGAGCCCCCGGGGGGTGGAACAGGATCACAACTCCGGACATGTAATTACTCGTAGCTAATAAGTCGGTAAGGAAGGGCTGATTCTCTCCTCGGAACTCCTTCTTGCCCACAAAGGAGAAGTGGTTTGGTAAACCAGACCAGACCAGACCAGGCCAGACCAGACAAAGAAAGAAAGGAAGGAAGGAAGGCGGGAGGCCCCCCCGAGCGGCCATCGAGCGCGCGAGCGCGTCATTACGGAGCGCCATGTCGTGATCGATCGACCTACGGCCCCGGCACCGTTGTCGGAGGGATAATTAGATTGTCGCCTGGCTTTTTTCCGGCAGATGGGAAGGGAGGGAGGGAGGGAGGGAGTAAGGAATGTAGGGAGTTCATCTCAACTACTCTCTCTCTCCTCCTCTCTCTGGGAACCTTGGTTTGTCCACTCCTACACCGAGTTCCGTCCGGGAGATCCAACAGAACCGTCATCCCGATGGGAGCCGAGTTGGAATTTCAGTGCTAGGGGGGATTCTCGACTCGTTCACTCTTCTTCTTCTTCTACTGCGACTTCTTTTTCCTCTTCTTGTCCTTCTTCTCCCACCCTCGTCCAGATAAAGCAGACAGAGAGGATCCTAAGTAATACTCGGTATGTAACTGGGTCAACGAGGCTGACTGGCTGGCTGGCTCTCTCGATCTACGCTGGCTAGGCTGGGTAGATAGGTAAGTAGGTAGCTACGTAGGTAGGGAGCCTCTTTGGCGTTCCTGGCTGGGAAGTCCACGAGGCTGGCCCCCCCTATCTTAACTACCTGTACGATTAGGAACAGGTCTCACACGATGGTGCTTTCAAAAGGTGCATTGATTATTTAGTATTCAAACCCAGTGCCTGTATTCAAGAATTTGACTTAGATTATGTAGAGAAAGTGTACCTGCAGGATAGGAAATACCGTCAAGGTTCCTCGCTTGCGGCGGATAGTTCTCATTGCTAGATTCTGTCCATGTGCATCCTTCTACCACTCGTTTTCTGTTTGGGCCTTTCATCCTCTGTTCTCAGGCCACAATTGCCCATTGAAACCCTGCCTTGTCCTTCACACCCACCCCTGAGGCACCTGTCGGGGTGCATCGCACGCCGCATCGATATCAGGCACAGGCGGGAAGTGAGCGTTCTCAAGCGCCGCCGTGGTTGCGTGCTCAGGCTTCACGACCTGGCTCTTCACCCTCGGCGCGTCGCCGAGGGAGGCCAATCTTTCTCCAGCAGTCCCCACCACCGCAGAACTTTGCTCCATCACCAGTGCCGCGTGGAGGTTGTAGCGAGCAGTGTATGACGAGATCGGAGAATGTGCGGGATCCTCATACGGGCTGGGTGATTGCTTTCCTGCTGCAAGATACTCCGTCGTCTGCCCCTTGACACTGCGTCCCTTGCCTGGCCCGGTCGGCTTCGGGACAGCGATCCGAATCGTTGGCTTGCGGGGGTCGTTGAACGGACTGTCCGTCCTATTAGTGGCACTGGGCACCGGGGGGGAACGTTTGTTCTTCGATGTTTGCAGAGAGCGAATGGGACGAATCGTTGCCACTGGTGGTGGTGGTTGGATGTCACCCAGCTCGACGGGTGTCGTCCAGGGTGGCATGTTCTCGGCCACGGCGTCTATAGCTGGTTTTCTCGATTCCTCGTCGATCCTCCTTCGTTGTCTCCGGCGAAGGCATAGGAAGACAAGGGCTGCACAAGGCAGGAAAAGGAGCACAATGGCTAAAAATATGAATAGCGGAATCGTCGACCCTGATTTGGCTGCCATGGTGAATGGTAGACTTCTGGTGGTGATGTTTGATTTGTCGTCGGGGAGAATAAGATAGACGTGTTTGGAAGAGTTTGGGGCTTTTCTACTGTACCAACAGTCTGAAGCAGTGGGTACAAGAGGCAGTGAGGCGTCAAGGCGTTGGTGTCTCTTGGTGATGCTCCTCTCCTTTGTGCCTTGTCCGACTGCCTTTGTCAAGAGCACAACAGACATCAGATCATCAACGAAGCGCTCGGTCGCGCAATCGTCATATGGACACACTGAGTTTGACAATGACACGCTTTGCCTGGACTTTCTTTGTGTTTGGTATCTACACTCAAACAGGCCCCGCTGGGAGGGCCATGCCCAAGTCAAAGGCTGTCGCTCGTGATCCGAAATTGGAATTCTGTCATTGGCAGGCTTACCTGTGATCGGTCCCTGGCAGATGTGTCCAGGGGGGAATAAACCGTTCTGTGGCAAGGGTTATTTATGTGGGTAATAGTCTACAACTTCCTTTGGACAAAATGAATTTGTTGGAAACTTACCTTCATATTAACTGAGATACCTAGGCCATATTTGATGGGGTAACATGAATAGAAACACCGACAGAACAAACGTCCTCATTAGTGCTGGCGGAGGAAGAAGAAGAAGGGAAAGATCAACCTACCGGGCGAACCAGGGCTCAACCAACTAGCTCATTATCGGCCGTGATCGCAGGTTTGTTCTTGAACATACCGGGAAGGGGCACTGAGATGATCGGCGCATCGAAGTCTGCAAGGAACGTTGGATCAGAGAGAGGATTTGATAGTCGACGACGTGGTAGTCTGCGGTTCGCTAGAAGCTCGATCACATAGTTCGGGAAGCGATTTTCTTCCAATGAGGCCCAGAATTGAGGATCAAAGAATGAATAGATGGTGCTGTTCGATGCTTGGCAGATATCAATGTGTCTTGCATTTTTGTCCAAGAGTGCAAACAGAACCTTGTAGGGCTCATCATCCATGCAGGCTCTCTCCGCGATCGTGGGGGTTTCGAAGTGTGGCAGGGCGGGCAGGCACCCAAAGAGTTCGAGTTCCATTTCACTGCCGAGCTCAGCAAACATTTGATTGCGGCGACATCTGGCTTCGGGTTCACAAATTTCAATCTCACCAGTTTCGAATCCTTCGTGTGGGTGACGGGACAACACTCGATCTATCCACACAGCATGTGCGAGCTGGTGGACCAGGGTGGTGGCGAGCATGAAGTAGTAGTTGTACTTTTCTTCCGTGCACATTGTCTCCCACTCTTCTGCGACAAAAAGTTCCAGCAACGAGCTTCTCAAGGCAGTTTGCGGGTAAACGTGATCGAATTTAGCTTCAGGGATATGGGTCAGCAGGCCACTGGTCCCAGCGACGCCGTCATGCACAGCGCAGAAGCTTCGCGGGAACTCATCTTCCGCCAGAAGGGTGAACCTATAGTTGGTGCACAGTTTCGCAAATGATGCTGTCACATCTGGCACGTCATCGACCCATTCGTCTGTCAAAAGTAGGCCACGACGACCATTGGCAAGAGGACAATTTTCCACCTGAGCCGACATGATGCGTGCGAATTTGGGCGTCAGGAGTTTCACGAACAACGTTGCAAGTCTCAGAGCTGGCTTCATCCGGTCGTAGATCTCTTGTGGGAGGTCATGAGTGTCCTTGTCCAGTTCCGTCAGCGGGAGGTAGCGTGAGTAACCAACAGTGCGAAAGGCCTCTCGGCGGAAAATCTGATGGATGCCAAAGTTTGCCAAGTCAGATGGTGTTGGAGGCACAGTTTGAGCATCTTTCTGCACAATCTTGAGAGTGTACATGTTTGCGGTTGCAAGGTGATTTGGGATGGGTGTCGTAGTATGCAGACTTTTGCTCTCAACGGCCTCGAAGAGATTTCTTATAGTTTTTTGGACCAGCCATGGCTCGAGGCGCGAGGGCGAGGGGAGCCAGAGAAAGAACAATGGTAGTCTGGGCAGTCGTTCATTGACAAGGCAGAGCAGAAGGATGTGACAAAGCATGGCAGAGAGAAACAAAGCCCTTTGACATAGTGAGACAATGCCGCACTGCCTATAGACACAGCGACAGACGCAGGACAAAAGAAATGAGGATGATGAATGGGGAAGGAATAAAGAACGATGAACACTGTATGTACAACTTTTTGAGGGGGGGACTTGAAAGTGGTAAGTGGTATCAGATAGATCATTGAACTCATTGGCAAGATTGGTCATATCCAGCCTGACGGAGGACATGCCGCCTCAAGTACTGACTACATGTTTGACTGATTGGTCACATGTTTTCCTCCAAACAATAGACATAAACAACTGAACGGATTGCTCAGGCTTCCTCCTTTCAACTGTTTTGGGGGGGGGGGGGAAGAGAGGTGTTGAGATATGATACAGACTAGACCAGATTGGGACTAGTCTGTGCTCAACCCCTTTTGTCTGCTCTGAGGCGAGGCTGCGAGGCTGCGAGGCTGTGACAGGCTCCTTTTCACCCACTTCATACACTAACAGCCCAGGTTGCGCTCTATATGGCCTCTGAACGACATGGTCGCCAGGTAATGGTCTCTTTATCTAGGCAGCCAGGGTCGACTTCAGGCCCAAGGAGCAGACCTCCTCAGATTTCAGCCCCTTCGCCGCAATCTTATCGCACGCTTTTCGTGATAGACGGTTGTCATGGAGTAGTACATCATGACTCGAGCGTAGATTGCTTGTATCCATATTGAAAGAATACTGATATTGCACAGGCGAGGTGAAGGACGTGGACTCCACCGTGGCGTTGGGTGTGGAGAGCATTGCACGAGGACACTTACACTGTCCATATGCACAGCCACGGACCACCGTACACTATGCCCAAGCGAGCGAAAAGAAGCTGTGCCCCAGGTCACCAAGGGCCACACACAAAGAAGAAGAGAAGCTTTTGCGACACGTCGAGCGAGGATTTATGACAGCGGGAGCTATTCCGCCTATTATTTCCTGGCCCGCACCTCAGAAAGAGTATAGCATCGGTTCTAAGCTGGTTCGGCGACAGGGGTTTACCCACTAGCCTCGAGTTTTGACGCCAGTGTTAGCTCCGACGCTATGAGGACAAACCATCGCATGCTGGAGGAAGAAGCCAGGTTAGCGGCCTCAACAGCATGCTTCGCTTCAGGCTATCCCATGCCCCGTCTCAGCCTTGCGCCGGACGGGGTGCCCAGCTTTAGCCATTATTGTTATTCTTGCCACTTTGACCTCGCATACAAATGGCAGTCAGTCCGAACCTGGGTGCACGCCTAACCCGCCTTCGATTGCTCATCGTCGGCTTTTCTGGAAAGTCGGGAGTCAATTTCTCTCGGTCCAACAGCTGGCTGGTGATGCGCAATGGAGTGTTCAACCGAGTCTTCATGGACACGGTCGGGGGAGTGGCAGAGATAAGAAGGGCTGGGGGCTATAAGAGGGCTGTCGATGTGTCCCCGTCACCCGTCACCGCTGGACAGGATCAGCATGAGCTCGGGAAGCGAATACCTACGAAACCTACATAGCCACGCTTCAAGACAAGGCACGATTCGGCATGCCATCCCGCCGATTCCACACCAAATCACGCCACGGGTGTGCCAACTGCAAGCAAAGGAGGATCAGGTGTGGTTTGGAGCGTCCTGTCTGCACCAACTGCAGTAGACTCGGTGGATTGTGTTCTTTCCTCGATTTCGAGTCCAGTGGCGGACCTTTGGCGCAATCACCCGGCGAAAGCTCAAGCAGCATACCACAACCATCGGCCAGCACCCAGAGTCTAGTACACGATACCGACAGTCTTGATCAGTATGATGAAGAATTCATCCGCCGCTGGTCAGAAGCCACTTGCTTCACCATGGGGGACCGGTACGAACTCTTTCCCGTGTGGCAGGTGACTGTTCCGGCTCTTGCCTTGGACCAGCCCTTCTTGAAGCACGGCTTGCTGGCGTTGGCGGCGATGCACATTCGCTTCACGTCTCCACTTCCTCTGCAGTCCAAGTACCTCGACCTCGCAAGTCAACACCAGGATAGAGCGCTGGAGGGGTATATTCCACTGCTTGAGCATATCTCGGCGGAGAATTGTCACGCCCTGTTTGCCTTTTCGGCTCTGCTTCTGGCCATACGTGAGTTCTCCTTTCTCCCGGGAATTTCGTCAAGGTTGGTAAAGTAACAAAATGCCAGAGTACTCGTTTATCTCCGGGATGGACAGCGACATCGACGGCCACCAATACATTGGCGAGGTCATGTCTGTCTTCGAATATGTCATTGGCGCCACTGTGATTGCCTCTGAAGGCGAAGTATGGCTGCGACAAGGTGGCATGCAGCCTTTGATGGCGAGGACGACCGAGCCTCAAAGCATCCTCCCAGAACTGGTCGAAGGTCCGCGAAATGCCCTCGGCAGCCTGTTGTCTTACGTGCAGCGCTGGGGCGACAATCATAGGTTTAGTGTCGCCAGTGAACCAACGGCCAACATCCCCATCTATGTGCGTAGCATCGAGATGCTGACGAATGCTTTTCCCACCGAAGACAGCGAGCGTCGCATCTTTGACGACATGATCGGCTGGCCTCATTTCGTCGGGGCGGACTTGGTTCGACTGCTCCGAGCTCAGGACCATGTGGCACTCGTGATCCTTGCCCATTACGGCGTGGCTCTAGAGGCGTTCAGAAACGTTTGGTGGTTGGAGGGTGTCGGCGCTCGCCTGATCCGTGCCATCGCACAAGTGCTGCCCATCGAATTCACTCCACTGGTCCAATGGCCGCTAGACCAGGTCTCAATAGGGCCAGTATTACAACAGATGTACATAATGTGAGGCTTGGGGATGTGAGAATGATTTGCTTTGCGCCGTGGTTGGTCATTGTCACGGCGCCGTCAGCACTGTGGCGTCGACGTGGTGCGGGGAACTCGACGCCCCTCGATCATCGTCCGCTTTGAGCCTCTCGAGAATTCACATCCAGATCCAGATCCAGATCCAGATCTTGTCGTCACAGATGAACAATCATACAGGAGATCATTCTTTGTCGAACCTCTCGTCCAGTGTCCCAGTTGAGAGAAAAGAATGGCGTCGTCCACTCCACATCTGGATGCTCTGCGCCGAGACGGCTTCGTCAAGATTCCTCAGCTCCTACCACCACATGTGCTGTTGGCCTTGAGGGCATCGTGCAAATACACCACCGAGCGGGCACGGAACGGCAAATGGCCCTACGTTCGGACCGTGCCCAAGCAATACCCGCCCTGGCAGGAATGGAAACCGGGCGACAACATCTGGGGTGTCCAGCATCTGCTGCACCCAGACATGAACGTCCGCGATACGTTCGCCGAAGTCTACTTCTCGGACGACATCCTCGACGTAGTCAAAGAGCTCGTCGGGCTCCAGAGCGACCCGGCCGCCGACGACAAGCTGGTGATGGAACTTTTCAACCTGTTGGTCAGTCCCGCCGACCAGGTCGACTTTGAGCTTTGCTGGCATCGAGACGACATTCGACCCGACGTGACTCCCGAGGAAGAGGAGAGACAGCTGCAGGAGAAAAGTGCCGAGGGTCAGCAGTTGCATGCACAGTATAACATTGCACTGTTCGACGATGCATCCCTGATTGTGGTGCCGGGCAGCCATCGACGAATAAGGACCGACGCAGAAAGGGAGGCCGCCCCATACGAGCCGAATTTACCGGGGCAACTCGTCGTCGAATTGCAGCCGGGGGATGCAGTCTTTTACGATAGCAACATCCTGCACAGAGGTGTCTACAAGGGCATCGACACGTCCCGGGAGCTGGGCCGGATGACGTTGCACGGATCCGTGGGATTGGCAGGCCATGGCACCGAGCGTGCTCGACAAGTACTACAGCATGCCGTGGGCGAGTGGGTCGACAGAGCGCAGTTCTCGATCGAGGGCCGCAAGGGCGAAAGGGCGGAGGCCATGCGGAAAAGACTGGTTGAGATGGGCAGTGGGAAGGATCTCGGGTATTCGCTTGTGGGATGAGGTACGACACACGGTCGTCACGGCTTCACGAACTTGAGGAATGAATGTGGAAGCTCAATTGAACCTTCGTTCTGCTCCCCCCCCCCCCCCCCCCCAAAAACTACGACGGCACCTTTTGGACGAGTTGCTCCTGCGTTGAAATCTTCTCGTATGAAAAGTTCTTCTCGGAGTCGTCGCTGCTCAACGGTGCTTGTCTTGATAATAACAGGAGCTTGACACTCCCATAGCTCGAAAACACGAACAGCACGCTTCCGCAAAGGTCAGTAGAGAGACAAATCTCCTCAAGGCGACACAACCTACAAGATTATACCCGTGACCGCATTCACCGCGTAGCTGCAGTATAGGCCCCCCAGACCCACACTGGTGAATTGGTGCGTTATCAACTCGCCCGTCAGAGGGATGTTATTCTTGATGTCCAATGCATATGTCTGCGAGAGGTGGTGCAGGTGTATGTTCAAAGACACAAGGACACCCGTGGCGACCACCCAGTCGACTAGAGTGAAGACTTCAAAGGCAAAGTGGACCATCTGTTCGACAGTAGAGCGTCGAAGATCATGGGTCCACCAACGAAGGCATGAAATAACCAGTGTCCAGCCGAACTATAGATGTGTTTGCATTCAGTATGCGCTTCGAGTCGTAAAGAGGCCCCATGTCTCAGGAGATAGGATTTGCACTGACCGACCACCAAACAACGCCATACGCAAACTCGGCGCCGAAACAAACGGCAGAAAAGGCCGCCAGGATCAGAGCGACGAAGCTGAGGACCAGCTGGAGGATCGCGGCGGTGGTGAGTGCGGCTGGGGACACTGCGGCTGTCATGGTGACAAGAACGGACGATTTGGATGGCAATAAAATGGCAGAAGAACTTCTAACCAGCCAAAACTATATTACTCGTGACCTTTTAAAAGCTTTGAGAAAAGCAATTGCTGACGCTGGGTCAGGTGGAGCGTGGCCGCATCAGCCGTCTGTCGTCATGGTATGGACATTGTTGACGGAGTACTCGGTACAGCCCATCCGAGACTTTTGAGAAGGATTCGTTCGGGGGTGCTTGAGGCTGTGCACGGCGTGCGTACGTCGTATTCGGGTACAAAGTTGCAAGGAAATCCGGGCCTCGCAGCCATTTGCTAACCCAACCTGGAGCTATATTCGAGCATTAAAACGACAGGACCCGCCTTCCCTGATTCGATATTGTGCATTTTCAGGTCTTGTCTTCGCGTGAGGTCGATTGAAGACGTTGGATTTCAGGGGATCTGGTATATATAGAAGTGAACTTCCGGCATCCAAGGCCAAAGATTTAGTTGTCCACACTGTCCGATGGTTCTGTCAAAAGGGTTCGATCGCCATTGCGACTGAGCAGAGCTTGGCTGCAAATGGCTCTGCTTCCGACAGCTACTGCTTCTGAAGATTTGTGTGTGCCAGTGTCGAGGCGAGCACAGGGTTGGACTAAGCTATGCATTTGCTCCTACCACTGTCAAAATGTCTCTTTGAATGCATTCGAAGGTAAGACAACCGAGGGCAAAGCCGAGAGGGTCGTAAGACCTGCCAACATAATGCTGCTGCACAAATCATGTACAACTAATATTATGGAGTACGAGGTACCGAGTACAGAATGAGGAGTTAGAAATGTGTCTGGTGGCGCACGTGGTCCTCGATAATTACAGTAATTCCGTTGCTGTTGCCGGTACTGTGCTCATCCGTATCTACTACTGCCGAGCACTCGCCCCAGTCTTCCGGTCGCCTGCCCGCCATCATCTCAAGCCTCAGCACTTGAACGACTTGACAACGTCCCTACATTCAACCCGGATGGAAGACAGACTTTCGTCCATTGATGCATAGTGGTCCTTCAATACCCATTGTCGGCACTACAAATCTAGGATCATCCCACTATCTCCAGCGTCCTCAAAATGGCTGCAGACTTGTCTGCCACCAAACTCAACGCAGACAGCCATGTCTTGCTGGTATGGCAAACCCCACTGGCCAGGCACCTGCTCCAAGCTCGAGTGTAACTGACGGTGTGACTGTAGGACCAACCTCTCCTCCGCCTCCCCCATGAACTCGTCAAGCGCAATTTCAGAAACACCCAACGCTATGTCGAGCGAGAGAGAGACTACATCCTTCCCGCCCTCAAAGACACTGCGAATGCTGCACTGAGCTCGTCCCAAACCACGGAGCAGACGCTCGCCTCGCTCGACGCCATGATTCAAAGAATGCAGAACTTCAAACGCAAGCTGGAAAAGCTGCATATCGAGGAAGAGGCTCTCCATGACCATTCAGCCAAACGGATCAAGCATCTGCAGGACCTCTATGACATACCCTCTCTGGTGGACGTCAAGTATGACCAGTGGTCCCGGACCCGTCTTGATCGGCTGGTGGTCGACTATCTTCTCCGGTCGGGCTACTCGAAAACCGCCATCTCGCTGGCCGAGACCAAACAGATTGCCCATCTGATTGACCTTGACACATTTGTTGCCTGCCACAAGATTGCCTCGTCCCTGGCCCGCGGGGAAACGAGGGAGGCCCTCGCCTGGATCAACGAGAACAAAAACTCCCTCAAGAAACTCATCACAGCACCCCATAAAACCACCGACCTCGAATTCGAGCTCCGCTTCCAACAATTCATTGAACTTGTCCGCGCCGGGACAACGGCAAAGAAACTTGAAGCAAGAGCCCATGCCCAGCAACACCTGACACCGCATACGGCGTCCCGAGGAGAGTCGATCATGCAAGCAGCTGGTCTTTTGGTGCAGTCGCCCGACACACTAGCCGAACCATACCGCTCACTGTTTGCCCCGGCACGGTGGCACGACCTATCCAACTTATTCGTTGAAACACACCATACCCTACTGTCGCTGCCAATCCAGCCGCTCCTACACGTCGCGCTGTCGGCGGGTCTGTCAGCATTGAAAACTCCCGCGTGTCACAGCGCCTATAATCCCGCCAGTTCGTCAACGCCCGGTCATGCTCGGATCGCGACGAACTCTTCTTTGTGCCCGATATGCAGCACGGAGCTCAACCAACTGGCACGTAATGTCCCCTATGCACATCACACGACTAGCTCTGTGGAACCGGATCCTGTCGTCTTACCGAACGGGCGTATCTACGGCCGCGAACGGCTGGAAGAGTTGCAGCGGAAACTGGTCATGGCTGGTGGGTGGGGCGTAGGCAGCGAAGGTGGTATGCACGAGCTACAAATTGGTAAGGAAGGGGAAGTGAGAGATCCCACGACTGGCGAAAGTTTCACTTGGGATCAGGTCAAGAAGGTCTACATCATGTGATGGAATACGAGCTAGGAATATTATGGTCAGGCAGGCCTCTTTGACCTGGTACTGACACCATACTGCAAGTGCTGGGACAAGTCTCTACCCCAGGGAGGCAGGGGGAGATCTCGACCTATTAACCCCATTTTATCCGGGGCCAGACTTTGCCATCACCGTACACAGGCCCGCATTGATTCCACGGCAGGGGGTGGCTTGAGAATGGGCATCCTTGGTGACAAGAGGTAGGCGGTTCTCGTGGCTGCCAAGCTATATCCCCGAATCTTGGGACGCAGTCTGCATCGACATCTGAAGAAGCGCGAGCAGAGAGAAGAAGGGGCATTGACACACGGAGGCCGAGTCGATCAAAGGGGAGGACGAGACCAGAGGCATGACCGACAGACACATGAAATACAACATAACTTCCCATCTCCCCATCTCCCCTGAGCCCTGCCCGGCCACTGGTCTTTGGCTCCCTGAGCCAAGGGACATTGTTGCTCTCCGGGAGGTGGACGGAGAGACAGATAGATGGGGAATGGAACGCTAACGAGAATGAAATGATGAGCGAACCGACTTTGGGATGACAGCGAAGACATAATTAGTTACTTGGGTTCTCTACCGTACTTATCAAGCGAGGTGTCCAATACATCAGCGATCAAACTGTCAGTCTGTCAAACTCTCAGTCTGCTGGGAGCGTACAATCAATCAATCAATGAATCAATCAGCTATGCATGTCCTGGGCCCATGTCTGGCATGGCACCCTTTGGAATGAATAGATAGATTCGGAACGAGGCAAGCCAGGGAAATGAACGAAACAAGACAGAAGGGGCATGGGACTTAGGACTCATTTCACATCGCGGTTCATTATTCTCAATCAACCAGTACCTGCCCAACCATGACTGACACCATTGACCATGACCATGACCATGACTATTGACCGTGCCCGTGCCCGAGGACCATGAACTGCGACCGTATTTTCAAGACTCTATCACCACCGCCACCATCACCAACAAGAGCAGAAGAGCACCAGCAAAGGAAAGAAACAAGAATGAAGGAACAAGACGTGTGTACCTCCTTTGCCCCGATGCCCTGCCAGCCTCAAGCCAGGAGAATGAATCCCCTTCCCCCTGCCAAACTCAACACTCCCGCTCGGACTCTGTACGAGCTGCTTTGCTCTCCCTCTCTCTCTCCACCACATCAAATTCGTCACCGTCCGTCCGTGCACGCATTGCTATGCTAATCACCACACAAACAAACAAGAGATTGTAGACATAGGAGAGAAAAAGTGATAGACAGGCGCCTGATACATCCAGATAAGAAGGACAGTTGACTTCTCGGTTTTTTTTAGTTGTAAGAGGAAAATGTTCAAGTGAGAATGAAAGATGCAACGAAGGGAAAGGCGCCCCCATGCCGTCGCTTATAGGTTCTCGATTTGTCGCCATCGCCGACGAACGCTCTCAACGCCACTCTATGACGCTGTGGCAGCCGCGGCTTGATGTCTCGTGGGGGTCGTTGCAGTCAATCCCGACGCCGTGGGTGTAGAGGCAGAAGGACCTGGAGTGCTGGACTGATCTCGTCTCCTAACCGAGCCTCGAAGACTCATGCTCAAGCCGAGATTCCTGTGCCCGTGGCTGATTGACGAGGCATGGCGGTGGCTGTGACTCAGGGTTGAAACATCGTGTTTGCCTGCAATGATCATTGTCAGTAATGTATTTCCAGAAAAGGGGAATCGAAGATGAGACACAAAGAGACGTACCATCGCAACAAGCCCTCACATTCTCCAGCCCTGCATTCCACACAGCTTCCTCTTGCCTCAGCATTTCCCTCCTCAATTCCTCGGCAGAATCCTTCCGCCCATCGCTGACGACGCTGGCATCGTAGATGCTTCCTCCTTCGCTCCGGGTGCCGCTGGCGCGCGTTGGAGTGTGGACAGTCACCTCGCTCACTCTAGGCGTCCGCCCAGTCACTGATCCGATCATACGCGAAAAGCGACTTACGCTGCTAGCGCGAACTGTCCGATCTTTGTCTTCTTGAGACTGCTCGGCGCGACTTCGCCGCACCGTCGAGTTTGGAGCGGTGCGGCTCGCCGTGGAATCTTGAGGGACACGCGTCGTGCTGCTGCCGGTGACCGCACCGGGCGGAAGCTGTTGGCGGTGGGCGGCTGAATTGCGGTGGGAGCCTCGCGTTGTACGGGAGTTGTAGCTCGAGAGGCTCATTCGACTGGTGTTTGGAATCAAACTTGCTCCATAACCAGCGGCATGCACGTTGAACTCTTCCAGGTCATCGCGAGTAATCTCATTGCCACCAGCTGTATACTGGTTGTTCTCCTCACCGCGGAGCAGCAGGTAATTGAGTGCATTGAACCAGGTCTCATGTCTCTGGCCGGTGCTCGCCGTAAATCTGACGCGTCTGCCGGGGGTAACCACCTCGAGGCTCTTCCGATGAAGGCCTGGGGGCATGGGATTGTCGTCAGCGACGACCTCGACGCTTTCTATTTGCACACTCTTTGCCTTCAACTCACTCCTGCCAGCTGTTTGGGGATCCTGATCCGACCAGTACAGAGTTTTGGTGTAAGGATGCACCCAGAAATACCGACGATGGCGGGTCTCAGACATTTCAGACCGCCCGGCTTTGCGCGTGTATTTCCACAGGAACTCACCGATCATGGTCTGTGTTATAGCTTGAATGATTCTTGGATCGGTGCTAAAACTGTGAGCAGAGACTTGTCCTGTCTGATGCATATTGAAGCGTTCATCGATTTCGGAGGCGAACGAGGAAACAGAGGACCGGCGGGAGGTGATAGTTCCGCGCTGAGTACGGCTGACATTGGACGTCCGCGGTTGATTGCTGTCGCGTGTTGGAGACCGCATAGACTCTCCTGGAGTGCGTGGCCGACGCATTGCTGAAGCCGGAAAAGCTGGAGGGCCCATAACCGTTGATGTCTGGGTTGAACCGCCGAGCTCCTTGGTGGGCGATGCTACCCGGCTGCTAGCCTTGGCGATTGCTTCCTTGTGATCAGCTGGGAGAGGTGGATGTGATGCTGCGCTGGATACTCGCTGGCTTGACGCGCTTGAAGGCCGCTTGACGGGAGATGGTACTGGGAATGGTGCCGTGGCAGTGAATTCTGGGGCTGGCTTCATCAGGAGTGGCGCGTTCGCATCACCCGTCAGAGTCCCTTCCGTTGGCGTCAACGGGCTGAGAGGGCTGATGATGTTCTGTGCTGCCTCGCCACCTGGTGGAAGTGTGATGGGGACTGCAGTCTTCGGGCGTAGAGCCTCGTCAATCTCTTCAGAAGTGAGCAGCGTCTGAGAGCCACGGTCATAGTTGGAGGTGAGTGGCGGCTGGTCTTCATGTACCCATTTTCTCATTGCTGAGCCCAATATCCCCTGAGGTTGACCCCTGTTGCCAGACACATCTTTCAAAGGAGCATCATCCCCGGAAATGGGCTCTTCACTCGTCCTTTCGGGCTCATTCGTCTCATCTTCTGCAATTGTGGGAACTCGCGTATCCTTGGATTTGGCAAAGCCCAAAGCGGCCGCAGCAGATGCAAGAAGCCCTGTCCCGACCACTCGTTCCGCTGTTCGTGGACGATCGGGAAGATCATCAGCTTGTGGCGAGGCCGAGACCCCATTAAACATCGGTTTCACAGGAGTTTGGACAGGTTCGGTCGTTTGGGACTGAATAGCAGAGAAAGTGAACGGCTCAGCTGGCGGCGGCACATTTTGAAGAGGGGTGTCTGGGGAGACCGGGGTGGTGTCATGCATTACCAGGCCTGAATATTCAAACCTTGTGGGTGTCCGTGGCTGGGTTGCAGCATCAACCTCAGATTGAATTACTTCCGGACTCTGCGCTTCATCCCAGACGGTTTTAGGGGGCGTGATGAATGCAGTGTTCCGAATTGGACTTTCTTGTAATCCTCTCTGCGGAGTGTACTGCGTGCTGTGATCGATATGCTTGATTGGCGACGCTGGCACTGTCGGAGGCAACGGGAAATCAGAAGGTAAAGGTGACTGCGCCCTTTCGTTCGAGGGGGAAGGTGCTTCCTCAGGAAGCTCTTCTGCGTGGTCGCCCTGAACTGTTCGATCCCGTTCTGGTTGCCATGGATCAGTCATCGTGCCAGCATCGACCATAGCATCCTTGAAAGCGCTCTTTGGTGTCTCTTGCTGCGTAAGCTGTCTACTTGGCGTGTAAGCGGGAACACCAGGCGTCGAGGCGACAGAAGCTAGACTGGCTCTCCCGGGGGTTCCAAAACTGGCCGTCTCCTCAAGACCGCCCAACTCTGCGAACAGACTCTGCTCAGCAGCTGGTGGGCTACGATCACTGGTGACCGTGGCTGGGGAGTCTTGAGATAGTGTGTCCGAGTACAAATTGGTAGGTGTGCTGTCGGTTGGTACTCTAGATTGGCGAGCAAAGGATTGCCGTCCATTTCGGAGTCGGAATTTGTGCGTTTGTGTCACCACAGGCGTTTTGAGCGCATCTTCCTCTTCTCCAGCGGAGGTCGAAGCAGTGCTGACGAATGATTGACGATCTCCGGCAAGTTTGAATGCCAGACTGGATCTTGGGCGACGAGAAGGACCCGCCCGTTGACTATGCGAGGCTGTATCTTCAGTCTCAGTAAGGTCGTCTGTGCTGTCGCCTGCCAGACTTTCCACCCCGGTTTGGAAGTCCTCGCTCTCAGTCGCATGCCTCTCGTCTGCTGTTTCAAAGTTGCCTTCCGTCTCATTCGCAGTCTGGTACGCGTCGCTTGTATCAGTGATGCCTTCACCGACAGACGGCACGACCAAGTATTTCTGATTAACTCCGCGACTCGGCGTCTCGACGGCATGATCTTCCCAGTCGTCGTCTTCGAGTTCCACGTCAGTTCGAGCCCTTCGACTGCCACCCAGCATATCAGGCCGTAGTGGTTTCTTAAAAGTGTCAGATTTGGTCTTTTGGCGTTTGCTGGCACTTCCCAAGGAACCGTCTCCGCGTCGTTGCTCAAGCTCATCTCGGGCATCTTGAAGCATACGCCTGAGCTCAATCTTTTCAGTCTTTTCACGGTGGATGTTGTTCTTGAGGTTTTGAATCATCCGATGGGCATGATGCAAAGAACTACGTAATGTTTCCGATTCCAAAGCTCCAGGCCTTGGGGTAGCTTTAGTAGGGGACGGGGGTGGCGAATGATCCAGGGATTCGAGGTCTCTCAGGTCTTCTTCGTGCTCTTGATCCGCAGGAAGGACGTCCGGTTGAGCGCTGCGTAGGCGAGCAGCAACAGCTCGCGCGAGCTCCTGGTTCTGTGCCGTCAACTCCTCAACCTTGTGCTGTAACGATGATCTCTCGCTGTCGCCTAAATCTATTGTGCGCTTGAGGGTGTGCAGCTCGGAATCATGAGCCTTTTTGGCAGTGGCGTGATCAGTGGCTAACTTCTCATGGGCGGCTCTCACTTCGTCCATCTCACTTTGCATCCGTGTCTTCTCGGCGGTGAGGGCGGCCAAACTCGCGGTGAGCCTTTTTTCGCGGTCGGCCGCTTCACGGGCCGCTGCCAGCAACTCATGGGTTTGGGTCTCGAGATTCCAGTTCTCGTCCTTATACTTCTGTTCGCTCTCGTCCAGGGCTCGCAGACGCTGCGAGAAAAGCGCCGCTTCATTCTCTAGGCGGTCACGTTCGGATTTGACCTCTTTCAAGAGCTCATCTCGTTCCGCCACGGCACTTTGTAATTGTCGGACCTGGGCGAGGAGAGAGGTACTGATATCGGCCGCGAACTGCAGATCATCGCCTCGATTGCTCGCTTGGTTGCGCTGACGCCGGCTCGGGGCCATCACTTTCGACGGAGACGCCGTTGCCTGGCTCGAGTACATGGCCTGCTCCATGCCGGGCTTCTCTTCTGCACTGACAGCTCTGGACTTGGGACCCAGTAGTGCCCTCGCAATCTCCTTCCCCACGTCATTGTGCTCCTTTTCGAGATCAGCCAGTCTTTGGCGCAACTCCGGCGTAATCTCTGCCTCGCCTTGTTGTTCTTCCACTTCGCGCAGTTTGTCATTGAGCTCTGACTGCTGCAACAAGAGAGACTCGCCCAGCTTTTGCGCGTCATGCAAGCGTCGCTCGGTTTCAGCAAGGTGCGCTATGAGGCTCCGTTTGACCTGGGACGGGGACATGCTTGCGCCCATCGCGATGGACTCAGGGTCGACCAAGCTGGAGTAGCGGTGGGCGTGGAACGACTGCCTTGAATCGCCATCGTCGACGAAGGGATCTGCCGAATCATCCATTGGTGGGCGTAGGCCATAGTTGAGAGAATCCTCGCCGGGCACTACTACCGCAGAGGCCATGGGGAGCAAAGGTGAAACGGGGTGAGACAATGGCAACGCGGGTGTCGGCTATGAGGAGGGCATTTGGGCAGTGGACTGCAGTCACGTCCAGACACTAGGAGGAAAATAGTTGGACGATCTGGTCGTGTGAACGAGGGGACAATGCAACGACAGCTTGATTCACAATCAGAGACAGAGGGGTCCTCGCGGTGACGAAGGCGAGCCCAGGTGTTTTTGTCGGGTTGTCAACACTGAAAATGCGGACTCGGTCCAAGGTGAGGTGCCACCACTACGGTGATTGGCCAGACGCTGTTGACGCGTTTTCCGGCTGGAAGACACCCAAGTGGAGCTTCACAAAAACCTGTTCTCGTCCAGGCCGTGACACGTGGAAGCCATCCAGACCAAACAAACAATAATGAGGGTAAGGATAGTGTAGGTGGACAATGATGATGGTGGTGATGATGATGACGGTCTTGGTGATAAACTGGGTCAGTGAGGGATACAGTTGTTTTTCCCTGGAGCTGAATCTCAATGTGCCGGTGCCGAGTTGAACTTGTTTGCTGGTGGAGCTCGGCTGCTGCAGGTCGTGCATTCGAGCTTCTTCAAGTACAAAATGGCACAAATCACACCGATCAGAAGTAAGCTACCATTTAGCTGCATGTGAGCACGTCTCGACTTCTCTGAGGATTCGTTTGGGACCGAGCAATGCTCAAAGTTGCGACATCTCAACATCTCATATTGAATTCAGGCACGGGGGCCCGTCACGCCGCATGGAGGCGTGTGGACTATACAATATGTACAAATTCCCCTTCCAGGGTTTCTATGAACAAGGTTCGCCTCCAATATTAGCGTTCTGTACAATCGTCGGAGCGGTGTGATGACCATCTCTTTGATGGTCCCCACACAATTATCGCCGCGGTATCAGATATTATAGACTGTGTCGCCGCAGTATTGAGTACATGGAGCAGTGGTGGCTCCTCTGCCGGTTTGGGGTAGTAGGCCCATTCAGGAGGACGTGATGGAAGGATGGGGATGAGTCGGCTCAAGAGAACCTCAGGCTCAACGGTTCCTTTTCCCTGAGCCCACCTATTCGGTTGAGGTCGAGGGATTGAAACCGCTCGCCGTCTTCTTTCTGATAAGGCGGTAGATTCTCTTGGTGGAGCGGTGCCATGCCGACACTTCCTGAATCGGTGACATGGACCACGACGACACGCCCTTTCTGCAGGCCAGTTTTGCCCTCTTCATCGGGAAAGGTGATGTGAATCTCCGGCACTGCCGCGGACGGAGGACTTGAGGAGTTGTGGATCAGGTTCATCTTTTCATCGTACACAAAAATCGACTCGTTCTTGTCCTGGCGACCGAAATGGCTGACTGACGGAGAGCGGTGATGCGATGCCTGGTGGTGAGTCGGTAATAGTGCGGCTCGGTCTCTGGCTAATCGTCGCCGACGAAGCAAGAAGAGGGCCAGGGAGCACAGCGAAGCCATGAGCACGAGGGTGAAGAAGATAAACAGTAGCTGATTCATTGAGTATGGTGGTCCGCCGTCCGTGAAGTCGGAATCATCGCGACGTTGAAGATATGTGTATCTTAAGGAGCCCATGACCACAGCTCTGCAGTCGTCGTAGGCTCTTGAGGCGTCCGTCGAGGACGCAGACGAATATAGATCAAGGTATGAGGCTGAGGCGAGGGCCAGTCGGAGGTCGGGGGCTGGCACAGCGATAGGAATGCGGGATGGATTTGGGGGCCGCGGACTGGTCGTGGGCTTCTTTAAGAGAGCCGGACTGAAGGTCTCAGATCAATCGTCCTTTGTCAGGCCGTACTGCGTAGGTGTAGAAAGGCACTGATAAGAGTCCGAAAGCCAATGCAGAGTCTGCAGGAAGTCCGAGCAGCACGTCAACGCGGGCACGGCCTTTTTGGCACCAGGCGGAAGCAACCTTATCTCCAAGACTCTGAGCTAGCGGGTAGACTGGGAAAGAACGGACGGCAAGAATCCAGCAAAAGAGTGAAGCTGGATGCTGCCAACAAGCACAAAGCAGAGCGCAAGAAAGAGAAGAGGAAGAGGAAGAGGATTTGGTTGTGCAGCAAGAATTCGAGAAGAGTTGTTGATGGTAGACGAAGGACTAGCAGATGGTAATATTGATGTCGATGGAGCAGCAAGGTCCACTGCCCGAGATCAAGCCTGACACTCAATTTGCCGGGTTGTTACCTGTGGCAGCGAGTCAAAGACAGTCTTAGAGACCCGCCCACAACCGCCGAAGCCATTTGCAGGGGCTTGTGCAGGGCGATTGCAAGCCACAGTGCCACCCAAACGGCCGCCTGCCTCCACAACCTGGCCGGGGCTCGGAACGCCGATGATCGCTGCTCACTTTGCGGTGGATCGATGCTGCCAATCATCAGCCCCAATCTCGCTGGGCGCCTTGACTGTGCCAATAGGGCCGGGGACGAGGGCCTAGGGAGCCACGTAAGGGCCTCCACAAGTCGGCGCACGGAGCTTAGAGCTACGACCCGGCTCAGTGGCTAGGCTTTGTACACTGCGTAAGTAGGCTTTGGAAATGGCAATCCATCAACAAACAAATCACACTCGTTGCCACTTGGTTTCATTTCCAGACGTGAAATTATCCATCCTTCGCTCCTCTCGTCTTCAACCACCGAGCGACAATCCCACGAGTCCACGAGTATATAAACCGACTTCCCTGCCGCCCGCTTCCGGGATTGATTGCTCTTACAGCGAGATCTTTCAAGCTCGGCAGATGTCCCAGTTGCTCTTCCAGAGCACACTACCCCTTGCCCGCGTTACGGGCACTCTTGTCTTACAAAGCAGACGGAGGATAAGTTAGGAGAGCTGAGGCAGAATGCACAAACCCATACCGACTTGTTCGTAGTGGCAGTTCCTAGAGCGCGTCGTTGAGTCAAAGGGGGTATTTCCAGCTGCTACACCCGCTGGCAGTCATGTTTCCAGGCGGCTCATTCATCTGGTATGCATGACACAACAACCCTAGTTAGCTTCACCTGCCACCCACTGCTGCACATACCAATAGCTATTGTAAGCTGCCAGAGTGCCATGCCACTGTTCAAGCAGGGACTGCCGCTTTCTTGCCACGTCACCATCTTTCGCCGGTTTGTGTCTTTCCAGAGCAAGGCAAAAATCCCCCGCACATAGCAAGTCCAGTGCACCAGCCCTGAAAGGAGCCAACCAAAATAAATCGGACAACAGAGACAGAAAATACGGATACAGGCTGGTCTGGTTGTCCCCGCGTCATCTCTGAGTCAGCTCATCAGGCTACAGCTCGGTGACTGAAGCTCCTTGACCACTGCATCTGGACCTGACTCACCCAGAGCGTTCAGCGGAACCCGGTAGATGATGCTTCCCACATGGGATGGGAGTTGTTGAGAGAAGAATTTTGTGGAACGACCCAAAGCAGTGAGACGCACGCACACAGTTGTGCGGTGACACCACCAGAACATCCAGAAAGGGCGCGAGACATTTGCAGCAAACTCTTTCGGGCTGCGAGTTCCTGTGCTCCCCCTTGCATTTCCTGGACCTTTGGGTTTCTTGAACATGTCGAACGACGGCCTAAACTCCTTGGGGTCTCATTCCGAAGAGTGCTGGAAGTAGCAGCCCTCAAGGTCATTCGTTGCGGTCCCCGATCTGCTGGTGGTGGTTTGCCAACAACCATTGGGGCCATGGCCCATGGGCACCTAGAAGGCCCAGACAAAGAACCCATTGGCCATCAGCAAGGTAAGCCACCCGAAGACGCCAAACGGCACAGGCCCACTCCAGTGGCCTCTGGAACTTGGAGAACGGCTCTGTTGGGCTTAGGGATGCCCCGATTCTGAACGGGTCCTAGCCTAGTAGGTGCCTAGCCCTTCTGTCGATCTGGGGTGGTGCCGCCTATCTCCCCTGCGACGATGCTTTGCCATGCTTGCCCTGCGCATCATTCAAACGGCTAGGCCTAACTCTGGCGACCGTCACCCGCTGGAAAGTCTTTGTTCCATCATCCGCTCAACTTTTCTGATACATCATCTTGCCCTTGACTGGTACCTGTTTGCCAGTTCTTTTCGTGTAACCCGTTGTGCTGCACCTTGATCTTTTTCTTCCACTTCGTTTCTTGCAGCCTATCCTTATCCCTTCCTTGTTAGCAGGCCCTCTTTTGCTCCATCGCATTCTGTTTGCCCTTGCTCTCACCCCAACCCGCATCCGAATATCTCAGCCCATTCCTCCTCCTCCCTCACCTGCGCCCGCCACCCCACCTGAATTTGCGACTCACCTTGCACAAACCCGGCGACGCAGCATTCCACAACTTCCACCCCTCGTCCCGTCATATTTTTCCCATCCCTTGCTCCATGCGCGCCCGCCGTGGTCGAGGCGCATGTCTGCTGGCAGATATTCCCTCGCCCGTCTCCTGTGGCTACCCGTCTACGGCGCCATCAGGCTCAGGCCTTGATTTCTCATTTGCCCTGCGGCTGCCTGCTGGGAGAATTGTACCATTGCTTTGCTGGCCAACGAAGGGGTACATGACTCTGCCAAACCTTGCTTCCTACCGATCACCTCTCCTCCTTCTTTAATTTCTCTGCCTCCTTCCCTTCTCCTCCTTGTATCTACAACGGGGTATATTATAATTTCCGCGGGTTGGTGTACATCCTCGCCCTGCATATTCACAAATATTGGTACACATCCCACCCCTCTCTTGTCCCGCGAGGGCCATATTTACTGTACGCACAAACCCCAACTGACTCTGCTGTCGTCGATAGTCGATAAACTACTTCTCTTTTCCCTTTTCTTGCCCGTCCAGGGACGTCCAGTCCACATCCTCAAGAACCCTTCCCCGACCGACAGGTATCCTGCACATTTCACAGGGCTACGCACACTCTGTCGATCGACCGGCTGCCGCTTTGTTCACACTTTGGACCGCAAAATGACCATGATGGAGGCCGGAGCAACGTTAGACATGGTAAGTGTTGTTGGGCATCCGTCGGAAATGGGGGCTGATTAGTGCATATCAGACGAGAAACGGCCGGATCGCAGCATTTGAACGGATGCCGTCCTCCAAACAACCTCTTGGGCACGGTGCCGAGTATGACTTGGGAAAGAGTGCTTGGAATGCTTCCAGTCGGATATGGGGCACCAGCAAGTCTTTTCTGGATGCCCGTGGGGACAGCGAATCGATAAGACGTAAGTTGGAGCGAGTCGAGGCTGACATATCCACTGACTGTTCACTAGCATCCCCGATCCGTCAAGGCTCTGTCTCAAGTTATGGGCCATCCATGCCCGCCACGTCGTCGTTACTGTCATCCATCGATCCCAACAATGAAAATGCCTCTCAGTCGAAGATGTCCTGGGCCCCAGGCTCATCCACTGTCGGCTTTCCGTCCAGGCGAAGAGGCCAACCTCTGTCGCCGACTAAACAGAGACAGAATCAGATGTTGGATTTCGCTGCCAGCGGCAACAACGGCGGTCTGCAGGAATCAAGCCTGTTTGCCGGGAGTGCTCCTGATGTGGAAGAGACTTCATTCGATGGACCACACCTGCGGCGCGCCATCACAACAGGCCCTCGTGTCTTCCCTTCTCCCACGCGAGCCTCTACTTTTGGCCGCAGCCAGGTCGATCCTCAAATGCAGGTCTACAACTCAAACGCCTTCAAGCCGAATGGTATTTTTGCTTCGCTCCAGGAGTTCGAGGATGGACAGGATCAATCTCTACACAGTATTCCTGCTGTGAGCGGAGCCACCGAACTGTTGCCTCTGCAAGACAGCTATGAGGCGACGAGAGAAATGAACGGAATGTCAGTTGGGAATCTCTCGCGCTACAATCCTGTCTCGCCGACATATGGGAAGCCGGACGGCCGGCTGTTGAATGCGGATCAGGTCGAACCATATCATCCATCCTCAAAACAGAAGTACGACGAGGCCTTGAGAGCTCTGGAGTTGTTGAATTTTGATCAGGCCACTGCTCAGATTGCCTCTTCCCGAAAAATCCCGCCTCAATACCAGCGCGACATCCATCCAGTCCCGGCACGATCCTCTTCACAGTCAAACGCTCCCTTCAGTGCGATGGAGAGTAATTTTCAACCGCCAATCGCACATGTCCCAGATGTTGGCTCACGGATGGATCCCCAGGTGGCTCCACATTATGGTGGTTTTCAATATAGTGGGCGTGGCAACCTCCCCTCACTTCAAAATGACTACCGAAGCAATCTCAACAGTCCTTACTACTCAACCACCGGCACACCTCCGACAGGCCCTCAGTCGATCCGCAGCACTCCGGGAAGTGGTGTTTCTAGTCGCACCTCACATCACGATCCCTTCTTGTACGACCGCAAGTTCACCAATGTTGACATTTATAGCTATGATCCGGCCATGTATGCACTAGCATCGCTTCAGCCAGCAGTGGGCAATGGATATCAGTATGATGCCCAAATGCCAGTGCAACCAATGCGAATGAATCCGCTGGCCCATCCTTATGTTGGGCATGGGCATTCCGGCATTACTAACTTCCCTTCTGGCCCTCGAATGCCGATTCGCGAGCCCGAACAAAGTCAGATTGTGAGAAGCCCGTTGCTCGAGGAGTTTCGTATGAACAGTAAGACCAACCGACGTTTTGAGCTCAAAGATATCTACAACTACGTGGTCGAATTCAGCGGTGATCAGCATGGCTCACGTTTCATTCAGCAGAAGCTGGAGACGGCTAACAGTGACGAGAAAGAGCAAATCTTCAAGGAGATCCAACCAAACTTACTGCAACTCATGACGGACGTGTTTGGGAACTATGTTATTCAGAAAATGTTTGAACATGGCAATCAGACGCAGAAGAAGATCCTGGCACACCAAATGAAGGGCCACGTCCTGCACTTGTCGATGCAGATGTATGGATGTCGTGTGGTGCAGAAGGCTTTTGAACACGTCTTGACCGACCAGCAGGCCAGTTTGGTGAAAGAATTGGACGGACCTAATTTGCAAATCCTGAAGGTTGTCAAAGATCAGAATGGCAACCATGTTGTGCAGAAGGCCATCGAGCGTATACCAGGTGAACATATTCAGTTTATTGTCGACGCGCACAGAGGTCAAATGGCGAAGATGTCTACGCACCAGTATGGGTGCCGTGTGGTTCAACGAATGCTGGAACATTGTCAACCACAGGCCAAACGGGTCATTCTGGACGAGCTTCTGGAACACATTCTTCCCCTCATCAGCGACTCATATGGCAATTATGTTGTGCAGCACATCATTCAGAACGGCGAGCCTCAGGATCGGCGCCAGGTTGTCAATATCGTCCTTCAACAACTCCTGGCATTCTCCAAGCATAAATTTGCCAGCAATATTGTGGAAAAGAGCATTGATTGTGCAGATGAAGATCAACGTGCACAGATTCTTCGTGGTTTGACGGCACCGAATGAGCAGGGTATCACTCCAGTTCTTGGGTTGATGAGGGATCAATACGGCAACTATGTCTTGCGTAAGTCATGAGATGCCACGAACCCATCTTGAGCTTGTACTGATTTGGTTGTAGAAAAGGTGTTTGGCCAGCTGCAAGGGTCTGATCTTCTCGCGTTGAGAGCGGATATGGAGCAGAGCTATCCTGTTCTTCGACGTACCAGCTACGGCAAGCAGGTGACGGCCATTGAGAAGCTCCTGTTTGGAGGCAATGGTCCGTCCACCACTTCGACAGCCAGTAGCCGCAGCTCGACGCTCCCTAGCACGAACGCGAGCAGCACCGTTGATGGCGAGACACCTCCTTCACAACCATCGGACACGAAATAACGGCCACTGGTTATCCCGTCTACCTCCGGGCTAACCATCTACGGTCCTTAGACCTTCCAACCAGCGACTTGTTCCTAGAAAGGTCTCGTACGAGTCGTTTTGAAATTCTTCATGTCATCTTTGGCCTTCATTTCCTCGCGTCCACACGAGGAATCTTGGAAAGGCTGTCCATCCGATGCACAGGACGTCCAAGTGTGGCGCGTTGGATATAGAATTGTCACGATATCCAGAGACGTTTATTGTGGTTCTACACGGGTTTATTCAAGTAGGGAGTTTGGGAAAGGTTCAGGACGATGGAGAACATATTTTTAGCCGGGCGATCTAAACTCGGCAACGCTTGGAACAGTTTTCATGAAATGACATGTGACGACAATGAATGTTGGATACCCCTCAGACTTTAGAACAAGCAAAGGCAAAGAGGGGTGAGGCGGCATAGGTATATATGGTTTTACTTTCTGAGGGAAGCAGATGGTGTCTGTATTGTTTTTGGCCACGAAGCATCATGAACCGGGTTGTCTGAGTCGGGTCTCATACAAGGGAACGCGGAATGGTTTTGGACACTTGCTTTGGATGCTAGGTCGGATCTTGGGTCTGGACACCATCGTGGACCTAACTAGGTAGCAAAGGACGAGCACGAAATGAAATTTGGATATTATTATGAGGATTTGGGTTCGTTCTTGTACTCGCAATGCCCTGTTCGTTTTCTAGTTGCACAAGAACTCATCCTGGCTGTCAAACACATCCTCATCTCCGGTCGGGTCTTGTCTCAGATCTCAGGTCCCAGTCTCCCATGCCAATCAATGAGGTACGTGTCACACGGGGCGTGGTCCTGATAGCTGCATTTCAAGATGACGGGGTCCCACGGACCATCTGGGAGCAGGACCTGAATGGCCTCCACACGCCGTGACGCCGAGGGAAGCGGCAGCTGGCTGATTGGGAGGATTTGGAATGGCTCCGAGAGATGAGCATCGGGGAGGGGGAGGAGGTCATGGTCGAACACGGATACATCGGGGCTGCTGCTACTGCACACGTTAGCTTCTTCCACGGCCACGACCTGCGCTGCGATCCGGGCGACGAGGGTGGCGTCCCAGATGCCCTCCTTGCGCGGGATTTCGGCAATCAGTCGGATGGCCTGGAGCCGGAGGCAGCGCACGCGGCATTTGACGGCGACGTAGAACAGCGGCGCCATCAGGCCCATGTCGGCGATCGAGTGCGACAGCCCATGTTCGGACCCAAAGAACCGCTGGCGTACTTGGCTCCTCGACGCCGTGTCGCGGAGGCCCAGGATCTGCTCGAGCATGGACACGAAGCGCGCCGTGTGCCGGTCGAACCGCGACTCCGCCGTCCCGCACATCGTGTCGACCATGATCTCAGCCATGGTGTGGTAAACAAGCAGTAGCCGGTACGCAAACGCCTCGAGCCCGTTGATGGTGGAGCGCGACGTGGCCCACGTCTGGTCAAACACCGCCTTCCACGACTGGAGGTCCCAGTCTATGTCCCTCGGCCGACTAGAAGGGGTTGGACATGCTCTGCCATCGGTCTGCGTCGGGGATGGCCTCGAGGGCGTGTCGGTCATGCGGCAGATCCGGAGCAGCAGATTCTCCAGGTACTCCCGCGCGTGGTGCGCCGAGGAGAAGGTGCCGACAGCGGAGATTCGCTGCAAGTGGTCGACTACGGCCCAGGGACGGTGCGGTTGCTGTCCGAACAGTGTCGACTGCAGGTACAGACTGCGGAGATTCCGTACGATCCACACGTCGACAAAGTGGCGGCTCTGCTTGCCGTCAAGACCCTCACCACTACTGGCTGCATTGGAGAGAGCTCGGAGGCAGTCCAGCATTCTCAGTCCGTGCTCCAGATGGCTCCGGGCCATCTGGTAATGGCAGCGGAAGAACTCCAGGTGGATGAAGGCGACGCACGCGAGGAGACAGAGGCGGAGCGACGTGCGGTCGTGGGCCATGAGCTTGGGCTGCAGGTATTTGATGGCCTTGTTGTACTGGACCAAGGCGAAACTCTCCTCGTGCTTGACGAGGATGGACATATCGGCACGCTTGTGGACCGAACACAGAGCCAGCATGGCATGGGTGACAGCCAAATCGGACGCACTCGCCTGCAGCAAGACGGTGGTGGCAGCGTCGGAGAAAAAAGCGCCCTGGATCTTCCTGGAGGTGCGACACCAGAACCACTCTAGATGAGCCTTTTCATCCGCGTCCAGGGCGCTGGCAGGATAGACGCAGAAGGTCCTGGGGGAGGCGCGGGTGGGGTTAGCACGATATTCTGCGAGAGCACCCCTCGAGGACAAGGAGGAGGATTGGGACCGATGGCGTTGAGGGTGGTATTTGTTGATACTCCAACCATCACCTCCTCCCCAAATGCCGTAGCCGTCGCATTTTCGTCCCGTCGACGTACAGCGCCTGCACTCGGGCATCAGCTCGTCACATTTGATCTTGCGGACTTTGCAGGTCCGGCAGCCCGTCTTGGACTTTGTGCGGCAAGACGACGGAGACATGGCGGGCATTGTTGGAGTGTGTGGTGATGGTGGTGGTGGTGGTGGTGGTGGTGATGGTGCATGCCCGGGTCATGGTGCTGCTCATCTCGCCTGCGTGTTTGCTGCACAATGGCACGAGCCACCACGGTCAAGGCCTGAGGAAACAATGCGTGGCAGGCAGAAACCTCCCTGTGTTGTTTCTCTCGCAGTCATGGCGTAGCGCAGCAAAAAGTTTGGGACATCGAGATGGTGGTAGTCTGTCAGGCGTGAGGCGAGCCACAACCCGTCCTCCTCTTCTTGTCCTCCATTATTGCACCCACCGTGCCACCCTGCCTGTGTTCCGATTAGTCGGCTCGGCTTCGTAGCGGATTGATTGGTGGTAGCGGCGTGGGCAGATGGGACAGGAGGAGGCAAGGGGCAATTCGGACGAAAAGGGACCGGAGAGGTGAGAGGACAGAATGGGCTTGTCGGTATGCCTCTTCTGGTCAATATCAGTATACCTAGTCGATCGAGTCTGTGGTTTGTTTGATGCATTGTTCGCACGCAGTGGTTGTAATTGATTGCTATTGACAGGGGGAGGGGATTAGGTAAACTCGGACAGGCTTATCTCTCTGGATGCCTATGTACTCGGCACTTACTGTACATACTTAGCTGGCCATCAATATGGGGTACTTGCTTTTCCAGAACATCCCTTGTTGTCGTTACCTTGTTCTTCTTGTGACTCTCGTACAGTCTTGAGCTGTGCCTTACTCTCCCTTTCACCCTCTCCCACTAGCTGCTCGTAAGCTAGTGAGGCTGATATAACTTACAGCCCCCCCTCGCCCCCAACGCCGTTTTGCCCGATGCGGGACCAGGGGAATTGGAAGGAGACGCGCCAATGTTGCAATATTGCAATATTGTGGGACACGGGATGTATGTAGAGACACTCCCCCTCGAGGCGTTGTTGATCACCGTTGCTGTTCCCTGTCATCCGGATCCGGATTTTAACGGTCGCCCGTGCCGGGTGCTTGATATACGAGTCCTCATACAGTACAATCCTGTGGCTCTGGGCTGTGGCCCTTTACGTTCGTCAATGCTACCGACTACAGCACCGACACGGGCAGCTCATACTGTTGATGAGACCCGACTACGACTAATCATGACAACAGCAGGCAAATTTCTTGTTTACAATCCCCTCGCGCCTCGTCAGCACAAACAATCATATCGCTTGGTCCCTTATTTGGGATCTGCGGCATGGATTTTATTTTATTTATTTTTCTTCAGGCCCTTCCCATGCCGCGTGGGCTGAATAAGGTCTAGTATAAGCACGGCTCCCCTACGGATGACCGGCAAGAGGATTCAGAGACGGATAACTGGCACGGGCATTGGACGCTGTTCAGCCTGGTGGAGTACGACCAAGGGGAGCGTCGCTGTTTGTGCTTCCTCTTTTTAATCTTCCACCTAAAAGCCACCCGAGTGCTTCACCAGGCTGGATGAGGCTACACCATCCCTTTCCAGTCACGGCCTGCTCAACGCTCATCTCGCACGCCGAGTCTGGCTGCTCTCTGATCGCCCCGTTGACTAGCCCTGGGTTCGGCCCCCCTGTGGCTTGAGCCCGGCGTCATGGGCTGATGCTAGTCCCGGAGCCAATGTGGCAGGGTCCAGTTTGTCTACCTCTTGGTCGGAATGCTCAGTGCCACTGTGCACGCTCAAGAATGGCGTTCATGAGCGAGTCAGCCCAGTGATGCTGCCCCCAGATCCCGTCGTGGGAACAAGTTCCTCGCTCGCTAACCGCGAAACTTCCACATCTTACCGGTACCGGTCCAGACGAGCAGTTCACCCTCTTCTCTTCGCGTCACCACTTGTCGAAAAAGTGTCAGATGCGTAGCCAACGTCGTGCTCTGCTACAGAATTGTCGGGGGTTTCTGCTTCTGGGTCTGCTGTCTGCCTGTTGCTCGGCACTGAGGAGGGACCAGAGATAGGGAAGGGATCTTCACACCATGGCTGCTGCGGTGGCACCGGTCGAGCTGCCCACGGGACGGCGCTCCTACTACAATACCTCGACTCCGGTCGACATTCACGACCCCAATTGGATTCCTGTGCTGGACAGCGCTGCCTACAAGCCGCCCTTGTCCCCGACCGAGAAAGAGGTATCGACCTACCCGCCGCCGTCCGCCTCCTTCTCCCTCTTTCCATCCCAGGTCAACTCTCCCAAACCGCGCCCAGCCATCGCTCATAGTTATTCCAAGAGCTCCCTGGCCCCCGAGAGCGTCACGTCGGATTCGGATTCAAGGTCACAGAGCCCCCAGGACAGCATTGAACCACTGCCCAGCATCGGAGGTCCCATTCAAGCGTCTCAGGATGGCACGCGGGGGCATAATCGGCAGCCCACGTCCACCACGGCAGCTTCAAGTGAAGAGAAGATCTCGGTGCATACAGAGGGTGCTGGAGACGCGGGTGGCTCACCCCACAGCGAAGAGCACGAAACGGCAAGTGTGATGGAGGACCAAGAATTGGTCCACCCAGGGCCACCCCCAGAACCGTTGGGAGAGTCAATGATAAACCCATCTTCTCGGTCGTCCATGGTCTCGACAATGACGAAGAAGAGCACCGTCCTCCCGCCAACGTCCAAGTACAATCGAAAACATGTGACGTCCGTGGCCACTCCCACCCCAAGCCGGTCATTCGTTCCCAGCCTACCTCAGACTCCTCAGGAATCGCCCCAGCTGAGACCAACCGTACCTGCAACAACTCCTTTACCCCAACCACTACCATCGCCGAGACTGCCGCCCACGGAAGCGTCCCGACAGCCCGAGGGCTCCCAAAAGCTTCAACCGATGAAGTCGACAGCGTCCGAACGGCGACAACGAGCGCTCCATTCACACCCGTCCAACGTCTCGTTACGGTCACAGCGTAACTCGAGCTCGGACGACGCCGAGATCATACCCAGACCGCCATCCGTGCGCAACAAGTCCAAGAAATCGACTGACTCGCGTGCCACCACCCCGAGATCCACCATCTACGATTCACAGCTCCCGACGCCGGCCCCCACAACACCACTCCCCCAACTACCACCGGGAGCACAGATGCGACGGCCGTCGACACGCGAAGGCAATTCGCAGCGGATCTTACAGGGCCCCATCGACGAACCGGTGCCGACCGGTGCCTCTCCTTTTCGGCCATTTGAACATGCCGAGATGGCCTCGTTTATGACCGAGAAGAACACGATCATATGCCGACGGTTTGATGCCGTGCACGTGAGACTGCTGCTGTGCTTGCAAGACGAGATCTCGCAGCTGGAGAAAGAGCTTCTGAAGCTGGAAAACTCGAACTCGCCAGGCAGTGCGTCGGAGAAAATGCTGCAAAAGACCCGGATTCTGCGAGAGTTGCGGAAAGTGGTTGCAGAATATGGTAAGATGGAACACGTTGCATCGTTTCGCTGAAGGTTGCACGGGACTGACTTGGTACAGATCACCTGTTCACCACGTGGAGCAACATGCAGGCCAACAAAGCCCGCGAGTCGACGACCCGGGAGCTGAAGGAGTGGCTCGCGAAGCCGGGGACCAGCATCGAGGCCGGCCTGGGCATCAACACGCAACAGGACCTGCAGTGGCTCGAGAACACCAAGGACCTCAGCAGTATTGAACTGGGCGACAAGGAGGCCGATCCTGCACCCGATGGAGAAAAGGGCAACCCAGAAACCGCCGGAGGTAGTGGTGCTGCTGCTGCTAATGGTGGAGGGGGCGGGTTCATGGCATTATTTGGGTGCGGCGGCAAAAGGAAGTAATGATTCAGGGCTCCTCGTATGTTATGACTATTCTGGATGGCAGGATGGCGGCTTGTGCAGGCGCATTCATTGACGCTCGCTATTTATGCTATGTGCATATGGGACAAGGCAGGGAGGGAACACCTCAGAGAGGGGGCATGATCCTGATATTTCACCACCATGGGCGGAAAAGTGTTTCGGTGTTGATGATGATTGACTGTGCACATATGTGTGTGTGTGTGAGTGTGTCCACGGCCGCTTGGGAAGTACTGTATGTAGATGGACGGCGTCAAGGACAGGAGGAGGAGGAGGATGAGATAGGGGTAATGAAGTCATTTATTCTCTCTCTTTCTCTTTCTATGGGTACCTCGTATTTCTGTCCGTCTTTTGTATAGAGGATAGAAGGCAGAGTCATTGTACCCGGTAGTATGCAGCTTATCTACCCCGTACTCGGTACAGTGGCCGGACTCGGTACCTACAGTAGTGGGAGATACACAAAAGATATGTACCTGCATAAGGGCCACACGCGAAGGGTTACCCAGTGCAGTCTAGATCCTAATCAAGACTCTCATCGAGATGCGGACAAAGACAGCTAATAATTCCCCAGTCCGAGTTTTAGCATCTGTCAATTACCCCAGATTTCTTCTCCCTTGTGTTCCTTGTTCTTGTTCAAGTTCTTGTTATTTATATTATTATTACACACAAGTCAACCGCCAACTTGCTTAACTTAACGTTTCGGCAAAAGGCGAGCAGAGATTTTGTCGTCTTCTCCTCTTCTTCTTTTTCTTCTGCTTCTGCTTCTGCTTCTGCTTCTTCCTCTTTTCTCCTCCTTTTCCCTCCACAAAATCTCCGTCCTGTCGTCATAAGCTACATTTGACATAGCCATCTTTTGGTGCTCTTCTCCGTCCCTCTCCAACTCCAGCTCACCCTCGCCTGTCTCCCTTTTGTCTCTATCCCAGACTCCCGGTTTCATCGTGGCTTTGCACAACTGATTCTGACGAGAGAGGAAACAAAAGAAGAAGAACAATAATCATAACCTCGTGGGGTTCCGGTTCGGTGGTGGTGGTGTCGGTGTCGGTTCATTCTCCAATATCGCCACATTTTTCACCATGTTCCCGCCGCAACAGGGCATCACGCTCGACATCGAAGCTCTCTCCGGCATCTGCGGCTCCATCTCCATCGCCTGCTGGGTCGTGGTCTTCTCGCCCCAGATCATCGAGAACTTCCGGCGCGGGTCGGCCGAGGGCCTGTCGATCGTCTTCATCGTGGTGTGGCTGGCCGGCGATGTCTTCAACATCCTCGGTGCCGTGCTGCAGGGCGTGCTGCCCACCATGATCATCCTGGCCATCTACTACACCCTGGCCGACATCGTGCTGCTGGGCCAGTGCTTCTACTACCGCGGCTTCACCTTGACCGACTACGTGAAGCCCGCGCATCTGCAGAACGGCGACGCCGAGACGCGCCCCTTGCTGCACAGCGGCTCGGTGACCCAGCCGCCGTCGCGCGACGAGCATGAGCGGTCGTCGTCCATCTCGCACCTCCGACACCACCTGTCGCTGGAAGGCGCCCACCTGTCGCCCGTGACGCCGCTGCTCGATCCGCCCAAGCCCACCGACCCGCCCGCGGTGCGGAACATGCGCCCGACCACCGTGTGGCAGGCGGCGGTGCTCAACACGTTTGCGATCCTCCTCGTCTGTGCCGCCGGGGTGTTTGGGTGGTGGATCGGCGCACAGAAGCAGCACCGCCACCACCACCACCAGCCCCAACAGCCGGACGAGCCGCCACCGCCGCTAGAGTTTGACGTGCTGGGCCAGATCTTCGGGTACCTGTGCGCCGTGCTCTACCTGGGCTCGCGCGTGCCGCAGCTCCTGCTCAACTACAAGCGGAAGAGCACCGAGGGGGTGTCGTTACTGTTTTTTCTCTTTGCGTGCATCGGCAATTTGACCTACGACATGTCCATCTTTGCGTACTCGCCCGTCTGCCAGCAGCCGGGCCACTGTCGGCCGGGGGAGGCGAGGTCCATTTATCTGCGGTACATTGCCGTCAATGCGAGCTGGATCGCCGGCAGCTTAGGCACGCTGTTGCTGGACATGGCCATCTTTGTGCAGTTCTTCATGTACCAGAAAGACGAGGACGATGAATCCGACTCTGCCGTGGTGGATTAGAGCAGTTGGAAAAGAGAACTTGAAGCCGACGGTGATCCGGACTCTACCAACAAACGATCTGCTGGAGCTGGTGGAGATGATCTTTGAAACATTTCACGCGAACCCGACACCGAACTTGCAGCGCAGAGAGCCAGACTTGACTTTACTTGACAAGGATAGAGCCACGCACCTACTCTCATCCATCCGGTGTCGAAGAAATATGACCGCTAGTCGGAATGTGTTTGAGCACGACATAAGACATAAGAAGAAAGAGTCAAAGAGTTTCTCGAAAACACATACATGATCTATTCATTCCGGCTGTCATTCCTGGGATAGAAGAAGCATCAACAAGGGGGGCATTCATTGATTGGAATTCCGAAAAGAAAATTGGAAAACGGGGTTCTTAAAATGGCCGAAAGCACTGGGACGGGGCCTATTCTCACGTGGTCGTTTGGCGCGTGATGATGGGGATTCTTGTTTTGGACAGTTGATATCTGGTGTTGGGTCTATCTACCTACCTACTTACCGGCGAGTGCGTCTGGCATGACTTCCGTGTAATGTAGATACCATACCCAGTACATACATACTCTACCACCCCATGTTCAGTCTGGGCGAAAAGAAAAAGATCAAGCCGGCAACGTCCTGGTCTGTGAGTTATTACAGGACAAACCAAAACATGGAATGCTGTTGGTTGTATGCAGTAAGTACCACAGCGAGGTGAGTGTCCATGCAGTAATAGTATTCACCGCGTACTGTACCGGGTTACTTAGACGAGTCAGTCAGTCGGAGGGAGGGAAAGCTCAAATGATATTTACTTGCAGTGGTGTTGTTGCCCTGCCAACCAACAACCGTCTCCAAGTTTGTTGACGTCATGTGAAACAAACGCTGCAGCGACGCCCGAATTCTTTCCTACTATTATTATTGTGTGACTCGTAAGTACCAACAACCAAATACTGCGTCGATAGATACATGTTTGGACCGCCAGACCAATCAATTGATTGACCATTCGACGACCAGACACACACCGGCTGCATACGAGAACGGAGAGACGCAAGCTCCCGACCTAGTGTGCCTGCCTACCTACCTAAGTCGGGTCACCAAACTGACTGCCACAACCATTTACTCGGACGAGCACGAGCACGAAACCGCCCATCAAACAATCAATCCGATCATCTCCATGTCTCCCACCAAAACAGCAGCAGCGGCCGGCCCTCTCGCCGAGCGCTCTCCCAACCCGACATCGCCCACCAAGTCAAAGTCGCCTGGCAAGCTCGCTCTGGCAGACGCGGGCCGAGTCATGCCCCGGTTCGAGATGCCGTCGTTGGCGCAACAGCAACAGCAGCAGCAGCGAGGAAGAGTGGGATACGTGCAGGGTCGGAACCGAAACCAGAACCCGAACACCGCCAACCAGACGTATATCTCGCCCTCGGATGCGATCCGCAGTCCCGCGACCAAGAAATTGAGTGAGATCAAGGAGCGGCGAATCTTGTGCGTTCTATTCCCTTCCCCCCTTTGCTTCATTTCACCCTGCCCTCTGTATAGTCTGGTCTTTCCAGAGCTGGGAATGGTTGGCAGGCACCAGCTTGGCTAACAGTGACATGGCGAGTGAACAGGAGCATGAAGCCGCAGATGTTGTTCGCAAAGACGCTGGCTCAGGAAAATCTCAAAGCGAAGGTGCAGGCACAGGGTCAGAGTCAGGACGGGGTTCAACATTAGATCACCCTTTTTTTGTATCTTCTTCGGAAGGGGGAGGACGAGAGGCATGGTGTTACGGATGGTCGACCAGGGGAATGAATAAACGTTATTGATGATGGAAATGCACCGACATGGGGAAAACCACGAGTCGGGGCGGTTGCCGTCGATAGATTGGGTTTCTGTTCTTGGGTGTCGGGCGTTAGATAGCCTCTATGTGCTAGCACTCCCATGAGATTTATGTGTGCCGGCCAATCTATTTTCAACGCCCTGTAAGAGTACCACGGCGGCCCCTCTCAGCGGAGCGCAGGATGCACGTTGACTCAGTAATGTAGCAGAGAAGCAGCAACTTGTGCTGTTTGTCAGAGTTTATGCCAGGTATAAAAGATAGCCATCTCTTGAACCCTGTCTGTCTGTCTGCATGGCATGCTATGTACTCGTGTCCGTAGCGTGGTAAGAGGAGCACGGGTCTTGGTGGTTATGTTTGTGGTGATCTTGGCCATGCAGATGAGTCACTCGCATGGCCGGCCGCTAGACTGTTGGGTGTGTTGTGTGTGTCTGTCGCAAGGCCATTGAGGAGACGAACATCTCGACGATTACTGAAGCACATGGGCGAGAAGGTGACATGAAAAGTAGGTATGGCACGTAGGAGAACGAACTCACACGCTGGTTGACAACTTTCACCGCAGTGTGGCTGCTGACAAAGAGGCTTGGCTGTCGTCATGGCAGAAAACACGGTCTTGGCCGGCGTTTTTGCTTTTCCCTTTTTTTCTTTCATCTTTTTCTTTCTCCGTCGCTTCTCTTACGCCGGCCGTTCGATATCCGTCTAACTCCCGCTTGTCAGCCAGTCGCCTGCGCTCCCTTGCATTATGTTCCTTGCGTGCTGTACGTGCTGTTACTACCGTACGTTATTAGAGTGCTGGTGGAGTCTACTAGCCTTTGTTCGTCCCCCATCTTCGGTCGAATTGCTGCGGATTTCCAATCCAACGCTGGGCCTGCTCTGGCGCAAAATCCCGCGTCCACCTGGCTTTCACGCATGAACACGACATGGCACGCCGGGGTTTACGACGGTACTAGCTGCGTACTGGACCTTCAGCCCTGGGTGGCCAAGGAGAAGCTTCTAGCTTACACCCGAGTCTCCGTTTCACGCTTTCCCTCTTCTTCCCGTTACCTCATTGATTATTCAGGATCTGGCCGGGGCGTGGCTTGGGAGATACCGTGATCCCACTGCACTGTGACATTCTTGTTTTTGCCGCATTGGGACACGGGTACGGTAGGTAATAGATGGAGGTAGGGGGAACTCAAGCGTAAGGCCTTACGAGTATAATATACAAACCCATCATGTCTCCCTCTCGTCTGGTCCATCATCACCCTCTTCGTGTCTCCTACAAGAAAGGCTTCCTTTCACTTGCGACTCACAGTCCCTTGTCGCCATTCCTCTTGCTCCTCTTTCCACAACTTCCCACCCTGAAGCAGTCCCCACCATGTCAATGTCTGCCCTTTTGCGGGATGCCCCTGTGGGCCAAGTGATCCGTTTCGTGACGAGGAACAAGTACTTTCAATATCCAGAGGAGAGACCCGACTTCGTGCTGCCTGAATCCTACCAATTCCACAAGCTCGGGGTGACACACCCGCCACAGCCCATACTCCCACTGCCTGACGATGTCGAGAAGAAGGCCGACGAGGATTTGGACGACTCTCGCAGTCTCACCGCAGCCAGGACAGCCGCAGATGGCGAGTCGATGGCTCTGTCAGACCGGACGCTGTCCAAGATCATGACTCGCCCCGAGTTGAGCCAGGTCAACACCCGCGCCGACCTCGAACAGGCCTATTCCAACGCCACGCGACAAGAGACACTGAAGAATCAAGCCAGTCGACCCATCGCACCGCAAGTCACTTCCGATGGCACCATCCTGGTTGACTGGTATGCCACCGACGACCCGGAGAATCCCCAGAACTGGTCCCGGGCCAAGAAGACCATCGTCGTCCTGCAAATCTACCTGTACACGCTGGCGGTCTATATGGGGTCGGCCATCTTCACGCCGTCGGAGCCATTCATCGTTGAAAAGATGGGTGTCTCGCCGAACGTCGCGGCGCTCGGCCTGTCGATGTACGTTCTGGGATACGGTATCGGCCCTCTGATCTTCAGCCCTCTCTCTGAGATCCCCATCATTGGCCGCAATCCGCCGTATATGATCACCCTGGGAATCTTCGTCATCATTTCCATCCCCACCGCCGTCGTCAACAGTTTCCCGGCGCTCGTCGTGCTGCGTTTCTTGCAGGGATTCTTCGGCAGCCCGTGTTTGGCCACTGGCGGTGCCTCCATTGGCGACATCTTCTCGCTGCTGAAGCTCCCTTACTTTCTCACCGGATGGGCTGCGTTTGCCACAGCTGGTAAGTCCCAAGCGGAATAGACGACACAAGAGATCTTGCTAACCATCGACAGGTCCTGCCCTGGGTCCGATCATCTCCGGCTTCTCGGTGCCCGCCGAAAACTGGCACTGGTCTCTCTGGGAGATCGTGTGGCTCGCCGCTCCCGTCTACGTCTCTCTCTTGTTCCTGCTGCCCGAGACTTCATCCTCCAACATCCTGCTCCGCCGCGCCGCTCGCCTGCGGAAATTGACTGGCAATAACAGTCTCAAGTCCCAGTCCGAGATCGACCAAGAGAAATTGACCGTCAACGAAGTCGTGATTGGCAACCTGTGGCGGCCGGCCCAGATTAACATCCTCGACCCAGCCGTCCTCTTCACCAGCCTCTACACGGCCTTGATGTACAGCATCTTCTACTCGTTCTTCGAGGTCTTCCCTCTCGTGTACGCGACGGGAAACCCGGGCAAGGCCACCCAAGGCTATGGCATGAATGGCGGCGAGATCGGTCTGATTTTCCTCTCCATCTCGGTCGGCGTCAGCATTGCGATTGCCATCTACGTCTCCTACCTGCACTTTGTGTTTGAGCCGGAGATCCGCACCAGAGGTCTTGGAGAGCCTGAGAGACGTCTCATTCCCGCCCTGCCGGCCAGTCTGCTGTTGCCCATTGGCCTGTTCTGGTTTGCGTGGACCGGCAATAGCTCTCCCAAGATCCACTGGATCGTGCCCACAGTAAGTTCGAGTCTTTTAAGCCCCTTATTTCGGACAATGACTGACATATTTCTTCTACAGCTCGGCGTCGTGGTATTCACTGTCGGGATCTTCATCCTGTTCCAGTGTATCTTCATCTACATCCCATTGACGTACCCGCAATACGCGGCGTCGCTTTTCGCCGGCAACGACTTTGCCCGTTCGTCGATCGCCGCCGGTGCGATTCACTTCTCTCGCCCCCTGTTCCACAACTTGGGCGTTGGGAGTGGTGTCAGCTTGCTGGCGGGTTTGACTGTCGGCGGCATCATCGGCATCTTCGTCTTGTGGAAATTCGGCGCGAGCCTGAGAGCCAGATCTCGGTTTGCCGCGAAGTAAAAGGACTTTGAGCAATTTTCACGATGGCATGAGGACACGAAGCACTCTAGCAATGGATTTGGTCGTCTCAAAGCGATTTGACGTGTAACAATAGTGGGTGGTTGATTTTGTTTCGAGCCGGCAAGCAAGCGATGGCGTTGGGGTAACGGTCATCCTGTCTTCATAGACATACCAGAGCAGGATTCAACATAGACTAATCATACATGCATGCTTTGAACGACTTGACTCATTGCTCCACAGGGACGAAATAGATTGCACACACTTTAGAGGGACTACCTGAAAACACTGTAGTCATTCTACGGAGCCTCGCCGTCACGTGGATGTTGATGACGCAGCCTTGTCGTGACTGCGACTTGCGGGACTCGACGAACAAGTGGTTGAACTGCTCACTACTCACTACTCACCCAAGATTCCCCAGTCTTGAACATACCACGAACCTATCCCTGGGCGACCAGAATAATGCATTGAGCCCCCTCCGACCGCGGCGCGATGGCGCTGGATCTAGACGACGGCTATGTGGCCCCCGGCCTGGGCTCAGGCGGCGTGGAAACGTCGCTGCCCATCTTCAACGTCGAGCGCGTGCAGCTGCAATTCAACATCGCCTCGGAATTTGTGGCCGGCCAGGTCGCCAACAACGTACTGATCCTCGCGTTGGCCACGGGTCGCATCTTGCGGATCGATCTCGAGAGCCCGTCGGACATTGATGGTGTGTGCCTGTCGGTCTGCGGCGTTACTGTTGCCCTCTCAAACCAGGCGAGGCGTGTATATGCTAACTATGTGCGTTTCTCAGATGTCGACCTGCCCAAGAAGACCAGCGAGGTCGGGCTCATCCGCCGCATGTTCCTCGACCCCTCCGCCTCCCACCTGATCATCACCACCACCCTGGGCGAGAACTTCTACCTGCACAGCCAGTCGAAGCAGCCCAAAGCCCTGTCGCGCCTCAAAGGCATATCCATCGAGGCGATTGCGTGGAATCCTTCCCAGCCGACGGCCTCGACGCGCGAGATCCTGGTGGGCGGGACAGATGGGAACGTCTACGAGATCTACATCGAGCCGGCGTCCGAGTTCTACCGCCGCGAAGAACGATACTGCACACATGTTTGGAAGATCCCGGACGGCGCCGTCACGGGCCTGTGGGCCGAGACAATTGACGCCAAGGCAGACGTACGGAGAGTGATTGTGGCATCGCATTCGAGACTCTGCCACTGGATAGGCAAGACAGGCGGCCGGGGAAAAGAAGGCTCAGCGTCCATCTATGCCGACCTTTTTTCCAAGGAAGCCCCTGTCACTCACGACACGACGGGCTCCTCTGCATCCGCACCGTCATCTTTTTCGGTGTCGCCTGAGTCTCCAGATGCTGGCCAGGACTCGGATCGCAGTTTCGCCTGGTTATATTCACAGGGAGTCTTCACGGGCAAGCTGCTGACCTCCCCTGCGTCCTCCAGTCTGGGTTCCAAGATCTTTGGTGAGGCCAAACTTCACCCGCGATCTGTGTTCCCGGAAACGATTTCTGCCCGCGGGGGACGAAAGTTGATACAAGATCCCATTGTCTCGGCGATTCTGTCCCAATGGCACGTCTTGGCCCTGGCCGAAGGTCGCATTGTTGCCGTGAACCGCCTTGACGGTAGCGTTGTGTACGACCAGGCGGTGCTGGAGCCCGGACAGTCCGCCCTTGGCTTGGTGGCCGACCAGAAGAAGAACACGTACTGGCTTTTCACCAGCCAAGAAATCTTCGAAGTGGTGGCCAACGACGAGGAGCGGGATATCTGGAAAATCATGCTGAAGCAACAAGACTACGACGCCGCTCTCCGCTATGCCAAAGGAGCGGCACAGAAGGACTCCGTGGCGACCGCGTCCGGCGACTTCTTGTCGAGCAAAGGCCAATACTTGGAGGCGGCGAGCGTGTGGGGGAAGAGCAGCAAAGCATTCGAAGAAGTGTGCCTGTCGTTGATCGACAACGGGCAAGAAGAGGCTTTGAAGAGATACTTGTTGGCCAAGTTGGGCTCGTACAAGAAATCGTCGATCATGCAGCGAGTGATGATAGCAACATGGCTCGTCCAGATCTTCATGGCCAAGTTGAACTCGCTGGACGATATGGTCGCCACCAAAGCCGAGTTGCTGGAGCACACCGACGCCGGAGGCGCGAAACGCGACTTGGAAAAGGCTCGAACCGAGTTCCAAGAATTTGTGACCAAATACAAGTCGGACCTTGACGCAAAGACGGTGTACGAAGTCATCTCGAGCCACGACAGAGAAGAGGAACTGCTCTTCTTTGCCAACACCATCACCGACTACGACTACGTTCTCTCTTACTGGGTCCAACGTGAGAAGTGGAACGAGGCGCTGTCGGTGCTGAACAAACAAAGCAACCCCGAGACGTTCTATCGGTACAGCAATGTGCTCATGACCCATGTAGCCGTGGGACTGGTCGAGATTCTGGTGCGAAGAAGCAACCTCGACCCGCAGAAGCTGGTCCCCGCCCTCCTCAGTTACAACGAGAACGCCAACGTTCCCTTGAACCAGAATCAAGCGGTGCGTTACCTGAACTACGTGGTGACGAATAATTTCGAGGTGCCCGCGTCGGTCCATAATGCGCTCATTTCGATCATGGCTTCACATCCGTCGCCATCGGAAACCATGCTGTTGGGATACCTTGAGAGTCAGCCTACTCCGCCATTTTACGATGCAGACTTCGCATTGAGGCTCTGTATCCAACATAATCGAGTACAGTCGTGTGTGCACATCTACAGCACGATGGGACAGTACCAGCAAGCGGTGGAACTGGCACTGCAGCACGATGACATCGACCTAGCGGCGATTGTCGCCGATCGGCTCGAGGGTAACGACAAAGTGAGAAAGAGGTTGTGGCTGCTCATTGCCGAGAAGAAGATCAAGGAAGCTGCCACCATCAAAGAAGCGATTAGTTTCTTGAAGAGATGCGAGCTGCTCAAGATCGAAGATCTCATCCCGTTTTTCCCAGACTTCGTGGTGATCGACGATTTCAAAGAGGAAATATGCGAGGCACTGGAGGAGTATTCGCGGCACATTGACAACCTCAAGCAGGAGATGGATCTGTCACAGCACACGGCAGAGCAAATCAAAGCTGAGATCGCGGCACTGGACCACCGCTATGCCATCGTGGAGGCGGGTGAGCGGTGCTGGATCTGCACGCTCCCGGTCTTGAGCCGGCAGTTCTTTGTGTTTCCCTGTCAGCACGCCTTCCACAGCGACTGCCTGGGCAAACGCGTGCTTGAGAGCTCCGGGAGTAGCAAGAGGAAGAGGATCAAGGACCTGCAGACGGAGGTCAACCAGGGCCTGAGTGTGGGCGTCCAACGGCAAAAGCTAGTGGCCGAGCTGGACGGGTTGGTCGCTGAGCAATGCGTCTTGTGCGGGGACTTGGGCATCAAGCAGATTGATGAGCCCTTTATCCACGAGGGTGACGATGTGGAAGCATGGGCTATCTGACAGCAACGTGCTGCTCGCTCACGGGAGATGTATGTCTGTGGATGCAACGACCAAGGGCTGGAATGGAATATCAACCAGCAGACTTGCTTCGGGGATTCTTCTGGACACCGACTCGAAAATCTCCCATTGGCGTCGAGGCGTCTCTACCATCCGGTGCAGCGGAAGAGCCACCAAGTGTATCCCGAGTCCTGCCCGACATGATCCTTTTGCCTCCGAACCGTCGCTCTTCCCGCCTCTATCCTTGCATGACGGCGACAATTCCAGCTCCGAAGCCCCCAAGAGCGATAGATGGCGAATCCTGCATTGTTAAATGTCCGGTCCATGCCGCCGGGGGTCTTACTTACTCCTGACAGACCTGTATCCTCCTCGAGGCTCTAGCCCCTTATTTCTCGCCCCAATCAGCCCAGCCTGATAAGTACGCGGTACTAATCAAGTCTCTTCTTACCAGTCAGTATACAAACCGCGTCGAATGATCCAGTACACTACACTTGCATCCAAGTTGGCAAATAATTTAAATATTATATCTCCTTGTTCCTTTCTTCTCTCTCTTCTTACACTATTGCTCCTGTTGTAAGACACACCCAAGCCAACCTCACCGACCACACCACCCCCACTCCCATCTTAGTGTTCCTTCCACCTGCATAAGAAGCATTCACAGCAGCCTCACGATGGCACAACCAAAAGGCTTCACCATCTTTGCCCGCGCATGGACGGCGTCTCCACCCAGAAACACATACCTGCATTCCATCCCCTCCATGCCGAGATCAGAGGACGAGGAGAGCATTGCCTCTTGGTCCGGTAGTGACGGCACACACACCCCGAGCTCCTTATCATCGTCCACGACCACCGTCTCCGTCACGTCCGCGCCCTTGACAGACATGGCTACGATCAAGCCGGCCCCTCGAGGGAAAATCGACTTTTCTGTCCTGGAACACGTCTTCGCAAAGGAGACCGCCACCGAAACTCCAAGCTCGTCTCCCCTGTGGTACATTCTGGCCACCGCACTCCTGTTGGCCTTCCACAAGGAAAAGCTGATTGGAAAGCTGTGGACGTATCTGAGCCAAAGGGAGGTACGTGCACACGACGCAGAAACGGGGCATTTGCTCGCCACGGCCCGACGAATCCGGGAGGCGTGCTTGAAAGCCAGTACACTAGTGGGATTCCCCAGGGTAAGTCTCTTTGCGCAGGTCGCACACAGAAGTTAGCAGGCAACTGACCACATCCTCCCCAATCAGGCCATCAACGCGCTGCTCGTCCTTCAACAAGCCATCAAGACTACGCACCCGGCCCTCTCCAGCATTCTGGAAGCAGACGCGTCTCTCCGCGCTGCTGGTGGTGACCCAGCAAACCCAGAAGCCAAAGCCGCGCGGGGCATGCGCCTGTTCCAGCGCATCTACGCCCAGCACAGCCCGCGCGTGCTGGCGGCCATGTCGGCCTGCTCGGGCGGCGACCTGACGCACTTCGCCATCACCTGCATCTACGGCGAGCTGCTGGCCGAGGACGCCATCATCGGCGACCTCGACACCGGCCTGCTGGAGTTCGTCTGCTGTCTCGCCGACGGCTGCGCCCCGCAGGCCAAAGGCCACTTCTTCGGGGCTGTCAATCTGGGCGCCGCCCCGGAGACGTTGCGCGCCGCCGTGCGCCTCGCCGACCATCTGGCGCGCCAGGTCCGGGCGGAGAGGCCGTGGACGGGTGAGAAAGGCGAAGGGGAAGGCGAATGCCAGGAGCTGGAGCTGGAGCTGGAGCGGGACCGGAGTGAATGGAAGTTCTTGGATCGCGTCATGGTCGTGTAGGAAGAGGAGTAGAGACGTGCGAAGTGCTGGCTCACTCATATTCATATTCATATCCGTTCTTCCTTCCTTTGGGGGGGTTTTTTAATATCTGCTTGTCATTCCCGAGATTTGGTGCGACAAAGCGGGGAATGGTTGTTTGTTTCTTTTATATCTAATCTAGAAGGTACATGTATATAGTAGACTAGACGACAGCAGCGCGCAGAGTAGACCAGAGCCCTCGCGTTCAGGGCGGGGGGGGGATGAAAGTAATATGCATGGGTTTTGAGATGACGATATACTTCACATCCCCTTACCTACCCACCTACCTACCTAGATATTGCCCTATTTACCTACCCACCCACCCACCGAGCCCCAACCTCAGAAATACACACATACATACATACATGCATTCGAGGGTGGTCCAGTCCGGCCAGACAAAGGGGGTGGGTACCGACAGCAGAGAAAACGGGCAGAAAGGAGGGAGGAGGACTGCCCGGGACACCGTGCTCGCTCGGCATTTATCATTTCTGTATGTATGCATGCATATATTTAGTTCCGGGCAGTAGAAATGGTAGGTAGGATACATCAGCGGCCGGGCGGGAGGGAGCAAGGGAGGGAGGGAGGGATCAATCAATTATACTGTTTCTTGGAACATACATGTCACCTACAGTATATGTAATACACCGACCTATCTACCTGTTCCTACTTCCACTCCACTCCACTCCATGTCCGTTGTACGTAGCACACACATATATATGTATATGTATATATGTATTGGAAGGAGTAACTTTCCAAGGGACACCCCCTCATCCCTGCTCTCATTGAGACCGGACCAGACCATGTCATGTATGTATGTATGTATGCATGTAGAATGTCCATCCATAACCCACTCCTACCCTGTCCAAATGACCAAAGTCGGGCGGTCGCTCGGCCAGGCGACCATCTAACCACGCCCAACACCAAACGTAGTCTCTCCTTCCTCTAGGTAGACGCTGTAGGAAGGAGGAAAAAGGGGTTTACCAATCCCCCCAAAACAAAAACCGGGCTGTATATCCCTCACACATCAAAAGTCGCAAGTCGCAAGTCGCAAGTCGCAAGTCGCAAGTCGCTTTAAGCTAGCTCGACTCTTTCGGCCCAAAGTACTGCTTCAGAATCTGTTTCTTGTTGACCTTGCCCATGGCGTTGCGCTCGATCGCCTCGACCACTTTCAGGATCGTGGGCACCTTGTACGCGGCCATGTCTTCCTTCAGGTGTTTGCGGAGCGTGGCCAGGTCGAGACCGGTGGAGGAGACAGCCTGGTCGATAAAATGTCAGTCACCAACTCAAGATCAATCACTAGGGAAACAATAGATGACTTACCGAGTCCTTCAGCTTGATGACGGCCGCAACCCGTTGTCCCCACTCCTGGTCCTCGACGCCGACTACCACCACCTCTCCCACGACGCGGCTCAAGTATTCGTTGCCCAGGATCTTCCGTTCAATCTCCAGCGCCGAGATCTTGTACCCGCCGCTCTTGATGATGTCGACACTGTCCCGTCCCAGGATGAAATACGCGCCGTTCTCTTCCCGCTTGGCCACGTCGCCCGTCTTGAACCAGCCATCTTCGGTAAACGACTCGACCGTGGCCTCCGGTCTGCGGAAATACTCCGTAAACACATTCGGTCCTCGGATCTCGATCAAGCCCGACTTGTCCCTGCCGGAAGACGTGATGAGCTGCCCAGTCTTCTCATCCGTGAGGCGAACCTGCACGCCAGGCAACGGCCAGCCGACACTCCCGTCAATGCGCTTCTCCTTCTCCAAGCCGCAGCTGAGAGCCATGCCGATCTCGGTCATGCCGTATCGCTCAAGCAATTCATGGCCCGAAATTTCCTCAAATTGGCGCTTCGTGGGCACCGGCAGAGCAGCCGATCCACTGACGATGAGACGGAGGGCGCGGACACCTTCCCGTGCGGCCGTCTCGGATGGCGTCCCGCGGATGTTGGAGTCAAAGTAGTCGATCAATCGTGAATACACCGTGGGCACAGCCATAAACATCGTCGACGACCCTTGCTGAGACCACCGGCTCCACACAGTCTTCGCGTCGAATTTCGGATACATCTCCACCGTCCCGCCGGCAAGTAACGTAGCAGTGAGGCCATTGACGATGCCGTGGACATGATGGAGAGGAAGAACATGAATTAAGTGATCGGATCGGCTATATTTCCAAGCTTCCACTAGGCTGCGGGCTTGGAAGGTAATGGTCTCGTGGGTCGAGATGCACCCTTTCGGTCTCGAGGTCGTGCCGGAGGTATAAATGATGAGGGCCCGTCGAGATACGGGGAAAGACGCGGAAAATCTGGGAAGAAACGGAAAGTTTTTCGAGCTGGGGCTGTGCGGTGAGAGGGACATAACCGGAATTCCTGGCGCTTGTTCTTGCAGACCAGCCTCAAACTTCTGGAATAACGGATGCAGGATGATCAGAGACGGGTCCGAATCTGAAATCGTATACTGGAGTTCTTTGAGCGGATGCGACGTGCACAGGGGCACCGAAACAGCTCCCGCTGCCCATACTGCCCACTGGGTGACGACATAATCATATCCCGACGGGGCAAGGAATGCGACTCTGGGTTCTTCCTCAAAGGTTGAAACGGCTGGATCGTAACCGGAAAGATATCGCCGGATCTGAGCTTTCAGGGCCGCCACATCGTTCAGGAGTTGGACAAAGGTAAAGCTTTGGTCCTTGGTCTTATCGATGATGGCAACCTTGTGAGGGTCTGCAAGGGCGTGAGATCTCGCTGCCGCGAATAGAGGTAGTTCAGGTATCGACGGGTCGTCCTTGCTGGCCTGAGCTGGGTATCCAGGTACAGGCAGATTCGACGAGAAAAAGTTGAGTTGCTGGTCGGCTGGAAAGGCCCAGCCGGACTGGCTGGGGGAAAAGGAGACTTCGATGCTCATGGTGGCTCGTGAGGGCAATGCTCGTCTTGTTGTTCTTGGTGGTGATATCGCTCGAGAAGACCGACGTGGTCATGGTGCCGGATGGCCACCATAAGAATGCCATATTTAAAACCCTTCATCCACATCCAATTTCATTGGGGTTCCAAAAATGGAAGCCGATCACCCCAACAATAACTCAGAATATCCATCCGTGCCATCATATGTGGCGCTTGAACGCCGGGGAACAGGCAAGTTTGGCCAGAGGTTGGCAGCCGCAGACACGGCGATTTTTCAATGATCGAGATGAACGACTTTTCAGGCAAATATCCCCGAAAGGAATAGTCGCAAGTGGGTGTGACCGATGATGCTGGGGGCGTGGATCTTTTCCGCCGGTGTGCCACGGGGTATTCTCGCCTCATCGGCCTGTGGCTGAGGGGAGAGATTACTGAAGGATTAAACGTCCGGCACCACGCCATCGGCCATCTTGCTCGACGGCCTCGATAAACAGTCCGGGCATTTCGCTCTGCGTGAGGCATGCGCTGGCCTGAAGGTAAGTCGCCTTGAAGGTCTCCCACAAGGCCATGTCGTTCGGGTGGCTTGAGATCGGTCGAGGATAATATGGATTGTTGAGATAGAAGGCTCTTTGGAGCTGCTTTACACCCACTGGGGATTCTGGAAATGCCCGACATTGGTCAAAGTCCAACAGCCAGATGCCTATGGATCGTTGATGCAAGTCGAACTTGAAGACGTTGGGGAAATCAGCAAGCTTCCGGCGCCCTCCCCCCGGAATCACGGTCGACTCGACTTCGGCTTGCCGAGTCCTTCCCAAGACGAACTCGACGTTGTTGGCGTCGACCTGTGCCTTCCAGTGCAATATTGCCAGCGTCTGAGCCATGACCCTTGCCCATGCGCCTGTGTCCAATTGCAGTGCCTCCATCTCGTTGACTGTGAGCTCGAAGTTGCGAAGTCGAAACGGGGCGGACGGTGACCGCTCGGCCCGTCGACCCAGGTACAGGCGGACCAAGCAGTCATGATTCTCGGGGCGTTTCAGGAAGTTGGTCTTGTTGGCTTTGATAGACGGAGGGGCGAACAACTCGACGATGGCCTCGCGAATCCGCGGAGGTAGAGGGTGAATCCTGGTCGATAAAATGCCACACGTCGGCTGGAAGTCCTGCGGAAACCAGCTGCGAAACTCGCTCCAGAAGATCGCCTCGGAGGGCTGAACCCAGTTACTCCAACGAGGTATGCTGATATGGCCCCGGAATTCCCAGGGCGCCTGCTGCAGTGCATCTTCCACCCTCCTGTGGTGGCAGCTATCGTTCCAGAGCCGATCCTGCTTCCCCTCGTTGGGCACTTTCAAAGCCAGGTCCATCAACGCCCACACTGTCCCGCACTGGCCCTGTCCGACCTGTCTTGGGCCCTCCTGGCCTTGAGGAGATGCAGAGGATTCGGCCCTCGAGAGGCGTCTGGAGTGCGAGGTGGTATGGCCACGTTTGGCACCAGTGAAACACGAAATCTGGTGGCCCATGGTTGGAGGTGACGGGACTTGCTTCAGACTGTGTGTTGTGAAGAAGTATGAGGCAGACCTGCAGGATGTTATATCCCTGGGAATAGGCGGGTGCCGGATGACTGACTATGTCAGTTCCACAACTTGGATGCCATCCAAGCCCATGGTTGAATGGGACGATGGGGAGACTTCTGAGAGCGGACAGCATACCAGGCACTGTTCCTCTTTTTGCTGTTGCACTGCCCGTTGGAACTGGTGCTGGATCCCCCATTTTGACTTTGCGAGGAACTGCAACGTCTCCAGTTATCCGCTGTTGGCTGATGAGGCAGAGTTATCCTCCCGAAGACCTGCGCGCTCGGGATATTGCTTTTGTCTGACAGAGTGGCTATCCGCGGCCACCCCCCCGTCTCAGGGCGCTTCTCCTTGTCAGACTAAAAGTTTTTAGCTGCTCCTCTAAAGCTGTGACTTCTTCTTTACTTTTCATGTCTTGTCACAATCCATTACAATGCCCAAAGCTAACTTCTTTCTGTTCTATCTCGATATCAGGTAGGTGGTCACCCCCCAGCAGTACGTATTGACCCGTTTAAAGTGCTGCCTGGAGTGAACCAGCACCTCTTCTTCGAGCCGCTGCGTTGTATCCCTCTGTGAGCAGTGGAAATGCTCTCTCGGCAGCCTCAACCATCAGTCCACTCTCCCCCTCGCACACAGAAACCTCATCGAGAGATGACAGAACACTCAGCGAATCAAATTCATCGCCGCGTTGCTCTATTGCCCTTTCCGAACACGAGCCCGCGGCCCATCTCGTGAGCTCTGGAGCGCAACCCCGCCCTTAGACCCTAAGTCAAGAAGCACGCGACCCCTCGCTCTCGTGGAAGGAATAGAAGAAAGATGACTTCAGGTGTCGTTTTTGTCTGGGGGAGGGGGGAAGGCTCTCCTTCAACGAATAAAGCATCTTCTCCTCCCTGCAAGCTCCCAGACTCCCTTTGTTTGGACTTTTACTCATCAACATCAGCACCATTCACAACTAACGCCCACAGATCCGTCGACCTCTGTCCACCATGGAAAACAAGCACGAAACTCCAACAACCGCCCTGCCCGCCTCTACCGGTAGCAGTGGCATGGGTGCCTCGCACCGTCGCTCGAGCAGCGGCATCTCGGACGACGCGGCCAAGTCGGCCCACGACTTCATGGCCGGCACCATCCGGCGCTCGTCCAGCGGCGTGACCGACGACGCCGCCCGCGCCGCACGTGAGTTTGTGCGGTCCTCCTCCTCCTCCGGCAGCAGCAAGGCCCCCGGCCTGAACGACGACCTGACCCAGAAGATGCACAACTTTATGGAAGGCCCTGCCACGCACCGCGAGAGCCACAGCAAATACCTGCCTGACGTCACCATGCCGGGCATCACGGACGAAGTGGTCGAGGAGGCCGTCGAGTTTGTCGACGGCGTCGAGAAGACTACATCCATGGCCTGAGCTCTCGAAGCAGATCAATACTTCTGAGAGTCATGTGTGTCATGTATAAAATGGGGTTGGTGTGAGGATAGCTCCGTCGACCTTGATGGGTGAATTGAGGATTGGATGATTATTTAGGGGAAAAATGCTTGTATGACCTGATTGTTGACCGAAACACCAAAAAGAGAGGGCGTCTCACGTTACGTTGACATTGTTGGCGTTGACCGGGATGTTTCCTTCGTGTGTTTGTATCTCTAGGTGCGGGAGACTGCCCTGCGTCCGGTTTACCCTCCAGAAAAAGAAGGTCGCTAGCCTTCTCGTTTTAAGATTGATATCAATAATTCATTTGTGGTACACCCTGATCGTTTCGTCTTTCGGGCCCAGTTGCCCGTCATAAGAATTCCGTGGCTGTCGTACGCTCCCAACACCGTAAGCGCCTTCATGTCCGTCGTCACCATGGTCTATCTTGACCTTAACTCTCTTCAAACAGCCAGGCCAACGACTCAGGCCAGTCGTTGTCCGACTTCTCGCTGTTGCACATCTTCATCCTCCATTTCCGATATCCTTTCCTCGCAAGGCGTTGATCGAACTCCTGTTTGCACCCGGCACACCAACGCTCCCTCGGCAGCGGTCTCTCATACGCCAAACCGAGAATGTATGTTCGGCGGGGACAATTGGGAACCCAACAGGATGAGCATCTTGCTTCTCTGCGGCTCTTGGGCAGGGGGATCTCGTCGAGAGCGTGCCATCGCGAGTCTTGATGGTTCGCCTTGGTCGTAACGGTCCCAGTTTTCTTGCCGTTCTTGTGCTCTTTCCATTCCATCAACGCAGCCTTTCGCTTTGACCACCCTCCTGAAAATGTCAAGTTGGGAGCCCACCAGCTCTTCCTTCCGTGATCGCGTATAGCGTGGCGCCGTCGGAATGCCATTCTCTTACGCGCTCGCCAGGTGTCCTTGGCTCCGGCAATTCTCCGCCCCAGTCCACCGATTTCCATCAGATCTTCCTCTCGCCGCCGTTGCTGCTCGAGTTCAAAGCAGGGAACACATCCCCACCACAGCTCAAATGTCGTGCTGCCACATGAGGAGCAGACCCCAATCTCCTCGTCTGGATTGACCAGGCTGCAGCCTTCAAGCATAAACCGCCGAAGTCTGTGGCCTTTGCTGGATTTGCAGACCATGTCGCTTTTCTTGACCCAGTTCTCCTTCCACCACTCCCCTTCGATGTCACGGTATCTGCGCATGCAGTCCTTACACAACCTATTCTGGGCAAACTTGGCCCCCAGACCTGTGCCGCGGTTGCTCATTCGCTCAACAAAGCACCACAGCGGCTTCTCCTCCAGACAACCGTAGCATCGAAGTTCTCTGGCGGGACGTTCAATCAGTCGGAAGTCAAAGGCTGCGTAAAGCAGGTCCCACAGGTGACCAAGTCGCTGGCGAGGATAGATGGATCTGTAGTCCCGATACAGCTGCGCCTCGTTCTCAAGGCTTTCCTCGACTATCTTGGATCGAACGCCGCGAACGACATCTGTGGGGAGGATGTCGTACATTGAGCGACACGTCTGCCGAAGGGCGAGTAGCGTGTCGAAATCGACGTACTCGGTGGCAACGAGGAAATGCACATCGCGAGGTAAGATGGAGAGGAAGGCGCAATTTTGCCCCGCTCTGGCTGTTCGTTCCGCGTGAGGCTTGTTCGATGACAACAAGGCCGGCATGGATGCACGTTGCTTCGCCTTCAAAATCAGAGAGGTCGGGTATTTCACCTTCAGCATTGATGGTATGGGACTGTTCACAGTACGCTCTGTGACAGTGATTCTGGTCGACTCCTTCCGGTCATCTGATAATTGGTCATCGGGCAACTCTGAAGAACGCTCGCCGCTCGCTCCTGCAGAACGACAGGACGGTTTCGAGGGTGCCGCTGGGCAGGAATGACCACGCGTATCGGCTTGAGAGATGTACTCCATGTTTCGTCAACCGGTGAAGTGATTGATCGACTCACCGTCGGTGAGTGCGATGGTCGCTGAAGAAAGATCGCTCGAAGAGATACAGAAGGTCCGGAGTGCCAAACCACTTTCTGGACACAGTGTTGGGCCGAGATAGCGAAGGCAACCAATGTTTGCCCGGGTTACATGCAGGGAACCGTGTCCTTGTCAGGCTGAGAAGGCAACAAACAGCCTTGAAGGACCAAAACCCCCAGCCGCGCCGGCACGGATCAGGGAAGGAGACTGCTGGGTATCAATGAGCCGGAAATGACAACAGTAGAATCAAAAGGAGGAACGTTCGCTCTTTCAAAGGATCGTGCAACTGCTGATGAAGAGGAGGAATGCTGGGATGCTCAAAGAGCGACCGATGGTGAGATAGATGGTGAAGGTTCAGTGAAGGTTGGAAAAAAGCGGGGAGGGACGAGGGGGGAAGGAAGACAAAGACTCCGTCGCTGGCGAGATGGACAATCGTTGCATAGCCTAGTCCCTGCGTAGGTTGGTGATGCATGTACTGCTAAGGGGTCTTTCCCAGGTGCCAGTGTTCAGTCGCCCAGGCAAAGGGATGCGAATCGATCATGTCTTGGGGCTTTGCAGATGACGGGCGGGGTTGGCTGACGGACAGATGTGCTGATGCAGGGGGTTTCACCTTCCCCGCGGCGAATGAGAGAGGTTGAGAATGATGATGACTGGCTTCCACGGGCGCGGTGACTGCTAGGCGGCCCCCACAGGCACCCAGAGGCACCCAGTAGGCCACGAAGCCCCGGTGACTGCTGGGCGCCACCTGTGTGACGAGGCCCCGGGGGCTTTTCGTTAAACCTCTTTCGCGAAGTCGCCGTCGCGGCCCGCCTACGACGAGGAGCTAGAGTTACCTGTTTGGAACTTCCGATCTTTGCATTTACCTACTGTACAGGTGTTAAGCCGCCGGACGAAGCCTATGCAACTCAGCCACATTTCTCACCAGAGTCGCAATGGCCATGTTCATCATACCTACCCAGATGCTTTGGATCCTATCAGACAACAAAACAACCAACTCGACTGAACCGGTATCGACACCCTGTATCCAGCGCCGTCCCCGCTATGAATTTCGATCACGCTGTTCAATGCCTCATACTGGTACACATACAAGAACAGTGACACATGCACCACACCATCCTGGAGACTACAACAGATCCCCATCCCATCTCTTTCTTCATTTCAGGGTATGTAAATGCGATCAAACCAAGAAACATGGCCCCTACATCATGGACATTAACGAGCTCGCCGCATACGCCTGGCATGGTGTTAGTCACATATCCTCTGTGGGTGCTGATCGTTCGACTCACCATGGGCTTGATATCAGGATGAGGTACAGCTTCGAACTGGTGATACTCTAACTTCATGTCGGGGCCAATGTTGATGTAGGCTCCCTTGTTCTCCGTCGTGTCACAGTATTTGGGCGCCGAGAAGACTGCAAGAAGATCTCGTTAGTGTCTCAGGCGCAGATGGCAGTGGTGATTGAAACATACCCGTGATGCACTTTCCGTCATGCTCGACCTCGTAACCGTCCATCCGTACCTCGTGACTCCGAATCACAGCCTCGAGGTTATTGTTTTCACAGAATTTCTTCGTCACATCAGGGCCGAACTGCAGTCCAACACCCCGCTTGCTGGGTCCTCTTCCATTTTGAGGCTGAGGATCTGTCCAGAGCATCTCCATCATAAGGCCCGACTGACCGGGCTGCCGCTGCACGTGGCGATCAAGTTTGCGGATGTCGTCTAGTGTAACTTTATCGTCCGAAAACAGCCCACCATGGAGTGTAAGGTATTTCTTCCCGATCAAGGTTGCCAACGGCAGTGCTGAGAATGACTCGGAGAAAAGCTTGAAAGTCTTCTCGTTGTACTTGGCCTTGCATTCGCCTTCAAACCCATACACTCGGTTCATATCGTCCGTCTCGTGGTTACCACGGTTCAAAAAGAAGGCGTTAGGTCGTAGCCACTTGTAGGCATAGAGAAGCAGGGCGATTTCCGTCGACCATGACCCTCGATCCACAAAGTCACCGTTGAACAGGTATGCATGCGTGTCCGTCGGGTAGCCATTGAGTCGGAAGATCTCCAGCAGATCGAAGAATTGGCCGTGGGTGTCTCCGCAGACCGTGAGTTTGGTGTCGGGAGCCACGTCCATCTCGACCATGGTCGGCTCGTCATAGACGATGTCTCTGACGGCCTTGATGATCTGAAACACATACTTCTTGTGGATCTTCTTGCCGTTCTTGAACCGCTCTATCATATCGTCGATGAATTCCTGCGTCATCTCGTTCCCTAATCTGACACCATCATATTTCTCGTCCACCTCTATCGAGTCCAAGTCCAGTCCTTCGAATGCTGACGGAGGTTCTTCGACTTCGATCGCCTTGAGGAATTGTATCTTCTTGACCAGCTTTTCGCACTCGGCCAGCTTGAGTTTAGCCTCCTTGTTGTTAGGCTCCTTTCGGCAAACCGTCTTGAAGTCTCGGAGGGCATCTTGAGAATTCAGGATGGCAGTGTTGGCAATCGCTCGTCTCCAGTATGCCTATATAAGAGGAGTGAGCTTTCCCGGCCATAGCTGCAGGGCTTCGATTTCGTACCTTAATGTAGTCTTTGTCGAGTTCAATGGCCTTGGTTGCGTCAGCAATAGCATAGCCGTAGGCCTCCAGCTTGATGTTTGCCTGGGCCCGGTTGCAGTAGAACGACGGGTCTGCATCGTACTTTTCTATTGCCTTGGTGTAATAATCGATAGCGGCAGGCCAGTCATGCTGTGCAAAGGCCTGGTTTCCCTTGAGCTTCAGGGCGGTTGCGGCGGCCTTGTCTGCGGCGTGAGTCGAGGCCATGGCCAAAGAGATTGGAGGTGATTCGGCCAGAGAAAAGTGAGAGAGCAAATGCGGGGTAACAAAGGTTCGAGTGCTATCGTATCATGCCGGTTGTCTAGAGCGAATGGTGTTGAGAAATGGGTGGTCGAGTGTTCAATTGCCTCGTCCAGTCTTTTTTTGTCGCGGACTCGCTGCGAGTCGAGAACTTTCGGAGAAAGAAGTCGAAAGAATCTCGCCAGACCTGCAGTTTCGGGCTCATAAACTGGAGCCGGATCTCGTTAAAAGACATCTAGTATCACGCTACCGGCCGATCACCCGAAACCTTAAATGGCCTTTTCGTCGTTGCAGACTGCGGGCAGCAAATGCCCTTGCTGATGATCAGTACATCTCTCAGCTTCTGACATTCTACCTCCTCCAATTTAATCATGGCGGGTCGCGGTAGTCGCTCGCGTGCCTGTATGGTCTGCTCCATCGTCCAGACTGCCACTGTAAGCAGCGGGTCGTCATCTTTTGCCCCTTTCCGACGACTGACATGAAACCACAGGAATTCTACCGCGTCGGTTGCCCCAACTGCGAAGACATCCTAGGCCTACGCGGCTCTCAAGACGCGATTCAAGAGTGCACTTCTCAAGTCTTCGAAGGCTTGATTGCGATGGGAGATCCGAAAACCTCTTGGGTGGCTCGATGGCAACGCTTGACCGAGTACGTGCCCGGGATGTATGCCGTCAAGGTCGTGGGGACGTTGCCGAGAGAGATAATAGATTCGCTGGAGGACAATGGCATCAAGTATATCCCTAGAGACGGAAGCGGGATGGAGGAGGAGAGTGTTGCGGCTTGACACCCCGGCAATTAGGCCCGAGAGGCATCTACTCTTGATTGCTGGAGACATCCAAAATGCTGGAGATCCCCAATCAAGAATCAACACGTGGTTCTCAGAAAAGCCATACAAGGACTGAAGGAAAGACTTTGTTATGCACGCGCTACAATACCTCCACTAGTGGAGACCACCGGTAACAGAGATCTGCGCCGAACACTACACAAGTTGAGCAAAAAGAGACAACTCCTCGATACACACCAACTTTTCGCGCCTCACAGAGACGTGGCCAGCTTCTCCAAAGCATCGAGCAGAATGTCCGCATGGTGCTTCTGGAATATCAGCATCGGCCTCAATCTCACTGCCGACGCACCACTGCCACCGATATTGATACCGAGCGTCTTAGCCTTGGCCAAGAATTCGTCACGTTTGGGGTTGTCAAAGGCAATAAAAGTGCCCTGGCCCTTGCCTCTGAGGTTTTGAAATTGTTCAGGATACTGTTGAGCGAGTCTTTCAATGCCTGCGTATAGGTAGTCACCGACCACCGCCGTATTCTCTACCAGATTCAATCTCTCAATTTCGTTGATGATGGCGCGGAAGAGAATTGCTCGTGCCGGGTCGCCCATCCAGGTGTTGAATTGTCGATATGGCTTGTTTGGTCGCAAGTCTGGGTTGCCAAAGTAGTAGCCGGCTGTTTGTGCTTTCTTGGAGAATGTCACCATGTCTGGCGGGTCTTGCAGGTTCCAATGATCGTGAGCCCAGAACTTGCCCGTCGCGCCGACACCAGTTTGGACTTCGTCGACGATCAGGAGAACATTGTTGCGGCGGGTGATTTCTCGCAGACCTTGGAAGAAGGCAGGACTGGCGTGGTTGTCGCCGCCTTCAGACTGGATGGGTTCGACGATCACAGCGGCCACAGGATTGTGGTATGTTTTGATGATATGCTCGGCTTCCTCCAGGCATCTCTTCTCCTCAGCCGCATTTTCTTCGGCATGCTGTTCGAGCGGGTACTTCAGCGAGGGGAAGGAGCACTGCGGCCAGTCAAAGGCTGGAATATCGATCTTGTGGATGGGTTTGCTGCGTGTAGTCGATAGAGTCCCGAACAGACGGCCGTGGAATGCAGTTTTGAACGACATGATTGACATATCAGGGGAGCCAGGCTTCTGGTTCTTCATGGTGCTCTCGATCTCTTCTGGGGTGAACTCCACGTCTCGACCTCCACGCTCTTGCTGTCGCTTCCACATGAAAGCGGCTTTGAAGGCAGTCTCATTGGCGTCGGAGCCCGCCGTGGCAGTGAAGACCTGGTCCATGCCCTTTGGTGCCACTCGAAGAATACCGGTCTGGAGGATCGAGGCCCAGTCGTGCGAAGGGAAGTTGCCCAACGCGGGCCGATTGATGATCGCCGAGGCCATCTCTGGGCTGGTGGCCGCGAGCAGCAGCGAAGGATTGTTGTAACCAACAGGGATGGAAGCAATCTGTGCGTACACATCGAGTAGCACGTTTCCATCAGGATCGACTATATAGTTGGCGTAACTCTGTTGGTAATTTGCCAGCATGTTGAGGCTGCGAGTGTCGAATATTTTGTCAAGCTCTGCAATGGCCTTCTGGCTCTGGGGCCCTGGAATAGGCGTAACCACCGTAGGCCCAACCGGTTCATCAGGAAAGAATGCTGTCTCCATCGAAGGAGTTTCAATGTGAGCCTGGGCTACGGCGGCAGCTTTCTGCTGATTCGTGCTTGTCGCTAAACCTCGAAAAGGCGCTGATCTCAAGGTAAAACGAGCTGGAGCCGCCAGACGACCAACACTGCGCAACCCGGCAGAGGCTCGCAGGATGGAAGCCATTGTTCGTTATTCGATCAAGCTTTCTGGACGATGGGCACTGCAACTGTAATTGGTGTGGGGTGGAATGCGCACGCAAACTGGAAGACTAATGACCCGCGCCCTGAAGCAGGTTTCGAACACTCGGCGAAAAGAAGAAGTCAGTCCAGATCATAGATAGCCTTGGACTTGGTCTTGATAATATAGAAAGCAAGTCGAAGGTCAAAGGGAGATCACAGTGGGGGAAGGAGGGTTTTCATTGCTGGATTTACCACAAAGGGCGCGACGCACTGACAGGGGGCAGGAACTAACAAAATGCGGAGAAGGACGCTGCACAGGCCTAATAATTGGAGGGTCGGATATCCTCGCACCTCTGCCTGCGCAAATCAGAGCATGTAGCGCTCCCCCCACTGCAATCACTGGAGTCGTAAAGTTGTTGCCGATGAAATCCGCCTTCGGTTTAGGCGGTGCGGCCGTTTCGGGAATGGTCGCAGGCTAGGCGCGCCGCCGCTTTTGACGGCTATAAGAACCTCATCTCCCATCTTAACGCTCTCCCTTCCAACTTTGTGTTTCCTTCGTTACGGAGATGGGTGTCTTTTTCCTGGCCTTACGGGACCCCGGTACATCGACAGGAACTTTCGGTAGGCTAAGGATCAAACTCTGTAGCTACGAAAGACTCAGAACTACGCCTTATGAGACGAGGGAAAGCTAGTGCGCATTAGGTAGCGCTGGCCGTCTATATAAATAGTACCATCGTTCCCTCCGGTGCTTTATCACGTGGAAGCCATCGTTGATCGAGATGCAGAACCTTGTTCGCCAAGAACTACGACGTCGAAGCAAGAAGCTATTCGGGAAGAGATGTGGCCACCAGGAGTTACAGAGAAGGACTGTGTTCAAACGGCAAACTACGAAGAAATGAGGATATCCTGGTTGCACCCTCATCCGGGCCCGCGTTCGCTCAATATCAATCTTGTTCTCTCAATACTGCGTAGAGTATGGTCTACCTGTTGTGATTGTTGTGATCCAGAATAAGGCCCCATTCTGGGTTCCTACTGTCCACCGGGGTTTATATTCCCCTATTCTGGATTCGACTCCGAAGTCGATTCCGTCCGCTACTTGATTGAATGTGTGTTCTCTTAATGTTACAGCATCTCTATGTATCAGTCCGACTTTTTCGAGTCCCATAGCGGCCAGACACAGTTGCCTCATCCAACGACTGGTTTCCTATGGGTTGAGAGCTTGCAAACCTTTAAGGACTCGTATTCCGTCACGTTTTTGGTACTGGCTGAGAAGCATCACGACACTCCCGTTGGGTGCGAGGGTCAAAAAGATAATCCTATTGAGCGAAGCGAAAACAGTATTATAGGGCAACTTCGTCAAAGAAGCCGCGGATTTGATTAGTACGGAAGAATATTAATATCCGATTAGCTATTTTTTATAACGTTACGTACTACTTATTCTTTAACTAATAATATAGCTAGTTTACTTATTTAGTCTTTCCTATTCTATATAACTAATAATAATAATAATTAATACGCTATCGCATAATAAATAGCGCATAATAAATAACGGTATTAACTACGTAGATTACTCTCTATAGCTCTCGTTTAGCTTTGATCAATTCGCTTCGCTTAAATCTCTAATCTATTCGCTTAAATCTCTTCTATCAAAATAGTAGCCGATATACTACCTAATCTCTTCAAGTCTCCTAATATACTCCTCTCTTAGTTTAGTTCTTAATTAAGCCCCTATAAGACCTACTCCGCCTATAGTTAATTCAAACCTAGAGAAGACTTTAGGTCTAAGTGTCAGGGACAAGGACCGAGAAAGGCTCTAAGGGGCTTTAGAGGGCTTCGAACGTGTATAGGAGGCTTGAGAGTCCTAATATTACTATCTTAATATA